TTATAACTACAAAGATAATGCGGCTTTAAGTAAGAAAGAAAGAATACTAAAACGCTACCTAAGAAATTAAACATAATAATTATAAAAAGGGGGACCTAGTTCTGCTATAAAACTTCTAACAAAATAACTTTAACTAATTTATAAATAAAAAACTAAGCAAGAAGTAGCTAGGCCTTTACAAGATCTATAATGTTAACCTAGACTAAAACTACTATTACCTAGCTAAATTAGATAAAGTACTCTTTTATAATCTAACGCTTAAATACAAGATTAAGCGCTTTATATAAAGAGACTTAAAGAATATTACTAAAAAAGACTTAGCGCAAACTCTACTAAATAAAAAGAGAAATGCTGCAGCATTATTTAATAAAGACGCTAATAGCTTACTTTTTAAAGATAAGAAGCTGCCTAAAGACATCTAAGCTTAGCAATTATAGAAAATAAGTAAGAAGCTATAATACTAAAAAGTTAACTCTAGCTACATCTATTGCACAACTATAAAAGTTATAATACTTAACTACTGCGCCTAGGTCGCGTACGCTATACTTATTACTACTATAAAACTCTAGTTAAGCTTTTTACCTTTTTACTTTTATCTGCAAAAATAACTTATAAAAGAAAAAAAGGCACAATAAAAAAAAAATAAAAAAAAAAAAAAAAAAAGGGTAACAAGTACCGCGAATTCCTAGATTGCTAGAAGTAGAAGTATCTCTCTTATAGCAGTCCTGTATCTTTTCCTCTTATTTTTAGAAGATTAAAAATCTGCAAAAGAAAGGACGCTGCTATAGCTTCTATTAGGTGTTATAGCAGCACCTAATCTTGCAAACAAAGAAAAAAAAAAAAATTAAAAAGTTATTTGCCTAAGTTAATTTGTTAAGCGCGCTACCCTTAGACAAAGCAAAACTACACAACTTAACTAAAAGGCAGTTATATAAAAAAAGAAGAAGTAGTATAGCAGTTAGCAAAGCAGGCAAGAAACAACGCAAGTATATAAAACTAAAGGTAGCCGCGACAATTAAATTAAATGCAACATTTAATTACTAAACTGCTAGCTTAAAATAGTTAGCTAAAAGAGAAAATATTAAAAGTAAGCAAACTAATTAAAAATAGTTAGGTGTGCTTAACTATTTTTAATTAGCTCGCTTAGCGCGCTCTAGACTAGGTCTTAACTAACACAACGCCTAATATAAATAAACTTAAAACTGCATTTTACTGCCGCAATATAAAAAGGATATAAGAGAAATAATATAGCTGCTGTCTTCTCTTCTATTCTACTACTAAACTTCTAACTACTAAAGTAACTATTAACAAGCTCTTAACAATTAAAAAAAAAAAAAAAAAACTATAAACCTGCCGCCCTTAAGCCTATAAGAAAAAAATAGATTTAGTATATTAATTAGGCAAAAGACAGCAACTAAAGCAATAGCAGAAGAAAGCTATTCTTACTAGAAAAGCTATAGCTCTCTAATATAGATATTTCCTTCTTAGTTCTACAGACCTACTTTATTAAAAAGCATGTTTTAATTTCCTTTACTTAAGGGTACAACACTTTTAAGTGCAGCTATAATAGCGCAATGTATATTAGAACTTGTCTAGCAGCACTAATAATAGAAATTAATAATTAGTAAACATTTTTAAATGTATAAAGTTACTAATTAAAGTAACAACTTACATAATTACTAAAACAAGCGTACGCCTATTTCTAGTGCACCTAAGAATCTTATAGAATATATTAAGCTAGTGCGCACTCTTACTTTTAAGAAATGCATTATAAAATACTACTAGCTTATTAATAATAAATTAATAGTTATAGATAAAGTAAGCTACATAATAGTAGCAGTTAAAAAATACATTAAACAAGACAAAGCTATAATTTAGGCTTATAGAGAGAAGAACTAATTTAATAAATTATATTTTAGTCTAGCCTTAGCAAAAGATTAGAAAACTACTTAAGTTTAAGCCTTAAAGCGCAACTAAGACATTATACTAAAAAGAAAGTAAAAGAAATATAAAATTTATAAAAATGTTATTCTTTTATTTTACCTAAACCTTTAGTTCTAGATTACAGCAATAGAGCATCTATTTTATATTACTTACTAGCTAGAAGATCTGCGCATGCTAGCGCAGCTTATTAACACTATTCTGTATGCTTACATTAGTAAAAGGAAGAACATAACTAAGAAAACTACTATAATTTTAGCTGTAAATATTAATAAAGTATAGAAAGTAGTTTAAGGCCTTAACAATTGTTACTAAAAGGCTTAAAAATTAGGCTGTATTAATGCTTCTGCAAATTTTAGAGTAATAAGTACTTAGTATAAAGATAAATAGACTAAGACAGCAAAAGCTTAGATCTAAAAATTAATCCTGCTGCTAGAAGGCTAAATTTAAATGCTTGCTATAGTATAGATAAATAAGCGCAATCTGCAGATTTACAAGCTATTATACTAGCTTATTTCTAAAAAGCCTACTCTTATAGTAGTAGAAAAGCAGAATTTCTACGTCTAGCGTAGTTCTATGTTACAAGAATAATAAGATAACTAGAAACGCGTAGAGTCTACCTTCTGCGCTTAATTACTTACTGTGTCTTTACTTTTATCTCTTATAGGTTTTATTGTAGAGATGCTTGCAACTACTACTTTAGACGCAAATACTACTAATATTGCTCTTTAGGCATTGTAGGCAAACTACTTTTAAAACTATAATAACTCTTTAAAACTGTAAACTAAGCTAGCAGCTAACACGCGTAGTTGCACTTTAAAAAAAGCTGCTAAGTTGTAAGAAATAGAGGCTTATAGCAGTAATAATAAGAAGAAGATTCCTAAGCGCAGCTACTTTATAACTAGAGGTACGTTTAATAGAGAAGGTAACTAGTATAAGTATAACTAGAATATTTTTTTACAGAGTGCTGTTAACGCACTGCTTTATAGTTATACTATAGAGCTTAAAAAGCTTTAAAAAGGATAACGCTAACTAAGTGTACTAGCTAGATACTTAGCTAGGTAACTACGCAACTAGAAAGATACTGCAATATTTAAATCTAAAAAGTAGATTTTTAAAAAAAAGAGGGATTTGTGCTATAGCAGAACACTTATTACAAAATTTTTCTTTATTACTCTGCAGGCACTTAGTTGCTATTAGATAAACTAATTATTTAAGTGTACTAATTAATAGTTGTACGTGCCTACAGGCACTTACTTAGCTATTACTATTGCTTTTCTTATATATAAGAAAGAAGCTAGGTATTAAGACAAAAAAAGAGCTCTCTTTAGTTTTAGTTTAATAAGCTAAAGCAACAAGAGTATAGGGCAACCTAAAATAGCTGCTTTTTATATAGTATATAAGAAGAAGAAGCACCTAACATAGAAAGATATTAAATATATATAGTATAAAAAACTATCTTACATTTAAAATCTATTATAATACTAGTTATAGTTTTTGCTTTCTATCTGCGTAGCACAGTAATAAGAGTTGTTAGCTTGCTTAGCCTATTTATTACTACAGACCTGTAAGGAGATAGTTCTTAGAGGGTATTTAAAGTAAGTAAGTAATTAAACCTGTTAATAGCTTACAAGTTAGAAAAGAGCTATAGCACAGCATACTATTTTATTATTACTTTTTACTTTTACTTTTATTACTTTAGTATTACTTTTTTATTTTTTTAAGATAGAGTTAAGGTAATCCTACACACAGCAATAAGTAATAATAATAAATAAACTAAAATAACAGGCGATAACTAAAAAGACATTTTAGTATTACTTACTAGTTATTTATAAAACTTAACTAGAGTTCTTTAAAATTTTAATAGTAAGTAAGTATATTTTTAAGCTAAATTAGCTGGCTAAAATTAAATAAAATAAAACTATTTTTTATATATAGGCGTGCGTAAAGCAGCTATTATTAAATTTTAAATTATTATTAAGTTATTAATAATAAGTAAATATATAATACTTTTTTTAAATAAATAAGCGCTAGTACTCTTTTTAGCTAGCTTTTTTTTTAAGTTACTTTTTAGCTTAGTATTAAAAGTAAATACTTTTTTTTAAACTTTTTTATACTTACTTACTTTTTATTATTTCTTTATTAATTTATTATTATAACTTATTACTATATTTGAAATTTAGTTCTTTTAGTTAGTACTTATTATTTTAGTATTTTTATTATTATAAACTTATTGCTATGTGTAGAATTACCTAAACTTTAACTTAAAGAATAAAAAATAAAACATTTAAAATTACTTATTTTTTTAGTTAGTGCTTATTATTTTAGTTTATTTATTATTATTATTTATTACTAGATATAAGATTACCTAAACTTTAACTTTAAATAAATAAATACAAATTTAAAATTACTTTAACTTTAATTTAAAAAAAAATTATAATCTACTAGATACTAGAATTTGCTTTTTTTATTTATTTAAGCTTACTTTTTAAGTAATTCTTAGCACTTAGTAATAAATATAATAATTTTTAAATATAAAATTTAAGATTTTATTCCTTTAATAACAAAGCTAAGTAATTTTTTAAATAGGCAAATTTTAATAAGAGCTAGATTTAAACTAACAGCTTTTTTAAAAAAAATTGAAAATTATTTTTAATAGCGTCTAGGTATTTGCCTACTATACTATCTTGCTAGTAGAATTTACTTAAAACTTAAATATTTATAAGAAAATAATAAAAAAATAAAGTTTATATATTTTTCTAAAGTGTATAAAACTTTTAAGTTATTTAAACTTTTACTATTTTAGCTAAATTAGTAAAATATATATATTTATACTTATATATGCACGTTTGTGCTTATTTATGCTGTTTACTTAATTTTGCAACTTTATAAATAATATTTTTAGTAATGTATATAATGTTATACATGTTAGTCTTAAAAGGGTATATTGAATCTAAATGCATAGACACACTAAAATCACAGACTTTTCCTTGTAGTCCCTTAAACGCCTTTGAACGCCGCTAACTGACATAATTCCCCTGCCAGATGCAACCTCAGTCCTATTCCTCCATTGTATTTACTTCAATGACCTGCTCTGTAGATGCTGTATAGTATGCCCTCATCTCAATTTTGAAATCAGCCATGGCTATCCCAAAGAATTTCAATAACGCAGTTTGATGACTGTTGAGAGTTTGCCCTTCTTTGCATACTGTGTAAGGGGCGTCAAGAATGACTTTGCCTTTCTCCAACTTAGTCGGCATACCCCATTTGCGAACAGTAACCTCTTGACTATGGGGTAGCGGGACATCATCATCGACCGGCAATTCACCGCCTCGTGAATGAACGGTACCAGCTGGAATAGTGAAGGTTCTAGTGGCAGTGATGCCAGCGCGGGCAAAATCGGTTTGCGAGTAGGCAGAAAAGTAATCGATGATGTCCTGGGGCTGTCGGTTCGTGAAGAATAAGCCAACATTGCCTACGAGGTATTTGGAAAGCTTGGAGAGGTTGGTAAGGTGCTCGTCTGCGGGTGTCAGCCCCAGAGCTTTTGCCATGACTTTCGTTTTGCCAAAGAACAGCCTGATGGTATTAGCGATAGTCGCAGTATGGAGGGCAGGTGCAACCATACCGGCAATCTGAGAACTCGGCGCGGACCTCCTTGAGGTAAGAATTGCGCATATTCTCTACGGCAAAAACAAAAACATGCTGGTAATTGTTGGCGGCTTCCTGGACGTCGGCGAAAAGCTTCAGTGATAGCTCTTTGCCTTTCTTGTCGGTCTGGGATAGGTGAACCACCTTGGCGCGCTTCGACTTGGGCATGGTGACGGCGACGTGGTATGGATTGTGCAGTTGGGGGTGGTGATAAACAAGAAAAGAAAAAGATTCGCGACAGAGTTCTTCAAGCACTTTAGAAACCAAACTTTTAGGCGGGGAATTTTGGCGAGACGAGCCTTGGCAACCGCGGCTAGTCTAGCTTGTTGACTGCTCCATCGAGCTTCGACTTCTGTCTAGTTCCCAGCCGGACAAGCAACCAACAGACTTGCATGATGATACACATTGCGCCACGCCATGTTAGATTTCATGGAAAGTGTTCAGAATGCGTTCTATGAGGCATCGCACTGGAATCTCGACAATTCGTATGGCGCATTGAACGCAACGGCACGCGGTGAGTGTGGCGCCTCGAACGCATCTGTTCCATCGTTCGTACTTGTCGATACATCTCTGCTGACTCTCGTTCGACCATAGCATTGCTTGATTTCCAAACACCCAAAGGCCTGCGGCTGCAGATATCGTCGCTCGCTGCTCCGAATTTCGCTACATCATACACGCTGGGGAATGTCGGCGTAGTGGATGGCTCTGTCTCTTACCTTTATTCGTCGTTACCGCTGCACAGGAAGCTGAAAAGCGCCGAACTCGACCTGCACCATGTAGTAAGGGGGTACCGCCATCTGCAAGAACTACGTCGACCGGATGAGGAGTGGTGGTCGGAGATATGGCACAATGGAAAGCGCATAGACCAGAAAGGTGCGGCTGCGCATGGCATTCAAACTGGGGGATTGCCCGAATTAACATATGGCTTCAGATACACTGCTCTATGGCCGCATATTCCTCCCCCAGTCCAGGCTAGAGGCCCTTTACTTACGTCGCGTCACCCCGACCAGACAGTTACGAGTCTCCGCTGTCAGCGACTCCGCCCTGAACAATGGCGGCACAATCCTTACATTACTGCAAAACGATACCGGAAAGTATAGCACCGAATACATGTACAGTACTGATTCTGCTCTCATGGGATTGCGAGGGCTGTACAACTTCGGAGCCGATCCTAGAGTTACGCCTACGAATCCAATCACCACCACACCATCAACGTCCGAAATCGTGCATGGGCGCTTCAGTGCGGGAGCGGAACTCTACTACGGCCTTTTGAATAAGAGTGGTGGTATAAGCACCGGCTTACGTTTCACGACTCTGCCTGACCACACAGGATTCCCGTATACGATGACACTCACCCTAAATCCCCTGATGGGAAATCTCTCGTCCACATATGCCGTCAAGGCTGGTCGCAATCTTGCACTCTGTTCACGGTTCGATTTCAACTTTTACTCGTATGAAAGTGAGCTGCAGCTTGGATGCGAACTATGGCGGCGGCGTCGGAGCACAGGGGTTGAGTGGGCTGTGAAGAAGATGCATTCGGACCGGGAACGAGCGACAGATGCACCCGATGATGACGTTTCCGGCATTCTGAAAGCTCGAGTGGATCAAGCCTGGCGCATTGGTCTGTTGTGGGAGGGCCGCATAAAAGAACTGATGTTCACAATTGGCGCAAGCCTCGACTTGAGGAAAAGGGAGCAGGTCTTTCGAGCTGTCGGTGTTGAATTACAATACTCGTCCTAAACAGAAATCGAACTTGTTCACCGATCAGCATAGCAATCAGATTGTGATTCTGAGCCTATAATCCGACATGGGTCAGGCGTCATAATTGCAGTCGAGTACAGAAGAAAGGGAGAGCAAAAAGCGGCGCAGAAACAGAGGACAGGCTGTCAATTGTTCGGAACAGTTTTGTGCTGAAACACTGTGGCCAGGGTGTAGGCGGCAGAGCGCTTGGGGCCAGTTGTATTCTATACTCTTGCTACAGTGGACCTGTCTCGTTACGCGTGCATCGATATGCGTTCTTTTCCAGAACAGCGACTATTCTCCTATCACATTGCTGCGGGCAACCATGCCTGTCGGGCGTCAATGAAGCTGGGGAGGAACGGGGATACCGTTCCGTAGAGTGTTTTACGGTGGGTGAAACGAGGGTTTAGGGACGGACGCACTTGACGTCGACAACCGATAGGACGATTAGCGGTCGGAATCACCCACAGCGGTGCCGGTCCAGCCGCCCAGCATCTCGATGAGTATTCAACAGCAAACAGTTGAGTATGTTTTTGTACATTGTACATGTGTATACATGCGGCCTTGTCGCGCAGAGCAAGCAAACAAGCAAGTGATTGTGTTTGGGGTGAAGATGGAACGACCTCGGCGAGTGGAAGGGAAGGATGATGCGACAGCGAGCAGGCGGAGCGTTTCCTCTGGGGCGACAGTTACAACACCATTGGCCTCAGGTGTTCGAGTCGGGACAAGCGGCCTCATGCTCAGGCCTTTCTCAGGGCATCGGCCAAGGGCCCGGCCATCCAGCCAGCTCTATTGCCCGCAGTAAGGAGTCTAGGGGCGGGCGTCTGGCGCGAGTGGATCCCTTTTTGTCTTTGTCGAAACAGGGGGGTTGGACGGGGGGACGTGCGTGTGTCGTTTTTCATGCTGAATCGCCTCTCCCTTCTCGATCTCTCCTCACCATCCGTGAGGTAGGTCCCTCAGCGCATGTACATATCCAAGTTCTTTTGTGCGTACCTGTGCAGACGTCTCATCTCCATGTGGCAGCCGTTCAGTGTGTATTATATCATTGGTGACTAAATGTATGGTAAAGTACATAGCGTCAGTGGTAGATGTATACATACCTAGGTATGTAGGTATTCATGCATACCCAAGTACCCCGTGTTTGCTAGTACCTGCTTCGGAGTAAACGTACACAGATAGTTACGTAGTCAAAGTATTCGGCACACATGGTTTTGCTCTTCTCCTTTCCCATTAACTTTGCGCCCGAGGGCAAAAGATAGACGCAACAGGGTACATAGACCCGGGGGCAGTAGGTTCGTATCAAGCCTTGGGGGACTTGGATCGCGTTACAGACGTCGGTCGGGCTGTCTGTCTCTATAGGCGTGCAAAGGCCGCACGCATTCATATGTAACGAAGCCAGCCACACCCAAGCAGTTAGTCGGTTTCCAGCATACCAAAGTACATAGATACAGCACACGCGTATGTAAAGTACTGGTATCCAAGCACTGCACGTACAGACTCAAGTACATAGTCTCCCAGCCGGTTACATTACTTACCGCCGCCGCTGCAGCTGCGCTGTTCGACTTCTTACATACTTCCCTTAGCTCGTGCACGGATCCTTCCCCATCCAGCCTAGCTCCCTCTCGACTGGAAGTCCCCCTTTCCCTAATCTCCCAGCGTGTTCGCTCTTCGCCCAAGTCTTTCATTTCACTCCCGCTTGATCTCCTCAATTCGGATTTCGCATCGTGCCTGTGCGATCTTCGTCATTTTCTCTTTTGTTCATCACTTTCTGCAAAGAGCTGCCACTCCTTTCAGCCTTTGCTCACATTCCTTTCACCTCACCACCTCTTAGGCCTCCGCCGTCCACTCCTTTGGATTCCCTCTCGATTTCACACTCCTTCCCCGCGCCTTCGAATCGCCCACGGCCGATCAGATCGCGACTCCTGCTCCACGGACAGCAGCTTTACCCCCTCTAACGTCTTCTCCCCGCGCCTGGACGGTGATTTTTTACGAGCCCGACTCTCCCCGCGGTTTCCCACGCTCCTTCATCCTCGATCCCGCGAATAGCCAGCTCAAACTCCTCTATTCAAATACCCACCACTTTTACTTGACGATCTTTCACGACATCCCCACATAGACAGACCAAGAAACTATCATTCCCCTCTCCCTTTTTCCACTGCACTTTATACCGCATTGGTCTTCATTCATCCCAAGCATAGCTTCAACATGCAGTCACCCGAGGAGACACAGCCCGCAGGGACGCCTTCCCCCCAGGCGACCGCAAACACCCCAACCCATGGCTCTGCGCCGCGCCGACCTCCGCGCAAGAGCACCCTCACACAACAACAAAAGAATCAAAAGCGCCAGCGGGCCACCCAGGATCAGCTAGTCACGCTGGAAGTGGAATTCAACAAGAACCCTACTCCCACCGCTTCCACAAGAGAGAGAATCGCCCAAGACATCAACATGACCGAACGTTCCGTCCAGATCTGGTTCCAGAACAGGTACGCTGCTCTGCCTCGCATACTATGGATTTAACCCAACCGCCAACTAACAACATACAGACGTGCAAAGATAAAGAACATTGCCAAAAAGAGCATCGAAAACGGTGACGATTGCAATGATATACCAGAATCCATGCGGCGATACCTGGCACTTCAGGCCATGGAATCTGGAAAGCCTATGGGATCGAGCTTTTTTGGTCGTCCCGGTGGATCAATGGCTCCCTATGGTAGCGGCATGCTTCTCAATACCGACACCAGCTCTTCCAAAGTCGGTAAGTTCAACCCCGAGTGAAACATGGTGAATAATTGGCAGCCACAGCTAATCTCTTCTAGTCATACATCACTTTGCATGCCGCTCACTAAGCGTTGGCTCCTGGCGACGTGTCGGACAGAGTGCCATGGACTTGGTCATATTCTATTCACCTGAAAAGGGCTGTGTGACCTATTATATCAACAATGATTCGGCCGGCTACAAGATCGAATACCCCTTTTCCTACATCAAAAACATCACCCTGGAGAATGGTGACGCGAACGGCAACGTTGAGGGAGCCTCACAGCGACCCGGCGGACTAGTCGTTGAGTTGAACAGGCCTCCCAATTTCTTCATGGACTCCTCGGGATCCGGAGGCTTTTTTCAATGTGGGGATTTTACCGAGGAACAGCAAGCTTCTCAGATTCTTGTGCACCATCTGGGCGGTCATCCAAAGGTACTGAGCGGACAGCTCGCAAAGCTCGTGTCGTTGGAGTCGTTCCAAAACAGACACAGCATCTACGATCACAATGTCATCGCCGCCTCTGCCCCAGTATCACCCATTGGTCATCGCCCTGCCTCACAACCCAACCACCTGGTCCATCCGCATATGGGTGTTGGCTTCCACGACTCGCCGTTCGCTCCTGGCGGTCTGCATGCGCGTGGCCACAAACGCCAGCGCAGTCGATCAGTGCCTGTCGCGGTAGATTTCTCGCTACTGCGCAATCCCATGCCATCTTTCCTTCTGCAGCCTGAGCCATCACCTTACTCACCCAATCCGGATATATATTCACCTATTCCACAGAGTGCGCCCGGGCCCATCGGTCCAAATCTCAGCATTGATACATCGGCCGGATACGGAATGGAATATCGTCAATACCCTATGTCAGCTACCACAGCTAACTCACCCTCTGAGTTTGGTACTCCAGCCTTCTTTACTTCAGGTCCGGCTACCGACAACGTGCCGGCCTCGCAATTTGGCCAACATTACAATATACCGCCCTTCATCCACACCCCGATGGGTCCCCCTCCGAACTCAGCTGCAGCCACATCTCCCATGCCAGCAATAGGACATCCCGATCCGATCATCGCCAACCAATCTCCGCCCCTTGGCTCATTTGGTCGGGACAGTTCTGCTGACGTGTACCCTATGTCACAAGAACACGGAATGTCGGACGAAGCACTGCAGATGACTGACATGTATGCGAAGCAAACTCTCAACATGCCTTTCCGGTCTCCTTTAATGGAGGAACATGTCGACGATATGGAAATGCAAAATATGGTGTCTTTCGGCACGATAGACCCTGCCAGCCTTTCACCTGAGAATACTCAGATGTAAGGGACGTGGTCCTTTCCAACGTTTACTCTTCATCGAAATACCCATTTTTTCCATGTTCTGGACTGGACCGGCGAAACTGCAGGGAACCATAATCAGGAATACAGTTCCCTGCTTGTGGTCTAGTGTTTTGTTTCTACTCTTTCCGTTTTTCTAGCTGTGGCTAGGAGAATACTGAATTTTGGCTACATAATCGGTCTCACCCTCTGGTGCATCTCGTTCATAACCTCGCAAAGCCCACTCTCCAAGTCATTCCTTTGATGCATTCGGCACCAAGAGTATCTGGAGTGTTCTCTTTCTCCCCTTGCTCAAACCCTGTTACGCAGATTGAACGACTACTTGTTTGGGTTGATACACCATGGCGTTGTTGGCCGGTGAACTTTTTTACTGTTGCGAGATTTCTACCAATGAAGGGGTCAAGGGGGTGTGGGAAATTTCTCAGGGGGCAAGCCCTTGTTTGCCCTACATCACACGGGCGTGGCTGGCCGCTGGTGAAGACCTTTTTCGATCTTCCCGTTCTTGGTCCATTAGTTCGCCTTTTCTCTTTCTTGTTGTCTTTGCCCTTCTTTTCTCTGTTGTTCTTGTTCATCCCTTTTTTTTCTTCTTGTCCTTTGGTTAGCAATTCTGTTTGTTTCAACGTATGCGGCAACTTGGCTTTTTCTTATTCATCTGTGCTTTGCAATCGAAGATGTGAATGTGTGGAAGGTGGTGGTGAGAAAGGTGTTTGGGCAAACATAGGCAGTGGACAACGGACCGCTGGGCGGACTTTGGGGGTTTACACAAAGTTTATCATGTCAGCTATTGATCAATAGTCTACAAATCCAGCAACAAAGAAGTGTGGGGCATGCGTGATGGGGTGTGAAGGTATGCGAACAGTGAGGCGGCGTTGACGGGCTATCCCAGACGAGACTGAGCATGGCCATGATGTCAGCGATGCCGATTGTATCTAGGCGGAACGTGGTTAGTCGAGGGGAAAGGGGCGCAGGATGGAATCCTCGATTGACTAGCAGTTGGTCGATAGGCAGGCAAGCTGGATGTGTAGCATGGTGACTGTCGAGCGGTGGTGGGTGGGTTTTCCCACTCACTTTTTGATGAGTAAGCAGGAACCACCGACCGACCGGCCGTCCGTCCGTTCCTCCCGCGCCCCTTCCCCTGGCGGATTCGCTAAGCTCTCTCTCTCGCAAGCAATGTGGCGAGGTTCGGTTTTTGCGCGCAATTTCATTTGCACTCGCAACCATCGTAATTTTAATCGCAGGCCACCTAGCTATCTACAACCTAGTCGTCGGCCGATAGTCAATCAACAAAAGCCCCCTTCTTCCCCATTGACAACTGCTTGTTCCTGCCGCCGTCGCCGTCCGCTGCTTGATTTCCTGCCTGCCAGCCTGCCGTTCCTTTGTACGGTACACCGTCTCGGCCACTGTCATTCTTTTTTTCCATCATTCGTCTTCTTCTTCTTCTTCTTCTTCCTCCTCCCTCTCTTCGTAATTGTACCCCTAGACCCTGCGCCGCACCCGTACCTACACATATACATACATTACCGATACCTGCATCTTCTAGCTGGGTAGGTAGCGCCGCCTGTTGCGCTTGCAGCTTCCCATCCATCCATCCCTCCGCCTGCCGCCGGCTGTCGAATCAGCGCGCGTCTTCGCTCTCGATTCCAACATCATTCCCATTGCTACACCCTTTCTTCCTCGCCGCTACCTCTCTTCTCCTCATCTCCCGCCGTGTGCACATGTTTTCCTCTCCACACTTCATCTGCTAATTACCCCTTTTCAGTCGTCCTCCTTGCCTTGCACTCCTTTGCTACCCCTTGCCCGACCGCCTGCTCCCGGCTCCCACCTCAAGAAAGGAAGAGACAAGGACCAAAGACAGACTCAATCGAGTCGACTTCGTATCATCCGCCCCCAGTCAATCACCGCAACATATCTGCGATGCCTGCCCGAAGCATCTATCCGTTCGCGACCAGTTCCCCTACCTCGACCCCCTCTCTCGACGCTCTGAACGAGAAAAAAGATCAACCACGGCGTACATCATTCACCAAAGGAAACAAGTTCACATCCTTGTTCGGAGGCAACTCTCCACGCACGCGAAGCGAGGCCGCTGCATTGCGAGACGCCTTGGTGGCTCAGCAACAGACCCTGCTTGACTCTCCATCACCCTCCTCGAAGCCTCTGCCCACCATCAATCTGACTACCGCCACGGACGAGAAGATGCTCACCGAACACAAGACACTGTTCCAACCCTCGGATCTAGAGAAAGAACGACGTCTTGCGAGAGCTCACGCCCAGTTCGGCCCCCTGGTATCCGAACACCACCGCTATGTCAGCAAGTACGAGGGAGAATTCGGGGACCCAATCGAAGACGAGCCACCTTACTACTTTCTCCTTACCACCTACATCAGTTATCTAATTCTAATCGTATTCGGCCACGTGCGGGATTTCTTTGGCAAGCGATTCCGGAAGGCGCATTATGTCCATTTGGCGGAAAGGGACGGCTACGCCCCTCTGAACAGCGATTTCGACAACTTTTATACCCGCCGCCTGAAAATGAGAATCAACGATTGCTTCGCTAGGCCCATTACTGGTGTTCCAGGAAGATATATTACATTGCTCGATCGCAAATCCGATGACGGCAACTACACGTTCAAGCTGACTGGAACAACTACAGAGACTCTCAACATGAGCTCTTACAACTATCTTGGTTTTGCTCAATCTGACGGACCCTGTGCGGATGCTTCGGAACAGGCTATTCGCAAATACGGCATTTCCATGGCTAGCCCGCGTGCGGACGCCGGAACTTCCGAGTTGACTCTCGAAGTAGAAGACTTGATCGCTCAATTTGTGGGAAAGCCTGCTTCCATGGTTTTCTCCATGGGTTTTGTGACCAACGCCACCGTTTTCCCAACATTGGTCGGAAAAGGCTGCTTATTGATTTCGGACGAACTGAACCACTCTTCGATTCGATTCGGTTCTCGCCTTTGTGGGAGTATGATAAGAATGTTCAAACACAACGACATGCGGGATCTCGAACGAATTCTCCGTGAAGCCATTTCTCAGGGTCAGCCTCGAACCCATCGCCCCTGGAAGAAGATCCTGGTGGTGGTCGAAGGTCTCTACTCCATGGAAGGCACCATGTGCAATCTACCAGCGCTCATCGAGCTGAAGAAGAAGTACAAGTACAACCTCTTTGTGGATGAGGCTCATTCAGTAGGTGCAGTCGGTCCTCGAGGACGAGGTGTATGCGACTTCTTTGGCATTGACCCCGCTGAAGTGGATGTGTTGATGGGTACGCTCACGAAATCATTTGGTGCGAACGGCGGCTACCTTGCTGCCGACAAGGAAGTCATCCAAGCTATGAAGACGCAAAATGCTGCCATGCTCTTTGCTGAGACCCCCACTCCATCTGTCTTGGTACAAATCGCGTCGGCCCTGCGCATCATCAACGGTGACCTCGTTCCGGGTCAGGGCGAAGAGCGCCTCCAACGCCTCATTTTCAACTCTCGCTATCTCAGGCTTGGTCTGAAGCGTCTGGGATTCATAGTCTACGGACACGACGATTCTCCCATCATTCCTGTCATGCTTTATAATCCTGCGAAAATGCCTGCTTTCTCTCACGAGATGCTCAAGCGCAAAATCTCCGTTGTCGTAGTTGGGTACCCAGCTACACCCCTTGTCTCGTCGAGAGCACGCTTTTGCATTTCCGCAGCTCATAACAAAGATGACCTTGATCGGATGCTCGCAGCTTGCGATGAAGTTGGCGATCTGCTTCAGCTCAAATTTAGCAGCGGTGTCGCCGGTGGAGCTAATCCAGAAGAGGTGCCGCCTCAAGATAATGGTGCTGTTCTCGGGTGCCCTCCCCGATGGAAACTCGACGAAGTGATCAAACGAGGCGTAGAAGATGTCCAGTTTCCTCTTCGATAAATGCGGGGAATTCAGACGAATATAAGGCACGGCTGGCCGAGTCCTGGGACTGCATATGAAAGGGCAAGTTGGGAAAACGAGCTATACCGTTTGTCGCCGTCTTCTGGTACCACTCTGCGACCATAATCACATGATTCTGGGATTATCTGCTACCTGAAGTGGGGGGCGTGTACAGATCAAGGATGGGTGCTATGAGTCGCGGCCTCACCACCGACCGAGCTCTCGGCAACCATCAGGGCCTCCTTCCGTTGTGGACAAGTGAGACTGAGTGGCCATTTGTCTGCTTCGTTGAGGGAACGCTCCTCCTATGTACACATGCCCGATTCAGAAATATTTGGTTCTTTTCCTTTTTCCTAGACCATTGGCTGTTGTAAATTCCTTCTCGAACTGTTACCACTAGCAAAGGTGTTTTCAAGCGTCCTCTGTATTGATATTTTTCTCCGTGCATTATACCTGCATATCCTCGCCAGGTTATGTTGTCTCTACTCTTCCATCATAATGGTATCTGGCATGTAGATGTCTGTTTTTTGTTTCACAGTTTCTCTCAACCACTTTGGCTGTCCTGCTAACCATCACTATTGTGGCGAGGTTTCAGACGGATATTCGCGGGAGGCGCAGTGGTAATAAAGAATTAGGAACTGCCGTGGAACCTTTGGGGAACTGGATGATTGCAAATGATAAACAACGAGACGACAGAAGGGACGAGCTCGGAATCGGCACAGAGATGATGCTGAGTCGTCGAGGCCATCGCATCCTCCTGATAGTAATATCCAATAATTATATAGTGAGATGATAATTTCAGTTGTACGACATAGCGCTGTATCCCAATGTCATCTGTCGACCATCACCCTCTTGCACCAACCCTCGTGTGCTTCGCATCACAGATGCTAGAGGTCGTCCTATGAATGACAAAACCATCAGCCCCCGCAATCAGCCATTATCATGCTTGAACATGATATTACACCCAATCTCCGGTTGCATCGTACATGGCGGTGCTTTCATCTGTGACACATTCTTACGTGTGGGTAAACCTAAAGTCGCATATGGTGCTGCAAGGCTGCCGAGCAAGACTGCTGTGAGACGGTGGTGGTGGTCCTCTCATCTTTACTCAAAACTGATGGAAGCATTCCCGTGCTCAGAACGAGACGAAACTCACCAAGCAGCATCTTCTACCTTGGGATTGAAACTCATTGGTTCCATGTGCTTGCCGGTAGAGCGAATACGACACGGCGCCGCGTTGCCAATCCCTTTGGTGAGGCGGCTTATTGCCTCGATGCTTTTCAAGGATGAACCTTCCGGGGAGCGTGGCGTGTGTGGTGACGTGGAGAATGGATGCTGTGACCATATGCTAGGATATGCAGACGAAATGGTCAGGAGGCACTGTGAACAGCATCCGGTGGAGGAACAGCCGGTTCGTGGGAAGAACGGTCAGAAAGAACAGGGAAACGGAGGACCGGCAGCAGTGGATCACATGGATCGAACCTATCGGGTTCGACCTCAGCCTTGTGGCAGCTTAGACGCTCGAATAAGATACTGTGTGTCTGTGTATGCGTGCATAAGGCTGAGACAAGCGTCCAGGGCGATGAAGAAGATCCGGTGTGGTCAAGCCGTGCGTACATGGTCTTGATAAAGTGGTGGATGGCGATTGGTAAAGTGCAGTCCAGCTGCAGGTAGGGGCGTCGTCCTCGCTCAGAACGAGAAGTGTCGTAATTCACATCACGTCTGCTCAGCCCTGAGATGGGACAGGCCTCTATGTCGACTCATGTTGATGCGGTGGGCGGTTGCTCTCTGGCACTTCCAAGAAGCGTCTGTCTATACTGCACTGTGCATGGTGACCATCTACGCAATGACGGGACAAAGAATGGACAGGCAGGAGGCTAGACATTCTTCTCGCCAGCTCTGCGTGTACGTTGAAATAAACGTATGGAAGGTGGTTGACCGTGGGCCGTTGGCTGCTCAGTGACAGCTGCGGTGCGGGGCCACAGCCCAGATAGGTAACCAGCTAATATCACAAACACAACACCATGGCGTCCATCTAAACGACCTCGCTTCTCCGGCGTTGAGAGGCGACAATCTTCCTTATACTCATGCACGGTGAACATGCATTGACCCAAAGCAGCAGCCGGTGGTACCAGGGAGTGGATGAAGCATCTGCAACTTATCCACCACCCGTCCGTCGTCAGCTTCGAGATGAACGGCGAGTCCGGTGAGATTCCAAGGAGCACCTGCACCAAGTCCAGGAGTATCTGTCTCTGAGAACAGCTCGTTTGCTTGCGGTTCTTGGCTTGAGTCCTGCTACGTCCGGTGGCTGTGGCCGGTCAACCAACACGTACACGAGTATATACGGGGCTTGCGACACCCTGGCACGACTCATCCATCTTGCCCCCCCCCCCCCCCTGGCCGCCAACTACAAGCCGATAAGCCTATTAGTCTGCTCTGTATTTCGCTGTAACATTCATGGGTGATCGGGACGAGCTATCATCTTCATTGGGGACACAGTCACTAGCCTTCTATATATTCTGTTCAGATTCCAAGTCTTTTCATATTCCCAGGCACATTACATTCATCATTCATGCTACCGTGGAACTGAGTGCCGTCAAAGCTTCCGTCGACTTTCAATCTTCTTGACAGACTTTCCCTAGAGGGAGAACAAGGCTATCGAGCAGTCATCATTATCCATTTCTCCCATCATGACACATCAGATCCAAGGCCCCTTCCCACCACCACCACCGCCTCCTCATATGCATAACGCCAATCCTGACCAACATCTCGGGCGACCATCCATGCCGCATTCACATTTTGATGGTCCCAGATTCAATAGTCAAACGTCTCTTTCCGACCCACAATTGTCGGGATGGACCATCGAAAAGCCATACAACGCCGAGACCTGGGAAGCAGCCCAACCCAGACAGCTGCATCTTCCCTTTGAAGACCTCAAAGATGAAATTTCCAAGTTTCGACGAAGACAGGTTTCCATAAAGGATACACTCAATACGATCAAATCTGAGACCGCACGCAATATGCCCAACCGAATTGTCGAGGAGCAAAACGAGATACTCTGGCAGACCAACCCGACCATTCAGTGGACAATCGCGAGCATATACGTTGTCAAAGACGTGATAAAAGACTGGCCTAGCAAACAAAGAAAAAAGCTTCGACGCGTCGATGTCTTCCTTAGGACAGAACCTCTACCAATGTCCAAAGTTCCAAGAGAGTTTGGTATGACGGGTCAAGATCCCCGTCAAATGGGTCGTAATCGGCCAACAGAACAGGCGCACCGTGGTTTCCAGAATCGAGGTATACCGCCTATGACTGGTCAACCACCGAACCATTACCCACATGACAATCAGAATGGCAATGGGACCGTTCCTCTCCTCCCGCCTCCCCCGATGGACCATCCAATGCAACCACAAGTAGTACAACCGCTCCCAGCATATCAAGCACCGCGACAGATGACCGGCAATTTCCCGCAGGGGAATGTATTGCCAGACAAGCACGGCAAACAGGACTTCCGTGACAAGCAAGGCAAGCTCGACAAGCACGTCAAGCACGTCAAGCACGACCATCACGACCATCACGACAAACACGACAAACTGGAAAAATCCGGAAAACTCCACAGGCAATCTATCGAGATCATAAGAGTGAACGATGAGAAAGAATCAAAGGGTAAAGGGAAAGGGAAAGGTGCCCGAGGCGAAGTCCACGCCAAGCAACGCATCGACTCCGACTCTGACAGTGACTCAGATTTCAGTTTCAGATCGGTCGAGGAAGGTGCTTATGGTCTTATTGAACGTTCGCAGAGTCGTAGCCGTCGTCTTAGTCGTGATCATGATCGCAATCGTATAGTTAAGCACAGAGACGAAAGTCGAGGAAGATATAGCATGGACCGTCCTCCCATGGGCAAGTACTCGATGTCAAAGGATGCATCGCCCCGTTCTTCGTCGAGCGTCATTCCACCGCAGAATATTTTCAACATCCGCATTGACAACGACACCGAACGTGAACGCGCTGTTGATGTGACTCGTGAGCAATATCACCGAGACGCACGTCGATCGAGCCATTCCATCTCGCCAACTGGTTTCTACAATCCATTTAGGTCGCGAAACTCCTCTGTCGGAGACAGCGACACAAGCTCTTACATCGATAGCGGCTCTTCAATCTATTCTACTGCCGGCGACAGTGTCTTTTCTGAGCCTATCATGATGCGAAAATATCCCCATTACCGCTCACGAGCACCGGCCTACTTGGAGTTTGATGATTATCCTCGTCTGCGTGATAGGGGTCCTTACTATCACAACAGTACCAAACCGCCATCTCCATCTACGTGGCATGCTCGACCCTCCAGCCGTCGTCACAGTATGCAAGTTGATAATCGATTTGCGGCATCTCGCGCACCTTTCCCGCGCTCAAACTCGTACGCTGACGGGGATTCTCGGGATATGAGATATGTACATCCCATACCTGGATTAATCGCCCAAAGCGAGCGCGATCCGTACGATATGCGAGATTTGGCGGATGCTGTACCTTATGTAAGTCACAAAAGCAGGAGACGAGGTGGGTCAAAGGGATCACTACACGATGAATGGGCGCAACGACCGCGATATGATACGAGGGGCTACCCAACATATGGGGGTTATAGACATTAACGAGTCTTCTCTTTCCCCTCTTTCGATTTTTTTGATGGTTGCGGTTGGCAGGCCGCTGTAGAGCTGCATGAGCCACATTTTCCTAGAGCTGCCTTCATGTGCAGGGCTGGTGCAAGCCAAAGCAAACCACGTCCTGCGTATGTACAATGTTATGTATTGAAATGGAGTAATCTACTTGGTCAATTCGATTGAACTTGGCTGATTGGCTCAAGGTTTTCTCCTCTATGCGAAGTGATGGATGTTACTTGAGCATCTACATACATATGTATGTATCTCATTATCATGCCTGTCATGCTTAGACCAGACCTGAGTCGACGCACTTTACGGCGATGATGTAACCCCAATTGCCAAAGACCGCAGAATTCGATATAATTGGGTCTGTCTGTCTCCATACAGCACCGCAATGACGTACCTGAATGGGTTGAAAATTTGCGGGTTTGGCCCGACCACTAAGTTGGCGTAGGATTGCTTTTTTCGGTTTGGTAGCCAGTAAACCAGTTGCCGCCGCGAATAGATCACCTCACCTATAGATGACCTAGCTGCTGCCCCTCCAACCCCCCACCATCCAAACGCGCCAACGCTTTCGAGCTCAACAATACATACCCACCACACTCGCACATCGACTTCTCCTAACTACTTACCTACTCGAATCTCTGAACCGTACTATCGCACCTGAACCCTTCGTCTATCCCAGAACACACTGAAACACCGCCAAAATGGGTCGCCAATTCTTCGTCGGAGGCAACTTCAAGATGTATGTTCTCGCTCATAGCTGAGGGACTGATTCCTGTTTGCGGGCACAAGATGAGCTGACACAATGAAGGAACGGGACCATCAAGTCCATCAAGGATATCATCCAGAACCTCAACGATGCTAAGCTTGATCCCAACACTGGTATGTCTGCTGCCACACCATCCTTCACTGCCCTGCAAGCAATGGCTGACTGGGCATAACAGAGGTTGTTATTGCTCCACCCTCCCTTTACCTCCTCCTCGCTCGCGAGCATCTCCGCAAGGGCCTCGAGGTTGCTGCTCAGAACGTCTTCGACAAACCCAATGGCGCCTTCACCGGCGAAATCTCCGTCGACCAGCTAAAAGAGAGTGCCATCACCTGGACCATCTTGGGTCACTCAGAGCGACGGGTCATTCTACAGGAGGACGACAGTTTCGTTGCTAGCAAGACCAAAGCTGCTGTCGATGGCGGGCTCAGTGTCATTCTATGCTGTGGCGAGAGTTTGGAACAGCGCGAAGCAAACAAGACCATCGAGGTTGTGACAACACAGCTCAAGGCCGTGGCAAACAAGATCCAGGACTGGAGCAAGATCGTCATAGCTTATGAGCCTATCTGGTCAGATCTATTCCCTCTACGCACTTCTGTGGATCGCTTCTAACATACTACCAGGGCCATTGGTACCGGCAAAGTCGCTACGACAGAGCAGGCACAAGAAGTGCACGCTGCCATCCGCGAGTGGTTGAAGAAAGAAGTCTCTGCCGACGCTGCCGACAAGACTCGCATTCTATACGGAGGCAGTGTGTCGGAGAAGAACTGCGCCGAGCTGGCGAAGCAGCCCGACATCGATGGATTCCTCGTGGGTGGCGCTTCTTTGAAGCCTGCTTTTGTGGACATTATCAACGCCAACCAGGCTTGAATCCATGGTGGGAGTCCTCGACTATAAACTCTTTTAACGCTGTATGATGAACCGCTTCGTTGATCGCGTGAGCCACGCAAGCATGCGTGGACTCCAAAATTTCAAGTAGACGAGAAAACAAAATTTATGATGGTTGAGAGCCAAACACAAGCGGCCGTCGATGTGATCTTTCATACCATGTTGTACAAACTAATATACACCTGCAGCCCATTCATATGTACGCTGTGCTTATCAACGCTACAGAGGAATCTCCAGGGCGGCTCGAATGCGGGCTTCGCACTTTCACATTTCAAACCCAAAAGCGAAAAATACCATGACCCTATATCTGAATTTTTGCGCCATGGAACGGACTCCAGATACCCCTAACGCTCTCGTTGATACTAGTGACCGGTTTGTTGTACTTTTGGTTCTTCTCGCCGCTCGCATCCCGCAGCAACTCTGCCTTCTCTCTTATGATGTCGTTGGTCATGTTCCGCACGCAGATGGAGCGTTGGTTGCCGTTGATGTAGTGTGCTCGAATGACGGGGTGCTTCCTGGGGCGAGGGGATACTGATATTTCGATGGAGGGGTTGCGTTTGGCAAAGGCGGAAAGGGAGGATTTGAGGAAGGCGTTCATACCGCGCGAGGAGCCGGCCCAGTCGCAGTAGTGGAACTCGAGTTTCTTGCATTGGAGAATGAAGGCCCCAACACCATTCTGTGGACATTGTCAATTTTTCCAACAGAAAATAAATGGGCATTGTAATATACCTGAGGTTTCGCAACCGTTCTAAGGGCTGACAGCGGCATATTGGGTAGGCGCGTTGGAGTGGAGGGATGAGCAGTCGGCTGCAGGTCCGCCCTGAAGTTGGTCCTTCACCTTCAAATTGCATGTAGGGTCGCTTGGTCACGTGTTAGGCAGCTATCAGTCGTCTTTCGCGCTAAGATCCGACCATGACCCCCGTAGCACAATTTCCTTCGGCATCACTACTCCTCTTTCCTCCACCCATTTCCGTCACGACTTGCTACAGAAGCAGCCTAACACCATGACAGACAAACTCCCGCCTATGCTGCTGCAGCTGTTCGCCCCGCGGCCACCACTGCGCTGGGTTGAGCCGATTGACCACGCGCCCGAGAAGCGTCAGAGTGCGAACATAGGTGGTATCGGCCAGTTCATGCAAGCTATGCGAGACTACAAAGACAACGATGGTTACGTGCCGTCCGACAGTTGGTTGCAAAAGCGCGACCGCAAGAAGATGGAAAAGAAGGAGAAACAAGAGAAGCTCGTGCAAACAGCTGCTCAACAATGTACTGCATCACTACCTTGCGCCCACTCATACGCGCTCCGTAACTCGCTATCTGTGCAGTAACTAACACTCCTCCAGACAAACCCAGCGAAGACCCCAAGATTCAAGGGGATGCTTTCAAGACGCTGTTCGTCTCGCGATTGTCTTACCACGCGACTGAGGAAGACCTTGAGCGCGAATTTGGCCGCTACGGTCCAATTGAAAACATTCGTATCGTCGAAAACGTCAAGGCCGCCGCCGATGCCCCATTGAAGAAGCGCAAATGCGGATACGCTTTCATTGTCTATGAGCGCGAGAAGGATATGAAGGCTGCGTACAAAGAGACCGACGGCATAAAGATCAAGGATCGCAAAGTCATGGTTGATGTTGAGCGCGGTCGTACCGTCTCTGGGTGGCGACCTCGCCGTTTTGGAGGTGGCTTGGGTGGGCGAGGCTACACCAAAAACCAAACTGCCCGTCCAGGTGGCTCGGCCGGATTTGGCCCTCCTGCCGGTCCTGGTGGCTTTGGGGGTCGAAGCGGAGGGTTTGGAGGGCGCTCAGGTGGTTTTGGAGGCCGTGGGGGAGGTGGCGGCGGTTTTGGCGGCGATCGAAATGGTTTCCGAGGCGGTTTTGGAGGAAGTGGCCGCGGGGGTGGTGGGTATGGGGGTGGCCGCGCAGGTGTTGGCTACGGGCCTCCTGATGGAGCACCTTCCGGTCCTCGGGGTGGACGAGGCGGTTACGGTGGTGATCGCGGAAGTGGAGGTCGCTATGGGGACGACCGTCGCAGCTATGGTGATCGCGACCGCGGATCCAGTGGCGCAAACAACGAGCCTCTGGGTAGCAGGGATAGGTTCCGAGATCGAGGTGACCGAAATGACCGAAGTGACCGCGGCGATCGTGACCGCGGCGATCGTGATCGCGATGGTGGGTATGGAGGTGGTGGTGGTCGCGATGACTACAACTCTCGAAAACGCGGATACGAGGGTGACAGTTATGACGATCGGAGCCAGCGAAGGAGATACTAAGCTACCCTTGGCTGCCCAGTACGTTCATAGGGTTTGTCAAAGATCACATTTCCTTGGCCTCCGCATCTAACCCTTCCGGAACTATGAGGGTAAGATCAGCAATTCATCTTCATGGATCACCCTGCGGAAGGGTAGGGGCGACCCGATGGCTTTTACTCACCAGGCCCTTATCTTTTTCCAACACGGCTCTGGCAATTGGCATCACACCCACATTCACTCGTCTCTGTATACCATACCGCGCATGATTGTGAAACGGCGGGGTACGGACGCCTTGCAAGCTTGCCATGAGAGCGAAGGTACTCATGTAGAGAAGCATTTTCAAAGGTCGCCGTTACGATTGAGATGGACTCGAACTCAGGAGACGGTATGGGTAGGGCTAAGGTGAAAATTTCTTTTCTCGTGTTCCACAATGTCTCAGGTTCTTCCCAAGTCTGTTTCTTCACTGTTTTATCATTTGCTATTCTCGAGGGTAGGTATGTAAGTATAATCGCATCTATCTGTGATAATAAAAGGTAGGATCTTAAGGTAAGGAGCTACTCCTCCCTTTACGATCTTCCTACGTCCAAGACTGTCGACGGACTTTCCAATTACTCCTTGTGCATCATGGTTTCTCAAGGCAGGGGCTCAAGTTTAGCTCCAGCACATCTTGTGAGCTGTACCATCAGTGGTGACATTGTGTAGATTTTACAACCTATAATACCAACATCTCGTGATTACGTAGAATCAATTCACTTGTTGCGGGTCTACCTGCATGCACTTGTTGAGTGCACCAGCATCTGATTTATTGATGTTCTTATTTGAACAATACTATTGGGTGCAGGAAGTGTGCTAACACAAGCTGTATGGATGATAGTACAGCAATCGCCAGCGCCAGCGGGCCCGGTTGCAGACTAAACGCTCGCTACGTTCTGAGGTCTCACCTCCATCTCATATTAACCCATCCCCACGAGTCCCCTCTCCCCCCAGAGAGTAGGAAAGTGAAAGATCCGTTAGTTTGACGCAAGGATGTCCAATCCTCATCAGACTTCACGCCACCGTCCGAGCGTCTCTGGCCTGTCTCTCACACCCTCGACTCAATGCCAACATTACCATTCCCCGCTCGATATCATAGCCATCCAACATTTCTGCTGTCGCAAATTCTACGCCTGCGCAAAATGTCACGAAACTCTGGAGACGCATCACCCGGAGGTTTGGCCACGCGACCAGAGAGAGGCAAAGGCGGTCCTGTGTGGTAAATGCGGCCGCGTACTTGGAGTGAATGAGTACATGGCATGTGGGAGCCAGTGCCCCGGCTGTGGTGAAGGATTTAATCCAGCGTGTAAAGGCCATTGGTCATTGTATTTTGAGATGGGAGATGATGGGGACAAATAATAAAAGCGATGGCGGTCGGTGTATGGGCTCGCTCGAGCAAGTGAGGCTGAGCAATGGGTGTAAGGGGAGCTGGGGGTTTCTTCTTCCCGCAGTAAAGATGAGGCAAGAACATACTTGTGAGAAACTAAATACAACGAAGGATTCTATTGACCTCGTTGTCAGAAGATCGAGGATACAGTATCCAATCGCCTACCCTTGCCACTAGTATTCAACCGTATTAGTATTTACTACATCGGTGTTGTACGGTCTTCAATAGATGTGTTCAAAACCCCCATACATGGTGGAGATGATGAAACTTACAATCATCAAATGTTACCCCCAACTCAGTTCCGAACATCGTACCCGGGGATGCATGCGGCCTCAGGTACATGACAAGATCAAATTCGGCTAATCCTCACGCTGGTTGAATACGATAGCCCGATGTCAAGCCTGCAATCGCTTCATTCGCTCAAAGGCAGAAGCGAATTCAGTGTAATCCCATTCATTTCCATTATCATCCTCGACAGCAAACCTCAGGCCATCCAACCCTTGCTGGTCTTTTGCTGGCATTATTTCCATATGTAGCATATCTCGGAGCCGTTCGTCTTCCATGGGACAGTTTGCTCGTAGCCACAAAGCGGCCATTTCAATGCGCTGCTCGCTTGTCTTCCGCTCGACCATCATGAAGGCTGGCCTCCATGTCCGCCACAGACTTTCAGACTTGATAGGAGATGTCAGACTTATAAGGCCAGGGTAACGTAGAAGGAATTTTGTGCTGGCATCGATGACGTTTGGCCAGAAGACGCGTCGCCACCAGTAGCTCATATCAATCAGATTCTCGCTGTAGATGCGGCGACTAGCTTCCACAGTGAATACGATATGGCGGATAAGAGAGCGGTAGAAGATGGCAAAGTTGGAATTGACCATGGAGAAACTGAAGATATTATGCCCGTACAAGATAGGAGTGCTCTCCGCATGGATCTGTCGGCAGGTCCTCACCAGAGGGCTGGTGATGATCCTACCCAAGCGTTCTGGTTCTGGAGGACCTTGCCCTTTGTATCTGATGGCTCTTCCTTCCAGGTCCTCTTGCGCGGCGTGAATGTACGCCGATTGTACGAAGATTGCGCCTGGCGCTTTCAGAGCATAGATGAAAATCGAATCCCGCAATTCGCGTGGAAGATCCAAGAACGAGATTTTTGATGCCTCTTGTTTTGAGGACGAAGTCCATTCTAGAACTCGAGGTCGCTGTTGCCTTGATTCAGTCCCAATTCTGACCTTGTACCAGAGTCAAAATGAATGCACCTACCATAATCGAGCCCATATTTGTAGATCGAGATACCAGCGTCAGCTCTCCGGTTTACATTTACAAACAAGTGCCAATGACTGTACCCCGCAATGCTGACAATGGATGTGCGAGAGGTCAACTTGATTTGTCCCTACTCACGTGATTCAGTCTCCGGCCGGCTGACCCCCAATCTAGGCGTGGTCTTGGCGTTAGCATCGAGCGCTCAGAGACCCCTCCCATCAACATTTCGACGTCACCATAATTCTGTCTGCAGAACAGGCCATCACTGGAGACTTTTTGATGTAGGCAGCTTGTGTATGATGCGTATGTGTAATCACTAACCGTGCGCTGATCAAGGAACTCCTTCCGGCGTAATGGAAAACCCTCTTCTTGTGAGCCCTGTCGGTTGAACAAAACAAAATGCGATCATGCTGTTCCAAAGTGCGATCGTTGCGTTCAACGAGGTATTGAGGAGCGATGCTTCTATCATCCGGCCCCGCTGACAAAGTCACGAACGGCCGACGGCGAAGAAGGCAATCAAAGAGAGCGTCTAAATACTTCACGGCCAGCGAAGAGGAAGTGAGTCTTACCCGCGGCCTTGTTAACGCTTCTATATTCCCATGAAATAACACCTGTAGGAGGGTCTCTGTTTCTATATCTGATGCCTTTGATCGAGATCCTTCTTTGCAGAAAGGGAGATTGGATGATGCGGTTTCCGCTGACATTTATCGTGCTGGCTATTTGGGTCCTACTTCCTACGAGATCAACTTGCCAGACTATGATTCCTCATTGCCCGCCAACAATCGAGAAGCTTCGGCAGAGCCTGACATTGATCTGGAGATGTCACACCAGCACCCATTGAATAAACCCATACGTATGCAGATGGGTACTGATGTTTTGAAGACGTTTCGATACTATCCAATCATCCGAGAGTTGATAATGTGGTACTCGTTGCATTGCCAAGCAGGGACGGTTCCCTTGCCGTTCTCGGTCGGGATCATTGATGGCCTTCAACCTATAGTGGATCGCTACAATCTTGCACAATCAGCCCCAAGTCCTCAATTGGTCGGGCTGGTCCTGAAAAACAGCAGCAAACCGTTGGAGATACCGGTCACGATGAAGTCGCGCGATTTGCATGAGTTATGCTCAGGCGAGAATCTGCGATTAGATGCCATTGGATTCGTGCTTGCTACGGCTGGTAGAGCTCTTGCATTCGGATCTTGCACTCACCTAATCAATGAGCAAACCCATCCTGGATTGAGATCGAAAATTGTCGACGAACTGCTAAGGGCCTCAACCTTGTGTATAACCTTGTGTTCGTTGATTACCCCCATAAACGACGTTTTGACGTGGATGCTGCTTGATAATTATCATTTGACGATCATGGTGTGTGGGTTTTCTGGGCCGCCTTCCTGGAGGAGAATCGGGGAGCTTGTTAACCAGATATATGCTATGGGACTCAATAGAGAATCTAATGCACCGGACGTGCCGTCGTGGCTATTGGAGACTCGACGGAGACTCTGTTGCGGAACATACATGCTAGATAAAACAATCTCAACATTCCTCGGGAGACCCATCGGGATGAGTAAAAGACATATTAACATACAGATGCCCCTGGACCTATCCGATGAAACGCTGATGGCAGACGATGGCACGTACACCAGCGCTGTACAGTCTCTGGATGAGAATGGGTGGGCTCGAGACCAGTATAACCGCGCCTCGTGGGCGCGTATGCGCTACATTTCGAGTCAATTTCTCGAGGAAATCTTGGATTTTACGTTCGTGAAAGTTGACAAGAACGCCGAAGAACAACTCCTGTAAGACTACGTCAATCTACAGCGACCCCCAGCCTGCAATGGCCACGAGACCGCCAGGTATATTAACTGTCCTCACTGCAGGAATATCTCGAATCGAATTCATGAGTCGTGGGAAGCATTCCCAGCACATTTGCGATACTGGTCCACTTGCTGGGACGAAGGCGTTCTCCCTTCCGTATGCCTCATGTTGGTTGTCGTACACCAGACTCACTTCTACAACGAGTTCATGATTCGCCGTTTGTTGGCGCAAAAAGAAACCATCACGTCCAACCTGGAGCTTCTTCGTGTATCTATCACTCTACTTACCAACACACTTACTCTCGGGAGACTGCGAGATCGCAATTACGACGTGCACAAAGATTTCATGCTGCAACTCATCCTATTCGGAATCCCCAGTGCAAGCGTCCTGGCTACCGCCTTACAGGAACAGCAGCGAACGAATCATGCCTTTCCGCCTTCCATATCACGCGCCAAAATAATACGAAAAATAAGCGTGCTGATCTCGCATCTGGATGTCGCCGTGCACATGGATAGTGCGCGACCTGGCGAAGCCAATTATAATCTATGTAGGAAGGCATGCAAAGCGTTTACCCGTGTAATAGATAACATCCTGGACCCGAAGATGGGGAGTGAGACGGGAATCACACCAACGAGTGCGGATATCGAGTTTGATATTGGACTTGATCTCGATACTTTTGCAGCACCAGGATTGGATGCTTTTGAGGGGATAGACTACGCTGCGGCGGCCATGGGGGAAGATGGAATCAATTGGGGAGCCGTATCACAGTGGACGCTATAGGTAGTCAGCTCGAGAACGCAGGCGAGTAGAAAGCTGGTGGTTGGGTATCATTGCCTATTTCTTCACGCTACCTCAGCTCAGCTGGCTACAATCGAAGACATTTGGATGTTTGAACCAATCATGACAGTACATAGTCAAAGCACTATGCCACATGATTTCGGCGGTTCATAATTGTCCATCCAATGTAACGGCACCGCTTTCCTCCGTACCGGTGATTGCATTTGCCTACACGTAGAACAAATCAGCCATCATATGGTTCGAATACTCCTTCCTTCATCGGCGCTCCCAGAAATCTGCCCTCGGTCCCTTTTTTGATGCACATGCTCTGGTCAACAGCACAGTCTGCTTCTTCAGAATGGTTTAGCCACCTTCCGCTTTTCCCTCGTGCCCGTCTTCGCATCTACAAACTCTTTCCAGCTCACAGGATACATAGTATTCCCAGCCTCGCTTTTAGCCATGACAACACCTAGTTCGTTCTGCGCAGTGCTCAAGTAATAATTGCTCTGGTCGCCCAAACTTATTACGGTGCCTCTGACCAAATCGCCAACCCGAAAGCTCTCCTCAATCTTGACCTTGTCCTTCTCCGTCGCGCGCACATCCTCGCGGCGAATCATGCCTTGGAAAGGCTCACGACAAACCGAGCCTGACACGACTAGAATCTCAACGGATGCAAAGCGTTGACCGAGCCGTGTCACACGCGCGAGCACTATGCTTTCGACTTCTGGTAATATCGTATCGCCACCGCCGCTACCAACGCCCAAGATGCCCATTGTATCTTGCCCAGCCCCATTGTCTCGTGATACAGAGAGAAGCGGGAGCGGTTTTGATTTGGTAGCCGTTGTAGCCGTTGAAGCTGTGGGTGTGCTTGTGGTGGTAGGCTTGGTTGCAGACGGGGCACGCGTTGCGGTCGAACTGACAGCCCCAGCTATCGACGAGTAGATGTACGATTCGTAGATGTGAGTGCCTGGTCCAGGAAGATATTTTGTTGTGGAGCCGAGAAGAGTGCCCGGGAGGGCGACTGGGGGTAGCGTTTGGGACATTGTGGTTGACGGGCGAATTTTCACAATATATCAATCAGTGGTGGCGCAAGACCAGAGCAGCTCTGTGGCACGAATCGCAGTGACCGACTTCCAATCTTGTGGGGATGCTTGGCGGAAGAGTGAAATGGACTGGTGTGTTGCTGGTTGTTGCGTGGCTGGTGCAGTGATTGAGTGCTAATGTTTTTTTTAACAATTAAGAGGGACTGAACTATTGCGGACAGCTAGCTCGGCTAGAACTGCATATTACGTCACGAGCCTCGCGTAAAACTCCACTTCCATTATGGAGATTGATGATATGCATGGTCTCAATACCTCGTGAAATGCCTTGAGCAGGAAGAATCCCCCTTATCTTTACCTACAGAATCATTGAACCCGTTCATGATAGCTGCTAATGATTATGATGGGAGGCTTTGAAACAAAAGCGCAGAAGCATTCCTGTACCTCTACGTGAAAACACACCAGCCGTTTTGCATAACCCCCGCGAACGCCAAGTGTACAGTCCAACCGTAAATTGCTCCAATCGCCGATTCATGCATTTCCCTTTCAGGTGATCATAAAAGCCGTTGGCGTCGTTGCATTCTCCTACTTTCACGCAAAAGATGCCCCGATGGCGTGTCAAAGATGTATCCCATGCCAAAGCTGTTCGTTTATACAGCTTGGTAGAGGAGGAGTGGCTCTCCAATGTTTTCTATTTCGGGTATTGTGCATTTGAGATCGAAGGCCTTGGATAATACGATTTTGAAAATCTGGTACATGTCAGGAATGCCTTCGTCGGATTGTGTAAAGACAGTTACCTTTTGCACATTGATACTGTGACTGGTACTGCTGAATATGAGACTAGCTTTCATCGCTTTGGCGAACCGTTTTGCCTAATGAGGACAGTCCCGTTAGCGCATTGTGACCTGATGTAGCAGAATACTCACTTGGTTGGAAATCTCTTCTTGCTCTTCCCGCGGGAAGTTGACAAAGTGATCATATTTTGTGCCCACCAGGAAGGGAATGGCCGTCTTGTTGAAACCACGCCCTTGCCGGTACCATTCCTTGATGGAGTTCAATGTACTCTTACGAGTAAGATCGAACATGAAAAGAATGGCGACAGCGTCGTTGCAGACGAGCGGCAGCATATTGACGAATTCGCGCTGTCCTCCCAGATCCCATATCGAGAAGGTGATTTCTGTGTTGCGGATAGAAATTGTCTTTTCCATGAAATTCACACCTGGAAGGATCAGTAAAGCGCAACCGGGTTTGTTCAGCGCAGCGACGAACCTAGTGTTTGTATGTAGTCTTCGTCCCAACTGCCCTCGACATACTTGACCATTAAGCTGGTCTTTCCAATTTGTGCGTCGCCAACCATGCCAACCTTGATGACTACGCTGGTGTTCTTAGTAGCAGCCTCCTGTTGTGGTTGCGCCGGGGCCCGTTGTCCCTGCTCTTGATATCTCACGCCGCTCTCTGAGTTCGGGTACCTGTGGCCCATCGTCGAGCTGGGGCGGGAGTTGGACTGGCCCATGTGTGTCTCCTTGCCGGCATTGTAGTAGCCATGGCGTGGAGGGGTGTCTGCGTCTGAAGGGGTATTGAAGCGTGAGCCATAATTGCCGTCGCTTGCATGGCCATATTGATGATAGGCGGTGTCGGAGTAAGATGTCTGAGGGCGATGCTCGCTCGAATACCCGTTGTTGGCGGCGATGTTGCTATTGACGTGAGTGCTACTCGCAGTGCTACTGTTGAAGTCCGGTAACGGACTCGCGGCAGAGGGATTGGGATTGAGAGTGGAGGCCGTGATGGTGGAGTTCATGCTATCATCCATGTCCATGGGCTGTTCGCTATGTTTCTGCGCCTCCAAAGCCTCGTCGGGCACGTTCTCGGTGGGCGGCTCAATGGGCGGCTCCATAGACGGCTCCATGTCTTTCCTGACTCGAGCGAGGTGTTGTATGCAAACTGCGAGCGAATGGGAGGAAATGTCGAGGATGCAGCGTGGGTTGGCCAACAGGTACGTGCAGTGGGCGCTGAGCTGAGGCCCCACCGCCGCTCTCGTCACTAATAGTCGACTGTCGCGTCAAGACGTGAACGTTGACAGGGCGCGTCTTGCCTATCCTTCTCTCTTCCAATCTCTTTCCCTTTACTCCTCGCTCTCCCCCTTTCCTTTTTATTGTAGCCGGCCGGTGGCGATGGAGCAAGGAGGGAAAGCAATGAAGATGCGGTGGGCGTTGGTTTCTGGGGGTGTTGATCTGGGTATCAATTGATTAATGGGTTCTAGGGCTCTAAGCGTAGGTAACTGCTTTGCGACCCCTCCAATGCACCACCTAGAGGGCCCGTGCACCCCGTGCTAGAAAAAAAATACACCACCAAATTCTACCCAAATCAACGACACACCCGCGAGCCCTCGCCCATTATTCGACCATGGCCAAAAGACCTGCTGACGCAGATGAAAAAGAGCTCGAGGCTATCAAAAATGGGGACCGTCCCATGGACATCGACCAAGACGAGGTAGGCGAGTTCGAAGATGAATATGAAGATGAGTTCGAGAGCGAAGACGAGATATTGGAAGCCGGCGTCGATGGAAGACCCGATGAAGAGAGAGAGGCAGAAGAGAGAGAAGGTGCGTTCCTGTTCAAGTCAACCCACTCGCATGTCTTTCTCACTTGCACATAGACGCCATGCAGGTCGATCAAGGCACCTTCATCCCAGGCCGACACAAACTCTCTGCGGGCGAGACCCTTGCACCCGACCTGTCTACATACGAAATGCTACACACCCTAGAAGCTCCCTGGCCCTGTCTCTCATGCGACATTATACCAGACAACCTAGGCTCAGACAGGAAAACCTACCCCGCCACCATCTACTCAGTCGCCGGCACACAGGCTGCGCGCGGTCGGGACAAGGAGAACCAGCTCATGGTGATGAAGATGAGCAGCTTGTCGCGTATGGAAAGAGAGGACGAAGACGAAGAGGACGATTCGGATGACGAAGGCTCGGATCCTATCCTGGAGACCAAATCCATACCCATGGCCTCCTGTACAAACAGAATACGTGCCCACCAATTGCCGCAGAGCACCTCAGCGAAACCACCGACAACCCTCACCGCGTCCATGACCGAGTCGGGTCAAGTCCTAATTCACGACATCACACCTCATCTGACCGCATTCGACACTCCCGGATCCACCATCACTCCCACTCAAAACAAGCCCATCTGCACAATAAGAGCCCACAAATCAAACGAAGGATACGCGCTCGACTGGTCGCCTTTATATCCCGAGGGAAAACTCGTTACAGGCGACACCGCTGGAAATATATTTGTGACAACACGGACCCAAGGTGGCGGGTGGGTTACCGACACGACGCCATTCACCGGCCACCAGGGCTCGGTAGAAGAGTTACAATGGTCTCCAACAGAGCCGACAGTTTTTGCCTCTGCATCTAGCGATGGAACTGTCAAGATTTGGGATACGCGATCGAAATCCCGCAAAGCCGCCATCAGCATCCAAGTCTCCAAGACCGATGTCAACGTTCTCTCTTGGTCGCACAAGAATGCCTTCCTACTTGCCACAGGGGCAGACGACGGTGAATGGGCTGTTTGGGATTTGTCGCAATGGAAGCCTCAGACGGCAATGGGGAACCAAAAGCCATCGCCTGTCGCTTCCTTTAACTTCCACAAGGAACAAATCACCTCGGTGGAGTGGCACCCTACAGATGACAGTATCGTCATGGTCTGTGCTGGCGACAACACCCTGACACTTTGGGATCTTTCAGTGGAATTGGATGACGAGGAAAGTAAAGACACAGGAGGTGTACAAGACGTGCCGCCGCAGTTGCTGTTCGTGCACTACATGGAGCAGGTCAAGGAAGCTCACTGGCATCCTCAGATTCCCGGTACGGTCATGGCTACTGGAGGAAGTGGATTCGGGTAAGTCCGGCATTGTCCCTTAAATTCATTCCAGCGTCGTCACTAACATGCATCAGTGTTTTCAAAACAATCTCGGTCTAGATAAGTGCACAGTCAACGTTGAAATATGTTCATGCGTCAAACTTTACGCGCGCATTCCATGTGCCTCACCTGTTTCTTTATCTTCGTTTAAACACGTTGTTTGCATCGGTTTCGCCTAACAACTCGCAAGCAGTTAGGTCTTCTGATCTAGCAAACAAAGAAGTTCCGATGCCATCAAGCCGTGGGCGTCTACTCGGATACTTTCTCTTCTTCAATACATCGACAACCCAGCATTACCATCGTTGCGTCCCTGGATTGTTTTCGACCTCCCGCCGCTTTCTTCTCCACCAGACCTGTCCTCCCACAGCTCTCACGGTCTGCTGTTTCGGTATGTCATCCTCATCTCGACGTACATCAACCTTCCCTGCATACCTGGTTCAAGGGGAAACCTTCAACCATGATGCCTCCACTACAAATGCAACAGCGAGCAATGCTGGGCTCGACATCATCACCCACCCGTTCGCTCAGACATCATCTCTTCTCTGCTCTCCAAATTCGCCGTTCTTGCGTCTCACCTCTAGCGAGCATGACATGACTACATGGAAAGTTTTGTGTAGTTCGACGCAAGTCTTTCAATTATATTATTCAAGGGCCGAATGCTTGGAAATCACATGGAATGGATATGTGAGATACGAGGAAAGTAGGGAGCGGAGTAGTATCTTGAGAGAGGAAATGAGTGTGCGCAACGAAGGTAATTGAAGTTATAGATTTGAAGCGCCGTTTGCCGGGAACAGATCTACAAGCCCACTAGAGGAGCATAGAACATAGGCTTGGACGATATCGAGGTGCGAGTCAGGCGTCAAAAGAACGCGTTTAGGTTTTGCGTATCTATGTGAACGTTGGGGATCTATTCTCAGTTTTGTGTCCCGTAGTTCCGAGAGAAGGGAAGCTATGAGACATTGTACGTGCAACCCAACCCAAGCCAGAGTTATCAATCAATTCGATGTCATTTAAGGCACGTATCTAAAATACGCCAGAATTTTTGCGTTACCGCCCTACACATTACCAGATGTATCGTCTACACCACCAATAGGCTCGCTGCCAGCGGTCCTGTTTCCAGAGCCACAAGCGTTAGGACCTGCATTTTCAGCCTGGTCATCGCTAGAGTGTAAACCTTTTCCTTCCGCATTCACAGGTTTCTCTACACTAGCAATCCTAGTAGTGCCTACATTCTTTTTCTCATCTCCATCACACATCGCCGATGGGGTCGTTTCTGAAGGTTCTTCCTCTCCGTCCTCATACGGAAGACCTGCTTTCGATCCGTACATGATTGTACCTATGAGGCCACTCAGCCTGTTCTTCGGCTTTGTCTTCTTCCATTGTCCAACTGTCATGGGCTCGCCGCGGCCACCAGCCATATACCAGAGTCGCTTCGGAAGACGCTCGTCATCGCGACTACTACCACCACCCCTTAATCCAGGCATGACTTCATTGGATGAACATGGGTCGCGAAATCCAAGTTGTTTGGCTCCGATTGTTGATGGTATGGGCAGTATGGGGTGTACGTCCCTGTCTCTTCAATGGTCGATGCTACCACTGCTGCTGCTGCTGCTCTTACTGCTTGTGTGACTTTTAAGAGTTATGATTTCGTTGATACTTTGGACGTTACGAAGTTTGCTAGGTGGGCGAGAGAAGGTCGAAGCAGAGCGGACGTAATATGCCTTCGTAGGCTGCTGCTTGGACACTTCACCAATATCACACAACTTCCTGTCTTCTTTTGTTATATCAACGTATTCGTACGTGGTTTTCAGAGCGTTTGTCAAGGGAAACGCTGGCAAGGATAAAGGCACATGACTGAGAACTGAACTGGAGTATGATGTTTGAGACCCATCTCGTGGAAAAGGACCATTGTCTTGAGCTCGGAATGAATAATGGCCAGAGCGGCTCAAAACTTGGCCAGGTGTTACTCCCAGTCGTCGCGGCTTCTCTGGAACAGGCGGACCCTCAATGGGCCTATAGGAAATGGGGTCTGGACAACCTCTGCCATTGCCCATCACTGTCCTTGGTCTCCCTTTTACCCTATATAGATCCGTGGTGGGAATTGACTGACCGGTTCGTAGAGTTTCGACATGCTGCTGGTACTTGATGCCCAATACATATGGGTGCTTGTTTGTGCGCGATGGTGGCGACAAAGTGTGAAGTTTTGGTCAACTACGTCTTGGTGCGCTGCTTGATGCGGCAGTGTTGCACCTCAAGGGTGTCGTCAGCGAGGGTTGTGACGATTTGATCAATCGACTTAGCACTGGGATCCTGTTTAGTCTGGCAAATTTCGACCTGCGCTCGGTATTTGGAGGGGCGGTTCCACGCCTCATGTTTGACATTTCAGAGGAGGACTCTAGCGAACAAGGACGACGTGGCTTTACATATCCTGGATCTGCGAATGGATTGTCTGCCAGTACTGATGGAACCCGATACCATAAGATTTGAGAAGAAGCCATCACAATGTTAGATACTGAAATGACATCCCCGGGTCGCATTCCTTGATTTCCACGGCTCCTAGGCGACGAATGGTCGGCAATGTGAGACTGTAAACTCTCTGAACGAGAGGGCTCACAAGAAACAAGCGACGATGATTCTTTGCTAGTCCAAGGTGTATTGAATTCACATGTGCAGGCGTGCCTGCCGTTGTAGGACGGAAACGATATATAGCACTCTGAATCGTAAGGGCCGGGATAGTCTGGTCGAGTTGACATGGACGGAATGGGCTTTTCGTGCAAATCTTGGTGAATTAAGCCACCATTGCGACCACGTTTCGAATCTGGTGTGGTTTCTGGGCGGGGTCTCTCTTTAGAGGTGGAAGTATTCCATATTACCGATTCCCTCATGTGCCGTAAAAGCGATGGCCGTGGGCGTGGGCGTGGCTCCATTTCGTGTTCGTTTTCAATTTGGATATTTCTTTGTGATATATGGCTCTGATTTGTTGATAATACCCTGATCCTCTATGCGAAAGCTTCATGGTGGGCTCTTCTTATTTCTACATCGTGAGAATATTGGTAAAGAAGGCCGCTTAGTCCAAGTGAATGACAGTCACGTGTAATGCACATTCGTGTCGCCACATTGAAGTGGATAAGTTTTCCATCGTCTCCGTAGCTAATTGCGTGTATGGTGTACAGTTTATTGCAAGATCTGGATGATTGTAGGTACAGTGTGATGTGGCCTGCTGAGACACCACGTAGCGCGGTAGTTTGTAGTTTTGACAGTTGATGTGAACATTTCAACCCGTATATCACCGGCTTTTCATCCGCGGTATTAGGCCAGCTTCGCAGAAGAAGATGCGTAAGATTGCTGGCGGTTTGGCATTGCCGGACATAACCAGATAAATTGAATATCGTTGGTCTGACGCCGCAATGCTTCACGTCATCTATTAGCTAAATGTCAAACCAGTGAATATCCACTTCGTCAATATTCTTGTCAGCGTAGACGCTTTTTGGGTGTGTCCATTCGTCTTCGTTCGCAAATTGGTGACGAACCCAGGATGACTGCGTTGTCATTGTGTAGAGTGGTAGGGTAGAGCCGCACAGTGTCCTGAGTGCATCGTGATCGGTGAATTTGCTGCACGTCCGTCCAAAAACGGCACGCTGTCCCAGATATGCAATGGTCATGCCCTCATGATACAGGTTTGATTTGAATCCGCACTTGATGCAGAGCCTGGCGTCGGCCTGAGAGCCTCCTCGGGCATATCTCCCTTTTCGCATAGCGTCCGCAAATCTGTCATAATTACAAAAGTTTGCACAGCTTTTGCAAGTATAAAGTTGCTTGGAAGCAGCCCATTTACTCTTTTCGGCTTCGAGGAAGTCCTGAAGAGTGGGCTTCACGATGGATCGAAGATATCGGTTAGTTGTCGCAAGTTGGGCTTTGCCATCGATGTCAAGATGACTGAGAATCACCCCAAGCAGCTCATGAGGTAAAGTGCACAACCAAGAGGAACTCATTTTCGGGTAAGTCAGTGGTGTGGACGAAGCGAGAAAGAGGACAAGTGCCCACAGGATCACTAGAACCATGGCACAGAAGATAGATATATATACGTATGTATATAGGAGTCAATGCCGAAACGCGGAATGCGCGGGATCATTGTAGTTCTCTTGTGAATATCTGATGTACGCCCCTAACATCAGATGACTTGATTATCAGAACTCATAAACGAATCAACTGCTCAGCTTAGATTACTGTCTCCTTCCTCAGATCATTTATCACCATGTAACGGGAGAGAGTGATCCAGCCCCACCGGAACCATCTCATTTGACTCTTGTGCGCGGTGGTCATGGCTCTCTGGGCAACCCTGTAGCCGACCGGTGAGCTGGCAAACAGCAACGGTGTCGGGAAATCTCCCGTAGTTTTTCTCCCAAGAGTAGCACCAATCAAAGTAAGTGGCGCGTCAAGAACGCCAACATATTTGCGAATGACGGAAGTAGTAGTCAGCGTGTACAGCTTGATAGGACATTCCCATCCACTATGACGATGCATAAGCGCCTTTAGAAACGCGTGTGACCCTTGATAGAGTGATTTGTGATTCGGGTGAGCAGATATGCCGTTTGCATCAAAAGTGACAATGGCGTCAATGTTTGCTTGTGGAGCATCTTTAGGGGTGATAGAGGCCATCTTGGGGGCGAATGTCAATGTGAGAAGATTGGATATCAGGCGAGGATGCCATGTTACAGACATTGAATCGGGGAAGTTGCTGTACTGGGTCAACACATGTATATATATGCATGCACAGCACGGTATAGATGGTATTCGATCTCATGTAACTTGGGGACACTTACCTGTCCTCGATCACGTGGATATCGTCTGAGGACCGAATTCCCAGCTGGATGCCACTCTTTATCAGTTCCTTCTTTCTGATGTCACCCAGACCATCGGCGTCGCCTGCAGCGTGGTTCAGGGCTGATCAGCATCGAACCGACCCAAGTGCCTATGGCGGATCAAGGGGAAAGGAGAGAAGGGCGCGCATACCACTGCTAAGACAAAGGATTTTGACGTGGTTTCCAAGCTCCGGACGGGTCAAGGCCAGCAGAGTAGGTGCAAAAAACATGGCTTCATCATCGGGGTGGGCAATGAGCAGCAAGATGCGCTTGCCCTGCAGTGTGGGAAACGATTGGCAAAACTGGGAGGTATACAGCCACAGACCGAAAATCACGATAGGGAGGGAGGCCCACGTAACCCAATACTGCATGTTGAGCTGGTGTCTTGCGTCAGCCTAGATGATTGTGTGGATTTGGTAGCAGGTCGTAGTTTGCTGATTCCATCAGTGGTTGATGGTGGTGGTGTGGCTTGTGGCTCGAGCTTGGACCCATACATACTTAAGTAGGTAAGTTAGATGGACAGGTAAAATGCCAGCTTCTTGCTGATCGCCCGGTCACACATCCTCTGTCCATCTCCTGTATATAGCTAACAAACGGATCCTCCACGACTCCACATCCACACGGACTTTGAGCGACATAGCGCTCAGCCTTTTGCCAGTTGAATTGTCGGAATACACACCATGGGTGGCAATCGCAAAGCGCGGCGGGCCGTGGGCCAAACCAGCACGACGAACACGAGCACAAACACATCGTTCCAACCGACCACCGAAATGGACGAAGAAGGCGTCGAGTTCATTCTCCAGCACCCCGACCGCTCTGGCCCTAAAGGCAAGACCCTGTTTGATCTGGCAGAAGAACGGCAAAGAGAGCTAGACAAGGAGACGGGAAGGCAGAGGCCGAGCACGGCAGGCTCTACCGAAGACGCGAACCCCATCGGTCCTCTGGGAGATGGCATCCTCTATTCAATCTCCATGGCTTCTCTTCATGTGACACTGGATGTCATCGTCTTCAATCAATATAGGGAAGCCATCCTCTGGTCCGAAATCTTCACGCGCGCCCTGTCCGCTCTACCCATATTCTTCTTGCTCGTCTACCTTACCCATGTCGACACAGCGAATCGTTTCCCTCTGTTACGCAATCTGCTGTTCGCCATCGGCGGCACTGCTGCAGGTTGCTATCTGGTTTTCTCTGGAAATAAGCATGGCTACTACTACGTCATGAAAGCCGCACCGCCTGTGGGGACCCTGTGGATATGGAGCGTGGTGGAAGTGGATGTGCTATACGCGGCGTTGAATGCTCTCGCTGTTCTTGCATTTGCTCAGTGGAATCGACTCGCCTTCTTCTAGAGAAACAGCAGATATAATTCAATGCACTTTGGATTCTTCACTCCAACCAAGTAGTAACCGCGCTTCTTGGTTACTGTCGCACCGATGAGGCTTGTGCGGTTGAAGATTCACCAGCCATCCCACCCCTCTATTCCATGGATTTGTTCGTTTTTCACAGTCTCCACGCGAGGAACTGGTGATATCCTTGCTCTCTTGACCCATTACAGCGTCGATGCCGGTGATGGCTTCAAGTGGACAAATGTCTAATTAGGAACATGGATGTGCTTTTGGCCCAACTCTCTCAGACTCGTCATATCAAGGACTTTGGTGCATGTACAATCGCATATGACTGAGGAAATGAGATGGAGGTACAAGCCAGCCGCTAGCTCTGGATTCTCTTCAGCGGTCAAGGCCGCTGACCACGGAAAGGTATTACAAATTCGCTTTCATATTCCCTGGTGGAGGTTTCTACAGACCAATAGAAGATGATGTCAACTGAGGTCTGTTCTCCGGAGACTTTGGTAGCGAATACTGGTGATGCCGAGTGGTTCGCAGGCCGTGTGTTGGGTAGAGATGATGTGGATTTGGTGCCCGTACCTTGCATGTACAACATGGGGACAGTGCACGTGTTGGGAAACTACATCCACTCACTGTACATGAATACATGTACATGTACATAGACATGTACATAAGTAGGCAGCGAGCACGGAGGCTTTGGTGTCGAGAAGATGCTAACCTTGTTCAGCCACCGCATCACCTTCGCGCCGGTACACCGCTACGCAGCGTGTCAAGTCTGTTGCACATCATTTCCGCCTTGCCCGCCACTCATGGCCGCCTTGGACGATTGTGGCACAGGTCGGGTTGGCCCAGCCAGCAGCCAGTGTATGCCGCTGACAGAATCCATGTCGATACACCAAGACTGCTGCATTGAGAACCTGGACGGGTACCTACATTCGCAAATTGCCAGTCGGTGTCATTGTGACCAACTGCAATATGAAAGCTGATACTGCCGAGACCAACGCGGCGTGACCGCTGGAGCCAACGACAGTCATATCGGGCGCGGCTCGCGGGGGGGTATGGATGCCGTTTGTTTATCTACCTACCTTACTCACGCACGTCGTTCGTTCTTGGCACTCATTCACCTTCACATCCATTCTGCGCTGCGGGCTGGCAACCAAACCCGACACACTCCTTGACACTGCTCCTTGACACTGCTCCTTGACACTCCTTTCCCCATCATACTCAAAACTCTGTCATTACACCGACAATTGCCCCCACATTATCACGACATCACATCCCACTCCTGGGCACGAGGCGCATCGCCAGCCAACAACTAGCAGCACAACAAGACAGCAAACACCTTCATCGCCGTCATTCTGCGAGCCTTGAACAGCATGGCTGCTCGGCCGTTCTTTGCCAAGTCTGCCTTTTCGCGATCCATCATGCTGAAAGGCCTTCTCCTCCTCCTCCTCAACTTGCTTCCGCCAGTGCTGGGCAATTGTTCTGTTGAGACTGTCACCGAGACAACTTGGGTCACTGTCTCGGGGCCCACGGTCGATATGCCGCCAACTCCGTCATCTCAGCCGGTCGCCAGCCCGGAGCCTGCGCATACATCTTCAAGCGTCGGAATATCCGGGGGCCCCGCCCAGACTACCAATATCGACAAGCCTTCGTCCTCGGGCAACGGCGGGATGCCAAGCGCAACGTATAATCCTCTTCCAAAACCAGCAGCAGCCATTCACGAGGCACCACCCAACTTCAACCGCCTGATTCCATTGCCCAATACAGGCTCCATTCGTAACTCTTGTGGCTATGACGTCTATGTCTGGTCGGTAGGATGTACAAACTCTGCTACCAACGTCAAGATTAATGCTGGATCGACTTGGACCGAGCCACTCCGTCGCTGCAACAACGGCGGCGTCGTCTACAAGGTTTCCAAGAAAGAAGGCGATGACCGTGCCGTCATGCAGTTTGAGGCTGGCCTCTATCCAGACCAAGACATGGTTCAGTATGACCTGAGTTATCTCAACTGCATGGTCCCGCAAACGACAGATCTCAGTGCTTGTGCTGGTTGGGAAGGCGGTCATCAAGCTGTCTCAGGCAAGGGCTGCCAGGTCTTTGTCTGCAATCCCGGCGAATATTGTGACGGCAGCAGCTATACCGTCGCTGAGTTTGGCAATCAGTTTGGCGGCCTCGTGCACCCGAATGCTGGATGTGCTTCAACCTACGGTGTTGCATTCGAACTTTGCGCTTGTTCCAAGGCTTAAGGTATCGATTCATCAGCTCTGAGTAAGTTGATCCCTGAATTGCGGCTACACTGCCATTGTTTTCTTTCGACCTTTTTTTTCGATTCTTCCATACCCAATTTTGCTTGAGGACGAGTGTTTTGACTTTTTTCCTTTTTCTCGACTTCGTCCGTCTCTTTTGCGCGGATGGCTGGATGTCCGAGTGTTTCATTTGGTTGCGATGTTTTCACGGAAGGATTCTGGGAGGCTGTACTACAAGTCTCGAAATGATTTGTCTAAGATCGGCTCGTGGTGGAAGTAAGGTGTGCACTTGCACGTGCCCGTAAATCTTCTTCTTTTCCACCAAGGAGATAAAGTGGCTTCGGCGTACAAAGACCTGTCACGCTTTTCAACCGAGAATGAATTTTCTTTTTCCTACAAACGTGGTGACCACAAGATACATGCGTGCAAAATCAAACAGTGTTGCTATACCCCACTCTCGTCACATTGACCTTGAAGTTCACTTGCTCCGCGCAATGCTCCACGAACCATGCCAAAACAGCAATTCCTGCGGCCAACGCAAAGATACCTAAATCCGACTCGATACTTTTCCCCTCGGCAAGCCTTTTCACGATACCCCCACCTTGGTCCAAGGTACAGATGAGCGCCGCCCATATTCTTGTTTTTCGGAACAACAGCAACGTGCCGATTGCAGCATCAACCAAAGGAATGATGGCTAATGTTTCCGGTATGCGGTCGATTTGGTATGCGTATAAAGATGGTGTGTGTGCTCCTTCTGTAAAGAGAGAGAATGCTCCAGCTAGGACAGCACCGCTAAGGGAAACTGTTGCGCCCGATAGAAGAGCTGATTTCATTCCGGTTGCTGAGGTGTTGTGCATCGCGTGAAGTTTTGTTTGTGTATGATTTTCGTTTTGAGACAAGTAGGTAGGATGTCGTAATCTTGTCTAGTCTTGACTTGTTTGACTTGATAAACCCGATGGTCTGTCATCGGTGAACAAGGACGGTGGTAGTTAGTGTTTATATACATTTCTAAATTATGGAGAGATGACTTGTCTGCTGGTTGTGAGGAGAAAGTGGCGTCTGCGGATTCCTGTTCAAGTGGAACTACGTACATCGAATTCAACAACTACTATACCGTAGAAATTGGTATGCGGGGAAAACGCTTTGACTTTCAGTTGCTGTACCACCAAGCTTGCAGCATGATGGCTTGCTTACACCAAAGGGAATATGAGAGCGGTAGCCATCGTGTACTGCATTCTCAGTTGCCACCTGTAGGTTGACCATCGATTCTGAAACAACGATGTACCGACTTCGACGTACTACCTACATCCAAATCTCACGGGCTTCGCCTCAGTATACCAATTGCTACGGTACTACTATAAGATGTGGAATACCTAGTCGCGCATATTGCAGATTCAACTGGGTTGCGGAGTACATCGCATGGGGTAGCGGCCGAGGCTAAATGTTATCGAGGCGTCAGTTGGGCAATAAGCACTACATACATGGAGGGACGATGGTGCATCATGCATGTATTCACGAATCAGAGCGTCCTCTTGATCAGTCTCCGAATTCCTATTCGTGAAGAAGATAGAATCGGTACGCTACTCACCCGGACAGCTATACCCCAAGGCAACATCACCCTGCCTGTCCCACGCAGTGACTACCGATACCCTGCTGCTGTCCGCATGGCTTACACCGTTGCACAAGAAACGTTTTGTTCGTCTCCATTTATGTTTAACAGGTAGAAAAACACGTACCAGACAAGGAATTCATGGTTAAACCCGCTTTGTGTATAGCTAGATTTCAAGTTGAGATTTATGTGATCGAACGACAGCTTACCAGTCTTCCCCTTATGTTAGTAACGGTCCCGTCACGTACCTCTTGAATGTATGATTCTGCAGCACTCTTCTTTCCTATTTTCTTATTGGGTCATCAGTGAAGAATTGGCAGACTTTGACGTACTTGTAATCATCAGGCATGAGCGGAGACCCATCTTCCATGAATACGATTTTATTATACGTATGAACGGACTCAAGAAATCAATTCATGTGAGAATGTTCTACGACGGTAACGGTATCGGTACCTGGAATTCCAAGTGCTGAACCTTGGTAATCTGCTTCATTTTGCGTCATACTATCTCTTTGAAAATGGAGCAAACGGTTTTCACCAATGACTTTGGATCCTCTCCACCCTATTGGTTCACTCCCATGACGCAGGTCAAAGTCCAAGCCTCTTGTTGGTGTGTATCATTTCCCGTATCGTCTCGCCAAACACCTGGTTGTGGGGGCGTCCTGTTTCAGTCTATCATTTATGAGAGCTGAACGACATCCCGGCCCGAACCAACTCCTATTGCATACTATCACGGGATGCTACAAGTCATAATCGGTTATGAGGCTTTTCGGAACACCAATCCGAATCCGGGTTACATTCGTAGTAGGGCTGATCGGCAAAGATCGCCTACAATTCATACCGACTCTTTAGAAATTTCCGGAGTCGCCGAATGGCTCCATTGTCGAGCGTCTGGTTGCATGCTGCCGATTCAACATGCTGGAAGAGGCTCGAAAGTTTGGGCAGAGGCGTCTCACAAGTTGGACACTTGAATGGATAGACCTTGTAGGAGAACATCTGATGTACGCGATCACGTTCATAAAGGTATGCTTGCCACCTCTCGTCAATGAAGTGGCGCCACATCTGACATTCTGCAGCTGTCTCGTTGAGATCAATGTCGTCGACGTGTGGATCGCAGCAGCCAGATTCCAAGTGGATGATCTAGTAGATTTAGCTCGGGTTTTATACGGCCTCATACAATGCTACTCGCCATGCCTCCGTAGGTTTTGAACGTATCGTTGCAGCGGTAACACTCCACGTTCTTCTGGCGATGGGAAATCTCATGCTAAATCTGCATGTTAGACTGTTGCCAAACAAGTATACGCGAGGCCGTGCGTACCTGGCGAAGGTTGTTGGGATTCTCGAAATGTCGATCACAGATCATGCAAACGTTCTCTTGCTTGACATGCTCCCAATACCCGTTGCCGTCATTGCTCCAAATCTCCCCTAGTCCTCCATCACAGCCTTGACACACGATGCCACATTGCTCACCCCGGGCATGGTCCAAGAGCTCATCCCAAGTCTCACCGTCGAATTGGCAGATGTTGCACTCGTAATGATTTTGTGAGTCTCGGACATGCTGGCGTAGAGCGCTGTATTTGCCAAAGCGCCTGCTGCAGCGACGGCACCACCTACCGGGCGAAAACGTCAGATAGCTCCAAAAACCGGTACCCCGTTGATTGATACTTACACGGTCATCTCGATGTACCTTGTGCAACTGAATATGTCTTGCGGCTTTTTGCGTGCGCTTCGGCACTTGATGTCGGCGTGTCCAAGTGAAAGACAGCGGCCGATAGCACTTGACTAAAGCTATGGCCATTGATAAGAATGGCAAACGGAATGTTTGTTGCAGAGCAAACGCCATGCCTTATCTGGCATCGATGGTAGCAACTGTGTCACCAGGTAAAGTGGGTGGATTCTGATTGTATGCGCACTTGAACAAAAGAAAAAGGTCGCGATCCAAACAAACGAGCATCGTGCACCCATGCAGCTATCAAAAAGCCCGTCTTGGTTGACGCCCTGTGGATATGGTAATCGCTCGTTGGTTGTCTCTGGATTTTCACAAAAGTCGAGGTCTCTCCCACGGCGTGGGACGCTCCCAAATGGTTCGAAACGAGCGTCGGATAAGATGATGACGTTCATAACTGCTTAAAGACTTATACACAGGGACACCGTGGATTTCATGCTAGCACCTCTTGCATTATTATTGCACGAGTAACTGAATAGCATGTCGTTAATATACTCTCATGTTTTGCCGGATACACACGATGCTCATGATGTCTGCGAGTGGCATCCATGGCTGCAAAAATAACACAAAATAAAGGTCTATGTGATGCGGACGTAGTGAGTGCTGCCTGGTCAGCGACGTAGTTGGCTAGAAACTTCCAAAGAGTGCCAAGAAGTGCTTAGCGTCCCTCCGAGAGGTATACAATCGGGTCAACCAACAGCTTACCACGACACCTACTTAACCACATCGCCCCATCAACAACCTCCCCATTCACTCAACATCCACCCGCCTGCCTCGCAGGAACTATTGCTCTCCACCTGCAGAACACCCTCTTCTACACTTAGAATTAAATCACCCAACACCATGTCGGCTGAGCCAGACCACTCGAAGCCCAAGCCGGACCTCTCCAAGTGAGTCTGCCTGTCCCGCCACCCGATTTGCCTCTCGATCCGGCTGCTAACATTTCAATAGGGATCCGTCAGGAGCTGAGGCCAAAGACGTAAATACCAACCTCGCCAATGCTGAGATGACCCTCACTGACCCGCCGCAGAATGACGAGACGGCAACGGCCATCCTCAAGAAGAAGAAGAAGCCAAACTCCCTCATGTGAGTGGTTCCGCTAATAACACTTTGGAAGCCTCGGAAACTGACATTCGCAGCGTCACCGATGCGGTCAACGATGATAACTCCATCATCGCCCTCTCAAACAACACAATGGAAACCCTCCAGCTGTTCCGAGGTGATACAGTCTTGGTGAAGGGTAAGAAGCGCAAGGACACAGTACTCATCGTGCTTGCCGACGATGATCTCGACGACGGCTCTGCGCGGATAAATCGTGTTGTCCGTCACAACTTGCGTGTGAAGCACGGAGATGTCATCACCATCCACCCGTGCCCGGATATCAAATATGTATGTGTCATCATTACAAGTATTACAGGCACCATGGCTAACAACCCGCAAGGCCAAGCGCATTGCCGTCCTCCCCATCGCAGACACAGTCGAAGGCATCACTGGATCATTATTCGATGTCTTCCTCGCCCCATACTTCCGCGAAGCATACCGGCCTGTACGTCAAGGCGACCTGTTCACAGCTCGTGGAGGGATGCGGCAGGTGGAGTTCAAAGTTGTGGAAGTCGATCCACCAGAGTTCGGCATCGTTGCGCAGGAGACCGTCATTCACTGCGAAGGAGAGCCGATACAACGCGAGGATGAGGAGGGTAACCTCAATGAGGTCGGCTATGACGACATCGGTGGCTGCCGCAAGCAGATGGCACAGATCCGCGAGCTGGTTGAACTCCCGTTGAGGCATCCTCAGCTCTTCAAGTCAATCGGTATCAAGCCTCCCCGCGGTATTCTCATGTACGGCCCCCCCGGTACCGGCAAGACCCTCATGGCTCGTGCTGTCGCCAACGAAACCGGTGCATTCTTCTTCCTGATCAACGGACCTGAGATCATGTCGAAGATGGCTGGCGAATCCGAGTCCAACCTGCGAAAGGCATTCGAAGAGGCTGAGAAGAACTCACCGGCTATTATCTTCATCGACGAGATCGACTCCATCGCCCCCAAGCGTGACAAGACTAACGGCGAAGTCGAACGTCGTGTCGTTTCTCAACTGCTTACCCTCATGGATGGCATGAAGGCTCGATCTAACGTGGTTGTCATGGCTGCCACGAACCGACCAAACTCGATCGATCCTGCTCTCCGTCGATTCGGCCGTTTCGATCGTGAAGTCGATATCGGCATCCCAGACCCAACTGGCCGCCTCGAGATCATGCAGATCCACACCAAGAACATGAAGCTTGGTGATGATGTTGACCTGGCAACTATTGCAGCGGAAACCCACGGATACGTCGGTTCCGATTTGGCATCTCTTTGCTCCGAAGCTGCCATGCAGCAGATTCGTGAGAAGATGGATCTCATTGATCTGGACGAGGACACCATTGATGCGGAGGTTCTCGATTCTTTGGGGGTTACTATGGAGAACTTCCGCTTTGCCCTAGGTGTCTCCAACCCATCTGCTCTCCGCGAAGTTGCTGTGGTGGAAGTTCCCAACGTTCGCTGGGAGGACATTGGTGGTCTGGAAGAAGTCAAGCGCGAGCTCATCGAGAGTGTCCAATATCCCGTCGACCATCCCGACAAGTTCCTCAAGTTTGGCATGTCACCTTCCCGTGGTGTGCTCTTCTACGGTCCCCCCGGTACGGGTAAGACTTTGCTCGCCAAGGCGGTCGCCAACGAATGTGCTGCCAACTTCATCTCCGTCAAGGGCCCCGAACTGCTGTCTATGTGGTTTGGTGAATCCGAGAGCAACATTCGAGACATCTTCGACAAGGCTCGTGCCGCTGCTCCTTGCGTTGTCTTTTTGGATGAGCTTGATTCCATCGCTAAATCACGTGGTGGTTCTCAAGGTGATGCTGGCGGTGCTTCGGACCGTGTCGTCAACCAGCTTCTGACTGGTGAGTATCTCTATGAATATTGTATGAAGCTATCACTAACCCTCTACAGAAATGGATGGCATGACATCGAAGAAGAACGTCTTCGTCATTGGTGCTACCAATCGTCCTGAGCAGCTCGACAATGCTCTGTGCCGCCCAGGACGTCTCGACACCCTCGTCTACGTGCCTCTGCCCGACTTGGCCTCTCGCACCAGCATCATCCGAGCTCAGCTTCGCAAGACGCCTGTCGCTCCCGATGTCGATGTCGAGTTCATCGCACAAAACACTCACGGATTCTCCGGTGCCGATTTGGGCTTCGTCACCCAGCGTGCCGTTAAGCTTGCCATCAAGGAGTCTATCGCCATTGCCATTGAGCGCCAAAAGGCTCGCGAAGCGGCTGGCGAAGATGTTGACATGGAAGAGGCTGGCGAGGAGGACCCGGTCCCTGAGCTCACCAAGGCTCATTTCGAAGAAGCCATGCGCTCTGCTCGTCGCTCTGTCACGGACGTTGAGATTCGCCGCTACGAGGCGTTCGCTCAGTCAATGAAGAACTCTGGTGGATCCAGCTTTTTCCGCTTCCCCGATGCGGAGAACGCGGCCAATGAGCAACAGAACACGTTCGGCACTTCGGGCGAGGACGGAGACCTGTATGAGTAAAGAAAGCGATGGATAAATGTCTTGTCGGGTTCACAAATTTTCGTCAGACTATGGACTACGGAGTGTTCAGGCGCTTTGTCTTGGGTTTCTGAGGTAGGCGAGGGTAATGGCGGGATGATAGATGAAGCTTCAAGGGCCCAGGGCTCCGAATTCGCATACGGTAGAGAGAAGGAGGACCTGTGAGTTCTGCATGCACATGCATGGACATGGAAGGTTTATAGCGTGATGTGAAAAATCACGATTGCCATGCCGAATTGAAGCAACTTTATTCAACTTGGTGCACCACCATATATTGATCCTCGAGGCGTGATGTATGTGCTAACTAGTATATCTGCTGGATGAATGGACATGTACCCAGGTGCCTCGTCCCCCAAAATCATGTGCCAATGTGCAGGCTACCGCCCCTCTTTAACCTCGTTCCTGCACGCCTCTCTCACGCCTGTCGAGTTGCCCGTGTGAGCTGGTCACAGGTGTACGCCCACCCACCATCGACTTGATAAATGGACCCAACCCTCGGAAGCTTGCTGGTAGACGGCGCTCGCGATGGCTATGCTATGATGGGCCTACGTCGACCCGCATCGGTCGTGTCAAGACGCAGCTGTCGGCGCCGCCGTTTTTTCTTTGGTGAAGTGGCTGAGTATTGTGCGTGTGTTGTTGTTTTCTTTTGTTTTCCCCTGTCGCCGCGTGGGAAATGGTGCTTCGCCGCGGTGCAGATCACCTGTCAACGGCAATGTCGCAAACCTTTTCGAGCTCGACGCCCAGCGTCCTCGCGCCGGCGGTGACGACTTCATCGGGCAGACGCAGGTTGTAGTCATCTGCATCCTTGGCGTGGCCGTTGGTACCGTTGACGCCGTTTGGCTTGGGTTGCTGCTGAGAATCGGAGCGGATTTTGTCGAGGACGCGATCCAAGGCCTGAGCGTAGCTGGTGCACTCGCCGGAGCGCAACAGGTGGGTGACGTAGGCTTTGAGGTTCGACTTGAAGCCCGAGGCTTGCATTTCGTGGTCGAGGGTGGACTCGACGTTGCGGATGCCGTTGCCCGACAGCAGGGCCGAGTAGAGCTCGTTGCGCATGTCCGGGGTGAGGGTGTTTTGGGCCTGGGTGGAAGTCATGTTGATGGGCTTGGCCATGTTTGGATGGAGTGGAATGGATGGATGGATGGATGGAGGGAGGGAGGGGTGTGGGTGTGGGTTTGCGAGCTATGGCCGCCGTCGATCGTCTCGGGAGCGGAGGAAGTTGGGTATAGTCAGGGAGGTAGGTGCTCGACTGTTTGTGGCTTGAGGGACGTGGTTTGGGAAGGAGAGAGGGGGGAAAGGGGAGTTGCGGTGGGGGAGAAAAGGCCAGGAACGGGTATACGTCCAAGATTGCGCCTGCCTCGTCGGGGGTCAAGGTGTTCCAATGTTTATTGAGACGAGCGAGGCTCGGGCGCGGCCGCTACGACCCGTTGCGTGGATGCCACGGGATGGCTCTGGCTGACTGGAGCATTGATGCCGCCAGACTTCAACCCCAGAATGCACAACTTGTACCGCATTATAATAACTACATCCTGGTGGTCGTCTGCCGGCGCATCACTCGCTGATCACAAAGGGCTGCTGCTGCTGCTGCTGCTGCTGTTCTTCCGGCGGCTGTTTGTTTCCACAGCCATTCCCAATTTCCTTTGAGACCCATCAATTGTTACCGAGCTGTCAAAGGAATTGGAATCTGCCTACACACGTACCTACATATGCATACCTAGCATGTACCTATCATGGGAGTACTTGGCCATGTCATCATGTACATGTGTATGTTAAATGCCATGTATGTATGTATGTATGTATGTATGTATGTGTGATGCACACGGGGCAGTGAGGGCCAGACCAACAGTGTAGCGCAGCACAGGTCAGCACAGCACAGCGCAGCGCAGCGCAGCGCAGCACGGTTCGGCGGCAGCGCTCGGCCCTTTCTTTCGACTTGCCCGCCTGCCTGCTTTGATTTGCTGGCTGCTCAGAGAACCTACTGTACCTCCATTCTCCGAGTACTTAGATACTCTAGGTAGGCACTGCCTTACTTACTGAACCACACATACATACCTACCTACCTACATACCCATACACGCGCCTCCACCCTTTCATCCCATCTAGCCTCTCCCTCCTCCACCTCCCCTTCCACCACCACCGCCTCCTCCGCCGTCTGCCCTCTGCCATCCTCGCCCTCATCTCATCCCTCGCGAGCCGCGTTGCTTGGCGCCATAGCAACCGCCTTCCTTGGTCCATCTTCGTCACAGCGCCATGACAACGTTAGCTGCCACCAGCTATTCGACTTCTAGATACCACGTCGACTCGGATGACGCTGACGCCGACGACGAATACGAGCGCAGTGTCATCCAAAGCCCGACCCTCCCTGTCGACTACGCTGAGAGCTCTTCCACCTCGTCCGGCCCCATGAGCACCGAACACACCCCCACCACCTTCACCCATTCGCGGGACCCAAAGGCCAGCCCCACCGCTCTCATCACCGAATGGTCAGAGGAGCAGAGCGCCGACTTTGTGTCGGATCTGGGCTTGGACCAGTATGCTGATAGCTTCGTGGGTACGTCTCCTCCACTCCCGCCTTCTTGGAGTCGTCTGCTCACCAATTCCCAAAGAACAGGGCATCTCGGGCGACGCCCTGATAGCCCTGCAACACATTGACCTCAAGGAAATGGGCTTGAACAGTGTCGGCCATCGCCTCACCATTCTCAAGGCTGTCTACGAAATCAAGGTCAAGCAGAACGTGCCTATCGAGTCAGACCACTATATCCCGCTGTGTACGTCTGTCCATGCCCACCCGTCTCCCTCTGCTGACCTTGATCCCCTACTAGCCGCCGATACCTCCGCTCAGGATGCTCCGCCTACTCAAGATGACTTGGCCAAGGTCATTCGTGTGGTAAAGGCTAGGGATGAACGCATCCGTGACAACGAATCCAAGATACGCCATCTCGAGGATGATCTGACCAAAGTCGTCGAAGAGAACAAAAGGCTCCGAGAAGAGATTTTACCCCTCGTACGGGCTTTCAAGGACAGTCAGCAGCCGCTACCCACACCTCACGATCACATTGTCATGTCTCCCCCAGCACAGCAAGAGCGGGTCGGGAGCACTCTATCCCGTAAGTTCTCTACCAAGAGGCTTTTCCTTTCGTCGGGTCCGAAGAACCCCTCTCCAACTATACCGGAGGGGCGCACCTTGGTCGACAACTCGTCTCTCGATCCCTCTGCAGCAGCCCTAGCAGCGTCCTCACACCTCACAGCATCCATCGCCGGCGGTTCCCAACTATCGCCCAACGCCCCACAACCATCTCCCACCTCCCCCGCGTACGCAAACCAGCCCCGAAGCATGTACAGCTCTCGCTCCGAAAACCCTCGAAGTGGGCATCCCGACCACGAAAACCAAAATAGCTGGCCGCAGTATGATTCGACACTCTCAAACCGTGATTTGCGAGGTGGCGCCACGCCCGCACGATCCGTACGCAACACCACTTCCACAATGCCTAACCCCGACGGAGACCCACCGCTTTCGGGAGGCACCATGAGCTCGAACCAGTCTGGTACACCCGCGCAGACGCCGGGCTCAAGCAACCCTCAGGTCGAAATCTTCAAGTCGTTCCGCGTTTCCATCGACGACCCTTGCCACAAGGTGCTACCCGTAGCCCTCAAGAAATACAACATCACAGCCGATTGGAGGCAATATGCCCTGTACATTGTGCATGGTGACCAAGAGAGATGCTTGGGGCTGAACGAACGTCCTCTGATTCTGTTCAAACAACTGGACAAAGAAGGCCGAAAACCCATGTTCATGCTCCGAAAGCACGCCGCACCCGCCGAAGGTCATGTCAGCACAGTTGGTGGGAACGACATCAGAAGCGTGGCACCGGGGAGCAGCTTCGGTTGGGACAGCGGCAACAGAGTCCAACTACCGGGTGGAGTGTTATAAGCTAGCCGGCAAAGCGTGCGATTCCGTCGCCTTCCCGGTTGAACATTGCCAACGCTGGGCACGAGAAGGGGGCGCAGCTGGAAAACTGTTCCCTCCCAGTGCTCGGGCGACGGTCTCGTGTTAATTTTATCTTCTACACGAGTACACTTTACAATCGAGTGGGCGAACGAGTGGAGGTCCTTCTGATGGAAAGCGGTTGCAATGCAGACCCACCAGGACACCTTCTCCGCCTTTCAACATTTACGTTACAGTGGCTTGCTTTGGTCACTGTCGTCCCTCGCAGCGCTTGTGACGCATACGATTTCTAGCCATTTCTGTCGAGGCGGGTCTTCTTACGAAGAATGGCGGACACTCTCGAGTGGATTACATGATGCTCCTCGCCATGTATCACATTGCCAGTACCCAGATAGTGGGCAGATCGCTAGTGGTTTTTGAGATCGATCTCAGCAGCGCAATTCTTGTTCGATTCTATCGAGAGTATTATTGGTGGGCAATGCCACCGCAAATCGACGCAACGATTTTTTTGCCTTTTTTCTTCCGTGTCGGTTTGGCGGTTGATGCAAAGTCATTCGACTTTTTGGCAGGGGCGGAACAAAACTGGGGTTCATTTCGTCACCACGCATACGGCTTGCACTTGAAGTGGCCATCCACCTATTGCTCTGTTTTGTTGCTTTCTCTCGGCATCCTTTGGATTTGGTATCAGGTGCATAGCAGTGCGCAAATCACGGCGTTGGGGACTTCCCCCACTTCTCTCTCACCTATTTGTTGATCATTATATTCCATCTCCATTCTTGGAGGCAATTAAGCTGCTCTTGTTAATCGTAGGATTGGTTTAGGACGGTCTTGAATACTCGGAGGAGGATCTAGCGGTCATATATATGTCATATCTATTTAAACATATGGAGGGTGAGCAAACACATGCGCCCTCGTAGTAGAGGGGCGAGATCAGTGAAAGATTTAAAGGCATATATCGACCATCTCAGACGCAGATAGGAGAACCTAAATAGATGTCCTCTAAGTTACCAAACTATCACTCCTTTCAAAAGTTTCTAAGAACGTTTGACAAATGTTCACTCTTTGCCCGTCCTACCGCGGATAAGTACTTGGTTTCTTGGTGACGTCGTTCTACTCAGAGTCCGGCGATATTGTCTCCACTTGGATAGAAATGATGGAGACAGGTTCTTGCTGTCTTTTTCTTTGTCGGCGACCCGAGGCGTTTCAACTTTCGTCTACTTCACAAGTGTCAGGCAACGCTTGCGTGGCTGTAGCTCGGACCGTTGTTCATGCTGTCGCGGTCACCCATACGCCATCGTCAAAGCCACCTCTTCCTTTGCAGTGCTGATGCCTGACCCTGATCACTGTGCACTCTATTGCAACCCATTATTTGTGCGCGATGGTTAGATGTGTAGACTGGGAACGCATGTTCGCAATTCACAACATGCCAATGGCTAGTCAAGTATTGTAAGGTATTGGTTTTCTACAAGTATTTTACACATGAAGACGGGTAGAGTTACATGAGCGAGCTCTATCTTTTTACGACGCAAATCCTTCTTCTATTATGGATCTTCTTTCTTGCTGCTCGCTTCTAGAGCTTTCTGTTGATTCCTCAGAGCTTCGATCTTCTCATCGATTATCGCAATATCCGCCTCGACAGCCAAAATCTTCTCCCCAATCAAGTTTGCGTACTCCTCATCCGACAGAACCGTCATTGGGCTCCATTTGCTTTTTGCTATCCTCTGCATCAACGTCTCCTTCTTCAACCCTTGCTCCCTCAATTCACGCTCTTCCTGCACAGCCCTCGAGTTCCTCCCATCAAGGAAATTATACGCATGCTGGCCAGCCCAACCATACAATGAAAACATGATAGTTCCATAAAAGGCATTTTGGGGACCGCGGAACAGTAGACCGAGACTACATCCAGTGAAGGCCCCAGCTATGACAGAGGCGCGGACGCGATCTCGAGGCGATGCGTCAAGATCCTGGCGTGGGACCAAAGGTAAGCCGCGTGTGGTATTCCACCAGTTTTGGAGTCCATCGCGGTGAAGGATGCTGCTACGGGCGGCCCAAAATGTGCTGCCGAGGGCGAACCATTGAACGCCTGAGGCTAGAGAGAAGAGGATGGGAGTTCGCGTCCGGATGGTGCCGACTGTGGCGCCGAAAATGAGACCCGGAACAGCTGGTATGATCAGAATGGCTCATCGAGTTCGTCCTGGAGTTTCAATATTTCTATTCGAGACTCTTGGGTATACATGAAGGAAGAGACTTGACGACTTGACAGTTCGCTGTACAAGACACGTGATACGCCTTGGCATTATGAATTGTCTGCTCATCGAGTTGGTGGACACGGTCACATCATGGTTACTCGATGCGAAAGCAACTATCAATAGCAGTCGAATGACCAAGACCGGCGATGAACCGTTACGTGAATGGAGGGTGACGATAGAGAAAGTCTGGATGACTTACCAGCGCCAGCGCCTATCTGCGCAGCTTGCCGTGCCAGATAGAGTGGATGTGTGACATTGTCAGTATTGAGCTGAGATGTCATTGTTTGCTCTTGGGCGGAGAGAGCAGGGATTCGAGCATTCGAATGCAGTGTCGACGTGTTTGCGGATGCCAAAAAAGTCTGGGGTGGAGATCCGTTACACACTCTCCTCCCCAAAAACGGGTTAGGTAATCCACACACTGCGCTAAAACCGCACTTCAAGCCCGACCCGCCATTTTTCCTTCTCAAGGCTCGGTCACCTTCAGGGCTTGACCACAACCACTTACGCTGCGACGACCCAGACCAAACCTTAGCCAAACGATACACCACTGAGGGCAGAAACAGCTCTCGGTCTTTACTTAGCCAGCGCGCGATCACCAAGAGCGCGTTGACTGCTAACCGCAATCATGGGTACGCAGTCCTTTCGTTGGGGAGGCCGCTCGCCACACACAGACGTACCCCACGTAACGCATAACGTCTGTGAGGCCGGCGGCGTCGCTTCTGGGGACGGAGCGCATATTCGAGAATATTATAGCTAACTGTGGATCGCAGCTCCTCCCAAGAAAGGTCAACAGAAGATGTCCCTCGGGGACTTTCTGGGCGATCAGAGTATGCGCCACCCACGTTCCTTTCCGCTGGCCATATGAGCTGACTCGAATCTAGCACTTGGATCATGGGCTGATGAGATGGAGGATATGCCTGTAGGCAGTGAGTGTACCCCGCACTATCCCAATTGCATATGCTAACATAATCCTAGGTGGAGGTAATATATGCCCCGCAATTTATCTTCGACACATTTACTGACTACTGCGAAGCTGGAGGCGGAAGTGGAGGAGGATCCAGCTACGGAGGCGAGAGGCGCGCGTTCAACTCTTCCGGTGGAGGTGGCTTCGGCGGTGGCGATCGCAGCACTGGTGGATTTGGTGAGTGCATGCTTGACTATCAACTTTGTCTTATTGTCACTGACTTCCGGTAGCCGACCGTGGATACGCTGTTCGTGAACAGTTGCCTCTTCCTTCGAAGCCCCCGTATACTGCGCATCTTGGCAATCTGTCTTTTGATGCTACCGAGGGCGATGTCCAAGATTTCTTCGCCGATTGCGATGTAGCACATGTGCGTATTGTCGAGGACAAGCTGGAAAGGAAGCCGAAAGGTTTCGGATACGTCGAGTTCAGCACTCTAGACGGCTTGAAAAAGGCGCTAGAGCTGTCTGGCACACCATTCCAGGGCAGAAATGTCAGGGTCAGTGTCGCCGACCCACGTAAGTCCAAATCTGCGTCCACGGTATATATATGACGCTGACGAAATGATAGCCAAGGACCGCCCCGAAGGCTCCAAGGACATGTCCACTGTCGACTGGACTCGAAAGGGTCCTCTTCCCGACCTTCCTGGACAGCGCCGTACATCGGATCGAGGAGCAGGTGGAGGAGGCTACCGCCAATTCGATGCTGCTAACGATGCCGGGAGCGAGCGTGGTGGAGAGCGTAGGCGGGCCCCACCTTTCTCGGGTGACGGCAAAGAACGTGATTTCGGGAACTGGGAGCGCAAAGGTCCTTTGTCCCCGGTCCCTGGCCCTACTGGCGGTCCCCCGAGGGAAGGTGGCAGGGTCCGTAGCAATGAAGGTGGTCCCCGTGAACGCCGCCAATCTCCTGCTTGGGGTGAGGGTCGATCAAATGACGGGTCTCGCCCTCCCCGCCGCGAATTCCAAGAACGTCCTCAGGTAGAGCGCCAGCCAACCGCACCTGAGTTGGACAACCAGTGGAGATCTAAGATGCGTCCTGACGCTACGGCCAAATCTCCATCTGCCACTCCGGATGTGAGCACTCCATCATCGCCTGCTCCTCAGGCTGCTGCTCCGGCAACGAGGCCGAGATTGAACCTTCAAAAACGCACCGTCTCTGAAGTTGAGCCTGCCCCTCTGACCTCTACTTCTGAGGCTGGTTCAAAGTCCAATCCATTTGGTGCCGCGCGACCTATCGATACCGCAGCTCGCGACAGGGAGATCGAGGAAAAGAAAGCCCTGGCTTTACGCCAGAAGAAGGAAGCTGATGAGAAAGCTCGCGAAGAGAAGAAGGCAAAGGAGACCGCTGAAAAGGCCGCTGCTGGAGACAAGACCGCTGAAAAATCGGAGGAGAAGACCACCGACGAGAAACGGTCGAATTTCGAGATACTGCAACGCGTTGGAGAAGAAGGTGATGCGATCCCAGAGGAAGATGCCCCCGATGCTTCCGCGAATGGAAACATCGTTGACGACAAGGCCGTAAAACCTAGGGAGATAGTACGCGACCCCAAGACGGAAGGTGCTTGGCGACGAAAGTCTAGCACCCCTTCAGGACCAGATGCCACTACGACCGAGAAGATGGACGACGACGGCTGGAGCACTGTGACGAAGCCAGGCAAAAACGCTCGTGGTAATCGCCGAGGAGGTCCCTCTCGTGCCATTGCATCCTAGATCCTACATCTAGCGCCGTCCCTTTTGTCATCCGGGCGTAGCTTCAAGACATTGCTCATCCAAGATCCTGCGTTTGCCTGCTATCTTTGTGCAGCGATCTGTTCTCGGCAGTCTTATCACTCCTGCCACATCTTCTGCACAAGCATGGGCATTTGGTTCGGGTCTGTTTTTAGTCTGCAAGGCAGCATTGACACCTGGTCACAACGGCTCGCTCTTCCATGGCGCGTCACGAACGGTCTCCTTCGTGGCATACACATCTAATGCAACCTTTCCTTCCATGTCTTTTTTCTTCACGCCCCTATGTCATTTGTATGTGTCCGAGCATGATCATGTATCTCTTCTCTCCCCTCCTGCCAAAAGTTATGATTTCTTCGATTGTCCAGGGATTCGAAAGTATGGCTTTGTCACCTTGATACCATTCTTCTCCTTTGCGCGGTGCTTGGGGTTGGTGGTGTGCGATCCTAGCCTACTTTTTGCGTGTTTGATGGATTCGGTAGGTGACGAGTTGATGTATTGTTCGCTTCTACAATAGACATTGATGCTCGGGCATGTATCTATTCACAGGTAGATTGATGAATGGTTTCACTTTTTAAAAATTGCTGCCCCCAAAACCTTTCCAGGTCTCTTGATATGGCACGGCTACATGTGTGTGTGGAACGTTGTGTTTATGGAAGTTGTGTTGGCAACTACTTGACAGTGCATAGCACCCATCGGCACATTCTGATACCATCATCTATAAAAAGCCCGAGATCGAGCCAGACCGAGCAACCATTTCAGGATAAACTAATGACGCGGTAGTCTCGATACCGACGATCTGGAGGTGGTGAAGATCATATCCCGATACTGACTAGCGCCTCAACCCCAGCACTTTGCCTCCTCCTACGTCAAGGCGCTCCATCTAAACCTTGATAACTTATCCAAATTCTCAGTGGTATTTCTTTGCGTCAATTGTACTATAGCATTTGAGTCTTTCTATCCATAACTCGTCTTTTCGCCAAGGCATTGGCATAGGTTGCTATTATGCCTTCCGGATCGCAATCCTCCGGCCCAACACCGACAACTACGTCACAGTCGCAGGGTAAACAGCCAAGGTCAAGGAAAGCTGCAGCGGCCATACCTCAGCAACCTGCACCCGGCAGAGCAGGTTCGGCTGGCGGCATCGTCCTTGAAAAGGAGCAATCCAAGAATAACAAATCGACAACTGATCCAAAAAGCATTACTGCTACTTCATCTCCCGCAAAATCTATGAACGCTACAGCAGCAAAGAGTGATGAAAAGGGTAGCGAGGCTGCAGGGACCAACCGTCCTAAAAGGCGTCCCAGAAAACTGAATAGGGAACCGGCTTCTGATAAACCTTCAGTCACTACTAATTCTGCGACTACCCTTGGCGATCCCTCGACCTCGTCGGCCGCTGCAATAGAGCTAGAAGCGCTGAAGTCTCGCGTCCGTGGCTTGGAAGCCAAAGTAGAGGAGCTGTATTCCTCTACAGAAGGCCGCACCGGGCGGTCGCCACGTCGAAGAGGCAAAGGCCGCAAAGGTTCTTCTACCAATCAAGTTCCCACGCTCGCATCCACCGCCGGACCAACCCCTGTGGACGGTGAAGAGGAGATTGCAGATGAGGAACTCACACGCCTCGAGGATGAGCTCGAGGATGCTCGTCGGGATCTGATGCTATACCAACCCCGCACTCGTCCTCGCACAAAGCGATCAACATCTGGGGATACTGAATATGTGGAAGAGATACCACGGGATGGTAGTCGCACCGTTACCACGGGCGATAGGCAGGTGACCCTCAGCGGAAGCTATAGAATTCCGTTGCCTGCAACTTTATCCATGGACGATGTCAAGAGCATTCAAAATGGTGTTTCGGCGGCTCAGAATGTGGCCAAGTCTTTCATGGACCAACGCCGTGCGGCACAGACGGCACGAAACACTACTCCTCCAACTGCTGGCTCCAAGTCATCGACCAAAGCATCCGCGTCCAAAGGGTCATCAGCCCCCACAGCTGAAGCTGACAGGGAAGCCTCCGGCAAATCTTGGGGTGAGTGGTTTGGGGGATACAGTGTCGCTATTTCTAGGGCAATGAAGAATATTGAAGCCGAGGCGGCAATTGAAGGCCAGAAGGCCGCTCAAGCTGGGAGGTCCGGAAAGGCGCCAGTATCGAAAAAGGCTTCCAGTGGAAAACCTGCTGCGAGGCCAGGGTTGAAGGGGAGGCAAAGCAATCTAAGCAGTGAGCAGGTGCAAGGCTTGATGAGTTAAGACTGGAAATACTTATACTGTAGGATACGATCAAGGGCGTTGAGGGTTTATGTTTCTGGCTCTGACTTCTGACGATAAATTATGGATTTTAATCATGTTTTGTTATCATCTCGTCAAATTACTTGTGGTGCTAGGACTAAAATCTCAATTGAAACACATGTCACATGCCCTCCTCATACGTTGGGCATCTGAAAGTTTCGCCTTGGAGTATTCTCGAGAGGATCTTCCTGCACAGCAATCTCCCACGCGCTGATCAAACATACAAACATTACTTCTCAGCAACAACAACCCACTGGCTAGCCCTCAACAGCACCTCACCGTCCCCAACTCTGACGCCCTTGTCCTCCCCAAGCGACTTCAGCACTTTCACCATCATATTCACCTCATCCTCCCAGTCCTTCTCATCGTCCTCAAACCACCCCGCAATACCCGCGAGATAAGCCCAGGTCTTCTCCACCCAAACTCGAAACCCTGCATCGCCTCCACCAACTTTAATCCATGCCTCGCTAGCCTCGACCTTCATCTTCTCCTCGGCAAAGCCAGCGTCAAGCATCACTTTGCGGATATGCTTGCCATCAATCCAGTTGGTAGTAGGAGCAGGGAACGGGTGCTTTGATCGAAAGTGCGCATGGACAGCAAAGACGGCAGGTTGCCACGCTACAGACTGCCAGCAGTTCACGACAGCGAAACCGCCTGGTTTCAGGGTGCGCTGGATCTCCTTTGCGCCGTCGAGCCCCGCGGAAGAGAAGAAGATGATGCCAATGTTGGTGAAGGAGTGCGTGAAAGTCTCGTCTGCAAAAGATAGGGCTTCGCCGCGCTGGTTGGAGATTGTGACGGGCCAGGCATTGGATGTTGCGTCTGTGGAGAATTTGTCGAGGAATGGCTGGTCAATGTCTGTGGCGTAAATTTGGATGTTTGTAGGAGGGGAGGGGTTGGTGAGAATGGCTCTTGTCACTGTGCCGGAGCCACAGGCGTTGTCGTGGATGATGGAGCCCGGCGCGATGGCTGGGATGAGGTTGAGATTGTGCTCGACGAATTGAGATGTTACTCGTTCGCCAGTGGATTCGTAGGTAGCAACTTTCGCTGCTCCTGTAATGAGTGCACGGGCTTGAGGGGGGATGGCGTCTTGGCTGATGTTCATGTTGATAGATATACTACTATATCTTGAGGACGAGGTTGGAGAAGTTGATTGGTACTAAAATTGCTTATTGGTAAACAAAGAGGAAATTTAACTTGTTGCTTATTGCACCTCTCATCTTGGTGGGACGACATGCCCTTCTTATACATGCAGTGCTGATACTTCATACCCAATACACCAAACTGTGCCGCAATCCTGTGGCATACGGGTCCGGTCTGGTGTTGAGGCTTGCTCCGGTTGCTTCGGCGAAAACCAATCGGAGCGCCACCATCAAGTCCGGCTTCCTCCGACACTATACCGCGACATCTCCGTATAGTCCGGTTCGGCCTAGCGATCTCCAACGTAGTTCCAAGTAGCAAACGATGTCCAAGTCTATCAAAACACTCTGATACGGGATACTGAAGCGATATTCGTATCTGTTCAATTTTGGCGGCATCGAATGTCGACATGTTATGCACTGCTTCTTCATTCCAGTACTAATATTCAGATTTTGAATTCGCGTATTCATTCGGCACAGATGATATCTACCAATGTCTCACTTCAAAGGAGCCTCTGAGACATACACATGTTCACACCAAACGATTTCAATAACAAATAGAAGCTACCAATTGTTTCTGTCTGAGAAAGTTCAATTACATTTTGTGTCGCCCCCTCGCCCAACCTCCGCATTACGGGCTCGTTCTTATTACTTGTTGCAGACCAAACAAAACTGGGCGCATAATAATTTGCCCTTTCGTATGCTAAAGCGCCTCGCGCAAAAAGTGGTATCATTCATGTTCAAAATCGAAAGCAAAGAGTCGTAACTCGTAACCTCCATGCGTATGATCATATCATGCAAAAAGAAGCAGGCCGGACCTGGCATTTACACGTCGCCGCGGAGGACAGGGTTGTCCAACCCGAGCTGGGTTTGGAATTGCTGCTGTCCTTGACCGGGAAGGCCAGGGTTGGCAGGGTTAACAGAGCCTGGAGCACCACCCTGCTGAAGCGGCAGAGTAGTTTGAGCACCCAAGCCACCGTTGGGGTTGAAGGCTCCATCCATCTGATCAGCGAATCCTTGGCCAGTGGTGGCGCCATAGCCAGCACCAGTTCCAGCACCTGCACCAGTGTGGGGCTCAGAGTGGTAACCCTCAGGACGACCGTGTGGCTTGCGTGTAACGGCAGCGATCTTGGGCACACTCGAGGATTCCTTCGCGGAGCCGATGCTGAACACGGGGCTCTCCCACTTGTCGCCCTTAGCGGCCAGATCCTTGTACTCGGTTGCCTTGCTGCTGATACCCCCAGGAAGGGAAATGTTCTTGAACATGCTGTCATGCTGGGTGACTGCCATGTTGACATGAGTATCTTTGGCGCGCTGCTGGGCATGAGCTGCCTTCTGCTTGCCTTGCATGATACGCTGGTTGGCAGCAGAAGCATAACGCTGGTAGATGTTCTGGATGTTCTGGGGGTCAGGGTTGCGCTTGGCGCTCTCCTCGGCCTTTTCTGCCTCCTTCTTGATGTCGTAAAGTAGAGCATCCAGTTGGTTGACGTTGTCCTTGATTTGCTTTTCCAAGACACGTTGAATGACTGGACGCATGACCTTGAGCAAGAGGGGCTTGAACATGCTGAAAAGAAGCTTGTGGTTGCTCTTCTTGACCTTGATGGAAAGGTTCTGGATATCGGTGGAGATGCTGTTGATCTTGAAGTAATGGATGTTGTCATCCTTGTCGGCATTCTCCATCTCAACCTTGAAGCTGAAACCAGAACCTCCCATGAAAACGTCCATCACACCCTTGTCAGTGATGGAGGGGAAACCTTGCTTCCTCTTCACGTAGTAGGAAACATCCTTGATGTCCATCTGAATACCAGATACTGAGAGCATGACCTTGTTCTTGTTCCTGCTCGAGATGTGCTTGCGGCCCCATCGCCAGTAGTTGTCTGACCCAAACTCAATGGCGTTTGGAGCGAGGTTGTCACCTTCGATGACGAGGTTTTCGACGACAGCGTCAACCATAGGGTCGCTATACTCGATACGAGGAATAGGGACGTAGCGGATGTTTTCAAAGAAAGCAGGCATAATGACATCGGTAAGGTCCTTGATCAAGTGAGGCTTGAAGACGGTCTTTCCATTCTCATCGTGACCCAAGTCGTTGAACAATTTGGTAAGAGAATCGGCAAAAGCCTTGTTTTGAGGGCTGCCATGTGTGTAAGTAATTGGCATGTTGATAGCTGTACGAGGAAACACTTACTCGGCATCAAATTGCTGGCCGATGAACTTGAACTCGTCGGCAATGCGATCAGTGTGCGCGCGGTAGCGACCGCGGAGCAGCTGATGACCTTGGTCGTAGAGAGCATTCCATTCTTCGTTTGAACGGTCCTCGAGAATGTAACCCTGCTGCTGGAGGCACTTGCGGATATACGAGTCCATCTGCTTGAACCAATTCTTGAGGTCGGGATCGCGCTCGGCATCCTTGTAGATTTGATTGATCGACTCGATCAAGTCGTCGAAGGAGGTGCTGTTGGCGAAACGTTCGAATAGGGTCTTGATGTCCGTCAGCATTGGATAATTTTCACGCATTAAGCCTATAGAATACACACCTTGAGGTCAGCTTCAGCCAATTGAAGAGCGTCATCCTGGTGCGCACCTTGCACATTTTGTTTTCCGGAGGCGGCAATACCCTTTCCGTGGCCAGCATACTGTTCGGCCAAACGGAGAAGAGTCTCAATCGCACCCTGGTAGTCCTGGTGACCCTGGATTTCGACAATCATTTTTTTCAAGCGCCAGATGGTCTGCTCACGACGCTCTGTAGGCATCTTTCCCTTCAAGTAGTTGTTCATACGCTGACGCTGGTTGCGCACGCGCTCCTTCTCCTCTTCAGGCACGTTCGCGTCAACTTGCTGTTTGGCTTGACGAGCAGCAGCATCCGCATCGAGACCGGCAGGCTGGCCTGTCTGAGCCTCATACGCGCCCTGATCTGCGACCTGGGCGGGGTCTCGGGAGCCCTCAGGGTGGGCGGCTTGGGAAACATCACCAGCGGCCTTCTTGGCGTCATCCTTGCCAAACGGAGACTTTTGCTTGAGCTGGTTCTTCGCGTTCTCCGCGGAGAGATTGGGGACTTCGTGCCAAGTGTTGTCCTCGGCAGGACGGTCGATCTGGCTGAGCTCGTTCTCATTGGGGTTGACCCGGTTAGCAGCATTCTGAGCCGCATCACCAGCTATGTCTCGGAGCAGGATGGTAGCATCCGAGAGCAGTTTCCTGAATTGGCCGTTGGAGAGGACAAGGGTGCCTAGGGTGCGGAGACCTTGAAGAGCCTCGTTGCCGTGTTGCCGCGCGGTTTCCTTATCGACCGGGGCGCCGGGAACCTGAGCATTGGCACCGGTCATCTGCTCGGTTTGCCAGATAAAGTCTTGGAGAAGGTTGCCCTCGTTCTTGGTGAGGACCAGGTTCTTGGCCTGCTCGATGACATTCTTCAGGTCGTTGGTGAGGGCCTGTCCCTCGGCAGATAGCTTCTTGGATGGCGAGTTAAGGGCTTTTGAGGCCAAGGTGGAGTTGAGAGCAACATCAATTTGTTTGTTAGAGGGGACCTTGCCATTGGCGAAGGCTGCAACCGGGAGATTAGAACATGTATGAAGCAGATGGAGAGTGAGAGGGAAATGGTACGAACCTGAGTAGATGCCAAAGAGCTGGAGCTTGTTGTTGACATCTTGTTCCTTCTGCTTCTGGTTCATGGGCGCGTTCACGCCGCTCTTCTCGCCGGACATGTTGGGAGTTGTAGGGGGTGGTCAAGTAGGAAGGATGTCGGACGTGGGTATCAAATAACAAAAGAAGAGGGAGGATTAATTAGGGGAGGACTGTTGGAAGGTGCAATTGGGGGGGTATCTCGATGGTATGATGAAGAAGAGGAAGGGCAGGCGAGGTCGAGGGCAGAGACTTTATTGTTTGCAGGCGGGCAGGCGCACGTGTGGGAGTGGTAGCAGGGACGGGTTACGTCATGAAGTCGACACGGAAAATTGCAAAAAGGCACGCACGCACGTAGGAACAAACAAGCAGACTGGCGGGCGGCGGGAAGATTGATTCGCGACCGACTTGGACTTGCCATGACGGTCCAGATCAGATCAGGACAGGACAAGCCGCGATCCGCTCAAAGCGCTTTGAGCGTCCATCCATGGCCGTGTGCCATGTTTGCCCATCAATGCCTGTGGGACCAGACACGAGACGCTGGGCAGACAGATTGCCTGACACGGACAACAGAAGTTGATGACGAGGGATGGAAAGGCCATGCATCTACAGATGGTTACTTGAATTGGCCCTCGGATTCCGATCGTCATCCAGGATACAGGCCCCGTCTACAGTCTGCCATGGCTCCGGATCCTCCCTTCCATTCCGCCCATGGATTCGCATTGATGGCGGATCATGTTTACACATGGACACACACAAACACAGACAGCCTTGCATGTCCCTCTCGAAGCTGCAGCGATACACAGGCTCCATCATGTCCCAGCTTGGAAGTGCGGGATACACAGCATCGTCATGTACTAAGCCCAAAGCGACATGCACTGTACGGCGACAAGAGCGGCATCCTTGCTAGGCGTGACGCCACCAGATCATCTGTGGCTGGTCTCCCGCCAAGTGCCATGAATCGTGCTCCAGCAGACAAGTCATCATGACGCGATGGCATCCACATGGGCCTCATCCATTCGCTGTGCCTGCCGAAGACGCGTCTGCTTCAACACACCTCAGGCTGCGCACTCAACGGCAGACGGCATGGAAACAATTCCCAATCTTTCCCGTCCAGTCTGGATCCGCCCGGCACGTGCGCGGCCGGCTACTCCAGTGTGCGCATTCAATCGCATCAATCTGCACACCATTGTCCATGACCACTTTTCAACCTCCCGCTACCAACCCTCTTACATGAATAGGCCATATAATGTGACGAACACATGGGGATGGCCAACATTCTCCGCTCGCGCAGGCGATCCACGCTCCACCAGACCCTCCCGCAACAAGCTCTGTTCACAGTCCCAATGAAACCCCATTCTCGCTCAACAACACATCCTTGTTCCCATCACCCCTCATCCCAGCTCCAACCCCAACTCCCGTGCTCGCAAGGTATATACTGGTACAAAGGGCAATATTCGACTTGCAAACAACGACGTTTGTTAACAAAATGAGGTGCCTAGCTGCACCGTACCCTGACATCTTCGGTGCCTTGCCCTGTACATTCGTCTGCCTACTTTGGAATTCTCGGGAGCCCGCGCGTGGACAGCTCTTCATTCCGAGAAAGTAACGGCTTCACAACCCATCGGGTCCTCTTCCCAGGCAATCACAGCCTTACATTGCCTTGAGCCTCAACTTGCTCGCTATTGGCCGACTTGCCTGCCCAGCATCATCGTATCACGCTCATCTGTCCTCTTTAGTAAGCCGACCAGGCAGAAGCCTGTTTCTATTTGCCTTTATTTATTTCCGCATCTGCACTGGCATGCTTCATGGAAGGCGACCAATCACCTGCCAGCTCTGCTGCTGAGGTGAGGGGGAGCACAAGGCAACACGCCTGGCTCGTATCCCAAACACGGCATTCCGACAGAATATATGACTCTCGCGTCATGATTGGTGCTTTGGTATATATTTATTTTTCTCTCCCTCCCATCGGTGCCTAACTCCGTCCCGAAGGCTCCAGAGTCGGGATGCCGAGAACGTTTCAAAGCACAAGCACAAGCGCAAGCTCAGCGTTGGGGGGAGGGGCGCGGCAGTCGAGAATAGATCAAAAGTTTTGGGGGATGCGCACTGAATGTCTCATCCCGTGTCCAGATGGCGAGAAAAACAACATTGACTCATCCGCGGGTTTTGTCGACTCTGCCAGCGCGAGTAACAACGGCATATACAGTGCCATGGATCGCTAACCTCCTTCCTTCCTTCGGTAGCACTTTGCGGGGTTGCAGAAAGTGCATAACTGTGACTCACCGCGTGGAACTACCCTGCGCACCAACTCCGCGAGCCATAGAGGAAAGAAGAAGAAGAAGAAGACAGTCCGAACGGGTCAAAGTAGCGAGTAGCGAGCCTTGATAGTACCACATGCGTGGGTACGGTAAAGCACCAAGGCTGAAGCTGCGAATGTAGGCAAGTGGGTCTGCCGTTTCTTAGGGCTGACCACCGGGGGGAACGGGGGGAAAGACCTGTGTGGGCAGCGGGCGGGTGTAGCCGACCCTTCGCTCGCGTGGTTCTGAACGGTGGAGAAGCTCTTCACTGTATTTTACTCGAGGCCAAAAGAAACCAAGATAATGGAGTGAGAGTGAGGTTTGTCTCGCACGAACAACCATGTGTGTGAGTGAGAGTGAGAATGAAGGAGCAGAGCACATAAGCAGAAGACACGATATTGTATATCGAAAATAATCCCCGACTTTCTTCGACTCGACCGACGGGGGTTGGAGCCGTAAAGCGGTCTTCGTATTTCCCTCCTTCGCCATCGCGATTAGCCCATGTATATGTGTGTGGACATGAGTACGGTGTGTGTGTTGGCCTGATATCAGGCGGCTAGCCTTGTGGCATCGCCAGGTTGGACATGCGTGTTGCAATTCAGCCGGGCCGTCGAACGACAATGAATGCCGGCATGGCCCAATCTACAGGATTGGCTGTGAGCGGATACGACGTGGCTTTGCAGATGACTCTCGACGCAGCTGTGGTCAGTGGTTTTTTTTACCGAGTGCGTCTGCCTATGCGAGACTCTCCTCCCATATTGTTGATTGCGTTAAACGCATGGACCTTATCTAGCGCGACAAGAAAGGGGGGGTTGGTTATACCGAGTTGCAATCTCTGGTCGGTGTGGTGGGTGGGGGCATAGAGTCACGACTGTGCTGCTCTGTGGTCGCACCTTGTGAGAGGCATGAAGCGTCAGCTGAAGGATTGCTAGGTCGTCAATTCAACGTGCCAATGCTCGTGATCAACGAGGGATGGTTTACGAGACTGCATTCAGTTCATGGTATCCTTGTAGGGACATGTGCTTCGTAGCTAGGTTGATAACACTGGAGCGGGTGAGATAAGCCTACCCGTACTCGTTCGTACTCAGAAACGCCCTGACAATACCGCTACCTTCGGTGGAATGAGCATCGAATCTTGATCCGCCGATGCGAGACTATAGCCGGCTTCCTGTAGATATCGAATTATATTATTGCTTGAAAACATTCCATCTCTTCGCTCCAAAAGGAATATTTCCCTTCATGATAGCGATTCATCCACCCGGCCCCGGCAATCGCCCCTCTGACATGGGACTCTGCATGTCCTTGACCCACTGGCAGTAACCAGAGCCACAGGCGTGTTTGCTGCTTCCTACACCTCGGCGATTGCTAATATTAACTTCAATACACGCGCCAACCCTTTAGGTCCCGAGGACCAATTGGTTGATGCTCGAATCGCTCTCGTTGCTAGCGGAATGACTAGCAAGAGACAATTGCAATTGAGACAATTTCTGCCCTCTTGCCCAGAATCCTCATATCAAAAGACTCTCAAATAGGTGAACCCACGTTCTCCAGAAGAATCTTCACTGATCAGTTCCTAACCACGACACAATTTTACTTTCACACCGGATATTGCCTAAAAGAAATAGCGGGAGTGCTGTGAGCTCGTACATGGCTAGATGCGTTCCCTCGATCGCACATTGTGAGTTCCAGGGAACAGCTGCGTACAGATCGAGTTCGACGAAGCGGAGGATGATCTCTGTCAACTGCTAAAAAAGTAGTCCAAGGCAAATCCGAAGTGGATATTGCTGACTGACCAAGGCGGGATGTATCATGATACACACGATCTGACGACGTTTGAACATCGCTGGATCTACTCAACGAAGCAGATTGCTGGTAGGGATCTAATGAATCTTCACGCGTGTTGTTTTTACTCTTTCCGGGTGTAGAGCCTTCTCCCTCGACCGACGCTCTCTCATCGAGTGAGGAACCATTACGACTCTCTGGCAACGGACTCTCTCGCAGAGCAGTCGTTGAGAGTATTGAAGGCTGGTATGTTTCCAACGCTGCATCTGGCGAGTAGTGCTCCCGAGGATCATCCCCGAAGGTAAAGGTAGGGATAGCAGCTGGAGACGCTTGGGCAGTCGATGCTGACTGCATAGTAGCATTCGACGGAGATAGTTCATCAGCTGGAGGCTGATGTGGTTGTTGTTTCATGTCCACTTTCGATCCTTCAATTTTGTGTAGTACTTGGACAGTAATGTCGGGTGCGATGAGGGAATCTGGACCAGCAGCCTGTTGCTTAATTGCCAGATCCTCGTGAACATCCAAGCTTTTCCGAAGACCAGGATCGCCGTCCATAGTATTCTTGGCTGATTCATTAGTGTTTATTAGGGGCGGACCCTGTTCCTCGGTGGCAAGGCTCCTGGGGATTGACGTACGTGTTTGTTGCGTTTCCCTGAAGTCCACACGTTTGCTGTCATCCGATATATCAATATAGAACTTTCTTTGAATAGCAGTGCTGCTCAAGCAATCATAGACCCAATTTTGAATCTTCTGTTGTGTGGAAGGATTATCAGACAAAGTCTGAACAGCGCTTTCAGTACGGACTGTGACATGGTCCTCAAACGCTGTTGGTGTTGGGTTTTTGGAGTGCATGGGATCAGACATTCGCCGGTTCAGTGGTGGGAGCGGTTCGTTGGCAGACAAAAGAAGTTGTCTGAGACTCTGAACTTTGACTTCGCTCGTCATCAGCCTTTCAAGGAGCTCGAGCTCCGGCGAATCATCTGGCAACATGAGTGATTCGGGCATTACCTCCAAGTCGTCCATGTGTTTGGATTGCTCTTCCCGAAGATGATAGAACCGTTCTCTCAGGTAATGAAGCTCAGCTTCTGCCATTCTATACTGCTCCTCCACATTGACGGTGGAGATTGGTTGTTTGCGATCTGGAGAATGGAGAACTGTGGGAGTCGGAGGTCGAGATGCGGATGGCGAAGAAACGTCCGTCGCGGCTAGTTTGGAGAAGAGTTCATGCAGCTCGAATTGGTACACATCGTTTTCTTTTTCCATGAAGGTCCATTCTAGTCCGCTCAGGGTGCGCTCGGCCTGCAAATACTCCTCGTCCATGACTCCCAATCTGTCACGAGCAGCCTCGACATTGTTGTATGCGTCGTGGAGGATGGGCGGGAACTCTTCTCTTCTTTCAAGATAGAACTGGCGTACTATGTTCATAAATTGTGCTTCGACATCACCTGTCTTCTTACGGTGGTCACTCAATCGATTGCTTGCTGATCGTATCTTCTCGCGTTGGATCAATAGATTTTCGCGCGAGCCAGCGAGTTCCTCCTGGACCAATGAAGCCTCATCCAGGCGTCGCTGGATCTTGGAAAGAAGGGATTGATTGTAGCGACTGGGACCAGGGGGAGCGATACGTTCTTTATCAGAGTCCTTCTTCATGACCAAAGGACCAAGTGAAGATTGTTTCTGTGTCATGTGTTATGCTGGAAGCATGCCGCGAAGGATTCAAGATGGCTGTTTTAGGAGGGGACAAAAGGACATGTAACCACAGGCGATGGTACACGTTTCCCAGGACGCGGAAGCATGCCCCGGACCAGTAGCCTAAGAGAAGACGAGTTCAAAGAACATGGTGGCTGCTGTCTGGATGTAGTGTTATACGTGTGATATCGTGAGAGGTGGTGCGGAACGGAATGGGTGCAGATGGGAAGGCTGAGCAGGGGGGGTCAGACAAACAACGACAACGAGGACAAAACAGAAGGAAAAACCAAGGGAAGGGAGCGCCCAGCTGATATGTGCGAGCAGCAGCAGGGCAGGGAATGGTAGGACAACGAGAGGACAATCAAATGGGAACGGCATCCCAGTCCAAAGAGGCGGCGTGTTATCGGGCGGGCAGGCAGGCTGGTGGCATACCGCAACTCTATCCGGCGCCGTGCCCGGACAGGTATGCGATGGGGGGGATGAGGTGGGATGGCCGGATGGGATCAATCAAAGGGGACAATCAAAGCTTGGATAGCATACAGACATGGATGCCCGTCCGCGTCGTGTCGGCTGACTGACTGACTGGCTGGATTCCGATACAGCGGTCACCGAGAGTGTGTGTGTCTGTCAGCTTGGCGGGTCAATCCGGCCGCCCGCCCAGGGCAGCCACCACCACCACCACCACCATCTCCATAACCACGACCGCTACCACCGCTCCCACCACAAAGTGCCATCCCGCGTCTCCGATGCATCCCTGGCCTCCGTACAGTCACGCTCTTCAGCTGCACCGTCCACCTAATATTCGGGTGCATATGCTTGATGCAAGACACCAACACGACTCCACCCATTCTCATGCACTCCACTGGTTCTGCGAGCGCCCATCGATGGCGAAGAGCAGAGCCGCATCTCGTCCACTGGCTATATAAAGCCCGGCCAATCGAGGCTTGACACAAATTAACTCGCTGCCAGCACAACAGTTCCAAGTACATACACCTCACCACATGCTTGCCTGAGACATCATGTCCGACGGCAACGGCGCACCCTACTACTACGTTGCACAGGATGACCAGGGTAAGCTAAGCCTAGCCAGACCACCACCTCATTGGGATACACGAACCATCAATGCCAACATTTGAATGCGCCCACAGACAGACACTATGCAACAGGCCAACAACAGTGGCCTCACGCATCGAACCCCCAAACTTCGCAATATGGCTATCCCAACAATTATCAACAGCCCTCCTACTCAACCTCAGCTTCGGCTTATCACACTCAACAGCAACAACAGCCAGGATATGCGGCCCAGCCATCTTATTCAACCCAAGCAACGAATCCAGCATACGGCAACACCTACTCATCCTATAGCAACAGTGGCCAGCACCAGCCTGCTCAGAGCAATTACTCTTATTATTCGCAAGATGCTTCCCAGTCTCAACAAAGCGCTTATCAGCAGGGTGCTTACACTTATCACAAGTACACATTCACTTCCTACTCTCTTGAATTAACAACTGAACTGGCAGCAGCCGCGCTGATTCGGGTAATGCTGGCTCCTATTACCAGCCTATGCACCAACAAAGCGCCACCTCAACTGGAAATGAAGCACGGATGCCAGAACCGCGTGAGTATACATACACCTCGAGCGCAATCAACAACTGAAATTGACATCACGTGTACAGTCGATCCGACCGTGAGAGCTCAGCTTCCTGATCTCATCGAGGGTACGCCTGACCGGGGCTGGTACGAAACCCTCGATTCTAGTAAGCCATCCCACACAGTCCACATACTCTATTTTACTCACATTCCCAGGTTATCGCATGCGAACAGGCCAGGAAGCTCGTCAATTCTTCAAAAAAGGAAGAGTAAGACTTGTCTTCTTTCTTCAACACTTGACCTTTCGAGTCTGGCCCAAGTGCATGTGAACGCACAACATGTAGCATGCTGTCATCAGCCGTAGCCTCGTCGAGACTACACGCCGGATTTGACCTACTGACACTGTATCAGGTGTTTGCCATGCTATATTCTGAGGCTATGTCGGAGACCCTGGCCCGACGCGGAAACGAGAACGACGCTGTTACAGTTGTCAGGTTTGGACAGTACGTATACTCGCAAATTCGGCGTTTTGTCGTCGTCTCTGTCAGACACGGGTTTGTCAACGCCTGTGCCATTTCTACATATTCCCAAAGGTATGAAATCCTTGTGCCATTTGAACCGTATCCTCTTGTATATTTACCACATCTTGTTCAGAGGTGTTCTCAAGCCAGGATGTGATCCTTCGGAGCATACCATCGTCTACACCCAGGGAACTAGCCCCACGTATATATCGGGCGAACACGAAGCTGGTATGACCAAGGAACCCATCGAAATCATTCCAGCCGACAGCAGCGTAGTCATCAGCCCTTATTCTCGACTCAGGCTAGGCAAGACTTACCCGATAGAGTGGAATGTCAAAGTCAAGGACATTGGTCAGGTTCACCCTGAGCACCTCAGCAAATTGCTCATGTACTGGCGTAGCGAAAAAGACGACGACTCCGACTAAAATTGCCACTGATGTCACACAGCTTCCTTCTTGTTCCGTTTTTCTTCTTTTTTTCTTGGACCGCCTCGCAAATTGAAACCAGACGTGTTGGACCATATTCTTTACCCAGTAGAGCCATCTTGAGATAGGCACAGAGCCCCTGAACGATCCACGACTTCCCCGTTCTCACGATATACGTTTTATATTTTCCTTGGTCTGTTAACATTCACCGACGTTTCTCATGTTCTGAATGTAATTCTGGTTAGTCGTTTTTCGGTAGTTCCTACTTTTTCTTAACTAGTTGTTACTGAAGATACACTGAGTCAAAGCACAAAATGTGTGTCATTGTTAGCGCTACATCATGTATCAAGCCGGTGCGTAGAGTCGTAGGTAATAGGTTCCTTTGATCAATCTACACTATTTCGTTGTACGTGGATAAGGTGCAGGCATTATTCGCAACCATTTCGTGGCAAATGACGACATTTCCGATGCAGCATGCATCATGCTGTTGCACAAGGTCTACGTGAAAGTGGATGTTGTACTCTGGCACGACGATACTTGGAAGGAAAAGCTAAAGCTACATGATGACCAAATCGGAGTGTTGGGATATCCAGAGGAGTATCGAAAAGAGCCGGGAACCATCCCAATTATATTGGACGCATGAACCGTGCTATTCGAGAGGCTGTACCGTTGGGGGTGAGTGAAGAGCGGATCGACAGAGTCGTGGGACCCAAAGTTCCTGGGGGTATAGAAGCACAAGAAGGTTATGAAAAGATCAATCCTTTCAACCTTGAAAGGTTGGACATGGAAATATCCACGTTCCGAATTAAACATTCTTCTGAAGCATAAACGTAAAGCTCTGTGTGATTGGTCAATTGCAGGCAAGGTTGAAGGAGAGGCGGAAAGCTAACAAGCGGGCAAGAGTTTCTCCGGAGCGGGGCGCGCTAGCTCGAGATTGGCATGGCGTACCTGGTCGAGATGGAAAAAAGTTCGGGACGGCTCACCACCAAATCTTCACCGACTACCAAAACAGCAATCCCAACAATGCCTAAGAGAAAGTTGAACGAAAAAGACGTCCCCGAGGCTCTTGAGCCAACTGAGCCAACTACCACACAGACCGAAACCCCTTCGGACGAACCTGTTAAGAGTGTACAAATCACTTTCGCATCACTCGACCTAGAGCCGCGCCTTTTGCGAGGCATTCGGGATCAGAAATGGTCAGCACCTACACTCGTTCAGAAACAAGCGATTCCTTTAGCTCTCGAGGGCAAAGATATCCTGGCACGATCGGGCACGGGAACCGGAAAGACCGCTGCCTACGTTCTGCCAATCCTTCACCACACCATACGGCGCAAAGACAAACGCGTTACCTCTTCGCTCATCTTGGTACCGACGAAAGAACTCGCAGGACAGGTCACAAAGCTCGCACAGTCTCTTTCTTCGTATTGTGGCCAGGATGTGCGGATACAAAATCTGGCTGGGAAGGAATCAGATGTGGTACAGAAGGCTAAACTCGCCGAATTCCCCGATATTGTGGTTGCAACACCTGCCCGAGCTGCTGCAAACATGAATACAGGAGCGCTGTCGCTGAAGAATCTTGCACATCTTGTTGTGGACGAGGGAGATTTGGTCATGGGTTACGGATTCAAGGAAGACCTGGATTACATCTCTCAAAATATGCCCAAGGGAGTCCAGATATTCCTCATGAGCGCAACGCTCAGCACAGATCTTGATGCTGTCAAAGGACTGTTCTGTCGCGACCCTGTTGTTCTCAACTTGGACGACCTTGAAAGAGGCTCGCAGTTGGTGAAGCAGTACGTGCTGCCTTGCGGCGAAGAAGAGAAGTTTCTCATTGTGTACGCCATGTTTATGCTCAAACTCATCCAAGGAAAGAGCATCATCTTTGTAGGAGACGTCGATCGATCCTACAGAGTAAAGCTTTTCCTGGAGCAGTTCGGTATCAAGAGCTGCGTTCTGAACAGCGAGCTTCCCCTGGTCTCCCGGTTGCACATCGTCGAAGAATTCAACAAGAACATATACAATATCCTCATCGCTTCCGACGAGGCCGAACTGGTCGGCACAATCCAAGACGACGAGAAACGACCCAAAAAGAAGGCGAAAACCGAGAGCGGCAAGTCTGATTCAGGAGTCTCGCGAGGTATCGATTTTCGCAACGTCTCGTGCGTGCTCAACTTCGACATGCCTGCAAACTACAAAGCGTATTTCCACCGTATCGGCCGGACGGCGCGAGCCGGCAAGAGCGGAACTGCAATCTCTTTCGTCATTCCTAAGGACAGGTACCGCAAACACAAGCCTACAACTTTTGCGGGCGCGGAGAAGGATGAGGAAGTCCTGAAGAAGATAAACAAGCACCAGAAAGAAGGACAAAAGATTGAAGACTGGAAGTTCGATATGAAGAAATTAGAACCCTTCCGGTACCGCTTCGCAGATGCGTTAAGACATGTTACCAAGATCGCTGTCCGAGAAGCTCGGATCAAGGAAATCCGGATGGAGCTGGCCAAGAGTCAAAAGTTGAGCAGATACGTAAGTCGCTTCCCTCAACCAAACCCCACCATCAGCATTTCTCACGACATGTACAGTTTGAAGAACATCCCGACGAATTAGCACATTTGAAACACGACCAGAATTTGAATCACCCAGCAGCCATTCAACCGCATCTCAAGCATGGTAAGTATCTTGTTTTCTACCTTAGTTATGTAATATTCTAACTCGGCTTGAAGTTCCCGACTATCTCCTCCCCGGTGGCAGAAAACCACAAGACATCGGTTTCGTCAGCATGGACAAGCCGAAACCCCCAAGATTCGTCAAGAGAAAAGGCAAGAAGATCGTGAGGGGAAGGAACGGCAAAGTAGACCCATTGAAAACTTTTAACGCCAGGGGTAAAGGGAAGAAATGAGAATGTTATCGTAAGACTTTGTGGATAGCTCGGAGGGACCTGATAATGCTCACGATTGGGGCTGCAGAAAATGAATCAATCCCGTTGTCAAAACAAAAGAAATTCCAATACTTTTTCTCCTGCCCGTCTTGATACAGCAGTTGCTGCTACTAGCATGCAGTATCGATCATGCATGGTGAAGTTGGGCAGTGCAAGATGATAAGCCGCTCAGAATGCCTTAGCGTTCCTTGACTGAGCCTTTTCGCATCCTCGATGTCTCTGCCGGGTGTTTGCACCATTGTCTATACCTGGTAGCCGAGTATTAACCAGAAGAGAAGCGATAGAGTAAAGTTGGAAGTTGGGTGGAGAAGAGAAGAGAAGAGAAGGTGGGTAGACAACAAGAGCCTTTTATAGTACTCGTAGCTTCCCAATTGAGAAGAAGTGAGAGATGCCCACGCATACTGGTGCCTGATAACTTAGGTGATTGTGACGAGACACTAATATATGGTGGATAACTCTGATATATTTGAGCGTATTGACTCGGGGTGAGCGGGATGGAGTCTCTAGTTCATCACCTGCAATGCCTATGAACTTTCCATCTTGCATGGTGTGGTTTTCTGCAACGAGAACAATCATGAGCGAACGAAGAGATCACACTTACAAACCTCATCATCAGAGCGATTGATTCAATTAAGTCATCCAAAGACGTGGGATGATCTTGGTCCTTCATTGGGTTTTTATCATTATACATTAGAATCATTATTGGCACGTCTATGGCAATTTGCCAACGTTCGGTATCATGAATCATGCAAGTCCACCCACGATATTACAATACTGCCTGAGCCAGTTCCTACCACCGCAAGTACGCATATCCGCGGGAAGATGTTGACTTCTCCTTGGAACAATTCCCAGAATCAACATGCAAGAATATGATCATTGCTCGTGTTGAAGAACCTGAGATCATACCTACCTATAAATGGAGTCTTGATGATACGAAAGTCCATTCCCTGGTATCCAAAGTAACACTTCAGACCTTCCTCGAAGCCGTCGAGATGTAGGCACATCATCGCGAAGATCTTGAGGCGCGCCAACTTGTTGAGGAACGGCGCGATGACGTCCAAGACGGCGAAGCGCATGGCATCAAGCGGATCCACAGTGTTCTTCCAGAGCAGAGACATGGATTCCAGCAGCTGCTCGACCTCTCCTACTGGTGTGTCGTCCCGGTGATGACCCAGGGAGCGAACGTTTAGCCAGGTGTGCGAGACGAGGCTTATGTGGTATTGGACGTAGTCCTTGAGGATGCGGTGAGCAATTTGGACATATGCTGAAATAGCGTGCTGGGCCAGAGTTGGGATCATGTACTTGTTGGCGAGAATATAGGCGTGGACGTGCATATCGAGCATCGTCAGACGAGGGTAGTGCTTCAGGGCGAGGGGGTCGAAACTATAGTATCCTTCTTTGAGGAACATGATCATCGCTTTGACGCCGTAGGGGAAATCGCCGCGGAGACGAATTTTGCCAGTGCGGGATCCCTTTCTCATAGTTAGTGTATCAGTAATGAATCAAAGAGGTCAAATCAGTGTGTACCTGGAATTGACCGTTGAAAGCTTTGTCGAAGAACGTAGAGCTGTTGCAGATGAGGGTCCGGTCAATCATGGTCAGTTCGGAACCCTTGGCGAAGTAGATGATGACCTCGTCGGGATTAAATTGGGGAGTTTCCCTTGCAAATCAGCTTCAGTGGTTGTTGTATGGCCAATTGGAACTTACTGCCATGACATGGTCGAGGTGGTAGAGTGTTGACGCATATCGGTTTTGCGGGCAACAGTGGAGTCCTTGGAGGCCAAATTCAGGGCCTGAGAAGCAACAGTAGGCTCCGAAAAGACACATGCTTCTTCTTTGACCATTGCCATTGTTGTGTTGACGGGGAAGAATTGCGTAGCTGCACTGGCATTGCAGTACTTGAGGTAAGAGACACAAGAGGTCAAGTGGCGAGAAATGAGGGTTTCCAGCACGACTTTGTAAACAAACAAGCAAACAAACACGTCGCGTCGTAATCTTACGGTATGAAGCTACAACCAAACGTCAGATAAGCCTACATATAAACAACGTCGCGTCTGCCTGTTCGAGGTGACGTCGCAAGAAGCTTCTAGATATGAGAAGTACTCACCTTCAACAACCGTTCCTCTTCCGAGTCAATTGATGTGCAGCTCGCTGGCTTTGGTATCATAAAACGTTTCTGATAATTTCCCGGCTGTCAGAAAGATGTATCAATTTTAGAGTTGCAAGCTGGGTGTTCTGGAGATACTCAATTGAGGAGGCCAAGAGCACTCACCCCAAGACTTGAGCACTGAAGCACCAAACCGAGCAGTCTGTCTCCTTCAAGGACACTATCTTCCCATAAATTGCCACACCAATTCACCAGTCAAGTGTCGTTCCCGATCACAATGATATCTCTCATCTGGCTATTATTTTCAAAGTGTAGGCGCTGTAGAAGCCATGGCTACGATGCGAACCAATCGAAATCTAGCAAAGCTTAGCTCATCATGAAAAGGATAGCTTTCGAATAAATATGCGAGGCTTGCAACACGCGACATGCAAAACATTTTCCATGTATGTATGTTTTACACGTCATTGCGTTGTTCCTCCTCTAGGAGACGCTTCTTGGCGGCTTTCGTTTGACGGCCGTGAACTAGGTACCGTGTCCACCCTCCTCCAAACCGCAAGCTGTAGCTGTTTACTACCCTTCCACCCCAGACTGCGCATCTCTGAATACGCACACTCCGTCATGATCTCCATCTCTCTTCTGTCGGCTCGCCTGACCGCCGGCAGCGTCCACACACTCGAATTACGGTGCCGTGCTGTGTGTCGTCGGCAAAATGGAGCTCTCGCTGCCGCTGCAATCGCTGTATCAGGTTAGCGGGATTATAGCGGGCTGGGATTCATCAATCTTCCTCCTCCCTCACGCTTCTAGTTCCAGCACTTGAGTACTCGAGAACAATCCCTCTCGTCTTGTCCGCTGCTTGTCTCCCACCTTCACCTCCCGAGTTCCCGCAAAAGCCCGGACCATGCTCCATGAGCGCCCATCGTCATTTGTCACATCTTCAACACGTCCCATCGGCCTTTGAAGCTTGTGCTCTCTCACTTGCTCCGCACTTCATCGCTCGCCCGTCTACCTACGTACCTCATTTCGCCCACCCTCTCTCCCAAGCGTGAGCACCGAGCTCATAGCTTCTCCTGCATTCTTCCATTAGTCCAATAACCACCGCTTCTCTTCATCCCATCGGCTTATTCCTGCCGCCTCTGTCCTCGGCATTCCGCCCACCCCGTTCTCGCGCGCTCTACGAAACCCTCCACAATCGACTCAATTCCTCCCCTCTCCCACCAAAGAGGTACATTGCCTGTGAACGAGCCTTTTCGCAAGTTCAATGTCGCCCCGTCGATCGTCAAGGGCTCGTACCACGCAGCCCCCACCCGGCGTCACGGCAGCACACAGCACCTCTTCGTCTTCGGCTTCGTCCTCGCGCGGCGATCGCGCGACAAGAGCTAATCACAAGCAGTCGTCGCCGCACAAGTCCTCCACCCCTCATTCGCTCTCCTCCGAGGAGCTCGATGAACCTCCTCGCGATGCTCAAGTCGAGCCACCCTTGACCCGTCGTCGCACGCGCGAGCAAGATGTCGATGACAACGAAACCACAAAGCTTGACGATGAGCTCGAAGACGAAATCACAGAGGAGGATGAGGTTACACGCTGCTTGTGTGGGCAGCAGGAGTACCCGGGTCCACCTTCGGATGCCGGCAAGTCCAAAGATGGTCTTCCCGCCTCTTTGACAGATTCTGACATTCAGGGTGATGAAGCAGGTGGCCTATTCATCCAATGCGACATTTGTAAGGTTTGGCAGCACGGGGGTTGCGTCGGCATCATGGACGAAGCTGCCAGTCCCGACGAATACTTTTGCGAAGAGTGCAGAGACGATCTACACAAGGTCATGGTGAGCTCCAAAGGGTACGTTGCGTCTCCTCCCACTGCTGTGGGGTACCCGAATTGCATTTTGCGCTTAATCTAGTCAATCGCTGCGAACCACCTTTGCCGCCATTGACTGGTGTTTATTTGCCACAGTACGGCTAACTATTTCTCACAGACAAAAGTACTCCCATTACCTTCCTGTATACGATGTGCATCACGGAAAAGGCGCCCGCAAATCGTCGATATCTAAAGAATCAGACGGCAAATCGGCGAGGGACAAAGAACGCGTCTCGCGAGCAAGCGCTGAGTCGTTCAGCAAACGGAGATCAACAATGAATAGTAGGGCAGCTTACGATGAGGATGAGGTCCTCCGCAAGGTTCTTGAAGAGAGCAAGCACGAAGGTCCGACGGAAGCGTCAGAGAACGGGACCCGCAAAAAGCGTAGCCGAGACGAGAGTGAGGAGTACGTTGGTTTGCTACGTCAATTGGGCAACGGGCAATTGGATGCTGACAAGCTTTGCGGTAGGACTAAGCCGGAAGTCAAACGACAGCGTACGGGATCTCGATCACCTAGCAATTCGCCGGTCGTAGAATCTGAAGACGACAGCACTACGGTTTCAGCGCCTAAACAAAAACCTCGTGGTGCAGCCGCAAAAAGTCAACGGGAGAAAGAACTTCGTGAGAAGGAGAAGGAACGAGCTGAAGCTGCCAATAGACGAAAAGGTCGTGCGGAGCGAAGAAAAGGAGAAGGTAATGGGTGTTTGCAGTCATTTGAAGATGACGCTGACGTCTCAACAGACTCAGAACCTCCAGAAGCTCCTCCGAACGAAGAACCTGCTATGGTAGCGCCCGCGACCGAACCAATCCCCCCCGAAACACCCACGACTGAACTCAAGCCCGCCCCGGCCCCAAGAAAAGGAGGACGGCCACCGAATAAACGACAAAGCCGTCTCGGACGAAATCAGTACACAAAAGATGCGCCAGCTGGTGCTACAAACGGGGCATCTCCCGCGGCCAATGATGATATACCCAATTCGCCTCAGCCAAATGCTGTCAATGGAGCAGTAAATGGTCATGATAGCAGCGACGGTACAGCAGGAGGCAGACAGGCCAAACCAAAGAACTCGCGGCTGCAGAAGCTGTCGTGGCACGATATACGACGGCCTGCGGGAGCGATGCAGAATTATATCGCCCAGCGCCAGGTTGATATGGCTGGGGAGCGAAATGCTATATCGCCAGCCGTCAGAACACCTCCTACTCCGGCAGCCAACGGCGTGTCCCCGCCGGAGGATACCAAAACAGAGGGCGACGACCTCGATTCGTTCAAAGGTCTAACTACTCTTCAAATGATGGATCACCTCAGTCGCGACCTTACACACTGGCAGCAGATGATATCTACATCGGACGGGAAGTGACAACTGGCAGAAGTTCATGGGCGTGGTCGGGATGATGTAAGAAGTGAATGGCGCGATTGCAAAACACGCATTTCAGCGTTTCCCCTGGCGTTTAATGGCATTGATTCAAAAGGTCCGTGGGATGGATACCCTCCGCTTTTCTGTCTTTGGGCGCAACATGGCATTAGGGACGACTATTGTTCATTATTTCTTTCTTCTTAAGTTTCAATCTGTGATTATTATACATAGGGGGAGCACAACGCTCGGATAGCCTTGAACCAATTCGATTCGATTTGACAGTTGCTCACAGGAGTGCAAGCACTGAACTGTATGGAGTAATTGATGATGCAGAAGAAGATGTAGCTGAACCCCTCTTCTCCCCTCTTCTCGTCAGGAACCGGTACAAGGGTGACACAGACCAAGCCACAATGACGTACCTCGCTCCTTCCTCATCCATACCCACGTCGGAAAGGAAACCTTGGAAAACTCACGTTTCATATGCCAACATCGACGTAAAGCTCTTCGAACATTATCATCAAAGCCTCGAATTCACTGCTGTTCGCTGTGTCCAAAGTTGTTGCTTTTATTTTCTTGACATAATTCGGAAACTTCGATCCTTCGGGAAAACCAGCCAACCAGCCAACCAACCAATCAACATGTCGATCCCGGTCCTCTTCACGCTTCCCCCGTCTAACCGCCATGAGGTGATTCTTATCGACACGACGGCGAAACTCAGCTTGAAGGCTTTGAACAAGCAGATTACTAGCACTATTGCTGAGAGTCCGAACTGTGCAGAGTGTATGTCTCCCCTTCAATTTAATTCATTCTTTTTCCATAAACCAAGCTCTACTTTCCCCCAGAAAGTCTTGGTTTTCTTCTATGGTCATGCCATCTATTTGCTTTCCCTGTTCTTCAAACCCCAGATACCAAATATGAAAATACGCGAGAAACTGACGCAAGAAAAAAACGAAATCAGTCATGTCCAAGTACAAATCCAAGGAAGCGCCGCAGGAATCGATCCAGGAGTTCCGCATCCACTGGAGCGAGGCTGGTCGGGACCGCAAAGTGTGGCCCGAATACACCATCTTGACCGAAGCGAATCTCCCTGCCGTGCTGGAGTTGTTGAAGATGGGCGCTGGCAAGGATGTTTTGGAGATCAAGGTTGCTGCTGCGGAGTAGTGAGGGGGCTGATTATGGGGGTGTTGATGTTTTCTCATGGAAGCGTGGTTCATTATTCAAAAAGGTTGATTGGGTGGGCTGTGGGTTGTTGGAATTAATCTCACTGTCATGGGGACTCTTTGGGTTTGAAGATTATGAATGTCCTTGATTTTTTTTTTGTTTATTTGTTGAGTATAGTTGCTTAGCACTTTTTTCTGTCTTGCCTTTTGCAGTTGATTTCGTGAGTCTAGTTTGCAATCATTGCTAATGGCCTTTTTATTGTGTTGGTAGTGAGTTAGTTTGATGTCGGGAGAGAGCAGGGAAGAAGAATGTATCCGATTGACATGCGAACGGGGCCTGTTTTTGTCTTCAGGTCAGAATTCACTGGCCGCAAAGATTATTAAGTTTATGTAGTAGCGCTAGAGTCACTTGACTAGTTACTTGCGAAGAGGATAATTTGACAAGTATGATATGATGTCTCGTTCATTGCAGGAAGAAGGACGGTTTTCTAAACTACCAGCAAACCGATTCATCTAACGTACAGACCAATCACCGAAGTGAAAGTCTAATACGTAGCGCTATCCAAGTAGATTGCACTAGGGGGCTGAGACCCCTAGCACCGCTTATATATAGATGTGTGTATGTATGCACGTGGTATATACATTCCATGCTTTTGGACGTGACATGGCATCACTTAACAAGACATGAACAAGGACTGATGGAAAGGATCGTAAGAAGAAAGGGAGGGTTGTTTATTCCATAGGGATGGAGTTGTTCGTTTCATTCGTTCAGGTTTAGCTGTTTGGGTTCGAAGTAGCCTACTTCTTGTCTTCTAGAGCTCGCTTGATGGCTGCATGTAATAGTCAGTCTACTGGTCAGGTCTTCGAGAGATAGCTAAGACGTCGAAAGGGGTGGGGGAATAATGACAAGTCTTTTCCACTTACCATTACAGCTATCATTTGCGTCTCCAAACAACATCTTTGTGTTTTCCATGTAGAATAAGGGGTTTGGCTAGGATCCTATTAGCAAATATCAAAGAATCAAAGGCGCAGCGAGTAAACTTACCACGTCCGCATAACCACTCGCCATCCCTCTCTTCATCATGACCACATGCTTACTCTTCCACGCATGCAGCACAGGCATACCGGCAATAGCGCTACCAGGTTCCAGCGCGATGGGGTTCACGGTATCGTTTGCGCCAATGATGAGCGTGACATCCGTTTCGCCAAAGTCGTCGTTGATCTCGTCCATTTCAAGAACAATATCGTAGGGAACGTTGGCTTCAGCCAGTAGCACATTGCACTGTCCAGGCATGCGTCCTGCTACCGGATGGATGGCAAAGCGTACATTGACGCCCTTTGCTTTTAGGTATTTCACGAAGTCTGAAATGGCGTACTGTGCTTTAGCGACGGCCATGCCATATCCGACGACGATGATGACGTTTTCCGAGGATGCTAGGGCCTCTGCAGTTTCTTCGGCCGTAGTCTTTGTGATTTCGCCTTCGATTTGCTTGGCTTGCGACTGTGGAGTCGGGGCCACACTGCCGAAGAGAACGTTGGTGAGGGAGCGGTTCATGGCTACACACATGATGTAAGAGAGAATGGAACCAGAGACGCCAATTAGCGCGCCTACGGTGGTTAGTAGAGAATTGTCCAGCATGAACCCTTCTGCCACAAGCGCAAAGCCGGAATAGGCGTTCAGGACTGTTATCATGACAGGGACATCACCTCCGCCAATCGCCGCAGTTGTCAGATAACCCTTCAAGAAAGAAAGGAGAGCGCTTCCAGCTAAGCAAGCTGCCCCGATCAATGGAGCACCGGGAGCATATGTCAATAGGGTTCCTAGGGTCGCCACGTTGGCTCCAAGCAAGGACGTGTTGACGACATGGCGCCCTCTGAATAGCAAGGGCCGGGAGGACATCTTGGCGGACAGTTTGAGAAAGGCGACGATACTCCCAGTGAATGTTACTCCTCCTACAAGTACTCCCAACCATGCAGATGCCATGTGGAGAGTGGAAATGTCGGCACCGCTGTGGCCAAGAACGGAGCCAATGCTAGTCAATACCGCAGCTAGCCCAACGACGGAGTGCAAAGCCGCAACCGTCTGTGGTAGGGAGGTAGGAGTGATTCTTCGTCCGATGACAAGACCGGCGACGGTGCCGATGGTAGCAACAGTAGCGAACTGAGTCAAGACGTCTGGAGCAAAGCCGACAGCAGCGAGGGAAGCCAGTATACCAGAGAAAACACCTAATATACCAAGAAGATTACCGCGGCGAGCTGTAGCCTGAGAAGCCAATCCAGAAAGCGAGGATACGCAAAGCACACTGCTCACCATATATCCTGCTTGAACAAGACCAGCCATGCCGGAACTGGCTGCAGCAAGGTAACCTCCACCGAAGAGAATGGCTGGGATTGCGTAAAGCCAAGGGTATTCCTTAGGATCTGTAGGCCTCCTGAACATGTTCAACATGCGCTGGGTGATAGTGAATCCACCGGAAACGTTGACGAAAGCCAGCAAAACGCTCAAGGCACCGAGTACGTGCGCTGGAGATTCTGGGAAGTACCCTCCTCCCATGACGAAGAAGCCACCAATTCCAACCATACCAGAGATGGCGTTTGTGACGGACATCAGGGGTGAGTGCAAGGCAGGTGCCACGCCCCAAACAACGCGGTAACCGATCAAACTAGCCAAAGCGAATGTGAAAGCGTTGCCCATAAACAGAGGTCCGGTATATTTGCCTAGAGCGACCGCGCCAGACATTGCTGCAGAAAGAGCTACAACTTCGCGAGTTTGACTCTGCCACGGCGTGAGCGCGACGATGTTTGCCACCTGATCGGCTGCGGATGGGGCTTTGGCCGCGGGTGCTGGGGGAGGTGCCGGGCGAGGAGCGGTAGGGAGAATCTGGCCATTATACGTGACAATCGAACCCCGAGTGACTTCATCCTTGAGATCGACATCGAAGTACTTTTCTTTCTTGCTTTCAGGCACGAGGGATAGTAGGAGCTTCGTGATGTTATTGGAGTAGAGCGTCGAGGACTGGGTCGGGAGTCTGGAGGGTAGATCGGTATAGCCTATGCATTGATTAGCACTCCATCAAATACGACGATTATTCATGGAATTACCAATGATTGTCACATTCTGGTACTTTGCCAATTGTCCGGGTACAGTAGCTTCGCAATTACCACCAGCTTCAGCCGCAAGATCAACCACAACCGAACCTGGCTTCATGGCGCCCAGCATGGCCTTTGTGATCAATTTAGGTGCAGGTCTTCCAGGGATCAACGCAGTGGTGATGACAATGTCAACTTCACGACACTGTTCATAGAACAGCTTCATTTCGGCCTCAATGAACTCTTTGGACATTTCTTTGGCGTAACCGCCAGCAGCGCCACCTTCTTCCTTGATTTCTACCTCGATAAATTCAGCACCTAGAGATTGGACTTGCTCTCGAGCAGCCGAACGTGTATCAAAACCGCGCACGATAGCGCCCATGCGTCGAGCCTGGGGTGACGAAAGTCAGCAAGGTAGGCAGGCACGAAACAATGGAGATGGATACATACTGTGGCAATGGCACTCAAGCCAGCTACACCGGCACCGATAACAAGAACTTTACAAGGCGGAATTTTCCCTGCAGCTGTAACTTGACCAGTCAAGAATCGTCCAAAATGATTGGAAGCCTCAAGCACTGCCTTGTAGCCAGCGATGTTGGCCATGGAGCTCAATGCATCGAAAACCTGAGCCCTCGAAATTCTGGGTACCATATCCATAGCAAAAGTAGTAGCCTTCCTCTGAGCAATCCTCTCCACAAGGGGTTTGTTTTGGACGGGATATAGGAAGCTCAAGACAGTTGCACCTTCGCGAATGGCGTCAACCTCGCTGTCTGGGCCATCAGCACTCAAGGCCCTCACTTTGAGCAAGATGTCGCTTTCGCTGAATACACTGCGGCGATCGACTGTCTTGGCGCCGGCTTGTTCGTAGGCCTCATCAGTGAATTGAGCTTCGGCGCCTGCGCCGCGCTCGATGAGAAGGCGCGAGAAACCCTTTTTGAGGAGAAGCTGGACATTCTGGGGGGTGATGGCCACACGACGCTCGCCAGGGAAGGATTCTTTGGGGATGCCGATGGTGAGGGTTGAGTAGGGACCTGCAGTGAAGGGAGGCGAAGTGGGAATCTCTGCTTCATCGCGCGGTTCCGACGCGATTGTTGCGAAGCGAGAGACTGCGAGATCCGGAACACAGAGCTGGATGGCCAGCGGCCTCGGGCGCGTCAAGCTCCATGAGCTAGGATCGGGGTGGCGGGCACGGGGTTCGGCGCTCCACGGTTTCTGGTGATAAGAAGTGCATGTGGTGGTGAAGGCTGCACGTGGGAAGCTGATGGCCGGGCGAAAGGCAAGGCGATAGGCGGCCAGACAGGTCGGGGAGCTCATGATGGGCCAAAGACGGGCATCTGCTACTACTGCCTAGGTCCTTTGTGCCTTGGTCACGGCAGCTAGGGCGAGGAAAAGGGAGAGGAATAGCAGACCGTCACCGAGACGGGGCAAGGCGGGACGCAAAGGATACATAAACGGTACCTGGATATGTATGTATTGATAGATTGGCCTCCGTATGCCCGTCACGCGATGTCGTGTTGTGGTGTGCCATGCATCAGAAAGTGTGGGGGAGCGGATTGGAGGAATGCGGGGAAATGCTAAAACAGTGGGGCACAGTCTACACTCCCTCCCGCTACCTTCCCAATGAGGCGCTTTGCCAGCTTATTGTACACTCACACCCAGCCCTTGGTATCCCGTCCTGCCCGTGCCTTGACGCCAGCCAGCCAGCCAGCCCTTTTTTGGTTTTTTACCTTGTTGCCTACACATGTGTGTATCTTACCTCTCCAACTTCTACATGCGCTCCACCGGGTTCAACCCAAGGAGGCGCATGGCATTGTTCAGCACCTGGCGAGCCGCCGTGTACAGCGCCAACCTGCATCAATTAGCCATCCGTGAAACAGTCAACTGGGGGTATTTCGAGGCCTTACCGAGCTAGCAGCACTTCACGCTCCGATCCAACAATCTGAAGGTGATCGTACGACGCCGAAAGAGCGTGCGACATCTACCGGAAAACATTAGCATGCATACACCATTTATACCGTGCCGTGGGCTTTTCTGCTCACCTTGAAAAGATATGTGAGAACCGTCGAAGGCTCCTGCGACCTGATCGTGTTGAGAAGTACATCGGGCCAGCTAGCAAGCTCTCGGACCAGCACAGTAGCTTGTGGTTCCTTGAGAAGCGTAAAGTCGGCCACCGTGGAGAGATCCAGGCTTTCAATGTCTGGATGCGCCGCAATCACCTTGCGACGGATGCTGCACAGACGGGCATGCGCATACTGCAGGTAGGGCCCCGTGTCGCCTTCAAACGAGCACATCCTGTCCATGTCGAATGTGTAGTTGTTGATTCTCTTGCCCTTCATGTCTTGCACCATGACGGCCGAGATGCCCAGCGTGTCCGCCGTCTTTACCGGGTCTTCAATCTGCGCGTACTTGTTCTCGTTTGACTTCATCACATCGTGCATCTTCTCTGCTACCTCGGCGAGGATGTCATCGAGGAACTTGGCCGTGCCTTTCCTGGTAGACATGCCGAGCACCATTCCGAAGTTGATGTGTTGGCATTTACTCGAGATGTCCTTCCAGCCCATGGCCTCTTCAATCTTGAACAGCTGCGCTAGGTGCAGATCTTGCTGGCTAGCCACCACGTAGATCATCTTGTCGAAGTTGTATTTTTCCATACGCTGTTTAGCTTCCCCGATATCGCGAGTGAGGTAGAGCGAGGTGCCGTCCTTCTTCTTCACGATAGCCTTGCCGAGCTTCTTGGAGTACTTTGTGAGATCGACAATGGTGGCGCCTTCCGACTCCTCCGAGACGCCCTTCTCTTTCATGACTTGGGCAGCCTCGTCCATCTTTTCGTCCTTGACTTGAGATTCGCCAGAGTAGTCATCGTAGTGGATGTTCAGGCGTGCGTACGTTTTCTTGTACTTCTCGATACTGAGGTCACGGAACCGCTTCCAAATGCCGAGCGCTTTCTCCTCGCCTTCGCACATCTTGACAAAATACTGCCTGGCCTGTTGATCAACACCCTTCTCTTCAATCTCCTTGATCTTCGCCTCAAGTTCGGATGCGTCTCCTTCAGCTTTGGCAATTCCCTCCTTTGCAGCTTTCACAACATCTGCCTCCTCGGCGGCCTTTTTGGAGATTTTAACGTATACGTCGTACAAGTGACCGATAGGGTTCTTGATAAGCTCTTCTTCCGAACCGTAAAGGTCAAAGCCCACTGCGAGCACACCGTATTGCTTTCCCCAATCGCCAAGGTAATTCATGCGGACCACGTCCCAGCCAGCACCATCGTACAGGTTTGCTAGGAAACCACCAATGATTGTACTCCGAAGATGGCCGGCATGGAAAGGCTTTGCGATGTTCGGGGATGAGAACTCCACGATGATCTTCTTGCGCCCTTGGGATGGGTCGGCAGGGTCTTTGAGGCCTAGGTGTTGGGCGGCCGAGAAGCCGTAGCTCGGGCCGGCTTTCAGAATATTAGGGAGGACAAGCTTTGTCAAAGGCTGTGGCTTGTAGAAGAAGCTGAGGAAAGTGCCATTGACGGTGGGCTTCTCCACGAGGGGGGATTCGGGGAATTTACCACCCAGCTCCTTTGCAAACTCGGCCATGTCTTTGCGCTTCTGACGGAGAGCCTGAACCGCAAGCTGGAGATCTCCAAACTCGGCCTTGATGGTCTTCTGCAACGTCGGGTATATGATTTTGCGCTCGATTCCCGAGGCCTGCGACAGCAACTCTGTAATGTGGGAACGGAAGAGGTCGAAGGGGTTATGGGCGGGATAGGTGTTTGGTTCGGCGGGGACTTTGTCGAGCCCCAGCTTCTGCAGCGAGCCTGCGAGGTCCTCCATGATGACGGCTGAGGTCTTGGACGCGTGTGGTTCGAAAAGGGAGGATAATGGGTTTTTTGTTTGTGAGTAGAGGCGCGAGGCCGCAAGACGGTAACGCGGAGGGGTAAATATACGTGCGAGGGCGACAGCTGTGCCACCTGTGTGAGTCAAAGAACGATGAGTCGCCAGCGGCCTCAAACGGGGCAGTGGGGTAGAATGAACAAGGAGACGACGTGAGGTGGTAAAGAGTGAGGGTGGCATACGGGTGAACGAAGGTGGGGGTGCTGTATTATTTTTTGATTATTTAGCTAACTATGCGTCAATGAGGGGTGTTTGCCATAGCAAAATTTCCACCGCCGTCGCGCGTCCTACCCTTGCAGCCATCTGGGATGCATAGACCGCGGCACAGACCCGCTGCCGATTTTTTACTACGTATAAATCGATTACTCAGCAAAAGCACAGATCCAACGACGACGGCAACAACTGACAACAACGCCATCACTTGTTATCTACGCATGTATCTTGGACTCTTCACCAGCCTTTACTTGATCCCGACTTGATAATCAGTGCACACACAAAAAATACTCTTGAATGCAAGACCGGATTGCGGTATTCCTAAACTCTACGAGATGCACACTAAAGAAAGAACAGAAGGGAGAAACCCCCAAACAGACGCACAATCACCTCCGCTGTCTCCGGTCCTCTCACTGAGGGGATCCACTGCAGTTCTCATCAAACGTACACCAAAACGATGATACGGCGTCGTTGTGGTCTCCGCGAAGCTGTCCGTTCTCGCGATTTGTCTGCGTAAACATCTTCTTCTTGCAGTCGTGATCGTCGTAAAACGCGCAGCATCCGCCCCACACTTGAACTAGAGTGATGGAATTGTCAAGTGAGTTCAAGTTGAGGCAGCCTTCGTAGGGCACCCGTTTGTCCCGCTTGTAATTGTCCGGCCAGGTTTGCCAGATGAAATCCGGTTCACCGTCTTCACCTGCGTCGGTCTGCTTGTCCAGTACCACCACGATAGCTTTCGAAGCTTGGTCTTCCGGCGACGGCTTTTCGTTCCCTTGGGGTTTCGGGGCATTCATATCAACCGTCACCTTCATACCCTCTACGTCGTAATCCCACTTCGTCTTCTTCTCAGCTCGCCGCGTCTGCGAGTTCGATACCATCTCAGCTAAAGTCGCAGCCACCAAGTCAGTTCGAGCGATACCAATCTACGCCTGGGATATACAAACCTGCAAGACCGACACACTCCATAAACTTCTCATCCTTGATAATCTTGTCGACCGTCTTCGAGTTTTTCGCCTTGTCTATGGCTTCTTTGGACGCCTTCTGGAATCCCTTGGTCGTGGTTCGGAGCCGGGTCACCATCTTGCCAGACGTCTGCGCTACATTGGAATAACTTGTTGCAACAGCGCGTGTCATCTTCCCTCCTACGTTCTTGAGAAGCTTTGACAATGCTTTGATAATACCTCCAAATCCCGCGGTTTCCATCTCAATACCAGTAACCGTAGCCGGATACCACATCTTGACCATGTATTCCTGTATATCCGCATCTGGTGACGGCATGCTCTCGTCTGGTTCTACAAGTCTATTTGCGAGTGAAGAGTCAGTGCAAGTTTCATCATGTGACTTATTACCAGGGGCCTACTAACCCATCAATCTCCAACTGGGTAAGCTGATTGAAATCGTCATTGTCTATCCAGGTCACTAGGAATTGGTTAGAATCGATAGATGTCGAGGGAAGATAGCAAAATGGTTTACCTGCACCCAGAGCCAAGCAAAAGCCACGTCTTGCGCTGATCTTTCTCCGACGCTCGTCCCTATCCTTGTTGTTCTGCTTGCGTTTATCTCTGAGCTCCTTCGAATTCTTGTTGAAGGTCTCTTTCTTGTCTTTCTCCTTCTTCTCGGTCGAACGGCAGCTGTGCTTCATTTTGCCATCGGGACCAGCTTCCTTCGGGTCTTCGGTATCATCTTTTTCGCACTTGAAGTCTGGCTTGTCATCCTTGACGCATTTGGTCTTTCCTGACTCGTCGGGTCTGGTCATAGACTCTCCCTTGGGGCAGGTGTTATCGTCCTTGTCCACGCATTTAGGATCTGCGGTGAACTCGTCCTGTTCAAGAGGTCAGTACCGTCGTACCCAGTTCATCGTTTAATTATTACCTGGTTCGGGACTTTAGGATCCAATTTTTGCCCCTCTGGACATTTGCCTTGAACGTTTTCGTCCTTGTCCGTCTTCTTACCAACACATGCGGTACCCATTGCATCAGCCTGCTCCCCCGCGGGGCAATCTTCGCATTTTTGGGTGTCCTCACTCCAATACATTGTCTTGTAAAAGCATGATTTCTTTTCTTTGGTCGGCTCGCAGGACTCCTCTTCTTGTCTCTTAGTTTGACGTTTGGTCAGTGTGCGGTGTTGGATGATGGCTTCAAGATCTTGAAGCGGAGTGGTGTCTGAACGTCTGAAGAGACCGGAAGACTCAGGGTTTCTTCCCAGAAGCTCCGCGCTCGTAACTAAAATTCGAATTAGAGCTCGACCAAAATCATTTCAACAAGTCACGATAAATTTGTGCTGCTGCACCTCATAATATATTGACATGTCGGGTATCTGGACAAGACGTACCTTCGCCGAGCCAGTGTTCTTCGGCATCTCGTTTTGCAACGTCGACTCTAGGTTTGCGAATTCGGAATTCAATGACACCACCATCGGGTACAGCGTTGGGTACTTCCAAAGCCTGCACAGCTAGGAGCGATAGTTGAAGGGCGCCGAGTACGTAGGGCCCGGTAGAAAGGCGCATATTGAATTGAAAGCAACTCGAACAGATGCCGAGTAAAAGAAAGGCAATGAAGAAGATAATCGGGTATCTCAAGAAAAGGAGTGCAAAGTCGTGCTCGAAAACTACTCGAGAAGATCAATCATATGGGGCAGAAAAACAGTGCGCATGGACCTAGGCTGGTTTCACGAGAACATCTGTTGCAAGTCCTTTTGATCACGGCCGGCTGGCGGCAACTCTCGACTAAACGTCAGATAATAGTACATGTATCCCGGCCCCCATTCCTTCTAGGGCACAGTCAGCTTGCAACCGTGCGTGGCCTAATTAGACCAGTTAGTCTGACGCGCCGCACTGCCACTACACGGACCCCGAACAGACGATAATTTCCGTGATTCTTTCGGCCGGTTTACTTTAATGTCGAGGATCAATTGTTGTGCCCTATACGCTGACTCTAGCCAATTGCAACGCTGGATATCATTGTCTTACATGCCATCCTTGAGAGCTGTGGCCTGTATCATAGAATAGACTCAGATTTACTTTCACTCTTCCGTCACATCCACAGGATTCGTTTTTCTAGCCAATTCGTTGCAAATACCTCAAAACCCTCGCCTCAGCAACTAGAATTACACATCACATCAGGTATCGACTCTATCTATTGAAGAATTGGGAGCGCCCCGCAAATATCAACTATCTGCTTCGAGATTTTAAAGCAAAGCGAATCATTCCGCAATCATGCGCACAACCACAGTCACCGTCTTTCTATCCTGCCTCGCACTCGGTTCCGCCTTCAAACTCACTGGTTACAAGATTGGAGGAGTCAGCTGTTCACCGGGCGTAGGAGAAACACCAAAAGAAATCAAAAGCTTCAAGCTGGAAGGTATTGCATTCCTGGCGCATAGTTACCACAAAATGGGTTTGACTGACTTGGTACGCGCGACTGTAGACGGATGCCAAAAGCTGTCCGATATCGCCAAAGACGTAGGCGGATTCGGAATCGAATGGTCGGATGAGACTGACAATGATTATCTTCTGGTCCCATTCGAGGACGAGAATTGCTGCAACGGCGCTGCCCATGATGGTTGGGGATGGAAAGACAAGTGCCAGAGCCTTGGTGGCTATGGGTCAGTTCGTGTAGTGGATCCCAAAGATATCAACAAGGGAAAGAGTGGGCAGAAGTATGATTGCGTTGGGTCATTAAAGGCATTGTGAGTCTGGAGAAAGTTGCGGGAAATCGAGCACTGGTTTTTTTTTATTCGATATTCAATCATTCTTTCTTTGGCGAATGTATTTTTTTTCTTTTTCATTTCCACTCAGGCGATCGATGTGAGGCCTGCATATAACAATAGTTATGAAAAGAGCGGTATAAGTCTTAGGTAAACACTGTGAATTGATCTGCGTGTAAGGACTTGTTCGATTCCCTGTGGACGTTCCCAAGTTTAAGGCGCACACCATAGCACCGTCGTGTAGTCGTGTACTCAAACAGCCGGTGTGCTTTCTTAGCTTCTGCCAGTTCTCCACCAACACCCCTTCATGAAGTTGAACCAAAAATAATACCGACATAGAACAAATCCCGCACAAATCACAAGCCCAGTTCAAGGTGAATTGACTCACAATGAGCTCTGAAACAACCCGCAGGTGTTGAATTCTACTATGTAGCACGAGAATCCTCTGAAGAAACCTAAATCTACAACTACTAAGGCTGTGTTCTTGTGATGAGAATCGAACCATAAATGAGCGCCACCGAAATCACCATCGGTCTTCACCAACACTCAATATGCCCTCGGGGGTGTTGCTGACCCGTACGCTGGTGGGTCCGTGGGGGCCAGAGGCTCTTGCAATCCCCTTTTCGCGCGACAACAAGCACAATTCCGACCGCCTTAAACCCGTATCTCGATATAAGCTAGCCGGTTGTATACCCCTTTAAGGTGGACGCCAAAGGATATCTAACAGGGGTCTCATGACTCGAGGCTATTCGGCACCTACATCTATATTTGTACGAATCCTTCACCCAACTAGTTAGCGGCGCAGTACAAACACCCCGAAGCTTTCACCGCTAGGGAACGCTCGCTCGGCAGGTTCCATTGCCAGTGCAGAATCCGTCTTACAGCTTTAATTTCAGCGGGCGCGAAACATGAGCATCATGCCGGTTTGCCATGAAGCAGGATAGAGCTTACATCATCCTGGTTTTCCAGGTGCATGTAGATAATACTACCCTGTTCACTGAATTTCCACTGTCCTACTGACGCGCTTCCTCAGTTTCCTTCTCTAAACACACTTTTTTTTTGCCCAATGTGGTAGTCATTCGTTTCTCTAGAACACAGTTCTTCGCCAGTCTTTACTATTCACTCGTTTTGCACTAGAATTCTACATTCGCTCATTCACACCATGTCGTCGTCGTCTGTTTTGACTGCGTTGCTCACCGCGACCGCAGTCGTTCCTTTCCTCGGTGTATCCGCAAGCCCTTTCGCGGCGCAAGCCCGCAGCCCAGCTCTGGTTACGAATGTCGTTGAATCACAGTTTGACTTCCTCAATGTGGGAGACGTGATCGCCATTCGTGGTTCTCAAATTGTGCGAAAATGGGGCGTAAGCGATGATGACAATGCTACGCAGTTCGACGCAGTGGCCATTGAACGTTCTGTAGCTGCGCGGTCGGGAACAGTTCGTGTATCTTCCGATCAGTATGCTCCCGTGGAAATCGCCAAACGTGCGACGAAGACGAAGGCGAAGACCACCAAGGCGTCTAGTGCGTCCAAGACTGCTTCGTCAAGTGCGTCAAGGTCTTCTTCTTCCTCCTCATCGTCTTCATCGGATGTGTCAAAGTCTTCTTCATCGGTCGTATCAAAATCTTCTTCGTCGGCCGTGTCGAAATCCTCTTCATCAATTATGTCGACGTCGGCCAACGCCACAATCACATCAACAAAGTTGTCTTCATCCAAAAGCTCTTCTTCATCCGTAGCATCAAGCTCGTCAGACACAGAAGCGGAACCCACCGAATCATCGTCCTCGTCCAAGGTGGCCTCGGTTTCCAAGACGGCGAGCTCATCAGTTAACGGAACGGCAATCAGCACGAAAGCCTCCTCAACAGGATCTGCCATATCGACTACCTCGCGCAATAGCACCAGTGCGTCCACGTCCGCCTCAGCAACCGATTCATCCGGTTCTTCGGAGTCGACACCAAAGCCATCCAGCGGCGCGTCTTTCAAGTGCCTGGACAGCGAAGTATCGGTCGAAACCAAGCCCTTGGGCGGGTCCGGAGTCCTATATGGCGCTACAAAAGGTGACGACGAGGAAAAGATTTCCATGAAAACCCTCAAAGACGGCAAGGGCGCACTCGACAACGAGTGGAAACTGCTCCAGAAGATCGGAGACGCAGACAACATTCTCAAGGGATACGGTCGCTGCGAAGGAAAGGGATCCGAGTACATCATGTTCGATCCGGTGGAAGGCGGAACGCTCAAGACCAGAATCGATGCGCAGGAGTACAAGGGCAAGAACGACGCTACCAGGACTGTCATCAACCAGGTCTTCTCCGCCGTCAAGAAAATGCATGAAAAGGGAGTGGCGCACCAGAACCTCAACACCGAGGCCATCGTCTTCAATGAGGCTGGCGACGTCAAGGTCATGGGTCTGGACAAGTCTACCGATAAGAAGATCACCGATGAGATCAAAGTGGAGGGAGGCATCATAGCTCCAGGTAATTCCAATCCAGTCCCGACATGGAGAGAGAGAGAGAGAGAGAGAGAAGCATCAGCTGACCATTTTACTGCAGAGGCCGAAAACAAATCTACAATGGAGATTGATCCTTTCCTGAACGATTCCTGGGAGATGGCTCATCTCTTGATTACTATGCTCATCGGAAAGAAGGCATGGGTGTAAGTAACACCAGTTCATTACTATACCAGAATGTGAAGAAAAATAAGCTAACACCTAATCCAGCAATGCCAAAGACGAGGCCATAAAGGGAGTTTGGTTCAAGGGCGTACGTATAACCCCCGTTCATCTAATTCTATTCGAATCTTACTAACTCGCATGCTCTAGGCCCCAAGCCAGCGCGCCAGCGGCTGCAAGAAAGCATGGCCCGAATTTACCGACGACTTCTGCGATATCATCTCGCAGATCATGGTTGACCAGAACAGCCGCAAGCCCGTGTCGTGGTTCGCAGAACAGGTCGCCAACGATGGACTCAAATTCGTCGATGAATGCAAGAAGGATAGCCAGAAGAAGAGCACGAGGCGCACGGTCGATGAGGGTGAGCTACTCGTGGTTGGGGTTGAAGATGCCGGTGATGAATGGGTGGTGCGCGCTGTTTTGCCTTAGGTGGATTTTCCAGCCTGGTGGTTAGAATTCAATTAGATTATTCTGTTTCTTCGTCAATGAGTTCTCGTGTACTATTGGAATCTTTCTGGATTCGTTCTAGATGATGTAGACTAATCCGTTGGAGACGACAGCTTACATGGGCATTTCTTGTGCAAGCACTCGTGGGAAAACTTAACATTGCATCGACACATTACATGGATGATGCTAATGCTGTTACTTCGTGCGATCATCGGGTGTTCGTGAGAGGGATCGAGCTCACCGCCTATCTACTACATAGGCACGATCGATACCTTCGATAACAAGGTGTACGACTGATTCGCGAAGCCACACGCAAGCCATCGGTCCCTTCACCATCCCCACTGTACCGTCATTTCCTACAATCATACCACCGCCATGGAAAAAACCCAAGCCTGATTCAATCGGCAAGCGTATAATCGCGCAACCCAACATGCAGACATCCCAACCTGCAGAAGCAGCGCCCAATCAGAAACAAAAAATTCCCGATGAAGATACGAAGCAAAAAAAAGCAAAAAAGAAAATCCAGCCCGCCAAAAGAAAAGAAAAGAAAATCGCTACCCAAGCAACGTCGGAATTCCACGGACGCGAAATCACCCATACCCAAATGCCCCCAAAGAGAGAAAGAGAGACAGACAGAGAAGATTTCGTGAATGTGCCCCGAATGAAGTCTCTACCCACAGCCTCGGGTTAATCAATTTGCATCAGTATCCCAGCTTCAAGGGAAAACAAGCAACGCGGCCGAAACAGAAGGAGTATAGCATGCCTAAGACCAACAAGGAGTTTCCATGCTCTTTCATGTAGCGAATACTGAATCGGGAAGGAAGGCATGAGGGAAGGGGGTGAGGGAGGTGAGTCCAAAATTAATTTGGAAAGACGTCTCGAGCAGATCAATTTCTATGTGTATGTGAGCTTCTTGCTTGTGCTGTGAACTGTTGAAGGTCTGCTACGTGTTTGCTTGACTATCACGATATTATCTTTTTTTTATGTCGGCGATGTGAATAGTAGTGGAAATATATATTGTATGGGGCCTTGGGCGTCTTACGTCATTCTTCCTAGCAGTCCAAGTTGTACAGTTCGTTTGTTTTTTAGGTATAAAAAGTTCGATCTGGAGATCCATTGAAGAAAAGTGGTTGGTATGAAGGGAGGAGGGGGGGACCTTGATTCTGGCTGAAGTCCCTCAAGGCCGTCTGTATGTCTGTCCATCTGGCGTATAAGAGGGGCCAGCGCAGATGAACGTGGCTGATCCCGAATCCATGGCTCACTATACACGTTCAAACCGGTGAGAAAAGTACATGTATATGGAGGCGCACGCTGTACGCTCGTCGGGGAAAATGAGAAACACAAGATGCGCATACTTACGACTCAATCTACCGAGTGACAACCGTAGATACGCAACCCCGTGGATCAATGATTCAAACCATGGTAAACGTTTGCGAACATCAGCCTAGTTCTATTAATACATGGTAGTGGTTGGAGTGTCTGGGACCCGATGGAAACAAGCTGCATATTCTATTGGTGTCACTCGCGACGGGGAGGCAGGCAGCGTGTTCGCGAACATCTGTTTGTGAGACGCTGTACGACCCGAGCGCAGATGAGCGCAAAGGTCCGACGCATTGTAAACCTGTTAAGGATAGTGGACGACCAGATGGAGCATTGTGCATATCCTAACCCCCAACGCACGAGTAGTAGGAGCTGAGGGTAACGATGAATCGAAGCAGTGTTGCATATACCGCACGTTTGGCTTGCACCTGGGTCGGTTATGAGACAAGGCTTCCCCTATGTATATCTGGGTACGGAAGATGGCGGTACATTTGCTTAGTTGGTGCTCAATTTATCACGGTTGGGGAGTGAAGATGGGGAGAAACCGCGATTCATGGAAGTTGAGAAAGAGGAAAACGGTCTTGCTGTGTTGACGATCAAGTTGCCTGCGCCTTATGTGCAAGGTGAATGTTCAATGATTCATACTCGAGACATGAGCTACCATGTCTTTTATTAGTGTCGTGGTTTGGTTTTGTTGGACCGTGGTCTGTAGGATCGGAAGGTCGTTCCTGTTTGGCATTTACAAATAGCATTTTTGTCTACTACCGACTCGGACCCTGAAAAGCTGATGTGGGACAGAATGCCACATGCTTGTTGGTGGGAATTCTTGTAGGCTATGCATCCAGCACCAAGCAAATTTATAAGTACACTTAACTTTGCCAAATAAACATGTATGCATGCAATCAATTGATGACAGAGAATTGCACCAAGCCAGTCACGTGGATTGAGGAAGGTAGCAGAGCGCGGGAACAAGATCAGCATATAAAAACAGCCATTCTATAAAACCGGCAACATAGCGTCATGGCCCTAGACGTGCATTGCTTTTGGCAGCAGGGTCTAGGTTTTTCCCTGCGCCCATGCATGATGGATTACGCACGTAACAACCATCAAGGGCAGGAGCAAATCATCGGTTAGCGTGCAGGTGCATGCATTTTGATGCATTCGTAGTAAGCAACATTCGGTTTCACTGTTCTGTCTTGGTAGATGATAGCAATCGAAATAATGACGCTTCTAGAAGATTGAAACCCACCTTCTTGATCAAATCTAGAAGGGGTGGCATGAATGCGAGGAGGAAACTGTCTTGGCTGGCTGATGATGATGATGGTTTCTTTTCTCGGATGTAAGTAACCAGCTGCATTCTCTTGTACAAGCCTAGCGAGGCGCATTCGATAGCACATTGGTTGTTGCGGTGGAGGTGATGATGTCCCAGCGGCTGGTATTGGTGGCGACCTCGGTGAACATGTAACCTAGCCTGGGTCCATGATGGGGTTAGGAAAGGGTACCTAGACAGCCGTGATTGCAGGGCTCCCAAAAACGTAGTGTTCGGCAATCGTACCGCAAGCCGATCGCAAAGACAGATCACGACCCAAAGTGCGACATGCAGAGCGCAGCCACACACGCCATTGATGGCTTGAGACGGGCTGCGGTGCTTTGCTGCTGCGACTGTTCAAAAAGCACTTGTCCCAGGTGGTGTATACAAAAGGCTGAGGTGATGATCTCTCGGTTCTGGCAAGCGATGACCGGGTTCACCATGTAGGGATGGCACTGGCATCCGCCATCTGATTCACCTAGAATGCCAGACAGACCGAAATGCACAGCGGGAACCTGCCAAATACGATTCTTGGAGGCAGAAACGGGAAGAGCACAGGCGGGAGGCCGAGTTGGGCATCTGCAGCCCATACCAGGAGAGGTAAAAGTAAATGGCGCGAGCGGCGGAGGGAGCGCAGTATAAGATGGAGAGCGAGGGTCGATGGGATGATGGGATTGCATCACATTGCAACAGGTGCATCAAGCATAGCATTGGCCAGTCAGAGCAGCAACATCCGACTTGACGGCGACTGAGACAAAGACGACCTCTGGACGTTGTCGGTGGATTCCTTCGCTCCAAAATCCACGGGTGCCTGCGGTTCCGAGGGCTACGGCGCGACGCTCGGTACATAGAGCACTAGTAGTATTGGGGTGCCTGAGGGCGATCATCCGGGGATCGACCTCATCCAACGCTCAGGTTTGAAGTTTGAGGAGGAGAGGACGCAAAGGTGAGTCGAATTCAAGTTGAGGGAGGATGGCAGCCTCAGGCGTCATGCTTGGTGGGCCTCTGCGGGGACGGCTGGGGAAGTTTCTGGCCTAGAGTTGAGTTGAAGGCAGCAGAAGAAAGATGGGAGAAGCAAAGCAGGACGAGGCAAAACAAAGCATGGCTAATATGAGCATGATGATAAGACCAGGACTGGGCGCCAAACACGCGGAAGCGATTGATGCAAGCGCTTCTGGAAGCTCGCTCCCTTGCCATCAACGACCGACGACGGCGACGACTGACGGCAGACGACAAGGAGGAGACGGATCGATCGCCGAGTGTGATACCATAGCGTGTGGGCACTTGAAGAGGTCGAGGTATCTGTCGAGGAGGCCGAACATCTGGATGCGAGGTGGATGGTTGAGCATTCTCAAGGTGGGTGGTGGTGTTGTTCCCTTGACGTCCTGTCTGCCCTCACGCTCCTTCCCTTCTTCTTCAATCTCGCTTGCCAGGCGCTGTTCCCTGCCGCCCACATGGCAAGCGCGCCCGTGTCGCGACGAATTCCCGAGGCAGGGGTCTGCTCAATGCTCGCGCTGCAACACCATCTGCGACATCTCCATCAATCACCATCTGTCCTCTCTCCTCCGCGTTCCCCCGTCACCACACCACCCGTTCCCGCCATCTTCCGCGCCACCGCCATGGGCCCTGTACTTTAGCCTAAGCCCGCTGCATTGATGCTTGCCATCGCCTCTCCCTATCATGATTTACCTTGTCGCAGCGCTTCCGCTCGCTGTGGGGCGAACCGAAGCCAAGCAGCCCTTCCCCCATCGCGACCTCACCACTGTCGTCTGCTCCGAGCGATGGCGGAGAATATTCCTCCCCAACCCTCGGCCCGCTAAGATTAAAGGCCATGCACAATTCCCCATACCCGCTCCATCACACTGCTACTCCAACCCGTCCAGACAGGCCTTTCATGTCCGCCCAAGCAATGGCATATGATATCAGCCTTCACTGCTGCCATCAGAGGCCTGACTCGTGGCTCGAGCTTCATTTCCCTCTCCTCTGCATCCATCAATCCGCCAATCTCATCCCAACGCCCACAATATATACATTCATCGTTTTCCGGCTGCTTTTTTTCTCATCTCCTTGTTGGCCCATCTCCATTTCTTCATCCCTTTTTGGCAATTTGCATTTCATTCTATTTTGCCTTTTGCTTTCGTCATCTTCATCACATCCTCCCTTATCCGGCATAACCTCTTGACCTGAGCATTGCCCGGCACTTGTTTTGTTTACCCAACCACACCCCATACTAAGCGAGTTCTAGGCATATCTTCCAGCAGATGCAAAGAGGCCGTGGCCAAGGTCGAGGTAGAAATACAGATCGTGCCCGTAGCAGTTCAGGGAGAGGTGACCGAGCCCGTTCACGCATCACAATCACCCATCGAGGCCGCAGTCGTGCTTCCATACGACGCTCGGCACGCATCGCGGAGATTCTCAATAACCAACTCAACACCCATTCGCTCCAACCATCAAACCACCCCATGGCCAACGTTACAAGATCTCGAGGTTTCATGGCCCCGTCGGTCCGCTCAAGGCAGCCTTTAGGAAACAACCGTCGACCAAGATCAAACAGACATTCCGCTTCACCAGAAGACATCCAGTATGCCATGGACATCATTGTGCAACCCCCCTCCACATCCAGTGCTGGCTACGCAATCAACGGCACCGTCATTGTTCGTTTACGGACGACCAACGTCTATGCGGACGACGCCAACAGGGACTCGTATCATCTAACCGCCCTCGCCTCCCTGATACCGGCTGGGAATTCATCTGGCTCGTCGGATCCAAGAGCGCTGGATCGACTTCTTGGGGGCCGCCGTTATGTGTCAGTGCACCCGTTTTCGGACGATGAAGCCGATGGATCCATTGCAGCAATGGAGCTGGACGATCCAAGGGGGGTTGGCTTAATGCATTTCCCCGACCTTAGCATTCACCAGGCTGGCACCTATCGAATCCGCATCACATTGATTCGCATAGCAAATCTCGATGCCCCAACCATTTCAGGGGGCGAGCACGTCCAAGCAATTGACAGCAACCCGATTGTCGTTCAAAACACTGGCTCAACTTCGAGGTCATATGGTAAGTACTCGAGAGCCACATATTAAACATAATCTCGGTTCCTGATTTGTTTTTCTTTTTCTTGCCCCTGTGCAGAAGTCGATGGAAACAGCGAAGACGATGGTGGTTGGCACGATACGCTAAGGGAAATTTCGATGCGTCATAGGTCGCGGTGAAGGATACTCTCGGACTTTTTCTTGCTCTTTTCGATCTCTGGTTGGCTCGAGGCAGGTGCATTTCTCCTTTATTGCCAAGCCATGTTCATTTTCTTCTTCTCCTATTGTTTTGGATATTGGGAGAAAGCACCGTCTTCTCTCTTGCACTTTAGACTAGGCCGGGAGCTTGTGTAGGGCTGATATGGCATGTTCATCAAACCTGCATGGAACATTCGGGAACATTATTGGTATCCACAAAGCAAAAATGCAATATCAGAGGTATCAAGAAGAAAACAACATCATGCCATGGAACAACGAACCGTGCATTCCAGAACAACTCCTAAACGAGCCAAACGACCCCCAAAACCGTTAACACACGCAATATACAATGCCAGTCCTTCCAGGTTCCAATACAATACCTGCAAAGGGAAAAACGCCACATCGCTAGGTTCAAGGGGGGGTTGATAAGAGAAGCCGTTATATAATTCATTGCTGTGAACCCAACCCAGCCCACCTGCAATCAACCTCAAACGTCCCAGCAAAACGCTAAATACCCATTCCCCTCCGTCCATCTCGGATCCCGACGCGACCTTGCTCCGTCCGTGAAAAATATAATGGAAGGATCAAAATCCCCTCCCCCTCCTCGTATTATCGTCCTTTCTGCTTTGTTTGGAGAGCGACGTTGCGGCCCGTTGGTACCTGCATGCATGTATGCGTGTATGCATGCATGTATGTATGCGACGCGAATGCGTACTGTACATACATGAAAGATCACGTATTGCAAGTATGTACACATGCTAAAAGCAAGCAAGCATCCCGGTCTCACATCTATCCGGGCCTAACACCGCTGGGAGATCTGTGTACGGTCGAGCTTGGGGATCTCACTTCATATGTGTCTTGCTTATACCCCCTATATTGCGTCAGCGACTAAGGATGTGGCTTGTTCATGCCCGCCATGCTCAACGGTTTCTTTGGGGTGGAATCTTGGGTTTCTGAGATCCCGCGCATTCTTTTCCGATATTGTTGATGCTGGCTGGGTGTATTTCATTTTCAGGCCCCGTAGCATATGCCGAATGCGTAGACGAAAGCAAAGGCAATCTATTACCTTTTCTCTGTGTCAACCAACACGATGAACTTGTTCTTTTTTTGTGAGAGAGAAAAAAAAAAAAAAAAAAAAACTAACAACACCTAGCTTCCGACAGGAGTAAAATAAACAAGGGAAAACGCGTACTCGAAGCCAATTCAAAGTCACCACCCCTCCTCCTTCCCCTACATAAGCGCGCTTACCCGCATCCACACTCCCTACATAACAGCATACTTTTATATTATCAGACCCCTCCCATATACCCTTGGACGAACGCACGCACTATACATCAAACCGCCGTGGCTTGCCCACCAACGAAACCTTAACCTTTTCCTCCACTTTCACTTTCGAAGAAATCCTCCTTTCCCCCCTTTTGAACGTCCCCCTTTCAATCCTTCACTTGGTTCTAGGTCCGGAACCCGGGTAGAAGGGAAAGGGCGGGAATAACAGACTGGAACGTTTGTGAAGGATCAGAGTGAGATTGGGGAGTCGGGGCGCGCCGCACCGAAGTTCCGGGGGAGTGTTGTTGTTGTCGGTGCTTTGTGGCTAGGGGCGGGAAAGGAATGAGTTCAATGATGTGTATGTGAGTGAGAGCGAGGGAGATAGGGACGGATAGTGATAAAGAGGTTGTGATTATGCGGATTTTGCTCTGTTGATGGGGAAATTGAGATGATGATCGAGTTCTTTCTCTTTTTGGGGTATTTCATGTTTTTGGGCATGATTGAAAGAGGAAGGGCAAGGGGAGGATATACCTATATAAACGATTAGTGTTCAATGTCGCATTCGTTTGCTTTTCAACCTGTCGAATGCAGTGCGAAATTCCTATTGATTGATATCTTGCTCTCTTGTGCATTTCTGTTTCATCTTTCTCGTTTTCTCGCTTCTGTACCACATATTTGCACGTCAGTCTGGATCCGACATCGGTTTCACCAACCTCATCGAAGACGTGGAGCTGATGATATAATATCCTGCTCCTCGATCCCTACTTTTGCTTCTAACGCTTGTGTGAAGGCTATTCTTCGAGTCTTTTGGTAATCGCCGGTTCTTTGGTGCCTTTATTTTTATAACTACATCGCTGTGCGTAGCATCACCAAAACTCCAACTTACAATTTATCAGTAATGTTCTACTAAGGCCTAAGAAGCTTGTGCCGCGTGGATCGTCAATAAAGTTGACTTAACACCAGAAACGACTTCACAAAACGCGAGAAAGGCAGATCAGCACGGGACCAGCATATAATAGTGAAAACACTCGATTCTTGAACTCCCATCTCCCGCACCGATATATACAAAAAGCACGCACCCCTTTTCTCATCTTGCAGCATCACCCCTTCACCTCTCGATCAAAACCCAAAAATAAAAGCAAACAAACAAAAGAAAAGGCAGAAAAGCGCACAGCAAAGTGCACCCTCCCATGCAACATCCCCTTCACACCACTACTCCCCCGTCCAACTCAAAACCCCCCATCTAGATATCAAGCTCCGACTCAACAGCCTTAGGCCAGCCAATCTCGATGCCACCGTTTCCGTTGCCGCTGGAGGGCGTGCAAGGCTGCCACGCAACATGGACCTGCTGAGTGAAAGCGACGGTAGCATCATCGTTGGACAGCTCGCCGTAGGCGCTGGTGTTGGACGAGGTCAGGGAGATGCGGTTGTTGATGTTGAGGAGGCCGTTTGTGCCGCAGGGCGACCAGACGACGGCCGTGGTCTCGACCTTGTCGTTCTTGGTGTAGACTTCGCCTTCGGCGAGCTTGCCGCCGCCTTGGGCTGTCATGCGCGTGGTGGACTGTGGTGTGTTAGCATCTTCAGTATATTTGGAATAAGGGTTGTTTGGAGGGGAAGAGAGGAGTGGTGTAGAGATGGACGTACGGTTGCAGCGGCATTCTGGGAGAAGAAGTAGGTGGTCAGGAAGGTGCCGGTGACGCCCTTGTCCAGACGTGCCCACCCGTGGTAGGTGGCTTCGACGACGGCGTACTGGAATCCTCCGGGGTACTTGAGGTTCAAGTGGAGCTGGCAAGCCTTAGACCAGTCTTTTTGCTGGGTGCCGGGGCCGTAGTAGGTTTGGAACTGGTCGAAACCGAATGTAATGACCTTTTCGATGATATGTCAGTGAGGAAGTTGGAGGATGTGAGCGGAAGAGAGGGGCTCACCGTCTTGTCTGTAGAAGAGCTGTTGGAGACGGATCCCTGGGGGCAACCATTGCCTGAGTAAGAGTGGTCAAGAATGGTGATGAGACTTGGGTCGATGGCGGCAGATTGAGCTGCAGGGACCGGGTTCGCCAAAGCGAGGGCTGGGAGGAGGAAGGCGGCAATGTTGGAAAGCATTTTGAGTGATTGGATAGAAGAGTACCTAAGGACTTGATATAGACAGGCTTGGAGAGTGAAGATCTGAAGAGGAAGTGGTGATGATTGACAATCTGTAGTGATGATCTACAAAATGGGGAGGGAAGATCCTCATCTTTATATGCGTTTCTCCGAGCTTTTTTTGGAAGTGAGTTGGTTCACTTGGATGTGGGAGTAACGTTGAGGTTTCCTTGGATGGATCCACTTTGCTCAAAGCATCTGTCGTATAGGTAATCTGAGTTCTTCCAGTCCGCCTAGACTATTCTTCCATGCTCTAGTCGCTTCTTGGTGGCCTTTGGTACTTTGCTTCACCCTTGCCAACCCAGTAAAACATATCACGAGCGGCTCAATCAGTTTAGTCGTCTTCTATACTTAGCTCAGATGCTAGGGCTCTCGGTATTAACGAGATCTGGAAGCCTGGATAATTCCCGGTTGTCGCTGTTGTCGCTGTTGTGTAGGACCACAGTTTCATCTCGAACGAACAAAGTATATTGCGAAGCGTGATCTGAGGTTGCTAGATTAGGTAACAATATGATGGATGAGCGCCTGGAGCTCTCTGTAGCGCCGCGCTCTAGATCCTCGAATACGAGTGAGATACCCACGTACGTCTCTGAGGGATTCACGCAATATAGGATAGTGAGCCAAAAAACGAGATATATCCGCTCGTTGCTGGCGAGGTACCGGCTGAGGCCGAACAATTGCATGCACGGAAATATCGAAGACATGGCGCTTCCTGCAGGGTAAAAACCCAGACTAATGGCCGACGCATGTGAGGTGTGAATACGAAAAGCTTGGTTGACAACTTTGATTGAGTGGGGATGGGTAGAGAGATCAGGGTACTCTTCCGCGGCAGCCAGAAGGTATCGACGTCTGTTCCTCTGTTGCAATGTTTATCCATAACGATATGTTCAAGTGAGATTTGTCGTGGGCACGATTCCTTGCACATGGTTCTAATTCAGAGTAAGATGATCAGGTGGCTGGTACTATATCCAAATAGCCAACCGACTGGATATACTCACCACAAGCTCACTAACTCGTAAGTAACGTCGTACCATTTTCTTACTGCAAAAGACCGACCCCAAGCTCCGACGAAAGCAAACACGAAACAATCTCCAATATGAAAAATTTCCGATTTCCAGGTACCGCAGCTTACAGGAAAGGTCTCGACCTGCATTTCCGTAATATACTAAACGCTTGGCGGGTATACGATATATATCTGGCTAATCTCAATGCCGAAGACGGCCGATATGAAATGGGAGCACACATTTCTCGATTCTTTGTTACAATATTCAACACACCGCCATATCAACCTCGGCGCAATGTAGACGCAGCATGGCTAGCCAATTCGATGTTGGTTTACGAGTGTTGACTGCTGTTGTGTAACTGCGTCGTGACCATTGCGCTCACCACCCAGCGCTGCACGCCTGAGCCCTTCTCGCTCAATACAATCAATTTTTGACGAAGCTAGAAACTTAACCTTACCGGGGTCTGTGAGAAAAGAAGGAAACAATCGCCCCTCGGGGTTCTCCACTTTGACGCGCGCAGCCTCGACCACTGGATATGAGAACGATATGAAACTTCATTAAGTCAACCACAGAATCAATGCTGCGACTTCGCCTCAGGCCTAAGCCCGAAATATTTCTTTTGGCAATATGTACTCATTCAATACATACAGTGCGGTGATCCGCTAGGCCAGCTGGACGGGCTTACTGTTTTCTGTTTGTCATTCCTCGGTCGTTCACGCCGTCTAGCTCATCCATCGTACGTGGCTGAGCGATCTGCTGCAATATGTCTCAATATGCAGCGAATACATTCAGAAGCGAAGCGAGCTTCGAAGAATATGGTGGATCTTAACACTTTCCTAGGTAGATGTCTTGGGAACGCCTGATTGGAAACTTACGAGAAGGGCGGCGGCTGAGATGAAAATTGTCAAAGTGTCTTTGTCATTTCTTCGTATGCATAATCAGATGACTGGAGAGATGGAAACCTGCCTCCCCCGATATAGGTTGGGACCAGCAATACGAGACTGGGTTATAAGAACATATGTAAATCTGCTCAAAAACGCTCTCTTGTTCAGAGAAGAAAGAGGGTGGACGAGCATAGGGAAAAAAATCTTTCCATTGAATCGACTTGGACGCAGTTGTCCAATATGCCAATCGGTGAGTAGGTATATTAGCATTCTTTGAGTCGAAAACATCGCGCCGAAGACGAACCCACGTTCATGCAGTGGCAAACTCGCTTTGCATATACTGCATGTACAGCCGGCATCTGCTAAAGATAGATGGATAGGTAGGCTGAAAGAACAAAAATCGTAGAGAAGCACATAAATAGGATGATCACAGCGCTTCGCTAAGGGCAGGCTTGGACAATGTTTCGATTTTGAAAAAGCGATATCCTGAAAAGGAATACATAAAGGGGGTTTTCATTGTGCCAGAAAAATGTACAAAGACAGCAGCATCCTGACTTCTGCTGACGACAAAAAGCGTGGAAGATGAGAAAAAGAAAAAAAAAGAAAGCAGAAAAGGAGATTGGCAAAAATGCCACAGATTTCCATGGATAAGAGTGAAAAAGTGTCATGCAAAGATTCGAGTTGACCATGTAATTCCCATGGATGCCGCTCACCGTTAAAACTCCATGTAACTCCGCCGCTAATGCTCACCCCTCATGTGTGGATTCTTGTATATTCCCACACCCCACCTTTTCCTCCAACCATTACAAATGGGCACGTACCAGAAAGTTGAATGCCTCCCAAGAATTGCTTGAATTATTCAAGATCGCCGACAAATCCCATTGATTCTCTCTTGTCGTCGCAGATTCGGGCAAATTCCAGCAGTAACCTCATGACGTAGATGAGCATGTCCTCGTTTCTTAGCACTTTGTTGGCCCAGTCTTGACCAGCAAGTGCAAGAGTTTTGGCTTCCTTGTCATGTCCGTGCTTGGTCTTCAACTGTCCCTGTCCGTTGTCTTTGACGTCTCCAATGAAGTACTTTAGTATTCCGTAGATGTCGACGAAAGAGTTGTGCATGGGTACGAAGTGTAGCCAGGGCATGAGACGAGAATCGTGCCATTCGGAGTAGATGGTCGCCTTTATTGGGAGTGAAGCCGATCGCAGGAAGGCAAGGTAACGCCCGCTGAACGAGTTTCCGTCAATATCTGGGAGATACTTGAAATCATACATGTTCTCGAGGGGAATACCCTTGACAAGTTTGAAATAGGGATCGAGATAAGGGCACGAATGATCCTCATTCTTGGGGTAGCAGAGGAGGTCCACGAAACCGACATCGGCAATTGCATCGAGCCAGCCCGCCAGATCCATATTTTGGCCTGCGGTGCCCAGGTAGTGTTGATACGGTTGGAGTTGGAAGTTGGGAGCCTCGCGGTTTTCATCGGCCTGAGCTTCTCGTACTTGAGTGCCGTTCATGACCGAGATGAATCGATGCCTTTGGAAGCGAGTCCAGTTGTCCTTGTGGTGCTTACCGCCGGTAGCTCCGCCACGCCACGCCACCCTCGGGGCCTTCGATTCCCATTCAGCACCGTGGGTGTCACCAGTTGCATAGAGAGATTTCTTGGCCCAGTACATGGCAGGGGGAATGAGAATGTCGTTGTTCATTGGCAGTTTGCTACCGCCGAAGAGGGGAATGAGCGACCTGGTGGAGGATTGCGACAAGGGTTCGATAAAGGAGCCGTGGGATTCCCGGAGTTCTGGCTGGAGGCACGGATCTTTGACTTTGGTCCAATTTGAAACGTAGCCATTATACGAGAGCCAGACGGATGCGTCGGGCTTGCAGTTTTCGCTGGTCTTGCCGGTGCAGTATGGGGGAGGGCCCGAAGAGTTGGAAACGGCGGGTACAGATCTGGAGGGCGCATCGGGAGCACATGCAACACGCGCAGTGTCCCAGTACTGGCCTTTTTCGATAAACTCGATCTCGAACTTCTTCCCCTCGTTTCCATCCACATCGAGAGGAGAGAGCTCCTGGATGACGTGTTGTGGGGCCGCCAAACTGCGTGCTGCATGCTCCGCTTTGACATAACTGTTGATGTCCTCCCATGGGACGATCATGCGCGGTTCGTCCATGACGTTCATGGGCATGTCCAAGTCCGGCAGCAAGTCTTTCAATTCCTCGACCATGCCGACCCAAATCTTCATCCAATTGGAGTCGTCCATGAACTCCTGCATTTCATGGTTCCTGAGACTAATCCTGAAAGGAAGCTGCTTGGCCTGCTGCCTGGTGTGTTTGGCGGGCAGGCCCCAGAAAGGGTTCAGGTCGTGGTAGATTTGGTCGAAGAAGTCCTCGACGATGATGGCGTTGTTCTTCTGGGCATACTCAAACCACTTGTCAAAGCCTGGAGGGGGGTGGCGCCCTCGGCGTTTGCGATATGCCTCGGCAGATGATTTGAGATCATGGGTTTGTTTTGCCAGCAAGTCATCTTGGGATTGACGGGCCTGCTTGATGAGGTAGTCGATGGGATGGGCACCGTTGGCGGCGCCGGTTGTTGGATAGCGCAGGGCGTGGGGTGGGCCGTAGTACCATAGTTGGGTGATTACTGTGAGAAAGACGAAGGCGATAACGACGCGGACAATATGACGCGGGGTGAGGATGCGATTCTGCATCATGATGGGCGGTGGTATGACAAAGGGAAGGGACGAACGGGGCGGTCGGGCGAGGGGCGAACGAGAAGTGGTGAGGAAGGGGCGCAAGTAAGCGCGCGTGCTTGGGGTAGGTGGATCGCTGATTACGGGAGGACGAATGCGACGGCTCGTGGAGGGTTGGCGGCGGCGCGCAGCATGAGGAGGCTCACGATGGGGGTGGGAGGAGGTTATGAGTGTGAGTAGGGGGAGAGATGGAGGAGGAGGAGGAGTGAGTAACAGGAGCGGCGGGAGGTTGAGGGCTGAAATGGACGGGTTCAGACGAACGAACGAACCATCAGCCAGCCAGCCTCGCAGAACAGAAGCAGAGCAGACAAGGGAGGGCAGGGTTATGCGAAGGAACGGATCAGGAGAAAGGAGCTTGTTGCCATGGATGGGGCCCAGAACCGCTTGCTTTCTTTTCTCCCCTCTACCAACTGGTACAAGCGCACATTTGCCTGGGCGCAGTCAGTCCCCACAGTACATACGACGATATACCACCCTCTCTCCGTCTTCCTCTCTCCAGGCCAGCATCATCGATCGACTGCTGCCCGTACATGTCGCTCGCGGACTTCACGATGCCATTGGACGTCACGGCCATTCTTTCAAGCCAGTTGAAACGAGCGACAGGTGTGTGGAGGCCATGGGGCTTTTACCCAAAACACGGCTTGACAAGCAACAACTCGGGTTAGTCCCTGCGCCCGCCAGCCCACGCAACCTGTCAATCCGTTGATGCATCATCTTCGGTTTCTATCATCGCCATCCGGATCAAATACACTGTCAAGGGATTAGCTGCCCTCATCTTGTTCCATTTCGAAGACAAGAAACGAAGGAATGGTCATCGAGATGCAAACGGAACCCTCCTGCACAGGCTTGGCAGCATCGCTTGTTTTGCATGCAGACGCTGGCGATGGGTGAATACACACTCACAACCACACACACACACACACACACACACACACTATACACACATCACAGTGCACACAGATCCTGCGGCCTTGCGCTCGTTTGTCAACCCCAGTGAAACGCTCTCCTTGCCTGGCCGTGTCATCCAATGCGCCAATCCGTTACCCAAGTCCTGCCCCCATCAGCCACAATCTCACTCTGCTCCCGGCCGTCCTAACTCGATTGCGCCGAGATGAGCGGGTTCCATCTCATGCCGCACCTAGCTACAGTACCTGATTCGCAATGCAATATACACTGATATCAGACGAACACGTATACGTGTGCGACCCCGCTGTATTTCCTCCTTTCCGACTTGATCATCAGTCTTCTCTTTCAGCTAACAAGTACATATCCAAACCGACCTAGAAGAATGACGACTGATCAATAGTCAACTTACCAAAGTCTTTAGCTGCTTACCAAAGGGTACCCATGCTAGTCTCAACACTTTCTAATTTTGTCCGAGTTATCGAAGACCCTTGAAAAACTAATCACGTGGCGAAATCGCCTAGCATCGTCATCGTCCATCATGGTGTTGCTCGTTCGCCATCTTTCCACATGTTTGACACATGCATAATAGCTACTATGTAACTCTACCAACCCATCACTCTTTTCTTTCGAGCGGGGACCCTTTTACTTGTGCATGTGCATTTGCAACAACCATGGGTCGAGAGAAACAATCCCAAGGTCTGGCTCCACCTTCCATCCGAAAAGAACAGCGCGCCAAGCACGCGAGGCACATCGTCAACAAAGTCATACCAGCTATTCTCGCATCCAACGCGAGAGCTAGGAAAGGCGCTGATGGCAGCGAACTAATTTCTGACCCGAACCCTGCGGATTCAAATCCCTCACCAGCACCGAGTACCGGTACCAAGGACGAAGCGACACCAAGCCGGGATCCGGAATCCAAGTATATCAAACGCAAAGGCCAGGGTCGTCGAAAAGCCAAAGGCAACGACGCTATCGACCACAACCAAGTCCTGCCTGCAAGAAGACGAGACAGAACATTGGACGGGGAATCGAATCAGCTGGAAGAAAAAAATGCTTCATCAGCTACTATCGTCGTCTCAGCTCCACCTACTGCCGTCTCAGCTCCACAGCGAACATTTCGCATTCTCAACACAGACACTCTAGCAGCCGCACGATCCCTTCAACCCCGCTTCAAGAATTCTCGCAAGGAACCCAATGTCTGCATCCTCAACATGGCATCTCCGCTGCGTCCAGGCGGCGGAGTTCTAGCAGGTGCTACATCCCAGGAAGAATTCCTCTGCACAAAAACAACCCTTCTCCCCTCTTTACATGAAACCTACTACCGCTTGCCCGAGTACGGCGGCATCCTTACACGCGATGTCCTTGTACTCGGCTCCGCATCGTCTGATCTGCCAGCTGCCGAGCGGTACTATGTAGATGCCATCAGCGCAGGTATGCTGCGGTTCCCGGATCTAGTTGGCGAGGAGGGCGAGGAGAAAAGACTTGGTAAGAAGGACGTTATGATTGTCGAGCAAAAGATGCGCGCTGTGCTTCGTATAGCTTCGTCTCGCGGCGTGCGGAAACTCGTCCTCGGTGCTTGGGGCTGCGGTGCATATGGGAATCCCGTCCGCGATATTGCAGAAGCGTGGCGGAGAGTTCTGGATGGCGCTGCTGGGGACAGCCAACCCACAAAAGCTAGGAAGACCAGTAAGTCTTCTGAGCCTGTTGAGCGGTGGGATAGCATCTCAGAGGTTGTATTTGCAATTTCCAATCGCAAGATGGCCGAGGCTTTCTGCGAGGCTTTTGATCCTTCTGTAGAAGTTGAATCCCTGCACAGCAGAGGGGAAGAAGAGCAGGAGGAAACCGATCATGTTGCCGAAGAACTGCGATCTAAGATTCTTGAAATGGAAACCCAATTAGAAAAGGTTTGGAATGCCAATCTGAAGCAGAGGATGGATGTTATATTAGATGGTCTAAGAGCGCAGCTGAGAGAGCGGGAAAGCGCAGTGGGTGTATATAGGAGCGATGGTGATGGAGAGGATGACAACGACGAAGAAGAAGAAGAAGAAGAAGAAGAAGAAGGAAGTGGAGAAGATGGCGAGTCGTCTGCCGACGGAGTCGAAGTGTCTTCTGATGCAGATGATGATGAGCTCAGTGGCTATGAGAACAGCGATCTAGATAGCCGAGGAGGATTACCGCTTTCTTCAAAACATCTAGCATGATCGGGACAGAGAGGGCTAGAAGCTCTGTCCAAGTTTCTCGAAAGTTCATGGCTGCCATATGCATCGAATCCAAGATGAATTATGAACCGGTGTCCCTCCAGCTTACTTTCTCGATTTGGCGACACTGCAAACAAGCCATTAGGACCGACTTCAGACTGCTTTACTATAGATGCTCGCTCCTTCCATCCCAAGCCCCCCCTTCTTGCCGGGACTTTACATCTTCAATGACTGTCCCTAAATCTCGACGGGAATCTTTTGTTATGGTGTACCAGAACAAAATACACGATAAACATTGAGAAGTAAGCAAGACAAGGACGATAGAAGTAAGTGTATGCAACAATTTTGAAAACGAAATACAGGCTATATACACCAACAACTCAACCAACCAGAATACACCCCCCAATGGTTTCTATACCATCCTCATCCCGAAAAAAATAAATAAACAAAAGAAACAAAACTCGCTCGCTCGCTCGCTCAATCACCACGTATTCCACACATCCTCGGGAAGCACCTCCCTCATAACCTTCCAATGGTTCACCGCGCTCTCTTTGTGGAACTTCTCCAGCTCGCCCACATCCGTCCTCCCCATGATTTTCCCGCCGTTACTTTCAGGGACAAAATCAAAAATGACCTCCCACTCCTCCCTGGGCTGCAAGTAGCTCCTGCGCGCCAAACTGCCCATGAGATCATCCTCGTTGGCATCGCGGAACTGAATCGCGTGTTTGGACTCGTCGCCCTTGATACAGAACATGACCATGTTGATGAAATCAGCGTCGCCTTCTTTGAGTTCGGGCGGCGGTGCGGAGTCGCGGAAGAGACGGCAGGCGGGGAAGACGGCGTGGATGGTGTTGAGGACGAGGCGGGTGGAGCCTAGGGAGAGGTCGCCGGCGTAGTTGATTGCGATGACGCCGTCGTCGGCGAGGAGGGCCGAGAGGCCGCGCAGGAACTCGACGGTGAAGAGGGCGACGGGCTCGGCGCCGCCTGTGAAGACATCGTGGACGATGTAGTCGAAGGAGCCGGGGTGCGTTTTGTGTTTGGCGTCTACGTAGGTGACGGCGTCGTCGATGACCGCTGTGTGTTTGGGCGAGAGGTCGAAGTATTTGGTGGCGTAGTGGTGGACTACTGGGTCGAGTTCGACAATGGTGGTGTTGATGCCGTGGGAGATGAGGGCGTTGGGAGCGGTTCCGATGCCTAGGCCGATGACTAGAGCGGATTTCTTGTTGTCTGGGACGGGTGCAGATGAGATGCTCTTGTGGGGTTTGACAAGGCGGACGGCCTCGAGGAGGACGAAGACAGAGAAGATGGTCTCGCGTTTGCGTTGGCCCTTCTCGTAGGATGCGGGGGTCACCAGCCATTCTCCACCAAGGAGAGAGTGGTCACAGCGAAGCACTCGGAATCCGGTTTCTGCTTGGCTCTCCATCACAGAAACATATCCGGTAAGAGATTCCTGGCGAGCCAAAATCGTGTAGTTTTGGCGGGCATACAGAGTCGCATTGGCCTTCTGGAAGGCGCTTTCCGATGGGAAGTGAGGATTGGCCCACAGAGAATGCAGAATAGCTGGAAAGGCGAAGAGGACAATTCTGGATGGCGTCAAAAAGGCAGAAGCTGAAGCAATCAGCATTTGAAAGCCTATTCGAGTAAAGTATAGGTGGTTTCCAACCAAGGAGGGAATTGTGGCGCCCGCAGCTTTCGAGATGGTAGAGACAGTGAAGTAGGACGTAATGGGAATGACGATCTCCTTGAGTGACGAAGGCAGGCTAAGTCGACTGGGGTCAATGCAGTCCAAGAGATTGCCTGCAGCAACTAAGGACAGGAAGAGCAAAGGGAAATATGTGAGACTTTCGGTGACCAGAGGGCCGTATTCGATTCCTAGTTTGCCGCTATAAGGGAAGAGTAGGAATTGGATGACAGGCGACCAGTAGGCAATGACAGCAATATAATCGCCAATGGAGCTTGGGACATATCTCTTCAAAGCTCCCTGCCCTATCAGAGCTGCGAGCGCCGTGACCGTCATTGCTCTCTGGTGATGCAATGACGCTGGAATCGAGCCATAGACAGGAGAAAGGTTGAGCTGGGAGACGGGAGAGGAGATGCCTGCAAGGAGCAGTAACGCGGCCGCTTTTCCAACATTTTTCAAGATGGTTGCCGTGGGTACAGTTCGCGCTTCTCGTTCAGCTTCTCTTGCAGCCTTTGGCTTTTTTAGTGTCTTCTGTTTAGACGACATTTCGGAAATGTGAAATGGGGATGTCTTGTTGCTTATCCAAAAAAGACGGTATTATGCTGGAATAGTGTTCGATGAACATGCGAAGGGTATCCTGACAAGACAATCGCGGAAGATTCACAGCTAGTTCGAAGGTGCCGAATATGAGGCCAGGAGATGGTAATTTGGCGCCGTATCTGACGTCTATCTCACGGCCCGGGTCTCTGTGAAGGGACGGAGACACGAGTGACGACCTGAGTAATGTGAATGGAAAAGGAGCGAACAGTATGTAAAGAAGAAAAATGAGATAAACAAGGTCGATAAATTAATTTGTCCAAGAAGGACAGCTGTTGTCGACAGCACTAACTGGCGAGATGTTTGAGGCATGGATGAAACAGCCGCCGGAAGCCAATGGGGCAGCCCCATGGAGCCTAGCACGGTGCGTTTTAGTGGGGGTTCCATCTCGTGGACCCCTCCACACCTTCAAATGGTGTTGACAGGCCGCGTTACTAAGCCGTGGCGGCGTGGCGTCATTATCAATCACTGGAAGAATTATAGTTTCGCGACATCCAGACTTCTCTCATGTCGCCTCTGACCCTCCATCTATCCGTCGCCCAACAGCTGCAAGAAGGATTATGCCGTATCTAAGAGCCCCACCAGCCATGGCCACACTCGCGCTGCGGGCTCGCACGGATGCAGAATCGCCAATCGACGAGTCAAGCCGCGTTACAGACGTGGTGGAAGTAGCCAACGCCTCTACGCTCCACGACTTGGATATGGACGATGACGATGTAATTCGATACCGCGAACAACGATCTCAGAAACTCGTCGCGAAGAACAGACGCAAGCGCTACCTTGAAGTCCACCCAGAGTACTTCGATGATTCCTCGCTAGAGCTCGCCGACCCGTTGCTTTACGATCGCCTCATCCGCCGTTTCCAGTCCGCCAACGAACGAGAAGCGGAAGGTCGCCGCAAAGGCTTCTCTGGCGAGATTGAAACCGACTTGTGGCGCGCCGAAGCCAAGAAACACGCCCTCGATCATCCAGACCCACAATCGCTCTTCACGTACACTCGAGGCCCTCGTGGGGAGATTCGCGAAGAAGATAAGGACGAGGTCCCCATAACAAAATCTGAAGGCAGGGCGTGGTGGATAGACGAAATGACCCAACGTTTTCTCCGCGGCGCTACTGATTTCGATTACACAAAGGTAGACATGAATGACAAATACGACGACCCCGAAGAGGAGCGGGATATACAGGAAGCCTATTTCGACAGTATGGAGTCGGATTTCGATTCAGATGGCGAGGGCAAAGAAAAAATCCTCACGGGAGAGACTGGAATACAAGACTACTGAAGCCAATGCGACGCTTTATGTCTTGGGGCTGCCTATCGTATGGCGCCATATCTATAGACACCGTAACGCAACTGACACGACGAAACAGCCGTTCACCAAACGTAACGGAACGTGATCGCACGGTCTCCCAATGCTGACAGCTCTTCGGGAGTGTAGCCATTGTGTTCACCCGCTGCCATTTGCCGCTCGCGCTTTTTGTTGATGCGCTTGTAATTCAATACCAAGACCAATCCAGCAACAATACCTACGATGATAAACCCTAGCTCCAGAGCATGACCGAGGATCTGGGTATCAAGTCAGTATAGTTCAGGCAAACACGTCTCAATTGGTGCTTTTACACGGAGCACCATGTGGGCATGCGATTGGCTCCGTGGAGTATACTCACGTATTTTGGGGAGTCTTCTGCACGATAGAAGTTCGAAGCCATTGCTAGATATCCGTCAGCGGAACGATTCTACATGCTATATTTACGAAACATACCACCCGCAAGGTTGCCGAGAGCAATTTGTAAGGCCTGTCCAGTAGCCCTCTTAGTCGAGCCTGCGAGATCTGTACGACTTAGCATTTGCTGTATAGAAAGTATTTGCGAACTGCTTACTGTTGGAAAGCCACGTGATGTTTCCAGGGAACGCGGGATACAAAGCACAAGCAGCCAGGAACACTCCGGCATAGATGACTCCCGGCGTTGAAGTCGCGATACACATGATAAATCCAATAGCCATCTAAAATAGTAACACAACGTTAGCAAAGCGCGGTCCAAACCCTTTCGGTGGCAGAGCAAGCCACAGTGTTTGGCTTTGGGTAGGAGAAGCTTGGTTGGAAGTTGGACGTACAATTCCCAAGCAGACCAGAATAAAAGGCGATCGCTTTCCAACTCTGTCACTCCAGTACGCTACACCCACAGCCAGTATCGAAGCCGTAATGTAGATGGGTACAGTGAGAAGTTGTGCTGTCGAGCTAGTGTACCCTAAAGACCTGATGATTGTAGGCAGGAAGAGGGAGATGCCGTATAAGGGTGCCACGATACCCCAGTACACCCAAACATTGACCTACATCGAAGTTAGCAAGATAAATCCAAGGATAACACAATCTATCGACAAAGCCGCAAACACCACCCGAAAGTGGTGTCCTGCTATCCCGTGGACTTCTGGTAACGCACCCAAATCTGCCAATCAAGAAAGGCTGACTTGACATATTTCCACTGGAACGAATCATCCTGAGCGACTCTGACACCATCTTCCGACTCTTGGCCCTGGTACTTTAGACGAAACACTACGAACGCACGCTCTTCTTCGGTCAGGAAAGTAGCAGTCTCCGGAAAGTCGTGTAGCGTAAAATAAGCCATTACAGCAACTAAGACTGTCAAAATACCTTCGAGAATGAAGATCCAACGCCACCCCTCGAGGCCACCCACACCATTCATCTTGGAGATGCCGAAAGCCAAAAGGCCAGAGAACGCTCCAGCGATGGAAGCAGCACTGAAGAAAAGCGCTTGCCGCATCTGAGCTTCATGTCTACAGTACCAAGCCGTGATGTAATACGCAACGCCCGGGAAAAGCCTACAATCAGTCGGTTAATAGGCCACACAACATTGAGCAATTCCCAAAGGATCAAGACGTACCCAGCTTCCGTCACACCCAGAAAGATACGAGCAATCAGCAACCCATGATAATTCTGCACTATTCCCATGAGCGTCATGACGATCCCCCACGCCACCATGATCGAAGGAAGCCAGATACTCGGCCGCAACTTCTTCAGCAGCAAATTGCTTGGCACTTCGAATGCCGCATACGTAAAGAAGAAGACGGTCAAGCACCAATTGTACTGCGCGCCCGTCATACCCAGATCCTCGACTAGACCCTCGATTTTGGCGTTACCGATGTTGCCGCGGTCGAGGAAAGAAAGGAGATAGAGCAATGCGAGCATGGGGATCAGACGGAGGTCCATTTTCCGTAGGATTTTCTTTTCGTCAAGGTGTGCAAAGGTGGCTCTTGTGACGCCCGGAGCGGTTGCGAGTGCGTCTATTCGGGCGATTTGTTCGGATTGGGCGCCGCTGGGTTTTTCGTGATGGAGGTGTTCTGTTCGAGCGGCTTGTGGCGATGCACTTCTTGGTGAATCTTCATAGTGGGCTGTCTCTGGTTTTTCCATGCTTGTAATGTTGAGAATTGGTAAGTGTGTTACCGATGATATAAGAAAGCACAGTATTTAATAGGAAAGTGCCTATGTAGGGGAGAAGATGGATTGGGATTTTCTTCGAGGGCAGACTGGGATCCTGAAGGTTCTTTGATATACGGCAAGCTTGCCGCGATGTGGAATGCGGGGGGTAGTGTGAAGAGTAGTGTTTCTTGTCGCACCTTGGCAGTGTATACGAAGGACAATGGATGACGGCTATCTTTAAAGCTAGGGCGGATATCCGAGGTTGATGGAGGTAGTTGAAATGCGTACATACATGCGTCTTCACGAAGTCAGAGAAGTCACAGTACATGACATAGACAATCACAAAGCACACAACTCTATCTCGCCCACTCACAGCGCATCAAAGCCGCGAAGATCCCGAGGTAAATCCACCCACGTCGAAGGTTGAAGAAGCTTTATCCAAGCTAAGACTCGGATCGTGTTGCTTGTTGATGATAAATCGCGTCCCCTCCCCCGCGCTCTCGACGGAAGAAACCAAGCAGACGCCGATGACGGAAGCCGAGCAGCCACCTCCCACGCTACATGTTCCCCCTCTCTCTTCATCTGCTTCCGACACAACAAAGGCCGTTCGGGATTGCCATTTTGAGTAGGTCATCTGAGTGCTGTCCTAAGATGTGGAGAGTTTTGTGGGCCGGAAGGTTCGCGGGACCCCGGCCGGAGTAAATGAGTGGGAGTTGAGAAGACGCGGGGTCCCCACAGCTGGGCAAATCAATTTATAGGTTTTGCTGACAACCGTGTTCGATAGAGTTGGTATAGTTACTGAAACAGGCATGTTGCGGGGTGTGGCACGGGTCACCGTATAAAGAACCAGCTCGTGGATGCGTTCAACACTTTTGAAAGATATCCTACTGCATCAGGAAGTTTGCAACAACGCAGAAGAGGAATAAAACAGTTCGTCCTACACGGCAATCAACGCCTCCAGCCTCCTCTTACTTGATCAGGCAGTTTGGAAGATGCAGTCCATGTGCTGTGACGTGGATCGAGCTAGGGGCAATGCAAGATCATCCGCAGATTTCGATACCCCTCAACCTGCTTACCAGATCGAGTATTTTGATCTCGCAGGCCCTTGGGTACAAGAAAGCTTGGGTCCTTGTACTTCATTGGCACAGTCTGGAGTCTCAATTCAAATTCTCCCTGTAATTAGATTGGGATGATTGATGTACTAAGTCCTTTTTCACTCTGTATCCCCATCGTCTCTTGAATCACGGATGGAAGTTCTGCCATCTTCGTTTCCTTTCTCGCCATCCTACCATCATGAGAATCCTCACCATCCCGTCTTTTGTTCCTAGCGCAGTGTGGCGTAATGCTGTGTTCCTAGGTTGTGCGCGCCTGATCTCTATGCGTCAATCCACACTTGTTTACCCAACCTACTCAACGAAGGAGGTTCGGATGGAAGTCTCGGATCTTTAGGCACAGGTACTCAACGCCATCTCCCAGATTTACTCCATTTAGCAGGTTCAGGTGCTCGGCATATGGAGCACAAGGGAACGCTTTCCAGCAATCAACCTGAATATCGTACGATAATATCTCCCTTGGTTTGGAAGACTTGGGATCTAGGGTGGCGATTCCTGCTCATCGGTCCCCGAAACATTTCAGGACACATCAAAACTTTCTTTTCCTGTGGGAATATAACGAATCCTGACGGTCTATTCTCGATTTTACGCTCTGAGAAACTCGCTTTCTCACAGCATCTACGATATTGCAAGACACTCAGTGGTAACCGATTTCAGGTCATTTGCATATACGAACAACCACACAATCCACACAATCCATGTTGACATTAGTGACGATATCTTCTGGCCATTAAAGATTTCAGCCTCTTCCGTGTTACCTTCTCTTGTACCCAACATATGCAATTTACTGCCAGGAAGTTCTGTATGACACCCTGACCGTCCCACCCTCGGTATCATATGTGCCAGCAATCCATACCCTACAATCTGATTCCTTGATCAGGAAAAATTCGTACCGATGTACGACAATGAATCACGTCTCGGCTTCACTTCCGGCTGCCCAGTGAAACCAGAGTGCAGACCTGTCTTCTACACTTTGCATCAAGCATACTCAACTCGGCAGGTTGAAAGCCCAGCAAACCGGTCAACCCGAGTTGTGGATGCAGGTATGCGCAATCAACGCTACTATCAGGATCCAACGCTCCTCTACTTTCTTCCTCAATTAGGAAACATGGAAATTCCATCGTCTTGGTATGAGCTTGTTAGTATTACGTTGATGATTGAACGCACGTGTACATCCACCATAGATGCTACAGTATAATCCACACCTTCTCCGCCCTCTTCCTTGATCACGAAACATCGACGTCCCCTTAAGTCCTGCATAACATCGATTTTGATTTTGATTTTGATTTTGAGTTGGAGTTTAGGTGTTCCTACACCCAGCGATGGTTCATGACGATGGAGATAGAAACAAACGAGCGATTACAACGAATTCAGAACGATGAGCCTTCACACAAGCTTAATAAGCAGAATTGGGAAGGCTACACAACATCAATCTACACTTTTTCTACTTTCTCTCCCGATTAGGAGTATTGAAGATTTGACAGCTCCGTTGTACGGGAGTCTGTGATGTGGCCGCCTGGCACGCATCGTACAGGGCAATCCACACTTTTCCTTCTTTCTTCCCTGATCGGGAGTATTGCGGTCCCAGCATTTCAAATGATTGACAGGGGAGATATTTGTGCTCCATCGCACATAGTCAAAAGCCTTGCAGAACGTGACAAACAAGATCCGACACTTCGGACTTTCATTGCTTACAGCGGAAAATTCCCCTTTGCACATGGAAAGCTCCCCGTTATCGACACCCAGAGCAAAATTACACGGAAAAGGGAAAGTTGTACACAGTAGTAGCGCACAAGTTCCTGTCGTGTGACTGTGTCGCTGTGATAAAATCTGCACAAATCGTACTCTGTCCCCCCAGTCATCGACACTTTTGTTGATCAAGTTGCTTGAATGGGAAGGGGGTTTGCGAGATCGGAAGATTGTGAGTCGTCTGTGTAATCTGAGGCATGTTGAGTTACGTGGTTGCCGTGTGGTTAAATACGTGTGGTGTCACAACGAAGCATGAGATGAGGAAGGGAGGTTGGGTGTCAGTATTGAAAGTATGTTTCTTCAGTGTATTCATGTCTACGTGATTCTTTGCATGCATCGTTCTTTTTCCTACTATCTGAGCTTGCTCGATAAGTAAACCCAAGCATCTAGAAATCCTCTCAGCGCTTCAACGTCTTTTGCTTCTCTGCATCCCTTACGAGCACCTCCCTCACCAGCATTCCCTTTCTCCTCCTCACACGATCCACATACCTCTTGGCCACATTTTCGCGGTCAGCTAGCTCGCCAAGATCTTCCAGTTCGTCTTCAGTGAATGGAACCCAGAACGGATCGATATCGAGCATTTCGAAGCCCGCAAATCGCAGCTGCGGCGAAGCTGAGCCAGAACTGCGTTTGCGAATTTCATCGGAGAAGCCGAATGACTCGGCGACAGGCAGCAGCGCGTTGATGGTGAAGGTCTGTGAGCCCGTCGTGCTGGCTGAGGAAGTGGAAGATAATGTTTCGGACAAGATTTGACCGTGGCGACGCGTGAGCACGGCGTACACGCGACCTAGAACGTCGGTTGAAGCTTGAATTTCGCACGTGTACATTGCCAGGAGTATGCGGGGAGACCAGTCCAGGAAGCCTTGGTGAATAGCGGAGCGTGTGGTTTTGATGACCTCGCCTATAAGGCGGCCCATTCGGTCTGTTGCCGACTCTTCGGCAGAGGGTATGGCGATGGTGACTTCTTCCAGGAAGACAGCTACACCTTGTACAGGCTCACTACAAAGAGGCCCTTGCGCCATAGCTAGCTGGAAAGCATAGACAATTTTGTCAGTGAAAGAGTGTGCGGTCACGGATTGTGAAGCAGTATGTTCGGTAGAATCTTGTTCGGTCGTTGCTGACTCCCGGAGTCTACACCGTTGTTAGTCTGAGCTTGTGCGTCAAGAGGGTAAACGAAAACGTACGCTCTTCCACATATGCTATCCGCCGTAGCATCAACGAGAATGTTGGGGCCTATCCGCCTAGGGCCAAAAGCGGCAATCTTCTCAATGACGTCTGCCCAAATGTCTCGCTGGCCTTTGGCTTCCTTGAAAGCGTCTTCTAGTCCCTTCTTGAAGTCGACCAAACTTAGCGTGTGTCCGGTTTCCAACTGTTCAGCTTCCTCCATACCATCCTGCTCTACACCAGAAGATTCTGCGGGTATATCTTCTGCAATCCTTTGCCGCTCCTCTGCATCTCTCTTCTCTGAATACAGTCTCTTGATGGCTCCCGAATTCTTCGATAGAAACTCGGTCACGCTTGGAGGCAGAGGGCGAACCCTCAGCCGGAGGGAGACTTGCTTGCTCGCTGTAGCAGTAACGACGGTTCCACGAGGTAGTTCGGGATCTTTGGGCGGGCTCATCTCTTCTGCAGCCACGATTGACTCTCGGTACGGAACAATGGGCTCTCCAGCTTGAATTTCACATTTCGCGAATCGTTCTCGTAAGTCAGTCAAACACCTCTCTAGGTGCAACTCACCTGCAGTAAGAATGACATGTTCGCCACTTGGTAGAACTTCATACTCTGCGCATGGATCGCTTTGAACAAGCAACTTTAGACCATTGATCATCTTCTCTAGATCGTATGGGTTTTCGGGTTCCAATGCCACACGAACGATAGGGTGGGTACCCATATTGATACCAGCCAAGTTGACTGACCCAGGTAGTTGTGAGCAAAGAGTTCCGGATTTCAGAACATGGCCAGCAAGACCGCCAATGCCGAAGACGACACCCGCGGGCACAGAAGTAAGGGACTCCAAGCCTCGGCCCATCATTAGGTATAATGCGGTGACCTTGACCTTTTGTGGCTCAGGAGCCGCGTGCGGCCGGGAGGGGGTAAACTTGGGGCCCAAGACATAGACTTCGTCACCCACATTGAGCGTACCAGAATAGATGCGCGCGAACCCAATGAGATGCTCTGCTTCCGCTTTCGTCTCTTCGGTTTCCTCTGGTGTCTCGGTTTCGCCAATTGCTGCTGAACTGAGTGCTGAAGTGATGGACCCAATATCGGAACTATCACCATTAGCACCGGCTTGTTGACGCGCTATCTCTGCGCGTTTCTTTCGACCAAGTTCACGAGCCTCTTCAGCAGTCAATGCTCCACCTCTACGTTTGTTCTCCGGTAGTTCGCTCTCTGGGATGGATACCATTTTGCTGACGTATGCTACGACTGGCGCATCTGGCGATGTCTTGAACTCGGTAACAGCTGCTCGAACCTCTGAGCTAACGTCATCGGCGCCAGGTGAATTATCGAGAATCTCAGGCAGACGTTCAGCCTGAGCTTTGGGGGGTGAGGGAAGGTACTCAATGACTGAGACAAGCAGAGCTGTAGATAGTGGAAGCCAAGATGCGAAAAGCGTAGTCAATAGAGCGCGCGGATCGCGCGATCGAAGGATATGTGCTGGAATGGTCAAGTTGAGGGATTTTGTGATTTTCTCCACCATGGTTGGATCTCCAGTTCCATTATTACCTCCAGTGGTGGCTTCGTAGACAGCCCATATGTTGTCGAGGACGAGCTGGACAAACATTGGCTTGAGATGGCGACCTTTGAGATGCTTGGATGAAAGCACTCTCTTGGTTTTGGTATCAAGATAGAAGTCGCCCCACAGGACTTTTTCTAGAATGGATCGCTTGATGCCGAGCTTGCGCTCATATAATCCAGCGAATTGCTTTACGGTAAAGGCCCAGCCGTCAATGGCGCTGCTGAAGATGACGTTATTTTTCTCGGGGGCGAAATAGATATCCTCGTCATCCTTTTCCTCGTACTCAGCTGGCGTGTTAGTAGTATCGATGCTCTCACCGTTCTCGGCGATGGATGATACGGGCGCATTGGCCTTTTCTTCGGCCGCAGCATTAAGCCTCTCCTCCATTTTCTCACGCCATCGTAGATCATCTTCCATGCGTTCTCCTTGGTAAAAACTGCCCATGACAGCATTTACTTGTTCCAGTAATTTGGATAAGTGGGTATATGCTTCGGCAGGACTTAATTTCAGTTCTGTGATTAGCCGGTCCATCTTGTTAATGACAAGCAACGGTTTCAATTTCTCTATCCAAGACTGTCGCAGCACAGTGACAGTCTGGCTACAAACGCCCTCGACGGCATCTACGAGCACGACAGCGCCGTCGCATAAGCGCGAAGCGGTGGAAACTTCGTAACTGAAGTCAATGTGTCCAGGAGAATCTATGAGGTTGATCAAGAAATCTTTCTGCTCGGGCTGCTGGTCAGGAGCTGACCGGCGCAACAGAGAGAAGAAAAGAGATATAGCAGAGGATTCCATGGTGATGCCACGCAGTTGTTCGTCAGGTCTAGAGTCTAGATAGCGGATCTTGCCGGCGAGCTTGGGCGATATGATGCCATTCGTGGCAATGAGGGCGTCGGTGAGCGATGTTTTGCCATGGTCAACGTGCGCGAGAATGCAGATCTAAGTGGTGTGAGCTGGTGAAGCTTGAGGAGGGACGAGGTCCGAGGTACGTTTCTTATGCCCTGAGCGCTCTTCTGCAGCGAGACCAGCTTTTCCGGCGCGACTACCGGCATGTTTGGAAAAGTTGTCGCGGAGAGTATGTACTAAGAATAGGATGTAGTCGCTGAGTACGCGTGCGCGTTGGAATGTAGAGCCTCGAACGAGAGGCGCGTTTGTGAGGTGGGGTGCTTGTTTGGGCGGCGGAGAAGGCGCAAATGGAAGGGGCGTTTCGCCGCAACGGGATGTCTCACGATGGTGCGGGCGAGTAGCGAAAGCGTTGATCAAGTGTCTGGATGTGTGCAGAGCGGGTGGCTCGATTGGTTGCGAGTGTGTGAGAGGCGAAAAAGGAAGTAGATACAAGAAGTCAAGAGTGGGAATCGGGAGAAGAAGAGGGTGGAAAATAATTATTGGAGCTCTGTAGGTACAAGTACTAAAATTTATTTTGGCTGCCCGCAACGCTCACAGGAGGGAGAGGGAGAAGCAATGGGGATAAGTGTGCGGTGCAAAGCCGGCCCTCGCTGATGGGATTATATGCTATCATTAATCAGAACAATTGAGCATCAGTTTGTAGTTTTTAGCGGTCAGTCGGACAGTCCTTTCGACGATGACGATGAATGAGTCGATTCACCCAGATGGAGGTGGGGTCGTTTGGGTTATGTAAGCAGACGGTAGTTTTTCCTACTCTGCATCTCACTAGTCGGGCGCTCTGATTGGTCAGGTACATGTGTAAGTTGGGACCTGAACTCAGACACCTGGAGCCTTCAAATGTTGATGCATACATACGTACTCTATATACTTGTAGATATGTATTACTCCAAACTAATACGCATGATTGATATTGCATTCGAGAGTTGGCCGCATTCTCCTCGTCGAATTGTTAGGATGCGACTGACGGAGCTGCTTAAGTAAGCGGGGATGCAGCCAGCCAATCGCCTTCTCATCCCGTGACATGACAGCATCCACATGCATGTGCACCCATCCAATGTTGCTTGCTTCTGCGAAACAGAGAGACAGACGACAGCTTCGGAGCAAGACATGGACCGATTGGCCACAACACAAGATTCCACATGGACGTGTACTGTCTGTCTGTATGCGGTGGCACCATCGCTCGAGTCTCTGTTACCCCTGTATGCTGTCCATCATCATCATCATCATCATCTCTCCGATGCAAATAGGGCGGTGCATTAGCCGCGGATCCATCTGCATGGGCAGATGGATTTGACGTCTTCCTTTTCCCATGGTTACGCATTCCGTGGCCGCCATCCATCTACACGTGTGTCAAAAAACATCATCATGCCTGTTCGCATCCGCGCCCGTCTCTTTAAACAGAAATATGAACCCTCCTGATCTCTCCCCCGACTGCCGTTCCTGGTGCTTGTCGGTTTTATGCAGTGGCCCCTGCTTTTCCTGGAACGCCCATCACCCGTCCGCATTCATACCCCTACTTAGTACCTTTTGCTAATCGTCTGGTCTGGCCGCCTCTGGAAATATAACAGCCCGCCTGCCCTGCTCACCCCCCACAACAACACAACAACGCTGCTCACCACCACACCGCTCATACTACTAATATACTCCTTCACATACATAATCCGTTTTCCTTTTGTTCCCCCCTTTTTATTCCCCTCTACGTACGCCAATTCTCCTTCGTCTTCCACCTTTAGTCATTGCATGCAGGCCACGCACCATCATGGCGGCGACCCTGGCAACAACCCCCCAGCAAACGCCCTCCAAACACATCTCCATCCGCACCCAGCCCATCAAAAATGACCCACCGCGCCCCGAGCCCCTCAAGAAACGCCATTCTGATCCTCTCGATGTAATGTCTCCTGTCAACGAGAACGGCAGCTTCGAATTCGATCGAGTAATCAAGAGGGGAACTGTGGTGAAGCGCACCCGCAAGACCAAGGTCAGTCAGCACGCCGTCCGCAATCCCCTTCTTCCTCAAGCTAAATCATCCACAGCAATGGCGATCCGTCTACCTCGTTCTGCGCCCCAATCTCCTTTCCATCTACCGTGACAAGGATGAGACCAAGTTGCGACACCAAATTAGCCTTTCCGACATCACCGCCGTTGCCCGCCAGAGGGACTCGAAAAAGAAGATGGAACACGTTTTTGGGATATTCTCTCCTGCAAGAAACTACCACTTCAGCGCACTGACGGAGAAGGACGCGCAGTCTTGGGTTACCCTCATCCGATCCGAAGCGCGCATAGACGAGGGCGACGAAGAAATGATCCTTATGAGTCCTGCTGCCCACAATACAACCTTCACAGGCTTCGACCGCATCGTAAAGCGAGGAGATGTTGGATCCAGCTCGTCCGAAGCAGAGCATCGCCCCTCGAGTTCCATAGCCCCAGAGAACATGCACAGCGCCCGTCGACCATCGCATACCTTGAATTACTCTGGCAATGAACATGGATCTTACTCGGATTTCTCCGATACCGGCGGCCCCGTTCACGCACCCTTCCAGGCTTCCATGACTTCGTTGCCGCATACTCCACGCACGTCGGCGCAATTACCAAACGCGAGCCAGCAGAACAACACTGGTACTGCGCCCGACGACAATCGCGTTATTTATCATGGCTGGCTGTGGGTGCTCAAATCAAAGGGCGGTGTACGTCAGTGGAAGAAGGTATGGGTGGTTCTCCGCCCAAAAGCCCTTGGGCTTTATAAAAATGACCAGGAATACTCCGCCAACTTGATCATCCCTTTCGAGAACCTCATCGATGCTGTCGACATTGATGCCGCCTCCAGGAGCAAGCAGCACTGTATGCAGGTCATTTCCGAGGAGAAGAACCTACGATTCTGCGCCGCAGACGAGAATTCCCTGGCAAAATGGCTCGGCGCCTTCAAAAGCTTGCTGATCAAAAGGAAAGAAATGCGAAATCAACGATCGCTACAGGCATCCACAAACACCGAAACCCCTCGACCTCCAAAAACAGTGGCTATACAACCACCCACGCCAACCAATCCTGTCTCCACGTGAGCGAATCTAATAATTCTCACCGCCGACCCAGACACGTCGTCTTCGTGCTGGCTGGCTGGCATACCCCTCACAGGCGTCTGCCTATCTATGTTATCGACCAAATCCATCACTGCAAGATCCCTGAACCTTGTATATACCGCTTTCTCCTTTGTTTCATCAACCGCCACCACCACATCAGACCGACATCCATTTCCTATCGTTTGCTCAGCTTTTCGAGCATGTCTCACTTCAACAAAATCTTACAGCTGGTCCTTACTGTACTTACGATTGTCTACGATTATATTATGATTCGCATACCTGCCAATTTCCTTTTGGCTTTGAGGCTTTGGGTGGATTGGTGTTTTTGTTGCGCATGCATTGCCTGTTTTGCTGCTAGCGAGCGTTTGTCTTTTGAGTACAGAATCGAGCGAAGGTGTTGGTTTAGTTGTCGAGGCTTGCCTGTCGCGGAACCCATTTGATCATGGTCGCGAGAGACTTCTGCCGGCTTTTTTTCTTTTTGTCTTACAACGTTTCTTTTCTATGGAAATACCCCCTTTGTTCCATTCGGGCGCGCGAATACACGTAGTTAATCGATAAACACAACTGAATAATCGAATGCAGTAAAACAACAATCTTGTGTCGTCTCCTGAATGACTGGTCCAGCGTCAGCCCTCTGAAAAGTGGTTACGTACACCTTTCTGAATCTGTTACAAACCCCCATCTTTTTTTATCTAGACCACAGACTGTCACGCACGCCTGTCAGATGTCCAGATAATACGCCGAAACAGCCAGAGTGGGCAATGTGTCTGTCTGCCAAACGGGCTTACCACGTTGATCCTCTCCACAAGGATACTCGTGGACTCGGCGTGTCGGTCGTCGGCGTCTCGTGCTCGTCTCGTCTGCCGCGCGCGAGTGAGTTGGCTCCCGGATATGCATCGGCCCGGTATTCTCTTCAGCTGGAGGAGAACAAATCGTCGATGGGATTGAAGGGAGTTCTATATTTAAGGTAGTCTAGAAGTTCCTCGATCGCATCGCTGCGATGGACTTGCATTATTCCCTGGGTGTTTTGATTTGATTGTTCCCACGACCCATGCGCAACGTAGCGTGTGAGGAATCAGCGATAAGCCCACCCTGATTGGTTCATCTCTTTAGCAGGTTTATTGCCTATTTGGGAATAGCTTGGTGGAGTCGGGTGGCAGAGGATGAGGGATATCGAATCCTACAACATCTTGATTTGAGGTTTGTAGATCTGGATCTGTATCGTTAATCTAGGATTAGCTTGGCCGATCTACATGGGTTTTAGTTTCTGGTGCTTAAAGTCTTGAGAGCCCGCAATTCTTGTAGCTAAGAGAACTTCGTTGGGAGAGGCGGGCACTCGGTGAACGGAGGTCTTGGATGGTGGGTTATTGGGTGTTTATATAAGAGAAGTTGAGGAAGTCGAATAAAGTCACCACTATCAATGTGTTTCTTCAGCATCTTTTGAACAGGGAACATCAAGTAGAATTATTTCGAAATCTTTCATCTGTACAAACGGCACCGCACCACCTTTCACCAACCGATTCACCAACCGATTCACCAAGCACTCGCACACTCCCAAGCCTACAGACAAGAAAAAAAAAAACCCCATCTCTAGAAAGAAATTTCAAGGAGTAAAGCACAATGCCAATCCTAGAAAATCATCCCCTCTCCCCAGAGCTTCCCATAGTCCCTCTACACATCTTCGGGTCCCCCTACCCTCCATCTCCAACAACACATCTAACACCTCTAACCCCTGCTCTCTCAACAACCCCAATTCACACCTACGCCTCGGCAACCCCATCCACCGCAACCCTCGCCTGCAACGCATCCGCCAAAGCCTTCACGATCTGGAAGAAAACCGCACCCTCGTACCGCCGCGAGCTTCTCCTCAAAGCAGTAGAAGTACTCCAGCGTCGGGGCGACGAGATCAGTGCCAGCCAAGTCAAGGAAACATGCTGCGCTGAGGCGTTCGCGAAGATCAATCTAAAAGGCGGGATTGAAGGCGTGAGGGAGATTGCGGCTGCGACGGCGGAGATACGGGGCACTGTTTCGCAGAGGGGCGTTGTACCTGGGAGTGAGGGGAGGGAAGGAGAGGGCTTGACCATTGTGGTTAAAGAGGCTATTGGCGTTGTTTTGGTGATTGCTCGTACGTCGCCCCTTTTTCCCCCTTTAATATTTCTTTTGTCTTTGATCTGGCGAGTCGAAACACTTCAGGCTTTCAGATGGAATGAAAAGAAGAAATGTATTGACAGTTGTTGTGTATAGCATGGAACGGCGCAGTCATCCTCCCCCTCCGCGCACTCAGCCAGGCTCTAGCAGCAGGTTGTACCATTGTGTTCAAAGCCTCTGAGCTGTGTCCACGGACCCACACCATCCTTGTGGAGTGCTTCGAAGAAGCCGGGATCCCTCCAGGCGTCATCAACGTCGTCCAAGCTAGACGCGAAGATGCTGCTCCCGTGGTCGAAGCCATCATTTCGCATCCTGCGGTGCGGAAAGTCGATTTCATTGGCAGCGCCGCGGTGGGGAGTCAGATCGGACAAGTATGCGCAAAGCACCTAAAGCCGATTCTAATGGAGCTGGGTGGGAAAGGTCCCGCCCTTGTTCTGGACGACGCGGACTTGGAGAAGGCGGCGAAGATGTGTGCGATGGGCGCTGTTGCGAATCATGGACAGCTTTGCTTTTCGACCGAGCGTATCATCATCCATGAAGCTGTGTATGACCAGTTTCTTGCGTTGTTGTCTGCTGTTATGCAGAGGCTTCCTGGACCTGCTGTGGGCAATGCCGTATCGAAGCAGTCTGTCACCCATGCTTTGGATGTACTCAAGGATGCTGAGACTCTTGGTGCGAAATTCATCGTCGGAGGGACAGATTGCGCTTCGGATGTTAGCTTGAAGCCAACGATTGTTGAAGGTGTCACGCGTGAGATGCGCATCTTCGACGAAGAGACGTTTGGGCCTTCGGTCTCTGTTTACAAAGCGGAAAATGATGATGAGGCGGTCCGTATGGCGAACGACTCCAAGTATGGGTTGAATGCCGCGGTGCACAGTAAAAGCTGGGAACATGCTTGTAAGTATGGTCATGTTCGGAGGTGTTTTCCAACTTGGTGGAGACTAACGATTCGGTGTGTAGATACGATTGCTTCGCAGCTCGAGTACGGTCAGGTTCATATCAACAACATGACCCTAATGGATTCCCCGGGCCAGCCAATCCAGGGTATCAAGGGCTCTGGATGGGGACAATCGAATAGCATTTGGGGCATCAACGAGTTTTTGATTGAGAAGACAGTCATGTTTCACTCATCTCAGGGAGGGTTTCCTTTTGGACCATAGAGGATTGCATCGCAAACTGGTAGGATGACTGGGGTTCAGAAAACCCCTTCACTATGTTGTTTGAAGACGATAGGAGATTCTATGCGTGGTATTGGTTCGTAGAGGGAGGATGAGGAGCTAGCATATATCCATTTGAAGCTGTATTCCATATTATCCCGGCATCATAGACGGAGTATAGAAAAATAAAGTGCTCGACCCGGAAAAAGCCACATCCTCAATTCCACCAATTTCCCCAGCTAGGAACAAGCAATGTGATGATTCTTACCCACTCAGCCCCTTTTCTTCTTGTGAAAGCACCGGTTTGTCTTCTACTCCAAGCGCAACCATCAGACCCACAGCCGAAATCATGAAAACCTGGATCCAGAACCCAAGAAGCCAAATGATACCGAAAATCTCCATCTCTGGACATGTGCGCCACGCTACCAGCATGACGAGGCATGCGATGTGTAGTACTGCCGAGGTATACAGAGACCCGTTCAAAAAGCGCTTCGTCTAAAATGTGCAGATATGTCGCATCAGCTTCGGTTCTTCATTAATCCACCATAGCCAAGATATCCAAGACGACGCTTCTGCGTCCCCTTACCGGGACCAGCAGAACCACATATCGAGAGACATCCGGAAGCATCCACTACCATGAAGCAAGGAGACAACAGAAACAATTGAACCATGCGTTCTTCCTCTTCTAAATTCTTGGATGTAGGAGCAGACTTACCAAAGTAACTTTACGAAAGAAGAACCTAGTCGTCTCCCCAGCGTTTTCCATCTTCGTCATGCCCCAAGTCACATACCACACCCCAAGCATCGGACTCAACAACTTTTTCAATGGCTCGTTCAAGAGGATGAGAACGTAAATGTGAAACGAAAACTGCAAGGCAAGGACAATGTACATAGCCAAGCGGCGGAAGCGCGTGCTGGAGGAGCGCAAGCCCCGAGGATCAAAGGCTTTGCATACCGAGCTGAGTACGCTGTTGTCGTGCTGGGTCGCTACCGGTTCGGAAACCGTTATCCTTTTCAAGTCGGAAGGCTGCGTAGGTGTCGCCATTGTTTCTTCTGCTGCTGTTTATTGCGTCGTTGAGAGGAGATGGTAAGGTTGAGACAGATGGTTGGGTGTGGAGAGTGAAGGTTGGCGTGTTCTTGAAGTTAATACGTCACAAGACCACCACCCCTGCTCTTGTAGGTAACGGCCCCCAACACTCACCGGTGTGTGCTGTCATAAGGCAAATTAGGTGGAGAAAACGCTCTGTATGCGGCAGAATATGTGCAAAAGTGTGGCAGTGATCAATATATGCATACATATCCCCCTGGACAGTAATGGGTGAGATAGAGGGATGAGTCGCACTCTCTTGAGACGAGACGAAGCGACTGGACTAAGGCTGAATTCCTCAGTCACAGAAACATATGTATCCCAGGTGGAGTAAGCACATCTGGAAATGCTGCTTTGGATAAGAGAAAAGGATTATATCTGTCTCGACGGCGAAATCAGCCCCGTGCTGAAGTATTATCTCATATCTATCCATGAGGGCAAAAAGCAAATGCGATAACCAGTGAGCCTCAATCCTATGCGAGAATTATGAAGCCTTCCTTCCCAATATACTATAAAGTACACGTTCGAACCTCGCCCCATTAATAGGAAGCATGCTGTTGTATGATCTGCAAAGTCTCCATCTCCCGAGATTGTGAGAACGACAAGAACTTCTCTTACCAGCTTGGAGATTTCATGGCGACTTGTGTAAAAACAGCTGTGATGGGTGATATACAATGCCGAAACCCGACTGGCAGGTCTCGCTTGATTAACTGGAGTATATGTATAGATGCCTGATGTATCTCGTGTTGGGTTATCCGTAAGACCAATAATCGCTCTGCATTTACCACTCACGTGAGTCGGATGATCGGTAATCCGCCGGTGAAGTTTCGTAACATTTGAAACCCCAACTTTAACTTCTGCCTATTCACAATCACCATCGAGGGGCTCCATGCCGTGGAGAGAAGCCGGCTCACCCTGCTACATCAGCTCAACAAGACTCACATAGCAGGTTGCCACTGGTAGCAAGATGCGGATTTCTCTCGTGTGCCTTGCATCTTTGGTGCTTGGGGTTTGCACTTCGACAACAAAAGGTATCTACCCGCTGGGCGCTTACTTTCTTGTGCGGCTGACAAACGCTTTACAGAGTCTCTCCAGAACAACAATAATGGTCTAAATGAAGGTGAACCTTTGTTGATCCCCCAAGAAAACCGCAATGGTTGGGTCGATCCTGAAGACTTGAAGCCCATGCCGCAGTGTATCGCTCAGCAAGATCCATCTACGTGGTTGGGAGCCATGTCCCAGTGTACGGCGAAACAATGTACCCGCCACTTTGGAATTATTTGCACTCGCCACCAATGGCTGATCCAGCTCAGCTGCCTTAGCACTGAGTTTTCCTCTGGTGTCATCTCAAGTTACATGCCATATTGCAGTAGATCAATTCTCGCCAAAGCACAGCTGTATTCATGGATTCATGAAATCACTGGTCGAACATGGCTTGTGGATGTTGGCGACGCAAATGATGTGCAAGATCTATCACCCTTATCCCTGGCCCAAGGCTATGCATCTATGGCTGCGACACGTTACGCCCCGGCGTGCCTAACAGGATCGTCCTCGAGTCAAACGATGGAGCCATTTCAACATGCAATGGCGTCTTGTAGTTTCACAAGCACACCTCGCCACACCGGAAGGGCCGACCGTCCTTGGGAATATCGCGAAGACCTACATTCTGTCATCGCACTGGAGTTTGAGACACCAGGCTACGATCTTACTAACAGGAGGATCGAATCTGGAGAATATTTTGATAAAGACTGTTTTTGCAGCACCTTCAAACTCGACCCTAAAAAGGAATCTTGCTCGGAACCAAGGGAATTGAAATGGACCCAGGAGCAGTTATGGATGAATGCTACATGTGGGCACACACCTCATTCCAAGAACTGGACGGACTCACTCAAAACAATCGGGTACAATTATATATCTCCCATGGATTGGAAATGGCCTGCCGTAGATTTGCCAAAGCAGATGATCAGCCTTGCTCCAGAATTTGAAACAGAAGCTTGTGAGATTGACTCTTCGGGCTACTGTCACGTCGAGCCTGCGATTGACAGAAGCAAGTTCTGTCAAAAAATCAGCTATCATTCCTGCGGAGCATCATGTCAGTTCTTTGAGGCGCGAATAAAATACGTCAACTGGCTACACGATCTATGTGGCGATGTACCGGATTGGCATGGTCTCCCAGGCAACTGGCACCGCCTGGCCGTTCCCAACACCCTGGACATGCTTCCGTGGCGATGGACAGTCAGACCACATGATAGCTCAAACAGAGTCGATGAAAACCATTCAGACTACATCATACCAGGGGAGTGTGCCTCGGATGACCATGTGGTCAAAAATTTCGTCCTCATCCATGTGGTTATTGTCGTTGCGTCTTTCTACAGTCAAGGAATAGCGATTCGCCAGATTGCGCGAGCTTTTCCGTGGCTCTCATATCAATCTTCATGGCTCGTCAAAGGCATCCAAGTAGCTGCTCTCCAATTGCTTGGAAATTGGGCGAATGCAGTCTTTGTCCAACAAACGAATCGTTACGAGCATGTTCCTGTTATCCAACTGATACTCCTCTGGTGCTCAATGCCTCGTATCACCTGGCTTCTGTTTCTGCTTCTTGGTCTAAGGCCTTGGAATAAAGTGAACTTCTCCGCTGCCAAGTCATTCTTACTCGCAGAGATGATTCTCCAGGCTCTCTCGGCTTATCCTATGCTCCTCACTATCAACTATGGCCGCGAGCACAATTTCTATCTAAGGGACCTAGAAGACGTGAAACACAGCCTACTAGCAAGAATAATGTACTATGGTGCGCTAATGTGGCTTATCATTGTCGCGATGACAATCTTGTGGACGGTGCAAATTGCAAGTAGAATGAACAAGATGATCGATCAGGAGCCGGAATGGGTGGAAAGTAGACGAAAAGTCTCAGTAATCATGAAAGGACTAACCAAAATGTTTGATTCACCCCATGCGTGGCTGGGAGATGAACTACAACAATGTTGGATGGGGAAAGGTGGCGATCTGGGCGAGAGATCATCGTTGCTCCACGGAGGCGAAAATATCGCAACGTATGGCGCACTCCCTGTTCAAAGCTCTAGCGATTCCCGGAAAGAGCTGGCAAGTTTGTATGCGGTCGTGTCTTTGGGTATGCTTTCCCTCTGGGTTGCGCAATGGTTGTTCTGGATAGGATTTATCCGTCTGAGTTCGGAAGAGTATGTCACTGAACATATTTGCAAACGAAACCATCTTGCTAACGGGGCTAGGTTCTGCCTCCCAAAACTTGGTCTACTTACGGTTGTCTGGACTGTATCCTCATTGGCTAGCATTACCGCTGCGATGTGAACATAGCTGGATTTCGTCAGTGTTACGATGCTCAGAAATTTCGGATCAAGGGTCGCCCATGAACCGGAAAGGAATTCTAAGAAACGATCTGGAATCTGTGTTAGCACATGCAAGTTGTTAGAGCAAAACCTGTTGTAGTGAAAAAGAATGTTCTTGCCTTTGAGGAATTTGAGCGCCTATGAATTACATGATATCACTCAGGCTTGAATGCAGATGAATGCAGATATAGCGGCGAACATAAATAAAATATCCGTTATATAATTTGAGTATGCATTTGTGCCCGTCTCTGCTCTCGCACGTCAATCTAGGCTGAGTCAAATTCCATCCTCTGCTAAGATCACGCCTGAATTCCAGCTTCATTCCTATATGAGTATCGTGTCTCAATCTCAATCACCTCGAATGTAACATCGAGTTCTTCACATCATATCACTTGCCCACCGCTCGTAACCCCTTGCACATGGCATTGTTTATTTACTAACATGGGATTTCGCTAGCCCCGATCCAATTCATAAAAACAAAACAAAGTTTAGCACTAAGCACGTCCCAGCCAGTTGTACCCGCGGAAATTGTATGGGGCATCTGGCTAGAGAATCAATGAACGGGGACTAATGCAGGTCTACTTTCGGCATGATGAGATGATCTTAAATATGGGCACACCGTCAAACATTTAACGCTGAGGACTGATGCTCCTGTGGCTTTGCTTTTTGACGATCCTGCTACATTTCGTCATGAAGTTACAGAAAGTCCCTGGTTATTGGATCTTCCCCGTGGAGATGGCTTTTGATTGTAATTTCCATGACGCTGTCATCTCTTGTAGGAGACTAGCTAGGCCTCCACGGACGTCGCGTCTGCGGGTGCCTGCGCAAGCCGAAGCCCCTGGATAATCGATCCTATCTCACGAAGCTGTAGAATTGTAGTCGTTGACGTTGCGGTAAAATCTAGCGCACTGCGATCTCGCGATGCATCATGTTGCTCACCGCCTGAGCACAGGTGTCTCAAGAATCCGAAAGGGTTGAGCTGGAAGGTATAAATACAGACCGAATTACCCATTTCACCTCCATCATCACATCTACCATAACACCCTCCAATTCACTTAACTTCACATCAAACCTCTTTATATTTTCCAACTCCCTCAAATCTTTCAAAATGACTTCAGGAAACGTCGCAGGTGGCCACAAGGCAAACCTCAACAACCCTCGTGCGTCGGCATCCCCATCAAGCTAATGCTCTAAGTGAAGCTGTGTACTAACATTTCTACCAGAGACTTCCGAAGAGTCCAAGCAGCACTCTCGTGAGGTACTTGAGAACAATGACTTCGACTATGCCACCAACAACGATTCCGAGAACAAGAACCCCAACAATGTTGCTGGTGGCTTGAAGGCAACATTGAAGAACCCCAATGTTTCGGACGAGGCTAAGGAGAGCGCAAAGGAGAGGCTGAACGATATGTAAAGGCAGTCAGGAAAGGGCTATGATCTAATCGGTGCCACTGTGAGCATGCGTGGGGACAACTTGATGTTGAGGGTTATTCAATGATTATATTACGGGATAGTAGTTATGAATACAATGTCCTGTTTCAATTATTGTACGGTTCAAATATGAACGTTAGTCCACATATGCTTTTTTCGCTTATGCATAGCACCTGCAAAAAACCAATCCATCGTCATTAATAGTTTGTGTTGAGATCCCGTCTGTACTACACAAGGTACTTCTCAAACCACTCGACGGTTTGAGTCTCTGTTCCTTCCAGAATAGCCCTTTCCTCCTTATCATCGGGATTTCCTCTCACCGCAAACCCATGCCTCCCGGGACTCCAAAGCTTATTCTCTATATCCGCCTTGGTCCCTCCCTCCTTGACATCCTTCCCACAAATCTCCTCAAACGTCCGCTTGACCTTCAACGGGATCATCGAATCATGCTCGCCCCAACCCGCACTAACAGGCACCACAATCTTCCTCGCATCGTCCGGAAACACCAGATTCGAAGGATGCAAAGCAACTGCTGCATCAATCAGCGGAACCCACTTCTTCTCCTCCTTTTCATCTCCAATCTGCAGCATATTCTCTTCGCGGGCAGCCCTTATAGCGTACTTGCCACCCCAGCAATACCCCACCATGCCAACCTTCCACGTCCGCCCTTCTTCCTTTTCCTTCCGCGCAAACTCCCTCCTCACTTCTCCCAGGAACTGCATGCAGATTTCGTCGGTCTCTTCGAATCCGTGTCGTTGCTTCCACAGAAGAAAACTCCCCACGTTCGCGAGTAACCCCGTGTATTTCCCCAATGTACTCTGGTTTTTCGCGTCAACTGGGATCAGCAGGTCCGCAATGACGAGCTTGACGGGATCGCCTTTGAAGAAGTCCGGGACGTAGACGAGGAAGTTCCCCCGCCGTGCGATGGCGTCGGCGAGGAGTAAGTTGTTTGGGAGGGCGAGGCCGAAGATGTCGGTGTAGAGGATTACGAGGGCGCGGGCTGTGGTGGGGTCTCCGGCTATGTAGGTGTTGAGTCCGTGGATGGTGCTGTAGGTCCCGGATGGGAGTCCTGCGTGGATTGTGCCGGTTATGCAGCCGCAGTTTGGCGTGGTTTCGGTGGCCATGGTTGTGTGATGTAGACTTGGTCGGGCTGCAGATGTATCGGGATGCTGGAAAGTGGGGGAGAGGATTGTATATAAAGTGACGATGTTGAAGTAAGTTCAATCTCAACAGCGGTCTGACTGTCTTATTGATAAGACGTGAATAATATGAATGAAGATATAGATGTCTCTTGAAATATGAATGCGGCGTAGGCTTTTCGCAATGCTTGTCAACGTACAAACATCGGAATGAATGAGAAGATCACAGTCACTCTTATACAACAACAATCCGAGAGTGATCGGGGACTTCATCTTGCAATCGCGACAATCGTGGCCAGATTGATAGGGAAAAAAGGGCCATCTCAATCCGGTCGGAGGTGCGTAAAACGCCGCAAAGAAGCATGGCCCCATAGCGGAGCGATTGTTCGGCCGAGTCGGTTACGATTTTGGCCGCGTGGTCGACCAACCACATGTCGGAAGACCCTGTGTGTGATAATGTACTCAGAAACTTGCCCGTTGATGGAGCATTCTCGTCGGCGATTGGACCAATAGTTCAATATGGTCATAAATATCATAGCTAATGTACGAATCGGGGCCTTGATTGTTGAAATGGAGCATATATTGCAAATCTTTTCTTGTTTCACTCTAGGCTAGATGAACACCACGATCTAGTCAAATTGCATCTAAATCTAAATTTCTAACCAGAAGCAAGTGTAGGAATGATAATGCAGGTTCCGAGACAAGCGATTCTGGAATGCTAATAAAACACATAGAAGATGGCCTTCGCACATCCTAGTTGTCCAAGCCATCCTTCTCCACCAAAGTTCTCACAACATCCACAACTTCTCTCTCCCTATCCGCCAATTCGCGGCCAGGCTCTTTGACTTTCTGATCCAGGATTCTATCCAACATACCACGAAGGCGACTCACCAATACACCAATCCTCGCCCAGCCCCTCAACCGAATCCACTCATCCACGACAAGTCCCCTGCCCAGCGTGTCGACCCTGATGTCACCCGCAAACATGAGCAACGAGAAGGCGTTGAACGGTGTGAGATCACGTATAAAGATCTTGGACGTTGCCATCTTGTTGAAGTAAGCGAGGAAGGACGCGTTTGAAGAGAAAGTCTGCGATGAGAAGAGAATGGAAGATGGGTGCACGAAGATGCGACCATTCGTTTGGTTGAAGTATTTGATCTCGCGGGCTTCGGGATCGAGCTCGACGGCTCCTGCTATTCCGGCAGCGAATTTCTTGTCTGGCAGCTGGATGCGTGCGATTTGCGGGTTGAATGAACCAGCCACGAGGGCGCGGATGAGTGCGCTGTTGTTGTTTTGCTGGTTGTATGCGCCTTGCGTCTGGGGGTTGGTGGAAGAGTAGGATGTTGGGATGAACGAGATCTCCTTGAGTGAAGAGAGGTACTGGGAGCGGTTTGAAGCAATGTCGAAGAGGGTTTGAGTAGACAACCGGTTCTCGCCGCACCACTGCCGAAGATCCCTTGAAGTAGCTCCCTTCGCACGCAGAGCGGACCAAGCTTCAAAAGCGCGGAGATCAACAAGTAAATCGCCATTGTTCAAAGAGAACGAAGATCGTATGCGATCGAATTCGGCTCTGGTTTCTTGATCGCGTTCCCTTGGAGACAAGAAAGGACTACGTGCAGTCAGAACGGAGGCGATGGTAAGTGCAGCTTCAAGACACCCAAACGTCGCACCATAGACCAACAACTTGCTGCATCGTAAATCAGCCGGTATCATAGACATGTGGCGACCGAGTGCTGTAAGCTCATTGTCCGCAATGGCGCCCATTTGTCCCAATAACTGGATAGCACCTTCAACGGTTGTACTCTCAGGCGGCGTGAGGGCTGAAGCAAGGAAACCTGGGACATCTTGCACGCCCATAGCTTTGATTGACAGACAGAGCTGTTCCAAAGGCACTCTGCGTATTTCTGGATCCGGGCGTTCGTTCATTTTTGCCTCTGCATTCCGAGTGTACAATTTGTAGCACTCTCCAGCGCGGACACGTCCAGCGCGACCACGGCGCTGTTTGCAAGCAGCGCGCGAGGCCCATGTTTCCGCTAGTCGCACCATATTATTCTGAGGATCATAACTAGTCTCTTTGACTCGCCCTGTGTCGATGACTGCGACAATATCTTCTATGGTGATTGAAGTCTCGGCGACATTTGTAGCTGCAATGACTTTGCGCTTCCCAGGTGGTGCAGGTGGGAATACTCGTTTCTGTTCTACGGGGATAAGTGAAGCGTGGAGCGGAAGGGCATGAAACTGGGGCGATTGGCTGATAGCTTGCAGGGTTCGGTCGATTTCCATTGTACCCGGGAGAAAGATCAGTATGCCGCCGTCCTTCGATCCCAGCTGATGGTCGATACATCGTACCGTCTCGGCGATGAGATCATAATTGATCCCAAACCCGATACTACGAAGGTTTGAAGAGAGGGTCTTCTCTGTTGCTTCGTCATCGAAGTCACCGTGCCTACCGGTGAATCCAGTCGCATGGACAACATCGTCAATGTAAAAGTCAGTGACAGGGTGGGTCCTGCCCTCAATCTCGACCCGACCAACGGGGCCAACATCGGCAAAATAACGCTCAAAGACTTCAGCGTCAAGAGTAGCACTCATCAGAATAACTTTGAGGTCTTTGCGACGCCTCAGAATGTCTCTCAGTAGCACTAACAGAAAATCGGTATCGAGACTGCGCTCGTGAACCTCATCGACGACAACATGGCTCACGTCGGCCAGTGCAGCAACGACGTCGTCTGAGCTACCCCCTGACGTTTGAAGCCGCCTCAAGAGAACACCAGTAGTGACAAAGGTGATTTTGGTCGTGCCGGGTTGTTGTTTGGATTCGCCGCGAATTGTATAACCGATTTCTTCACCAACTTGCGAGCACCGCTCGTCCGAAACGCGGTCAGCAAGTCCAAGCGCAGAGATCCTACGAGGCTGGGTGCAAATGATGTTGGCAACACTACCAAGTCCGCGTTGAATGAGATCGTCGAGGACAAACTGGACAGATTGGGTAGATTTTCCGGAGCCTGTCTCTCCAGAAATGATGGTTCTGTATCAAATCAGCATTTTAAGTTTCAATAGCATAAAAAAGCCTCGCAATACTACACCACAAGGTATCTAGATGTCGCTTTTTACTGGGATTCACGTACACTTGACTGTCATTAACGATACGAACGATTTCGTCACGCAAGCGCCATGCTGGTAGTGATTGTCGAGCGGCCATCATCTTTTGTTGTGCTGGCGTCTGTTGCTTGGCTTGCCAGGCACGCAAAAGCTGCTGACTCTTTGGAGAGTTAGCAGTCCAGACGATCGGCGGTCGGGCTCTCGATTTCTTGTTTCTCGTAGATTGTTCGATAGCCGCTGGAGGAGCTCCAGAAAGACCAGATGATATTTCAGTGAGGCGCCCTGGGTTCTTGAATATCTCGCCGGCGTTTTCTTGGAGCCAGTCAGCGATATAGAATACCATCGGCATACCGAGACAGTTTTCTTCCGCATGCAGTAGTGCTTTTTTGATGATACTGAGTCGGATGTATGCAGGGATATCTGCCTCGAAGGAAATGATAGGTGGGACTTCTGGATATGGACCAATCGGTCTATGTACTCGAAGTACAAGACGTTTACCGCGCTGCTTTGCATCGAGCTCAATACGACACGACGTTGGGGAAGGTCGAGAGAAAAGTTTGTCATATATGGCCTCCAAGGAAGACATTTCTTCCTCCCACTGGTCATAATCAACTTCTGCGTTTTCTGTGACATCGACCAAAGCCATTCTCTCAATATCTTTAGCCAAATCATCCTCGTTCTCGCCAGGTTTCATGAGCCGAGATTGCAATAGTGATGCTGCCTTTCGCTCGTTTCCACCTTCAAGATCATATGCTTCCTCGCAGAGTTCAGTAGCATAACCAGCGGCTGCTAGACGTTTGATCGCCGCGTCGCGTTTGAGGTCCGTGTTCGCTACACTGATACCGGCGACATAGTTTTCGGGAAGACTCCATGGTGGTAAATCATCCTCGGGAACGTGAATCAGTAGCCACTCGATAATTTCCTCGCGGTCTTTGCATATATCTGCCGCTTCTTCAACGTGTGCTTCCCGGAACCCCATCTCTACAACCTCGCTTACGACTCTTGCGCGAGTTTGAGCATCCATGACAATTCCGTGCGGATTCCAGATAGTTTCTCGTCGGATAGCCCGCTCCATTCTCTTTCTTGTGCGTTTTCCCAGCTCCACCTTCGGGACGCGCTCCCATCCCTTTAGGAGATTCCGCGATTGCCCGCCACCATTTGACTTGGCCATTGCCACTCCAGGTATAGCGTTTTGCGCCTTTTCAGCGTCTTGTCTCTCCTTGTCTTTCTTCGCGCGCTGTTTAGTCGCTAGTTCCCTCGCCTTCTCCCGCTCTAGGAAGCCGAAGAACGGATCGGCCTCATACATCCAAGCTTTACCCGATGACACGTCTTGTTTCTTGAGATCTGCAAAATCAACCTTCCACAGATCTTTGTATGTAGGAGGCAGCATCATTTGCATGTTCTTCGCACTAGCGACACGAAACAATGTATAGGCAGCGGCGAAATTGCGCGCCTCTACGGCGGATGGCTGGCGAGCCTTTTGAACAAGATCCGGGGGTATGCTGAGAGGCGGAAGTGTAGTCGTTTCCCGGGTTTTCGGATTCGTTTTAGACATGACGACGTGGGCAATGTATTTGTCGCCATCGCGATGCATGCGATAATCCGGTTTGTTCCATTTTTCTTTCTGGAAATACTCGTTCAAGATATTCACGGGCAGTTTCCCAGTCCACGAAGCGCCAGCAATCAAGGTACGAGTATCAGGCTTCTTGGGCGCCTCTTCGGCTGGAGCTGCTGGAGCCTTGCCTTTCCCTTTGGCATCCGCTTGGCTAGATTGCTTGGTCGCTGCGCTCGATTTACTGCTTTCCGCCGGGGTGGATGAGTTGCCTCCTTTTTTTTTCTTGGGTTTGCCATCTCCGAACACAATGAAACTAGTGTCCTCCTCGGGCGGGACTGATTTCTTTGATGCTCCGCTACGCGGAGGATGCGGTTTGTTAGGCATAACTTATTCAGCTACGTATACATGTAGCACGTAGATCCTAAGAATATTGTTGGACGAATGGAAGCTTAGCACATCCATGAAGTGTGAGTCGGGGGCACCACAGGATCAGATATTTGTGTGCGACAGGATAAGCACTCGCTAGCGACAAGCTCAATCACCAGGCGTTGAACAGCGGCACACGTGAAGACCAATAAACTCGGAACAGCAAGAGTCGTTTCTCAGCGACAGTTTCATCTTGAGGGTAAGAGAAAAAGAAGGTTATAGCGACCCCCACCCCCAGAAACAATCCGAGATTCCGAGATCTTGGCGATGCCTCGGGCGTGCACGGGCCAGTTTTCGGAATGGATCCGAAGAGCTACATCATTTATCCTTGCCCATGTTTGACGCACTTCTTCGACAACTCCCTCTCGTCTTTGATGTTGTTGCGACTGGGCATAAAGTCCTCGAATCATCTTTTCCGCGCTCCAACTGCGTCCAATCTCTATCGTAATCCCTGCAACATGTCGACTTCCGATACGAACAAGCGGGAAAGCGTCATGCCCGAAGGCTCCACGACAAACGATGAATCCACAAACAAAACATCCCCGAATGGACCGCAAAGAAACGTGGATCCTTCTTCTAGCAAACGCCCAAATGCGTGTAGGCACCTTGTTTCACGCTATTCTCATCCTCAATCTCATTCTATTAACTGACAACACAGTCACAGAACTCATGTCCGCGTGGAAGAAGCCCAAATCCAACACTGCAATCGCTGCAGAAGACGCGCCCTCGCGATCCAAATCCCGCCCGTTCGACTACAAGGACGGTCTCGGCATCTACATACAGCACCCAGAAAAAAACCCAGAAGGCAGGGTTGTAGAATATGACGACGATTGGGTAGTCATCAACGACAAGTTCCCAAAAGCGAGGTACGTGGCATATATCAGCTGGTTCTTCTACCGCGATGACAATATCCTGATACTCTACTCAGTGTCCACCTTCTCCTCCTCCCACGCGACCCTTCTATCGCGAAACAACACCCCCTAACTTACTTGTCAACCCACCCCGAGTTCCTCTCCAAACTGCGCACACGAGCAGCTCAGGTGGCACGCCTCGCGGCCTCGGAACTGCGCCGCCAATACGGCCGCGACAGCGCATCGGATGCGCCCTACCAATCAGCCCTCGAATCTCTCATATCCTCCCCCGAACCCCCAACTCTCGCAACCCCGGACGACGCTTCCGCTGCTCAGCTCCCGCAAGGCCGCGACTGGATGGCGGATATACTGGTGGGTGTCCACACGCATCCGTCGATGAGCCATATGCATGTACATGTGCTGTCGAGGGAGGCCGTGTCGCCGTGGATGAAGCATAAGAAGCATTATTTGAGCTTCCATTCGCGGTTTTGGGTTGGATTGGATGAATTCCCGTTGAATGAGGGTGGGCAGGCAAATCTGAAGTTGGGAGATTGGCCGAGCTGGGATATGCTGTGTTGGAGGTGTGGAGAGAACTTTGGGAATCGGTTCGCCAAGCTGAAGAGGCATCTCGATGATGAATTTGAGGTGTGGAAGAAGGAGTAGGGGATGTCAGTTGGGAGACTATGCACGAGACATATCACACGCAAGTGGATGATTCCGTTGTGGCCTAGCAATCCTTGTGAAACTCAAGTCGACTATGGATCTTTTCAGACCATGCTGTATTGATGTAATGATGTAACGTCTGGTTTACTTTTAGAATAATATGATAATATACTTTGAACAACGTCAAGATGCTCCTGCGTTTATGTAGCTTGGCCATACCGGCGCATAATCTTTCGATATATTGCGAATGATGAGCCATAGAGGGTGTTCAACGACTGTGTCTGGCTCTTTCAGTGTTCTGCAATTGCTCCTCCTCCACCAAATCAATCACCCAATTTTTTACTCAAAGAACCCCATAATGATATGTTTATCAATATCCCAGTGATATAAAAACATGTCGGAGAGTCATTTAGCCCTTGACCTTGGTCTTGGGGGTGCCACTCTTGACGCGGCGAGCTTCCGGACGGTTGAGGTGCTGAGCTGGAATCCAGCTCTCGTCGTAAACCTTGGAGCTCGTGACAGCGGGACCATCAGCGCCAACAACAGCGACCTGCTCGGCGGGATCGACCTTCTTGGAACCACCGGAGGACTTCTTGGCGCGCTCGCCACCCTTACCGCCGCGACGCTTCTGAGGGAAGAATGTGGTGATCCAGGTGTTGTAGATGAAGAAGACGGTTCCGGCGAAGACTCCAAGGAGGACAAGGTAGAGGAAGATGCTGTACAGGTCAGGGATTATGAAACCAACGACGCGACAGCCAATACGTACACTTGCGGGTCGAAGAAGTTGGTAGGAGCTTCTACGATGGAGACAGTCTCGTTGTATGCGGACACAGTGTAGAGGGTGTTCTTGCTGTCCTGAAGAACAGTGACCAGCTGCAAGCGCACATCCTGCGGGTGCATTTCAGTGCTGAAGCTGTACGTCACAGTCTGCTCCTCGCCGGCGGGGATCTGGAGAGTGTAGCGCTGAGTGGTCAAGTTGCGTAGAATGCGAGTCTCGCCAGCGACTTGGTCGACGATGGAGCCACCGACAACGGCCACGCTGATAGGCTCGGGCTCTTGGTTGTTGATGGACAGGCGGGCTTCGGTGGCATGGCCATTGACAAGCTTCACACCGAATATTTCCGACTGGGGGAAGCTGGCAGAGACAGAGACCTTGAGATTGGGAGTGACGGGGTCTTCTTTGACCTCTTCGACGTTCTCAACCTGGGATGACAAGGCGTGTTAGCGATTGATGTCATAGCTGGCAGCAATGCAGGCAGATGACGGAGCTCTCACCTTGATCTCAGCAAAGGCATTGAGCGCCTGCAGCGAGAGCAGTAGCAGGGACGACAGTTTCCAGTTAACCATGATGGCGGGCTTGCGAAGGACGTGGATGGAGGGTGACAAGGGGAGGGGGAGATGGTGGAGTGAAGGTCGGAGAGAGCCTGGGAACGTGGCTTTTAGTGAGCGAGGGTGGGCGAGTTGTGCAGACAGACAGGCATGCATGCAAGGCCGGCGCCGGCGAACGAATCGTTGGAACAGGCTAGACCGCTTCGAGGAGCACGACGGGCCGTTGATCTCGCTACATGGATCTATGTACTCTTTTTTCTTTTCTTACATACTTGGATGCTACACAGCGTAGTATGCGATCCCTCACCTTTTTCCCACGCCCATCTCCTGCGCGTTTCCGCGAATCTTCTGGTGCCTGCGCATGTTTGTTTGCTGGTTTGGTGCCGGTTGCTCACGCTCGCCGCCTGCAGGTCTCGTGACGTCGGTTGCCCCCAGCTGCCTGTAGAGAGCGCATCATGGTAGCACAGAAAGCAGTGACCCAATAGTCACCACTTTGCCATGTTAACTTCCAGAGCTCTCAATTTCTCTCACTGACTCACTCACTCACTCACTCTCGCTCTCTCTCTCTCTCTCTCTTTCTCTCTTCCACCCTTTCTAAACCAGTGACTTGGCGTTTGCTTTACTTGCTCCTGCAAAGAAATCCACCTGCTGCCATTGGCCGGCTGGCTCTTTCCCTATCTGTTTGAAAAAGACGGACTCAACCACTCGCTCACTCACTTAGACTTTGACTTGTTACCCTACATTAAACAACTCCCATCCACTTATTCTTGCTCGCCGCCGCCACCACCAACACTTGCTCTCATTCAACCTCCTCGACAACAACTGATCTGATGGCCCCAGGCTCTTTTTACTACGCGAGCAATCGCCCGTTGCAACCGCCCATCGGCACTCCAGTCCAGCCTCCGGTACGTCCCATATCGATACGCGGAGCTAATTGTCCCCAATTGTTGACTGACTGTCTCTCCTTCAGGCTGTTAGCTCGAGCAACAATGGCGGCCCTGACGCATTCGATAAGGCTGAACTCTGGGCCCGCATTGAGAACGTACTGCAGGGAGACCAAACCAAGACTAACCTGATCCAAGAGCTTATGTATAGGTACGAATATCTCTCGGACAAGCTTGATCAATATTCCTCCGCGGGGGGCCCGGAACTTCAATGGGCGAATGAAAAGAGGATGTACGAGGCACGTCTTCATAACGTTCAAACCGCCCTGTCGTGCAATCCATTCGTGGTACTCCTCGTCGATGGGGACGGCATGATCTTCGAGAATGATTTCGTTGCTATGGGCGAAGCAGGCGGACGCAAGGCCGCCGCAGAACTGCACAAGGCTGTCGAGTTGTACGTGGAGAATGAGACTAAGAGTATACCCATGGAATCCCGCATCATTTGCCGCGTATATGCGAACGTCAAAGGCCTGGCCGACGTGCTTGTGCGTTCCGGCATTGTTGAAGACGCCAGTGTGTTCGAGAGTTTCGTCCAAGGATTTACTCGTGGTAAGTACTGCGCTGTATCCCACATGTGCGACTTTGTCATGCACTACCAAATCGTTCCAACTCCTAATACTCCTGCCCGAACCTCACTCATCACTACCAATTTCGACTTTTTACGTCCCTTGCCATATATTTGGATCATCAATGCTGACTTTGTTTAGGGAAGATTCTCTTTGATTTTATCGATGTTGGTCCTGGTGAGTGGTGGCACTGCTATTCTCCCTGTCTTGTTGGCTCACTTTCAATCTAGGCAAAGATCGCGCTGACGAAAAGATCATTGAAACTTTCAAACTCTACATCAACGATTTTCATTGTCGTCAAATCTTCTTTGGATGCTCCCACGACAATGGGTTCGCTCGCGCACTTGAAGAGTACATGAACGACGCAGCTTACGTCTCCAAGGTACGTGTAAGATACAAACTGCATGTTTCTAGGAATACATAGTGCTTCCAAATTCTGTCTCGTGTTTCTTGTTTTCTCCATCATTTTCATTCTCTGCGATTGTCATCAAATCGCTAATACACTGCAGGTCACGTTGCTCGAAGGCGTTCCGTTCGAGAAGGAGCTGCTTGCCCTGCCATACGCCACTAAGAAATTTCCAGGCATCTTCCGCGAGTCTAAGCTGATCAACCCATCAGTGCCGGGCGCGACTACTCCCAAAATTTATAACATCATGCCTGGTCTGCCCCCTCATTTTCCCCCACATAATGTTGGTCACAAACCAGACCTGTTTCGTACTCCCTCAACATCCACGTTGGCATCGGATGGATTTCCCGTCACTACGAAACCATTGCTTAATTGGGCTGCAAAAGCGGCAGCGCCGCCACCAGTAGCTTCGCCGAAGCCAACATACGCTCCTGTCAATCGCGACGAAGTGGTTGCTCGAAACCGGATCGGACAGCGTGTAGATCCTCCAACAAGGGATTACGACAAGACTGAAGTCGACCGAATCAAGAATATGAAATTGTGCAATGTTCACTTCTTGCGCCAGGGGTGTCCTTTTGGCGAAAATTGCACACACATTCACGACTTCAACCCATGTGCGAATGAGATTGCCGTTCTGCGCCTCGTGGCCCGAATGGCACCTTGTACGTATATCCTGGGGCGTACAATTGGCTCCCGAAATATAAGACGCTTTGAGATCATTGTACTGACATTTTATCCGTGATACTAGGCATACACGGCAGTGGATGTCAGGACGTCAAATGCATATACGGTCATCGATGCCCTGCGCCTCGCTCGAAAAACAATCCGGCTAAAGGCACCAAGACATGCATCTTCGGTGACACATGCAAGTTTCCCGTTGAGCTACATGATATCGATTGTAACGTGGTTAAAACTCTCGTGATTCGCTAATATCGCGTCCTGTGTTGCAAAGGGGTAAATGGTAACGTCGGAAACAATGGTACAGGAGTTATATTAGACTTCCTGGGTCTATGATATCAAGGTTGCAATGACGAATGAAATGACATGGTGCAGTTAGTCACCCATCTTTGAGTTTTGCATTTAAAAAGTGTGATGTCTCATATAATTTTGTTAGACGTGATCACCTCATTATGCTATGGAACGGTGATGCCCCATGACTATGAATCCCACAGAAATATCAGACGAATAAGCAGCTGTTAGGTCTCAAGCATATGCGAGGTGTTGTGATAGCGTAATCACATCATAGAGTAGCTGAATCAAGTAAGAGTTTATCGATTACGAGCATGGAAAGTAGCTATAATCGTCAGGATTTACTTTGCATCGATTCACGAGGCACTCTTCGTCTGTAATTGAGACATAACCTAGCTGCTCTGTACAGTGGCTACGGAAGCTACGATGTGCTTATTGCGTATTGGATTCTCAATATTGCGACACAGTGCTTCGACATTGATAATAAGGATGGATATACGAAGATGCTAGCATAATTACAGCTTTTGTTCTGTTTCTATCTCACATACGGCTTGGTGGGCCATCGTGGCCTCTCCAACAATTCCAATTAATCATAATTTGGGTCAGCCTAGCACAAGCATCCCGACCTCAACATCGTCGCAACCCCAAAAGTCAAGAGGGAAAAAAAAATCACGGCAAGAAAAAAACACAGAAGATAAACTTAGTCTGGTGGACCCGAAGGAGCCTCGCACAGCGGTTTTTCCTCATTCACTTCTTGTCCTCCTCCTCTTCTCCCTTTCCTTTTCCTTTCTTCCCGTCCTCTTTCTCATTCTTCTTCTTCTTCTTTTCTTTCCCATCCAACTCCTTCAACGCCTCGTCCGCATCCTCGTTCCCCTCGTGCTCCAAGCTTTTGCGCTCCCGCTCCAGCATGAAGAAATACCACGTCGTTACCCCAGAGATGGTGAACGTAAATACAGTGCCCAGGATGAACTTGAGAATGGAGTAGAGCGTTAGATTGGCGAGGGAGCGAAGAAACGGTGTTATGAGTTCGCGTCTTTCGTGCTGTGCGTTTGGACGGAGGAGCGATAGGTTAGCTGAGAGTGGTTCTGTTTCTCCCTTTCTGGGAGGTTGGAAGGTTTGGCAGTGGGAGGAGTGGTGAAGATGAGGTTTGCGAATTTTTTCAAGAGAGGTGTTATGAGGGTTTGACGTTCTTGCTGCCAAATTGTGTTCGTCATACATAATAAGTAAACCTCTTTTTTTTTCGAACTCGCAGAAGAAGAATCGGGGAGGAAAACAGAATAATGATCTGCGAATCCGTTACAGGGAAATGGAGAGAAAACGAGCTTACCTCTAGATCTGGATTCACGCAGTACATGAGCGCGACAAGCGCTAAGAAGACGAGGAACATAAGCAGCACCGTGAGGACTTGGATGATGGCGAGCAAGATGGATATATTTTTGGTGGTGCGCAAGACTTTGAAGCCAGCAGCTACCAAGGGCGTGACTTGCTCAAAGGCAGCGTTGATTTCGCGTGAGTACGGTATGCCCATTTTCTAAGATTGTTTTGCGTTTGGACAGAGATGCGTAGGAGGAGCGTGAAGTTGGAAGGTTTGGTAGTTGGAGCCTTTAAACCCGGAAAACGAAGCTAGTATTCAATAATGAAATATTTGGGTTTCGATTGCCTACGGAAACAGTTCTTTTGCTGGTATATGTGAAAATGGAGGGGAGTCTGACGTTGCAGTAGGCACCTCATGGATGCCTGTATATATGCACGTAAGCATGCAATTGACGTCATGTGGTGAAGCGGAACCTGCAGAAATAAGATGTATTGAGATGGCGTGAATAAATGCGATTTTCCTGGATTATAAGACAGCACAATGCCCCTGTGATACATGTACATACCTATTGACATTGGTAGATTACAAGAGTGGGTCAATGTCAGTTGTGCGTATTAACACTTTGATGTTCCGTGCGACGGATGGTTGAAGGACCAACGCAGATATCCGGATCGATGCTTCGGGTAAAGACTGGTCCAGGACGAGTAAGTAATTATGACTGTCTGCCATCTGAAGAGCTATCCAGTACTGAATCGCAGCTTTCAAGAGGATGATTCGTGTTCAGAAACGAATTATATAGAGACAGACACAAAGGCGTCGTGGATAATCCTTCTCAGCTCCTCCTTCAACTCGTTCTTGAAGTCTTTACATTTAGCGAGGAGCATATTAGCGTTGATTTTGAATGGCTCATCGCGCGACATTGGTGTGAGCGTGGGTGCCATAGTGAGGACAGGGTTGATGGAAGGGGGAAGCCTCGTAAGAACTCTGCTGTAACTTTTTTTTATAGTAGAGGCAACAACTCGTGCGCTCATACCAACACAGCGCGACGAACCATTCAAAATCAACGCTAATATGCTCCTCGCGAAGTTGAAGACTTGAAGATCAAGTTAAAGGAGGAGCTGAGAAGGATTATAGGATGAGGTGGGTAGGAGCTGATGGGGGTGGGAAGCCTTGTGAGAACTCTACTGTAGCTTTTTTTTTATAGCAGAGGGTAACAAGCGTACCATGGTTCTTCAACACCCTCAACACTACAGATATCTTAAATCCTTGCATCTCTACTGGATCCTTGGGACGTCGTATACGTCACTACGGCAAATGCGCAGTCAATGGAACGCGCCAATAGTGAACTGTGAAGGTTGTTGACAGAGTTTTGGTTTCTTCCATTGCAATCAGCATCAGTACGTATGGAGTGCGTTTGAGATAATGAGAACTACTGTTTTATTGTCATGTTTGAATTAGAACAGAAAATGCGAAAGTTGTATTCTGTGCCTCACAAGCTTGTAGTGGCATAGGAAAGTCATGATGTTCGAGATGTCGAGCTCTGCGTGACTAAGCGCACCTCCGCCCGCCCCGTGCGCCGCCGGCAGGAGCTTTGGACTTTTTCTCGACCTCACAGCTTCTCCATCACGGTTCATCGCGGCGAACGACCCCACCACCCGAATTCATACCTCCCGGTCTCCATCTCAGCAATCATGGCTTTCCCCCAGTCCCTGTTCCGGTGGGTTGTTCCTGGCGCCATCGCTTCCTACGTTGCCTCGGCCTCCCTCTACGACGTCAAAGGTGGAACGCGCGCTGTCATCTTCGATCGGTTATCAGGTGTTAAGGAAGAGGTGGTCAGTGAGGGCACACATTTCTTGGTTCCGTGGCTACAGCGGGCCATTGTGTACGATGTGAGGACAAGACCGAGGAACATTTCGACAACAACGGGAAGCAAGGACTTGCAAATGGTCACCCTGACGCTGAGGGTGCTACACCGTCCTGAAGTCAAGCTTCTACCCAAGATTTACCAGGTGCGTTTTCATCTGGAATGTGTCGTGGTGCTATGTATCTACTCGATGCACTGCGACGGTTTCAATCGCCACTTGGAGTTTGTGCCAAGCTAATACAATATAGAACCTCGGCCAAGATTACGATGAGCGTGTTCTCCCTTCTATCGGAAACGAAGTTCTCAAGGCTATCGTTGCCCAGTTTGATGCTGCCGAGTTGATCACCCAGCGTGAGGCCGTCTCCAACCGTATCCGTACCGACTTGCTTAAGCGCGCCAACGAGTTCAACATTCAGCTCGAGGACGTCTCCATCACCCACATGACTTTCGGAAAAGAGTTCACAAAAGCTGTCGAGGAAAAGCAGATTGCACAGCAAGAGGCCGAGCGCGCGCGTTTCGTGGTTGAGAAGGCCGAGCAGGAGAGGCAAGCAAGCGTCATCCGCGCCGAGGGTGAAGCCGAGGCTGCAGACACTATCAGCAAGGCGGTGGCTAAGAGTGGTGACGGTTTGATCATGATCCGAAGGATCGAGACACAGAAGGATATTGCGCAGTTGTTGGCCAGGAATCCTAACGTCTCGTATCTGCCATCTGGTGCGGGCGGCGAGGGCGGAAAGAGCGGCGGCAACTTCCTCTTGGGCTTGAGGAACTAAAACATCATCTGGCGATGAGGGGATGCATCCCCAGGAAACAACGCAGATGCCCATGAGTTTCGGCGTGCTGTATGATTATTGTGAGCATCTTTTATTGGTAGCGTAGGGCAAATAGTCTCCCCTTCTAGTCTGGCACATCCCCGGATGGTTCTGTGATTACTACAAACATATCTACATCCATACGTCTCAAGACACAGCTATTGTCTCCGCTTCATGTACATTACTCCACCATTGCTATTCCGAATGCGAAAGCACTGTTGATCTGTCGATCGCACTTTGTGATAACTTATGACGTCAAAATCATTCCATTCTCGTTACGCATGTTAGTTGTGATACATGAACACTTTCCATGCCTACGAAGAATTGTGTGATATCTTGTCTTGCGTACAAAACTTCAGCCCCCACGAGGTTATAGCCAAGCAATGTGATCTGCTCGTCAATATTTACATGATTCAGGTCCGCGGAAAGCCAGACATAGAGCCCTCGGCAAGCTAGCCCGCCACCAACGATATATCACAACATTCACATCGTAAAGGAGCCGCAAAATCGAATCGATATCATTCATACTGCCCAGGCCTCAATCATCGATAATACAAAGGACGTCAAGTCAAGGACCTCGGCGCCACTACCAACTAAATCATACCAGTATCCCACATTACACCCGCTACCGAACTTCTTCAACACTGCACTGCATCTACGCTTCTTCCAGCTCTTCATATTCAAAGCACGAGGGTTAGAAAACCCAAAGCAAGAACTAAACCATGGATATATCCTACGTCTCGACAGAGCTAAAACGAAACCGGATCGTGCTGAATGGCAGCTGTTACTGTCGCAATCTGACCTACTACATCGTGGTCGAGAGCATAGATGCCATCAAGACGTGCATATGCCATTGCGCCAGCTGCAAGAAGACGTACGGCGGCGCTTTTGCGCTCACTGCGAAAGTGCCCGTGCACGGGTTCAGGTACACGGGGGAAAGTGGGAAATGCGTGGTACGTCTTTCTCTAACCCCCTATTTTTAGGGGAGAATCAAAAGCCCCGAAAAATCGAATGCGGGGGTTATCGTGTACAGCTTATACTAACGTTCACAGGTCCACGTCGGGCAGAATGACTCAAGCGTCCCCGTATATCGTGAATTCTGTGGGAAGTGTGGAAGTCGAATCTGTGAGTATCATGAAGGCATCAAGGAGCATTTCCGCCACGTCTCGGTAGGGTCTCTGGACGATCCATCGATTCTCCCGCCAAAGGGCGAGTTCTTTTGTTCGCAGAGAGAGGCGTGGATGCCGGAGGTTTCTGGTAAGCCGGCCCAGTTCATTCAGATGTGATGGTAGAGGACCTATGATATGTGTACCTGTCGTTACATGCAACCTCTGCGTTGATCAATGGCTCCCAAACGGTATGGACTGTCAGTAGTGAGAAGTGTCGCTATTGAATTGTTGGACGATTCCTTTGAGATCTAAGCTGACAAGATGCAGGAATACCTCATGACAATGGACGGAAGAGAGGACAGGGGAGGGTGTGTGCTGGCGGAGGTGAACGGGTGGAAGTCGAGTCCGTAACTGCGGATATAACCGTGAATAGTCGGAGTAAGTGATGGAGTGACGCCGGAGTTAAAGTCTTGTATATACCCAACCCATTTTTTGTTCTTTGCATTGCAAATAGTTGTCGGCCGAGTTACCGTTGATCCGAGTCTTCCACGCCCAGTACTCAATTATCCCCGTGCCCCGGAGATACGAATTCAGTTCACACCACCACAAGAAGAGTAAAAAACCCTTCGAGCCAGAAAAGGAAAAAGAAGTCATCGTCGTCGGTTGCGAACCGAGCACGTCCGCCCTCGTCCGGCCAAGCTCGCTGACATGTCTTCGAATCTTCACCTGTCCATCACGTCTCACTCGCGTGCCTCGCCACAACCAGGCATCCATGCATCCACTAAACCCATGTAACGAACTGCTCCGCCCAGCATCCAGTTTACCCGATTCAGCCAATCAGCCGAGGCTGATCACCGGTAGGCATCATACAAAATGTAGGCAACGAGGGTAATGCACCGCCACAATTCAATTTTATTCGCACCTCAGGCATCAACTGCTACCTCTGTACTTCAAGTTTTTCCGTCCTTGACGAACTCACCCACCATTAAAATTTCAGTCGACGAATCATGCATGACCTTTGAGTCAGAATGACGAATATTTGCTCATACAATGAACAAACGTGCGAGTCCAGACTCTCGTCGAGTTTTATTTTTCTTTTCTTCTTCCGAATAATCCCATACGGATCGCGAACTAGATATCGATTCTTCAGCCGATTATTAAACACGGCGGAGATATGACCCCATTAAGATACAGAGACCGGTTAATGGACGGGGACGGACACGTACAAGAAATCCCTAGGCCGGCCATCGTGTAGCTAGCTCAGGCTGCCACGTCCATGTCGCGCGGTCACATGCCGTTCGTTCATCGCTACCAGGAAAGCCTTGTACAAGAATCAAATATACATCAAAAGGTCCGGTGATTACATCAATCTTCGCGAGGCAACAGTATGACTCCTCGTTGTTATGCCTGTTGCGACTCGTACCGACCGTGTACCGTGCTCGAAGAACGACCCGGTTCTGACGGGATGAAATGTGTGGCGAGAAAATGGTGAGAGTGAGACATTTTTTTACTTTCTCTTCTCACTCGTATAGACGAGCATGCTACGCCTCATCGGCATAGAACAACCTAGCTTGGAGAGTATATCGCATGCATGCAATGTCCTTTGCGAGAAAAGGGCGGCTGACATGGGATAATGCTCCGTCCCACTTACTAGCTTTCTCACGTCGTGATTTGTCCTTCGGACAACAAAACGGGTTGGAGGGGAAGCAAAGCCTATGGAATAAAAGTCGTCGAGAACCAAGGCACACACGTCAACTGCTTGTTGGATAGTGATCGAGATCATCGCTGCTTGCGCTGGTTACATCCAGGCAGACAAGGCAAACATGTGGAAGAGTTTGGTTGGACACAACCAGAACATGCCATCCACACTCCTCTTTTTATTCGTCCTTCAAACCTCCCCTCCGATCACTCGAATACACACACACCCCCTACAGCATACCTATCCATGACCACAAGAAAGTGCGCAAAGGCGCACTCGCCATGCCATCATCTGATTGATCCCAGAAGCCAATCTCGCCTTTTCATCGCCATCAAAAGCAATCTGCCGTATCACATATTCTCACTTCACCTCCCGTATCCGGCCCCCAAGCCACCCTTACCTCAGCGCAAATATGTACGTATTCGTGTATGCTTGCCTCTCAGCCTACCCGCTGCCTGATGTACACGAGAATATGCTCCAATCATATTCTTATATCACTACATCAGGCGTCGCATCTAAGCAGGAAGAAGATGTTCTTGCAGAGGGTGGAGTGAGTATGGACGGATGGATGACATGCATATCACGTCACGTCATCTCGTTACACCGGATGCCAAGTTAGAGGGTGGAGGGAATTAGGGATAGGTTAGAGAAAATTGAAGGGTTGAATCAGGCAGTCATGATGTTTCTATTTCTGCTTTTGGTGGGTGGGGATTGGTATCAGGTGGTGGGTGCGGGACCGCCTAAGGGATCCTGCAAGGCATCAAAGGGCGGCCGCTTATTGCGGAGATTTGATGTTGGTTCTAGTGTGAGGATAGAGAGGACTACTTGGAAAGAAACTCGAGCGCACAGAGAATCGATTTTGTGTTCATATTCTGATAAGTGTATGTACAAAAAGACTTTTTTTTCTTGATTCATTCTTGTATAGTATGTATAGTGAGTGAGTGAAAACGACCGACCATCTATCATTGATGCGAAAACAAGAAAAGCGGGGTTGCGAGAGAGATGAGAGTACAAGATCGTCTGTTGCGGTCGTGATAATCGTAAATAGCCCAAATAGGAAATAACAAGATTGTGCGTAGCCAGACGCTGTTTCCATCCGCCTCTACGTTTTCAACATTATAAACTAGGAGAGTAAAAACAAGCAAGCAAACAAACACAAATATATGCAAGAGTAGTATATCGAGACGCTCAAACAAATATATACAAAAGAGCGTCTTTCTGCCGGAGAAAGGAAGTTGGATATCGTTGGGGTAGCAATGAAGAAAACAGCAAAGGAAAAGCAAATCGTAGGCAAAAGTAGTACACCGGTTTGCCTCCAAAATAAAACACCAAAACCGTGGCGGCGCAATTTCCTCCCTTTTGAAATACGGCTGATACCTTCCCCCAGAATTAGAGATTGAGAATTAAAGAGATTATGTGATACAGTTGATCGTGGAACATTCTAGGAAGTCGTGAACGAGCGATGAAACTATCGTCGTGCTTGTTGGAGGGCCATGACCGCGGCTTCAAGCTGATGCAAGCGGCTGTCTTTCTCCTCGTTGTCTTTTCGCAAGCGTTTGATCTCGGCGCGGAGGTCAGACTCCTCACCAAGCTCCGGGATTGCGGACTCTGAGTTGCGTTTCCGCTTCAACAGATTCTGCCCACTCTCTTCTCCAGGCACCTCGAGTATGCGCTGAAAAGGTGACTCAGAGGGCATACGTGACTCAGTGATGGGACTCGAGTAGAGGCTTTCGGCCCGTGAGATGATGAGATGGCCAAGATCCGCCGACATGCTTGTCCTCCGGTGAACGCGACGAATGTGCTCTGCGAGGTTCTCCTTGCGCGTGAAGCCGGAGCCGGAGCTGCGTTTGCAATCGGTGAAAGGGCAGAAGAGGGATTTCTTGGTTCCGCCGTGCATTTTGTGCACTTCGCGTTCGTGTCGCAACAATCCGCCGCTGTAGGTGAAGCCTTGTAGTTTCTCGCAGCCTGCGACGTTGCACTTGTAGGGACGATCATGTTTGTCCATGTGTTTGCTAAGATCAATCAGCGATGGGATCGGGTATGATGGATTGCGGGTAACTTACCTCCACTCGCACTTCCGGTCAAAGGTCTGGCCGATGCATTCGTCGTGTTTGCATACCATCTTGCCTTCGGCATTCTTAGGGGGTTCCTCGGCGCGCTTGTAGGAATGGTTCTTCCTCCCAGGGGAGCCAATGTCATCGCCAAACTGTGAAACAGAAGAACGATCTTCAGAAGGCTGTCGCGAGTGCCCCACAGAGCGTGGCATGGAAGGCCTTCGGTCATCAGCGGGAGAGAGGAGTGGTGAGTGGCAGCCCGCCATACTGGTGGGAGTAGGGAAGTTTGAGTTGACTGAATTTATAGAAGAGTTGCGTTCATGACGTCCAGCCTTGATGTTGTGAGGGGACACAGGTTCCAGTGGTTGGCAGTTACCCATGTTGGAATTGAGAAAAGGGTTGAATGATGTATTGAGGGGTGATAGGGCCTGAGGCTCTTGGGATGTTGGAGAATATAAACTGGCGTTGCTAAAGGCCGCGAAATCTGGTTGTGGCGCAGCAAAGCTATCCGCGCTCCCGGTGACTCGAATGCTTGGTGGTGAAAATGCAGCACTCGTCAGATGATTCGTAGGTCTTTGTGGCAAAGAATCGGGTGGAAGGCTCAGCCAATCTTGGTTTAAAATATTGTCGTCAAGCTGTTGAGGATAGACTGCAAGAGAAGTGGCGGTGTTGCCTTGAAGGTCGGAAAGCAAGTTATTATTAAGACTGAAATGATCGATATTCGAGCCTGCTGGGAAAGGCGAGCAATAAGTACTCAGGCCTGGTCACTGTTAGTCGCCATAGCATCGGGATCCACAGGCTGAAACCAAAATGCAGAATGCATGTGTGAGCCTGTAAAGTAGGCAGAAGTAGATGACTCAGTGACCTACCGCTAAATCCCTGTCGCGCGAATGCACGTGATGCTTGTGGCGCGAATTCCAAATTGGCCGGATCGCACACATCCGCGTTTCGTAACCTCAGGTAGTCTCCATTGTCTCCTCCTGCCAGATCAATGTTTTCGACTCCCCGGGCCTGCTGTTGCGCTTCAGGTAGCGGCGCTGTGCCGACTAGCCCCATCCCGAAGTTGACATCTGCTCATCGCCGTCAGAACTCGAAACCTTGTGCCTCTTTGGGGATATGTTGGCGAGCAGTTGGACTCACACGTATCCGCATCAGATCTGTCCCAGTTTTTCAATTGTACATTGCTCAGAACCGCATCCCGCGAGACGCAAAAGTCCCTTCTTTGAGCACTCTGGCGGCTGTTTGGAGGGTTGTAAAACATCCAACACACCCCCCATAGCACTGCTAATGAAGGCTTAATGGTCCAAGGAAACGTTGAAAGTGGACGCGGTTTGTCAGAAAATTCGGTGAACCAAACCAACAGCCTATGCTGTTTCTTGTCGTGGTCGCCAAGCAGCAGCGCTTCAAGGACCTTACGTCCCAATGCATCAATCAATTGCCCTTGCAGTTGAAAAAGCAAATGCTCATAGTTGGCGATGAATATCTCATCAAAGTTCAGACCCATTTTCTGGCCTTGGGCAATGAGCCATTCATCGTCGAACTGCGATCGACAGGCACATATCACGTTGATAGCATCGTGCACCTGGACCAGCGCCTGCGTAATGTCATTCAGAGACCACTGGCGCAAATCCAGGTTTCTCTGCTGGACGAAAAGGCCATTGTTGGCAGCAATGGCCGACAGGGGTCGACCTGTCTGGGCAAAGTTTTGGTCGGCCGAATGTAGCATACTACTCTCGAGGCTTAGTGATTGCTCACAGATCAACGTTGGAAGACGTACTGTTGCATTTCTTTGCCAAGATGGTTTTGAATCGCCAGACCGTTACCCTTTTCTGCAGTTTGCAGTTTCAAACGCGGGCGGGTTCTAGTGCGGCCGTTGTTCCAATTCTTGCAGACGCGGTCCGGGGCATGATTTGAGTGCCTCTGTTTCTGAAGCCCAGTGTGTGGCAGACCCTTTGCGAGCTTGCAGAGACCCTTGGACTCGAGACCGAGGCAAACATTTCTGCCAAAAATAGAAGCGCGAGGCTTGAGGCGACGACGAAGCTGATGGACAAATTGGAGAACCTTGAGGGCCAAGAGGATGCTGGGTTTAGAGCGGTGCTGTTGGATCGCCATCGCGTCGTAAGTACCCAGGCTTAGAGGGATAAGCGATGACCGAGAGAGGGCCGTTGCCATTGTGAAGAAGAGCGCGTTGTATATACATAGTGTCTGGCTCGTCATCCATGAGGTGGGCGGCAGGCTGTAAGGAGAGCCTCAGGATAGTGTGGTGCCTTCACTGCCCGGGAACAAGGGTTGCTGGCGAGGTCCCAGCCAATCACAGGCACACTTTGTTTGCACCGCCACCTGTGCATGTCTACACAAACACCGCGACACCCTCTCCCGTGCGCTCTCGTCGTATCGTCACCGCCGACCTGCTGTATACGCTGACACGCTGATTGCACCTGATGCCCTCGACGAGGCGCAGCCACTCAACACAATCTTCTATACGGGCACGGCTGTCTCCTAGGCGTACAGCATCTTCTTCCCACTGCCTGCCAACGATGCCTGCTCTCTTCCTTCCACATTCGTCACCATCACAATGCGCTGTTCGGCGTGTTGCATGTTCCCCACCGGATGGGTGGTGACATCAAAACATGTGATGCCTCGTCGACTTGCCCCCAGCCTTGGGGGCAGCCTGAAAAGCATTCCTCGTCATGATGGCGCCTGGGTTGGCCTGCGAAACGGCATTGGAACACCACTAACGGGCGATTTCAAATTCGCCCGGCCACTACATCTGTCTCCTGTGATTGGATCCAGTGTTCAAATCGCAGGTGTTTCCCTATAGTTCACTTACCCAGTCTGGGTCAATGCGTCCGCTGTAGTAGGCGCACCGAATACACTAACTACTCTCTCTACATACATGTATACATGTATATGAAAAGGGTGGTCATATATACCCATGTGCTTATTTGCGACAGTACCTTTTTCTTCGGCCCCGCAATGTCACCACTCGACAACGCCAACCCGACGCCTAGAATTGAATATCGAAAAACAAAAAAACCGGCACTCTGTATCTCTGCTGGTACGCTCAGCTCATGTTAGGCTATGATGCATGGAAGTGATACTATCACAAACGGGCTTAGCCCATCAGGCATGAGTCGGTTGATATGCCGTGTCTCAGATTTCCCCATCTGCTTCATCTCATCAACAAAGTAGGCGAAAGCGGGAACCCCCACATTTGCTCATGTCTCGAAGATGGAGGTACTATCTTTGGAAAATTCACAAAACATAATATGTATTCCTATGGCTATCACATTCATGCATCGCTTTGCATGACACTGGCGCGCCCACGATCCAAACCCAAACCTGACATTTTCTAGCTCTGTTCGGTGCGCCAACCTCACGAGTCGGAGGCTTATTTTACGAAACATGTGCTCGGTGGATCCATTGGCGAATTTCGACCGGTTCTGTAGCGCGCCGAAAGTTTGTTCACTTCTCGACGCCGGACGGTGTTTGACATCGCAGATAAGGTTTACTCCTTAGGACATCACCAATCTTTGTCAGGCAGCACGCACGACACACATGCGATTAAACTTTCACAGACATGACTTGGACTTCACCATTGTGTGCGCAAGCTCGACGTTGTCAATGCACGTCAGAGAAAGCTACCAGCAGATTATTATTGCAACATGCGATCGGCGATTGTCGTTGTCAGTCAGCGACACCTACCTCATGGAGAAGTAACTTTTTCCTGTAGGCCTCTGTCACTTCATTCCAACACCCTCATATTTTCTCACATAGGAAAGTAGACCAGTCTGCCTGAGATACCCTCAACCATTATACTTACCGTGTTTCCAATACCAGGCAGAAATCTCCCAGCGACTCCACACGATCCAGATCTGTCTGAAGAACGGAAGAGTCACGCACACCTTGCTCCAGACGATAACTCGCATTCTCTTCCATCGAATTTCTAATAGAGTTTACCATACGAAACCGCGTGTATCCCATTCCGGCTTCATCAGTCTTCTTCTTCCCTTCTCGTTCTCTAGCTTTCGAGAAGGTGGCACATCCATCGATGCCTTTGTGTATCGGAAGCCCCCTTGAGAAACGTAAAGAACACTCAGGAAGTGGAAGAAACTGGCGTGCCCCCACACCCGCCTAAACAATCAGTCAAGGAACCCTTCGCAAAGCAGGGTCTCTTGCCCACGAAACCCAAATTCCCCGTCCCCTCATCGTGTGCCCACGATTATTCCGCAACAGCCCGCGGCTTCCGCTCGTTCACGGGGGGTGGTGATCTCTAGCAAGTGGACTGTCTTTTGGGCAAGTACTGCTTGCAACTCGAGCTAAACCACCAGTCTAGTTCACGGTCTCATCTCACACCACCTGCCTTGATTGTAGACAAAAAGATATGCCCCGAGTCCGACCCTTGAGCCCTAGCCCCTCCGACACTCCCGTTCAGACCCTGCTGTCCCTCTCCCGCCGCTCTTCCAAATACCTCTCCCTCTCCCCCACTCGCCGATTTTCCCGCTCAAGCATGAACTTGAATTCGTCAGGGAGGATATTGCGCAATCCGGGTACTGCACCAGGGTCCTGGACAGACGATGTTCGCGTTCGTTTGTGACTCTGATTGTGGGTTTGCTTCCCCTGCTGCGCATCCCCCACTGATCCGACTTGTCCCTCCTTTTGTGTCCGTGATTTGAATTATCCTATCTTTTCTCTCTCAAGGCAGAGAATTGAAAATAAGGCTTTGATTTACGGGGGAGTTTCTGACAAATCACGTTATCTCGGCGAGTGATTGAAGCCATACCGCCCAAGAGGTTACGGTAATCATATTGGCTTGACATACTCAGATGTATGCAATACCAACCAAGATGTTACACATGTGGGCGTGACCAGGACATCTATATGTACACATGAATGAGTAAAATCCGTGAAATCGAACAGAAAACAGTTTATACTTTTGCATCATTTTTATCCTACACTACCCACACGTACACACGCATATACAAGTACAAATGCAAATCATACAAATTACAAACAGTAGAGAGACAAAGAAAAGGAGCAGCCCTTATCCCTACCCTTACCCCTACCCCTAAATCCCTCCCAGCCATCCCAAGAGACCGCACCCCGTTTCCCCCCTAAAACCACCCTTTCAAAATCCTCTCCCGATGTCCAACAAGCCCTTTCCTCGCCCTGACCAAATCCCGCACCCGTGAATCGACCCAGCACCCCTCCACACCGCTCAAGCGCTCATCAAGCAACAAATGCGTATACGCAAACACGCTCGCATCCCATAGCCCCGGTTTCTCCGCGCCAAAGAACCACTCGTTATCACCTAGTAGCATCTCGAGCGCCGCAAAGGCCTCGTCAGCCTGCCTGTGGAGCTCGTCTGCATTGATGACGGCGCTTGTTTTGAGGAGTTCGGCGGCGGCGGCGGATTGGAGGGTCGATGCTGTGCTGAGGCGGACGAGGGGGTTCGTGGAGGTTGGGAGGATGTAGAGGGGTTCGGCGAGGGTGGAGAAGTTGGGGGAGAGATAGAGGGTGTATAGCTGTATGGAGGTTCTTTGTTAGCCTTCTTTCAATATAATCTGCTCTGTGAGATGTGATTCTTGAACAGGAGGTAGTCCATGGAGCATAGACGAGAAAACAGTTGATGCTGATTTTGTCGTGGGGGCTGGGTTGATGGCAGCGGTTGATATCACTGGACCACTCGCAAGCTAGAATGCTAAGGGAGTATTATACCATTGAACCACACCCCCAAGTTGTTGTGTTGCCACGTTAATGTCGGAAGCGTTCAATTGGAGACGCGTCAACAAGAGTCGCAATTGGTTTGCCCTCACTCTCGGGAAATGAAAACAAAAGGAGAAGAAAAAGATAGATAAACGTACCCATGCCCTTCGCACGTTCAAGTCCACGAGCGAAAGATATGCCTCGTAACGAAAATCCCCAGGTTCCTGTATAGCCTGGCCCTCACCACAATTCTGCATGCCCCATTTCTGCAATTTGTTCGACGGCACCACCGACAGCCCCAAACTCTTCGACTCTTTCCCAGCGCTGGTTCCCGAAGCCGTCGCAGGGATGAGGAATGGCAAGGCACCGCTTGGCGAGGCGTGGTTGTTCGATGCCTGGAGTTTAAAGTCGATGCCACAGAATTTGAGGTATGCCTGCATGCGTGTGTAACAAAGACGATCAGCTTTCTGCAACTCTATCTCGAACAGAGACGAGACGGTACGAGAGTTTTGGTGTGCCTACCTGCCATTTCAAGCACGCCGGATTGTAAGAAGGCGCTCCTGCGAGAGCCCCTTTATCTGTCGAGAAAACGTGTAAAACGTGCGCATTGCGGTTTGCGGGTGCGCGCAATGGAAGGTCGTTGGAAGGGTATGAGAGGAGTGGGAAGCGGTCGAAAAGTTGTTTTATGGGTGTCGGTACAGAGAATATGCTGTGGGATTGCTGTGCAGCGCGAGGCCGGCGGGTATCGCGAGATGGTTCATCATGGGTGTCTGATTGCGCGGTCGTCATGGCCCGTTTATCCTGCGTCGTGTCGTGTCAAGTCTGAAGTTGGGATTTCGGCCCGTAGTTGATGGGGTCTACCATTGCACTTGCGAAGGCTCGGGAGTGACGCGCTCGCCTAATCTTGCCGTCTGGGTAGAGCGGCGGTTGCACTTGGTGTCTTACCCATGTTTGTGACTTCATTCATATACGTATTTGAAAAAGATTCCGAGTATTCATTGTTTGCTACTGGAAAATGCATACAGCGGGCATCAAGCCTAGCTGATGTATGCAAAGCTAAGCTAGGGCCATTCTATCAAGTACCGTCCGTCTATACGCAATCATCAAATGCGAACTAAGTAAATTCGTCTGGTGAGACAAAAGATACTCTAAGAGGGGGCAGCAAAGCCTTTATGGGCAGCGTGCGCCTTGTACCAGCATGCATCCTTCTTGGGCACCAGCTCACTGGAGAGCTTCTCGAGAATGGTTTCCAATAGCTTCTCTTTACCAGCCTCATTGCTGGCATCTCGAGTCCATACGGCCACTTGAACAGCGTTCCATCGCACACTGTAGGTCACGCCGCAGATGTCGTCGTTGAACGCTAGAAACAAGTCAGCCCTGAAAAAGAACGTAATATGCCAACGGGTTATGACTTACCATCTCGTTTTGTCTCCACGGCATGCTGGAGAACGTCGCCAACAGCCAGCAGACAGATCTCGTGCCAGAACGCAGCAGCGTTCTCCTTGCTGATACGAAAGTACCAAGCACCACCACGCGTGTTCCTAGGGTCCTCCCAAAGCGGCTTCACACCCGTGTGGAAGAGGTGGATCGAGTCTCGCAACTTCAAATTGTCGATGGGGATGTTGTTGAAGTGCTCATAGAATCCTTTGATGGAAATGATGGGGTCGCCGAGCTGCTTGGGGCGGGAAGCGTACTCCTCAGCGCCGGCAGTGGCTGATTTGACCGCAGGCGTAGCTTGCTGGCCCTTTTCCGCCCAGAATTGCCACTTGAAGCGAAATTCGGGAACACGCACTTGCTTAAAGATGTTGTTCAACATAGCAGAGCCTCGAGCAGGGGATGCGGTCGTTGCAGCTTCCTGAACAGATGCTGGGGGCAAGTCCGAAGTACTGAGAGCGGGGAGTCTACCAGCCATAGTGTCGGTTTGGGGTTTGACGATTTTTGCGATTTGAATATCTAGCTGAATAGCGATAGCTTTAAGCTCAGCGAGGTTGTCGGCGGCAGCAAAAATACGCTGGCAATTAATAACAGTTGATTCCTCGGGTTGAGCTGGGGTTGGCGCTACGCGAGTATGGTGATCAAGAGGGAATGCTTTGTTCAACCGGGAAACAAGTCCGCTGATGCCAAGTTCGACAGTAGAACTAAGCGGCTGCGTGGGTGTCCGAGGCTGGATTTCTCCGCGAATAGCCTTCTGTAGAGCTTCAAGAAGGGAGCTTGGTATAGACTGGTGGTCAGTGTGTTGTGAGAGAGAGTGTGAGTTTCGCTTGTAGGCGGCGAAATTGGTGGATGACTCAAAGTCGACCGGGCGAATTGGCACCTCGTATGGAGATTTGAAATTAGAGGACTGCATTGCTGTGATCAGTCTCGATTCCTTGGGTATGCTCAAGTGGAAGGTGTGGAAAGAGTATGAGAGGAGATTATGTGCGTCTGAGAAAATTGAATGGAATGGAGCAATGGTAGGGTTGGTTGACAATAGAAGATGGATAGCGGAAAGAGTCTTTGGGGGGATTTATATAGAAAGGCGGGTATGAGGCTGGTTGCTTGATATTGTTCATGGTGGAATCGAGGTGAAGTCGAAGTGAAGAGAAAGGTGAATAATAATGAATACGCCCATTGAGGATGGATACATGAATAGAACCCCCCAACGGAAAACAAACACGGTTGTAACGTAAGATATTCAAGAAGCAGAATATACAACATAGTAAAAGGCATTTGAACTGTATGTTCCAAGGCAGGGAGAGGGAGAGGGGGAGGGGGGTTGGAGAAGGGAGGGCATACCGATTCCGGTTGCTGTGTATTGAGAGTGTTACCCCTGCAATAATCTCAGTACAGCCGGTCGTTGGACTGACAGAAGGCCGTTTGCTTGCGAAGAAGGATCGAAGACGGTGAAGAGGACGATCAAACAGGCCTTGCTCAACGCTGGAATACGGGACTCGATGGTGAAGAAGGGGGTGGAGTGTCGTTAGCAGCAGTGGGGGCCTCCCGGGCTTTAAACGCATGCGGCCATGGTGCATCCACACACACAGACACGCAGGCTGCAAGAGGCCAAGTCGGCCGCCTCTGCTCAGCTGCAGCCGCCCGCTGTGGGGTTTCAAGACGCCGTTTCACGACACTGGGCTGACACCACGAGGCCAACCAATCTGTCGCCGGCCTAGGGGGAGCGACTTGGCCTCCACCACCACCTCGAGCATCCAAGCCTGCTGATTCGCGACGGGCACAGTGTAAGGCAGCTGTAGCTACAACTATATATCTTGATACGCATGTACTGTACATCAGCAAACATGGCGCCTCGCGTGGACGCGCTATTCGTCTCGTCCACTGCGAAACGCTTGCTTTCTCAGAGCGCCCTGTGGTTGGGGGGGAAAACCGGCATAACGTCGCCGCCGTCCAGCCACCCTTAACATTTTTCCGCATGCATCTCTGCTTTTGCCCTGGAGCTTCCACCAGCACACTCGGATACACACATAGCTTTTGACCTCGCACCCTTTGTCATGGCACCAACCACATCCTCGGAGCGACAATTCGATGTCTGCAGGCGCCCCGCCAACCCCGCGCAGCACATCAAATCTCCTTCCCGCACCTCCCCGCAGAAGCCATCCACTGCCCCCGAGCGTTCGAATTTCACGCCCAAAAGCGCAGCCCGCGACACAAAAAGCACGAGTAACGTCGATAGTGACGCATCCAGCGAGCTGTCTTCGTCCAGTGAAGAACCGAGCGATGATAGTGACGACGAGGACGAGTTTGCCAATTCCGCCGACAATGAAGACCCCATTGTGAATCTGCGCGCAAATCAAGGCCAGAAACCTATCATGAAGCTGGACCCTGAGGAGATGGGAGACGACATCCGATCTTTCTTGAAAGACTTCCTTCCCAAACTCAAAGCGGCCAACGAAGAGTTAGAGGCACAGAAGGCGGCGGGCACACTCAAGACCGCCGAAATCTTGGATGATGGCGACCAGACTGCCGGGAGCGATGGGGATGATGAGGGAGAGCAGTACATCGAGTTGGTAAGTTCACGACCATGATGAATCATGCTTGTTGAGCGGAGGAGTCTGCGCGCATCCGTCCATGCACGCGATGCATGTTTTTACTAAATCTTCCAGAATCTCGGACTCGGTGTGCTCGAAGCCAAAGACGCAGATGCGGATACGGACACGGATAAGGACAAGGCCGGACCCTCCAGCGATCAAGCCGGCGAGAAGATGGGTACAGAACAGGGCCAACCAAGCAATGAAGACGTCCTGCGCAAACTCATGGGTCAAGACAAAGCCCAAAGCCCAGTGGGCATCGAAGTAGTCAGTGAGTCGAAGGGCTCCTGAAAGAATCACAAATATTGGGGAGGAATACATCCAGTCCGACTCATTTTTTTGGCGAGATCGCATGCTTGCGGAACGACGGAGCGACTGCCTCCTTGCTTGGATGTCCAAGGGTCCTGCCGTTCTATCCACCCTTCGCCGCTGGTCCATTATACGCGCGCCAGCTGGAGACTATTTATGCCTCTGGAGGATTTTCACGAAGCTTTTTATATTCTAGTTGATCACTTCACACTGCTTGATGTTACTGGTCACGAGCATTGCTCGACCCGGCAGCAATCAACCTTCTTCGGCGACAGGCCAGGCAAGTGACGACAGATTGTTACACCTCACTCAAGGTCAGCTCCCTACCTGAACATGCCACAATATACTTATCTGACAAATTGACAGACATCTTGTATCCTGGGTTCTTCTTGCTTCAAAAATCACCTCTGGATCTCAACTACATGTTAAGTGTATGACGACCGACATGGTAGGATAGTATATGATCCACTTTTCTCGATGCCTATCAAAATATATAGACTGCGAATTGTATCCGCAAAATCTACAGATGCTTTCCCGAAATGTCGTGCTCTTGCAATCACAATGACGTAAGGTCCCCTGCATGATCCTCACCTAAGTCTCGAAACCTCTACTTCATTTAATAAATTTGTTCTGGTATATTCAATAAACCTCTCTGTTTCACCCTGCGCCAAACAGACCATGGATGCTATCCCGACTACCAACAAAGTCGCCGGCGACCCCGAGTCCTTGAAGAACAAAACCTTGGAGACAGGGGCCGCAGCAGTACAGGTAGCTCTATTTTGTGTACTATGTTGGATAAATTGCTCACGTTACATGAAGAACTTTGCGCCGGTTGAACGCATCTGCGCACACTTGAATGCCTTCCATGTGTATGCCGACGACCTGTCTCGTAACGTCGAGGCCAACCATTACTGCTCGCATCTGAACGACGAAGTGCGCCAATGTATCCTATACGACTCTCCTACGCCTCCAGCACGCATCATCGGGATAGGTAAGCACGTGTTCTATTTGAGGCTCCACTCCAAATCTTTGCATCCGCCATGTCAGGTTTAAAACTAAACGCCTTCCAACGACCATCTTTCACTGATCTTCTTTCTTCAAATCGCAGAATACATGATTACCCCTAGGCTCTACGATACCCTCGATGCAGAGGAGCAAAAGCTATGGCACACGCACGTTTTCGAGGTGAAATCAGGCATGCTCATCATGCCTGCGCCATCCGCCATGCCCTCTGCCGCCTGGGAGCTCGCCGAGAACCGCGAGATGGAAGAAGTGGCTCACCTTTACGGAAAGGTGTATCACTTGTGGCAGACGGACAGGGGCGATACTCTGCCATTGGGAGAACCGAAGTTGATGATGAGCTTTACAAAGAAAGAACAGTTTCCAGACTTCGAGGCAAAGGTTGGGGAGAGGGATAAGAGGTTTGGCACTAGCTGGGAAAGGAAGAAGGATGTTAGGAAGGATATCGAGGAGCCGGCGGAGGTGAGCAAAGGGAATGCGGATTGGGTCTGGAAGGAGAAAGGGATGATGTAGTTGACACGTCTGTAGAGTGAGTGATATGTTCTGCTTGTCGAGTACCCGTACAGCTGCGTGGGGCCAAAGTCAGATGGGGTGAAAGTAGTGTACATGGGACGGATGTTGTGGGAAAAGATCTTCAGAGACCCTGCACTGGCGGCGCAGTGGCGCGGAATTACGAGAAGAACGTGATGGCTAATGGCGCGTCCTGGTCTCTTCACTCGCTGTACTCCCTCCTCTGTATGTCTGCCTTGTCCTCTCTCCCCTCGTCGCTTTCGTCCCAACTGCCTACATTCCTTCTCCTCGTCGCACTTTCCAAATAACCCGTGTGCTCCCAACGCCCTTACCCTGTCGACGTTTCCGCCTTCCACCGTGTCCCCGCATCGACATCAAAATATAAAATCGCTGCCTATGCCGCTTCGCATCCCATCCGTCACACGCTCATCCCCCCCTTATCCTTACCGCCGTATATAATCACATAAGCATGATTCCCAACTTCAAGCCGCAGCTGATCAAGAGACGGTCTGGTCCCCCTCCTGCGAAACCCGCGCCCAGCAGCAAACCTCCGCAAAACAGCAGCACGCGACAGTCAAACACCGCACCTCCGAGTAGCCGCTTCAAGCTGACGGCTTCGAACAAATCCCGCACCGCTTCTCCAGCCGCACGCGCCGAGTCCTCCCGATACTTGTCGCCGCCGCGCCCGCGCGTCCAGACCAAGAAGCGCAAAGTAAGTCCAAGCGCGGCCATACTTTGGGGGAGCGATAGCGATGATGAGAGCGACGGGAGCCATGACGATTCGGCTAGCGACCGCAAGAGACAGAAGACGAGCAGTAGTGTTGAACCGGCTTTTCACCATATCTGGAGTCTGAAGCCTGATCACCAACGGCGCATTCGTGTGCATCCAAAACCCTCGGAGCAGCCAACCTCCAACTCGAGCAGCACCGACGGACCTATCCTGCCTGCGCGCCTTATAGACAGCATAAAATTGACACGTGGAGCGTGGGCAAAGCACTATAAATCTCCTTTTCCAGACCTAGACAGGAATCTCATTGTCTCTCTGCAATATCCCAGCCCTGGGCGGCGAGAAGAATTCGAGATTATATGTCCGCCGCCGACTTCAGATGATGTGAACCCCCTCGATGATATCTTTTATACTATAAACGAGATCATCCAGCATTACCTGCCCGCCCAATTGGACAAAGATTTGAAGCTGTCCGACGACGCCGACGGTATTGTCCGCCGTTTGAAACGCGCCGTCACCAAAAACCAGCCCGACGAGTTCCGCGATGCCTTGGAAAAGTTCAACACTATAATCAAAGACAACTTGGAAAGTATTTCAGACCAGATTGACAGTATGCACTCTCTTCCTCTGGATCTGGTCAACCGTATAACCATACAAACCTATCAACGTACCGTCTCTCATCGGGCACACCTTTTGCGCCGAGTCAAGGACAAAGAGTTTACTTATGGGGAGCTCAAGTACAAGCTTGCGCACAAGATCTTCGAGCAAACAGGCCTGAATTCGAAATCCGTTTTCGTCGACCTGGGGTCTGGTGTTGGTAACGTGGTTCTTCAGGCCGCTCTTCAGACCGGCGCCGAGTCCTACGGCATCGAAGTCTTGGAGACACCGGCAGACTTCGCCCTTGATCAAGCCTCGGAACTCCGTGCCCGCGCAAAGCTATGGAATATCTCGTTGGGTTTGATTCAACTGTGGCACGGCGACTTCCTCGCCAGCCCCGAGATCGACGCGGTGCTGCACCGTGCCGACGTGGTCTTGGTCAACAACAAAGTCTTTCCCCAGGATACCAATTTCGAACTACTCAACAAGTTCCTCGATCTCAAGGCGGGCGCCAAGATTGTCAGCCTCGAGAGCTTCGGCGCCGGCGCTGGGAAGCAGGGATCGCGCAACGAAAACAATATATTCAACATTTTTGACGAGGAGCTGTTCGAGTCTGGCACTAACATGGTCAGCTGGACGGATGCGGCGGTGGAGTATTATATTGCGACGAAGAGGTGCTAGGTCCGGTCCCTGGCATTAGAGTGTCAATTATGTGGGTGCGTGTTTGTGTCTGCGTGCATTTTGAAGGTGTATGAAGTGTCGAAAGAGCGAAGGATTCTGTGCATGGTGAGCGTTCAAGAGCAAAGACCATATGCATTGATGAGCGTTACAAGTATTGGCATGGATTGATCAATGTTTCTTAGCGAGCGGAACTCATAGACGATGGTTTGGGATTAGAGAGGATTTGGCTTTTTCTGTTGCGTTGCAAACAGTTGGATGGCTAGGCTGTGGACAGCCTTTGGGGGCTTCGGCTACATGTGTAACCTGTGGGCGGGATGTTGTTTGTTTCCTTTGCGGTGTTGCTTTCCTCCTATGGTTGTCCTCGGACTCCTTCCTTTTTTTTTTGCTGTACATTATTATTATGTGTTTGTTTTTTTGTCGAGGAAACGAGAAATACCCCCCTTTTTTGTCTACTTTATGTGGAAAGATGGATTGTATCAATCAGTACTTCATCGTCTTGTTCGTCCTTTTTTCTTCTTCTTCCGTCTTCAATCAATGTAGAGGGAGATGGCAGCTCTTTGTCTGCTCGAAAACAAATCAGAAATCCAGCCGATCAATCAATCAAATAGAGTCCCTAATCAATCGTTCACCCATCTCTGAACATTGTAAGAAGAAGAGAAAAAAAAAGTACAGAGAATAACTAACGATGAGAGTCGGACTGAGATAGATACATGTAATGAATGACGATGATTATTACATCACGTTGCACCCACACACATATCCACACCTCTTCCTCGTCCCTGGACGCTGCTTTCCTTTTTTATCTCTCTATCAACACTCGTGATCCTCTTAATATACCGTGCTTCTTTATTTTTAGCTACATGTACCCTTCCTTCGTACATACATACATGTATACACACATTACAGCTTAATACAAGCCCAAGCTCAGCTCAGCAGAATTTCAAGAGAAAAGAAAAAAAAAAGGACCAAGCAAGCAAAGCAAGCAAGCAAGCGTTGGATAAGCGCATTGCAAGCGTGCGCGCGTGCGCGCGTGCGTGTACCGGTAGATTTGGAGCTACAATAGCTACCGGTACAAGTCCCTCTTCATTCTTCATGTCTCCTAGCTTTCGTACAAATCTAGTGACGGTTTCAGCTCAGTTCACAACAAGAGTAGTTAGCTTAGCTTTGTAGGCTACCGCTAACGTTTGGCTGCGTTGGCTAGCTGGCTGGCTGGCTGGCTGGCTGGCTGGCTATGCTTAGCTGGGCGAAGGGTGTCGTGTGCTAGACTTTTTTTTCCCTTCTCTTCTTTCTTTCTTTTAGTTCAAGGGAGGGTTTTTGGGATGTGATTGGATTGGATTACTGGATTCGAGATATTTAAAGATAGATCGATCGATCGATTGGGGGTTGCATGTTTTGTTGCGGGGAGGGAGATGGCTCCACGGGCTAACATTTGTGATTGTTCATGTTCATGGAGCTGCTACTGCTGCCTTGTGCTGATATTCAAGAGAGAGAGAGAGAGAGAGAGAGAGAGAGAGCGGAGGGGTCGAGGTGCGGTGACTTGTGTGTGCTCCACTAACAGGGAGGTGATGGAACGAATTCCTTGCATGATATAGACTGCCTACCTTCTTTGCCCTTCGTTTTTTGTGCAGGCAGTTCACTTATCTCGAACTGCAACGGCACAGGACTCAATATGACTGGTGGAGAGGACTGGGCCAATTCCTCTTAGAGGATAGCATAGTTGAGGTCATGATCGACTTTGACTGAGATGTGTACGTGTAAGAGGGGTAAAGCAAGGCTGATTGACTGCGTCTTGATCGATGAGCTGTCGATCTCGCGGTAGAGTACAGTAAGTCGTGGTAGTGTATGTAGAGAGGAATGTTGAGAATCCACATGGAGTAAACAAATCCACAAAGGGTAGTAAGGCGACCCAGCCGGTTGAACGACAAGCGGATGAGGCGGACGAACGCTACGGGGGGTGCGTGCAAGAGCTATTATGTTATCGCGTAAGGGGGGCGAGTGAGCCGAAGAACCGTAACAGAGGGGCGAGGAGGGGAAGTTTCTTGGTTGATATTGTTGCTGTTGTCTCGAGTCTGTCAAAGCAAGTGTCAAGATGTTGGTTGACGCCAATAGACTGGTTGCAATGAGTATCATGGTCACAAAGCTGTGGTTTCAATAGATCGTGTTGCTAATATTAGCTCCCGAAAGAGGAAGAGGGAAAATATTCAGTGAGGCAGAGGGAGCCAAAGACAGACGCGAGTCGTGCTCTGTGGTTTCAGGGCGATGTTCTGGGACCGGTGCGACGACAGACTTGTCCAGATGCATCGCGTATTTCCCGTTTGAGGAGAAAGAGACGAAGGGGGAAGGGAACAGGGGGTGAGGAAAGGTCCGGGTAAGAAGCCGACCAGTGCTGAAAAATTATGGAGTGTTCGCATCAGTGTGTTGTCTATGTATTGTCTGCCGCGTTCTGGAGCGAAACACCGATGCACTGCCACCGGCCGAACGAGCGGTCCTGCACGGCGGCTCCCTAGAAGCCAAACACTATCAGCACCGGCATCATGATTTCGAAGGCAGAATGCGCCATGGATAGGCACTACGAGCAGTCAATTCGAAATGTGGACATGTTTCCCCCTCGAGGCATGATGGCATCAAAGCAGACCCGCTCTCCGGTGCCCACAGCATGAGATGGGATGACGTTTGGCTTTGTTTGGCGGATATTGGGGCAGTTTAGTAGATAGTATGCTATTGCAAGCGCAGGGATGGGCCGCGTTATAGGGAGGTTAGTGCCCGGGATGCAGGCAGGTTTCAGCCAGCAACGACGTGTATGGTGGTCAGGACGAATTGGTGGTGGTGAGATTGGTAATGACGGATGACGGAGGTCGAGAGGTGGGGATGGCCCTGTCGGCGCAGTGCAAAGGCATGTGTGCATTGAAGCTGGAACGGGTTCTCCTTCTCTCGAGGTCCAAGTGAAGGGGGATGGATAGACGGACGGACGGGTGGATGGGAGGCATGTCAACCACGACGACGGGACGAAGCGTGTCCAGTTTTGGCTGCTGGCGCTCTTTTTTGGGGATGAATTGGATTCTTCGTTGTCAGCAGTGGACGAGTAGCGAGGGATCGGAGCCGGGAGCGGTTGGTGTAGTAGTGGTGGAGGCGGCGGCGGAGCGTGTTTGGGGGGAGGGAGCTCGGCGGGCGCTGAGTGGTGGACGAGTAGTGGAACCGGCAGCGTGTTGGGACTCGCAGCTGGCCTTAACGTATCCATTGCTAGCCATTCTTTCATTGATTCAATAACACTGGGGCCCTCCAACACGCACGATACGATGCTGCGAAGCCGGTAGTCTCTTGCTTTCGTCTTGGTGCCGCCTGGGATTCTATCATCATTGACTGCTGCTGGTCGATCGCCGCTGTCCTCGTTGCACTAGCAGGCCAAAGGAAGGCCTTGGTTGCCGATTCACACGAACCAAGTCGCCACTCTTCGACACAAACGCATGCCCTTTTGGGACCGTGTTTCTCCTCTTTTCAACCTTTTCACTCCCTCGCTCTCTCACTCACTCACTCTCTCTCTCTCTCTCACGCACACATCTCTTCTCGCCTGCTCGCTCACCTTCGTTTGTCCACCAGCGCCCGGTCGAACCAAATCTTGTGCGAGGGCCCGTCGTTTATCTTGCGCTTTGCTGCGTATCCAGTACGACCCTGGTGGCGCTGATCCCGACCAGCCCACCCAATTCAACCCTCCACCTGCGCGTGGCTTGACCTTTGCGTCTAGGTAAGCAATCAATTATTGGAACATCACCACCAAATCCCTCCACCCGTCACCCAACTCTCTCTTCTCAGCTGCCGACTGGCTGCCAGCTTGGAAACGTCACTCCCTGATTACGTCGCCCTTGTACCCACCGCTTCCCATGCTGATGCTCCGACCTGCTCCCATTCTTTCCACAATGTCATCTGATACTAACCTGTATGCCTTTTTTTTTTACAGTTTCCAACTTGACCACGTTTGCGGGCAAGAGCAAAAAAACAAACAAACTTCTTGATCGACCCTATAAACAACCCCCGTGGTCCTCTAGGGAACATCCCTCACAATGCGCTGGTTCCACCAATCCATCCTTCTGGCATTCCCCCTGCTAGCCCAGGTCACCACTTGCGAAGAAGACCCTACACCTCCAGTCAAGCACCCAAAGTCGCCCACCAAGGACATCCGACTGCTCTACTCTTCTCCAAACGAAGCTTTCCAGGAGCTTCTGAATGCATTGCCCGAGGAGTCGCTGCACGCTGCTCTCCATTCGCTCACTCATTTCCGCGAAGGCATCTTCGAATCTGACCGTCGAGGAGTCGCCCACGTGCACGATGAAAACCCACCCCTCGCAACCAAGTTGATTGTCGAAGCCGTCAAGGACCTGAAGAAGAGGCAGCAACCATCTAACGGCACTGTCACCACCTCTCAACCCTCAGAGGACCCCCAATCCACCAATGCAGCTTCCTCGGATGACGCAGCCCCGAGCTCTCAGTCTCCTCCACGCTCCAGTGCCGTGCTGGTCCCCGTAGTCATCACTACAACAGACAACCAAGGCCGCACGAGCGTAGCATCTAACGAGGTCCTTAGCGAACCGACTGCTTCCGTTACGGTTGCGGTGACTCGCACTGACTCACAGGGTCAAACCACGGTCGCGACCGAGACCAAGCCGGCCGTTGTCGAGAGCACAACCGACTCGAGTGGCCGTGCCCAAGTCACTACCCGACCTGTCGAGTATGCGCCTACGATTAGCCAGGTCATGACCAGCACCAACGACCGTGGCGAGACTTTCTTGACTACCTACACTCCTGCAGGTGGCCGCGCCAGCAGCTTGTTGCTTGTCACAACCACCGGCTCCGATGGCAACCCTACCGTCATGACTAGCTTTACCTATGTCGAGCCTGCAAAGGCGACGAGCGCTGCCCCGACCCCAAGTGCTGGTAAAGGAAAACCCGGTCTACAGGACGCCGGTGCCATGTCCAGGTACGGGGGTGCGAGCATTACAGTCATGGTAGCTGCTATGGCCGGTGCCGTCGCCTTCTTGTTTGTTTAAGCGTTCAGTCAGTGAGCATGATAAAATCTCTCGGCATTCCAAGGACACAAACAGCACCTGCAAGCATCAACCTACACCATCCGCTTAGAGGACTTGAGAACACACAATACACAAAACGCCAAAGCATACGACTTGGCCCCCATCAACGACCGTATATCGGACATAACGACTCTCTTTTTAGTACCAAAGATACCACAACACTCCTTTCCAATCTGTCATCATAGAACTAGGGCATGCCGCCTTCGTTGGCGCATTCAACTTTCTGTACATGGCCCATCCACTACCCCATCATTCGGCATCCATCGCATCTCAGTCCGTCGTCTTAGCTGTGGTAAAAGCCAACGGTCTTTACATCTTGTGCACTCGGCACACTTTTTGCATTTACACGGGTTTGACAGGAGGAAAAATTTGTTTTTGCATATTACAATCTGGCTCATCATGTTTTTTGTTTCTTCGGAGTTATATTGTACTGCATGGAAGACCGAGAGAGATGGACAGAGCGCCAAAAAGGGAAACAGTACTCATTTTACAGCACACATATATTAGCATTGAGCTTGCATCAGCATAATTTTCATCATACATTTGTTACATGGGTTCCGGGAAACACTAAGGTCATTCGGGCAGATGCAGAGCGAGCGATGAAGCGTAATGCAATGACTACAATATCAAACCACCAAGACAAAAACACATGACTGGTCTGAGCTTGAATAGTGACCCTTGAAAAGTTGTTGTTGGACTTGTCATTCAAAGGCGACAACTGCATCAAACTACTTTGTGAATGATCCCCCCAATCTACCGTACTTCTTCATGCCCATGCCTATCCCATTTGCTTCAACACTCCAATATCCATACAATCTATCTTGTGTGAATGACGTCCTGCACCATTCAAATAACCACCTTACTTACCTTATGTTCCATTTCGCCTATAGCGATTTGTTTATTTTAGAAAAGAACAGAGTTCAAGCAGGTGATATACAATATCATAGTTTTTGATTGGTTTTATACACTGACGAGTAGCTATCCGAGTATGCTGTCCATCTTCTTCTTTTTTCTATTCTCTCCTTCTCTTTCTCTTTGATATTCTATTACACTGATTCCACTCCCACTTCATTCCTTCATTCCCTCATCAGCAGCACCACAATATAAAAAAAAGACTTAAACATAGGTATCATTCGCTTCACTTCTCCCCCCTGCCCCCCAAATCAACCCGCAGACGGTCAAAAAAAAAAACCCAGAACTAGAAGAAAAAAGAACGAAAGAAAAGGATGGAAAAACTACCGCTCTCTAGCCTCTGCAGGCAACTCGACAGGATCCGCCCGACCTTGGATCTCGACGGGCTTAGTAACCGCCGGCAACTCGCTCGCCGCCATGCCCGTCTCCGTCGCCGCCGTCGCCGTCTCATGCGCATACTTGATCGAACCCGCCGGCACCGCACTCGCCAAATGCGGCGTCGTAGCCGGAGAATCGAGTTCGTGCGTCGCGCCCCTGGCCCACGGCTGCTGCTGCTGCTGCTGCTGCTGCTGCATCTGCATCTGGGGATGGTTCTGGTCCAGGAACGGGTTCGGCGAGGCCGGGGAGTAAGGGTTTGAGTTCTCCTTTGATTTTTTCTTCCAGGCGAGGGCTTTGAGGACGAAGAAGAGGGCGCCGATTAGGGCTGCGGCGCCGCCGACGGCTCCGACTGCTATTCCTGCTTTTGCGGCAGTCGAGAGGCCGCTGCTCGGGTTCGATTGCTGCTGCTGCTGCTGGTCTTGCGGGGAGGAGCCTGGGTTTGATTGCGGGGGGTTCGAGGATGCAGTTGGGGGCGCCGACGAGGAGGATGAGGAAGAGGAGCTTGGTTCCGACGTCTTGTTATTGTTGCCGTTGAGGTTTTGGCCAAAGACGGCGGGGACGGTGATTGCGGTGCCGTCTGAGCAGCATTTGTCCGAGTTGCCACAGCACCATTTCTCGCTGTCGGAGGTCCCCGAGCACGGCGTCACGCGGAGGCTGCTGCTCGCATCCTCTGATTTGCGTTCGCAGAGGCTGAAGCATTCGGGGGCTTTTGGGTCCTCGTTGGTGCAGCCGTTGACGTAGTATGCGACTTGGGCTTGGCCGTCGACGGTGTGGTTGTTCATGCAGAGGCCATTGTCTAGACATACGTCCTGGACGAGGCTTGGGTTGGGGGTTTCGCTGCCGGGTGCGAGTTTGCGGTCCATAGAGCAGCATATTGTGTTGACGGGGCGGTACGGGCAGGGGAGGTAGTCGCTCGTCACGTCGGCCACTACGCCATTTGCGTAGTAGCAGTATTGTGCTGTAGCTGCTGTGGACAGAAGAAATACGAGGAGATAGAGGGGTGTTTGTGTTTTCATGATGGTTCAACTTTTCTCAAGAGCAAGGGAAGAGGAGAGAACGTTCTCCTAACAGGAGGGGTGGAGGGAAATAAGAAAAAAAAAAGACGAGTAAAATTCAAGTAAATTTCGAAGGACACAAGCGGCGGAGGCATGGGGTTTTGACATGTCCATTTGATTGCTGTAACGGACGACTTTTGGGGCCGGACGGTGTTTCCAGGGAGAAGTTGATGTGTGTGTGCGGCGTAGTCGATGCTCTGACGGAACTCAGCCATGCTTTAGCTCGTCCTCCAAAAATCCCAACCCAACAACAACACCTGTCTATTGGTCAAATACCTTGCTCAAGTACCTTGTCAATACTTCGCATAGGCGATCCGCCCTTCTAATTCAATTCATAGCCAGTAGTAAGATAAGTACCCCGGTGTTCCTTGGCTCTCTGCTACACTCCCCCTACCCCTTTGATTCCTGCGTGTAAGCAGGTGTGTTCACGGCCCGTCGAGAATAACTACAGTGAAACAAGACCTCGTACCTCGAATCCTTCCATTACCCCTCTTCTCTTTCACCTATCCCTTCAGTGCCGTCATAGAAGGAAGAATGACAATCTGTTGCGGAACAGTCCGAGTCGATTGGGGTATTGGGAGTAGTGCTTCTTAGAGCCTACACACTTTTTCGCCACAAGATGTCATAGTGTGCACATATCGCAATTTGCCCTTCTCAAGACGAAATTCATGTGAGTCTGCTGCGTTCATCTGGCAATGCAGATATCAGTATTATATACTCACATCACACAGAGAGGAAGAAGGATTAAGAACTCACCATATGCTCCCAAACACAAAATATACTAACACTCCCAATTTCCTCATCAACCACATACCTCCTCCTTGAATTAGGCTTCTGGTTGCTATTACTCGGGATTCCTGGCGTACAGCTATCATTTTCCGCGCCAGTCCCCGTATACGCGCTCCCTTCGAGCCGCACGCAAGGCGTTCCCCACGGCACTCTATCCTTCGCTTTGGCATCACTCCACATATCCATGTACGCGTCTCCCGCCGCTTGAATCTTATCTCTAGCGTCGCGCTGCCCTTCGGGTATCGGAAACCAATCTTCTTTGAGCACGTAGGAAAGCGTTTTGGTCGCGTTGAAGAGCCAGGCGTTTGTGGTTGTCGAGATCGTGTCAATGGAGAGGATAGATGCTGTGCTGTTACTATTGTTACCAGAGGAGGAGAAAGAGTGGCGGATCTGCGTGCCGAGGACGTATGGGGAGGGGTTGTTGGGAGCTACGACTTCGGTGTAGGTTGCGCAGAGAGTGAGGTCGAAGATGCTACGGCTGTGCGCTATCGCCAGCGGTTTATGGAGGACGCCGGATGTGTGGGGTTTATGGATGTTGTTCTCGGTATAGGTCCAATTGCTGGTTAAAAAAGGTTGTAGGGGGGTTAGTGTGCCGCTGGTCTGGGCGGCAAGGTATTGAGATGCTGCTTCAGCGAGATGGGCGCGATTGCATGTCGTGTTTGCGACGAGAGGTATGCTGTAAGCGGTTGTGAACGAGATGATGAGAGCGAAGACTGTGTGAGTAGGTCGTGGCATCTTGAAACGAACAGATGAATGTAATTGGTGAGCGTCGGTGCTGATCCAGAGTATGCTCAGGGCTAATACGGATTGAATTTAGGTCTTTGGTTCGGTGGTGAGGCCAATCTCTTTATACTCGATGTATATGGATTGTATCTTAGCTCGAAGTAAGTGCCGTGATTGCAATTGATTAAACAAGGGGACTGGTATTACTTTGCCACGACGGCAGAACAGCACCCCACATTGTATCCCAGCAGCTCGGTCCAATCCCCTCTCAACCGTTAACTTCGATAGTAGATCCTATTCGCAAAAGTGGATGCACAAGTTGACAGTGAAGTGTTTGTCTGATGATTCATTTCTTTAGGTATCGTACCTAAACTTCATATGTCAGGAGCAGGTATGTTAATCGACGCCCCTTCGTGGTCCCTGGTATGATCTCGGATCCAGAGCCCATCTTCTTTTGCTTGCCACCCCTGCCCTTTCTTTTGCAGCAGCTCCATGTACTCTCCTACATCTTGCTTCACAGCAGCCACACTGCAATCTTTGCTAGTAAAGCTAGCGCCATCCGCAAAATCGTAGGTTCCGAGAAAGCATGTGATATTCTTGTAACTCTCGTTCCACTCCAGCCAAAGATCCGAAGGTTGCGCTCGGCCCATTCTCTTAGTTTCATTCAGCAAGTCGTTCTCAGGGCCTGGTGCTAGCTGGAACTTTACTTCCTCGAGTGTTTGGATTTTTTGGAGGGCGTGGATGACCACGCGAATGTTGGTATGGAACGGGAAGACGCCGATGAATGAGAATGAGCGAATATTGCAGCAATCCTGCACTTCTTTTGCAAGACGGAGGAGGAGAAGGTATAGCATTCGAGGCGACTGCTTTAGGTGGTACTCATAAGTGCTGTATGCACTGATGGAAGATCCCTCATTGTAAGCTAGATGCGTCCATGGACGGCGCTAAAGAAGAAGTCAGTGAAGCTTATTCAGCATCCTTTCGATACGCTATCGGGGTTTCGATGGTCCATCTTGGAATACCACAATTACGTACATGTACCAACGCTGTTTCCCAGGGACGACATTGAGGAGTAGTATGCTGGATCTGTGAAGCTTGCCCATACTGTATGAATTCGACATGATGTATCTTCATGTCGAAAGCCCAGGTGTCGGAGCTCATCATAGCTACATCCAAAAGTCCAGCAAGCGTACATGGCGGCGCGGAAACCACCACTCTCGTCGGCTCTAGAACCTGGAAGATGGTCGACCATATCTCCTTTACCACTTTTGACAGATAGGCCTCGGCCGTGGAGACGTGTCGAAGCTCATAACTTTTGTCTGTATATATGACGACGTTTTTGATATGGTATTTCAGCTCGTACTGTTGCACAAACTCTGCATAGTGCAAGAAATCCGACTTGGGCAGATGGGGAAACCACAGTATATCTGGGATGGATTTGAGGAATTCATCACCGTCGTCGATGCGGCATAGGTTGATGAGCAAATCGTCAAAGGACTCGTCGTACGCGAAGATGGAACTGCTCTTGAACTTGGATCGCATGTGCTGGTAAACTTGAAATTCGTGGTTGCTTAGCTTGGTGAGCTGCCCCTGCATATTGTCAAGAATACGAGCGTCTATTGGCACCCATTGGGGAGTCGGATCCAATTGGATTCTGGAATAGCGGAAAAGCATAGGAAGGACAATCTTCCTCCAGCGCCAAGAGACGCATGAGAGGTTCTTGAGGGGTGTTTGGTCTGCATCTGTAAGCGTGGTGGAAGGTTCGTGAGCGAATTTGGCAATCGAAGGGGCTGGCGAATCAAGATGAGCTGTTATCTGAAGTAGTATCTCGTTTGGAAGTCTTTGAAAGATGTCGGTGATATTGATTGCAGCGGCAGACATGATGATGCCAGCGTGGTGAGAGAATGGATGGCGGATGAGATGGGCGAGCGGAAGCCTCGAACAAGGAATTGATACAATACAGGACAAGAAATAGGAGGTGAGGTATCAAGGGCAGCAGCTCAGCACGAATATGAGGGAAGACGGTGTGGTCTGACTGGCTCTCTGCATTTGTACATGTAAGCATTAGGTAGGTAGATCGAATGAAGTCATCGGCTCGGGTGCTCGCAGGTGATTGGACACTAGACACGACTTTTGTATTCGACGTCCCGAACGCATGCCAACGCACGGCGCGGTTTATCGTGCTTTTGCTTGCGTTTTTTCTTTTTGCGCCGCGTCTAATGCAATGTAATATCGATATGCTCCCTCGACATGCCACACGGCGCTTGACGAAACCGAAAGAAATGCCGAGCAGATTAGAAGCCAGAGCGGACAGCACCCTCCAGCCATGCCACTCCAGCGACAACGCCATCCACGATTCTGACTCTGTTGCCATCATCGGGACCCAGCTCCTCCACGCACGCTTCTCGCACCATTGTGTCCATGCCGGCCATGCCTGCGCACCCGAGGCAGATGGCGCCTACCTTGCCCTTGCTGAGCAGCCTTTTCACGGCAGATTTCATGCGTCTTCGCACTTCCTCGGCCGGTGCGTCGTGCAGGTCGGTGGCGTTCAACCCGGTGGTTTCCACCCCTGCGAACCGCTTGCTGGCCTCCGATCCTGTGCCTAGAAAGTCTTCTACGGCTTCGGAGAGTATCTGCTCCCAGACCTTGCCCGTGCTTACGATGCCGAACTTCTCATCGGGATGGATGACCTGCAGGCTGTAGCCGACGCTGGCTTCGAAAATACCAGTAACGGGTTTGCGTGAGGATTTGACCGCCGACTCGCTCTTGAGTTGCGGCACTAGAGGGTGCTTAGAGTAGCATGCGACAAGGAACCCGTCGTGCTGATCGAGCACCTTTTGTAGCGCAGGCAAACAGTGCTTCACACTCTCAACGGCATCATCCTCGTTGTTGATGCTCTTGGGGCCTGACGGCGCAGTGAAGTACTCGTGTGCAGTCTACTGGCTGAAATTAGTCGTTGTGTGACGTTGGCGAGCAGTGATGAATAACATCTTTGAATTGAAGCGAATCTACCAGGGGCTTCAACCCGTCTGTCATGGACTGAGTTGAATTTGGCTGGATTACGAGAACGGAGCGCATTTTGTTGTATCGGATTGCCTGGCCCTGACGATATTCTCCCATCGAATAAGTAGGTGATATGGTCGTCGGTCGGGCTGCTGTTCTGTTCTGTTTGCTGCGGGGCCGAAGTGATGTGGTGGGGTGGTAGCGGTGGCTGGAGTGTTGGAGAGATTGCATGACGTCGCGATCGCTAAGTGGATAGAAACCATGGGGTTCCTGGAAGAAAACAAACATGAACAGATTCGATGGATCATCAACAAAGTTACGCCAATAATCGTTTGAGTACATCATTCACTACAACCGGGGACGCTGGGTTACGAAGCAGATGAGCTTGCGAATTGAGGCTTGTATTAGGCTACTTTGGCCATTGAAAATAAAGTAGCATGCTCTGTTTCTGAACAGGCCCTCCTGTTCCCACAAGGTAATAACTCCGTTCCGCGCGCCTGCTTTCTCCAAAAAGGGTATTAAACAAATTGAGAGCATGGAAGATGTGAAAAGTCGACACAGGCAACCGACACCGTCGCACCGACGCTCAACAAAGATGCTGGGAAGAGAGTAGGAATCGTTTTGTAGATGGGTGGGTATCGTAATATCGTGATGGAGAGGAGAAGATGGAAGGTGTACGGTGCTCAGCGGAAGCAGCTGAATCGTCCGCAGCTGAAGCGGAAGGGGGCACGGCGAACGCCATGGCGATCAGCTACGACACCACCGCCTGAAAGACTGTTAGATGTCTGCAATACTCAGAGCCACGTCTGCGTGCACTGTTTACATACCAGCATGACGGCCACCGAAGTGCTTGGTCCACATAAGAGGCATGTTGATTGTTGTTGATGATGGCTGGAGAAAGATTTGGTTATGGGGTTCGAGGTGATGGTTGCAAGAAAGATGGATCGACGCAAGGTGGTGGGTTGATCTTTATATAGGAGGCGGCTGTCTGGGCGGATAGATCAATTGACGGGAGGTAGACAAACAATAGCAACCTTGGTTGGAGAATGGCCATTACGTATGCCAAGCCAGCCTTGATTGAGTTTGTGTTCCCATGTTCCTGCTTCACAGTACTGAGCCACAAGTGTGGCGTTCAGACAGCATTTGAACCATACGCATCGTTTCACGACCAACGTGCCACAGGGTGGGAATTGGAGCTGATGTCATGACCTTTCGTTCCATGTTACAATCGAGGTTTCAGGTAGACATATGTCCAAATGTCATTCGATAGCTAGTGCTAGACAGCACTCGAATCAATGTTGATTTAATGAGCAGCATTGCGTACAGGCAAACACTGTATTCAATTCTTGATAAAGATCGATGAGAGGGAGAGAGTATGATCCCCGTACGTACGCCCAAAATCCGAACCAAACCCTACATTTATATAGTACAATAGCTTGAGCCGTCAGATCCATCTCTTCGATCACGGTGCTGGATGTACACTAGTACCAGCTCCATTCCATAGGAGTCCCAGCAGTCGCGCTCGACAACACCAGAATGCTTCATTTCAGCAATTGCAGATGTTCTCCGCAGAGAGTCGAGCATTTCGCGCGTGATATCATGGTCGCATCGGATGAGGCGATTACCGTCCGATGGCGCTTCCCGACTGTGCCATGGCCGCATTCTGCTCCTGGAATCTGTCGCCTAGCCTCTGCGAGCCCTTCATGTGCTTATCGACGCATCGCATGATGCAACCCTCTTCGCGCGAAGTGAGGGATTTGCTCTCGAAGCCGTTGACGCAGTTATCGAAGCATTGTTGAACGAGGTTGGAGTACATCTGATGCGGGTTGAGGTCAGCTTCCGTCGTAGGTCCAAAGGTAGACATAGGTTTCATGCGTCTAAAGCCGAATACGCACGTTCATGAATTCCTTCATTTGCTTCTTCTCCATGCGACCCTGGAGCTCACGTTGCTCGGCTGCTGAGAGACTGTAGCGTGGTTGTTAGCAGGGCCCAACGAGTGACGACAAGCAGGGGACGACGACGTACGAATCCATTGTGTAGATTGTGGAGAGGCAGGTAATGAGACTGCTTTCGACTGATGGCAGATGATGGACGGGATATTCTTTGGGGTTGAGATGGGATGGGACAGAATGTGCAGGTGTGTATTGCGTTGTGTTGCTCTCTCACCGTAGAGCTTTCCCCGGGCCCCAAATTTTTGGAAGCGAGCTAATGACACTCGGTGGTCTGTTCCCGACCTACGTAAGTACACAATCCTATGTACTTCTTTTAATCGATTGAAGTACTCAGAACCTTTGACTTCTTTCTAATAAAGACAACTTCCAATCTTCTAGTCTCTAACAGCAGATACCACACCGGATATAGGATACATACTTGGGTAGGTACTTGGTACTTGGTACCTAGGATTGAAATATACAAGAATAAGAATGTGTCACAAGAGAGAGCTGTAGCTACCTAGGTACATATGTACTTGAGAGCTTGGCTAGGGAATTGTAGTCCAAATTTCCATTACCTGCGCCACAGCAATAGGGCAGTTCCATCTCTCCAGGATTGTATTTTTGTTTGAATTGAAGCGGATGGTGTGGTTTGTCTGTTTCGAAGGACGGGAGACAGATAGATATGAAGGACGGCTGATATGCATCCGCCCACGCCAACACACACACGGTCGCATTGCCTGAATGAAGCAAGCAAGCAAGCAGGCAAACAAGATAGGCAAATATGCTTTTGGATGGCATAGAATGGATGGAGTCGCAAACGGTCAAGCGTGTGTTGCCCGTGTGGCTCAATGCTGCTGGTGATGATAATGACATGTCGCGTGGCGTCTAAATATACAACACAGCTCTTTCATCTGCCCGTTTCCAGGTGCCAAGTTTCAAAGTATTGGAAGCACCATGGTTGACGAGGTGGGAGGAATCGCATCTTGCCCGTTGCAGTAGCCGGAGTCCGTCACGGTGGTGGTCTCGACTCGGACAGACCGGATGACTGTACCTTTGCGTAGTTGTGCGTAGGTCTTGGAAGCAATCCGCTGCCAAGGCAGGCATCGATACCTAACGATGCCGGCAAGGAGGTGGTGTCATCCAGTTCCAGGCAGACGATTCAGACCATGCATTGATGCGTGCCGAATGGATTGAATCGTTGCTCGATGATCACCGGCCTGCTATGTCATTGCCGTCACCAAGCGCCTGTTTGGAGCATTTGCTGGCTGTGCTGCTGTGGCTGTTTTTTTGTGACCTTGCTTTAGTATGTCCCTATGCTTGTGGTGTAGTATGTAGCATGCTACATACCCTCTTCTTCTTTTCTCCCGTACCAGAGTCCACGCTTTCAGTCAAGAGAATCTCAATTGGAATAACAGTAACAAAAAGGTACGTACCTACTGTGCTTACATACAGAGTACCTTTACATGGCGAGCCTGTGGATTAGGCGGCAGACTAGCTGCGACTAACTGGCGGCCAGCCCTCTGCAGCCCCCTCCCTGCTGGCTGTCCCTGCTGGCAGCACAGTCCCCAGCCAAACGCCCATCGCGAGCTCTCTCCAGCGTCTGTCTCTAACCCCAACCGCCGCTCAGCACAGCAGAAAGCGAGCCTTCCCCCAGCCGCCCCGTCATATCCACCACCGCTGCTCTCCCGCTCCCTCGCTCCCTCGCTCGCTGCCTCGTCCTCTCTGCATGTTGCTATTGCTGTCATCCGCCAGCCCGCTCACCCGCCCACACACTCACAACACCCACATTGACTCCCACCACCCTCCTCCTGCTCCTCCTTTCCCGCCGCCGAGCGCTGCTTCTGCTTCCCCAGGCCTTCCACCCCCCCGCTTGTGCTCCCCCAAGACCTTGACCTCTCCCCACCCGCTCCAGCCTCACCAACTTAGCAAACCCACTCACTTACCTCCCTCTACCTTGCCAACCTCGTACTCGCGACACGCTGCGCTACGCTGGGAACGCTGCCTAGGCCCACCTGCGCCGCGCTGCACAACCCCGTCATCCATCTTCGACGCCTGGACAACCACCGCAATCACGACTTCAGCACCAGCTTCGCTCCCTCGCTCGAGTTCCGCAACGACGTCCGTCACCCGAGCCCGCGATGCCTCACGGCGCGCACAATCACGGCCCGCTGTCCACCCCGCGAGCTCGCAATGGAGAGCCCACCCCGGCTGCCGAGCCAGCGTCTGCTAAGCGCGACCTGACCTCGTGGTGGAAACAGTTCAGCAAGCGCAACATGAAGAAGGAGGAAGAGAAAGGTATGCCACATCGCTCCTCCGTCACAGCCCTGCCTTGGCTGGATTCCCTTGCTGTACACCCACGTCTGGTGGGTGCGTATGTGTGTGTGTGTCGCTGTGCTTTTCGTTGGCAACATGCATACTACCGCTTCAGCTTCAGCTTCAGCCTCACCGTACCTCGCAACAGGTCCACGTCGCTGTTTCCCCTTCTCCCCTGCTTGGCCTCTAGACAAAGCCCGCACGCTGACCCTTTCCTGTCTTTCCCCAGAACCTGAGCAACCTCGTGGCATCTTCGGCGTACCACTCATTACTAGCATTCCCTATGCGAATGTTGCCATATCCTTGTTCAAAGAGAGCGGTGAGAGCTACATATACGGCTATGTACCCATCGTCGTTGCAAAATGCGGCGTGTTCTTGAAGGAGAAAGGTCAGTAGATGAGCTCCCGCCGACACCTCACATCTTCCGCAGTACTAACCATCATGATAGCGACCGACGTGGAGGGCATCTTCCGCCTCGCAGGCTCCGAAAAGAGAATCAAGGAGCTAAAGGCCCAGTTCGATACTCCGCCGCGATGGGGTAAAGGCCTGGACTGGTCTGGCTACACCGTGCACGATGCTGCAAACATTCTTCGACGTTATTTCAACCAGCTCCCAGAGCCCATTATTCCCTTGCAATACTACGATAGATTCCGAGCACCTCTCCGAGGCCATCAGGCAGAAGCCGTCGGCCCCATCGAAGGCCAATCTCCATCTGTCGGCGGCTTTGATCCCGACGAAGCTGTGCACGTGTACCAACAGCTGATCAAGGACCTGCCTTCGCTCAACCGCCAACTTCTCCTTTACATTCTGGATTTGCTCGCCGTTTTCGCAGCCAAAGCCGAAAGCAACAAGATGACCACATCCAACCTGGCTGCCATCTTCCAGCCGGGTATCTTGTCACACCCCCAGCATGACATGTCTCCTCAAGACTATCGTCTGAGTCAAGATGTGCTCATCTTCTTGATTGACAATCAAGATCACTTTTTGATTGGTATGGAGGGCACAGAAGTTGATGAGGGAACCGCCAGACACGTTGAAAGCGGTCCATCCACCCCTCAAGCTAGGACGCCAACCACCCCGGTCCGAAATCAGTCCAGCCTGGGCCGATCCGCTTCGGCTGCGTCCAGCGCTGCTGCTGAAAGTGTGCGCAGGTTTGGAGACATACGCCGTAATGTTTCCACGTCATCACGACGATCCCGTCATTCTGGAGTTGTGCCGAGCCCCACTACGCCTTCGTACGCAACTACTGGTTCTGGAGTGCACCGAAGCAACACCGTGCCATCTAAGAGATCTCCGGCCCTTCCTGCGTCTCATTTCGCCAGGGAAAAGGCCTCGGACCCTCCTACTCCAAGCGCTGAGGACAAGGGTGCGCAGCTGCCAGCGGCCGTCACAACCACCCCTGCAAAGATTGCTGAAGCCCCGGAAACATCACAGCAAACCACAGCTCCTTCCAAGGTTTCAGCCAGCTCTACACAACGACCACAGACTCCTCCTGCGGAGCGTTCGGAGGCCGCCAAGCTTCAGCCACCAGCTCACATCGAGCTGCCAAAGCCAAACATTGCAACCCCAGGCCTGGAGATGCCCGGCGCGTTCATTCCCTCACCAGCAGTTGCGCCTCCAGCGAGCGAATTCCTCAATTCGGCCCCGTCTGCACAGGCAGGGCAGGCGTTGGTGCCACCCACTGAACATCAGCCACGACGTAGCCCGCAGACCACTCCCAAACATGAAAGATCTGAGTTCATGGAAGGCCCAATCGATACCGGAACTCCAGTGGAGCCTACGCCAGCAGTTCGTACTTTCACGCAGATCTTAAACAAAGTGTCTCCCGACGAAAAATCATCCGGACGCAAACCAAACAAGCTGCAAAAGAGGCGAGTACCGAGTGCCAACCCTAGTGCGCAGAGCTCTACACACTCCCTGAGCGGCCCGTACCCAACATCCCACGAGGCTCCACCTTCACCTCTGCCCCAATCGTCGATACCCCACTCCCACCCAGTTAGTTCAAAGGAACAACATCATGCCTATAACAGCGATACTGTGTCTTCAAGAAACTCTGGCACCACGCTAAAGCCCAGCATGTCTCCATCGGCATCTTTCCGGTCGCACTCCACTGCCACCGAATACTCCGAGCCAGAAGATTTTCCTAGGGAAGAGAAGAAGAGCTTCTGGAAGAGCCACAAACGAGCGGAGAGCAAAGCTACCCCCACCGCGAGTCAAACTGATCTTCATGGTTCCATCCCCAACGCGGACAAGAGTATGAGTTCCATTGGCAGCAGCTCTGGCATGGGAGGAGGGCGAAGAAGCCTTCAGTATGACTCTCACCAAAGCTCTGACCTTTCTGTAGCATATGGAGATGCCAAAGATCACAATGAGAGGAAGAATCCCTTTGATTGGTTCAACAAGAAGCGACAGGAGCACAAGGAACGCGCAGACAAGAGACAGCGGGCTAAAAGCCCTCCCGGTAGCACGAGCGATCTGAGCCAACCTCACGGCCTGACCAGACCGCGGGATGACCTGGCCGTCAGAGGACGGTCTATAGAGGTTCCAAGGCCGACAGAAAGCCAGGACTCGAGTGACGTTACGCCGACGGCAGTAACCCCCAACCCATTGAAGACGACCCCAAGTCCTCCGATGCAAGCCACTCAGGATACCGTTCCTCCACCTGCGGCAGCGCCTACCGAATCCTCTGGGGAGAAGCAAGCTGCTGCTGCTGAACCTTCACGTACTGAACCTTCACGTACTGAACCAGCAGCTACATTGCCTTCCACCCAGGAGCCAACCGTTAAGACGGACGATGCACAGACTGTTGTCCCAGCTGATGTGTCGACTGCCAAACCTGTGGAAGCGCCCGCTCCTGCTACACCAGTCAAGTCTCTTTTGGATATCGGGCTCGAAGCTTCCAAGGCCAAGGACGAGACAAAAGACGAGGCGAAAGCATCGAATCCGGCCAATTCATCAACGTGAGGAAATAGTAGTACTGGCTATCTAATGTTTGATACAAGCATGCAAATCATGTCTCTACATCGATCTTGACACTGGAACTTTGTGTGTTTGGAGAATCTTTTTGCAGTCTCGTGCACGGATTTCTGGTCTGCGCAGTGATTGGGTAGATTTTAACCCATTTGTGATTTGGACGTCACTCTAATCATGGGGAAGATGTCTATCGTCTTCGTCCCTTCTTTTTTTTCGCATCTGCGCATCTTTTTCGTTGCCTCTTGTCAGCTCGTGCTAATGTGGCGACGGAGTCGATTTGATGGCCCTTTTTATTTTGGTTCTTGTAAGAGGAACTTGCATATAGCAGGGAACGATTTTGACGTTTGGAACTAAGACTACAGAGAGTGGGTTTCTTTCCTTTCGTGCATCCTTTTCCAGGGAGCATGTGATGCCTATATGGAGGGTAGCCTTCACGGGTTGATGGGGGTGGGAATGTAGGAAGTAGTAGTTTAATGATTCAGGGTGGGAATGTAAGAAGTTTGAGAGCGCAAGGAGGAGAGCGCCACGTAATAAACATGCATGACGATGTCTGTACCCTCTTTTGCATCTATCCATCTGTCCGTACGTTCCGTTTTCCGTCAGCAGGATGGAGCTTATGTCATTTGGTCAATCTGCGTGGGCCATGCGACTAGGCTCACTCCCGCTGTTCGGTATCCACACCTCATCCACAAGCCACACCTAATAGATATTACATGCATACCGCTGGCAGGCCACTGCCTGTCCGCAACCCGGGGCCGCAGAAAGCTTATTGAACGATTTTCTCCCCATCAGCTCCACATCCCCTCTCTCTCTCTTCCTTCTATCTCATTTGCAGACTAGATAATAATGTCCCTTGGTTGATCGATTGATCCCTGATTAATCCCCTCAACTACGCGTCCCCTTTCTTTCTCCAGTGTCGGGACCTAAGATACCCTTCTCGCTCGCGTCGCGCGTTTCTTCTTTTCCAATACCCCTGTCAGTTCAGCCGCATTTCCGTTTCATGGCAGCGAGTCCGCAGCCACAATTATTAGTCTCGGAGACGATAGTACCGCAGCAACAACATGGAGTGAGCACCCAGCAGCAGCAGCAGCAGCAGCAGCAGCGATTACCAACCGACCCTGCATCAGAGTCGTCGTCGTCGTCATCGTCGAGCGGCCGTGGCAGTCAACAGCGGCAAGTCATATACGTTAGAGATGACGATGGCTTGCAGTATGTGCTGCCGTGGGAGATGGCGAGGGACTGGGGCGTAAGTGTGCAGCCCATTCGCTATTTCTCCTAAAGCCCGAGTGTTGACCAAGCCTGATTTGTATAGTCTTTCGAGGTGTTCATTAAAGATGTTTTCAGGAGGAAGGCATCTGATTGGTTTGAAGAGATAGAGAATGGAGAGTTTGAGGTTTTTCTGCAGAAGGATCCGAGGTCTATTGTGCTGCCTGGTATTTGGGCGCTTCTCGTGATGCCGGGGGATACGGTGGTGGTTTTTCCAAGGTCCAAAGTAGAGGGGATAGCTGTCTCGGATAGTCCTCGTGAAAACTGGGAGGAAAGTGGAGAGAGTGGAGAGAGTGGAGATGATGAGAACAGTCCACCCAGTGTGGTCAGTGTAAGCGACGAAAACAGCGTCGAAAACAGCGTCGAGATTGAAGACGATGAAGAGAGTGAAGAGGGTGGGCACGACGAGGGGAGCGAGGACAGCGAGCAAAGTGAAGAAACCGACTCTGAAGCCCCTCCTCTACCCGAACCTGTACGCTCGGTAATCCCACCAGTCGATGATGAGGGGAACAAGCTTTCCTTCATTGTTGACTCTAGCTGCTCGAGCCCGTCTCGGAAGCCTGGAAAGGAAGCAGGAGGAGACATTGAGATTTCTAGAAAGCCCGTCGGCCGACCGGTTATGAACACGGAGAATCTCAGGATCACGAGAGCTATGAGCGTTACCTCTGAAAGGCGAACCATGATTCAAATCCACACACTTCCTGGACCGGAGAGCTCTTCATTTTCTTCTAGCATTCATACTCGCTGGACCCATCTGTATGCAGACTGGCTAGATTGGGCACAGTTCAAGGTTTGTTCGACTTATATACCCCCAGACTCGTACCAGGAACTTTCTAATGGCATGCCAGAATGTCTGCCTCAGCACTCAAGGCATATCTGACCGCATGCAAAAAGTCATCTCGAAATTGTTCTTGAGAATCGAAAAGGAGAGGCTCAAAGCTTACGTGGATGGAATGTTTGTGGAGCCAGGAACAACATTGCGAGCCGATGACTCTGACCACAATGACCCTCAATCCGTCATATTCTCCTGTATTCCTTATTTTGAACTGCAAAAATCTCTCCCGACCGCGTCAGCGAGATCGGACAACTTGCATCCCTCGCGCACTTTGATGCAGGCCTACTATCCCTACGAGCCAGTTCAGGATAGAGACAACGAGCAAGCTTTTAGGAAATTTGGCAACACGCGAAGCGGTAGCTTGGTCCATATACCGTCTATGTGGATGATGAATATTGGTACGTCTTCCAGATTCAACGTTGCACACCGTTCTGCAGCTCCGGGAAAGCACTGAAACACAATCACTACAACTATACTGACCTTATGCTCCTTTCATCTAGGCTCGCACGCTGTAGTGACTTGTGGATATCGACCCTTGGCTGTCGAATTCGTCAAGTCCATAGAAGTAATGCCGGAAGATCCGAAACTGCTCAGCATGGATATGCATGAAAACAAATTAACGGCAATCAGGCTTACGGAATGGAGCAATCGCGTCCTCATCTACCAGCGCGATGAATGTCGAACTTATTTCGAGATGGAGCGGAAGCTGCGTGAGCTGAAATTTTCCTCCGGGAACGCCGAGAACAGTATACAGCTGCTCACTAACACGCAGAAGGGGCCCAGAAGAATCACTCCTTTGGTTTGGCCGTACCTGATCACACAGAAGAATGTCATCTTTATTGATGTCTTCGTCACTACTGAGGCCAAACTGAAAGAGATCGGGCAAGAAATGACACTTGAAGATCTGCCATCATCCGAACCCGCTGTATTCGCACAGAACACATGGATTCCACCCTTCTTCCAATGGCCTGCGTCCAGGGTGGACGAAAAGTCTCCATTAGACTTGAAGCCGATGAATGCACAGCAAACGTCACGTTGTTTGGAGCACGTTGAGAAAGCCATGTTCGATCAGGGTTTGCTCAAAGGTCAAACAATTAGCGCGGTTGATGAGACGTTTACATCATCCAAGTATTACGATGAACTTCCCGAAGTCGATTACGATGGCTTTTTAGTGTTGCTAGCCCCAACTCTTCGGGCTGCGAGGATATGGGAAGAGAAGACCTCCTATGGTTCGTTTCATGAAAAGGTTGTGGGTGAATGTTGCTCGAAGCTTGCACACGAGATTAGCGACTTTGTAAACGTCGTTCGCGGTACACTCAAGCTCTTCGTATCCGACATGAACCAAAGTATCTTGTTGAGAAAATTGTGGGGTGCCATGTCGAACCTCCTCCATATCGCCAAACGAACGGTCGAGATGCGGGCTTGCGCGTCTGATCAGCAAGAATACCTTGATCCTGATTGGGAACTTCCGGTGTCCGGCACACGCTTGTGGCACATTCGTTCTCCTAAGAGACGAGACGGATCCGCCGTGCTCGTTCCTGAGGGCAAGGAGGCGTTTGCGAGATCTATCCGAAAGTGTCGTAAATGCCGGCACAAATCTTTCGACGACCCCAATGCAGCGGTTGAACATCTACGCAGCATTCATTTGGGGGAAGAAGTCGCGAACACAGCTCTTGCAGGTCGCGAGATCCAGCCAGATGCGCAAGAGAACAAATACCTAAGAGACTGGGTCTATAACGAAGACCAGTGGATCGTCGAGTCTACGGTTCAAGGGGCTGTTGAGATTCTTTCTTACTCCACCAAAGAAGCCCGAAATCTTTGCAAACTTCTCCAAGAGCTCGCCGATGGGGTGCGCAACGAGGATGGTGGACTTTCGTCGCTATACACGTTTCCACGAAAACTTCTTCCAACCTTTCATAAGTTGGTGGTACTGTACTTTGCCGTGGAACGCAGCTTGCATTTCATTGAGAAGCGCAGAAAGACCGAGCAAGACTCTGATATGCGTGAGGAAGGTACAAACCAGGAGCAGCTCGCAGATAATTCCGAAATACTACGTCGTTTCAGCGAGGGCGTGAAAGCTCTTTTGTTACTGGCTCGCGAGGATCTATGCAATATGGCGCGGTCCGCTATTCCAAAACCCATCGAGGAACGTTTGGCTTTTGGGTCTGAGTATATTTGTAGTTGGCTGATGAGACGGTTGATCGTCAAGCCTCTCGACAGGAGCATGTCTATAGCCGACATGTATCGCGAGTATCTCTCAACCATAGTACGTACAGCCTTAACCTTAAATATCCTACCAAAACTGCATACTGACTTCGCTTAGCAATTCCAAGTCAATCATCGTCCAGGAAAACGTCTTCTTCGCTCTATCAAGCTCGTCCAGGAAGAAATCATGATACTGGCGAAAGTCACATCCTGGCAAGCTCGATTGGTTGCAAACTACTCGAAAGTGCTAGATGATGACACCTATCCTACTCTGCTTCCTTCCCGTCGTGCCATGTTTCCCTTTGAACGACTACTTCTTGATTCGTGCTCTGATAGTATTGCACTGACGAGCGAAGAACTTGCCGATCAATTCGACAGATGCGGTCCCCTTTCCGACAGCACCAAACAAAGCGCCGAAATCAACGAAGAAGACCATGGAAAGGCCATATTCGTGTTCACAGTCGTCACTGCCATCTTTCTCCCGCTATCGTTCATCACATCCTACCTGGGCATGAACACTTCGGATATCCGAGACATGGAGAACAGCCAAGCACTCTTCTGGCAAATCGCCGCGCCCCTGACGGTGGCCGTGATGGGCAGCGTCCTCTTCATCGCGTACAACGGCGACGAAATCCGTGACAACATCTCATCGACATACCGCAACCTGACGGGAAAGCAAACCCGAATCACCCCCACGCGCGGCAGCATCTCAATCATCCAGCGCAAGCGTGCTGCCCAGGCAACTCTATCCTCCGACACCACCTCATCAACAGACATGTCAATGAGCCTAGCAGACGAAGCAGAATACGCAACCCCGCGCCCAGCATGGCCCGAATCCACCTCCATCGACAAAACCTACGCCCCCCCTCCTCCCCCAACCACCACAGTCTACAACGAAATCATATCCGTTGACCCCGACCTCCGCACCCGCTCTCCCACCCGCCTGCTCCGCGCCCAACCCAGGTCTGAGCCCATCAGACCACGCGTGCGACTCGCTGCCTCCGCCCCTCCCCCTCCGTCTTCAAGATACACACGACCCGCAACGACCCGTCCCGTCCAATACGAAAGCAGCGCGCGCCCCCAACCTCCACCACCTACGTACCCGCACCCGCCCTCCTACGAACCCACGCAGATGCGCCTCCATCGGAAATTTCTGGCCCCCGAGACGCTGGCGCACTACGCTCTATCCTACGACGTCGATCCCAAGGACGACAACTTCATTGTGGTCAGGCAGCCCCTCGACCAAGCTACCATGGCCGTGCTGTTTGCGCATACGCGCCAGCTTCGCGAGCGGGAGAGAGCTGAGCGGGGGCATGGGAGAGGAGTTTCGGGCCGCGTCGTCACGAGGGAGTATTATGGTGGGGATGAATGGTATGGGAGAGGGTATGGAGGTGGTTATGGAGATGTAGATGCAGGTGTAGAAGATGGGTATTTGTGGGTTACTAAGGATGCTGCTGGGGCGAGGGGTGGGGGGGATGGCGTACGCGAGAGAGAGGGTGGTGGTGGGGTTAGATATGGGAGGAGGAGTGAGAGGGTGGGGACTACTGTGAGGGCGAGAAGGCGGTAGTTGTGTATTTGCATGTGCATGTTGTACGAGTGTATGCTTCCTCTTCTTCTTGCTCAGCTCAAGCGACCGCAGTCGATGAACTACATGTGTAAACACGAGTCTAGTCTAACCATTTTCTCTACTTAGATAGCAAGGACACATAAAAAAGTCAAAACGTCCGATGTGGAGTCGGAAAAAAAGAAACTAGACTTTAATTTCACGCCCATTCTTGTCTTAACAGTAAAGCTTTACGTTATCTATGTGTGTGTGTTCTTTATTTTGTTTTCCGTTTTCCGTTTTTATTTTAGCCCAAGATTCCATCAATCTATGAATCTAGTGGGGAGGGTTGTGGTCAAAATTAAATGCGCCGCCGTCAACTCATATAAAGTACTAACTTTTTTTTAATGCAAAATCTAAAAAAAAAAAGATCGGAAAATTGGTCTACTTAGAGATGCGAGGGATTACAAATTATAAAGGAAATAGTTGCCTATACATCAGCTGCTCTAAAGCATATAGAGGGCAAACACATGAGAGAGAGAGAGAAAAGTTTAATTAAGAATAAAAACAAATGCCTTGTCAACACCCGTGTACATTGGCTGCTCAGAACATCTAGTGGACACCAAGAACACATAGCGAGAGAGGAAATAAAGAAGAGAAAAATGTAATTAAGAATAATAACGAGTGCCCTAGAAAAGAAGAATCCCTGGTAGGAGAGGGTATATACCGTATACCATCAGCCTGTGAAAACCTGCGAATTGCCCGTGCTTTTTTGTTGTTGTGCGCCATGCATGGTATGAATCCAACCCGACCATATCAATTGTGCCCTGATCCGCGGAGAATGAAATGGAGATGGAAAAGAAAAGAAAAGAAAAGAAAAGTTCCAAAGTGCTAACCATACCGTCGCTAAGCTGATGAGAGTGAGAATGAGAATAATGAAGAAAGAAGAGAAAGGACAAAAAGTAAAACAAAGTTGGAGGCCGTGATGGAACGAAACAATCCGGATGACCGAAACAAAAGAGCAACCCGCCCCTCGAGCGCCTTGATAAACCGATGATTGTACTCACTTCACCGGTGGAACTTCTGCAACGGTCGAGTTTTGCACAATTCGCTGTGCTTCGGGGTTCCCGGAGGAAGGCATGGGAGCCTCTGCAGTCTTCTTGCTCGACGAAACTTCGTTGGTGGTCGAGCCAGATGACTTCTCTACGGCAGCGCGCTCCCGCTCCGCGCGTTCCTTTTGCAACATCTTCAGTGCCGCACCAGCCTCGTCAAGAGGGATACGGGGGCTCGGTTGGCCGCGTGAAAAGCTTCCACGTCGCGAGTTCGCCTGACTGGGTGCTTTTGACGTGGGTTTTGACTGCACGTAGACACTTGTTGCGCGGCTGGACGGCATGCTCTGCCCATCGCGAGTGCTTCCAGGGCCAGCTTTGTACTCTGTACTTCTCGATTCTTGGCTGTGGCGTCGTACAACCTGCTCGCGATCGAAGGAGTTTTGGCGAGATTGCGCGCGGGATCCGGGGTGAGAGCGCTGGTATACTGGGTCGTCGCGTCTCAGCATGTGTCTGAATTGCTGGGTGCGCGTGTCATAGAACCACAGGCGATAGGGTCCAGGTATGAACTCGCCATTTTCGTCCCAGCAATTGACCCAGGACACTTCGTCGTCGAGGCGGAAGAAGCCCACATGAAGTAGCTTGGCGCCCTGTGAGCTTTCGATGTCACCGTGTTTCTTGCGGACATCGTAATCTGGCGAAAGGAGGAAACGCTTGAGGACCTTTGAATATCGCACTGCGATGGGTGGTTGCACCTTAATGGTATCCACTGAGGATGCGGTCTCCTTGATGGAGAGGACAGGCCCGCCTTCTTTGCTATCGTCACTTGCATCTTGGTCCGTGGCGGAGATTTTGTCTTTCTCTATGAGATACCATCCACGGCCGGGAATGTACTCATAGAGTCCTGGCACAGGCTCGCTCCATCGCTCTGTTTTCCGCTGTGGCTTCTCGATCTTGCTCTGGCGGAACCACTTCTTTGGTTGGAAGAGTGTCTGCGTAGCGACGAATAGATTTGGCGTCATCTTGAAGAGCGTTGCTCTTCAAAGTAGTCAACTTGAATTTGGAAAGGTGGAGTGAAGACGCCGAAGTTGATTGTTAGTGGCGGTGTTGGAATCTGTGTGCGCTTGTTTTTTATACCCTTCTATGACTAAAGGTCAAGAGCGGCGAATGTGTGTGAGGTGATGTGTTGGTAAAGTGTTGCTCACGATTCGCGCACAATTGGCGATGGCACAAGACACACCAGCCGACTGGATATCTTGGCGCGAGCAGTTGGAAAGATGGAAAAAGTAGAAAGATGAGCGAACGGGGTATATTACACAACTGCAGATGAGAATTTTATTGGTTCGGGCGAAGATCTGGGCCGAGTTAAAGCGAGTGGCGAGATGGCCACACGGACGGAGGCAGCGAAGGCAGTAGGTTGGTGGGAGAAAAGGCTTGCTTTCCTGCAGCTGTTGTCGCTGCAAAAACCGAACAAGGAAGCGAGGATGAAAAGGAAAAATTGTAGGTCTAAAAAAAGTCTTATGATGGCGGGAAAATTGGAAATAGAATTGGATTCGTCGTCAGGGGGAAAGGCGCTGTCTAGTTTCTCTGGCAGGCGTGCGTGCGGGAGCTAAAATAGTTTTGGAGCAACGGGCGAGGCTTCCCATGTGCCTGGCTGGTGAATGACGGTCGCTTGGGTGCCTCCATCAGCATTTAAACCGTGGGAAAGCATAAGCTGCTGTGAGCTCGGGCAGGCAGAGGGGGAATGGAGAATGCTGGGGGCCGATGTGATGCAACAGCCGTCACCCAGAACCAGGCGGCACCCGCGAATCCATGAATCAATGTCTTCATGACTGGCCCTGTGCAGTCACCATCAGCTACCATTCGCCGTCGCTTCACCTCTTGTGGCCGTCATCACATGCAAGACGCTCTTGGTATGTCGTGATATCAATCCTTTGCGGGCCAACAGTGGTGGTTGCGCTTCCCGTTTGCTCCATGTTTTGGTTGCTCCGCTTCAGAAAGGTACACAGCGCCTTGTCCCTGTCGGCGATAAAGCCAGCATGGCAACCAATAAGACGGGGGACGTGGTCCTCGTGGGTGAGAGGGTAGATAAGCGGCTCTGGAGGCCAGTGGGTAAAGTGAGGTCGTCTTCCCGTTTCATCCAGAGAGCGGTGTACAGTGGATGGGTGAGGGAGCATCGATGGTGTTGAGGCGTGAGCGGGCGTGCGTTCGCGGAATCGGGACGGCCGGGGGACGTGCGCACCACCACCAGCAAGGGATGGCAGGCTGAAGACGCAGAATCAGATAGGATAAACAAACCAACATTGATAATAATGTCATCAATAACAACGCCAAAACAAACACCACTCTCGTCTCGTCGCCCGATCCTTCCAATCATTCGACGTCTTGGCGTGGCCGGAACCACTCATCCCATACATATGGGCCTTTTCAGCTCCCCTTCAGTGTACATTCATGTCGTGTGCAACCTCAAGCACCTCCATGCATCTTGTACACTGGCGGTACGAACTTTACGTCTACCCGTACTTGGCTGATAAAGCTTGAATGCACCTATTGCTGTACTCACACACCTTCTGTAGACCGCAACTTACCGTCCTACACACACCCTCCACCTCATCCCAACTGTGGCACACCCACAAGACGTGAGTAGAGGATACAAATGCACGTACAAGTAGGGAATTTTTCAATCATATAACATATTCTAAGCACACTTCTCAGCACCGCAGTCTTTCGTAATCACAGTCATCCGAGATAAACATGCTGTGATACTCTCGGAAGCATCACTGCTGAGCAATCTAGTAACCCTTGAAAACCCAACTACTGAGTATTAACCCATACGCATTCAGTGCTGTGCGTTTGCTCTCCCTGCAATACCTACATCTTGATGTTCCAGGCCGCCCCAGGTCGGCAGATGGGAATACCCAGATGCTGTACCCACAAACCTTTACAGTTGGTAAACGTGTGATGCACTGTATCCTATAATAACCTTTGCCTTGCCCGACTGATATCCGCGGTTGATGCGAAAGCTCTGCGAACAAGCGTTGGCCGGCACTCGCTCCACGCCACACCTTCACAACCTTCACGCCATTGTCGACGCCGTTCGAGCCGAAATGCCGTGAATCTGCAGGATATGAATGTACAAATAAGACAAGGGTGATTTTCCAATATTCAGACCCGAATCTTGGCCCCGTGGTTATGGTCTCAACTTTCCACACTCAAATAACAATTGTCATTGCAATCAAGGATCCACCCCATGCATAGTGTTGCAAGAGCAGCTGTTGGCCATCTTCAACATGGTGAAATAGGTGACGGGCACACGCAACATCATCCAATATAAAGCCTCACATGCAGCCAGGAACGCCATGCCCAAAGACCATGAATTGTTCATATTCGCATTGCTTAATCCTAACGCACGCTCGCTCACTCACGAGCCATGACCTCATATCCGTAGATTTCGTTGGACGTGTGCAATGATTTTGGTTTGGATACATGGCCCTAGTCAAAAGAGATCAGAACCGGCGGAAAAGCCACATCCCATTTGCCGTGCCGTAAGCCCGAGACGCCGTGTATGCCCCCGTGCTGTGCCATCATCAATCAACCGTTCCTCTATGACTCTGTCTTGATCCTGGCGTTGCCGTTCGTGACCTTGACGCCCAACTGCTTGGCCTTGGCAACGATTTCGACGCGCTTTCGTGCTGATACGGCGTGGGAGATCCTGTTTCACTGTTAGGCTTGGGTTCCGTGGAAGTAATCCGTGGGTCATGCGTACTCAGCGGCGAAAGACTGGTTGTGCATCAAGAGGAGGTCAACATCGCGAGCTAATCATTGTCAGTTTTCCAGTTCATCACCCTTCTGCGGCGCTCATTGCATACCGTTGTGGACGAGGAAGGCCTTGTGGCCGCTGGGAGCGAGGTGACGGGTCTTCTTGTTGGAGCCGTATCCGATCTGTAAATCGCCAATTCGTCAGCCATGCGACTCTTGAATTTTGCTACCCCTACTGCTCGCTGGGATTGATGCTGTGAATCGTACCTTGGGCATAGCGGCCTGGCCCTTGAACCGCCTACGGACGCGGTTGTCGATACCCTTGGGCTTCCTCCATGATGGGTCGACGCCTATCCATTGTCAGAATCCCTCCTATTCGCGATTGTATTGGCTTAATTCTCACACTTGAAGCGATCCGACTGGTGGCGGTTGAAGCGCTTGGTGTCTGCACGCAGCGATGTCAGTTGCGAAATTTCGATATCAATGTAGGAGGGAGCGTACGCTTCTTGACGATAGGGACGTGCTTCTTTGCGGCAACCATCTTTCGAATCGTCAGTATTATACGGATTAGGTCGGGTAAATCGTTGTACGCACTTTGTCGGCTTGTGGTGGCTGTCTCGACGGTTTGACGTTGGAGTTCTTCGAAAGTGAAATTCTGTGAAGCCCCGATGGTGGGCTGGGCTGCCAAGTGCGCTAACACAAGCGAGACATGGCGGCCAATCAGCAAGCGCAATCTGACCAACACCACCTGGCACTCTTCTTCCACCCAACATCAGATTGTTACAGAATCATCTTCAAGCGCGGACAGGTTTCTCCAACCTCACAAACTGAATTGATCTCAGGAAGAAGGTTATGATTCCCAAGATCGTAAACAAACCGTGCCCTGGAGCGTCGCAACAATGCCTCATCAATTACTCAGGTTCACAGGTAGGCACCTCTCTTCTGTCTCAATGAAATTTTGAACAAATCGCCGCGTATAGGCCCATGTGAATAAAACTTCGAGCAAGACAATGGGATCACAACACCGCTGAGTTTATTGCCGGTGCTTCGTCCAAATTCCCGAATGCGGTATGGACAGCATCCTCATATGCGCCAATGTATATTGTGTCTGGGGATTGGATATATCCAAAGCGTTTGACACGCCGACTGTACTGTCACGGCCTCTCAGCGGCCACACAAGTTGCATTTGACATCATATATCACTCAAATGTTTAGAAAGATGTTTCTCGATGGATAGCTCATGCGGGAGAGCTAGACATGCACACACCAAACGGCCACCAAGCATAGCTGGGGCACGAGTCGGGTCCCACGGAACGCAGCTCAAGGGCGGAAGGCCCGGTATCGACTATCATTCTCTCACAGTTGAGCTGCACCAAAAAGTCTGGGGAACTGTAATTGTGATATTTTCGACCAATAGGTTCTCACGGATTCCTACCGACGCCTGAAACGACATAAGGCCGAGAGAATACCCCATTGAGGTTGTTGGTAATCCTATCTGGGCTTGGGCTTGATAACATGGTCGAACATGTCTTGAACGTTTCATGGGTGTAAGTGTTCCATCTACGGGCCTCGTCAGTCAGACCAGCATCGAGATGCGCTGATCATCACCTATACCAGCAGAGTGATTAGTGAAGATATGCTATTAATACGAGCTGCCATCACCCTCGCCATTGAATCTCTCTTGTATCTCCATCATTTTTCTGTTTCCAGCTATATTTCTTTTGTTGCAATGGACATCGCTGCGAGTGTTTACAGGGAAGCAAACGTCGATGTACCACCACGGCCCGACATATATATCGATGAGGAAGCCGAATTGAAGAACCAGAAACCTTGCCCTTTCACTAAACCACGCCTGCTAGAATGTGTTGCTGAAGGTGTAGAAGACGAATCCTCCCTGCAGCCTGCATCCGCGGAAGAATCTCTCAGACGAAAGAAGCATGAATCATACGACCTTTCTGGTAGTGTTTTTTTAGTTACCCAGAACGGCAAAACTCTCAATCTTCCAGTCGCGTCCGACAGTGAACACGATCCTCTCAATTGGAGTCGATGGAAATTCGCTGGTGCATTTCTGGCCTTAGTGTGGTTTAGTTCTTTCTCCGCAACAAGCACTCAGGCCGCCGCCTTGATGATGCCGGGCATTGCGCGGGATCTCGGTCAAGTGGTGTGTATATACTTCCCTCTATCCACATAACCGAATACACTCGCTCACACAGTTTGAGCAGAAAAATGGACCATGGACCATGGAGACGCTTGTCACTGCACCCACTCTCTTCATGGGTATCGGGGCTTTCTTCTGGGTACCGTTGAGCTTAGCTCTGGGCCGACGCCCTGCTTTTCTTCTGGCCACATCCATGAACTTTGCTGCCACCCTCGCCGCTGCTTATTCCGGAACATTCAATGAACTTCTTGGCTGCATCTGTTTGATGGGCTTCAGTGAAGGATTCGGGCTTTCAGTGGTAAGTACTCATGTAAAATACGGCTATGGATGTAGTGGCAGCAAGGGTTCCGGGCTGACTGATCCCCAGACAACCCTTATGGTCATCGACATGACCTACATCCATCAACGCATGCACGCGATCGCATGCTTATGGGCATTGAACGGGTTCTTCGCACCTGGCTTCTCAGCAGTCGTTCCATCGTTATCGGGGCACGGCCTGGACTGGCGGGCCTTCTACCGTACATGGTCACTTCTGGCAGGCATTGCTGTTGTTCTAGCATATCTTCTTGGTCGAGAGTCTTACTTCAAGCGACCTACGGTAGCCTTTAACGGCCTCATCCTGCTTCAAACGGCTACTGAGAAGCTCACTGTTCATGAAGATCAAGACAAAGACTCTGAACTTTACCGCGATCTCCCAGAGTTCCCCTTCGACAATCCAGACAAACAAACCATCCTTCAACGCATTGGTCTGGCACGCTCGGTATTTGCTTCCTTCAAATCTTCAGGAAGATGTGTCCTTCAGATAATGTTCTGCATTGCCAACCCTTTACTCTTCTGGGTTTTCATCGCTGCTTCATTCAATTTTGCCGGAATGATGTTCATTGGTGCCACCTTCCCTCGCATCCTCAGCGCACCCCCTTATCTCCTATCCCCCTACATCATCACCAATGTGAACCTTGCATCAGCTTGCGGCTCCTTTCTCAGCTACGTCTTTGGCGGGTGTGTCACCGCCAACTGTCTCAAGCGTCTCGCAAAGCGCAACAACGGTGTGCGCGAAGCCGAGCACTATCTAATATGCTTCATTCCCGCCGTCATCACCGGCGGCCTCAGCACACTCATCTACGGTCTAGCTGTAAATCACACATGGAACATCGCCGCATACTACCTCGCATATGGCCTCAACGGCTTCTCCTGGATCTCTATATCAGTGGGCATCATATTGTGGGTCACGGAAGCGTTCCCCCGGTGGGCCGCTCCCGCTATTGCTGCCGTCAACGGAGGATGCTATCTCTTGAGCTTCTCAATGAGCTTCGCCCTCGTGCCTTGGATTGAAAGGTATGGATACCTGACGGTCGGGATCCACCTGATGGTTTTGCAACTCGTTGGAGGGCTTATCGCTGTGCCAATTGCTTTCTGGGGCAAGAATGCACGGCAAGTCATTCACGGCCGATGGGCTAATGAGAGAAGTGGCGCACTGAGGCCGTTGTAATCTCTCTTCAGCTTTGATTCCACAGTCTCGTACGGCGACCTCGTTCATTTCTTTTCCTTTGTTTTCTTCTATTTCTCCTTCTAGCGTTCAGGCGTTTGAGCATGGTTGTACCTTCCTTGTTCTCAATATGAAAATGGCGCTATTTATTTTTCAAGATTTTCAGCGAAGCGGTTGCGGGATTATTGGGCACGATCAGCAGTGTGTATGAGATAAAGTATTTTTGGTGTTCACGCGGACTGTCATTATTACCTTTCTATGTTGGATTACGGCATTCGACAGTTTTTTTTAGTTTAATTTTCTATTTAATGGATTCTACTTCTCAATCACGCCCTGTTCACGTGTCAAGATCACGTGTCAAGATCACGCGTTTCTACAACCACAAGAACTAGAGAATAGGATGTCACCGAGTTATTTTCTCGGGACTCTTGTAACAATATCTTCCTATGCCACCTATGAGATGAAGCTGGGATTCTAGATCAAAATCCTAGAATAAAAGTTCACTGCTGATTCATCTATCTAAAGCTTGTTCTGCTATAGACGCCCAAAGCGGCTTGATAATAAGCCGAAGGCCTGTTATTTTTCCTCATTTTTCTTTTCAGATTTCAAATCTGCTCTGATCAGTAATCTAAGGAGCGGAAATGGTGCTGAGATGTATGCAATATCACTACATCCAACAGAGGGATCATTTGACTGCATCAAAATCTACGTGAAGCGACAGTCGTTTCATATCCTGTCCTCCACGTTGGCTCAAAAGAACATCGGGATCACGCATTGAAATCCTCCCAGGCACTATTCCCCTCGCTGGCCCGTCAAATCCTACATATTTTCTAATCAAACACGTGTATTGAAGTCATGACCGCGAATTCCATCTAACATCCAAAGAGCTGATGAGATGTTTTAGACTAATCAGATTGGCCTTCATCCTCGAATCAAGAATGTTAGACACGACAAAAACACATCTTTTCCAGTACAGAGGAGTGTGCCTAAGCAGTTGATATTCCGGAACAACAGAGTAACTACATTATCATCTACGAGTAGTGTTGTGATAACGGCTCAAGGTTCTATATCTTCACGGTAGATGGGAGTAGTATTTATAATTAGTAGCAAACCGCATCTTGTCTTAGCACGCATGCTATCATAGTTGTAAACACGGATATTAACAGTGTGCGCGCCCCTAGCCACTGGCGTTGCCTTGTTTGGGTTGGCGTGATGAACAACAGCTACAACTTCATAGCTGCAGGCAAAGGCATTGGCGCCTTTCAAGTTTTAGAGGAGTAGATGCCAAAAGTGTATTTAAGCTAGGGAAAGCTGCACTGGAAGTCTTAAGAGTATGATGTTGTTGTCGAAATCCATATAGCAGAGAAATCAAAAGAAAAAATTATGCATAGCTTTCGGTAATCTTTATCCCATATGTTGAGTCACCTAAGTGCGTGGGGCGACTAAAGCTCGACAGGCTCATCATCCTTCTTCTTCGTAACGTTGACGAGAGTTTTAGCAAAGGTACGACAATTGTTGGTAAACAGATTGTACGGCTTTTCCTTAGCAAGCAATTGGTCGCCTGTTAACGGCAATGTTAGCGATAGTAAACATGCAATGGAAGATAAGGATAATGACCTTTTTGGATAAAGTGCTCAGGATTTGCATATTGCAAATCCGCCTCGCCCTTCAGCTTGTAATTTCCGTTCCATTTCGCGCATGGGACGTATTCGACTCCATCGGTGTCACACACGCCTCCACTAGAGCTTCCGCAGAAGAAACTGGCCAGTGCATGCCTCTCCACTCCACTCGAAGCGCCGCCATTTGCCTTGACCAGCTGTTGAGCGGTTGCTTCCATTGCTGGTTGGCAGTCGATCATCTTGATCTCGCCAATGATAACAGTATGATGAACTCCTTGCGAGAGGAGAAAGACATATGCCTTTCCCATTTCTAACGCCTTTCCCTTGGCCACCTTTTTAGCCTTTTCGTAGTTATCATACATGTCCTGGATCTGCTCGGGAGTTGGGGCCTTTCGGCGACTCTCGAGCGTTTTACCAGACTTGCTTGACTTCGAGTTGGAGTTCTTTTTGCATGCTGAAGCCTGAGCTGCAGTTCCTGTTGCCGAGCTCACAGAAGTTTTCGAGGATGTTATTGAGGCTTTCGTGGATAGTTTTGAGGAGGCTGCTGTGGTTTTGGTTGACTTTCCAGACGTCTTAGTAGATTTTGCCGTTGATTTTGCCAATGTTGTAGGAGCCTTTGTTGACTTAGCGGTTGTTTTGGCGGGTTTGGTTGTCTTTTTAGTTGTTTTGGCTGTGGTTTTGGTTGATTTGGCTGTAGTTTTGCCTTTCTTCTTTTTCTTTCCTCCCAAAGGTTCTCTCTTTTCAATTTCAACCAGGTCACCCTGCACAGGGTTCCAGAACTTGACGGACCCTGCTTCGCTGACAGTCCTTTCGTCTAACTGCAGCAAACCATCTCGACTTGAAAACAATTAGAAATATTCAGCCAAGTTTTTCCAGATATCTCTGACTCACCGTGTCCCAGGCGACACAAGAGGGTTACTGAAGACCGTTAAGGAACTCGCTAGTAGGAGCGCGAGTGTGCCGACCTTCATTTTAAGTACTGTACTTCTTGTTTTAGAATTATATTTCTGATTGGCTGGGTATGTATCACACTGGAGGGAACGACAGACTACGAATCGATTGAAAGAGTGGAAGGTCGAGATTGTAAATGATCGACGATGAAAACGAGTGTAAGAATCAACGAACGAATTGATGTAGAACGAAGGAAAGAAATGGAGTGCTACAGTTTCAAGAAAGATAAATTATGATATTTAAACAGTCGATCACGTACGCCAACAATTTTGGTAAGTAAGAAGGACTTTCAGCTCATGGTAAGTGCACCATGAGTCCGAGATCAGGTGTGAAAAGAAGGACAACCAACCCAATTATTCGAGGAGTCCGAGACACAAGTTGATAAGTCGTTCAACTAGATGTGTATGAGTCGGTAGAATGATTGAGAAAAACTAGTATCCATTGGGTTTCAAATCCGTGCTGCGCCTTACGATCACATACGCGAGTACTCAGGCCTCCACTCGCCTCAAGCAACATCGCGCAATCCGGCTCTGGTATCCGGGTCTAATGTTTGGAGTATCTGCTACGCCTACGGACTATACTCATGATAAACTGCTAGGCGGCCTAACCTTTTGGATCTTAAATTTTGGACGAACTACTGTGCCTCCAGAAGCAATATTTAGGCCCCCAAAGTGTCGTAGCCCTCAGTTCCAGTGCGGGCAAAATTCGCCGTGAACATTGAACGGACTTCGTATAATTGAGGTTGATTCTCTGTCATGTTCAGATATGCTGTGCCGCTGGACTTTTGTTTGATTAACCCTGCGCACAGAAGTAGCGAATAATTTTTATACACTCGCACGGCAGTAATTCGTCATTATCTTCTTTCAAAGGGATATCAAACCGTTGCATAAAAGAACAACTCGTTTGTACCGCATTCAATTTTTGACCATTATTATTCTTTTCACAAGGACTGTCTGCCGTGGTCTCGCGTTCAAGAACAGTGCAATGCGACGCTTAGCTACCCGTCTCGGTATTGCTCGTCCATCATTCGATCAATGGTGTAGTACAGTAACGATAGGTACAGTCCAACGGTGCAAATTCGATACTTTTGCTAATAAGCATGTCCAGAGGAGGTCCATGAGATGACGACCGAACTTATGGTATCGGGGGTCCCCAACGACGTACCATGCATCTTCACATCTGCAGAACTGGCATTGCTCAAGCAGTTGCTAGGAACATTCTCTATAGATAAATCCGGTGAACTCAGCATGGACGACATATATTCTCATATTTATCAAAACCATCCGTCTTTGCGAACGCAAGTCCAGGCCGCATACCCGATTATATCCATTCTTTTCCTCTCGCATTGCAGTTTTCCATTCACCAGCAGAGTTCCACTGACCAAGAATACTGTTATCCGCTCAATTGGATTTCTCACATCCAGGAGTAATTACATGTTCTCGTACACGCGCAAATTCAGCTCTGAATATGCGATCCCACGTCGCGAAGTCCTCTCAAATATACAGTTCATATTCTCCGCGCTAGCTCAGCCCGAACGATGCACTGGTGTGCCGACGAGAGCCGATATGCTCGATGTCGTTTCTCGCATCCACTATCCACTCCCATCGAACCCGTGTATGGCCAAACGTCGGCCCATTTCTCAATTATACCCAGTGGCGGACAGGCTTCTTGCGTCTTCTTCTGGGTCTGAACTGCCTCCAAGAGAGACTCTTACAGTTTCTGTTCCGTTGTTGAGACCACTAGCTGAACTTTGCGACGCGATACAAAATGATGGTAGTGTTGATGGGTGGAGCTTCCTCGAAGGCAAAAATGTTTTGACCCATGAAGAGTTTGTGCAGTGGGCTACAGCGGTGGGTAGATCACTTATGAGGCGAAGATCTTAACTGATATTTCCCTACAGATATCCCTAACGGTGTGCATCGAGAAGCTTTTCGAAGTGTTTTTGGTACGCCCAAACTAATGTGAGGGCGTCATACGTGGCGGAAAAAATCTTATGACGGTGCGCTTGGGAGAATAATCGGATTGATGTTGAAGGAACAAGATCAAGAACAGATCTATATGTGCATCTTTATGGAAGGAGCACTGGCTAGGATTATTGTGCGGGTGTTGGTTCAACATCCTAAAATATCCAATTGGCTTGTTTCTTTGATGAATAACTATGAATGCTAAGGTGGTACAGAGCTCCGGTTGCGGGAAGAGCCTTCGATTCTATATGGATTTTCTATCTTAATTTGTTCTTCGGCGTGAATAAAATCTGGGTAGATCGAGACGGTATGGAATCCAGCTCAATGACAAGGTAGAATCTGATATTTGTCGCCGTGCTCAGTTTTCGCCAAACTCGAACTCTGCATTGCCATGCTAGAATGAAGACGCATCGTACGTGTACAATATAGAGAATTGCTCCAGCTGACTCATACAGCACTCCGGTTTTTCGAAGCACTGACATCAGACAAAGGGATAAAACTCCGGTTACTCAAATGTGTATCCGTGAAAAGGCTAGCATCGGGATTGCGCCTAGCTTTCCTAAAGGTTCCAAATCCTGCTCTGCCCGCAGATTCTGGCTCAGAACCACCAGTGCGACTCGAGCTTTGGCCTGAGAAGGATCGAATTGCTGAAATTGCTTTCTGGATCCAAGGCGAGTGTTTGAAAAGAATGGGTATGTGCGGTAGACATAAAGCAAAGAATCCAGCAACCATCTCGGCAACGGCCCATAAGCCTAGTTCAGTGACTGCGTAGCTCACATCCTCGACCTCGGTGAATGTAATTGTGGATCTGATGCGAAAGCCGGCGGCGATAGTGGCGCTGTGTTTTGGGGGTTAGCTGTACGTGCCGATGAAGTTTTCCGTGGATGGTGATCAGAAGGAAGGACTGTACATACAGGATGCCAACAGCGAACAACGCCGATATGCCAATTTTCTTTGCCGTTGATGCATGGAGTTTCCAGATGACCATTTGAGGAATAAGAAGGATAATGAAGTCGAAGACGACATTAATACAAGCAGGGATAATGTAGACCATGGCCACATCGGCACACTTTCCTGGAGCCCACGGTGTCCACAGTTTGTGGCGGGGAGAACAGGCAAAGATCTGGAGGAACATGCATATCGTGTAAAACACGACGTTGACCCAGAGGGTTATGTGGCAAGCCCACCAGAACCCGTTCCGGTACCCTGTGGGAACAAATAGTTTTGTCCAGTGTAGTAGAATGCCAGCTTTGAGAAATGCGACTACTGGGCAGTATGCAATCGCTGTGGCCGTGATGTTCTGTAATCGTCAGTTACCCCACTGGAGACTGCATTGTCACGGCGTAAGCTTACGTATAGAAGATCAGGCATGTTTTTAAGCTGGATATCCCACTGGTGCACAAAGATTCCCGGGGACACTACTATCCTCAAAACGAATGCCATGAAGGTAGCGAAGCTTATCTAGACCATATTAGCAAGTCTTCGGAGCTTCCATGAAATCTAGACTAGTCAGTCTAGGACGAATGTCTTACCAATGCAGATATGGTTATGTCTTTTCACGATTAGTTAGTTGAAGCCTTCACTGTTTCTCACTGGAACACCTACAGTCTTCAAGTCCAAATTTCCGATGGTATCTAAGTCGTGAATAAATCTGAACACTGACCAACACCCCCACGGTGACAATACCGGTAATGGCGACCCCATAACCCAAGGAATTCCAATTCGGTGGATTGGAAAACTGAGATATACCATCAGGAGAAGCTAGCGCAGGACCTTCGAAGAGCCTTTGTTGAACAGCCGGAGGTAACGCATTTATCGCAGACAAATCGATCATGGCTTTGCCTTCTTTTGTGTCGAGGTGATCGGAAGCAGGTGATTCAGGACCTATGCAGGATGTATCATACTCTACATAGATTGAGAAACTGCTGTGCTTCTAGAAACACTCCACAACTCATTCTACAACAAGAGGGGTGGGGCCAAGCAGGTTTAATCTTTTCCCGTACGCCATTATATCCGCACTGGGCGGCGATGCCTATACCTTATTCGTACATGTGCCCGATTGTATCGATTGAGTGTTCGCCTATCTTGATGCATATTTATGGCTCCCTCTATCCATGCAGATGCCTAGGTCTCGGGTTGGCCCCAAATTTCTCGGCCATGTTATGCCGCCGTTCAGTAAGATCATTCATATCACATCTTGGCATACATCATATATCCCGAACGTTGCGAGATAGATAGTTGGGTGCCTTCGTTTTTTGAAGTTTTTGCCTTACAAAACGAAATAATGTGTGAAATTCCGTCAAGATGTTTGATCGGTATGTTTTGGCCCCAAAGGCGTCACTCACTATCTGTGAGACAAGGTACAAATTCATGGCAAGTCTGTCGGTTCGGAGACCGATTCGGTTAAAAAATGTTATTCCAAGAAGGCGAACGAATGTCATGTGTGCAGCATAAAAACGAACACATCTAACTTACTTTGGTACCGGTACACCAATCATAGACTGTGAAGACTGATACGAGTAAGCGCCTAGGTAAACGAGACAAGGGTGGTCTACACAACCCCCGCGATATTCATCTATCGCTCGCCCAGTTTGCTCCATTTTGTATGCAGTTGCATACTAGGCAGTACTCCGCCCCCTAATTTTCCGAACAAGCTGGGATGTGCCAATTGTGCCAGCCCAACAGGCCGTGCATCGTTACCACAAGACACTGAATGAATGGAACACTGTGGCATGCAAAGCCGCCCCATTGCTTGATACACTCATGCAGGTGAAAATAAAGTCTCGGTCATATCAGTTCGAGAGTCGTCTCTGTTTGGTTCCATACTTATGTGTCTCAATTCTTAGTAGCTGCTCCCGACCGAAACACTATTCTAAAAAACATACTTGGAATTTATGGACCGTCGCCAACAATAAGACCCGGTACATATGATCCAAGCGTCGATCAGCACGGCGACTTGCCAGAACAGAAGTCCGACACATCGTGTTCCTGTCCGCAGTAATTGCTCAACTCGTTATTGAGGATACGGCAAGAGAAGACATGTACCCCGAACACCGCCAGTTCCAACCGCCGTATATTTGATCAAATGCTCTTGAAGATACCGAAGCAGGAGGGAGGCAACAAGCTACCACCCGAACGTGTTCACCTGCGATTTTGAGTGAATAATCTCCCCGTAAACGTTATCTCAGTCGATGCCACGACGCTGCCTGTAACTCGTAGCTATTTCCATAGGCTTATACTCCCAGAGATGTTTTAGAATTTCTAAAGCTTGCTTGATTTTCTGTCAAACAAATTCACACGAGCTCGTTGGCGTAATTCAAACATGGAGTGGTACACCACACCCTCTACAGGCAGGCTATAAACGAAAAGAGTGGGTTTAAAAGGGATAAAGAATCAAATCAACTATCAAAGAAGGCGTCGTTGGTGCAGGCCTAGACATTTTTCGAGTAGTGACGATTGCTCGCCGTTGTTCTCCTGCAGCTCGTATCCACAGCCACATGTCTGATACCCCAGGAAGATCACCGCCACCCTAATCCCTCCCTCGAACATCGGGAAAAACGCAGCGATCAAATTGCATACGAACATATCTCGTTCACCAATCATCTCCCCTCGAAGGTTTCCTGCATAGTCACATGTAATATTCGATACGGGACCAGAGTATAAATCATCCCTACAATAATTTTAATAGGGCGACCGCGATGTGTTTGTACTTCAAATACATGTACCACATCTTAGTATGTGACGACTGGTAATACATATCGAATCATGGATGGGCTTGAGAAACATGTCCTACCAAACCCCGCTCATCAATATAATCAGCAAGAATGCATCTCTTCTACCACCCCTACCGTCGTTCCTATCTCAATACTTTCTCGCAATCTCTCTCTCGTACGTGGAAGTCTAGCACCGTGACTCGAGGCAACTTCGTTGACGCTTCTAGATCCACGTGTCAAAACTCGAACATCATCATGAGCGCAACCCACTAGTCCTCAAGAGACGCCGAAACCGGCAATTTCCAACAAACAAACAGAAAAAAAAAAGACATTTCATGCACAGACTACATATGTCGAATGCGGTGAATGACAGCGAGATTGATTTAGCGGGGGTCGTGGATCCTTGTCAATGGTTCCCTCAGATCCAATCCAATCCAATCTAGTCAACTAACCATCTTCCAATGTATCTTGAAGAAACAAACAACATGCTGAAGAAGCAAGCCGGCAAATCCTAATGCTAACAGCACTTCCGGTAATGAACAAACCCGCCTCCCCATCGATTGGTCATCAGAAGTTGTTAGCTAGCTAATCAGCACAAACTCTTACGTCTTGTTTTCAGAACCGCGTACTCGAAAGAAAACCAAAAAGAAAGGATGTGGCGCGGAAAAAGTTTTGTGTTAGCGCGCATCGAGGATGGCGTGAGATCTCAAAATGCGATGAAAATTAACAGAGCGGTCGAATAAGATTGAATTGGAAACCCGGCCCCCCTTCTCCCCGGAGAATTTTGGCGGTTGATGGGCTGCAGTCATGTTGCGGTAGAGGTCATGGCTAATGCCGTTGTCGACTATGCCGCTATAATTTGGAGACGACTCACTCATGATTGGATAGATAGGTATAAGCAGGTAACGAGATTTTTGCAAGTGGAGGAGTAACGGAGGACTCGATAATGAAATTGTTTGCTGTTTTGGGATAGTTACTTGAGCCCGGAGCGTCCTCACCTAGTTTCTCAAGCGGGAAGGACATGTATGATGATCGCAAGGGGTAATCGGGGATATCGATGTTGAATTTGCTTGCTTCTAATATTAACTGACTGCATAATCTGGTTCACTTGCCATCTATATAGATTGAGAAGTAGTTCCTGGGAACGACTCAAAGGCTTTATTGGCCTCCCGCCTTTTGGATATCCAAAACTTGATCTTTTGCCCCTTCTTCGCTCCAACGCACTACAAACTCCAACTAACGCCGGATGCATACCCTTAGGGATATCTAAAAGCAGAAAACTTGGTCTTCGAGCTTGCTGACAGGTTTCGCCTTCGCGAATCCCAAGCTCTCGGTAGCCTTCTTCATAGCAGCTACCATGGGTGGGGGACCGCAGACCAAGATCTTGACGTCTGCGGCAGGAGCAGGAAGCTTCTCCTTGATCATATCCGGGGTGACGAAGCCAACGCCACCGTTCCACTTCTCGGGTGGGTTGTTGAGAACGTAATGGACGCGGAACTTGGGGTCCTTGGCAGCGAGCGCATCGAGGTCTTCCTTGAGGAGGATGTCCTCGGGGTTGACGTTTGCGAAGATAAGATCGACCTCGGTTGTGTCGCCGGCGTCGCGGCCGCGGATGATGGCCTTGACGACCTGCAGCATGGGGGTGATGCCAGTGCCGCCGGCGATCATACCGAAGTGGCGGACCATGTTGGGGGTGTAGACCATGGCGCCCTTGGGGCCCTTGACTTTCATTGTCTGCCCGACCATGAGCGAGGCGACGTGCTTGGAGATGTTGCCGGTTGGGTAGGACTTGATGAGGAGGTCGAAGTGGCCCCTGTCTTCATCCGAGGAAACGGGAGTGTAGGATCGGACGACTTCTTTGGGCTGGCCTGCAATGGTTGCTGCGAGAGAGATGTGCTGGCCAATGGGGAGGCCGAGGATGTCGGTGGGGTTTGGAAGCTTGAATCGGTAGCTAGATGGTTTCAGAGGAGTGAAAAGCGCAGAACAGGGGGGAGAAGTACATGGCAGTGTTGTGAGAGAGGATGGTCTTCTCCTTCAATTCGAATTCTTGAAACTCGTTGGGCTTGAGCACTTTGCGGGGAGCTGGAAGAGATGTTAATGCCAGGTCTTAGATATGAGGATTGGAAGGCGCATAATGGACTCACCATTAATGAAAACCTTCCAGCCGCCCAGAACAGTCACGAGAGCAACAGCAAAGGGCATCCATTCCTTCTTGATGATGGCAGTCCCAACAAGAACCAGGGCCGAAGGAATATACACGCCCTGCACGTACTGAGTAGCAAAAATTCCCGACATGGTGAAGGGCGGGGGATTGTTGATGCGCGGTACAGGGAGTACGTGTCCAAAGAAAGAGGAAGAGAGAGAGAGTAGGTGAGTGAATGAGGACAAGGACGACACCCCGCAGCGTATCAAGAGGTTTTGAGGCGTGGTGGGATGGGTCCCTTAACTAGCTGGAGTTGTGGGGTATGTACGGTACGTTGGAGTCTCCCAGAAGCTAAAAAAGAAAAAGAGCGAGCGAGCGAGCTTCGGTGAGTCGGAAATTCGGTAATGGCTGTCTGACGAGAAGGTCGAACCACCCGATCCCGGCTCTCCGATTGGACGGCCTTCCGAAAGACTTGGCGTATATGGCGTGTATGAGGGTATGAGCGCCTGCAGTCTCCCCTAGAGATTCAGCTAATTCAAAGTAAGGAATGAATATGGCAAAGCTTTTCGAATCGTGCTTTTTATGTTGCAAAAGAGAGTCCAAGCCTTTATACATGTCTCTGTGTGGCCGAATAGATTGCCTAATCAAGGTTGGTCTCTCAGTACCTGCTTTGGGAAACCATATCCACCTCCCCTCCCCCCCACACTATCTGTATCTTTTCGAGATACCAGCAACAATATTCATATATGATTGGTAGTTGTATGCTGATGGATCTTGCTTACCTGTAGACTGGATGCATTTCGTTTATAAATGATCTGGATAGGTATTTAGCTTACAAATAACCTGGATGGATGCACCACTATTTCAAGAAATGGAGCAGAGTTTCAGTTCCGCCTCCCTCGAGTAGTCTTCCAATGTGTCCTCCGTTTTTCATCGACAGCCCAATTTCGTCATCAACCAAATCCAGAAATGTTATGCATGAGAATAAGAGAAGGAAAAGAAAGAACAATGATCTAACCATTGCAGAACAGCAATGCTCCACTTCTATGCCCAATGCGTAAGGTGAAAGCAGAGAAGAGTCCGACGAACAAGTAACAAGAACCACATTGTGGCCATTAACCCCACCGCCCTGTCATATACTCCTCTCTCGACCTGCCCAAGAAAAGCTGTAAAAGGAAGGATATGCATCCAGAACCTCGAAATCCATCAAACGCCGGGGAAGAGGATGAAAGAATCCCGCCAGTAGCAATGCTCCGTGCCCGATAATCAATTCCGTTTCCTAAGCTCACCACTCTCATCCGATACGCCCGAAGCGCGTGGCAGCGGCTCAGCGTGGCCATTCCCAGATACGTGCGACAGCCTGACCAACTCCTCCAACATGCCATCCCTCGTCTTCTTCAGCAGGGCGTCCACATCCGCAACTGTCATTCCCTTGGTCGGTATAGCGGGCAATACACTGACATCGATAACGCCAGGAGTGAACTTCTTCTCTTTGACATTGAGCACGTGGCTGTAATTTGCGGAGACGATGGGTACGATGGGGACCTGAGCTTGGATGGCGAGGTGGAAGGCGCCCTTCTTGAAAGGGAGGAGTTCTGGTTTATCAGCGTACGAGCGTGTGCCTTCGGGGAAGATGAAGACGTTCTGGCGCTGCGAGTGCATGGTGGCGGCGGCGGAGTCGAAGGCGGCGCGCGCAGTGGTGCGGTTTGCGCGATCGATGAAGACGGTTTTGGAGAGGGCCACTATAGAGGTGATCCGTGTTAGAGATTGGGAATTCGTGAGATACATGAGAGAGACGAGGGGGACGTACTGAACCAGCCGAGGAAAGGAACGTATTTCAAAGAGGACTTCGCGGTCACGGATGTGTATTGGGGGAATGTGCAGCCAAGCATCAGAACATCCATCTCGCTACACAGAATACGTGGTTAGCAATTGCATAGTATAACCCAGGGAATGCAAGACTCACGTCTGGTGGTTACCCACAAGGACAGCGGGGCGAGTGGACAGAGCATCCTCCCCACCCCTTCTGCCGCCCTCTTCCCTGCTGCTCTCCGCAACTCTAAATGTGACGCCAGTAGTCAACCACATAGTCCACTTGAAAGCCCTTGCCACAGTCCACTGACTCAGACCTCCGTATCCCACTATACGGAGCAAAATGCTGGCCACGACACCGTAGGATGCACACAAAATCATCATAGACATGCTAGTGATGAAGAAGGCAGCAAAAGTCGCGAGCTGGGCGGGCTTCCGAGGCAGGACAAGGGCGATCAGGCGGAGGAAGAGAACCGGAATGAGTGGTATAGCCATGGTCCAGAGGAGCCAGGCCATGGCGAGGTCTGGGATATGTTATTGTAGAGGAAAAGTGAAATGGTTATTCGGTGGGCATGCGATGGAGCGGTCGTCGAATCGGTAGTTTTTCGGAGGCTGCGAGTCTTGGTATTAATGTTTAGCGTGTTGACAGGTGGCTCGAATGCACTGCACAGAAACACGAAGGTCGAGCAATCGAAGCTGGAGTCTGTCAAGACAACTTTCCCTTTCGTCGTGGTCCGAGGTTTTGGTGTTGGAAGTCGTTAGCGAGCGGCTGTCCCACTATCAGACAGGTAAGTCTGCAAGGGTCGTGCGCGATTCGATTTGCTTATGTTGAGCTTAAACGCACCGCCCAACAAGATCAACAGGACTTCTAAACAGAGAAGATGCTAATGAACAACCAGGGGAGAATCGGGCACGCAAGAGAATGTGGGGAAGAGATGGGAGAAAAGGGTTCACGATGGATGCACTTGATTTGTGCGCGTGACGCCAATTCCCATTTTCGTGAGCAGCAGACAGCGAGCATTGGATTTTTCCCAGTCCAATGTTGTCTTGGCATTAGGTAAGCAAGATTTGGATTTTTCCCTGCCCAATTTCGTTTTGGCATGTGAACGTATGTTATCTCTCGCTAAGCAGCCTGCAGGTACTCTACCCTCCCATCATCCATCATTCAAGTTCAACAAGTGACCATCAACGAAAATGATTGCACCTCGGACAGCAATAACAACGCATCCTAGAACTTCAAAGGCCATGCCATCACTCCCTTCCCTCCACCTTGGCCTCCTCCACATACTCAGCGTGCAACCCCTCACCCCTCTCCTTCCGCTGCCTGCTATATTCCAAAACCTCCACCCCCAAACACAACACATCAATCAAAAACAGCGGCACCAGAATCCACCGCCAAGCCATCATACTTGTGACCTTTCTCGCAATCAAATTACGCTGTCCTGCATTTGCCAACGGAAGCTCCAGCACTGCCTTGAACCACGTCTCAGGCGTCCATTCGTCCGCAGGGTACGGGACATCTGAAGTAGCGATACTCGACAGGATGCGCTGTCCGCTCGTCTGGTTTGTGACCAAAAACACGAAGATCAATGCCGAGAGCGTGAACAGCGTGGCCAGGACTTGTAGAACCACGAGAGCGAGGAGTGTTTTAGATGGGGGCTGTGAGTGTTCCCCGTGCGTGTCAGCTTGACGTGTTCAAATGCCTGCGACATGATGCGTGTACTCACCTTCCCCAACCTACGCCGCTGTCTCAACGCCACATATACACCGAATAACCCTAGGAAGAACCCGTAACCCGCTACACCATTACTTTCGTGTCCTTGATCTGTCCAGAGGTGTTCAGGTAAGACCGCGAGCTGGACCGTTTGGTTTGGCCAGTTGACTTGGTATGTTTTGACGTGGTCTACACCTCACGGCGTTAGGAGTTTTTCTTTTTTTTTTCTCTTCAATCACCCAGGAAAGGATGCGAACATACGTTTCTGATCAAGAAGAAACCCTACCATCGAACTAATAATCCCAAGATTCGAAATCGAAAGCGCAGAGAGCAGCACGTTGGAGAACAGGATCGGGAGATAGCCCATGACGATAGACGTTCTTTTCACTGGGGCAGGGGGTGGGAACCTCCGGATTTTTGGCGACAACTCTGGAGTGGGGATGAGTTGATGCGTAGATTCGAAATCGAAAGACGTTCTTCTCAGGTCCTTGGGAGACAACTCGGGGGTAGGAATGAGCTGGCGCGTGGAGTCGATGTCCAAGGACGTTTTGTAGCTCATTTAATCAGCTCAAGATAAGTACGTAGAGTGCCCACGCAAAGAGAAGAAGGCGAATGATGTCGAGAATGTCAGAAGTGATGATGAGGATGTAGCGTGCGCTGTGGCATGAAGAATGACAACAACCTCAACCACAACTTGATGATGAGAATTTCAAAAACGTCCCAAAAACGCGTAACAAGCTGCCCATTATGTACAATGCAGAACCTCCCCCACTTCCTCACTCATCGTCGTCATCGTCGAAGCTCAGCTCAGCTCAGCCCTGCTAGCTCAACGGCAGTCCCAAGAAAAGAAAGAAACAACAAAAATACATCAGCGAAGCAAGCCAGAGATACGGCAGTGCTGACGCCAAAGAATCGCATTTTCCGGACGATACGGGGAGATAGGGGGCTCAGCGGGAAACCTCGCAAATAGGAGTCCAAGATGAGGAGATAGTCTTGAAGCTAGAGTGCGGTGTACATATGTAGCTAATTCTGTAGCATGCACCTACTGCGTGGAGAGTCCTTATGTTCTAAAGTTTAGAGGGGTGAGGCTGAGGGTGGTTGGGGCATTGCTTTGAATCAATGGTTTAGCTTAATCCGAGCATACCTATCACGATACACCACGCGATCAATCAAAACTTCAAAGTAAAGTTTGCAACAACGAAAAGAAAAAAGAAAGAAAAAAAAAGGCAGTGCGATTGATTTCTATTCTTCTTCTATTTTGCCCAAACCAAGCATTTCATCTACCAGCCAATCCATATAGAAAACACACACAAACCCACGATTCCACCCCCCTTCCCCAAAGTCAACTAAACTGCCCTATTCTACCCTGCCCTACACACTACCTCCCCAATAACACATGCCAAAAACCCAATTTAATCTAATCCAATCCAGTACAGCACATCACACCACACTACCCTACACGCCATTCCATTCCCCCACCTTAGCCCGCTCCCCCGCCCTCCCACCATTCGTTCCCAACGAACCACCCATCCACATACCTAACATTAGCCCCGCATCTCCCCCCTTCCCGGAGCATTATCCGTCGTCTATTCCTGGCTTTTTCCCTATGCTCTAAACACAACAGAACAAAAAAAGCAGAAGAAGTTGTTAGAGCATTTCAGCTGGTCCGAATCCGCAGGGCGCAGGTAGCTAGAGAATAGTATATGTCGTTAGCATATCGCGGATTCATCTCTTGTGTAGCAAACAAGGAACGAGATAAGGGGTTAATTGTGAAGTTTATATCCTTTTCAGTGGAATGTGTAGAGTGTGGTTATATGCAGTAGCACCGCGAGATCTATGATATAAGAAGTGAAGAAGCGTTTATGTAGGTGTGGAGAAATATAGGTGTCAATTCATTGTTACATAGGTGGTTAGAATAAGATGGATGCTGATTGTTACTGTTGTTGTTGTTGTTGTGGAAAAAGAAAAAGAAAAACTGTATTATTTTTGATGGGATGGTTTTGGCCTATATACGACGCATAAAAAGCGCTTTTCTATTGTTTAAATCAAGGGTAGCATCATTGCAGGTAGGCGCAAAAAGAATTTACAAGTACAAAAGAGCAGTTAGATTGTTAAAGATCTCTGATCACAGATACATTATAGAACTAGAAGGGTTTCCCTCTAATCTCTGCTTTTTAAGCACTTGTGTAAAGGCAAAATTCGTTTTTTTTTAGGCATTACTTGTTGTTCTAGTCTATTTATTGTTGTAACCCTTTGCTATGTATAGAATTACTCCAACTCTAACTTAGAATAAATTAAATACCTGTGTAGAGGCAAATCCTAGAGTGGGTTTTAAGTAATTTGCCTTTTTTCTTTCTTATTTTTGCAAGTTAAATTATTGTTCGAACATCGCTGTGTGTCAGAATCCCCCTAAATTTTAGATTGAACAATTTACTTTGTAGTAGTGAAATTAAAACGAAAGTGAAGAAATTAGAAGCCTAGATGACTATAGATAAATAAAAGACTGGCAGTTGTTTGACTTGAACTGACAAGGACTACCAACTGGGTTCCTCTAGTAGCATGTAAATAGATGCTATAGTATATATTTCAAAAGCTATATAAGCCTATGTAAATGAATGTACAACGAAAGATAAAATGAGCGTAAAAAAAACCTCCACTTGAACTTTTTGATAGGAACCCCTATGTCCCTTGACTTTCCCCTTTGCCTAGAGACACATATGTGCACTACTTTTATATATCCCCCTTTCTCTGTTTGTTCTTTGAGCAAGAAATCAAATGGAAGAAGCAGCATCTTGTGGATCCCCCTTTACATACGTACAAAACTACTCCCTTCTCACTGGAGAGATATGAAATGAGAGGACAAAAACAGAAAATAAAAGTAAAAGGTATACATGTACACGTCCACGAGCGCCAGGTATCTACAGTAAAAGAAAGAAGAAAAAGAGAGAGAAAGAGCGAGGGTCAGACCAAGCAGCTGTAGAGCCATTGCGACTAAATCTTGCTCCGCGCGAAGGAACAACAAGCTGCGTCTTGAAGAAATGGAAGAACAAAAGAAAAAAAAATGGAGGCTCACTGGATCATCCACTGACAGCGACACGACCGATCCGCCGCCATCGATTGTCTCTCAACCAGCCGCCCGCTCCCTCTTCTTATTCTGCTGCTGCTGCGCCTGTTATCGAGAACAGACATGGCATCACTGGGCATGAGCAGTAGGTTCCGCGCTCCTCGCGGTGTGGTGAGAGTCCCGTCTTCCGAGATACTCCGGCGCTCGCAGTAAGGGGGCGAGTTATTTGGATAACGAAGCTCGGTGAGTTTGAAGGTATATGGGAAAGGGGAAGGCGGGGCAGCGAGGCCGTCTCCTCCGTTTGGTTCTTCTTTGTTAGATGTAGTAGTGATGATGGAGGAAGAGTTCCACGCCGAGGTACTGTTGGTGAGAGAGGCGGGGCGTTGCGAGACGTAGATGAAGCCTTCCACCGTCGTTTCGTTGAAGAAGCAGAGCCATGGGTTTTCGTCTGTAGCAGAGTTGTATTCCGTGTCTTGGGGACTCGGTGGGGCGTTGCTGGAGGGTGGCGGGATGACATTTGTGTTGCTCAGGAGAACGGTTCGGTTGTATCTTGTTTTGAAGTGGTATGCGTCCCCATTTTGCGGGCTTTCCGGGTCGAGGGAAGGGGTGAGGGGGATGGTTAGAATTTCCAGGGGCAACTGACCATATTTTATGGCACGTTGTGGATCGGAATGGGTGATTGTGATGGCTTTTTGGCCTGGATGCTGCGAGTCCGGATCAGATGTGATTGAGATATGCATGACTTCTTCGCTGGAACAAGCCCATGCTGCTGACTCGTTGGCTCTTGCTAGACATGACGAGCTCTGTTGGCGTGCGTTGCCAATAGAGATCTCGTATTCCCCCATTCTGATCGGTATACTAGGGACATCCGATGGTGTTTCTGGCTCCAAACCCAAGTCGACTTGATGGCTGTCTTCGATTAGTCGGGATATCAAGATCTGGCAGAGAGTTTTACTGACCGACCCCCGCTCTTCACTGATAACAGTCCCCCCATAATGGTGAGGCCGAGACAAACCTGCACAAACAACAGTGCCAATATACGGTACTTGACAGATAATCGATTCCACGTATGTGTAGGAGATTTCAGCCATCGATCTCTGGGCAAATGCGGCAATGGTTTCGCCCGGATATGCGAGAATCTCGTCTTGACCACGACTTCCTTTTCATCGGTGACTGGCGAAAGGATCTTGTCATACGTGGTGTTGGACCTCTCAATGGGAACCAGCTCAATTCCTGTCTCAACAGTGGCTGTGCTAGCGGTTGTATCATTTGCTGACAAGGTTCTATTGTTCGGTTCGCTACGAACCGGGAACGATGTATATATACTAGGGAGAGTTGGAATGCTCTGCAATGTCCGACGAGGAAATTGCATGGATGAAGGCTATACCAGAGCCAGCTAGAGAAATCGATGCATGAAGGAGATAGTTTGTGCGAAATTAAAAAAAGATGTAGCTAAGTGTGTTTCCGTTCCAGCGATGGGCCCACCGAATCCAAGAAAAGATGCAGAGCTGATAAGTATGAATATATTTGATCCTAGCCAGGACCAAAGGTAGCTATATCACACCGGAAAGAGGTTGTGGCCTAAGTCTCAGTATACGAAGCGAAGGTGTAGAGTTTGTTTCATTCCAACTGTGCCTCTCCCTTGCCGAACGCTGTAGTTGAGGGCAGAGGGCACCATATTGGTGGAAGCCGTCCATGTCGGTGGGGAAATGCACTGTTACGGACAATGATTTGATACTTTCAATGCGTTCATGTACCGGTTGTATCGATATGAAAGAGGGCTGGTCGTTAAACTCAAGAAAAGTATGGTCACGCAGAATCGGTTGGGTGAGAGTGCTCAAATAGAAGCGGATGTAGCCGCTGAACGGGAGTTGACGGCATGTTATTGGATCGCCTAGCGGCATCTGCAAGTTGCGCTTGGGAGCACATCAAATCGAGCCATGAAGCTGAGTGTCCTATCATGAGACATGGCAAAACGTAGTCATCCGCTCAATACGTCTAGTTGTGACTGGGATACGCGAGAGGTTGACAGTCCCTTTGGGTAGGCAAACCTGGCTTTGAGCTCATGTTGCCGGCCGAGACCGCAAGAAAACATGTAGGTGTGCGTTATGACGGGCGATATGCATTCATCACGGCCGCTTCAGCGTCCTCGAAGCGTCTATGCAGAGCGGCTTTTCGTATTGAGGTATACATGTAAGTCCCGAGGTAACCGTCACAGGAGTGACGTTGACTTGCCAAGTGCTGGCTTCTGGCACGGAGCCTCGGAGAAAGGGCATGTTTCCAATGGTGAATTTCAATTCTCGCGGGCGGCGTTCAGCAGTATATTGTTCAAATACGGATGTGCGACCAGAGTATCTTCCTGTTGAGATTGTAATGAGTATGAAGGAGTGATTGCTCAAGGCTGACAGCAGGCAGCAAGAAGCCGACGATGATGGTGATCTAGGCCGCATTTGGTTAGACTGGGAGTGTCTCACAAAACAAACATCTCAGACATACATGATCAGATACATAGCATGTAAGGAACAATCGGAAAAGTAACAGAATCTTTGAGAGCATCTAACTAAACCATTCCATGCCTTGATGATTTGAGTTTATCCGAGTCGAAGATGCTGCAAGGCTGACATGTATGAATTCGCATGACTGTTGGTGAGGGTTAGTTGTGAGCGAGGTGAAGTTGTCATGGCGGGTTGGTTGTCACTGAGAGCTGGTTGTCACTGATGACCAATCCCGAATACTTCAAAGGTTTTTGTGCTCGCTTTGATGCACTTTCAATAACTTGCATGTCCGATACTACCAGTCACAACGTCGATGCATCATATGGGGGTTGAAGTGTCAAGTTCGTCGATTAGCTGGTCAGTTCTGCACACACGTACGCGAAGATGGCCATCGGACAAGTGTCAGAGAACAAACCGAAACTGAAACTGGATGGGGAAGTGGAAGGTGGGAGACTTGACCAACTGACGCATCAGAAATGAAAGGATTCGAGGAGAGCAATGTGGTTAGGTGATGTGTACCACGGTGACTCGAAGTCTGTACGACAGTGATTCGCAGCTGGAAATGATGGGTTTGTCGGGTAACCACCTTAGCAGCCACATCATGACGCAAATGCAGTGAGAGAGATGAGTAGGTCGTTGTGGATGTGTGACAAGAGTGCCTGAATGCGAATAATGTGATCGACGACCCACCTGCCACTCGCTGGACGTCACTGATGATTTCCCGCCCCCTCGGACAGGCAGAAGCAAATCAGGATGCCGCGATAGCTGCGTGGGAAAGCTCGTGTGCATGTACGGACTGGTTGGCCGCCACCGATGCGGCTCGTTGGGCTTGCATCGATCATTTTGCATGATTTTCTTTTTCTTGCCGAATGATGATGCGATACGGCCGCAAGGTCACACAATCAGTCAATCAAAGCAGCTTTTTTTTTTTTTTCGCGGTGGACATGCCACGTGGTTCCAGCTGAACGTCGGCGCCCGTTTTTGTGTCTCCCACCCACACCTTCTCGCAGATGTGCCGCGTTTCGTGAAGGGTAATTGAGTATCATGGTCGTTTTCGTGCATGTTGCTTTTTGTGCTGATTCGTCTGGATTTCCCTTGGTAATCTGCGGGTTGCTTTTTTCCAGTTCCCGGCTGGTTGTCTCTAGGATGCTGTGGCTGCGGCAACGTGGGAGAGGTGAGTGGCTGTGTGGTATCTTGATAGTGGATACTCTCGATGCGATACGACACGATACGGCAGATATGGGGTGGTGATAAGCGTCAGCCCTGTGGGGTTATCGCGTAGCTATCAGACGAGAAGGAATAAAAAGCAAACAAGGACAGAGGAAGATGATCAGAATGGGCGGGAGCGGGGGGCACGTGTGGCATGTCTCTCAAGTGCTGGTATGCAGAGGCAGGCGGGATCGCGATGGTGAGCCGGGATGTTGGTTGTAGCTTGTAGGCACGGGAGGTTGGAGCGACGGCATGTGGGGAGAAGGAGAGGCAGGGAGATTTTCGGCTTGCCGAAGGACGGACGAGACTTTGCAGGGCGGGTAAAGGAAATGGGCGATTGGCAGACGAGGGAGACGATATGGGATCCTGAGGTGGTTTTGTATTGTTTTGGAGGGTCTTCTCTCCTGCTGATAGGCACGCATGGGTGGTGTAATCGTGGGCTGCTGACTTTGTCTCTCACGTCCGAGTGTGTCGGTGGTGGTGGGGTTGGCTGCACAGACAGGCATGGCATGGAGAGGGGGGGTTTTTTTTTGGTCCCTTTGACAGACAGCAGCATCAGCGAGGACGATGGGATTTCACAGATGCCCGGCGGTTTGGTCTAGCAGAGGCTGCGGCATGGTGGGTTAGCCGGCTGGCTGCGCGAAGCTTGTTCGACGTGCATGGCGCCGTTGGAAAGTGACGAACAGACGGCGGTGAGGGCAGCGGGCGTTGCACAGCAAGTCAGCACGCTATGGCGGGCATCCGGGGAGGCTAGCTGGGCTGGGCTGGGCTGAGCGGGCGGGCGAGCGAGAGAGGGAGAGGGAGTGAGAGAGAGAGATGGGATGGGGGATGAACGAACGGACGGCCCGCGTCCTGAAGATGATCCAAGTGGAGGGCCAGAACAGCGATTTGCAGCGGAAAAACAGGCGGCGTGCAGCTGGTCGAGGGCAGTGGGGCCTGATTCGCTGCAGGGCCCAGCAGGGCTTCCCTCTCTTCCCTGCCTTGGGGCGCCCCGGAGGACTGGGATTGGGGACGAGGAGTCAGGCAGAGGCCGCCGCATACCAAGTGCTCCAGGTACCTTTATTAAGCTCCATGACCTACAGCATCGGCTGTTTGGAGCATGCATCACCAAGGAACCTACATACACATATACTTATATCGCTGTCGTTATCACCGCGTCCTTGTCTGTAGGCGCACGGAATCAATCAATCAATGAACCCACGAGCGGGCGAGGGAGGGGATTCTGCCCAGAGCAGGCAGGCATCGGAGCCAGGTCCGGCGCCGGTGGGGAGCGTGTGAGCATACGGATTGGACGGCGGCGACGACGACGACGAGTACACTCATGATTTGGCCTCACATGGTACATGGTAGTTGATTCAGCACCTGCTGCTTGCTCCTTCTAGTCAGACTCGGCGAGACCTGTGATGATGATTGTCGCCGTGTGTATACAGCTGTCTGCCGTCGTGTACGTCTGCCATGTCCCGAGCGTTGGGGGGTACAGTGCGATAGCAAGTATCATCGAATGCATTGCTTGATTGTTGATTGCGACGACGATGATCACGTTTGTTCTTTTTCTGTAGTGGAGAGGGCCCGACAGAGGCTATCGATTCATCATCCATATGCTCCAGTCTGCCAACGGTTTGGGCTGGCGGCCTCTTATATGGCGCATAGACACTGAAGCAGTTAGGTAGCCATGTCTGCAGCATGCAACCACCAAGTGTTGAGGAGGCAACTCGGGCTAGGCCTCGAGAGGGGAACACGATGCACGGCGAACGGGCGTCATCCAGCCCACCTCGCACCCACGGGTTGGTAGGCAGCAGATGAGGAACTGTGCAACATCTGGTGTGGTACTGGCAGACGACCATGATCCGAGAAGATGAGAATGGGCGAACAGCGGGGGGTTGCCCGCTTCAACAAGCCTCCACCCGAGCTTGTTATCAATCAGACATGGGCTGGCTGCTAGTCTAGTGAGGATACATGTATGAGAGAGACAGCAGAAAGCCCACGACCGGTCCTTTCTTACAACCACCTCCGCTACCCTATCACCACCACCACCACCCGCTACTTGCTACTGCTACTACTACTACAACTCGGACAAGCCAGACAGAACCTCAGCACCCCGAGACAGCCACTACGGGACGTATCCTATCCTATCCACCTTCCATTTTCCTTTGCATACATTTGCACATCCACACACACACACATACACAACACCCCCATCCTCCATCCCACCTTTTCACTTGCACTGCTGCATTGCACTGCATTTGAATCATTTGGCATCCCTTCTGGATCCCCCTTCTCCCACGGCCATAACGCACGTCACAAGCAAGTCTATTGATCCGTCCGTGTCTCCTCTCTCCCCGGCATACGCAGACAGCAACAACAGCATCATCTCCCTCTTTCTTTGACTCTCTTTTCCTTTCTTTCTTGCATTCTTTCTTCCTCGTCGAGGCTTGAAAGAAGGCAAGACCGAGCCTAATCCGTCGACGACTACTCGTCCACTCCCCTCTGGACTACCTGGAACCACCACCCACCACCCACACACCCACACATTACCCTGGCCTGCCCTACTACCCTACTACCCTAGCTTGGCAGCCTCCGCTCCCCCATTGGCCGGACTCGAAAGCGGGTACCATCCAGAGGCGCTCCTGCATCGCCCTGATCCGAGCGCGCTCTGGTCGTGTCCAAAATCCCCCTCCACACTAGACATCATTGGCCTTCTCCGCCAATTTCCAACGCCGAATTTCCCATATCACCATCCCACCCCCCCCCGTAACCAACAACCCGAAGACTGTTACTTGCTGCTGCTGCTGCGCTGCTGCTGCATACACCTGCCTGAGTGCCTGCTTGCTTGCCTGCCTGCCTTGCATCTAGCGCCCGCCAGCTTCACCATCCATTTCTAAGCTCCCGCGCAAAAGTCCCGACCGCCCTTCATTGTTCTTTGGGCTCGCGTCGCCGCCTAGACTCCGTCTCCTCGACTGCTGCTAGCTGCTACTGTCCACTGCCGCTACTGCTGCTTGCTACCTGCTGCGTTGCCTGCCTGCCCTCGAGTACCACCGACCGCACCCGCACCCGGCCAGGCCCACCACCCATCACCCGTCTGCCCGCGCGCCCACCAAGCAACCCAAAGTCGTCGCGCATCGCCTTTTTTCCCATCACATCCACTCCGCGCCACCGCTGCGACCTTTCGCGCGCGCGCTTTCTTCCCTCCCTCTCTCCTCCTCCTCCTCTTCTCTTGCTCCGCTTCCCTCCTTCTCCACCCTGCCTCCCTTTCTTCCTTCCAACATCCACCAGCACACGTTGCCGGCCACGCCGTCGCAGCATTCTTCCTTGCTTCCCTGCGTGCGTGTGCGTGTGCGCCGCGCCTGAGCCTGCCGTTTCTACTGGTTGGCGCCTGCCCCAGATCCAGCCAGGCATAACCGTGTTTCGGATTAGTTTGGAGTCTCCCTCCCCTCCCACGCCCGACATCTCACGGTCCGGACTACTTCTGCATCGATCCCGTTGTCTGACGTCTCCTGCACAACTTTTCGCATCCGTTCGTTTTCCACCCCTCGACCGCCACCACTTGTCCTGCCATTCACCTCTTTGTACCGCCGCCGCCGCCATCTCGCTCAGACAAAGAAAAGCATGGCCGGTGGGCCGAGTCCGAGCAGCACCAGTCCCTCAAACCCTGCCAACAGCCCTTTTCACCACGGCTCCCTGAGCTCCTCCACCTCGTCCTCGCCTCCCAACCACTTCTTCTCTCCTCCCAACACCATGACGGCAGACGTCTTCCCTGCGTCGCATAGCTACACCATGCACGCTCCCGTGGGCGAACGCCGTGCGCTGGACAAAAACGGCCTGAACCTGCTCTCCTTCAGCCCTGCCGACACCATGCCCGAACCAAAGGCCAGCCACACCATCTTCTTGCGCAAGCTGCCCCCCAAAAGCGACAAAGACTCGCTAAGCAATATTCTGCTCTTCGCAAAGGACCTGATCGATTGCGAGGTCGTGCCGACGTCGCGATACCACGACGACAAGGGCCATGTTTCGGCCATCGCGCGCTTCGGATCCCTGGAAAGCGCAAAGGAAGCGCGCGATCTGCTGAATGGGAAGCGCATGAGCGATTCCACCCTGATCGTCGAAATGGCCCAGGATAGTCTGCCCGGCGCTATTGGCTCTCGGCGCAACACCGCGGAGAACGGACCCGCTCGGCAGCCATCTGTATCTGGATCATCAGGTATCGCTGCCATCACTTCCTCGGGTCGTCAGGCCTCGAGATACAACGGCACCTTTCAGAGCATGGAGAAAATGTCCCCGCCCAACGCGACTCCAGGCCTTGGCAACGGCGAGTTCCCGGTGCAAAACCTCTTCTCGCCCACATCTCCCGTCAACACCTCCTTCACCCATCGCAATCTCGGCAAAACCGTCATCAACGACGAAGCCGATGATGTGGACGGCCTTCTGAACGAATCCATCGGTTATGCGACTGCTGGCCCGCCGGTGCAGGCTGCTTTGTCTCGCCGACCAACGAATTCCAACAACGCCATCCCGGTCTCTCGTTTCGCTTCCCTCTCGCTCCAGACCAATGGCGTGAATGGCATCAGCTCCCCGCCTGTGCCCAACTACGCATCGCCTCGATCTGCAGCAACGATGCAATCTCCCGCCACAGCCATGTCCGCCATGTCACCCCACACCATCCCGTCGGCCATGAGCAACATGGGTCCCAATGCCAACTTTCAACAGTATCAGCAGCATTACCCTCGACCAACCTACCCCCCTGTCAACCCTGCAGACCAGAATCCCCCTTGCAACACCTTGTATGTTGGAAACCTGCCGGTGGATACTTCGGAAGATGAGCTCAAGACTGTATTTTCCAAGCAGCGTGGATACAAGCGACTGTGTTTCCGCACAAAGCAGAACGGGCCCATGTGCTTTGTCGAGTTTGAAGATGTTTCCTTTGCAACAAAGGCGTTGAATGAACTCTACGGGCATCCTTTGCACAACAGCGTCAAAGGCGGCATTAGACTCAGCTTTTCGAAGAATCCCCTCGGTGTGCGCACTGGGCAATCTTCTAACATGGGACCGGCTTCAGCCATCACTCCCAGTACTCCACTTTCTGGATTCGGTGGCAGCGTCTCCGCGCCTCCTGGTTTCTCTACTGCCACGGGTCCCCCTCCAGGTCTTTCGGCTCCTCCAGGACTCTCCCCTCCCAACCATCCCAACACGCCTTCCGGGTACCACAACATGTACTCGAATAATGGGTATGGGATGGCTCCCAACGACATGCCTATGAGACAGCAACCGATGCCTGCAGGTATCACCACGAGCGTGTCCGGAAACGGCTACGGTGCTATGAACGGGAACTACTCCGCCTACATGATGGGGCGCTAAAGATCCTCCCAGAGGATGAAATATCGACTCAAAAAAAGAAGAAGAGGGTACGAATGTGCACGGCCGAGCTCTCTACGACGTTGTCACGGGTGAAGATGCCGAGTTCGTGGCAAACGATTTCATAATCCGCACCATCATACCCACCACCCCCATCGTCATCATCATCATTATCATCGTTCTGCGCGTCTACACTGTTGTTCCATCTATTGTTGCGTTATATCCTGTCACTTCTGTCATTGCAAGGTGTTGCGTTGTTGGGTTTGGACTCCATTTCTCATTTGAACAAGGGCATGGGTAACGGCGTGGAAACTCCTTCATGGTCAATGTGCCAGATGGGCACTCACACTCCATTTCGAGCATACAGCGAATGATTCCCCCTTGTGCGTTGTTTTACAGGATCTATCACGGAGCGGGCGTTGGTTGCGGTCTTTGTTTTTATTTCTTTCTTGTTTTTCTTCCTTCTTTCTTATCATCTCGCCAGTGTCATGGGAAGCACACCGTGCTGGGTTTGCATTGTCAGTGTCGTCGCGTTCTCCTGCAGGAACCTGGGCTGGAGGAAACATGTTTGTCTGGTTGGAAAAGCTGGTTTGCATGGATTGTGTTACATCTTGGAACAATGGGGTCCCCCGCATGAACGCTCCCCTTTTGCGCTTTCCAGAGCCTTTGGGTGCATCACTCCCGTCGTCCCTCTACGACGGAGATTTATTCGGCGCTTCTCATTGCTGTTTCCCGGGTACGTTTGGACATCTTTGGATTCATTCAGCAAACATTCATAATTCTTTGTTTTCTTGGCGGCTTGCTTCATGACCTGATTTGCATGGTGGCTATTGTGTTCTTGTTGTTGGCGCCCCCCTTCACAGGGCGGTTTCACCAATCCCTTTGTTATCCTTTCACATTAATATCTCCCCTTGGGTAAGGGTTGCAGTCGCTTTGGTTACATCGATTAGAAGGCTTCTGCAGATTCTTGCTCACGCACACATACATGTTTTGTACCGTTGGAGCTACAGCACGGAAGGAGTCTTATACTTCCTGTCCTTACAGCGGCTTTCTATCACAATTATCATATTGTTCTCTTCTGCATTCTTTTTTGAATATGCATAACGAAGCATATACCCGAGTCTATGTCGGCGTTTATTCATCAATTATATCGCAAGATGGAACGAGCATTGAATCACCTCAGTATGTGCCTCAAGTAATGCCCAGGTGTTGAGTAAGCCTGCCGCACGATCATATTTTGACGGCATCGGGGATAGAAACAATAGCGTAGACTTATAAATACGATTCTCTTTTTAACGTACTCTTTCATCAGCTGTGTTATAAATCTCGCGTTCAGCATAGCAAGAACGCTCTGTGAGCACTTTCAAGGTTTCAGCACGTGACATCCCGGAATGGTGTTAGCGTCCTTCGTGCAGCAGCAATTTTCCCTTACGGGTCGCTGAAGAAACACCATCTATCCACGCCCTTCTACCATTGAATTTCATCTAAGATATGCGGTAGCACTACAATCATGCCACCATGCATACGTCCTTCTAATGTATCTTCTTCTCTGACATCCTGTCCTTCCGTTTCCTCCATCTCTGCCATCCGCCCCCGATCCCTTCCTCAACCCGCTCAAGCAACACGCGAATTCTCCCAGTCATCAAGCCGTCAGGTAACACTACGGCGACGAAAGTTCTACCAATGGCTCAACGGTCCTGGTAGATCTTTGAAGCAGCCCCTACCGAACTCCACCAACTACCTAGGAGCATACGACCAATACGGTAATTTGGTTCGAGCGGACCCTAGATGGCTGGCGAAACAGAAGCGAGAAGGAAAGGGAGCGAAAGAAGCGGCGGAGACAGACGGAGCCAAAAAGGAAGATGAGGTGCTTCCAGAGGGCCAGGAGGCCGATGACATGGATATGGCTGCCCGTCGCTTAGAGAAAGAGGAAGATGTTCTGAATAAGAAGAAGGACGACGACGAGAGCGATCAATTGCCTCCTGAAACTGTTGAAGATTTACGGCCTTTCCCGTCCAACAGATTCTTCCGAAGCCAGCCAGTACTGAGCGAGGACTTGCGTGAAGCCATTTACAAAGCCATGACCGACCCTCACAGGCCAATGTCGCTGCCAGCAGCGAGTGTGCATTTCGGTGTCAGCAACGAGCGCATCGGAGCCGTTTATCGGCTGAAGCATATGGAGAAGGAGTGGATCGCTCAGGTACGTTGCATTCCACCGCCTCATGCACTGAACCCTTTCATGATGATACTACACAAAAATTCGATTAGTCTTTAAGACACCCACATGGTTACACCACAAATATATACTCTGATCTCTCTCTTCACGTTAACATTCTGTCTGCCATCTATAAAGTAGCAACAGCAGCTGACTTTATTACTCAGGGCAAAACCCTCGCCATCCCCTATCGCAAAGCCGTTATGGACATGCTCCCCAAAACCCCCCACGTTGGCGACTCAAACAAGCGCCCTATCCCCCATGAACCCATCAACGATCTCATCGTCCACCCAGCAACTCGTCAGCAACTTTTTGTTCCTGTCGCCGAGTCGCGCCAATTCACCCGTGTCGACGCCGGAAAGGCCTTCGACAACGATCTCCTCCCCGCTGACGACCGGATTCCGCATCCCGAGATGGTGCACGTGGAGCGCGACACGATTTCTGGCATGCCATCTTCGGAACGCTTGGAGCGCGCCAAAGAGCGACTCATCTCGCAGATGAAGGAGAAGTCCGAAAAGGAGGAGGCTGCTAAACAGGCTGAGAAGGCTGCGCTTACCAAGGTCGCAGGGCGCAGGTGGGACTTTGTCATCCAAGACGTCAGCGTCGAGAGCGTGGGCAAAGACGGACGTGATTATAGGGGGGTTGGGTGGCGGTATGGATTACCCCATGAAGACAGGAAGAAGGGAGTGGTCAAGATTCCCACGAGTGTGGATGCATAAATGGAGCAAGATGTATAGAGCTGTCTGTGTGTATATTATGTATATCAACTTTTTGTATGTTGCGTTGTAACATAAGGGAGCAGATATGCTCGCAATGTGTCAAATACCAAATTCCCCGAATACCAATAGATTTGGATCGTGTGATTCTCTCCATCGGGATGTTACGTCGTAGAGTGGCATTGTCTCCACTCTACATGCTTCGTCTTGGAACTCTGATTGTTCTCCTTTTCTTGGTTGTATAAGTTTGCACTCGGGTGCTCGAGATGAGTCCATCCTCGCTGCTACTACCCATAGAAATGAACATGTGAACATACATATTTATGCAAGTACGTACACGTTATGAGAGATCATAGAGGATAGCCTAATGTTTTGAGCATCTGGGTAAGTAACCACTAGACACAATACTGAGTGGTCCCAGCAACTGGTCTACATCTATCAAAAGAGTTTTACCGTACAAATACAACGACAGTATCAAAAACCCCCTCCACAGAAGCCACTAACACACCCATCCTCCCCCTCTTGCCAACAATCCAGCACTACACCCATCTGCTCCAACACAAAACAGATCACCGATACGTAACCTTTTGCCCACCCCTCTTCTCCATCTTCGCCTGCCTCTTACTCCCACTGGCAGCGCCAGGCTGCGGCACACCCGCGGCATCGGTAAACCCACCCCTAACCCCTTTATACGCGCCCCAGGCAGCGTACACACTATACACGGGGACAACGGCCCAAAACCACCACCCCCAATCCCCAAACAAACTCACCACCACCAAACACCCGTATGTCCAGTACGTGACATCCCACAGATACTCGGTCAATCCCTTGGCATCGAGGTCTTCTCCGGAGCGCTTTATAGAACCATCAGCAAGGTAGGTGGGGCGGGATTGGCGCTCGAAGAGGAAATTTATGAGGAGTTGCGGGCCGCTGAAGAAGACGTAGAGGAGTAGGGTTTTGCGGTAGGAGGATGGGGTGCGGATGAGGATGCGGAGGAGGAAGAAGAGCGTGTGGAGGGTGAGGGTTATGAGGAGGGTTTGGTTGAGGCGTTTTGTGTTGGATTGGGCGAGGGCTTTTGTTGCTTTCTGGGGGGATGGAGGTGAGTTTTTGATCTTTTGTGGTTTTTTGTTGGTGGTCGTGGTGGGGGACATACTTGGGCCATTGTGGGCGGTGGTGATGTATAATCCAATTGCTTCTTCGTTGTTGATCTTCCCAGATGCTGAGGTTCTTTGTCTGGTCGATTTAGTTCAAGATTTTGGGCGATGGCGATTGAACTGTCGTTGTCGTCGAAACGTGGGAGCCAAGCGCTCTTTCCTACCAGGTAGTCATGGATCAAGTGTAGTTAGACAGTGGCGGCAGGTACTCGAAGCAAGCAAGCGCAGGCGGTAATAAAGATGGTCCAAGCGTTCCTGCCACTCCACCCAGCCCGCCGCTCATTCAATCACAACAGACCGCTCGAGCTGCAAGACAACAACCGACTACCTTCACCTCCAAAACAAACAACAACTCCACCACCACAAGCTACTCCTCCCTTTACGACGACACGATCCGACGCGCAAACCAGAACGTGACATGCTGTGTTAATCCTACTTCGCCCCTTCCCACCTGCTGCGCGTCCCCCGGCTTTCCAATTCACTTTGTCGAGCCCATCGTCCAGGTACCTGAGCAACCACCATCACCACCAATAATCACATCAACATACATACCTCGAAAATCCTCTGCGTAAACCCCTAGACCCTAGACCTATAATCTCGCCGCTCTCATGCCGCACACACTCCCGTGACCGCATTTATTCTTTTCTGGTCGCCTCCATCCTCCATCTCGCTCGCGCCGGACCGGGCTTCGTGAAGTCTTTAAAAAAACATCGCCCGTCGCCTCTCCTACGCCATGTCACCACCATCTGGCGTCAACGCGCAACTGCGACACCTCGTCCACTACCACCTCGATAATGGAATGCTGGAAAATGCCCTTTTCTTCGCCGGCCGCCTGCACGCCCTCGAGCCTCGCAACGGAGACGCTGCGCACCTGCTGGCCCTCTGCAATCTTCGTCTCGGACGCTACAAAGCCGCATTCGACTATGCCAAACCGAAGAACCACTCCCCGCATCTAGGCTGCGCGTATACATTTGCGCAGGCCTGTTTGGGCCTGGAGCGGTTCGAGATGGGCGCCCAAGCGCTTGAGAAGGCGCGCGGGCTGTGGGCGGGTCGAAATCACTGGAGTAAGCCAATACTGCTGGCGGTTTTGTGATCTGTGAAAATGTGTGTTAACCCTTGCCGTTTACAGATAAACACTCGGATACGTCGAAACGCCACATGCCCGACGCCGCCGCGTGTTATCGCCTGCTTGGAAAACTGTATGCCGCGCACGGCGAGACGAAGAAGGCCATTGATTACTACGTAGAATCGCTTAAGCTGAATCCCTTGATGTGGGATGCCTTTGTGGACTTATGCGACATTGGGGCCGTTGTGCGACCCCAAAATATCTTCAAGATTACACCGGACATACTGGCGTCAATGTCACACGTTGCGTCGAATGGCCATGCGCTCAACTCATTCACCTCCCAGGACAGCTTTGACCAGAGTAATCCGTTTGTTTCGACACCGGATGTGGACCCTTTCAACCCCACGGGACGACCAGGTGCCGATGTAGGATTGAATTTGGGGGGCGCGAACTTGCTATCGAGACTGAATGGCAGTGCTCCTATCTCGTACGCAAATGGTTCCAGCTCAGCATACCCGGACGCGGAAACACCAACCTCGAATGGTCTTTATAGAGCTGAAGAGGACGTGATGATGGGCGAAACAGGCGGTCCAGTGATGCACGATCATCACCATACAGAACTTCCTCCCCGTGCACCCGTTCGGAAGACCCGGATGCAAAACCTCAGCGCGGCCAACGAAGAACCGCCAAAGATGCGGTCAATAACGACTAGAACGCGGTTCAAAACCGCATCAGAAATGAATGAGAGGACCGAAATTCCAGGGCCAGTGGGACAGAATGGTCATAAGAGAACTATCTCTGGGCACTCGGCTCGAGAGCAAGCCCAACAAGCCAGCGCGCCACCACCTGTAGATCCAGCTGCCGCGCCTCCACGGAGGAGCGTGAGATTGTTGAACACATTGAGCAGCCAAATCCGGCCGTCTGGCAGCAGGTTAGCTGCTGCGACGAGTAGGGATCAGGAAGCCAAGGATCGTCGGGAGATGAGGAAGGCAAAAGCCCCGGGAGCAAAGGGTAAAGCTGGTGGCATGTCGACGGTTGGACGAGTTGTTAGCGGCAATCGTAAACCACCAGTGGATCACTCGGATTCCATGAAACCGGACTCGAGGCCTGCGAGTGTCGCCTCCACAATCATTGCTCCTCCGAAGATGTTGGTACCGGTCGATACAAGCAGGGAGCAAGAGGCGCTCAACTGGTTGCTGGATCTTTTGCTCAAGATGGGCTCAGGATATAAATATCTGAGTCGCTTCGAAACCGACAAAGCTCTCGAGGCATTGCAATCAATACCAGCACCACAGAGGGAAACACCTTGGGTGCTTGCACAGATGGGCAAGGCTTATTACGAGCGGTCGATGTATACAGAAGCCGAAAAGGCATTCCAACGGATACGTGACAAGTCACCGTCGCATCTTGAAGACATGGAAGTGTATTCCAACACACTGTGGCAGTTGAAGAAGGAGACAGACTTGTCGTATCTTGCGCACACGCTTGTCGATCAGGACCGCCTCTCGCCGCAGGCCTGGTGCGCACTTGGAAACGCAATGTCTCTCCAACGAGAACACGACCAAGCCATCAAGTGTTTCTCGCGAGCCACGCAGCTCGATCCAAAGTTTGCGTACGCCTTCACATTGCAAGGCCACGAGCACATTGCGAATGAGGAGTTCGACAAGGCAATGTATGCCTACCGATGCGCCATTAGCGCAGACAACAAGCACTACAACGGCTGGTACGGCCTGGGACACGTGTACGAGAAGATGGCCAAGTACGAGGTGGCAGAAAAGCATTACAGAGCGGCCTTTGCAATCAACCCCACCAATCCTCTGCTCGCCGTCCGGATTGGATTCGTAAGTTGTTTACCGTTTTGTCTACCTCCCCCAGAAGCTAACAGCAATCTTGTACAGGTTCTCGACCGCATGAAGAAAACCGAAGCCGCCCTCCACCAATACGAAGCGGCGATCCGCCTCGACCCTCGCTCGACCCTTGCCCGTTTCCGCAAAGCCCAAATCCTCCTCAAGATCAACGCCCCCGACGAAGCCCTCCAGGAACTCATGTACCTCAAAGACGCGGCGCCCGAAGACGCCAACGTGCATTTTGCGCTTGCTCGCACGTTCAAGCGCTTGAGGAACCGCACCGAGGCCGTGCGGCATTTCACGATTGCGCTGAACCTGGATCCCAAGGCGCAGCCACTCATCAAGGAGGCGATGGATAGCTGGGAGGATGAAGGGGCCGAGGGGTTCAGTAGCGAGGATGACCGGTGAGACGTGGGTTTTTGGAATCAACGAAGGAAATGAATGATTTTTTGGGTTTGCTCTTTGACTCTTTTTTTTTGGGTTTTCCTGCTTATGCCTTGTTTGCTGGAGTGTGGGAGTGTTTGAGCTCTCTCTCTCTCTTCCTCTCCCTCCGCTTTTGCGATGGGAGGGTTCGAATTGGGGTTTTGGGGGGTTTGCTCCCTGGTTTTTGGTGGCATCTGCATAATACCTCTGGGCTCGCTTGCCTTGCTTGCTTTACTCGTTCTCTCCATCCTTCTCTCCTCGTGTGCGCGGGGTTGGTCTAGGGCTGAGTGTGCAGCTGTTTTGTCCTTCTTCTTTTTTTTCTTTTCTTTTCTAGCTCTCTTGATATACCTCTTCTTCTTCTTCCTTCTCTCTATGCATTATTGGCGTTCTCTTTCTTTTCTTATCTATCTTTTGGGGGACACTCTATTTGGGTGTGTGAGTGGAACATCAAACGTGCATGGGGATGGGGATCATGGGAGTTATGCAATGCAATGGCATGCAATGGAATACTATTGAACTAAGAGAGAGAGAGAGAGAGAGATAGCGAAAAAAATTCAAAAAAGCTGGCTTGTTTTCTATCATTAATCATCACTCACTTTTTTTGGTGATTCTAACGTTGAGGATAATGATGATGATGATGATAGTAGTGTGGTGCGTAGTGATGAGATTGTTCTAACAACTAAACTTTACTTCACCTCACTTGCTATACAGTGTCCCCGTCAACGCTTTAACAGAAGAAAATCAAGAAGATAAAAAGTAGAGAGAGAGAGAGAGAGAGAGAGAGAGAGAGAGAGAGAGAGAGAGAGAGAGAGAGAGAGAGAGAGAGAGAGAAAAAAGAGAGAACACCTCGAAATTACATCTCATCCCCTCGCCGTATGTTCCTCCCAAACATGCTCAACAACGTCTTCGTCCTCCATCTCCCAGTCTTCATCACACCCAGGCACAAAGCACTTATTGTGCCAATGTTCCTTTGCATGAGCATACTCCTGACTGCTCGGGAAGCACTCTTTATGCTCGCTGCAGCCAGACGTATTTCGATCAAGATGATACTCCTTTTCGAACTCGCTTGAAAACCACAGCTCGCAATGGCTGCACTGCACCCGCTCCTCTACACTCGCGGGTGGACTAGGGGACGGACTGAGACTGGGACTGCTCAGATCGGTAGCGTATCCGGCGCCATCGCTTGAGGCGTCGTCGTCGCTGCTGTAGGTCGGGCTTGCTGCCAACGTCTATATTAGTGAAGGATGATGATGATGATGATGATGATGATGATGATGATGATGATGATGATGATGATGATGATGATGATGATGATGACGATGATGGTTAATCACTACAAGAAGCGCGTACCAGGATTGCTGATGCTGTTCCCGTAATGAGCATCGCATGTTGAGGAATACTCGAGTCTGTTGACCCCGCAGAATTTGCAGTACGTGGGAGTCTGTGTTCCCCTGCTTCGGCATCGTTGGCAGTAGTTTGCTTTTGCGCTGCCCATGCTGTGGTAGTGGGAGCGTCCTTTGCCGCAGTTTTGGCACCACATCTTTGATCGTCCTTATGCTGGAGTTGAAAGGAGCTTGAGAAGTTTGTTTGGGTAGAATCAAAATGAGATGTTTTAGCTGGCGAATTGAGAAGAGGTGATCGTGGTGACTTATAATTCTTGGTTCAACTCTGGATACTGGGCTTCTTGACTTGACACGGTATCACCCTTGGAGGGTTGTGCATCACCATCCCCTGGAGCTCGCCATCAGCCTCAGGCCCGCAGCCGCTGGATTCAAATATTCTGATTGGTTAACTTCATATCATGGCTAGTGTACTGACTTGCAAGAAGGTCTGAGTGAACTGCTAGCCTCATAACAATTCTGTCTAATATTAGAAGCTCACAATTTGAACTGAGATATCGAAACACGCCACTTAGTCGCGATATCGAATGGGAGTTTGAAATCGTCAAGCCGACTTTCATGTTAGTGCATCCGACATGTTTTGTTTTTGTTCCTTTTTTCTTTCGACACAATTCCCTTGCAGATACGGACTGCTCGTGAGATGAGGCGTATGCGGGCTCGGCCTGCGCCATCCGTATATCTGTCGTATTCCACTCTTACCTTGCATGCACGGGGCCGCCACGTAAATGAAGCAAGATCGCCATGCATGAATTACAAAACGACTATACATAGTTCCCGGGCCAGCAAAGATTCCCTGCATGCAATACGCACGCCAGACGACAGGCGTCTGCACGTCGGGGGGCCGCACTTGAAGAGGTTAGCTGTCTTACTAGATATCATTAGTATTATATCGGAGAAGAGAGGCTCTAGATCCTATAAGCTGAAATACACAGTCCAATCTAACCTCCAGATATGCAGCCACCCTCGGTGCGGACCACTTGTAGCTGGGATAACGAACTAACCGTGCATAGTTCCCTGGCATCTCGTCCCCGCGAGAATCTAGGCTTAGATCCACACTAGATATCCGCAAACATACTGTGCCCTATCCTTGGGGTTGGGGCGTGGGATATAGACCTACGGGATTGCCGATCCACGCGGGGATCTCTGTGTATAGGAGACAGGACAGGACAGGACGGAGGACATCAGCCCTGTTCATGACAATCTCCATACGCATGTAGAAGTTTGTAACACCTTCCGATTCTTCTCTATAGAGCGAAGCCCATGCATTCCAGACACGCGTAACGTCTCCCGTGGGCTAAGACGATGCAGAGTGTGCGGCGTGGGAACGAATGCTGCCTTGTGGTTGGTAAGTCTCATCCAGCAAGAAATACGTATTGTATATATTTTCGCAGGCCCAAGACCATTGAAATATCCAATAACCGAAAATCACTTCATCGTTGCTGATGCTCCGTTCCCTACGTTTCCTACAACAAAACTCGATTTCTCGGTTTCGTTAAACCATTCAGCAGCTCGTTGTGTCTTTGACTATGTATGGATCCGCAAGGTCCACGCTTCGACAAGACAGAGGTCGAGAGCTCAGAACCGATTTCATTTATTGATATTGAGCCGCAGTCCAACGTTGAGAATGAGAAGATCTACTCTAGCAGTTCGACCAAAGCCTCCGAGGAGAACTAAGCGGATTTGTATCAGCCGAGTACACCGACATCTAGCCTTAATGCTTCAATCAAATATCGTAGAAAGGATTTTGAGATCAAGGGTTGTGTGTTTTGTAAGGGCTTGGGTGCTGTTTAAACTGCGGAAATTCATCATCTTTACAACAAGCTTAGTACATATGTACATAGGTATGTAGTCTTTAGCTCTTGGCATACATGTATCAATATAGTCAACTGGTATTATTCTACATATGTAGGTATAAAGTGCTTTTAATACCGTAACATAACTGCGATAGCCTAATAAAAGCTGGTTCTAAAAGATACATTTAGGAATATCCAAAGTTCTAATCAAAGGTACTGCCACAATCATCAAGTCTCGTCGCGCGCCTCAGTCTCAGCCTTGTCACGTGACATGTCTGCGACGAATCATCTCTGCTGTGTCGTTCTCAACAGGCTTGATCATGGCGTGGTCCTGCAAGAATAAAGTATTGCGAACTACTAGATGCAAAAAAGATGTAGGCAAAGTATAGGATGATAGGCTGGAGATTGGGGAGTAGTGACTACGCAGAAACATGGGAAGGGAGTGATGGATAGATGGATAGTAGGAGTAGAGTCTCTGAGGCAGTGCAGTAAATGCAGATACTATAGCTAGAGAACTGTCACAAGTATGATGATGCGGAGGACTGTTTTCTCAGATTGTATATTCTTGTTCGCGTTTACAATTTCATTTTCTCCCTTTCAAGAGTGCTTTTCGTGAAAACGTCATCTAGTGGATGGACTAGGTACGCGGCTACTGTAGGACCCATACTCTCTCCCTGCAAGACAATAAAGACCGAAATAATTGATATCAGGAATCAACGCAGATATCAATGCTCATTCGCCTACCACACTCGATTCACCAAATAAAAGATTGATGGTGGACAGTGGAGATCCAGCTAGGAAAAGAGAAAGACCCTAGAGCACCACGACAAGCCCTCAAAAGACACAGGTGCCAATCTAAGACGAGATACCAATGACACCGCAAGCAGGGCGAGGACCAGCGTTTCCAGTCTTCTTGGACTCGGGGTGGTCACTCTTGCCGAGGTCATCGGTGCCGCCGTGGACGACGACGGTACGCTGGAGACAATCATGTTAGCTACATGTCATTGATAGCCGAAGGATTCGATTCAAAGATGCCGAAGGAGAATGATGGGAGAGTTGGAAAAGAAAGAGGTACGCACGCCGATGACGCTGTCGGGGCCGATGAGCTTGATGAACTTGTCGGATACATTGCCCTGGGCGTTACCCTGGCCGTCGGTCTTGATGTTGCCTAGATCACCGACGTGGCGGTTCTCGTCTGATGGAGCGCCGTGCTCCTTTCCGTGTGGGTTGACTGATTTCCAGTTGCGTCAGCGATATGTTGCTTACAAAGATGGGTGTGTGCGAGATTCGGGAAAGAAGAGTGACTCTCGGGTTTCGGCGGATCAAGGGAAGACGGGACAAAGACTCACAGTGGGGACCAGCAGAGGTGCATCCGTTGGTGTTGTCGCCAAAGGCGTGAACGTGCATGCCACGCTCAGCGTTGGCGTCGTTGCCGGTGATGTCCCATGAGACGGTGGTGGGGGAGGACTCGTTCTCCTGCTCGAAGGTGACGGTACCCTTGACGTTGGAGTCTCCACGGACGACGGCGACTATAGCATGGTCCTGTTAGTGTTGGCTGCTCTGCATTGGTGTTTTTGTTTCCTCCTTTTTCTTTTCCCCCTTGGCTTTTGACCAATTGAGAGGTCGAGGATGGCGATGCTGAGAAGCGGGGCACTGGCTGAGAGGCCTGGCAAAGCGAAGAGAACAGAACAAGCAGGTTTCGTGTGGAGAAGAGAAATGAGGACGCAATGTCGGCGAATTCATATAGCCATCAGTGTCCTCATATCGATCTCTTGTCGCCATCCAATTGAAATGGACGCAGGCCAGTATTGAACCTCTCGTAAGTCACATAACGGCCAACAATGTGCTCAAACGCTCTCGCCGGGCGCCCGCTTCACCACATGCAGCAAAGTGCTGGCCCAAAAGAGAGTAGAAACATACCAGCTTTGACCATTGTGACGGGTTATTTACAGTTGGGTGGGAAAGGTTTGGTGGTACTGTATGTATGTGGGAGTGTGTTTGAGAAGTGATGTCGTGGATGGATGGAGGGGCGAGAGGGAAGAGGGCGGGAGCTACCCCCCACCCCAACCAAAGCCGAACAGAGCAGAGCAGAGCAGAGCGACGAGCGGAGTGGGGCAATCCGGGTGACGCAACTCGGTCGTCTCATTCGGTGTTAATTCCGAAGTCCAGGTCCCACGAATGATAAATCCACCTGCAGCGCCTGCTCATGCGCTGACAAAACATCATTCCAATCCTCTTACACGCACATACATGTACATGTACACATGTACCCAGCATTGCCATCTATCCATCCATCTTCACAAGGCAAGAGTGACGTCGAGGAAACGGCATGACATGGAACACGATGCATGCATGCGCTACATTGCATTCATCATCTATGTAGCAATTTTTTACGTATGCCAACAGGTACAGCCTTGCAATCTGTCTGAACTCCCAACCCAGAAAATAGACGCATACTTTGCGTCTACGTGAAGCTTTGATATATAATGTTGTTCATCTCGTCGTGACCGTCAAATCCAAAAATCCCACACTTTGTCCTATTTATGCCTCAATCTTCTTGCGGAGGATGTCCTTGAGCGTCACCGCGTCGGCGGCGAACTTGGAGATACCCTCGCGGAGCTTCTCGACGGCCATCTGGTCCTCGTTGAAGTAGAAGCGGAACTCGGCCTCGTTGTCAATGTACGACTTCTTCTCAATGTTCAATGAGTTGGCGTCGGAAGCGTTGAGCTTCTTGGGCACGCTGTCTTGCGAGTTGTAGAGCTGCTCCAACAGGTTGGGCTACAACAATTGTTAGCTTGTCGTAAAAAAAACATTGGCTCGGCATGTTGGGGTACTCACGGCAATGGTCAGGTAGTCGCAGCCAGCAAGCTCGGTGATCTCGCCAATGTTCCTGAAGGAAGCTCCCATGACAATGGTGTTGTAGCCGTACTTCTTGTAGTAGTTGAAGATGCTGCCGACGCTCTTGACACCGGGGTCTTCGGTGGCCGAGTACTCCTTCTTGGTCGCGGCCTTGTACCAGTCAAGGATGCGGCCGACGAAGGGGGAGATGAGGTAGGCACCGGCCTCAGCGGCGGCGATGGCCTGGACGAGCGAGAACATGAGGGTCAAGTTGGTGTTGATGCCGTGCTGGGATTGGAGGATCTGGGCGGCCTTGATGCCCTCCCATGTTGAGGCAATCTTGATGAGGATGCGCTCCTTGGGGATACCGACCTCCTTGTAGAGCTACACGTTGTCAGATCCTGTTCGGAAGACATTCGCTGTTTGGGGTTTTTCAACATACCTCGATGATGTGAAGGGCCTTGTCGACCGAGGCCTTTGTGTCGAAAGAGAAGCGCGCATCGACCTCGGTGGAGACCTTTCCGGGAACCTTTTGCAGGATCTCCTTGCCGAACTGCACAAGGAGGTTGTCCAATGTGGCGTCGACCTGCTCCTCAACGTCCTTTCCGTGCTTCTTTCCGTAGGCAACGGCGTCGTCGATCAACTTGGCGTACTCCTCCTTCTTGGAGGCGGCGAGGATGAGGGAGGGGTTGGTGGTGGCATCTTGGGGCTTGTACTTGTCGATGGTCGCAAAGTCACCAGAGTCGCAAACGACGGTCTGTACGCATGTTAGATTGGGCTATGAGGTCGTCTCTTTGACGGTGTGGATTGATGTAATGTATGGCGGTAGTGGGGGTGGTGGTGATGTTGTTGGGGCGATGAGGGATGATGGCGGGGTAGTACTCACGGTGCCAGAGGCCTTCAATTGATCGAGGGAGGAAGACATGATGGAAGTGATGTGTGACAGTGAAGTGGAAGGGTGATGTTTGATGAAGAAGGAAGACGGGAGGTGTGGTGTTTGTTGTGAAGAGTGTTGTTGGGAGGAAGAAAATCAATGTAGGGCGGTAGCAGTAGTCAAGTAAGTAGCCCCTCGTCGGTCTCGTCAGTCGGCCATAGAAAGATGGCCTGCTATGCTATGCAATGCATCCACCCACCCATGCAGGCAGGCGGCGGGCCATCGTCACCGGTGGCAACAATGGATTGATCCATGAATACACGGCCGGTAAAGCAGCCCCGTCAGAGGCCCGCAACCAGCGCAAATCGCATCAATCAGCTCTGGCCTAAGGCGAAGAAACTGCCCCACTACCAAACCTTCCGTCATGCTAACTCGCCGCGTCCCTGGCAGCTCTTCATCCGCCCCGGCCGTCTCTCACCCTATTTACACTGCATCCTTGGAAGACATCCCTAAAAAAAATAAAAAAATGGGCAGACAAAGGAAAAAAAAAAAACCAACATCATCATAAGCACGTCCGCCCACGCGACGTCCGAGTGATGTAGCTGCTTGTCCCTCCTCTTCCTCAGTCGGGTCGGTGATTCAGGCTTCGGTGGTGCTGACTGAGCAGAATTTTCCCACCTCCATCCTGTCCCTCTTCCCTCTTGCGTGCCCAACAACTCACCTCCCCGCCAAGTCTGATCCGCCCTTCCGGCAATTCACGTTTGACAACACCTCAAAGTGGAACTCGCAATCCTGCCTTTTATCCTATACTCAACCCACCGCTTTGTCGAATTCTACCTAGGTGCTGCTCAATTGCTCGTGCCTCTGACTCTTTCCACCACCCAGCTAATCCAGCTATCCAGCATATCCACCATCTCCGGTACCCGCCCGCGCGTCACATCTCCGCCTCACTCACCTCACAGACCGTCCAGATTTGCAATTGACAAATCCCTCACACTCATTCTACCATCCTTACTCACAACACAGACTTCTCTCTTTTCCTCTGCCCCCACCCTTCCCGCGCCAACCACCCGTACACTTCCTCGTAGCTCTCAGCCAGCCTACTCACCGTATGCCCAGCACCGCCCGGCCCCCCATCGTTCAGCGCCTCAACCCTCCTCGTCTGCCCTTTGCCCACCTCCAACACCACGCCCCCTCCCAACTCCTCGTCCTCAACACACCTCACCATCGCCTCCGCTACCTCCTCGGGCGTCGCCCACTCGTCTTTTCCAGAGTCTAGGTACGCCATCTTCTCCGGATGCTCAGTCCATAGCGGCGTCTTGATAATCCCCGGCGCAACCCCGTTCACGCGGATCCCGACCCGCGCTTCGAGAGCAGCCAGACTCCGGATGAACCCATTCATTGCGTGTTTGCCCGCTACGTACAGCGGCGTGTTCAGATTCGCCATCTGCCCTGCAATACTGCTAACAATGACCACGCGTTTGGGATTAGCAGGACTCGCTTTGTTTCCTCCATTTCTCTCTGCGTCGAGGAACCGCGAGATGGCGAGCTGCGTCGTGCGAATTGGATGCGTGATGTTGATATCCAGTGAAGCGTAGCGTCCTCCTTCGGGGTCATCCCGAGATACCCCGCTGCTGCTCCCCGGCGGATGCCAGAAGTTGGTCCAGTGCGGGTCGTAGATGCCTGCCCCGGGACACACAATGTCGAGTCCTTGTGGGAACTCGCGGGCGCACGTTTCGAACATTCGGTCCAGTTGCTTCCAGTCTGTGACGTCGGTTTCGACGAACATGGCGCGTGGGTGCGAGGAGTAGGTTTGTAGTAGGTTCTGCGCTTCGGGACGTAGAGCGAGGTCCGCGAGCACGACGTTGCAGCCGCGCGAGAGCAGGAGCGCTGCGAAGGAGTAGTTTATGCCTGTGATGTATGAATCAGTCCATCCTTTCTTTCGTCTTGGAAGAGATGAATGTAGCGCGAGGGACGGAGCATATATAAATGTGTATGTACATACCTGACCCTGCGCCCGTCACTATCGCCGTCTTGCCTTGCACCGTAAACCCTTTCGCCTCAATCCTTTCAGAAGTGGATGATTGTTTTGCTGCCATTGCTTTGCTCTGCTCTGCTCTGCTTCGGATTCGCGGAACAAAATAAAATTCAAAGGAATTCCCAGTTATAACTCGAATCTCTGCCTGTGACCAATTCTCTCTCTTTCTCTCTCTCCCCTTCGTTCTTCGAACCCCTCTTTATACTCAAGTGCTCGTCTATCCACTAATCTCCTTTCCACCTTTTCCGCAACTTACCGCCTTCTTTCCTTGTTTCACGCGTCTATAACCCAGGACCTTGAATTCTGATTTTCCGATTCGGATCGCTTCCAACGTTGTTTACTCGTGTCTATCGCTCCTGATCCGGAATCATCACACTCGTCTATCTGTTTGTCTCGTGTGTCGTCTAAACCGTGCGTGTGTCAGTCAGCTCCGTCAGCTCAGTTACGCGTAAGCCGGAAAGAGGGGAGGGGGAGGGAAATGCGGGGTACATTACATTACATAGACAAATGTCCGCTGCTTGGGGTCTGGACATGTGAGATGACGCGAGGGGAAGTTGTGTACCTATGTATAGATTGTTTATGTATGGACAAAATGTCTGGGAAAGATTGGATAGGGTGCTGTGGAGAGGTTGTTTGAGGGTGGGATGGGCGGTGGACTCGTGGGGTTGTGTATGAATTTGAGTTGAGCTGGGTTGAGTTGGGATTGGGATTGAGAAAGAGTGAGCATTTGTGTAGCATGTTCATGTTGGGTTATGGATATTTGAACTACCGCTGGATCTAGCATTGGAGGACAGCACTTGCGTGAGTGTTCTAATCTGTGGTTAGAAAAAACGGTATGTGAACTGGTCGTAGTGTGTCTTCAGGCGATGGAGCATAATAGTAGATGTGTGCTGTGATTACCGATCGCTCACCGTTTGACAAGTGAATGGAAAGGAATACATGATATCTGATAGAAGGGAAAGGGTTAGTCGTAGTTCAGTAAATTGATGTACTGTTGTGATATGTGTCGTGAAATCTCATCGGTTTATATTGAAGCGCGAAGAGGAACTTTTAGTGAAGTAGAACAAGTATCTGGAGATTACGGTAGCGCAAGCTCTTTGATCATGATCGAGTCAGCCTCACGATACAAATTGTTAGGCCTGGGATATACAGGCAAATGATGTTGTACTGGCGTAGTGTCGGATCTCATCAATCACGATGCCCGCAGTGGCATCAAATGTATAGAAAAAGTATCAACATGTCGAGAATGCTGTCAGTACTCCTGTATTGGAGTCCCAAGGCTGGGAAATGCCTTGCAAAATCGATTTGAATTACTTTTGTCGGTGAAGAGTTGAAAAACAAGGCTGTCGCTTCACTGAGTACCCTCCACTCTTTTCGGCAGGTGCGAGGGATCTTTGTGCATATACGAGCTGCACGCTGATTCAAACAGTCGAAATCAACCATTCAGATCCCAGCATCAAGAGAAGGCTGTGATGCTGGGCTGTGTTGCTAGGCATCTTCCTGCTTTGACACATATGAAAACCTCGCTCATACGTAGTACTCTCGCTTTTACTTCTTTTCACTTTTCCTCACACCCAGATTCATCACGCTTTGATTCAATAAACCCCGTGGGCCATGGAAGAGACCACCCCATACAAGCCGCTGCACCCAGGCTCGAATTCCAGATGCATTCGAGTTCTCGATGTCAAAGCTGCAACCAAGCCTGATGCGCTTGATGAGCCAATCCAAGGAGAATTCCGGATCATAGATTTCGATACAGACCGCTCCCCAAGCTTCTCAGCCTTGTCGTACGTCTGGGGCAGCCCTGGATCCAAATCCTGTTCGGTCCTTTGCGGAGGACATTCGTTACCCATACTGCCTAATGGACACTCTGCACTTAGGCATCTACGTAAGAAACTGGGCAACTTCTCGATCTGGATTGACGCCATATGCATTAATCAGGAGGACATCAAGGAGAAAGAACATCAGATTCCGCTCATAGGCGACATTTACTTGAAGAGCAACACCGTCTACGTATGGCTGGGCGAAGGCAATGCGCAGACCTCAAGAGCGATAGCACACTTTAGGACGCCGAAATTCCTGGAATACTGTTACCGGGATGGCTCTGGGGAAATCACTAGACATGCTAAACTTCGGTCCTGGCTAGCGACCTTTGTTTACGAATTTGAGCTGTGTAAAGCGACAGGAAGTTTATATCCTGCCTCACATCAACGTATTATTGCCAGCTCCAACACATGTATTTCTTGCAGTAACTAACACGAGATTAAGGCCAGAGATTACGCTCCTCGCAAACTAGGGAAACCAAGGTTACCTTTGAAGATATTGACAGTCTTCTGGATGTCGAGTGGATTCGACGCATGTGGACCTTCCAGGAAATCCTCTTAGCATCGAACCCCATCCTTGTCTGTGGCGATGACCATATAGATTGGTTAACTTTTACTTTTGGCATTGCATTTCTGGAATACAGTGGCGTTGTCTATACCAACTTCGCACCCAAAGTCGCGTCCCTAGGGCCATGGATCAAAATCTCCCTTGGCAGGGAATATATTCAAAGCAAGATCACAGGATGCGCTACCACGCCGTTAAGGACGTATATCATGTTCATTCATTCAATCATGATGAATGACATGAAAATCAAGGAACGATCCCGTCTGATATTCAAGATGTCTAGCTGCTGCATTATTTATGTGCTTGCCATAGGTGGTGGCATTATCGTAGACGACTATAAAAACACTCGTGAACGTCTCAGACTGGCAGAATATTACAAAAAAGCCTTAATTTCCATGTTGGGCAAGGCAGCGAGCAGTCAGTTGAGTCCAACTTCCACGACACCAGCCAATGGTGAATATAGCGAATCAGCAAGCATTTCCTCACTACACAGCACAACCACGGTCCAATTAACGGAAACGTACCAGCCAACTGGTATCCTGGCGATATTGGATGAAGTTCGCCAGGGTAAACAACCCGATCCAACCGGCTATGTGAATTCTGCAATTGATAAAATCCGTACCGCTGTCGAATCTGTGGCGAGCGACTGCCGTTCTCGTTGCTTTTCACACACCGATACCCGTGGCTGTTTTGGTTCATGCACAGCAACAAATACTGCGATGCCAACAGTACGATCGGTGACATTTCAAGATGCAAATGGACGTTATCGACATTCTCCACGGTGGTTTCATAACATGCTGATTATAGGGATCTTGCTTTTTTCTTGCCTTGTATTAAGCATATTGATCTACTATGTCACGTCCAGATGGCACAGAAAATACAAAATGAATTACACATACCGACCACCTATAGACACAGTGGACCTCATCGATGGTATCGCTACCCGCCAAGCGAAACTCAATCACGATAAAGCCTTTGCTCTACGCAGTGTACTGCAAAGACTTTCAGCGACTGAACTGTCTCATCCTGATTATGGTAGATCAATTGAAGCCGTGTATGAGGAATTCAATCGTGATCTGATCAGGACTAGAGGATGCGACCAGATGCTGGCGATAGCGTCGTTCAACCACCTATCGGGTTACCCGTCCTGGATGCCGGATTGGTCAAAGCAGATGGAACCTTTCTGGCTAGCCGATGGCAGCACAAAAGTCATCGCGGACCTGTTCCAACCGGAGCAAACGCTCAGTTCTGTTGGGTTGGGTGCATCCAACTCCTTGATTCTCTCGGCTCTTAGAGTTCACACAACTCCACATGTATACGAGTTCCAAGAAACAAATCGCAGCTACAAGAACCAACAAAACGACTTGCATAACAGAAACCTCGCTACCAGCCTCAAATTGGCAAGACGAGCTTTCCCAGCCGACGAGAAGAGCAGGGAAGGGAAACGCGATTTCAGAAGAGTGGCCGAGAGCATCACCGCAATATGCTGTGAAAGTGCCCCTGAACTAGATGAGAACCATATCAGGGATTGGGTAATGTTTCTTTGCAAGAACCGAACAAAGAAATGCCATGAAGTATTTCCATTACTCGCCGCGGATCCCGATTTGGTGCACACCCAGGTGACCATTTGCAACAGTCTCGCTAAAAACCAGCGAAAGCTCTTCTGGATTTGCTCTACCTGCCAACCGCGATTCAATTCGTCTCTACAAGCGCTCAAGCACAACTTCATGCCTACACAGGGCTTCAACTACTGTGCTGGCATCTGTCCTTCCACAGTCCAGAAAGGGCATGTTCTACTACTGGCACCGAAAATTTCGATCCCTTTTTTTGTCGACGTAGTCCAATCTTCAGACCCTGACCAAAACAATGGAGCAGTGCTTGTGTCACGACTTGTCGGTCCTGCCAGGGTGAGGGGTTGGATGGACGACGTAGAATGGAAAGGCACTTTCGGTGATTTTCAGACGACAAACGTTGTGACACTTCAACTGGTGTAGGAATTTATATGCTAGACTTTTATATCTCTGTGTTTGAAATAATCAATAGGAAATCTCCATCATCTGGGCCCCCACAATTGTGTGTTTTTTTTATTTTCCACATTCGATTCAAATTACTCCAGGTGGGTTTAGTCAGTTAGTCTCAACCTCATGGCTTTTGTATCCGAGGCTGAATAGGGTCAAATATTCAATCTCAATGCGGTCATCTACCATAAACGAGTCCAATATATGATACATTGTCATGAAATCAGAGGATTCGAGAGTGACCATGGGCGATATGGCAGTGATGGTTGAGCATATGCCATAGGTTGCCTGGGCGTAATTGTTTTACATCACTATGTCTTCTTGGTCCGCAGTGGATCATATGAATCTGGAGAAGCTAATCCAGATGTTTAGCGCATTGCGTTTGTAGGGCTTAATGCTGACAGGCCGGCCCAAACTACTGACTACAAACGGTCAAGATAGTTCACTACTGTGTTACACAAACGAGTCATGCTATCTCACGATCATTTTGCTGCTTCGCACCGCGCAGTAAGCTCAGACGAAAATCAATCACCATATCACCATGGCATCCCTCACGATGGCTTCGCGCTCCACCTTCGTGCCAGCTCTCAAGCCACCGCCAGGAATAACCTCCAATCCCAACCATCCATCATCATGGACCCGTCTTGCAAGCATACTTGTTGCTGCTTGCATTACTCTCTATACGATCGCCTTCGTCCTACGCTGCTATGTGCGGTTCTACATGAAGCGGCTCTTTATCCTGGAAGATGCTATGTGCATCGTACTTTGGGCCGGCATGGTAGCACATTCCGCCATTCTTCTTCACAACGTGACTAGCGGCGGTGGCATGCACGAGTGGGACATATCACCTGAAGTATCCCACAAGCAAGAATACTGGTTCTTTGTGGGCTCCCTACTGTATAGCTCCCTAATGGGGTTAGCAAAAGTCGCGGTTCTATCACTGTACCGCCGGGTCTTCTCCCCACGCAAACGGACCCCCTTCGATATCATGATCAAGGTTCTCGCCGCCTTGATTATCTGTTTCTGCATCATTTACAGTTCCATCAGGATCTTCTCATGTCGGCCTAGAGAAAAGATCTGGAATCCCTCGCTTCCAGGGAAATGTGTGAATTTTCTGTGGATCTTGTACATGGGTGGAGGGCTCAACGTCATCAGCGATTGGGTTATACTTCTGCTTCCCCTGCACGCGGTATACCATTTGCAGATGAGGATAAAGAAGAAGATCCTAGTTGCCATCGTCTTCACGTTTGGCGCATGGTAAGTGACAGTATTGGACCCCACGGAACGAACACTTACACGCGAGAAACAGTGCACCCATTTGCGCCACCGCTGGGTTAATCGGACGCATCACAATCAGCGACAAAGACGATCATTCTTGGTACCGACCAGGGATCTTGGTTTGGGGCGCCGGTGAATTGACCTCAGGCATGATCATCCTCTGCCTCCCCGAGCTTGCTCCTCTCTTCCGCCTCAATTCGCACTCGAGCCGCAACGCGCCGCATCAGCCGAGCCCTGCCACTATTAGAGAGCGGAATCGGCGTCAAGCCGCCAGGCGAGGACCTTCGGACCCTTATATATCAAACTCCTTGATGGAGACTACGATCATTGGAGACGAGCGACCTTATATCGAGTTGACAGATTTGGCAAAGAATGCTCGTGCCGCGCCCTATAATGGGGGAAAGGATCAACTCGAGACAATTGAGAACAGGATCTCAGTAAGGACCGATATCAAAGTTGAGACGAGTGATATCGCTCAGAGAGCTTAGGGCTGCTGGGTTGGGTTACGTGTGAAGAAACTGCTTTTTGGTGCTTTAGATGTTCCTGTCTTGATCGCATCATATCGAATCGGCTGTTAGTTGTCTAGACAAGCTGATATTTACTTGGCCCTCGTGTGGTTCACGAGCTACGCTCTAGACGTGCCAATCACATGAGAAATGATGGTAGTTTAGACAATAAATCCCATTGATGTTGATACTCTTTTGAAATACTATTGTAGAGACCATTTTTCTTCCTCTCGATAGCTTGCCCGTGAGAGTGCTTGCATGGACTGATAGACTAGGTGAATCTCCAGGTAAGTACTATTGATCCAAGTGCGCAATAGCGTTCTGAGCTTGTTGAGATCAATGTGTCTAGCCCTAATGTCAAACATCTCATAGATATGGTTGGCAAGATTGTAATGGTAATACCGGTCAGAACGAAGGCTAGGCTGCTCTGTATATTGTGGCCCCTAACTTCGCCAATCCCTGTAAATTCATGTACGAAAGCACTGATCAAGTGTAATGAGGGTGTCGCCTCGCTTCCTGCTCTGACGAATGACAGAGAAGATATGAACTTCAAGGCTTTGCCAGCGGTTAGGCATCTTCCGAAGTGATCTTTACCCCTCACCTTCTTCATATCTCTCGTAGCACCCTATTCACATCTCACCAATCTTCTGCCTCTTCATTAAGCCTATGACTTAATCATCGCATATTCCATGAGGCAGAAACACTGAGTGTTGGAAATCACACGATAAATCTGCCTTCGAGCTCTAGTCGGGACACATATATTCATTACTCTGATAGCCAACCATCCGGTGCAGTGAAACGCATTCACCTGAAAAGCGCCACGAGTCAATTTGCGTTATCTCAGACAGATCCATCATGCTATGGTGTCTGAAAGGACTGTTCAGGGGGAATAGTCATCCATCGTCAAGGGGTGGTGCTAATACCGACCCCACCGGCTCTGCGGCGATCGAAGGCAGCAGTAATGACAAGTCTTTCGCGACAGTTGCGCCAACAAAGGATAAAGGGGAAAATCTGGGACTCAAGACTCTCTACGCACCAGATAGTCCAGAGGATATACATGTCGACATTGTCTTTCTTCATGGTTTGACCGAAAACTCTTACAACACATGGCTTCATAAAGAAAGCGGCGTCCATTGGCCCAGTCAGCTGCTCAACAAGAGTATTGAACACTCACGGATCCTCGCATTTGGATATGATGCGAGAGTTGCCAGCTTCTGGGGAAGAACCTCTCGGAATCGCTTAGCGGTACGTCTTTGATGTTTTCGTGTTCAATCTGAGACCTGCACTGACGCGCTTCGTATGAAAATTAGAACCATGCCGACAATCTAGTAGATCAACTTGCCGGACTGAAAGAAGACACCGACACGGAAAAAAGACCCACGATCTTCGTTGCTCATAGTCTTGGAGGCCTGGTCGTCGAGAAAGCACTGCAAGTATCAGCAGAAAGTGCTAAACCGCATCTTCGCACAGTTGAGCAAGGCTCACTGGGTATACTGTTCATGGGAACTCCACACTCCGGCAGTGACTTCGCTCCCTTTGCCAAGTCCATAGGGAATATTCTAAGCTTGGTAGGGAAAAGAGTCAACGTCAATATCCTAGACACATTAAAGAGAGATTCTCAGACTCTTCTAGATGTCGAGGACTGGTTTGGTCATTGGCGAAGGAGGCGAGCGGAAACTGGTGCACCCATACATATCACCACTTTCTATGAAGAGTTAGAATTGCCGGTGGGTGGCAAGGTAGTGGAGGAATTCCAGGCTAAGATAACAGGTTACTTCTCCTATGGAATTCATGGTAATCATATGGATATGACCAAGTTCCCAAGAACGGATGACCCGGGCTATGTGGTTGTTCAAAGAGAGATACGCAGGTGGTACAAAGAGATCAGATCTCCAACAGGTATGTGACCCCCGAGTATTGATTCAGTGTCAGGGTAACATGTAGCGACCTTCTAGAGATGTATGCTTCGGAAGTTTGCAATCTCTTTGAAAGCGTTACACGATTCAAAATGTTCCTGATTTAATGGATGCATAACAGCGATGCTAATAGTATTAAGCAGTGGCAGCCTTGAAAAACACGACACATCCGAGATTCCAGGAGCTTATTGATCAACTACAGCAACATACATCCGCTTACGCCGCAAGAAAAGATGTGAACCCAGATCGAATATCAGGAACATGCGAGTGGTTTGTCAATCACGAAAAGTTCAAGCATTGGAACAATGGTGTTGGCAATGGCCTCCTTTGGGTATCAGCAGACCCCGGATGCGGAAAGTCTGTGCTGGCCAAATACCTTGTGGATGAAGTCCTCGCACGACCAAATAGATCGATCTGCTACTTCTTCTTCAAAGATGGATACCCCGACCAACAGTTTGCCTCGAACGCTTTATGCGCGATCCTTCATCAACTATATCTACAACAACCTGAGCGTGTTCGCTCAGCTGTCATTGATCGCTTCCTAAAGGACAAGAAGAATATGCACGGCTCTATATCGAATCTGTGGAACATTATAGTTGGGACCGCAAGCGACTCAAAGCATGGTGAAGTCGTGTGTGTACTCGACGCATTAGATGAATGCCAAGCCAAAGACTCCAGAGAATTCGCCAAACGCATCACGCGTTACTTTTCAAAAGCCAGCACGAACTTCAAATGTATCGTGTTGAGTAGAACCTACCAACGCATTCAATGGCAATCCCAAGAGCTCGAAAAAGACATGCCAATGATCCATCTGAGCGGCGAGAACGAAACCGAAATACAGGAGATTGTAAAAGAAATCGATTTGGTCATTAAGAGTCGAGTATCCTCATTGGGGAGAAAGCGGAAGCTTCTGGAAGAGGAAATAAACTATCTGCAAGACCTTCTCACAGCTGTACCCAACCGGATTTATCTTTGGGTCACACTGACCTTGAATATTATCGAAAATCTATCTGGATTTACCAAAGGCAATATCATTAGGACAGTGAAAAGGTTGCCTCAAACTGTCGATGAAGCATACTCCTGGATCCTATCGAAGAGTACCGATCCCAACAAGACACTGAAAGCTTTTCATTGTGTCACAGCAGCGTACAGGCCTTTGACGGTGAAACAGCTCATGCTTATGATCACCATAGAAGACGATAAGACCCCACTGGAGTTTTCAAAAGATCTGGAGCCCACCGAAAGATTTCGTAGCACTTTAAGAAGTCTCTGTGGGATTTGTCTAGTTATCATCGACGAGAAAGTGTACTTTCTGCACCAGACAGTAAGAGAATTTCTGGTGTCACCATCTGGCTCGAGCGAGCTATCGCCGTCAATTCATAATATAATCCCATGGAAGCATTCGATTTTGATCGAAAAGTCGCACTCCACAGCCTTGAAAGCCTGCCTGTGGCTCATATTATGGGAACCCTCCAGCTTTCAATCCTCAGATTCCCTCCCTTCATCTGACCGAAGGTTCATGGGTGAAAATGACAAAAGAGTGATGTCAAAGACAGCCCGAAAATTGGGCGGTCTTCGGTATTACGCTCTTTATAGATGGAACAGCCACCTTGACTCATCTGACTGCGGAAAAGAGGAAGTAATCATACGCAAAGTCCTCGATGTTTTGCACCCAGAATTTCAAAGTCGCATGAATCACCCAGCAAACAGATTATCTGCTTACTACTCGGAGGCACACACAACCGAAACCAACATGCTCATTGGAGCTACAGTCCTAGGATTCCAAGATGTAGTAAAGTTCCTGCTCAGAACAACAAACGCCGACATCAACGCTCGCGAAGCTTCCGGGGGACTCACTCCACTTTCTTTGACCATATTTAAGGGCTTTGAAGGAATTTTCACATTGTACATGGCAGAAAAAGCGATCAATCCGAGCATAGTCGATTCGAGAAAGTGGACTGCGCTGAATTATGCGATCCGTTATAGTAGGGTACCGATGGTGGCTGTTCTTCTGAAACATGTTACGTTAGAAGTCACGCCTGACGCCGAAAATCCTTTACTTACATTTATTCGCAATGACAGATATACGGATGACCGAAAAACTCTAGATTTGATGATGGCACAACCTTCATTCGACATCAACGCACCGCTGGACGAAGCTGGAGACGTTGCGATTACGATGGCTGCAAGCACAATGGATTCCTCATTAATGAAGCATCTACTTCGACATCCGCAAGTCGCAGTCAATGTCCGGAATCGGTGTGGTCAGACAGCACTCATAATAGCTGTCAAACGTGGCGACTCGGATTCAGTCAAACTATTGCTCCGGCATCCAGCAATTGACGTCAATTCCGCAGATGAAGATGGCCAGACAGCACTCATACAAGCAACCAAGTGGAATAGACCTGGTATAACCGGCTTATTGCTCCAACATCCAGCACTCGACGTCAATATCGCAGATGTAGATGGCGAGACAGCTCTTACACATGCAGTCAGCAGGAATCATTCTAAAGTGATCGAATTTCTGCACGAGCACCCTCAGTTGCGATCTGTGAAGGCTAAATCGGATTGATCCCGAAAAGATTGTCGAAAGGGGATACTATGGTTGCGACGGAACTTTGAAGAGCATCGCCCACATATTCAGCCTTGCGTTATTTGGAACGCTAGAAGTCATCATAAGCCGGTCAAGGGATAGTTCATTTTACCGGAGAAATATTGCGAAAAATGATGGGAATGCTAGAGAAGTGGCTCAACATTTGCTGATGTTTATGTATTATGTCTAGGTGCTTGAATCCGAGATTTCAACACCGAAGTTTCAGACGAGAATAGACGGATCGTCCGAATATCTAGGATGGATTCCACAGATCGAAAATTTTGTACAATTCATCGTCTTTTGTTAATACCGAAACATACAGTGCCTATCTTCATTACCTTTTCATTTCTACAACGTTTCAGGGAAAGCATAATCGAGCAGTGCCTCATAAAAGTGGCTTCATGCCCTAATCCGGCGCTGATAGTACGTCATGACGGCAAAGGGCGGTGAAAATCTGTGGATCACGGCTTCTTTGTTGGGTCGCGATCGGACACCGCAGAAACACGTAGAACAGCATGACACGACTATGGTGGGACGAAATGGTGACCTGATTGGAATCCCCATTGGTTTTCCACTATCACTTCCTGCTGATCCCTGATGCCGAATACGGACACCGAAGATTCGCATGCAGCATGCAGCATGACCAGTGCCACTCTTCAGCCTGGTTCACCGGGCTCACCGAAAACATTTCATTCCATTCTGCTTCTCTCATAGTGTAAGTCCAATACAATGGTTCGTTTCCCAACTGTACATGAATACAATCCATCTTGGTGAGTGAATATGATAATAGATGTTCCGTGGTACGGAAGATACCGCGAGGTCCGATAAGTGTTAAGCAGTCAAGGCTGTGAGGAGCAAGGCTGAAGATTATGTCGTATGGCGTGTAAGATTTGCATGAAGGACGATCCGGTCGGACGTATAAGAACACGATGTTGCATATTGCGATGATGACTGATAACGCACCATGTATTGCGTCCCGCTCCACCCATCTTTGCCTTGTCGACAAGGAAAGAACAATTTCGCCTTCTTAGCCACCAGAATGTAATCCTAGCCGGGGTAGTATTTGGGGCTCTTGTGATACATGAAGTTTCGAGCTTAAGAGCAGCACACAAGACATGATGAATCCCAGCCTCGTCTGCGTTACCTATTGATTCATCTCTGTTAAACTTTTACGTGCACTACGACACGCTACGTGCGACGTGGTTGCATTGAACTCTGTTGTGCCACCAAAAAGTCCAATTGATCGCGAGGATCGATCCTTGGTCGTGTAATGCGACACGCTTCCATAATATACGCCCGATAAGATCGTCGCCAATCAGAGAAGCTTGTTCACAAGCTGAGTTTGATCCTATGAGTCAACGAGCTCGGCATATCGAGGTCAAGGATAAGCTGCTGGGAGAAATCGAAACCAGGAAGCAAGCCAATAACTTGCCTGTGCGAGGAGGATTTATATCCCGAGGCTTCCTAAACGATGTTCTAACTTCGAGCGCAATACGAGAATTATTGCAGGAAGACTACCCGGGCACTGCACTCGATGACGCGAAATTTGAACTGCTGCACAAAGCGATATCCACAAATCTCAAGAAGACATACGCGCTGCTTTTACTGCTCGATGCAGGCCATCATATTCTAGACCTTTACGATTATCGCAGCAACGCTTTGAGCGACGAGAATCTATTCGACTCGCCTTCGATATACTCGGGTGTTTCTCCAAGATTTGGTTTCCCCCGGGACGAGGAATACATCTCTAAGGAATTGAGCGAGTCACTCATCAAGCAGCAGTGGGTTGTACCCCCGCCGCTCACCAATGCTATTCATCAGCGCTTTCCCGTCGAAGACTTCCGTTTTCCATTCGATGAACAACCCCAGCATTTCAAATCAGGAGCATACGGTATCATTTGCCGAGTGAAGATTTCGCATGGTCAACTCGAATTTCCAGAGGATTTTGATCAGGTTAGTGTGTATCTATTTCACTCGCGCGAGAATATAGCGCGGTCACTAACAAACGCAGAAAACACCTCTCGCGATGAAGACTGTATGGAAAGAGGGAAGTAGTAGGATGAGCCATAAGAGATTGATGAATGAAGTCAATACGCTTCGCGCCCGCAAACACAGGAATATCATGTCTCTGATTGCGAGCTTCACAGCCGGTGACTTCCAGGCGCAGAATGAGAAAGAGCGCTCCGAGTGTATCTACTTGATCATGCCGCTTGCAGAAGGCAACCTGCAGGATTGGATCGAGTACGAGTCTATCGATCTTCTGGACAACCATAGCCGAGGAGAATACATTTCTAATCTGATGCTAGACATTGCCTCTGGAGTAGCATTCGTTCACAGTAAGGATAAGGAGTCCAGAATTGGTTTCCATCATGACATTAAACCATCCAATATCGTGCGCTACAGAGAGTACGATGCGGAGGTCTGGAAGTTATGTGATTTTGGGGGCGCGAACTTGAAAGATCTTCGGATAGAAGAGACTAATACCTCATTTCAAATGGCAACTCATCGATATGCTCCTCTAGAGTACTATGATGAGAAGAAAAGAGGCCGTCCTGCGGATGTTTGGTCTCTTGGCTGCGTCCTCCTGGAGCTAGTAACGATCTGGAAGTATGGATGGGGCCAAAACGGTTATACGGAATTGAAGAGACACATTGATGGCGATCTCAATGATTCGAGTGGGATTTCAGCTGGATCTAAAGACGTAACGATAGAAGAAGGCCGAAAACATGCCAACTACTGCGACAACAAATCTAAAATCGACCAGTGGATACAGCGCCTCGGGAATGACAACAACGACACGAAGAGATTTGGGGAAGTCCTTGATTTACTCCAAGAATTACTCCAAGAGAGACCAGAGCATAGAATTCTTGCTTGGGAAGTCGAGATCGAACTTTTCATAATAATGAGGAGATCTGAGCCTTCGCAACCTTGGGATAGCGTGATACAACGCCTGGAACAGATTGCGCAGCCCTCAAATCAACATAGTAACGCGATAATGCCACGCCACAACCCTCTCTTACGCGCGAGAAAGAAGAACAGACCGATAAATTTTCTTGCAGTAATAGAGAGAAAGGATTGGTCGGACAAATATCCTGGGTCAACGGACGAAGCAAGGAGACAGTCCAACGAAATAGTCAAGTGGTACTCAAACCTTGAGTTACAGGGGAATAGTGAGGAGTCGTACGGACGCCATACAGAAAACGCTTGGATTGAGACAGAGTTCAGTAAGGCCTCTTGCATTGGATTGTATGGTGTATACGGTGTTGGGTAAGCGAACTCCTCAAGCTCTGATCAAACCCAATACTGACTGTAATTGATTTAGAAAATCTCATCTTGCATTTCATTATGCACACCAATTCAACATCACCACCGAGATTCAGGCCAAGAAGCATACTTTTTGGATAAACGCAGAAAGTATGCGCACCGTGGAAACGTCATATGAAGATATCGCCAGCAACATACCTTTGGACAGACGTTTCTCAAACCGTATGGAACTTTTCGAAGATGTCAAAGGCTGGTTTGAGAACAGGAATACGGGACCGTGGATTATTGTCGTTGACGGCCTAAATTCGACCGAAATGGAGAGTGATATAATGAAGCTTCTTCCGGGAACAAGTCATGGGCAAGTTCTAGTGACTGCACGGACTCGGGAGACGATGTCAACCATATGTAAGGGTGCTTGTCTAGAGATAAAGCCCCCGGCACTAGACGCATCCTACAACATCTTCCAATACTACCTAGAGCCCGCCTACAACGACGAAGACCTTGAAGGAACTAGTGAACTTTTGGAAACACTGTGGCTTCCTCTCGTGGTTAAAATGGCAGCCACTTACATGAACAAAAAGAGGAAGCCAATCAGAAGCATGCGACAAGATCTAGAGGTCTACCGATTCCAACAAATTGCTGAGTTTTCGCACTCAGAACGCGTAAACTTCATGGAATACTTTCTGCAACCATTGACACAGCAGGAGAAACACTCGCCAGAAGTTAAGTTGCTTTGCTTCCTGGCTTGTCTCAGTAAAGAAAGAATTGGTCTCAAGCTGGTACAAGCGAACTACGAGCCTGACGAGCATCCAAGTCTAGATGGAAATCTTTCGAGCCTAGTAAATGGTGCGTTTATTGAGAAGTTCAACGAAGATTCGTTCCGGATGCAGAATTTCGTGCAAGAAGCTGTTATTGCATGGATCCGGGAGAAGCAGACCGAGCAAGGTCTTTTCGAGCTGCTGTCAGCTGTTTTGGGTACAATATATGTGCGATACAAAGAAAAAAAGAGGGCTCATGATCTTGACTCGACAGCTATTTCTCGGCACGGACTATCATATGGATTGAAGTTACCCTTCATGGAACACTTTGCCCGGTTCATGGAGTTTAAGCGTACAGCAAAGAGGGAAAAATTGCTGGAGTTCAAGTTTCATGAAAGAGCCATCGAGTGTATCGAGTCATTTTCACATGTGTTCGTTGACGAGGGCCGACTCAACGAAGCTATCGAAGTGCTCGAGTTTGCTCTCGAATACGCAGAACTTCCACATAGGAGTGAGAGAACGAGCGCCATGAGCGAAGAAAAAACAAGTTCTGTCATCCCCAACAGTAACCATTTGCAGGAAAAGTTGGTGCAATTTAAGACAGAGAAAACACTGGCGGAGGCGTATTCACGAAGGGGAGAGGGAGAAGATTATCGTCGTGCGCGCATGCTACTCAAAGGCCAACTACGATATCTGGAAGAAATTGATCGAAACAATCTTGCGACGGGCAGGGTGAAGTGTAAGAAAATGATATGGAATCTCCAAATTGATCTCGTAGATTTCTACTGGAAATTTGGCCGTCTTGCGAAGGCCAGGAAACAGTTAAGATCTCTCCATTTCTTGGAAGTCAAGGTTGGTCAAGAGTCTATTGCATTTGGCAGTCCAGGGGAGCTGCGCATATTCAAAAACGCGAACGAAAGCGAGAGAAAAAAGATTCAGTATATGAGTATTCGCTACCTCCAGTTTCAAGGGCTACTGCTTGCAGCCACTGGTAGAGCTTATGCTGCAAGCAAGTGGCCGCTTCTTTACTGGCAGGCTAATCATAAGCTGGCAGCGGCCAGAAGAAAACTCGCAAGAGCCGCGGAAACCTTGAAACAATGGCTACCAGACGAAGAGGCATACCTGATGGATATCGAGAATAGTATTTCAGACGTGGACCTGGAGTTGGGGACAATGCCTGGATCGCCTCATATGGAAAAATGTCTGTCACACGCCGAACGTGTCCTAGAGCGTCATGTCACGATCCTACGGCGTTCATCGAGTGAGTATAGGGCTTGGAAAGCGGAACGCAAATTGGCCGAAGTGCGCATTCATCGAGGATCAGGCAATGTTCAGAATATAGTCAGCAGCCTTGAGAGTATTATGACTGCCTACCAAACTCGGCCGGCTTCGTATAGCACAGAGACTTCGAATTGCGCTCGTATATTGGCGATTGCGTACGAAAAGCAAGGGCAACACGATCAGGCCCGAAAACTGCGTGAAGAGCACGGCCTGCTCCCGACAGATGAAAGAGAGAAACCATCACGGGGTTTCATTCCGGATGATGTGTTCCTTATGTTCATTTCCCTTCTACTCTTTCTGAACATAATTATAGCCATCTGCCTCGGGGTCACGGCTGCGGTAACATTTCAGGTGTTTCTTATTTCTTTGTTGTTATTTCGTTTCCCACACCACGGGAATAAATTGATGAGTCTATGACGAAAAGACAGGAAAACATCTCTTCCGTCCCCAATCTTTCGGTTTTCAGTATATCAATGTCAAATTTTTCAATGCGATCAATAACGTGTGATGATGATATTTCTACGGCTGAATGAGAGGTACGTAGTAGGAATACAAAAGAAGGGCTTTCCTGCTATTGCAAGACTCTTGGATTTAGGCTGAGATGAAGAGCAAACGTATATTGTAAACATAAAAAGAAGCCAGGCTGTGGCAGCACCACTGTACATGCTTCAAGGCAAGCACAAGCATAAGCATGGATGGCATGCCAGGTCGCACTTACTCATTATCATGTCTAGTGATGCGCCCTAAGCAAAGCTCATAGAGATCGAGTCCACAGTAAAATGAGTGAACCAGTAGGAAATACCAAAAAAAAAACCCCTCCAAGAAAATGTGGAATGAGATTGAAACCTTACGCTCGTGTTGAACAAGCGTGCATTGCAGGGGTGTTGAATTAACGTGTGTTGGAGGAGTGTTGAATCATGCGAAATGTTATAGTTCTGAGATAACGTATTCTGGAGGTGCCGCGAAGGTACTAGCCTTAAGCTTGCTCTTTACTGGCATGCGTCTCGCAGTTCAGTTGTGTCGGTGAAGTCAGAGTTGGAACTGGAAGTCGACCATCTTCGAAGGGAGTAATCGGCCCACTGGATTTTTCCCTCTTCACTCTCAGCTTCATCCAGCGATTTTGCAGGATCATGAACTGCACTCGTATTTTGCTTTTCGTATTCTTGACTGACATGTTGCTGATTTTCTGGCTGCACCAAGCTTGTGTCCTTCATACGAGGGGAGTTCATCGAATACTGAGATTGGTCGACACGGCTAATCTGCCTTTCGAAATCCGAGCACCTCTTGAAATGTTCGCTAGGAGGCTGTGTAAATGAGCTATAGTTCATAACATTCTCATGAATTGACGAGTTGGTTTGAGGAAACAACGAGTAAGGGCCCTGGACTGGACGATATTCATGATGACATGGGATAGGAGCGCGAGGGTCGGGATCAATAGTTTCTGTTGAGATGTCGAAGTCACTAGGAATTTTAGTTTATAGTATTTCCAAGCTCCGTTGTTCTGGCTCACCCGCTGCTGCATCTTGGATCGTGGGCATTCGGACGATGCTTCATCGCAGGATCGTCCTCTGGTCCAGACCAAGGAATGTGGTGATTGTTGTGACTATAGATCACTGGCCTGAACATTCGTATGCTACTCTCACGAATATCGTAAGCTTTTCTTCTGGACCGAGGAGATAATCGGGGTTGTGGAAGACGATAGGGCTGTTGGGACATGATGTCCTCATTTCGGGTGCTGCCGGCATGTGCCATCGATGAACCGTGTGCACCAGGCAATGCCCGCCGAGGGAGGCAAAAAAGATTGAACGGCCCGTACCATATTTATCACTGCATACTGGTATCACCTGGCGGCCGCACAGAAGGTTGAAAATGCCCCAGGCTTGTGAGTCACTGCTAATTCGACCAGGCTGGCGTATTGACTTGTGAAGGAAGACTGAATCCGCGAATTATGAGGGGGCGCAGTCTGAAATGATAGCGTAGTTCATTGTACCGGTAAGTACACCACACCACGTATGGAGACTGCGCCACCTTCCAATCCGCTCCGCATGGGTTATTAGCGCATAGTTGACTGAGGATCCAAAAGCAAATGATAAATGATGTACACGTATTCATCGCATTGCAATGAGGTACCGACATCTACAGCACTATCTTCCTCGGCCATGATTGAATAGTTTCCCTAGCTCGACTTATATGCTAAGGTAAATCCGTGCCCATTCCTGATATCACATTCTTGTAATGACACCAAGTGACATGTCTTCTTGTCTAAGTTCATGGGCAATCCACCGTGTTTTCTTCGTACTGTGTTGTATCGGAACTTATTGATTGCCATGGCCTCAATCACTAACAAACTACAACTTATGCGCGTACTCTGATGTCCTCAGAATCGTACGTCTTACGTCTGCCGTTCACATCTACTGTGTATCGGTTGTCGCTGGTTCCAACTGTTTCGATGATTGTGCCTGCTTCCCAGCCGATGTCTGCATATGTAATGAGTTCATGTGCGACTCAAATCTGGCCCATAGCTAGGCTTACCGCTCCGGTATGCCCATACATATGAATTCGCCGTATATTTGCTTCGACGAACGTCTCCATCTGGAGCAGCAGGACGAGTCATTTTTATCCACACTTGAACACGGGATTTTCACTGTTTAGCTCGACACCCAAATCAGTCGCACGTCTGTGTCCGAAAAAAATCCCAGAGATCCCACTAACCTATTCTAAGGCCGATGAAAACGGGCGAAGGTGGCAGATGGCGCGATCCTGCGTGTAAACAATGAAAATATGAGGACCATGTTGACCGGTGTGCAAGGTTGAAATGGTATGATTGATATATATGATCCGGTGTGAGGAATATTGAAGGCTTACCCCAATTGTCCTATCTAGGACTGCGGGGTAGCACATAGTAGACATTGCTGCCTACATACAGTCGAGTCTATCTGCCGGCATCTCAATTCTCGACCTTCTCGTATTCCATCAGTGACTTGAAGGCAGACTCCAAGCGAGCCTATCCTGCAACGCCACGATAACGCAGCCTTGTGACACAAAGACATGCATTTAATGCGAATCCAAATCCACCTTGTGATTGCACAAATGGGAGACCTCCTTGATCCTAAATTCTCTCTCGGCACCTCGGTCGGCTCGGTATGGATCCGGTATCGGCATCGGCTAGTATACTCACCTTGGTCGGAGCTGCCGGAGGATCCTGCAAATTCCTACATTCTTTCATTCTCGATATCGCGGACGCTCCGCGTGAGATACGGATTTCTAATCAGAAGTTGTGCTGCCTCGCTCGTAGCTTCGACTGCCTCACCAATGTCTACTCCAAGGTCCCATCACACTATCGGATCGACTCTACTGTCGTACATGAGCTTGAGCTCTTCATCCAAGAAATCTTCACAATAAATAAGGTGGTAAAATCCAAGGCCGCTTCACTTATCGATGAAGGTAGTGTGAAGCAGTTATGGCATAGTTTTCGATGGCTTCTATTCGACCGACGTTTGCAAAAGTTCTTTGCTAGCCTTGAACACTGGAACATAGTATTTTCTCAAGCAGTTGCAATATCCCAACTGTATGTAGTATTTATTTCAGACTTTGGAAAAAATGCTCCTAACTGGAATAAACAGGTCGTTACTCACAAACATAGAGGCTACACTTACGAGTTTGATATCTCTCCAGCAAAAGCTACCAGACAATCAAAAATCTGCTCCACAGATTTTCTTTCCATCTTCAAGCCGGCTTGCCGATATCTACTCGATACGGAAGCCCTTGGAAGGCTTAGATCATGACGGCGGCGAACCGGTGGCGCCCCGCCAACAGTCTCGTGATTCCAGGCAGCAGCTTTATTTACAGCAGCTGATCAATACCTTAGAGCCTGTCAATGTCATACGTGCCTTTATCCACCGGACTGGCTACAGCCCACTCAGTTGTGAAATTGGGATCGGACCGGTCACAATGCAGACTTGGACTGCCTCAGGGAAGAGGCAGTACCGCGCTAGTACTTTATTACAAGGAATCGGTGCATATGTCTCAGTACAAGAACTTGTGGTATTCAAAAGAAAGATTTCGATGTTGATCACTTGTTGTTGGGGCTTGGGTCGGCCTGATGGTTTGGACTTTCGGATTCGATTACGCTGCCCCCGCGTTGTACAATATGACGATCCCATCACTCGTGTGATTCGAAATGGAGATATTTTAAGTTTGAGACAGCTTTTGACGTCAAGGACTGCTAAGTTAAGTGACGTCACTAAGCATGGAGACTCTCTACTACATGTCAGTGCCCAAAAAGCATTTATCGTCCTAAAGCTTACACCAGATGTAGCTAGCGGTTCAGGAAGAGCAGGAAAATGTCGTTTCCTTTCTATTAGATCAGGGCATAGATATTAACGTCATGAATGACACAGGCGAGTGAGTGACCAGTGGATGGTACTATTATAGATACCTCTGACACTGTTGTAGAACACCATTACACACTTGCATTGAAATGGGACGAAATGAAAATTGTGCAAAACTACTTTTATCAAAAGGCGCGGATCCCTATTGTCAGGAGGTCGGGGGACGAACAGCTCTGCACACATATTACAATCCGGTCAGCAAGCGAATTTTGCAAGAAAACTACGAAGATCTGGATCCATGGACGCAGGACCATGAAGGAATGACCTTTCTACATTTCCTGTGTTGGAGCAGTAGGTCAACAATGGAACTGCTCCAACGAATAGAATTGCAAGACAATCAGTCGTATAAATCGAAAGGGTCCTGTCTCGATTTGAAGGACTCTTTTGGTCGCTCCATGCTCCACTTCGCTGCACAGCGAGGAAACATCGAGCTTGTACAATTCTTCCTGGCGCGCCCAAACGTCGATATGCTTGCGAAACCAGACTGGCATGGTAAAACATTACTCCATTACGCGACTGAAAGCAGTCGTGTCCATACTATAGATTTGATCCTCCGCGCGGGGTTCGATCTGAATGCGAGAGATGACTCCGGATGCACTTTGCTGCACCAGGCAGCTATGAAAGACAATGTCGCAGCCTTCAAACGGCTGCTGGACCTCGGTGCCTGGCATCAATTAACGTCCATAAATCGCAACAATGAGAGTCCGTACCAAACCGCATTGTCATATCATTCTAAAGACTTGCTCTTGTATCTCGATTCGTTGAAGCACTCCGAATCTTTATTTGTTCTGCCTGAGAATAATAAATCCGAACCGACCGCTTCCACTTCACCATATACTCACGCAGGCAAGTATTTCCAGATGCAAGGCTTCTGGGGCAAAGTTTCGTCCATGTACAATGCATGGCTTATGGCTTTATTGTTGATCGTTTTCTGGTGCACTTTTATATCCTCCTCGTCCAGGTCCAGTACTACGACATATTAGAATACCATTTACATTGCGGTAACGGTAACTGAATAGAGGGCCAGTCTTGATTCACTGCGATATGGGCTTCTACAGTACTCAGATAGGTATCATGAACTTCGAATCTCTCTTGTCCGTCATTTGTTTATATCTTGATGATAGATGAGATCTGGCAAAACTAAATCGGCCAAAATGAACGGCTTATCACTGCCATGTCCCACCTGCTCTTACCTTGAATAATTAAGTTGGGATAGAGTACGTAAGGATTCATCCGCTGATTTTTCTCCTACGTTTCCCACTGATGATTAATACCCTTTGTCAGAGGCGATCTACACGCTAGCAAAAATTTCCCGATTTGGTCATCACAGCACCAAAAAAAAAGTTCAGATGGCTAGTAGATTTATAATATCATAGCAGTTCCATATGTGCATAGTAAGAAAATATGAATGAATCTGCTTATACCTACTAAAATCGACACCAAAAAAATCAACAAGTCCTTACAAAACCCACAAACTCACTGCAAAATTGCTCTGTCTCACAACCTCTATCATTCTCAAAACTTCTACAAGTCTTCTCTCAAATAATGTCTCCAATCAACCTCCTCACACCCCCTTACAACTTCTCCCTCAAAACGCTCTACCGCGCACCTCCGCATCATTGATTCCGGCGTCCGCATCTCCAAAATCCCCACTTCAACCTCCCTATCCCCCTCCCCATCCACCTTCCCCACCTTCCCCCCTCTCCCAGCATGGTCCTACCTCATAACCTCCCCCACCACAAACCGCACAATCCTCTTCGATCTCGGCGTGCCCAAGAACTGGAAAACCACATATCCGCCACACCTCGTTAACCGAATCGAAGGACTAGGCTGGGACATCACGTTCACCGACAACGGCGTTCCCGAAGAACTAGACCGCGCAGGCGTGAAGGTAGACGATATCGAAGCCGTGGTATGGAGCCACTCGCACTGGGATCATATCGGGGATATGTCGATTTTCCCACCCAGCACGAACTTAGTTGTCGGTCCTGGATTCAAGGACAGATATGTCCCTGGGTACCCTACGAACGCGACCGGCGAGGTCCCGGAATCCGCGTGGACGGGCCGCACGCTGCGCGAGATTTCTCGGCAGGAGTTTGAAGGGTCTGGGGTTCGTGTTGGAGAGTTGTCGGCGTGGGATTATTTTGGGGATGGGAGTTTTTATTTAGTTGCTACGCCGGGACATGTGCCGGAAGGTGGGGAGAGGGACGGAGATGGGGGAGAAGATAGTTTTGTGTTTTTGGGCGCGGATATTTGCCATCATGCTGGCGAGTTGAGACCGTCGAGGTACTTGCATATACCTGAAGGCGATTGTTCGAACTTGCTTTCGTCAGGAGCGGTATGTCCGGGTGAAGTATCTCAATCGCCTCGGGAGAGTAAAGAGAGAGGTGGGGACGAGCCATTTTTCACGCCTGCGTTGGCTAAGGATACCCCGCTGGCTATGGACTCGATTTACAAGGCGCAGGAGGCGGATGGGAAGAATAACGTTCTGTTTTTATGGGCGCATGATGTGGAGCCGTTTGAGTCTGCGGAGCTTTCTCCCAAGTACGCAAATGATTGGAAGAAGAAGGGGTGGAAGGGGAAAATGATTTGGTCTTTCTTGGGGGACCTTGAACAGAAGGAGAAGGCATAAGTCTGTGGCCGACTAGTGCAAATCATCGTATTTTCAGTCATTACTATGGGATTTGGATATAAATTGGTGATGTGGACCGCATAGGAAAAGTCGACGCGATCACTGCAATGTAGGTTTCACATCATAACGATCGTCAATAGATTAAAGTGAAAACCTCATCCGCATTACCCATTTTCCTAACCACCTATCTTGTCCTATGCTCATTTCCCTATTAACAAAACGCAAAAGACACAATATCAACAGCAAAACGCTAGATAGACAACCCAAGAAAGACTCGCGTACTTGGCAACCCATAAGGTGAAACTCCTGTCACCCAGAACCCGCAAAACCCAAAAACCAGAAATCTCAACTCCCCCAGGAAAAAGGCTACTCGGAGAGGAAAACGACGCAAACAGACAGCGAGAACCCAGTCCCCTCACAAAAACGCCCTGGACCTGATAACAACCCGAATAGTCCGTTTCCTTTTGATGCTGCCCCCAGCTTTTGCTGCAACATCCGCGCCACCAACTCCAACAACGCTATCACTCCTCGCAACACCGAATCCATCATCATCATCAGCGTCGTCATCATCGTCAATGTCAGACCCATCTTCATCACTGATCTCAATCTCCTTAACCACATCGCCCTCCCTCAATTTCCCTTCTTCCCCAGCACCGAGTTCAAAAGCGACAAGGGTTCTAGCCTCGTCATCTTCATCATTAAGGTCATCAAAAACATCTCCTTCATCTTCGCTATCCCTTTGATAGCCGGATTGCTGCTGACTCTGGTCGGCATCATCCTCTTCTTCATCCACCTCCTCAACGACAGAAGGTGGATAAAACACACTCCCGTTGCGGTTTACGTAAAAGTTGTTATGGTGGTGCTCGGACCTCCTCCTCGTCCCCTCCCCGTCATCCACGGAGGTCCCACCTACTACAAAAAACCCTTCTGACCAGAGGCGCGCCTCACAGTGCCACGCAGAGACGACACTTTCCTCTTTTCGCTGACCGCTGGGTTGAACTCGCCTATATCGCTGCTGGCACCGGGAACTGTGAGAAGTCCGATACCAGAGCCGCGGCGGCTGCGGTTGACGATGTCGCCGGCTTCGCTACCACCCTGTAGGCTCAGGACGCTGCGACGCTCCAGCCGAAGGTTTTTGAGGCCGTCGAGCTCGCGCTCTAGGCGGACCGACTTTTCACGTTCTTCGCGGAGTTCGCGCTCGGCGCGTTTGGCAGCCAGCTGGTTGTTAGAGTCTGAGGATTGCAATTCGTCGATGGTGGAGAGGAGAGAGGAGAGTTTATCACGGGACTTGTTGAGATCTTCCATGATGGAGGCGTTTTGTTTGTCGCGGCGTTCGATCTGGTTTTGAAGGTCCTTAACCGTTCGGTCAACATTACGGACGCTACGAGACTCGTTGAGTCGAGTGGACTCGGATGACTCTAGAGCTTTTTCAAGCTGCATGATGGTGTTAGATATATTCGTAAATGTATGCACGTGCAGATCGCTTACCTCTTGGATGCGGCCATGCAAAAATCGCACATCCTTTCCAGACGAGCCGGTAATGCCTTTAGTCTCAAGATCGACCAGACGGAGTTGAAGATCCTTCAGGTTCTTCTCCACTGCAGCCTTATCCTTGTGTAGCTGCACGTTGTTCTCACGTGCTGAAGTGAGATCCTTCTGAATCTCTTGTGTAAGAAGCTCAGCACGGCGCATCTTGCCAACAGCAGCAGCAGCGATGTCTTCTTGGTGTGCTAGGCCGGATTTGAGTTCCAAAAGTTCTCGGTCATAGGTGGCAGCGTTTCGCATGGCTGGTGACTCGGATTGTGCGAGATCTTCAAGCTTCTGGGCGGCCTCTTGTAGGCGCGATTCAAGTCGCTTCTTCTCCTCGATAGCAGAGTCGCGTTCGGCAGCAACGTCATCGACATTGGTGCGAAGAGCGCGGACTTGTGATAAGAGGCTGACAATCTTAGACTGCGCCTCGTTATGAGCATTGGCAGCTTCATCGCGGGAGTTGGAAATGTCTTGTAGAGTCATTTCAAGGCGACTCTTCTCCTTCGCCCAGGTCGATGAGTTCAGGACCTCATCATCCCACTTGTTTCTCAACTCCTCGATCTCTTCGCGTAGCTGACCGTTCTCCTCTCGAGCGTAGATGACGTTTTCGCGCTCGAGATCCAGCTCATGCGTAAGTGCTGATAGCTCCCCTTGATACTTCTTGCGGGTCTGCTCAATCGACGTTTCGGTATCTTCGAGGTCGTGAGCACGCTGGTTTCTATAGTCTTCCAGTTCGTTCTGCAGACGCTTCTTGGCCTGCAAAGTACTCTCGTAGTCGGTAGAAAGATCTTCAACACGCTCCTCGTATTGCTGCACTTGCCGCTGAAGGTCTTCAACCATACCATCCATCTCTTTCCGCTCTGCCATCACGGTTGCGCACGTATCTTCAGCTTCCCTGGCTTGATTTCTTGCGAACTGCTCGGCTCGGGAAGCTTTGAGAACTGCAATCTCGGCCTGCTCAAGTTTGTTGAAGTACTCGTCTGCACGGCTCTTGTATAGCATGAGACTGGATTGAACATCGACTAATGTCGAAGTCTCGTTGTCAAGTCGTATCTGAAGATCGGCAAACTCCTGGAGCAACTGGTTATGATTGGCGTCATCCTCCTCTTGTTCGGCGGCGATCTCCTCCAATTCGGATTTTGTGTCGCGAAGTTCAACCTCCAAAGCGATCTTTGCCTGCTTGATCTCGTCAAAAGCGGCTTTGGCATCTGCAAGCTCATTGACCGTAGCGTTGTGCGCTTGCACCGCCGATTTCCTGTTTTGCTCCTGCGAATTCAAGAGATCGAATAGCTCTTCATGAGACTTGGTCTGCACTTCCTTGTATGACAATTCGCCAGATCGAAGGCTGTGTTCCAGAGAAGAGACCTTTTTCGCGGAATCATCGAGCATGTCGTGAAGGCGGAAGTTCTCGCGCTCGAGCTTCTGGACTCTCCGCAGCGAAGGACTTTCGTCCTGCCAGTTATTGCGCGTAGGTGAACGGTCAAGTTGGTTCTGAAGGTGCTTGACTCGCATTTCCGACATTTCAAATTTGTTTTGAAGTGCCTCAAGCTCGGAAGCTACATCCATGCGGTCCTTGTAAGTAACAGTGTCGACAGTGTGGTCCGAGCGAGCTGAATGAATGGTGGCATTGCTGAGTTGTCGCTGGTAGGTAGGCGTGTTTGCCCTCGAGACAGGCTTCCGGTTCTCGCTATTGTTGCGGTGATGCGCGGGAGAGCGAGGAGCGTTCGCTTGGTTGACTTGACTGCTGTTCATCTCTTCCATGAAAGCCCGTTTGGAGTTAGCATGACGGGCATCCATATCGTTGATCTCGTCTTCATGCCTTTCACGTAGTTCATCAAGCTGGGTTTCCGCCCTCGAGTACCGCTCAGTGGCAACGCGCAAAGCCTGATTCATTGCTTCTAGACGCTCGGCGACGTCGACAGCACGCGAAATACCCGGCTTCGCAGCATCGTATGTTGGAAGAGCGTCGCCACTTTCGGGGTCAAACACTTTACGGAGGAGCACGAGTTGGCCACGGCACTCCTCTAGCTCCTTGTGACTATTGTCGAGAGCCGCCTGCACCGCACGCGTATTCGCCTGAGCTTGTGTGCGCAATTGTCGTTCAGTCTCCAGCTTTCGGTTCGCTTCAGCTAGCTGAATACCAGCAGTCGAAGAAGTCTTTTCGGCATTTCGACTGCTCTTGTGCTCACGGGTGATCTCATGGTTTAGATCTTCAAGCCCAAGAGCAAGCTTCTCCTTCTGCTTTTCCAAGGATGCAATTGTAAGCTGAGCATCTTCGAGATGCTTAGACAGGCGTTTGTTGTCATCTTCAACCTTGGTCTTTTCTTTCGTCAACTGTGTGATACGTGAACGTTGGGTCTCCCCCGCGCGAGAATTCGAGCGCGCAATGTCCAGGTTCTTTTGAGCGACCTTGTTCATCAGCGCGCGGTTGTCATTCTCTGATGCCGTAAGTCGGCCCTTGACTGTGACCAATTCGCGCTCCAGACGTTCCTTTTGCTGATCATTCCGAAGTTTGAATGAGTCGGAATCTGCGAGCATTTGAGTGAGATTGTGAACTTGCTCTGAAAGCTCATTGCGCTCCACTTCCAACTGGTCGAGCTGCTTGTCTTTGGCTTCCAACTCTTTCACTTGTTCTGCCTGCCGCTGGAGCGCTATCTTGGACTGAGCACGTTCCGCAGCAGCGTCAGCATCGAACTTTTCTTCTTGAAGTTCCAGATACTTTTCACGAAGTCCGCGCAGCTCGTTCTGGTATTCTTTTCGCTCTTTTTCGGTCGCCGCCCGCGTTTCGTTGGCTCTACGGAGGACATCCTGTTGTGCGTACATTTCCTTCTCAATAGTGATCTTGGAGTCATTGAGAGCGTCGAAATCCCGTTTAAGCGTATCGTACTTGTGCTCAGCTAGCAATTCAACGTCGTCACGGGACTGTCGTTCCCGGCTAAGCTCCCGTTGAACTTCGAAAAGCTCGTTCTTCAGAGTGTTCATCTGCTCTTCAAGGAGTTTTCTCCCTTCACTTGACTGGGCGTCCTCCGAGATCTTCTCTTCCAGCAAACGCTTGACATCCGTCACTTCACGTTCAAGCTGTTGTTTCTGAGACCGCATGACATCCATTTCCGCTTTAGCATCGCGGAGACGGCTTTGCAGGTCGTCATGTTTGCTTGCCAAGTTTTGCTTCTCATTGTCGAAATTTTGGCGGTCGGATTCGTACCTCTTCAGATCGGCTTTCAAAATAGCGAGCTCGCTTTCTTTTTGCCTGATCAGATCTTCATAGCTGGTTGAAGTGGAGGAGAGATCGGCAATCTGCTGGCGTACTTGGCGATTCTCGTCCAGTAGATCCTTGACCTGTTGCTTCGTAGAGTGCAACTCCTTGTTGGATGCCGCAAGTTTAATATCCAGGTCTTGGTCCGTCTTGAGCAGCTTGGCCTCTAGTTCCTGCAGCTTTCTCTCCTTCAAACTGAGGTGGCTCTGTAGCATCTTGACTTCCTGGCTCAAAGACTCCTCGGCTTGACTGCGCTCAGACTTGGCGTTCTCGAGATCCTGCAGCTGCTGATCTAACTGGGAAATTTGGTCCTCCAGATCCTCTTTCTCGCCTTCCAACTTGCCTATGATCTCACCGGCTTGCTCCAGATCCGATCTGAAAAGCTCAGCTTGATCTTCGGCAGCCTTTTTCGCTTCCATGAGCTCATCCAACTGATCTTCGAGTTTGTCTTGATCCTCAATAGCACCAGCTAGCTTCTCGGAGAGTTCTGTTTCCCGCAATTGCAGGCGTTTGAAAATTTCTTCCTTATCAAGAGCCAGAGCGCGCTCGCTTTCGAGCGTCTTCTGAATGCGCTGGATATCCATCTCCGCTCTTCGTCGTTCGTCTTCGACTCGTTGTTTGTCGGCTGCTTCCTGGGCCATCTTCTCCTCGAGTTTCTGGATCATCTCCTCCCGCTTCTTAACCTCGGCAGCTTGACGTGTGGCACCAAGCATGGGCCTCATGCGGACGAAGAGATTCCACCATGGGTTGGATTGAAGATCGAGATAGACCCCAAAATTGCGTTGGATGATTCGCGTTGCCTCTGCTCGATACAAACGTTTGTGAGCAATGCGACGTTGAATGAAGCCTCGGGCAGCGGATTGGAAACGGGAGATGATATCACGGATGAGGTTGTCTCGTTGCTCTTCCAGCTCAGCGAGAACACCCGCTCGGAAAAAGACTTTGGTAAGACCAACACGGTAGAGGGCGCGGTCGAGATTAAGCTTCTCAAGTATGATTTTGGCGGCAGCTTGACCCTCAACGTAGCCCTTGGGCATATCATTGCACAACACCTCATACCGCTGGCGGAATTCAACAAACGGAAGACGATTAGGGAAGCCAGTGCGAGCAATACGGATACCCTCAAGTACACCGTTGCATCGCAGCTGATCCAGAACAAGCGGCGCACTAAACTGTTTCGGTCGCTTTTTGTGATTAGGTAAGATACATCGAACGAAGTGTGGGTGTGTAGAATGGAGCTGTGTCATAAGCGACGAGAGTTGTTCTTTATGGCGTTGGGCGACGGTACGGAAGAGACCCTTCTTGACCCGATTCCGAGAGCTACCAGAGTCATCTTCGGCATCGGCGCAATCTGCGAAAAGGGTCGAGATATGCTTGTCTGTAGAAGCAGCGAGAAGGCGGGTAACGTTATCGTTTAGAGGATCCTTGTTCTTCTCCAGCCAGCCTTCCGTGGTGTATTCTACTTCGGCAGCATAGTGGGTGAGCATGAAACCCTGCGTCAAGAGGGACCGCTTGTACTTGTTGCTCTTTCGGTCCCATAGAGCGTGCAGCTTTTCTGTAAAAGTCTTGTCGGAAGCTTTGGGCATTACCGAATCCTCGTCCAAACAGGAGAAGATACCGATTGGGTTGGAAAGTTCTATCAAGTCGATCGTCGGCTGGAGATCTCGGCCGAAGTCAATGAATTTCCACTCAATCTGCTCTCGTGCGTATTCCTCTTGCTCTAATACGAACATATGGTGGTTGAAGAATTGCTGGAGTTTCTCATTGGTGTAGTTGATGCATAGTTGTTCGAAACTATTGTCTTCGAAAATTTCGAAACCCGCAATATCGAGAACACCGATGAAGTGAGAATCATCGCCGCCAGATCCAGTTCGATCGAGCTGTCGGTTGATACGATCTACCAAGTCGCCAAAGCCACGTTCGTAGATACCCTTCGCTAAAGCATCGATGGCCAGGTTGACTTGGTCTGGTGTTTGGACCTTTTCAACCCACTCTCGGCCGGCCTTGACGCGAGGATGCAACAAAGCCTTAACGAAATCTTCCATCGGTATACCGAGCAGCTTACAGACTTTTTGGGCCTGTTCAATAGCTTCGGGCTCGAAGGCGGCTTGATCGGCGCGCCGACTCTCTTTGATGGCTCGAATGTTACCAAGCTGAAGCACGGCAGCCACAGCCCGAATGATGGCTGATTGATCTTTCTCAGTGAAGCCCATGATGTGGAACGCTTCAATCAGCGCATTCCACTCGTCCTGATCCGACACGCCTGAGATTGTGTCATTTCCATGCTTTGTGTAGTCGAAATCTTCCACGTCCAGGCCATCTAGGAGAAATTCCCTTTTCATCTCTGGATCGGCTCCCCGGAGTAGCTGATAGAACACATGGTAGTTACGTTCGTTTGAGTTTGGTCGGACAACTCTTGACTTTTCCAGCAAATACCAGTCTATGTAGGCTCCCGCTATTTGACCGGTACGGGAGAACTCAATGCGGATGAATTTTCCGAAACGGGATGAATTGTTATTTCGTACTGTTTGGGCGTTTCCGAAGGCTTCGAGGATGGGATTGGCGCGGAGGATCTGTTCAGAAAGATTGGAATGCTGCTTGCCTCCAGACTTGCCCCGGGGGGTATCCGATGCGGCGACCGCAGCCAGATATTGTATGACTTTCTTCGTGTTCTCGGTCTTTCCAGCACCGGATTCTCCACTATTATGGTCAGCTAAAATCATGATGTGTGAAGCTATGAACGTACGTGACCAGAATACTTTGGTTTTCACCTTCATCGACCAGATTCCGGAAGGCCTCGTCGGCCATGGCGAAAATGTGCGGTTTTGTCTCTTCCCGACTTCGGCCCCGATACATGTTGATGTAGTCACGGGAATAAATGGGGAGTGGACAGTAAGGATTTATCGTGACCAAGAACAGGCCCGAGTACGTCTGATATGGGGCATTAGTCTGCTGCCTGCTGTAGCATATAATCAGTCGGCCAACTTACATATATCAGATCTGCTTGGTATCGCATGTGCAGGTTGTGAATGACGGAGGGTTCATTCAAATGTGTGAGTTCGGCCATGTCATCCGCCTTGTCGAACTTGGCCGGATTGACCTTGTCGACAGACTCAGCATCCACCTCGTGCTGTTCTCCATTATCGCACTGGACCAGCAGTTGGCCGCCCGGTCTTTCTTCCACGACCCATCCTCGCACAAAAGCGGTTTTCGGATCCCTCAGCCAGACGTAACGCTTCCCCGAGAAGTCATTCTCGCCCTCAATTCCTCGCACTTCGGGAATATCCTGCGAACCGTCTTCAATGAATTTAGGGGCAAAGGTGCCAGCGGGAGTGCTGTTTCGATTTGAATTGGCGCGCATTCTACTTGTGTCGGGTCTGGCCAAAGCTGAGCCGCCAAGCTGGGTGAGTGATTGGTTGCGCGTGTGGCCGGTGTTGTTTTGCGACTCGAGAAAGGGGGATGAGAGAACGGCGGATTTGGGGCGTTGAGATCCAGCGGAGGGGGGCTGGACAGGCGAGGAGGATGGAGAAGCAGATGATGGGTTCCTGGCAAAAGGACTGTTTCTCGACCACCGGGGTCCATTCTGAGCGGGAGCGCTCATGGCGTTGTGTGGGTTTGGTATGTTATGTGTAAAGGGAGGGAGGTATGGCGGCAAGGGCGATGTCGTTATGCTGTAACCTCCATGCAGCGCACGAGCATTATCGAAACAGAAAAAGAACAAATGCAAAGATCCAGATGAAGCTGCCTGGTAGCAAAAACGCCAATTACAGCTGATATGTACAGCGACGATGGAGTGAGGCGGTGGGGAGGTGATCAATGCGGAGAGACCAGATACCTAGGTGGATGACGGCGGCGGCGGGCGGGTTTGTTTACATTTGTTCGTCCGGCTGGCAACCGGCAGCCAGCAACAACAACCCAGCGCGCCTGCCATGACTGCGCGTAGCGTGCTTTTAGCGAGAGCACGTGACTACAGCCCGGCGCATCCAAGATCGGAAGGAAGGAAAGAAGGCCCGTGCGTTGTGCTCGGCTGGAGCCCATGTGAGAGAAGATTGGTGAAAGAAAGAAAGCCGTCACCACTACCACCTACTACGCCTCACCTCCATCCACTTACAATCCTCACTCACCCTTCGCCATCAACAACGACGTTTCACCCCCGCTTCCGCCAACCTCCATCTATTACCGCACTCCTCCTCGCCCGCTTTGGTCTTTCTTCCTACACGTAAATATATGCTGTAGGCGCATACGCTCGTGCACAACGCGCGAAACTCCACATCTGCACTACGCGCCACCATGGCGACGAATTGGCAACCCCCCTTCGGCTTGCCCTTCACCATGCCTATGCCGCCGCAGACACCTCAATCTCAGTCGCAGCAACATGGCCAGACCCCGAATGGCCAATACCAGTCGCAAAATGCTTCTTGGACACCCCAGACCGACGATCACGCGAACCAGTGGGCCATCCCAGGCCTCAACAACCAAACCTACAACCAAAATTCCCAATCATCCTATTCACCTTCACCAGGTACGTCACCAATCCCGTTTGCAGGGTGCCAGTGCCTGAAGCATGTGAGAATGGTCGGTAGTGTGATTCGTATATATGCTCAAGTACACAACTCTTCCTGTACATATGTACAACTGTGTAACTGCAAATATGCGTCGCATATACCGGCTTTCTCACTCTGGTCCTGCGCACACACTGTAGTTGCTTCCCCGTTTACCTCTTTCCATCCTAACACGTCACAGCTGCCTGGCCGTCCTCTTTCCCCACTCCGCAAATGTGGCAACAGGCGATGCAGATGCAGATGCAGTTTCCCATCATGTCAAACGGCGCATTCCCTCCACCACCCATGCTCTATAACAACCCTCCTCATACCACAACTCATCCGCCTCCACCAGGCCTTCCACCCGCTGCACCCACGTTTCAACCCGCGCAACCACCTCCGCCACCTGCAACTAACCGGCAGCAGCACTACCATATGGATGCGATGGATGTAGACAAGGAAGACGGCGAACTGAGTGAAAGCGACCCCGCTTCTCAATCGCCCGCTGGACATGCAAGTGCTCATCAACCCCCGCCTCCTCGATCTGCTCCTCAGGCAGCACCGCGAAGCAACGGGCCTATATATGCTAGTCATCGGGAACGCTACACCCCAAATCAGCAAGCCGCTACGCAGAAATCGACTGTTGAGCCCGAAGCTACCGATAGCATAGTGCAGCAGCGGGACGAGGCTCAAAAGTTCATTAAGCTCTTGCACGGTAACAATATCGGCTACCGCGCTTTGGCCAATGAGGATCTCGATACCGACCTTCTACGGGGCTTATATCGATCTCTGAATCTGCCCTCTGAACCCGAGCCTGTACCACCACCCAAAGCCACTACTGGGCCGGCGGCTTCCACCGCGCTCTCCGCGACTACTCCTTCCACCCCGACCAACAATACCGCCGTGTCAAATAACAACAAGCTGAGCTCGGTGAAAACCAACATTGCGCCAGTCCCGCCTACCAAGTCTGCCCCATCTCCGGTTGACCGTAAAGATTACATTGCGCGTTTGCAAGCTGCGAAAAAAGGAAAGCAGGTTGCAGCGACCAAGGCTGCATCTCCGCAACAAGCGCAAACGCCGCCTGCGTCCGCTACTCCCACGCCAGCAGCCAATGCTCAGCAGCCCAGCGGAGAAGAACAGCAGACCCAACAGGCTCGCCAGAACCGGGTTATACAAGAAAGGATCCAAGCACTGAAGAACAACCCTGCCACGCCTGTTCCAACGCAGCCTGCGGCTAGCAAGACCCCGCTTAGCAACGGACCTCCCGCGACTGGTCTTCAATCTCCTGCTTCAACTGCCGTAGTGAAACCCTTATCTCTTCCTGCAAAACCTCAATTGCCATCACAAGTCACCCCTACGACGCCGTACTCTGGTATTCCCGGGCTGTTTATGAATTTGCCGTCCACAATGCAAGGGCCTCCCCCCACTTTGAGCGGCACAAAACGGCCTCTGCCTTCCGATTCCATGGACACACCAGCAGCTGCTACTAGTGCTAACCCTGAGCCAAAACTTGTCATCGAGCCGAATAATCACAACAATAATGCTGAAACTGAAGGTGCCCGGCCTTCTAAGCTGCCATTACGAACTGCGCAGCAAAACGAACAACGAGTTGCCGCACCGAACGCTGCGAGCACACCATCACGCCCTGCATCTGTCAATCCTGTTCAGTCAGCAGTCAGCACGCCTGATATTCAAGCTCCCTCTAGCCAAGCACGCAACGAGGAGATGGAAGACAAACAGAAACGCCTCGCCGCAGCAAAGCTACAGGCAATTCAAAAACTGAAACAGCAACGAGAACAAAACAAACAACAGAAGGCAAAGCTGGCCGAAACACCTGAAAAGGAAACAATGGTGCAACAAGCGACTGTACCCGCACCCACAGTACCTCCACCTGCGAACACAACTCAACCGGGGGATATTGCAGCTCCAGGCGCCTCTTCTATTGCACACGTGGATGAAGGTTCTCTGCGAAGTGTCAAAAGGCTTCGTAGAGCCAAGATTGAAAAAGACTTGCCCGACTTGGATGCGGAATTGGCGGCTAATTCAGCAAAGATGGATAAGCTGGCCAAAGAATTGCAGGAACTTGCTGCCAATGACAAGCGCATGCAGGAGGATAAGGCGAAGCTGATTGAAGAGCTAGAGCAGCTTGGAATTGACACCGAAGGTATGGAGCACAGTGAGTTGAGGGCTACCAAAGAGGCGATTGATCGAGAACAAGCAACCGCTGTTCCTCCTGCTGGTTCTGAGCCATCTGCTGCACTGCATACGTCACCTGTGGACTCTACCGCACCAGCTGTTCCTCGCTCCTCTCCGCCTAAGCCCAGTCAACCTAGTAGTGCACTAATTGGCTTGCCTCCTAAACCTGTCTCAGCCGCGCCAATCGACGTGACACCTACGCACAGCAGTGGTATTCCGGGACTGGGAGCTCCGATCACTCGACCATCCTTTGTTGATGCGGCGTATGGCTCACGATCTGGGACTAATGCCTCGAGTCGATCAGATGCTGCCTCCGCGGCTCCCAAGGCTTCTGCTGTGACGGAGTCTGCAACGCCCATGACCGAAGAGGAGGACTTCTACTCCCCCAAGGAAGCCGATGCCCGTTCAAGCAAAAATGTGGTCCCAAATTCCCCTTCTGAAGATGGCGAGGTCGCTATGTCCGAATCCGAGGAAGAGTACGAGCCTGACGAGCCGCAAGTACTTATTCAGCAGGCGCCGCCTCAGCCCGAGCAAGAAGCTGCACCTAAATTGACCGATGATGTGACAACTGCGACCTCACCGACATCGACCTCTGGTGACGACGGGGAGCTGTATGAGCCTCCTGCCGCAGGAACAGCAGTTCCCAGCACTCAGCCACATGAGCAGGCTAACGTCCCAGATACTAGTGCATCTCCCGACGAGGCCGAAGAGGCCGACGATGGCGCTATGGACATCTCTTCGTCGGAAGATTCAGACAGCTCCGATTCAGATTCGGACTCTGACTCTGACGCCGATGCAACCACGAAAAGCCCTCCTCGAGGAGTGATTGTGATCAACGATGGTGGTGCGTATGAATCCTTGGAAAGGGCTCACGTGGAACGTCGCTAATAGTGAAAAATAGCACAACCTGCAGACAATGTGGTTTCGGATCCCGAGCAAGCTGTATGTAACCCGCCTGCTTTAGGGTCGTACTAATGCCGTGTAGACTGCTGTAACCCAACAACCACCGGTCGATCCTTGGGCGTATGTCCCTTATGAGAGTCCATTGCGAAAGTTCAAGTCGTATCGCTATCATCCCAAGTACGCTGGGGAAGTACAGAGCGGCTATCTATCTTTAACTTATAGTCATCAAATTGACCCTGATACGCCTGTCTGTCCCACCGAGGCACAAGGAGAAATGTGCTTGGACCCGATTTGTCAGAACCAGCACTTTTGTCAAATGAGTATTAGTGGTGGGTGCCACTCCTCACCCTCTGGTATACGCAGACTAACTATGATCAATGTAGGTGAAAAACTTCTCGTGCAGCTTGGCACTGCCAATCCGGGTAAGACACCTGATGAGAAAACGCAGTGGAACGAAGGGCTCCGCAATGTGTTGAAGAATCTTCGAAAGGAGAATTCCAAGGACCCCAACGCCATTGCTCAGGAGATTGCCAAGTTCCGTCGCGAGTTCCTGAAAGACGATACCCGAGTCGTCAATCTCCAATGACTTCGTAGTATGAACGGGTCGAAAGTGATTCAGAAGTAGAAGCCTTTGGCCGAGACTCTTCGCACAGATGGATATCAGTTCCGCTGTGTCCTTCTACCCCTCTAACAATTTCGCCCGCAGTGCCATATATATGATCGAAAGTCCGTCTAATCGGCTGTATATACATCGTGGGACAGGTTCGATTGGCTCGAGCTGAAGGCGAAAGGGGACACGAAAGTTTCCTCTTCCGCTTTGCTGGTTCGATCATGTTCTGTTTTCTTTCTTGGCATCGATACCCCAGCATACCCTTGGAGTTTGGTCCCGTCGGTTGCTCTTCTTTTTCATTTTTCATATATGGCCTTTTTGTTTTAATACCCTTCTCTTCTTTCCACTTTTGAACATACTTTACCTTCCCCTTCCCCCTTCTAGCTAGCTTGAGTCGTGACAGACGATGAGTTGGAAAGGAACAAAAATAAAGAAAAAGAGAAAAAAAAAAAGGGAGAATGGATCCTTCGGAATTCGGGCTTACGCCTGGCACTCGCCGCATAAAAAAAAAGGAACGGCGAGCATGGTTGATGGGAAACGAGCTCGAGATTCAAAACTCGTCTCAGGAGACTGCCCAACAACACGAGGCAAAATTGAAGGCTACAGGCCCAACGCGAGCTTGGCCAAACTCCACTCGTAGCTTACTTTTCCATAATGAGAAGATCTTTGGCGGAAGGGGGAAGGGGACCTTTTAAAACAGGTGTAATGGGCAGGGGGCTCTCGAGGAGAGCGAGCAGACACGCAGCGGAGTGTAGACCCCCCCTCTTAGCTCTTGCACTTTCGCACATACACACACACAACATAAAAAAAAGTGTCTGTGTGTGTGTATGTGTGCGTGTGTCTGCGTGTCTGCGCTTACGAATGGAACTCCATTTGATTAAATCAATCCCCTTTGAAAAATAAATCTTGCTTTTGGTCTTGATCTTGATCTTGATCTTTTCTTACAAGTGCCTCTTCTATCGCCCCCCTTATGCCAAAACGCCCTTTCTTCGATCTCACACAATCTGTACACACATACATTTACAAAATCACCCATCTATTACATTACCCTAGTAAGAGGAGACGTAAATAAAATTTAAAAAGAAAGCAAGAAAGATGGGAAGCTAGAAAAGCAGCAGGGAAGAAGAAGAAGAAGGTGTGCAAAGTCTTTTGAATTATTTACTTGTCAAATATGCGTATACGTATATGTATAAACATATGTGTGTATACATACATATATATATATGTACATATATATACATTGGCACATTTTGCTAGTAACAACTAGAATTAAACAGAGAAAGGCTCAAGACATAGAAGAGGGAAAAAAAGGTTGCATGTTGAAAAAGTAAAAACGAAACACACACAGGGTGTTGATGAGAAAAAAAAAGACAAGTTGCATATATATATACATACATATATAGAGAGAGAGAGCCAACTACAAACATGTGTAGGAAATAGATAGCTAGATGTACATGTTATGTTCCTTATTGCAACTTCTATCCCATCTGTCCGTCTGTTTAATATATTTACACAACTCTGCTTCACTCGTCCCCCTTTCACTCAAACCCGCTACCAGAGAATCCAGTCTAATCTAAATCTCTCATGTACCCAGTCCAAGCAATAAAACAAAACTATCCTTTCCCTCTCTCTCTACAATATCGCAAGTGGGGGGTAGTTTGAAATCAGAAAAAGAAAAAAAAAGCGCAATTCTTTTCTTTTCTTTTCTTTTCTTCCTCCCCTAATTGCTAACTGGGATTCCCTACTAAAACCGAGAAAGCAATTGATATATTCCTCCGTCTATTCTCCTCGGAAGAAATCTTCAACTGAAAATTCCAGCGGAAGAAACCTATGGGGTCATTCTTTGCACATGACTCCATCACATTCTCTCTCCCGAAAGCCCGGCCTCCCCCACAAAAGAAAAAAAAAACACACAAGGAGAAGAAAACGCGTGATCAAAGATACCTCCCAGCTATAGCTATACAACGCCACTGCTACAAAACGCAGCAAAATCCCAGCAAAACCAAGGAGAACTTTTGTGTATACTCGAAACAGCGCAAAGATCAAGAAAGAAGGGGGATACAAAAGAGACAAAAGCAATACAACAATGATGGGAGAAGAGCAAGAACCCGCTTCGCCGAACAGCAACACCATTACAACAAGGTCAAAATCAGAAACAAAAAGCCTCCAGAGGGTTGGGGATCATAAACACATTACTTCATTAAGAGCGGAGAGGAGCGATTCTTCAACAACTCCAACATTCAGGGACGAGATGGAGAAGGAGAAGAATCACGCCACATAAGCCGGCGGCGGCGCATCTTCTTCCTCACTGCTCATCCACATCCCTCTTGACGGCGCAGACGACGACAAATTTTTTGCGGACGATGACGACGACACGTCTTCGGATCGGCCCCGCGACACGCCGCGACCCTTCTCCTGTTGCACTTTGAGCGCAATCTCGTTGGCCATCTTCATCATCCACGCCTGCTCCAGGATCCCGCCGGACGAGCTGGACGTGCTCTCCGCGTACGATGGGGATGTAGGGAGTTTCGAGTGCGTGGCGGAAAGCGACGTCACTTTATCGAAGGAAAGAGAGCGGAGAAGAGGGGAGGTGGCTTGTTGGGTGGGGCGAAGGCGGTTGCGGGAGAGCGGTGGTCTGCTCGAGTGGCTTCTTTGCCTCTCTTCCATTTCGGGTTCGTGGAGTCGGATAGGGACTGCGGCGGCGGTAGCGGCGGGAGCCTTTGGTTTTGGTCGCGAGAGTTTAGGTGCATCGGCTAAGAGTGGGGCGGCGGGCAGGAGGACATCCGCGCTGGCGGTTTGTTCCATCAATCGGCTGGGTCCGGCGGCATTCATAGTCGGATGTGACCCTTCAACGCGGTAGTACGAGTCTGAGGCACTCGTTGGTGTGGTCACGAGGTCCTCCATTTCTCGCTCCTCGGGAATGGAGCTTGTAGTGTCAGAAGCACTCGTGTTCGCCCTTGGGGTAGATGGCTCTGTGGGAACGCCAGGCGATTCGGCACTGTCCTTGCTCTTGCGAAGATCGACAACACGCTTCTTGCGCTTACGCATCTGTCCACGAGTCCCCCGGTTCGCACCGAGGCTTAGACCCGCGGGTGCGGAGTAGTTGGAAACAACCGTTGGCCGTGAACTGTAAGTTTCCTGGCCAGTGCTTCCCGATGCGACGGACGATGCATGTGATCGGTTGCTTCCGAAAGTAGACTGTATCCTAGATAGACTCGATTGTGTAAGGGCCGGAGTGGCGGTGCCAGAGTTGGACTGATCCGGATTGTTGGCCCAGGCTCGGAAAACGACTTCCTGGATGCCTGGGGTAAAGAGAGACAGCGTGCGCTGTGATTCGGATAGAGCGGCGAGACGGAGGATGTTGCTCTTGGAAAAGGAAGCGTGCATTTCGGAAGCAGGGTCGAGGGAAAGCGCGGTGATTTGCGAAACGTCGATGGGGTTGCCGAACGAGTCGATGGCATCTTGCGGTGGTGTTAAGAGTGGGTCTATGGGAACTGTGGTGTCATTAGAACCATCCAACCTCTCCTCTGTCTCCGTCTCGAGCTCCTGGAATTCTGGGACGAAGAGCCGTAACGATAATCGATGAATAATGGCTGGAAGGTCGTCCATGAAGAGGACGCGCAATTGCTCCTCGATGACTTTTTGCAGGTAGTCTCTGACAAAGGGTATAGTATCGAACGTAGACGAAACTTTCAGACTTTCCAAGGGATCATTTCTGAAAACCAGCGTGATGCCTTTTTGCTTCGAAAAGACCAATATGACGAACCCACTCAGCCGTATATCCGACAAGGTGATTTGTAACGGTATGGTCAAGCCAGACGACGCGGCCAGAGGCATGGGCGAGGCAAAATCGGGCTTCGACGAAAGATAGGTGTTGAGCGGGTTGGCCTGGACTTTTGTTTTGAGGGTGAGAAAGGCGTCGCCGGTATAGGACATTTTGAAGATGCCTCTGAACCTGTCCTCGGCCAGGTCGCCAATCTCGAGGATTTCCAGCTCGGGCGGGGTGGATCCGAGGTTTAATTCGGTGACGATGATGTCGTCGACGATGATGGGCGGTTTGGGGGATTTGTTGAGAGCGGTGGTGAGCATGTCGCGGGCGCGCGAGGTATCCGCTATCAGCGGCGACCAGTTGAAATTAAAGGCCATGGCGGCGGATTAGGTGTGGGAATTATGTCGTTGTGGCGATGGACGGCGAGGGCGCAGCGATGGGGTTATGTGGACGACGGTGTAGAGGGACGGGTGTCGCGTGGTGCATGCCTTGTGTTGCCGCGTGAGCAGATGCTGGCCATGTGTTGAAGGATTTGATGGGAGGCGAAGGGTGTGGATGCGGGTAGATGTCGCTGGGGTACAAGTGTAGTGATGGTGGTGTGATGGGTTGATGGATGTGAGTGAATAAGAAGGGGGAGGTGGAGGAGGACGATGACGGGCGCAGTCGGGATGGATGGGCGGGTGTCCGGAGATCAATCAATCAAGGAGGACATGACAAGGGCAGGCAGGAAGGGTTTGCGATGATGCTCGCGTGCAGAAGCGACCGATTGCCCCAAGACTTTTTTCTGCTCGTGGCCCGTGCTCCGTTCGCTTCTCTTCCTCTCTCCTCTCTCTCTCTCCCCTTAGATGATGACTGAATTATTTTGGCGGCATCGTCATCCGTCAGGCCACCACCACCACCACATTATCCGTCTTGTCCTCTTCACTCTCATCAACACCAGTCCAAGTACATTCACTCCCATCCAACAACCAAAAACAAAACACCCCCAAGTGAAGCTATCCGCCCAACAAACAACAACCAGCCCACACGCACCCCAGCAACATCCATCCATTCCCCCCTTTCTCCTTAATTTTACCACACGCGTATCCCCGTCACCCACCTCGCCCTTCCCTCCCCACATGCCATGAAACACACCCAGAAATAACTCCAGAAACGGTCAAAACACCAAACAAACAACAAGCTTCCCCCCAGGAAAAACAACAAAAGTCGCCTAGCTAGCTTGATCCTCGTTCGATTCCCCACTCTCTCTCTCTCTTTCTCTTGTCGAGTACAATCTCCTACCCAATCGAGAAGCAGGGTTCAAAAAAGGGGGCGAGCGACGATGGTTTCGAGGCGCGACAGTGAGTCACTTGGGGCTGGAAGATCTAGATGTTCGTTCTTTTTTTTTTTTTGGAACGGGGCGCGAAAGGGAGAAAAAGCGTTGCGGGGGGAGGGTTAGGTATCGATAATGCTAGCTAGCTAGATAGTTGCCGCTGTGTGTTGTCACAGGCTAGTTGTTTCTACGCCATGGTAATTCTCTTGGGAAGAGACGGACAGACGCTGAGAGAGAATTGTGTCGCGTTGTGGTGTTGACATTGATTTGTTATTGTTGTTTGTTGTTGTTATTCTTCCATCACCACTCCCCCTGTATAACCCCCCCCATGCCAAACCAACCCACACATTCAACCACAGCCAATCCCCTCCCCCAACAATCCCAATGCGCCCAACCAACCCATCATCACAACACCATGTCCCCATCCACAGAACCCGCATAGAGTCCAAAAAAAAGAACTAGAACGAGGAATCATGAAGCACGATAACCCCGCAAGACTAACAATCAATCATCCTTGGACAACAACCGCTCAACAGCCTCCACCTTATCCCGAAACCCCTGCTTCTTATCCGTCCGCGACCCAACCCTAATATCGCTCTGGATCCTCACCACCCCGTTGCCGTGCAGCATCGCGTGGCACTGTCCAATAACCTTCATCACCTCATCCCACGATCCTTCTAACAAGCTCCCGCAAATCCCTATTAGCAATGATCGTATTCTCCCTCCCCCATCCATCCATCCATTACAAGAATTATAGAATATGGGATATGGGATATGGAGGGGAGAGAAGGGAGGAAAGGGTGGACGTACCAAGAGTAGTCCCACCAGCGTGCATCTGATAACTGATGCCGCTCTTCTTTAGGAGGCGCTGCACTGCGGCGACTTCTTGCGATACAGAGGCTGTCGGGGTGCCGAGCGGGATGAGGCAGAAGTCGGCCGTGCAGGATGGTGGGGTTTGCAGCGTCGTGAGGTCTTCTGGGACCGACATGGCTGGCTTTCTTGACTTTTTTGTTTTTTGGGTCTTGAGAATCGTTGGGGATGGGAGGTTGGGATGGGCTTGTCGTTGTTGCGGTAGTGGGATGGGATGGGATGGGATGGCGATTGGTGGGTTTGTTGGTCAAGACTCGAGGCGAGGAGAGAGGGGCGTGATGTAATGTTTTGGTGCATTTTCTTAGCGCCATGGGGACAGGCATATGTACTAGAGTATGCAGATGCAAAGTGCAAGCTCGGGGAAGGGGAGCAACCGCACGTCTGGTATCAAGATTATGGCTCTTTTATCCATTTCCAATGTCATACACATCTCAATCATCACGACATCACAACTAGGGTGGTGGGCATGGCTGAACTGCACTACTTTTATCACAATGGTCCATGTAGGTTACGCATGCTAAAGATGCTATTCGCGCTTAGATGTTCTTCAACACGTACGCCAATCCGGCCCACATCTCCTCTCCACTAGGCACAATCTGTGCAGCTGGAAGGACGAAACCGTTGGCACCGGTATCACGGAGCTCGACTGTCATCGAGTAACTCGCCTTGGCCGTCTCGTACGCATAGTCAACCGAAGAACCAGACACTTGGTAGATCTAGAAGAAATTTAAATCAGCCATCCATCTCTGATCAGATGAATCGGAATGGTATACTTACTGTCGAGCAGATTGGTCCCTGAGTAAAGGTCGTGCCGTGCACAGCCTTGACAGCAGCAACAGCACCTCGGGCAATGGATGAGTATTTGGCAGATTCTGGGATCGTCCCAGAGCAGGTGTAACCGTACGGATACATCCAAAGCTGAGAATAGGAGTGAACGTCCAAGTAGAAGGCGACACCCTTGCCCGCCGCAACTCCGTCGAGCTGAGCCTTGAGTGCTTTGTTCTCGACGGCATCACCAGCAGACGCGCCCTTGTAATCCTCGGCGCAAGGAGATGTGGAAGCACCGGCGGATTGAGACCAGTGGGAAGGCCAGTTTCGGTTGATATCGCGACCGACGCAGCTAGCAGAGGTCGTCGACTGTCTGTTCTTGCGCCAAAGACGGTTGGTGGTCTGGGTGTATGCGAAGCCATCTGGGTTCACAATGGGGAAGATGTAGTAGTCGAACTTGTCTTTGAGCGCGGCATCCGCTGTCGATGTAAGGAGCTGGTAGGCTGCGTACTCGACAACCATGGTGGTAATCCATTCACGGGCGTGCACGGTGCCGTGCCAGACAACTCCCTTCTGAGAACCCTTGCCACCAGCTCCCCAGATATGGATGCCAGTGATATCACGGCCTTCCAAAGACTTTCCGGCTGAGATTACCTCGGCGTTGCTGGGGTAGGCAGCGGCGAGATCCTTGATCCACTGGGTGTGGTCCGCAATCGAGTGGTAGGCATTGAACCAAGTCGCATTTGGTGCGGCGGCGGCAGCAGCAGCTGGAGACGGCTTAGTACTTTACGCATACCTCACTTGGAGAATCCATTCAGTCTGGGAAAAAATTACCAGCATAAGTCTCAATGATCTCCTCACTTTCGATTGAAGCGCCAAGATCCTCGTGCATCACCTCCTTGTTGATGTCCTTGGCTGAAGCCTCAAACTCTTCAATCTGCGTGGGAGGGACCACGAGATCGACGACCTTGCTAGTCGCAACCTTGCCTTTCCATGTCTCGAGTTGCAAAGTATCAACGATGCTGGCAAGCTTGGTTGAGTCTTCGCCAACGTTGACTCGGAAGACTTTCCAGCCAGAGTAGTCGACTTTGGACTCAACGGCGGCGGCAGAAGCCAGGCCGATGGTGGCCAGAGATACGGCAAGGAATTTCATGTTGAAACCGAGAAGAAAGCGACAGACCACGGGGCGATGTGGAAGAACAGACGATTGACGTTGCCCAGGCAGATACTTATAATGGACACCACCGGCGCTGTCGCAATCGGGCGAACATGCTATATTTCGTGGGATATCGCCGCGAGCTTCAACACCTGCCAAACTAGACTTAATGCCACACGGGGCAATGCCGCCTCCAGGAAGTTCGCACCCGCCACATTGGAATTGCTGTTGCCATTTAATATAGTGATCTTATAGAGCGCTACAGTGCATGGTCATTCGTCCAGTAAGTACGCCGGCTTGCCGTATGTTTCATGCAGAGTACACATTCTACGGCGATGACTGGCTGCGGGCGTCATCCGCTCTTGGGCGATGACCGCTCCTGCCGTAAACGTGCTCTTGTGCGCAAGCTTATCGCAGTGAAGCAATACGGGCTATCGATGTTTGCTGCAGCTTGCTTGAAGATCCGGGGCATGGTGCAGACGGCCACCTTCCGCTTTGGAGGGAGCCTAGGTCCAGTCCATTGAACCTCTCAATTTGCTCTCGCGGAATGAACACCAGGAAAAGGAAGTTGTCGATTGATAAGACCGCTCGCGGTACTTTTCTGAATCTGTAACGGCGGGGACGGGATAGGAAGGAAAATGTCGGGGTCATACAATGGTTTTGCAGGCAGACTGTAGAGGGGGATGGATGATCATGGAAGCGCAAGTGGAGGTAAAGGTAAGACTGATCTACAGCGCTAGACTATACTAGGACTAGCCTAGGTCCCATCGTCTTTTTTCTCCTACCCGTTGACAGACTATGCATACTTAGTAGTCATTAGATGAACATATATACACAGGAAAGTCATCATGAAGCGCTGTTTTTCCTATTGCATTCGACGCATCGAGCACATATCAACTCAAATACTTCCTTTCTGGTTGCTACGGAAGAGCAGTCACGGACTGGTAAGAACATGTATTGCGCAGAGCCGTATATCGTCTACAACAGATATACACCCTCAGAGACTTCGAGTACTCCAAGTACTCCAAGAAATCGATGAACGATGGTCGTTGTGCACGCGATCAATTGTTAGGCACTGAGGTTTGGCTTCTCAACCCGCTTCCACGTCGGCTGCGGTATGGATAGACGGGATCCTTGTCAGCGAAACCCCACACAGACGCTCACAGGAGCAAAAGATCAGGGCACGCAATTGTGCAGGAAAGACTGATGGTCACTAAACCATCTTTATTCTAATAATCCTGATCGTTTTACTCCCAAGTGGAATCAATCTCAGCATAGCATATAGATCTAATAGTCAATGGGTTGGTGGCCTGTTGGAAAGGACTAATATTCTCAAGTCTGCGGCGAATGAACTCCAGAGTTTCTCAAACACCGATGGGGAGCATCTAGAACGATTGGCTAGTTGGCGGAAACTTGCCTTTAGAGCCCTAGTGAATAGCTTGGATCCGGTACAATTGAGCCGGTGAAGAAGCCGCCAGCGGGGTCGCTAAGTGTAGAATCCCGATCTTCCATCCCCAATGCCGACATCTCAACCTCACATAACCATTCGGACCGGCCTGAGCAACATGGGCTCGCCTACAGAGGCTGCTCCGCCTGGCGAAGATTCGCAGAAGATAAAACGCGCCCAAAAAGCATGCTTGAATTGTAGGAAGAGAAAAAGCAGATGTTTACTCGACCAAGGCGGGGAAATTCCGTGTCTTCGATGCAAAAAAGAAAATCGAGAATGCGTGCTGGGTGGCAGTAACCGAGGCGGGCGACGAGTGCGTCGGAAAACGGTACCATCGCTGTCGACCTTTGCACAAGAAGAGAATAGCTTTCCCCTGGGAAATGTCGGGACAACTCCCTGGGTTCGAGTGGATTCAGAAAGCGTGCAACAACAACAGCATCAGCAGCCGCCCGCATCTGATAGTCAATTGCCGCGCTCCCAATCGCCAAATTCCGAGATCCAGTTCGGCTACCTGCAAAATCCCTCTGATGCCCTGGGTATACTAGCTAGAGTCGCTGAGTCGAGTTCAGAAGAGACGGGATCGAGTGCAAATGGCCATCCACAAGGTCCCCATAACATGTCGGGCACGCAGCCACTAGTGTCGTTGAACATACCATACGCTTTGCTCAGCAACGGAAGCCTCACGTTGCCAATTCTACATAACCTTCTGGCACGCTACAAAGAAAACTACCATCCGTATTATCCACTTGTCCCAGCAGCGACGTTCGATACATCCCGACTCGCTGTTACGGCAAAGAAGGAACCGCATCTCCTGACCGCAGTTCTTCTGATCTCTTCGAAAGACTTGTCTGAAGAGCCTCACATATATGAAGCATGTGCGACACATATGAAAAGTTTGGTGTCTGATCTTGCTGCCGGGGGTGATGCAGATGTCGAGGCTGTAGAGGCACTTCTCATACTTGCTGAATGGGCCCCATATACGCAACGGCGCTCAGGCAAAGTTGGAAAGGGTGAAGAAGACAAAGAAAGCTGGATGCATGTAGGTCTTGCATTAAGAATCGCCTATTTCTTAGCCCTTGACAAGTACTCTTTCCGATATGTTGATCAAGGCAAAGATCCCCAGCACAGTCGGAAGCGGCTGCTATGGACGGCAGCATACGTATCAGATCGACACATATCAATACGGATAGGCAAGGCATTTTGGTCGCGAGGACCAGGTCCACTTACGACTCTTAGACGGGAAGATTATCCATCGCTGATGCCGAGTGGCCCCAATGAAGAAGACTACGCAAGTATCTTGTATGAAATTCATCCCCGCTTTCTAAATATCACTAACAATGCGAACAGCCAAGCTAATTTGGAACTCACTCAACTTTTCAGCAACGTTCATGATGTTTTATACTCAAATCCCGGATCGAGCTTCCGCACACATATGAGTGGCAGCTACATCAAATTTATTGACGACTTCCGCTCTGCCATTTACGGATGGAAAAGTGTCTGGGGCACCTTAACCTGCTCTCCATCCCTCAAAGCATGTCTCCTAATGTCCTACGACTACCTCCGCCTCTACATCAACGCATTCGCCTTCCAAGCCACCATCCTCCGCGCCCTCCCTCCCTCCAACCAATCCACCGACCCCCCATTGCAAAACCCAACCCCCGCGGGACCAGGCATGCAAGTCCCTCAACGCGTCTTCGCCAACAACGTCGGCGCCGTAGGAGACGTCCGCTTCATCTACGAAGGCCTCGACGCCGCGAAAGCGATCCTAACAACCGCAAACCACTTCGTCGACCCAGAAAAAGCACTCCGCTACATGCCGTTACGATACTACCTCTACCTCGTCTATGCAGGCGTCTTCCTCTACCGTGCACGTTGCACCGGCGTCATCAGCACCGACGAAGACCGCGCCATCCGCGCCATGATCAACGAAACCGTTTCGCGCCTCCGCCGCTCCAGCGTCGCCGCCGACACAGGCATCCAGCACCCCGGCAACAGATACAGCCAGCTCCTCGAGCTCCTCTGGGCCAAAGTCCCCAGAAAAGATAAACCATCCCGTCATAGCTTCCGTCATCCAGGAACACACATCGCGAGTACACCGCTCGACGTCCCGGGGTATGGCGGAGCTGCGACTCCGGGCGCGGGGATCCCCGCTACGTCGCCTTCGCATGCTACGTCTACGACTACGGGCGAGAGTCCCGCGATGACGGAGCAGATGGGGGATTTTGGGTGGACGGATCTTAGTGCTGTTGGTGACTTTGCGATGAATGGTGGGGCTGCAGCGGGAGCGGGTGCTGGTGCGAATGGGAATGCCGAGGAGGCTGCGCTTTGGTCGGGGTTTTTGCCGCTCGATATGGGGTGGAGTTCTGCTCTTGCCGGTGGGGGGACGGGGTTGAGCTGGGATGGCATGGGCATGGATGGGAGTGGATTGGGGATGGCCTTCTGATGTCTGCGAGTTCGAGAGGAAGGAAAGTAATATATGTTGTAATGAGATGAGAATTGGAAGCTAGGTAACGATGAAGAAGTTATAACATGGAAAATTCCACGATGAACTAATAATCGTCTTTCCCGGCTTTTACGCATACTCACTTCACGATTTTTCTTCTTTTTCATATAGGTCAGTGAGAGGCAACACACATGAAACATCTCAATCACACCGACTCCATAGACGCGCATACACAAAATGAAGTCAACGTCCTTGTCTGCAAAATAGTAAAAGAGAGAGCGTCGCCACCGGCCAGCTCCCTCCTATAAAGACCCCCACCCGCCCCGACAGGTCTGATTTCCTCCACCACACTTCCTCTCCACCACTATCCACACCACGGGGATCTTTGGGCCCTTGCAATACATTTCTCGGAGCTTGTGCTCTTTGCGGGCTTTGTGCCTATCTTTCATCTATCTTTGCCTCACGCAAGGGCGGGCCTGGTCTTTTGCACCTCGCCTCACATCAGGATATTACGGCACCTCATCACATCACTTCATTACCCGCTGGCTTTTCTGACAGCTCTCTCGACTTTTGGCTCCGGTTCCCATATCTTGAAACTGCTCGTCTGTTCGATCAACTATCCTATACTGGTGGAAAGTGATCAGTCCTTCATCTTTGCGAACACTCGTGCCACGATCATGTCGGGTAAAAATATCTTTGCAGAGGAGTTCAAAGGCGTGGACCCGGAATATTTGCGTAAGATTTTTAAGGACGTGTAGTTGAGGTGGTGTTTATGTGCTGACATATGTAGGAATTCTGCCACAGGAGTTTCGCCTCACCTCCGAACACAGAAAAGCTATGCCATTTTTCTGGTTCAGCTGGATCAAATCCTTACCTCCGGAGAGACGGAAGGTCTTAGAGTCAGATGAGACGCAATTTTTCATTTACCTTCTGTGCTTATTAAGCGACGATTATTCTGAAACATATTCCGAAGTCGTGGTATACTTCGACTACTTGAAGGATTATGATAAGGATACCCGCAAAAACTACCTTGTAGACGAAGATCTACCCGGGATACCGAATATTGGATGATGTCAAGGATCTACAAAGCATTGAAAAGCACCGGACTAGATGTTCACGGTGGCGAAAGAAGATTCGTTTTCTATATGCATTGCTACAAATCCATGGTGGCTTGCTTTCCGCTTTGTCTTATTGTGGTCGATCCTCGCAAAGCCTCCGACTACGTTGAAATTGGGGTAGACCTTAGATCCCACACGAATATTTGCACAAGCCCGAAAACTCGGGACCAAGCTCTGGATCTACTTTTCAAGCTTGAAAACTTAGTGGAACCTCGCCGTTATCTGTTTCCAAGGGAAAATTTGCAACTCATGCACCATTAAATCGCCCCCGGCGATGCTGGTGACGTAATTTGGGAACACGAGCGGGAGAAATTCAGGTTCAAGATCTGTCAGAAGTTGCGCGCGGTGGTGATCGAAAAATCTGTCAAAGAGAATGTAAGCTATATATACTTCATGATTCTATCACGCACAAGTTCATCTCCTGACCATCTTTCAAAATCTAGGATGCCGACACCAGAGCCCGCAAACGACCAAGAACCAATTGATTGGCGTATCATCAAGGGCTTGGTATACATAAGGAGAAGAAAACAAACAAATCAAGAGGCGTATCAGTGAGGGATCGAACTCATACGGTAAGTCATTTCATCCGCACATTTCAGCTACTCAATTATAAACTACTAAACCGTTTATACAGCCTCAGATCAACGAGATCATAGCGGAGGATATCAACGGGACATGCCTGAGACTCTTGAAACTTGCAAAACACAGCGAGCGGCATCAGGATCAACACCACTTCTTTTTGCCTTTCCATTCTATTGCTTGTGTATAAAATTTTCCCATCATCCTCGGATACAGCCGGATAATGAGACTTTCAGCCGCATTATACGATACGGCACGCCGAGATGGATCTAGCTGTTTTCCTTCTTCTTCTCTCTCTCGTGCAGTTTCCCTGAATTATACACTCTGCACTTGGAAGTGCGAAACATACCAAGATACAATATACACTCTTCTGAAACCCATTCTTCAAGATGCGTGAGACGACGTGAATTATGCTCATTACAAGGACGAGTCCACCCTAGGAGCAGCTATCAACCCTCATTTAAGGCTTTATATTCGTTCTAGATCATATTAACAGCCGTTTAAAACTGTGTTAGGATGCTATTTAACAAGATGTTAAAGTAGAAAGAGCAGTTAACACTATATCCTTTGGTAGGCCTTCACCTGTAATGTTATTGCTTTCTCCGCCATCAATTGATCAAATGCAGACCTTTGTTTTCTTTCTTTCCCCCAGATGTCGTTCGTGCAGGTACCACTGAACGCGCACGTGATTTGCCAAGACTTGGCTTGACGCTCTTTCCCTACCCAACTGCCCATGGGCCCGAGCTTTGATACACGATGCTACACACGGAAAGCTTGACTCTGCTACTGACATCTCCTCCACTACGGATTCAGCGGCATCCATTTATGCTTCTTGTACTAGAGATATCACGCCGCTGGGGTCATGTTTACCTCCATGCAGGGGAGTGTTCATCCTCACCTTCACTTTCACTTAAACTCAAACTTTCATGTTCACCTTCACCTCATGGTCAACGAGCTATATAGTGAGATGGAAAGCTCCGCCGAGATCCTCTTGGCCAGTAATAAAATCCTCCGATCCCAGCTCACGCACCTACTTCGACTCGTGTCCCTATCGACTGCCGCTCTTCCGGAAATTGACTATCGTATCAGTCGTATTGAGATCGAGCACCATAATGACACCATCTAGATTGAAGAAACCAAAGGACCCCCAATATCTGCGTAAGTGCATTTCACCACAATTAGCAATCTATTACTTCATGGCGCTGACGGCAATAGGGATACTCCCGGCGGAGTTCAAGCTTCATGACAGTGTCGTGGACGGCCATGAAAGCATCCTAAGCATGTGGCGTCAACTATCCTTCACAGAAAAGATGTATAATCTCGTAGGAAATGATTCCCTCTACTACGGGTCATGGTTGAGTCATCTGGACACTCAGTGCACCATCTATCAAGATGCTGGAGCATTCGAGTTCTTGAACGCCGAGCCCTTCGATGGAAAATATTGGCACGACAAGTTTTGCGCGCAGGAACGCTTCTACAAAGCCGCCGGAATCGAAAGCTCTGGGGATTTCCTTTTCTTCAACCACATACTGAAAGCACTGAAAGAGGTTGGCTTGGATATACATGGCGGCCTGACCAGACTAGCCCAGGTGTGGAAGAGCAGTGTCGGCAAAGGTCTCGCGTTCCCTACCACATGCATCACTGTCCGAAACAGTGAAAAGGCGCGCAAGTATATCGATATAGGTATAATTGTTCTCTCCGATTCTCAGGTGGATATGGACCGCGCGGTAGATCATCATGGAGCTTGCAAGAACGCCACGCGCATATCAGCATTGGTTGCTAGGGATGACTGGGAAATGGAGGAAGACTGGGGAGTAGCCAAGTGGGCTGTTATGAGGAGTATATCTCCAGGAGACCTCTACGACACGGTCTGGGAGTACGAGAGGGAGAAATTCAGATTCGAAGTCTTGAAAAGATTCCAGAAAATCGAACAAAACGCTAGGAAGCAGATGGTATGTATCCATCATTCTTGTCTTTTATTATGGTTGGCTGATGATTCCGATTAGGACGGAGACTCTCAGTCTACTACCGATGAAGAGATGCAGTGCTCCTCGGTTCGACCAACCAAGCGCGCTAGGGTTTTGAGGTGATTCACAGCGTGGGTCCTGAGAAGGTGTCGAACGGACGATGCCTTAACCGGTTTTATTTTTGGAGTTGGATCACGGATTGGATCGAGCCTGGAACAAGCAAACATCACGGAAGGCTCCGAGAGATAATGAAGCTCTGACTTCCTGGATGTGATAAGAATTTACAAGTGGTGAACATATTGGAGCAAATATTGGGGATTGAGAGTTGGGGGCGACGAATTCGCGAAAAGCAGGCCGATGTTGCATCGGACAAGACCCCAATCACACACTTTCTCATGGACAGTCAATAAAACTTTCAAATCGTGATCTCTGCCTCCCAATCTACATTTTAGAATTCTTTTCCAACACATGCCACGCACACGAGGCTGCATAATTAAGCGTATGTAAGCGAGTTGCGCAGAATGATCGGTTTTCGCTGCCGCACAAAGAGCCAAGTAATAAGGCAACTTGGTAATGAACGTCACACACTGCAATGCACATGTATACAACACCAATCCTACGCTGATCCTCCTGACCGGTCAACGACTTCGTCGCTGAGACGGGAATTTTTGATCGTGATTCGCGCTTCTTTATTTGTCTGCAGAATTCGCGACACAACACTACTTTTCAAGCCTGCAGGCGCAGACTGATTTGTTGTGATAGAGCCGAGTAAGAAGGCAACTGAATTTCGACGTCATACATGCATTGCACTGACATACAAGACCGAACACTGTTTGACCTCTGTGAGTAGTTCTCGTATGCCAAGCTATTTGTGTAAGACTGCTATCATTGTTTTTACTGCTTCTTCGTTCTGCCTACAGGCGCGAAGACCTCACTGTAGCGTGCTCAAGAGGCCTCTTTAACCACCAACATACATTTCCACATATTTCGACCTCCGAAATCAACTCAGAGAATTCGCTACCTGATATCGCCATAGATTCGTATTCCACATGTCTTCTGTTCGTGCCGATTAGCCGAACAATAACATGCATACCGATGAGGTTCAACAGTGCTGCATCGGCTGTTGTCGCAACTTTCCATACCCCTGTCGCCGTGACGCAATTCCACATAACAGAGATCCCTCATCGTCACCCCATCGCCAATTCTAGTCAACGAGTACGACCCGCAACGCACGCTGACGCTGGAAAAGCCTAAAAGCCTAGGAAACGGCATGAAACAAGGCTGGAGCCAAGAGATATGATAGAAGCCTTAGGCGCCGGTCAGGCGTGATGCTGTGGTATATGTAGTTAAGCGGTCGCTGCGGTCCAGCGGTTTGGCGAAGCTTGAGGTATTAGCCTTTTTATCTTTCGCGATCATCTTGTCAAACGACAGAGATTCGGAAAAGAGAGGGCACGCGATAATTACCCGTTGATATACCTTCATTGGAAACGCACTTATTTCCCATCGAATCCTCCACAATAATCTACACCATCGCACGATTCAAACGGAAGAACACAACAACTACACAAGATGCCTACTACAACTACTGATGTGGGGTAAGTCCACCAAAGCTCTACAGCTCTAATCAGATTTCGAAGGAAAAAAAAACTCACGACTCCATAAGGCGCCAGCACACTAAGAAGTTCAAATTCGTCTACATGATCATCGTCCTCGCCATCGCGATCCCTTTATTCCTCGGTCTCGTCCTCTGCTGCGTCTGGGGCCCTGCGAAAAGAAGATGCCTGAGCCTCAAGAACAAAATCTTCAAGAAAACAAAGCCTCGACGCGGCAAAGATAGGAGTCAGGACGTTGAGAAGAACGGGGAAGATGACGACACCGAAGAAGAGAAGAATGAAGATGGGGACGAGAATCAAGACGTAGATCAGCAGAGCAGAAAAGATGACCCAAAAAAGAAGAAGAAGTTTTATAGAGCCGAGTACGATGCCGCGAGTTGGAAGAGGAGGAAGGAGATGCGTGCGGAGATGAGGAGCAAAAAGAACGAGGAGAGGAGGAAGCGCGGGTTAGCTGAAGACGTAAGCATGAAGGATATGGTGCAGAGTCGTCCGCCTCCACCGGAATTCAATGCTGCAGTACAGGCGGGGATAGAGAAAAGAGAGGGAGGGTTAAAGATGCTGTGTTGATTGCCTGGTTTCTTGGTTCTCCATCGCTGTGTGCTGTGAACACTCCAAACTCAAACTCGGAACTTGAATACTGTTAATAACTGATGAGGGTGGTTCTATTGTTTGTTGAGTATATTCTTGGTGTTATATTGGTTGGTGGGTGTACGGTAATGTATGATCATCTTTCATGTAACGTAAGTACTAAGCGAGCGGCCACCCGAAGCGAGTGGCCACCCCAACCAGCCTTCACAGCTATTCACGCATTAAGTAACAATAGCTTAACAACTACATACTTAAATTACTTGTAAAGAAGCAGATATCTCTTTAGCTATATTAGTAATTAGTTAAGATAATTCTCTTAGCGTAAAATGCGCTGCTTCTACTTTTAAATACCTATAAATAATAGTATAATAATAACGCGCTAGAATTGCTGCGCAACGCAATTGCAAGCTTAACTTAAAAAAGCTTAGTAAGCTTAAAGAGGAGGTAATTACTAAGTATATAATTAACTTAGATACGTGTAGATTTTCCCTCTTTCTAGGTGCTATATAAGGTATAGCAGATAAGCTGCTTACTAAGCGCGGCGCTAGCTAGGTTAGCAGAGACTAGCTGCGCAACTTTGTAAAGCATATAAATAGCCTTACAACGCGTTTTAATTAACTGTATAATTGCTAAAGAGCTCTTTGTAAGAACTCTTAGGCTATTTAGAGCTAGTTTAAGCAGGTAGCGCGTATAAAGGCTAAGTATAGCATCTGTAATAAAGACATGTATAACTTTAATAAAACTAGCTTTTTAATAGGCAAGATCTTAGCTTAGCTAGTTGTTACTAGCTCTAAAAGACGCTCTTAACTAAAGGCTATCTAGCCTAGCAATTGCAAGTAAGTTACTATAATTTAGAGGATTAGCGCTGCTAGCTAGGCAATTCTGCTATTTATTATCTTTGCTAGCAAGCACTACCTATCTGCCTAGTATAAAAGTAACAATATACTAGGCAATTAGGCAATTAGTCTAAGTAACAATAGCTAGACTATAAATAAGCTTACTTTTAAGTAGCTAAAGCACTTTATTAGGCATATAAAGAATTAAAGAGTAGGAAAGTATTAGCTCCTAATTCTTAATAGCTATAAGAGCTACTACTTAGCTAAATTTAATTAGCTCTACAAGGAGAGCAATATTATTGCTTTTTATATGCTCTTGCATTTATTACACCTCCTCTAGCTACTTAATATAGGCTGCTTTTTACTGTTAAAGCGTGCATATAGTAATTAAATTAGTTACCTAATACGTAATAGCATTAACTATATTATAAAGCTTAAGTTTTTACCTACCTTTTACACTGCGTATAAGAAAGCAATTATAAAAGAAAATATTTACTCTAGCTTTTAAGGCGCTAGCCTAGTTTTACACAACCTACAGGCAGTAATAAGTAAGCTTAATATTAAGCTTTGCACGCTAACGCTGCCTACTCTAGAGGCTGCTCTTTAAAAAGCTAAAATACTAAGCAACACGCGTAAGATAGAGGCTTAATTAACTTTTATTTGTAATTAAATTTAAAAGTATAAAAGTTTATTACCTGCTTTTATAATTACTGCGCTTAATTTACTTTAAAAGGGCGCTAAAAAGATAGCCTATAGAGCTGTGCTAATAGGTAATTAAATTGCTAGCTTTAAGCAAGCTAACTATACAGCAATAACACGTAGGGCACGTAAAAAGAAGTGTATTTAGAAGTAAGAGACGCTTATAAAAAGAGAGAAAAAAGAAATTATTGCTTAAAAGAAAGTTAAGCAGCAGATTAAGGGAGAAACGCGTTAAGAGAGAGCTTAAACAAGTGTTAGCTATTAGGCTTTAGCGCGCTATATAAAGTGTAGAGAAACTAGCTATAACTTATAAACTTATTAAAAGCAAGCTATAGATACTAGCTAACTTTATATATCTACTATATTATACTTAGTTACTGCATTGTTAAGATATACTACTAAGAAGGCGTAGAAGGCTGGTTGGGGTGGCCACTCGCTTCGGGTGGCCGCTCGCTTAGTACTTACGTTAAACGACTTTATGAATTTACGAAATTGAGAATCTTCGAATTCGAATTCAAATATCGGACTATGGCCATTCTTTTCATCTTCGTAGATGCAGCAATCACCCGCTCTCATGATGGTAAAACTATACGATGCAGTTGAAGATGTACATCGAAGATCTTCCCATCAGATCTATCATCTCTCTCGTGCAATTTTCGCCACGCGTGCGCCTCGTTCTGGATCTGCCTAAATACATGCCTGCAGACCAGCAAACACTTTACCAACATTCTAAATACCTACCCGTACGGTCATTACACAGCCACAAACATAACCAACACATTGTATACTGCGCCTACAACATATCATGCGCCAACAGAGATAGATTAGGGGCCTTGTCTCCATCCATTCAACACCCCTGTCAAAGCCTGACAGCGCCACACTCAAAAACCTCCCCCTTCACTCCTCTTCTCCATCCAGACCAATCGGAATCCCGAGAAATACGAACAATTGTCCTAAGCAAAAATATAAGAGAGGTACACTTTTACTAGACAGCACATCGTCGGAGAACATAACCTAGCCAAGCAACCGCTACGAGGTGGGATCGGGGACCCGAGTTAACGAGGCTGACATCCTCATCACCGAAAGAAAACGTGGGGTTTGAAGTATGCAGATATATAGCGCAGGGGGAGACTCTATCAGCAGTGGCGAAAATCCCAAACTCAATTTTTTTGCCTCAGACAATATTTCGTTCCGAATCGATATCACGACAATCAGTTTCGCGCGAGAGAAAGCGAAGCCAAGGAAGGAATTATTGAACGTGATGCCGTTCAGAGGGTACGAGAGTCCCCTTGCTCCACATACTTTCTCTCCCTTACCCAAACAATCTCCCAAGAGATGTTATCTTCTAGCGGGCGAGAATGCAGCATAAGACACTTTGTCACGAACGACACCCACGTACACTAACATTTCCAAACTCTCCAGTTCCGCCGGCGGCGAAACAGACCCAAAAACATCGTGGATCATCATCGGCGTGGTCTTGGGGATTTGCATTCCCGCGTTCCTAGCTACCATCCTCTACGTCATGTATGTCCGACGCGGACGGACGTGGAATCTGCGGAAATGGTTCTCAAAGGATGTTGCACCGAGCCAACCGCGATTGAAGAAGGGCGGGTTGATTCGTACGGGAGTGGTTGTGAAGATGGAATCTGAGGGAGGGAAAGGAGGAGGAGGAGGATTCGCGTTGAGAGATCCTAGGCCTTAAAAGCTTGGGGATATAACTCGTTGTTGTTTGTGTTGATGCTGACAGTGTACATGATATTTCAGCGTGGTACATACGTTTTTTTTGTTTTTGCGAGGCGTTCGGGTATGTGGCGTAGGAGGCGAGCTGTATTGACTGTTCTAAGCACTTGATGAACATGCGAATCTGCTGATGAACATGCGAATCTGCCCGACTCAATATCCCCCATTGCCACAACCCCCATGGGCCAGAAAATGGAATCCACCAAAAAATCATGCATAACGATCCATACTAATTTGCTCAACGCAACCAAGCCTCACGCTTTCCAAGACTCTTAGCCCTCGCCAACTTATCCCCATGCAGAAGCTCTTCGACGAATACGAGTGACACTTGTACGCATCCAGACAGTCAGGCATCAGTAATATGCGGCTGAGCCTTCCCATTAATCAATAGTCATGGATCTTATCGCGTTATGAACTTGCTGTTATGGGGATTGCGAGGCGTAGCCAGCAGCGCGAGGAGGGTTGTTATAATGTTTTCGCCCCCCCAGCCCCCCGTGTTTTAGCCTACGCGAGGGGGCAGTGGATTAGGACAAGGGGAACATCAAGACTTTGGTTAGTACTTTAATACATTGCTGTCGCTTTCTCCACCCACCCCACAGCAAGCAAGCCTCGAACGAATATCGTGAACAACGGAAAGAAGAAAGTGTGAAGGGATACACAATCGTACACGGACCCAGCCACTTCCCAAGAATTGTCCATCTTCTCGCAATCGCCCCAGGACAAATCCAAACATTTCCAGTGCGCTAGCATTTTGAGATAAAAAAGACCAATTATTCGCCATGGTATACTTCGACCGGTAAGATCACGGATCCGCACGCAACACGTCCACAATTCGCAATGAACCGGTCTCTCTAATACATTCCAGACCCGCGAATCCCAACATCGATACCACGAGAACCCGCAATATCGTCCTGATAGTGGTTTTCTCTGTAGGTGTTCCAGTGCTGCTGAGCCTTATCGGCGCCTATCTATATCGTAAGAAGCTTAGAGCGTGGCTTGTGCGGAAGAAGGATATGAAGAGGCCCGGGCCGGTGCCGGATGACAAGCATAACGCCATGGTGCAGGCTGGATTGGGGAATAAGAAGGTAGTGAAGTGATTGTATGATGTTTAGTTTATGGGAAAAGCGCAACATGAAATGAACCCATGCGATGCATCGACCCAAAGGCCGTACATAGCTTCTTGAACTCTTGTTTGCGTATGCCGTATGTACCTATTCTGAATGCGGTATGCGCTGTTCCCGCTTCTGATAACATATCTTCAATCTGATATCCAAAACATCCTTCACAATTTCGATCTTTTCGGAAATCTCCAAGTCGGATTGGTCGACGTAAAATTCCAAGGCTTCTTGCGCCGCTGCATCAGCTGCTGCGTAGTTCCCCAATTTCTCTTCCGAGAAAGCCAGACCAAGGCGTGCGTCGAAAGCGTACCATTCGTAATGTTCCGGGCTGGGCAGCGTGCTCAAGTAGCATGTGAACAACTCAATGGCTTCGGCATGCTGTTCTGCCTTCTGATGAAGCAGAGCCAGGTCTTCGTATTCCGAAAGGTATCCCTCGTTGGTAGGGAGGCAGATAGAGCGCGCAGAATCGGAGCCGGTAGGCTTGTGGACAGCTTTGTATGTCTCCCAAAAATCGTTACAGGCGTCGATGGCGTCTTCGAGGTCAGCAGCATCTTCAGGGTCAGCAGCATCTTCAAGGTCAAGGCAATCAGGCTCCAAAACATATCTATACCATTCATAGCGTGCTTTGAAACAGGCTACTTGACCGTGTGTTTGGCATTTGGATTCGAGGTAGTCACCAAGTGCGGATTTGAACAGATTGCGCGCGTCTTGTGATGTTTTCGCATCCTGGGAAAGGATCTTTGCTCTTATCTTCTTCAAATTTAAGACGTGAGGCGGCAACGATATGTTGTACTTGATTTCCAGTTCTTTCCATGTCACAATTTCCGCCAATGCTTCGCGGTTTTGATATAGTTCGTAGTGAGCAGCAGCAAGATAGTGGTGTGCCAGTAAGACATCCTCGCGTACGGAGGCTATCAATTTTGCCCGCGATTTTTCGGAAAGCGCCAAACATTTGTGTAATACTTCGACTGCCTCCTGATTTTCTTCGTTGTAATTCAAGCTCATTCCGAGGCGGAGGTATGCTCGAATCTGGAGCTTGATGTCCACCATCCCAAACGCTAAACGATCTCCTATGAGACCTTTGAGCAATAGGACTGCATCTGAATATCGCCCATCGAGGTTGTAACTACCTGCTAGAAATAATCTGGCCGGAAAAATTGTGAACTTTGTGGGCCCCAGAAGCGCATCCATCCGAGGAAGGGCGTATTCTAGAGCAGGCAGTAGAGTCAGTAAGGTGATGTGAACAAGTATTGTTTGATGAGTGATCAAAGTATTCTGAGATCCCCATATGTAATACCTGCCATAGGATTTCGATCAAGGACATACATACCGAGATGTTCGATAGCTATCTCCTGCTCGCGTAGCATGTAAGCTGCAGCACCCAGGAAACACCGGACCACAGTCTTAAGCATACTCTCGCGATCGTCCATCCTACCTAAACATATGTTACCGATCTCGAACGCTTCTTCGTTACGGTCAAAAGCATGATAGAATATGGTCGCCGCAACTAAATGCAGCAAAGGCATTGACGCAGCCTTTTGCTTGATAAGATTCCAGAGCGCGTTTAGTGGGTCAACAATCTTGCTAGGTAGAGCAGCATGTTGAAGCAATCTAACAACTAATTCGAATTGATGCCCGAGAGGCAGTGCATTAGTGAGTTGCGAAAGCTCGCCAACGCGAGTTGTAATTTCTGCAATTCCAGTCGGAGGTTCGACGCGTGTATGCCGGCGACCTACTCCAGGACTATCAGGAGAACCATTCAGTCGCCTGCTTGTTCGGGAAGGTCTCAAAGCCCTCCGCGATGTATCTAGGTCGTCTTCATTAGCTTCTGCGCCAGCCACATCTTCGCTCATGGCAGCAGGTTGTGGCGATTTGTTATCGTGGTTTCGATGAGTGTAAGCTGAAAATGCTTCGCTGAAGAGTGACCAACGAGCTGTGCGACGGTCACTCTCTCCAAAATTCGAAATCCTCCTCTTTCTTTCTACGTCGAATCGAGATTCTAGAGGCGAGACGAACTTGAACGTATCGGTGTGATTCATAGCCATATCAAGCACTACCCACAGCTCAACCTGGCTTCGCGCATCATTCATACCGTGTGCAAACATGTATTCGAAAGCGAAAAAGAACTGGTCGCTCTCGAAAAATGCGAGAAACTTTTCAGCGATTGCTTCGGGTGCCATGTCTGAGCGATTGAGATGATAAGCTAGGTAAGCGCATGCGTAGCCGAGAAAAGGTCGTTGAGAATCCACGGGATCTAGCGAGGTAAGGTGTTCCCATTGCAACTGAGTAAGGTCTATTTCCTGGAAGTATTGAATACAGACCGTACTCAGAAGGCGATGAGAGCTGACTGGATCCACCCTGAAGGAGCAAGTTGACGTGCTCTGAACACCAGCCCACTCCTCTGGGGGTCGTATCAGGAATTCTCGTACGGAATTATGCATCAAGTGAATCGCGCCGTTAGAAAACGATAACAATCCCCCACTGAGCTCTACAATATCTTCCGGTTGGACCTTGAGCAAGAAAGAATCCAGTTTGGATGTAGTCGAGGCGGGTCTCACAGTCAAGGCATACACATAGCGGATTTCCTCAAACTTCAGAGGTCTACCGCAACATGCAGCGAAAGAAAACAGATATCCAACTAGTCGCTGCTGGTGCTTGTCTAATCGTGTTCCCAGCCGATTGAGAACACTAGCGTAAGACTGTTCGAGACCATGCGGTAGATCTGAGAGGCGCCTCAATATTTCATCATCGGAAAGTGATGCTCGCAGGTAATCCAGCATCAACTTAGTCCAAAGAAACATGCCATCGGCCCGACTTGTGAGCGTGTCGAGGATCTGATCACGGAATGGTGATGACGAAAGTATCGTGTATTGTGATATAGCCCGGTTGATCATCCGACGTATATCTTCAACATTGATCTCGGATGTGATGTCAATGGTAAAAAAGCGTTGAGAGTGCGCATTAGCAAGAAGCTTTTTCATCGTATGCTGTTGACCGAGGAGGATCAGACTGAGATTCTTCAACGTTGACAGTTCCCCAAAAAGATACTTGGATGTCAGTTCCCTGGGCTCTGAACACTCATCGATACCGTCAATGATGGTTTTGACGGAAATGGCGGTGGTCTCAATCGCGCGGCGGAGAGCTTTGAAAAGTTCAGCGGTTGTCGGAGCTCCCTGTCCCATCAAATCGTTAAACAGAGGGGTCAACTCTTCGTCGCTTGTTTGCTCGAGGAGCTGTGAAAGGAGTGTTCGAGCACAGGAGTCTAGTTTTTGCCTCTCCATATCGCTGGCTGAGAACGAAAAGTATAAAACAACTGTTCTCTTGCCAGAGGCAACATTGTTCTGCTTCTGCAGCGTGTCATGAATAAATGCAGCAAGTGTAGACTTCCCACATCCCGAAGGCCCATCGATAATGAGGATCTTTGGTGCTAGCGGAGTCGATGCGCATTGAAGCCATTTTTCGAAGCTAGGATGGCCCAAAATCCATTCGCAGGTACCGTCAGTCCTCGCAGTGAGATGACTCTGCATGCTTTCATTGACGGAGGAAGGTTGCAGCCAGCGCATTGCATTGATCCGGAAATCTTGTCGCTGTCTCAATTGTGTGTCTAGACAACAGTCAGCAGGTCACATATAGCATTCTCGACGTCACCGCCGCACCCTTGATGAATTGAGCCTCCCTTTCCTGCGATAATGCCCCCGCTGTGGCATCGATTGTTTTCGTCCGATGCTTAATGCGGGTGATCACGTCGCCAAGATCATTCTCAAAACTACTTCCTATCAATCTTCCAAGCCTCGCTGTTGATATTAGTTGCAGGTCTGATCACGGGGATAGCGATTCATACCATGCGTCCGCCGATTAAGAAAACGATAAGCAACCACGGAGAACTCCAGTACATCAGCGAACATATCTACCAGACACATCTGAAATTGAGGATTATCGTGCAGCCTTTCATAGAGTTCCAGTCGAGGTAGATTATCTGATAATATCTGCACGAGGCTGAAGATCTGTTCGGCCGCTGCAACGTGATCATGGCACACCTTGGACGATTCAGTCATGCAATGATATCAATGAGTGGAGAAGGTTGACGAACTTTGAGCACGAACTTGATCGGCGCCCATAGTGGGCAAGCGATTCCAGATGAAACTTGCACTGCTGTATCGACTGCGCTGGATATATTCGTCATCCATATAGTATATCTCCTGAAGTTGTCCAGGAGTCTGGTGGACCTTTTCTTTTTGAAGATGCCACTATTCTTGGATAGAACACCAAGAACATCACTGACCGATTCTTGGTCAGCAACACATTGTCGGAAGATCACGTCATCCTGGGGAAGTTTGGCAAAAGCTGCCTTGACTCGATTGACGGCCTCTTGCTGGGCGCGACTGTTCGATGTCATGACGGGCAGTATCGATAGAAGATGAGAAGAAATCCAAGAAAAACGTTCCCCAGCTTCTCATGAAGGGCATGGTGAAGATGGTGAAGACTGGGCTGGGGGCAAACTCCGATTTGATCGATGGGGTGGCTGTGGAAGTCTCGGCTGGAATACGAGAGAGCGCCTATTTGCTCGCGTCTGCCCCCTGCTTGGGGATGAGTTGGCCCCCAGAAAACCAGGGGTGTACGGTTGAAAACAAGAGACTGGGGATGGAAATCATTTGTTGTTGAGCTTCAGCGGGGGTTTTCAAGTGCCTAGGCGACGACTTCCTAACATAGATTTCCGGGCGAAGTGCATGATAGCACCTTCCGCTTTTTTTGTGCTGGCCGAATAAGTCGCGGGAATATCTCTCGGGATGTACATGTATACTACGTACTTAAGCAGTTGTTTATCATAATGGGATATCATACAATTTTACTCCAAATGTCACACAATAAAGCGAGCGCCTGCCTCGAATTACATCCATTATTTCCCCTCGTCCATAGCCACCTCAAATACCTCGCCAGCTAATTTGGCTACATCCCCGCCCAACCCAGCCAGACCTGCCTTGATCTCCTCCACCATCTCGGGTCTCAGCTTTCCTTTCCTTGAGTAGATATCAATTCCAGCAGGCGTGAACAAGGTCTTCGCAAAGTACGTCACCACCCACGAGTTTTGCGCTCCCTGCTGTTCGTCGTCGCCATACCCCAGTATCTCCCACTTTGACGAAGCTATCATCAGCCAGCCCTTCCCCCTCCAGTTGTATCCCAGACTCGCGACATCTTTCGCGTCTTCGCCATCGCCGTCGCTATTCGCAGTGTTTGGTACGGAGAAGGGTTTGTCCACGCCGTGAACGGTCTTGGTGGAGGAGGAGCTGATGGGCTGGTATGTGACTAGATCATCGAGATGTGGAGGTGATGTGTCCGGGACCGGGGTGTATGTGATGACCACATTGCGGTTCTTTTTCCACATGGGGAGTGTCGAGTGGGTGACGCTCCACGAGCCCGAGATCCATTGCAGTGTAGGTGGTTTTATGGCAGGCGACGGTTCGGTGACGGGGAGGGAGGAAGGTGCGCGGATTGTGACCATTGCGCCGTTTGATAGCAATGCTGACCCGACAGATGTATGCCTACAGTACAGCGGTGGTGGTTAGGACGCGAATGACACGAGATATGAAACGCGCACTGAATGTCACCAGTGACGTTCAAAGCGGCTAGGTCAGGTGACTTTCCGAAACGAGCGCTATCACCGAAATCGAGAGTGAAGCACTATTGGAAATTTCAATCGCTACAAAATAGCATAAAGTTAATGATTAACAATATGATGCACAACAACAAAAAACACGGCAAATCATCAGCATACAAGTAAGGCTGAAGGATCGACAGGCCGGAGCGCGTGCCAGCCGCGGCGCGCTATCCACAACTGGTCAAGCCCTCTTTGTCATCCCGTCCCGAAATAGACGACTTGTCTCACGTTCTAGACAACCACGCACCTCCAGTCTCAACCTCTCCAAGACTCCCGCCTGGCGAAACATCACTCCAATCATCATGAGGATCGGATGTGGTGAAAACACCACAGTATCGGAGATGATTGGATGTTGCCAGGCCCCAAGGCGTGCCGATGTCGCCGATCCGGCCTGAAACCCCGTGTCTGTTGTATGAGGCGCTGCCCAGGTCTGCGGGGGCGCAGCACGAAGATCCAGCGGCGTCCGTCCATATGGACGTTGCGTACGCGTTCGGCTCAGCATTTCTCATCACTGAGTGGAGCAAGAGTGCGTGGCTCCGACGTCCTGCCTTGCGCTTGGGCGTACCGAATTGTGGAGCGGAGGATTCAAATCAGTTTGTACCATTATATAAGAAGGGACTGGCTTACTGTGTAGAAGTTGAATGAATTTCTGCTTTCCCCGATTTATTTTATCAAGCCAAAAGTCTTTTTTACTTACTCTATTCTAATACTGTTAGATCACTTGCCATACTATTTCGTTGCATATCTTCACAGGAAAGTAATACCACTTGGACTTCACAATCCGCCACTTCGTTCACTCGTTGGCACCCAAAACACAGTTCGATCATAGAGCAAATACAACAGTACTCGTTTCATCAAATCTACATCACATACACTGTCAGCCATGTTTATAAGAAGCATTCTCCAAGCCTCAGCGCTCCTCTACACAACCGTCACAGCCCAGACAGCATGCAACAACTCTCCATCCCTCTGCTCAAAACCCTACAACAACATAACGCACTTGGGCACACACAACGCCGCCTTCCTCCGCGATGCCTCAACATCCTTCAACACAGCTGGTAACCAATTCTACAACGCCACCGTCCAACTCTCCGCCGGTGTCCGCCTCCTCACCGCCCAAGTCCACCAATTCAACACTTCCTCAGGCCAATCAGAATGGCACCTCTGCCACGGCGACTGCAAATTCCTCGACGCAGGACCCCTCGAGACCTGGCTCAGCGAGATCAAATCCTGGCTGGACGCAAACACAAACGACGTCGTAACTCTGCTCCTCGTAAACTCGGACCGCGCCTCGGGCTCCACCATCGGCACGCAATTCTCCGCCTCAGGAATCGACAAATACGCATACACACCTTCCTCCAACTCCTCCTCTCAACAAACCGGCGCAGCCCAGCAGACCTGGCCAACGCTCGAATCCATGATCTCAAACAACACGCGACTGGTGACGTTCGTGGCGTCCCTCTCGACGCCGTCCCCGCAGCACCCATACCTCCTCGACGAATTCACGCACGTGTTCGAAAACGACTTCGAGAACGAGTCGCCCACCGACTATACGTGCACGCCGCACCGCCCCTCGGGCCTCAACACCGAAACCGCACTCGAGTCCAACCGCATGTTCCTCATGAACCACTTCCTGTACTCGACGCAGACGTTCGGCATCCAGACCCCAAACGTCACGTACACGACCGTCACCAACGCTGCGTCCGGAGAGGGCAGTCTGGGCGAGTCCGTGCTGGAATGTAGTAGTGTTTACGGTAAAGCCCCGACGTTTGTGCTGGTCGATTTCTTCAATGTCGGGCCTGCGGTGCAGAGTGTGGATCGTGCGAACGGGGTGCAGAGTGCGGTCGGGAGGAAGGAAGTCAGCGCTGATATCGTGGATGAGAGGACGGCGCCGAAGTCGAGTGGCGGAGCGGTTGTGAGGGGTCGTGGGAAGGCGAGTGTTGTGGCGTTGGTGGGCGCGGTTGTTGTTGCTGTGGTTTGGGCTTGATTTCACATACCTGTCATGGAGCGGTGTGGCTTTGTCTGCGTCATGATTGTGCTTTCTTTCTTTCTTTCTTTTTTCTTGTTGTTGTTGTTCTGGCATGGCGAAGGCGTTTTTCCCGTATTCTCTTCATCATTGTTATTGAGCACTATCACTGGCATCAGCATAAGCATTAGCATTAGCAGTACCACTAGCATGATCATGCATCCATTATCCACCACACATTCAAATCATCTCTTCACATCCATCGTGGTGAACTTTACAAACCACCGTTAAGACAGAAAACACGTTTACAGATGACGCTACTCTCGAGCGATTCCTGATTCATTCGTTTGTTCCATGGTCAAAGTCCCGCGGAGCAAGCTCAATATATTTTCCATAGAGGAACCGAATTCGAAACACCGAAAGTACCCCCACATTCGCATTGCTCCACGCCCCCATTACTCCATGCCCACAATCCTCTCGAGTCCAGATAATCAATCGAGCAGGTCGGATTCAGGAGCCCTGCGTTTGCCTTTGACGGACGCGGAGGCACTGCCCCGAGCTACCGATGAATAAGTGAACAGTTCCCTATACTTTCGAGGACCAGCTTTGGCTGGGGCTCCACCTTCCAAATCGATCAGCAGATCTGTATTCTGAGATACTCCAACGTTCGTCTTGTGAGGTGAATTCTCAATAAGTCGCCCGGTCGTAGAGTCCTCTTGCTCTTGATGAGCACGGCTGGCCTCCCCCGCTGCTGCTTCTATCATTTTTCTCTCTTGAAACATTCTTGCATCATCAGCACGGGCTCCACCGTCGGCATATTGCTTCCACTCCATCTGCACAGAAGTGTTAGCGTTGGCCGTAGTAACACCGCCTGCATTGATCATAACTTGGGAAGCTGGTAGAGCTGCAGCTGTCTTTCGCTTCATAATGGCTTTGACTCCGCCGCTGCGCTGCTCGCAAATGCTACATTTGCACGGGTCGCAGCAGACAGCGCTGCAAGGATGACCACACTGCAGAGGTTTGATGCATTGCTGCATGCAGTTGATCGATTCTTTCTCAAATGGATGACAAGTGAGCACGCATTTGTGCCCACACGGTAGCTGACAGTGGCACCGCTCATCGCAGCCGCCCTTGATCAGTTCCCAGTCATCTGGAATTTCAACCCATGTTTTGTTCCCGTGGTTAGTGCATGTAAGTGGGAGCATGAATCCCACACGTCGCTGCTGACCAGTTTCAGGCAATTCCGACCTGTTTGCTTTTCCGTACATGGTCAAAACCACCTAAGTCACATATACGAGATTAGTCAAACTGTCACTAAATCTGGTCGCTAAGGGATTACTCACATCAGACCAAGTATTGCTGTTGATCGCGAGTTTCTCCCCATTCCCGAAAAGATAAAAACCACGTTTGGCCCGGGATAGGGCGACGCAAGCCCGGTTATCGTTTTCCAGAAATCCAATGCCACCTTTCTTATTGCTCCGGACAAGCGAGAGAATTACGATGTCGTTTTCTTCACCCTGGTAGGAGTCCACGGTACACACATTCAGTGGAAGCGCCCTCAGGTTTTGGTGATGGCGAAGTTTCTTGGTTAGGAGACTTCGTTGACTAGGCGCGCACACTGTCAGCAGACGTAGACTGGAAAATGATAGGAGATGATCATGCATACCCATTGTAGAAAGTCAAGACTGTGATTTGATTGGAGTCCACACCATTCATCACCAGATAGTCGAAGAACCCGACAATCATTTGGGCTTCCATATCGTTCTGACAAGACATATTTACATTTCTTGACTCCGGCCATTCGTGGGTGAAGAAGAATGAGTTGTTGCCACCCATTCCTTCCACTGGTGGTCGGTTGTGGATGTCTTTAACGCTATGATGGTCCTGCAATGCGTCAGCATAAATAGGTCTCAGTAAACGACGAATTTCGGGTATCATCCGGCGCTGGCGGGATAAACTGTTAATTTCAAGGTCGTTGAAGATCATCCTCTCGAACAAAGAAAGGTTGAAATAATATGGCTCATCCTCAAATTTGTGACTCTGGCAATGAGGACGAAGCTGCTGGTGGTCGCCCACAAGAATCAGGTGATTTAGGGACGGCACGCAGGCTGCGATGACTGGAGCTTCAAGCGTCTCTGCTGCTTCTTCAACAAGAACGATCTTCGGCCTTAGGCTCGCAATCAAAGGGCGGTACTTGTTCAAGCCGGTCGTAGTCATACCGATAAGCTTTGATGAGGCAAGAACTTGTTGGTCGTCTTCCCATTGGCCAATCTTTCGTTTTTGAACAATTTCCTCGTATTGTTTGGCCAGATGAATCAATTCTCGCAATATGATGTCCTTCGTTCGTCGTTGGAAGTATTTGTAAACTCCTCCACGATGGGGCATGGGGATCGTTGTGAGATCTGGCGTTTTTGCAAGATATTGACGAACATAGCAATCGGAATTGAAATCGCCACCGGGGCTTTTGCCAGTTTGGTTGTCGCAGAGTGATGTGACCGGTCCTTTGAGCGCATCGATGTCCTCGTCATCCCTAGCGACTGCCTCAGCTTCTAACTCTTGCAGTTGTTCCACCTCGTCGAAGTCTTCTTCTTCGAACATGATTCCAAAATCGTCTGCCTGGATTGGGCGCCGGGATTGTACTAGATTTCTGCCAAGCCATTGTTCCATCTGCACGCCGGGTGTGGAATCAGGACTGGATGTCCCCATCGTAAGTTGCGTATCTGCGTCTAGAGATGCTGCTTGCTCCTCTGTAATGATGTCCATTTTGACTAAGGCACGGTGATCCAGACAACTTTGACCAAGCTCAAGTGGGGTAAGCAAAAGCTGCATCTTCGCAGTTAATTGTCTCAAGGCGGCCATTGCCTGCTTCTTTTTCGGGCCTGAGTACTGTTGCATGCTGTTCTTCACTTCAAACAAAGTTCTCTTTTTGACCTTGTCGAGGTCCTTGGACCGGCCACCAAGACGAATGAAGTTCGGCTCAAATTCAGCCACATGACGAAGAAGCTGGTCGAGAGCATGGTTCGTTTGACAAGTCACGATAATTGGCGCATCGCCTTTGTTCGCGAGCAAAACTTTCAATGCGACAACTGAGACGTAGGTTTTTCCCGTTCCAGGCGGGCCTTGGATGATAGCAAGTCGCTTGGTAAGTATACGCTCTAATGCTTTGGCCTGAGAGTCGTCCAATCCATGTACATCACCGGACGGCCACGACTCCGGTTGCAACACATTGACGTTTTGAAAAGCTTCGGCGTCCTCCATGCTGACCAAAGAGCTCAAATCTGTCAAAGGTTGTTTTCGAAGGTACTCGGGCGGATCTATGTGTTTCTTGACGTCGACCAGGTGCTCGGAAAGTGGGAAAGGCTCCCGCATCATGTGTTTGATGGTGGATAAGGTGTGCCTGCTGGCCTCAAAGAAACTCGATCGGCTCTCAACCATGATCCACTTTTTCATAGGATCGATCTGTAAATCGTCTGGCTGAAGAAAGAGGTCGATTTCAGGTGGATTCATCTCTAGCGCAGATAGTGGCCTTGCAGCAACTACCGCAGGAATACATTTAGAGCGAAACGCATCTTCATACGGAGACAACACCACCAAGGTTCCAGTAATCAGTCGCTTGGACTGTTTCCACCGGATGAACTTCTTGACACGACTTAGTGAAAAGCCGACCCGCACTGCCAGCCCTCGCGGAGAAAAGACCATGCCTGTGATGTAGACCGGATCATATATACCGATACTGGCGGAATTGTCATAGTCGGACTCATCGAGGAATGGATCTTCCCGGACCTGGTTCACCGCGTCGCGCAATGGGCCAAGGGTGTCTTCCTTGAGGAGGTCGTGGTGGGTCTGTAGATAATCTTCCCTGCTGTTGTACGCGCCTTCCACCTTGTTTGGCCGGGGATGGATGTCTTTAGGGATGTCCACGAGTGGTTTGGAGCTATCGGGGAAATCAGATTTTACATCCTGAAGAATATCTGCAGGCAGAGGTATCTCCGGTTGGTCAAGCCAAGACCCAGCTCCATCAACAGGAGTTTCCGCATCCTCGAAATACTCTTCAATGTCTTTGTTGGCGCTGGGAAGGGGGGGCGCTGCTATGCCGAGCGGATGTTTGACGTGGGTATCATTACGCCCACGGAATGGAAGGGTGAAGCGCTCCGATAAGTGAGGGTTCATCTCTTGATCTGATGAAGCCATTAGTTGGAGCGGTCGGTATGAGAGAAACGAGTAAACGAAAGAAAAAAAGAGCTTATCAAAGTGCAGGGTGGAGCAAAAGAAGAGATGCCTTGGTCTTGGAAAGAAGGCAGAGGTGAAGAATGTGATATCAATCAATGGGGATACAGAGAGTGAGAGAATCCAAATGCTCAGCGAGACAAGCAAGACGAACTATCACACTTACCGGTATGGCTGGCGGCGGCGGCGGCGAGAGCGGTAAACATGTTAGTGGCAGGCGCAGGACGCGGCTGATGGCGGGCATCGTTGCCATGATAGCGACTTCCTGCCCCTTTCCGGGCTTTGCGTTTGTTTGCCATTGTCGGGTGCAGTGGCTGCTTGGTGTTTGTGGTAAGGTGGAGCGGTTGAGGAAGTGGACAGCCGGCTACTTGCAGCACTTGAGAGCACGCGTTGGGCTAGGGCAGGCGCGTGGTGTGATTGGGCAAACTGACACAAAACAGAAGCCGACAGAAGAGGAAGGAACGATTAGTAGATACAGTAGACCCGTCAGTCCGAGGTGAAGACGGGCATTCTATGGACGTGCCAGACACGGTTGCACATGCACGAGCTTTCAACTATGTCAAACAAAGACCGCAATGGAGACAGTCGCCAAAAAGCACCAACAGAGCGACAAGATGTTGACCACATACTGGCTTATGTTTTGGAGGAATCTATGATTGTCTGTCTCAGTTGCCTGTCTGTTCTTTTTCTTCCTGTATACGCGTAGGACCGCATTCGAGAGCGGGCTGAAGAAAGGCTATGGCCATTCACTCCGAACTGATCCTGGATAAACCCTTGTTGCACTGAGAATTGTCTTCACGTATGAAGACACCCATGTACGTGGATGGTCTGGCACGACTGAGTGCAAACAAACGCTCTGGTCTACATGTGTACAGACATTATTCAGACCAGTTGACTGAAGAAGTTTAGGCACGTGCTGAGCTGGATTCACAATCAAACTCTAGCTGGCAGCATATTAAAATACTCTACTGCTCGTTTCATCAGATGCGATGATATTGTTCGAAAAAAATAGACGCAATGTTGAAGAGATAGCGTGATGTGAATGGCATGCAACTGAAGTGACGTCCGATTCTGCTTACCTAATAAATCGGTTTTGGGCCTGGCGGCGATCCCCCGAGCTCCGCTATAGCTTGAGCCGCCTGGAGTGTTGAGCATGATTGATCCCGTCGCAATTCGCATAGTTACGCCTCCACCCCCGGGACTCCTCCGGTCTTGTTCTTCTGTCTTCACCTGCCAGCTGACCGTGTCTCTGCAACTTTAGGCGCGCATCTGCCGCATCGCGGCGCCAGGCTTCTCATTGCGACCGCCCCGCCTTACCAGCTTCCGCCGCCATTGGCGCGTGTTTTGAATAGAGCGCCATGAATTTCGACGACGAAGAGGAGAATGGCGCCGGTAGGTTTCATACTTTTGAAAGTCTTACGAAACAAACACTAACCAAATTTTACACAGGCTCACCCGATACCAGCTCGGAAAACGATGCCGACGAGGTTATGGAGGACATTGATGATGCCGATGCCGACGCCGACGATGACAATGGAGATGGGGATGGGGATGATGATGGAGAAGATGGCGAAGGGGACGATGACAACGATAATGATAATGACGACGATGATCAAGATCAAGATCAGGACCAGGACCAGGATCAGGACGAGCCAGACAGCCCCTCACAATCACAACAGAACAGGAGTAGCCTCCCAAACGGTGCTTCTACACCCATACGAAGAGGATCCAATGCACCCAAAGTAACTCTGACGTCTCCATCGCCTCGAGCTGCCGACGCACACGGCGGCCTACCCTTCCGACCCAGTATTCGCCCAGAGGCTCTCACCGCGCCTGTCTACGATATAATCCCCACCATCGCCGCTCCTCACAGCACCTCGATTAACTCCATCACGTCTACCCCGGATATGCGCTGGGTCTTTAGCGGAGGCGCAGACGGCTATATTCGAAAATTCAATTGGGTGGATACTGCGAATGGCAAATTGGCATTGACAGTGGCCCAGCGGCACCCCTTTGTGGACAGTGTCACCAAGGCTGGAGTATTGCTAAGTTATTGGGAAAATGAAGATGGTATGTATGGAGTTTTTCAAAGAAGACGGCGCAAATGCTGATTCACAGACCGCAACGACGACTCGACAAATCTTTCCCCCGTGTACTCTCTCGCTGTACAACACCAATCACTTTGGCTGCTCTCGGGGGTTGAATCGGGGGGCATCAACTTGCAGTCAGTGCGTCACGAAGAGGGCAAGCGGATACATACACTACGAGGTCACACTTCTGCTGTCTCGGTTTTGACATTGGCCCAGGATGAGACGTCAGTGCTTTCGGGCAGTTGGGACAAGACAATCAACGACTGGGACCTCAACACTGGTCAAGTCAAAAGGAAGTTTGAGACTAGCGGTGGACAGATATCTGCGATTGAGCAACGGCCAATGTCCTCCATCCCCATACCTCAAGATACGGACATAACGCCCGTAGCGAGCGGGACATTTTCGTCCAACAATGCCGCGCGAGCGCAGGCAAACGGTGTGATTAATGGTGCCGCACCTTCATCAGCAGCTCAATCGAAGCCAGAGAATCCCCCCGAGGATGCCGCGGGATCTCCTGATGATTCGCTGTTCGGAGATAAAGACTCGCTGTTTGGAGACGACAAGGATCCGTCCAACGGGCCCTCGGCTTTGGCGCCATTCGGGGACGACGAAGAAGACGAGTTTTCGAGGGCGATTGCTAATGGCATGCAGCAAGATGAGGAAGAAGCGCAAGCAAACTTGGATATGATGGACATTGGAGGACCCGTCCAAGCACCAGAGCCAGAGCAGCCCCCAGAAGCCGGCAAGGAACCTTCTGTGGCTGCGCAGCCTGTTGAGCCAATGACCGGCGATGATAATGCTGCTGCTGCTGCTGCTGTGGAGAGCGAGAAGGACGCTGGCGGTGCCAATGGGCTGCCCCACTCGGAAGAGGTGGCTGGCTCGTCGAGCACAGCAGGATTGGGGGCGGCCGAGCAGCCAGCGTCGTCTGAGACGACATTTATGGATGCATCTATGGATGGCACACTGCGCATCTGGGACCGCCGTCAGCCAAACCCCGTAGCGCGTATTACACCGCCACGCAACACACCACCATGGTGCATGAACGCCACTTGGTCACCAGACGGCAACTTCATCTATGTAGGGCGGAGAAACGGCACCGTCGAAGAATACAGTTTGCACAAGGGGCTACGCGAGCCTAGGAGATCCTTCAAATTCCCCAGCGTTAGCGGTGCCGTAAGCGCGGTGCGCGCCATGCCTAATGGACGCCACCTCGTCTGGTAAGCAGAGGCTCATCTCCCCCCTCGTCAAACGCTAATTCATATGCTTACAATCTGCAGCGCATCTTACGATATCCTGCGGCTCTACGACTTGCGGGAGCAGGAGAGCTCAAAGGCTTCAGCAGTTCCTTTCCTTATCGTACCGGGTCACCGTACCGGCGTTATTTCTCAGCTTTATTTAGACCCCACGTGCACCTTTATGATTTCGACAGGCGGGAATCGAGGTTGGGAGGGTAGCACGACAGAAGTGCTGCTTGGTTACGAGGTCAGCGTGGGGTCGTAGTCGGCATATCATATACGTGGGTTCGCCTATTGGACTGAAGAGCGAAGAGAGCAATCTGGTGTGGGTGGGTGTGCATGTATGCTCATTTGGTTATACCCTGGGTTCTCGGCGTTCATTTGCTTGTTGGAGTTCTATGCGGGATTGGTGCGCCGTCAATTGCAACATGTGACCAGCGGGCGAATGGAGTAGAGTGGTGATGTTGGAATGGTACATTGTAGAGTTTAGCTGAAGGCAGGCTGCGCCGCTGCCGCGTCTTCCCCCCCAACTGTGGTTGCATCCGGGGATGCCCTGCTCGAGTCGTATTCGTGTAAGACGACTCTGTTGCGGGTATGCTGAAGCAAGACCACGTCAGTCACCAAACAGCGCTTCGTGCCCTAGCTTCTCCTTGCAATAACATGAGTGTGCACTATGCCGTGTCGGTTCAGACGGAGAGACAAGCCTTCTTAAGCTCGCTGCTGCAAGGCTTGGTTCCTGATCGACGAGGGTTGCGGCAATGTATCCGGTGTCTCTCGTGCCATTTATAGTTCCGCGAGGTCCGATCCTGGAAAGTTATCGTCGTCATGATGCCTGGGGAGTCCAAGGCACAAGCGAAGCGAGGTACGGCCGTGACTCTGCTGGCTGCCGCCTGATTGGCCCGCCGCGAGATCAGGTGCGGTGCTTACGTACAGGCACGGACGCCGAATTATTTTGATCTAACCAACGCACCAGGCCTCCAGGAGACATTAATAAAGAAAGGGTCTTCCCAGCTGGATTATGGAGAAGGCCAAATTGTCCATGAATCTGACCGGAACATCCCACCACCTGAACCCCTACCGTCACGACCACACCTGCGGATCCCCTTACCTGTTGCCCTGCTGCTGCTGCTGTTTGCTCCCGTCACTGCTGTGCGCCCTCCCAAACTGGCTTCTCGCCCATCACGGGACCGACGGAAACCGCCTCGACGCCGCACGGCCAAGGCCACACCCCGAAAAACAAACGCCCAAGAGGAGGAATCCCTTTGCCCTCTCCCGAGAATTGCGGCTCACGGCATATCTGCGCCCTGGATGAAAGCAAAAGCAAGTTGCGGCGCACGGTGAAGACGTCACACTAAATCACTACCACTGCCACTACCATTTGTTAGCGGATACGAGGCGAAAGAGCTGTTGGGTGGGCCTACCGGACATGTAAATTTGGCTCGCTATCCACGGTATCCCACACAGCGCCCCCTTTTCGAAAAAAGAAAGCAGCAAAATAAAGCCAAATCAAACTTCGGGAACCCAGTTGACTCGCACGGTTACCGGTATATACGCTGGAACGGCCGCCATTCTCTTAGCGTTCACGCCTTTTGTTATTTCGGCACGAACGGAACTTCGTGCCTTGCTCAACACAAAATCACTTTTCTTCCTCTCGTCTTCACGTTCGCCTGCTGTTTGTTTCTCCTTCGCTCCTAGGGCACTTTGTCCCCTTCCAGATATCCGTCGCAAACCGCACACAATATGAAGACCGGGATCCTGCGTCCGCCTCGCGAAGCGAAAATGGAGGTCCTGGTTCGACAGATCCCTATCGCTCGTGAAGCGATGCCAGCTCCGCGAGCCCAGATTCCTGCAAAATCGTTTTTGACACCGGGCGAGCCAAACATTCGCTGCAATCGGACCGAATCCCCAGAGCAATATGCCGGCTGCGCTGTCACTTTCGCGTTCCTGGCGGAAGGCGCGGCCAACGCCGTTTTTCAACTCCGTCCATCTTCAGAAAAAGCGGGTCTCAACGTCTTGTTTCGAGATGAGAACGGCTCTCCAATCCCCCACGCGCGCCTCTTGAACAAGGTTCTGCGGGTCAGTAAAGGCATCCCGAAGACTCTTCCCTACAGCGAGATCATATCCGGCTACGAGAACGTGATACATCCACTGTTCCGGACCAAGCTGCCATCGCCGCCACCAGCCCAAAATCAAGCGCAACCACCGTCGTCGAGGAATACGCAAGAGATAGCTTCATTCGAGGATTATTTGATGGACGATGAAGGAGTCCGCCTCAACCAGGAAATTATCACCCATCTCCACGCGCAAATGCACGGCGACCAATGTGCTTCCGGCCCCTGCGCCACGGTTCCCAATATGGAACTCTATGGAATCCTTCTGCCCGACATGTCGTCTATACCCAACCAGGCCCTGACCATTGAAATCAAGCCCAAATGGCTTGCCCAATCGCCAACGGCACCACGAGATGCCTTCCAGTGTCGCACGTGCGCAATGCAGCGCCTCCGCAATAAACAAGGCAAGAGAAAGAGGGATCCCTATATCTGCCCGCTACAGCTCGTCGCCGGCAACACACCAGCCATTGAGAAGTACGTCCGCCACCGTGTGGCTCAGGAAATGTCTGGCACGAACAAGGCTGCAGCAGACTTCGACATGGAGCCCGTCGTACAGCGCGTGACCGCCTACCTCGCAACAGGCCCTGGCCACACCCTTCTCGAATTCCTCCGCACCTTGCAATCCAAGCACGACGATGTAGGCGTGACGATGCGCCCAGCCACCCCGCCGCGCCTCGCCACCAGCGTGCCTACGTCCAACATGGCCGACTACGACCACCGCCTGCGCCTTGCCATGACGCTGCGAGACTGCAGCTTCTTCATCCGCATCTCGTTCGCAGACCCGGATATGCCCATCGAAGCCAAGCTGTGCGATCTCGACTTCAAGAGCGCCGACAAAATCGAGGTCTGGTGGGACAAGGAGAAGCGCTTGATCAATGGTGGCTGGTACACCAGCGTTGAGCCAGGGACTACGTGTGCCGTCACAGAAGCTTGGCGCACTAATTGTCCTTGGTATGTTTGAGTTGCAGGGCATCGGATGGATGGCACGCCTAACGGAACAAAAATCTCCCTCGTTCATTTTCCTTATTGGCGTTTTATTGATATTCCATATACCATAGACAGGCGGCATAGACTACGGCAGGGATCCGCAAGGGTTATCATGTTTTTCTTTCCTTTGTTTCTCCTACGTTGATTTTCCTCCTTCTTCGCATCTCGAGACAAGCACAGCGGAGCTCGGACAGAGCTCTTGAACAGTCGTGCTGGGCATCAGTTTCCTTGCTTTCATTTCTTGATACCCCTTTTTTTTCTTTTTTTTTCTCCTTTGTCTCGAAATCAACATTCATCATCATTATACCACCCCTCTTCTCCTATCCATCCTTCGATTCTCCTAGAGCATTGCTTTCTCCTCTCTTGAGTCTTGCCATGCTCTACGCTGGCTGGCGTGCATGCAGAGCATCTCTCTTCCCCTTCCTCTTCTTTACCTCGTTACCTAGCTGCCAGTTTTTTCTTTGCTGTATGTGTGTGTAAACTACTACGTTCGCTGGACAAACACGGTATATATGCATGGTTCAGTCGGTCGCTGTCATCAACATAGCATCATTCATCTTCATAGCTTCATGATTCTGGAAATATATTCATGATACCCTTTGAATACATGACCCTGTTCCAGTCTCTCTCTCTCTCTCTCTCTCAGAGTGTGTGTGTAGGGATGCATATTCCTATCTCGGAACATAATCTTCGGATAGATACTTGGTCTCCTCTCTCTTCCCCCCTACCCTATCCCCTCTCCCTCTTATCATCATCATCATCATCATCATTCCTATAGCTGCCCCTAATCCTCCTTAAATCCTGCAAAACCCCCTTCTTAACCCTTGCTAAACTTCCTCTTTCTTTTAACCTGGATAAACTCCCATTACAATGATCAACCCTATTGACTAAGTAATCTCAAACGCTGACTTAACTAGCAAAAAAAACTTTTACAGGAAAATGTAGATGCTAATATATAGTAGCAGTAGCTAAAAAATTAGAAAGGTCAAAGTTAAGTTTTCTTATTTAGGTATTTCTAGTAGTAAAGAAAGAAAGAATAAGAGCAGTGTAGATAACCTCTAAAAGGACAGCAGAGCAACAAAGGGAGAAACAAAAAAGAGGGGGTAGGGGAGGCTAAAGAAGAGAGAGAGAGAAGAAAAGTCTTAAACTTACTAGCTTTAAATATAAACGTGTACACCGCAACAGGATTAGCTGGCGAAACCAACATCTAGCATAATCATGAATTCTTCGCAATTTGGGGGGAGGGAGAGAAAGGGTGAAAGAACATAACACCCGTTATTGCAAACTACAGTCCCAAAATCCCGATGTTGTTGATGATGATGAAGAAGAAGAAAATCACGCCATCCTTCGACCACATCGTTAAATAACTTCCCCCCCCCCCCCCCCGTCATTCCCCTCGACGGGAGATTTCTAGCAGCCGCTTCAACGAAGAAAATCGATCGTAAACGACTTCTCGGGCGAGCCTAGTTTCACTCCCAGTAGCGTACATACGTCGTGAATGCGAAATACTGAGATAACAAGCATTACAACTACTGAGTGGACGTAGTCCGTCAAAAAGAAATCGCTTTAATCCCACCGAGAACACGGCACACATCACCCCACCTTCCCAAGGGAAGCAAAAAAACACGCCGCAGGGCAGTGTTCAACGCTCGTGAGAGCGCAGAGATAACGGTTGAGCTACTGGGTTAGCAACATGTAAGTTCCTAAGATACGATATTCGCGAAGAGCGCGACCGCGATGGAAACGGAATACGTCGCGGTCCCTCCCGCACGTATCGAGCGCGGACGGACTGCTTCGAGGAACGTCTGATATCCATTATTTCAGTCCAGCCTTGGTGAATCGCGCATTGGAGGGATTAGATGGTGTTAGATAGGGGATAGACAGAGAGGACATACATACGTTACAATGAGCATTCTGCCGTCTACTGGCTTTGACTTAATAACTAGCTGACTACATATTCTCTGGCGGAGAAGGAGGGGGGGAAGAGCAAAGATTCACTATTCTAGATAGCGAAGAGAAACCCGATCAACGCCTAGCAAGACTCTCATAACCCCTCCGGTCTTGGTTCAACAACGGGTGTATAGACAGGTCTCTCTCTCTCGTAGGCGTCTGGATCTTCTGCTCTAGCAGTAAGTTTCATTGTTGTTGTCGTCGCCAATCACCCCCTTTCTCTGCTACTATACTCTTTTCTTTTCGTCCCCTATTTTTCTCTCCGTCTCAGTGAAAAAAAACTTCAATTTAATAGAAAAATTTACCTTAGACAGGATAATTCTCATCTACTACTACAAAAAAGAAAGAACAAATAGCAGCAAGAGCGCAGGCCGCGCTCACGACATCTACATCTACATCTACATCTACATATCGATATAGCTATCTATTATTATTGGAAGATCGGGTATTGCATCCCTGGCCCGGTGCCGAAAGCAAACACCTTTTTTTGAACTTTTTTGTACTCGCCTACTTTTTGTTTAACCTTTTTTATATACTTTTTAGGTGTAGGAACCACTGTAACTTCCAATCAAAAAAAACTTATTAGAAGAAGAAGAAGAAGAAGAAACAATAGTTATATCTCGTCCCTTATCTAGCAAAACATGTGATTCGTAAATAGTAGTAATAAAAAAAATTAAAAAAATATCGCATCTTTCCTAATAAAACGCATAATTGCTACACTAGCAGCTGACCAGTGTAAAAAAGCCGCAGTAAATTCTTCAAGGCTTGAGCTCGGCGCGTCGACATTGGCGTAGTAGTGTTCCAAGAGAAACTTCAAGGGAGACTGATGTAGCCGGCGGGATTCTTGTGCATGTTGCGCTGGATAAGAACGACGTAGTTTTTTCCTAGGCGGCACGAGGCCGTCGGTTAAGATTTTGCTCGCGGAGACTTTTTGATTTTTTTTAGAGGGGGAGGGGAAGGGAGGGTGTATCTCTGCTAAGAGTATTCAACGTCGTGATGAAGAGTTTGGGGAGGGGGGGCTGTGTGTTGAGTTGTTTTAGACGTAGATGCATCTTTCAGAAGGATCACACTCTCTAAGATTATAACTAGGTAAACCACACATCACCCCTAATCGCTGCTTTTCTCTCAAAAGCTTTTATAAAAAGTTTAGTTTTTTTTAGTTATTGCTTATTATTTTTTAGAGGGGGAGGGGATCTATTTATCGTTGTAACTCCCCGCTGAGTGTAGTAGGATCATCTAAACTCCAACTTAGAATAAAAAAAATTAGACTACACACAGTCCAGCATCAACAGTCCACAAAAATAAAAAAACAAGCTGGATATCTACAAAATACTCTGGCTACTGTCACATCACCAAACCATACATACGTTGCAACCTCAATTTCCTACTCCAATCCACTCACTCTCATTTATGCCATTTCTCTTATCTAGATTCCCTCCCCTCCCCTCCCCTTGATTCCCGCGCGCCCAAGAACATTAGTGTAAAGAACTAACTAGTGAGTCTCAGGCTTGCAAGACCAAAGAGAAAAAAAAAGAGAGAAAAGATGGTTCTCTATAAGAATAAACAAGCCTCGGGAATCCTTCATCTCTAAACCAACAAAAAAAAAATTGTATAGTTGCAATATCTGTAACATTAACTGCAGGCATGTAAAGTTATTTCCCTGGCCTGCTTTGCACTTAATATGAGTAAGGCGCACACACACACACACTTATTCTCTCTCCCTCTCTCTCTCCCTCTCTCTCTCTCTCAACTATAAAAAGATCCACAAGTCCTTTACGTTAAAAGAGAAGAGAAGAGAAGAGAAGAGAAGAGAAGAGAAGAGAAGAGAAGAGAAGAGAAGAGAAGAGAAGAGAAGAGAAGAGAAGAGAAGAGAAACAGCACCATCAAAACATATCAGGTGATCTACGTACGATGGTAGCCAGAAGAGGGCCGAGGTGATTTCTCTATAATCTACAACTATGGTATAGGTAGCTAGCTAGCTAAGCTGTCTATGTAGGGGAAAAGAGAAAGACGGAGTGATTTATTTGGATAGATCTTCACCAAGTAACAAGGGGACAAGAGGGGTACAGGAAGAGGGGATATGGATCAACGACATAGCGAAAAAGAGATATAAGGAGGAAAGGAGACGCAGACAGAGAGGACTTGTTCTCTTGCTACACAGTGGGCTTCCCCATGGCAATGCAAGAGCGCTCCGCCCACTACCCAAGACCAAAGTTGGCATCACTACACAAGGCACACAGACATAGAGAGTGGATCACGACAAAGCAAAGTCTTGGACGGACAGATGATAAGCAAAGGACTCCAATTGATTATATTATCCACAAGTTTACATCCAGCTATATTTTTTCCTGATCACGCGGGGGGAAGTAGCGAGAAAACCTGGGGTTGACACTAGCGCTCCCGAGTACCCACACTCACACACACACTCGCGGACAAAGGCGGCAGCTAATGCAGGAACACCTGCCGATGCAACCATAAACCCCCAGAGTGCGGTAGAGGGAGACCCAAAAGCACCGGACGACAGCAGTAGTCAACCACAGTTCCCAACCGCACGAACGACAAAAAATCAAGGCTAAGAAAGGCTATAGACACAATTTCAAGAAGCGGGCCAACCGGGAACAAACTCCTTTATGCATTCATTATGGGAAGATGGTTTGCTGACGGTCTGGAGATGACATTAGCGAAAGAAGATGGGATGAGCGCAAGAGGAATCGACTTACCAATGAAGACACCAACATCTACAACCTGGATCCGTGGACAACCTTGTAGTCGACAGCCATCTCGAGACCATCGTCGTTGATGACGAGGATGCGGACGCTGCCACGGCCGTTGTCGAAGGACTCGCTCAGGCGGTGGAGGAGGTTGCTCTGGTCAAGGATGGGAAGACCCTGCTTGACATCACCAGTCTCGGTCATGGCAACAACGCGGCCATCCTCGCGGATGTCGAGCACGCGGTACTGCTTGAAGACGGGACCAAGCATGTTCTGGACAACCACAGAGGGAGCTGGGTTGGAGATGAAGCTGGACTCCTCATGGAGCTGCTTGGTGAAGAGGTCAACACCGAGGTAACGGTGCTGGCCAGTCTGGGAGGAGGTGGTGATGCGGATGACCTGGCAAGGGCGGCCCTGAAGAATCAGGAGGTCGCCAATGCGGATGTGGTGGCAAGGGATGGTGATGGTGTTGGGAGGAGCCATGGTGCGAGGACGGGCAGAGGTCTGGACGGAGCGGTAGGAAGAAACGGACGAGGGAGCCGGAGCGTGGGAGTGGTGAGAGACCTTGGTGTGGGTGCGGACGGGGGCGGGAGCGGGGGCTGGGGCCGAAGGAGCGGTGGAGTGCCTTTCCTTGACTACGATTTCCTCGCGGCGATCGTCGTGCTTAGAGCCGACGTAGGAGTGGTCGTGGGAGTGGTGGTGGTGAGAAGAGTGGTAGGGGTGGACTACTTTCTCGGCGACCTTATGGGCAGCTTTGGAAATACCGTGACGGAAGGAATGATACTGGCCGTCTTCGTCGTAATATCCCATATCACGCTTGTGGGTCTGCTGGGGGTAGCGGCTGTCGACGGTGTCGACGTCACGACGGTACGGGTAGGTGTCGTGCTTGGCGGTGAAGGACTCCTTGCGGTAGGCGGAGGCCTGGTCGTAGTTGGGCGAGGTGGTTAGATTGGCGGCGGCGGCACCGACAATGGGACGCGTGTGCTCACGGTATTGACGCTCGGAAACGTCAATCTGGGTGGTGGCGTTGTCTGCGGAAGCTCCGTGGACTGAATTGAAGTCCCGGTCGTAGGTCCTGTCCTTGGGATGGGAAGGTTGGTAGCTGTGAATGGGGGAGAAGAAGGTCAGCTTGGGATGGCAGGGAAGAGGAAAAGACAGGAAAAGTGGGGCGGCTGCGTGTCGCTCGGACAACAATAAGACAGAAACGGTTAAGCGAGCCGCGGCCGGCGGCCAAAGCTCCGTTCTCAGGGGGGGCGGGCAGCCAGCTGCTGAGCTGGCAGACCCGCCCGCCCCGATCGAGACTGGACGGAGACCGGGCCACGGCAACAACAACAATAACAAAAACAACAAAAGAAACTTTTGAGTTTGTTGGGATCTGGGAGAGACGAGAAAAAACAGGGCAACGTACTGGTCACGGACTTCTACGCGCTCACTCTCGAAACGCGAGTTGGGCTGCGGCTGGCGGTAGCGGTGCTCTTCGTGGATGCGGATCTCCTCGCGACGGGGCTCCGTGTGCTTGTCGTTGAAGCGGTGCTCCTCGTGGATGCGGACCTCTTCGCGGTGCTGGGGCTGCTGGGGACGCTGGTGGCGATGCTCCTCGTGGATGTGGATCTCCTCGCGGCGCTGCTGTTGCTGGGGTTGCGGTCGACGGCGGTCTTCAAAAACACGGACGTCTTCGGTGTAGGTCTCGCGTTGCTCAGCAGGCTTGTGGTTGATGTGAGCAGAGAAGGATTCCTTGTGTTCAGAGTGACCTTCCCGCCCTGCCTGTGGTGCTTTTGCTTCTGCTTCTACCTGGAAGGGAGAGTCAGTGTGGTCACGATGGAGCGAGGTTTTGTTTTTTGCGCAATCGCGCGGTTTCACGTTGCTGGTGCTTCTTTTGTTCGTTCTTTTGCTTACCTCGAGCTTCTCGTTTTCCTTGACGGCGTCCTTAGAGACGTTCCGGTAGCTGGACGGGAAGACACTGAACGGGATGGGAACTGGGCAAAAGGAAATCAGTTCTGGTGTTGTTGTTGATGGATGGATGGATGGATAGATGATGGAGCGTCGCTCACCTCTTGCGTCAAAATCCAGCGTGCCGGAGTCGTCGCGTCAACTTCTTTATCCCCTCAACGAAAGGATGAAGAAGCGACTTGGTGCTCCTTTGGGGGGATGGATGGGGGTGAAGGGGGAGTTGAGGGTGCAATTGGCGTGGTGTAGGCGTGCAATTGGGTGGTGCAGTAGCGGGGATAATAAAGGTGAGGTTGCAGGAGGTTGGTCAGAAGGCAGGCAGACGAGACAGGCTGGCTGGAGGGGGAGAGGAGCTTGGAGAGTGCTGTCGGGGTGGGGCCGGGGCGTTCGCCGTCTCTGAAAAAGCGCGAGGTTGGCATGTAAACACGGACGGTCGTTCCTGTCCACATAATCCTCATAAGCGCTAGCCCCGATACGGACAGCTCAGACCCTAGTGACAAATGAAGACGCGCCCCCCTTTTTTTCCCTCTCCACCACCCTCTCCACCACCATCAACTCTCCATCACACCGTGCCGCTCTCACATGGCCCGGCCGAGGCACATTGTGAATCTGACGCTCCCGCTGCTCCACGCCTGGATCCCGCCTAGTCTGCCGCGTTGGCTCGGCGACGATGCCATCAAAGAAAGTTGGCTCTAACTAACTACCTACCTGCTAGGAGCTTCCCAGTTGGGACAGCTGTCTCCCATGGCCCTTCATCTCCACGCTCCTCCACGGGGATGGATGGCTGGGAATTCATCAATGCTGCCTCCCGTCGAAGCGCCGAAGCGTCAGTCTGTCGTGGAGCCGCGCAATTGGTTCGTCTGGCCTTGCATCGAAACAACACCAACATCGAATGATGCCCATCACCATTTGTCTGGTGCATCCCATCCTTGCATCCACCTCAATCTTTTTCAGCTGCAAGCTACCCTGGACGCTGCCTGTCCACGGCCAATCAATTCCCGGTGGCTGCATCCCGCCTTCGTGCCACCGGTTCCGTTTACTCCGGACTGCCATCAGACCAGTTCAATGTCATGTGATTTGTTCTCGCTCACGTGACGACCCTCACTCACTCCCTAGCACCATCTTTTCGAATCTTGCCTGCCATCACTTGCTCGTATCCATCACCATCCGTTCGACAGTTTCGCAGACAGACGTACAGAAATCGGGCTAGTTAGAGCTCTTTTTCGATCAATCCAATCAAATTCTCTCCTCCAATCATCAGAGTCGTGATGTCTTCGCTCTTCTTCATCGCCATCAGATCAACATCTTCGCATATTCAAGCACTCACCCAGCCAGCATTGCTCGTCTCGTCTCCTAACACCTCTTTGATATCCACTGACTCACCACGCTATGTACTTCGTGATACCTGGCTGCTTCAGCGCAAATTGCTTCACACTCAAAAACTCAACTCTCAGCAGCCGTGCACCCAGAAAATTGATCTCCACTCCTCTACACCTATTCTCGTCGGGAATGTATTCGGGAGGCTCGCTCATCTTATCCCTCAACACCCCTAGCTGCCCCTCGAAAGCCGTCTCTTCCAAAACCAATCGCTCCCAAGCGATCCGCCCTGCTACTACGCTGTTCCAAACTCCTTCCCCACGAGGAAACTCGAGCATCAATGCAATCGCCCGACGTCTGAGAAGCGACGACCTGGCTTTTGAAACTACGTGCCACAGGGCGATACCGACGTTGCTGCCCGACGCAAACACTGGTCGCGCATAAGGCATTGACTTCTTTGGCGTCATGTGTTCCACTTCTGCATACGACGTATAGTAGTCGCGCGGATCTGCTCCAAACGGTATCGTCAGGCCAGGAGGCGCTCGGAGTAGTTGGCCCACCAGATCTACAATGACTCCCATGCCATGCTCGTCAACGTGCCAGTCAAGCATGCGGATTCCACTGTTCTCGTCAAACTCGAGAAAGGAGCTCAGAAGCAATCTGATCTGTTCTCGCCATAGCCTGATCCAAAGGTAAGAGTCTCGTTCCTCTTCACCTACGTCACTTGCACATTGCTCCAGGAAGGCGTCTAGACGTGGATTCATTACGTTGAACTCGTTCCTGAACTCCTCTATTAGATCATTGAAAGGCTTGGCCTCTGGTCCCACCGGTCGATACAGATCTGAAGATTGTATAAACGTCCTAATCTCGCGGTAAAACCTTTCCATGTACCGCTTCGTCTGTAGAAGGGTTCTGAAGCTCTCTGGCGCTGGGATATGTTCACTCCTTGGTAATGGCTCCCACTGGGCCAATGCTGAAACGCTCAGTAGAGCTCGAACCTCGACATCCAATGCAACGAACATGGAACGTAGTGTGTTTAACGCGATGGGTTGGTTGGCATAATGCTGTGGATTCCTGCCTTCCTCCTCATCAGCCTGCCGTAGTATTTTCAGACCGCTGCGCAGATGTTCAATTGCTTTAGTCTGATGCCCCTCGAAGCAGGAGATGCAGTAAAAAAGAATGCTAATGGTCAACAAATCGACAGTCGTCCTACCCCGTGCTTGAAGGGCTAGTGTCGACTGTTGTAGCGCGAATCGCATATGCTCATCCGACGTACCGCTGGGTAGCACCGGCATGCGGCACTCGATGAATTTGCGATGCATAGCCGCCAGGGACATGACAGCATGCCGGATAGCTGGAATTGTATGTGACGCCTGGAGAATCTCGAATTGCCAGAACTCCGAGTCAAAGAATCCGGAAAGCTGTTTCATGGCACCCGTTACTTTTCGCATCACTGGCAAGACACACGGCGCCACTCACCTCCTTGACGGTATAGGCTTTGAAGAATTGGAACGCATTCTTTTCCGAATCTGATCTGAGTTTCAAGCCCGGAAAAGCCGCAATAAGTGATTCCGGCGTCGAAGTATTGCCTTCACGAGGCGGGGTTGGGGACGCCACCGGATACCATTCGCATGTTCGCCCTGTTGAAGTACAGCGATGACAGTACGGTTTGGCTTCGTCGCATTTCACTCTTCGAATCCTATAGGGCTGTTAGCGTGGTCACCCGTACCGGAACCTGTGCATGTAAGCACGTTACAAGGCAGTCGGAATAAGCTTCTATCATGCTTGAAAGAGGAAAAAGAAGACACCCCTAAACGACTACAAGGCAAAGGCCTTCACGCCTCCCCCTGCCCACCATTGCACTGCATACACGCCTGCGGCACTTTCTCTTTTCCCCGACTACCCCACAATATATTCTTGCCACCGAATTGCAACTCGGCACGAGCACATTCGTGCCACAACCTATTCGTTCGTACATATTGTCTGGTCCCCGCCTACAACCATCACATCACATACCGCACCCACCAACCACAGGAGATCACACAGAAGAAGCTGGAGACTACTCACCTGCACGTCATACACCCTGTTTTGGTTTTTGGTTTCCATGCCTTCTTTCGCACATGCTCTTCCTTCTTCTTCTTCCGCACATGCGCCCGTTGCTCTTCTTCCCCACCACTTCCCTTTGTATTGCTCGCGGGAGGCATTCTAGTTTATTAAAGCAATACGACTGATATCAATCAAGAATCCGCAACGAGGAAATGAACGAGCGGGCTAATCACGGTGTTTATCAATACACCATCGGGTGGTGTGCGAGGTGGGGACCGGAGTCGTCAATTTGCACGTACGCGAACCACATGGAGTCTCAGCCGCAGTGGCATGCGTGGTCCCACCATTACTTACTTCGACCCTGGTCGGATTTGGAACAAGTGATTCGTCCGATCGTTCAGTCTGACCTTGGCGAGGTATACTATACTATAGTGAGTAGAGACCGTTATTATTTTAGCCCCCACGTCTTTTACGTGCGAGTAGCCATTATGTATTCCGGAATCCTATTAGACAGTATCTATCAGTACTGATGCTTGGCAAAGATCAGAATACAGGACACTGGTCCAGAACTCTCACATCATGGAAGGGAAATGGAGGGAAAACAGTATAGTGGCAGTGAGTTACATTACTATACTACCATAAAGTACCTGGCTGATGAGATACACCTGACTTTCAAACATACTATTCAAGTCCATTCAGGCTTCCCTGATGATCTCAAGAGATAGACTCTATGCACGCTCGATCCTCATCCGCTTCTTGTTGTCCTGCCAGAGCCTACCCTTTGAATCGTAATAGACCCATTCCCAATCATCGTTTGGCCCGGGCTCAGCGTTACTCACTTTCACGACAGGTTTGCCAACCGCATTCTTTGGCTTTGAGCTCGTGAGACTGGAAGTGGGGTTCACTTTTGGAGCAGGAATCACGGACTCCTCAGCCTCAGGGCCTCCAATGCCATCCACATAGACCACGTCATACGTAGTCTTACCAGGCTGATTCGACGCCGGCGTGGGTTTCGTTGCAACCTGTGTCTTTGTTTCAGTCTTGTCCTTGGATGCTGCGTTGGCTTGTGGAGGCGCAATCCCGTTGATAGTTTTCAAACCCTCGGTCATGGCACGGATATGGCTCCAGTCGTTACTGTCTTCTCCAAGACTCCACGCCATCACCCCGCCGAGACCATACTTTGCAACGACGTCTTGGAACTTCCTTGCGATGAGCTCCTTGGTATCCCAAGTCCAGAAAAGCTTATTGGCGGCGTCAAAGTAATACTGTCCGCCTGCTTCGGTGTCCGTGACACCATTGCTGGCAGCATTCTGCCACGACCCGGCGATATCAGCATCGGTGCAGCCCGTCCCAAAAGCGTGCTGGCAAGCTCCACTGCAGTGTTCTTTCGAAGTGCCGCAGTTTCCATATTGCGAGCAGCATCCGCTCGCACACCGCGTTCCCTTGTCAGCCCCACATGTTCCGTCGGTGCTGACAGGCAATGCAGACCCGTTGACAGCCTGCATGTGTGCTTTCTCGAACGTCCATGCTCCAGATGTTAGTGTGTCAGCGCCCGTGATGGGATCCTCTGCAATTGCAATCTGGCAGTTGAGCGGCGACGCAGTGCAGTCTCCAGTCGTGGTAAAGTACTTCGCATAATACGCGAATCCCAAGTTGATCTTGGACGGCGGAGCCCCAATATCGAGGTAGTTCTGTACCGCTTGTGCGGCGCCCGCCACGGACGTGTGATGGGACGTCACGGCATCGCGACGGTTCATAAGGTCGTATGACATGATCTACAATCACCAAAACATGAAACGTCAGCGTTACACAATCACACTGGAGAACAATCACCGCCACCTAAGACATTACCCAGGGAGATAGATGGATGAAACTTACGTTAACGTGGTCAACAGACGGCCAGATCAACGGCCCCGTCTCCTTCGTGAAAGCGATCATGTCCCCCTTCTTCCCAGGCACCGCAATCGACAGTATTTTGTCCTTACCGATCGCTTCGCGAATCGCCTGGAGCAGTTTCGGGAACGCTCCAATCTCATGGACCTTGGCCGAGTTGGGAACCTGCTTATAATCCGCGCCATTACCACCGGGATACTCCCAATCGATATCGATCCCATCAACGCCTGTGGTCGCCACAAGAGTCTTGATATCGTTCGCGAACTTGTCGATCCCGGCTTGCGATTTTGTGGATTCGGTAAAACCGATTGTATCGCCCCATCCGCCGATGGCAATGCTGAGTTTCGCCGACGGATATTCGTCTCGTAGCGTCGAGATTGAGACGTGTGGTTTGTATGCTGCTGTGTTGTTTGCTTGGGCAAAAGCGAGGATTAGGTGAGTTATTACTGCGCGGTCGCTGGGGTTGGTGGGGCGCGTGGGGTGCCATCTATTGTTCGTTAGGGGAGGATAATGGATGGAGAAGTATGCGGAAGGGGGGTATTGGATGACTTACTCATCGTGGTACATGACGAATCTAGGTGAAGTCGCTGCGACTGCGGCAGCGAGCGCCACCAGCTGTGTCGCGAGGAGAGTGAGGACCTTCATATTGAATCGAACTTGGATCTCCGTTTGATGGAGCTAGATAGACTGAGAGGTATGTATGGCTTTTTTTCTTTCGTCAAAGAAAGGAGTCAGTGAGTGACAGAGCAAAAACCTCTCAATCCCTTTCTCCCGCTTCGTTCCTCAGACCACGCCTTGAGAGACAGAGAACGATAGTACTAGACAGCGGCACTTGTCAACAATCCAAATCTCCCGCAAGGAGAAACAAGAAGCCGTCCGCAAGGAAAAGGCTCACACAAAATGAGCGTGTGGTTGAAACAAGTTGTTCACTAGACTTCAGTCAAACTCGACGACAAAAGTCTCTGGGTGATCAGGAATGCTGGCAAGTCAAGTGCACAACGCAAGCTTTTATAAACAATCCCCCCTCCCGCTCCCCTCCCACTACATACCGATGACTCGAACGCACGAACGGCGTTAGCGTTTCTTAGTGAATGGCGCGGGACGTTTGTACATGTATACATGCGTACGTGCCGTGTTTGCGTGCGTGTGAAGGGAAGGGCGCCAAAGGGTTAAACGGTCCTTTTTCCCCCTTTATCCTTTCATTTTCCCTTTTCTTCCTTGTATTTGCCACTTATTTATGAATTTGAATAGTGTGATGTAATGTCTATCTTCTTTCTTTTCTATGTGGTCGTGCTGAAGTTATCTAGCAGAGAATGTAGGATAATAGACTGTAGTCTCTTATTACTATCTTTTTTCTCTAGATTTTAAGTTTGTTTTTTATTTATTTTTTTCTTCTTTGTTACATGGACGGACCCTTTCTTCCCTGTTTAAGGGACGTTGCAAGGTATATAATCAAGGTCAAGTTGACAAAGTTAATAATAAGCAAGAGAGAGAGAGAGAGAGGTACAAGTAACATGTAACATGTAGTTACCCCCCTTCTCCTCTTTCCCCCTTCATTCATTTACAAGACTTATTTTTTTTTTGCAAGTCCTGGTTGCTACACTAGTACGCGGTACCCAAGATTGTTTAATTCTTTTGTTCGCTGGCCCGTTCGTTTTTTGCTCGCTCGTTCGCTCGAGTGTAATTAGATATCCCTACTAATTTAAATCGATCAACCATGATCATAATCCCTTGATTCCATACAATATCCCCGCTTGATTTCGCGTGCCGCGCGTTTCGTTTGTGGAATGTGATAGTCGTAGTTGGTTACACAAAAGGGCATAATGCAATGGCAAGTTTTGGAATTACAAGGATTTTTACAATTGACATACGGATAATGGACTAGGTTTCATACAAGGGTATATACAAAAACATGGTATATAGACACAGGATATGGTACAAGGGAACAAAATACAACATGTACATATAATGCGTCAACGGGCCGAAGAATGAAGTGTACCAAGGGCTTGGGAAAGCACTTCTGCGGCCTTATGTCTTCCCCGCGGAAGCCGTGGACGCACCGCCCGGACGTTCTTCCACACCGACGTCAGTCTTGGCGGGCCGCGAGGGATGTCTGAGAAGCGCCGTCGCACTTGCGCACAGATCCTTGCCAGCCTCACCACCACCACCACCATACCCATACCCAGCTCTGGTATTCCAAGGCCCATCGACGCGAATGTATTTTCTGAGGAGGCTGCGCGGAAGCTGCGGATGCCACATCAGACCATGGACTTTGGATCTGCCGTAGAAGCGGGGCTCGACAAGCAGCGGCTCTCCCCAAATCTCATTGACCTTGCGAACATACGTCGGATACGAGATTTGATTGGCTTGGGACATTCTGACGTTCTCGCGCTTCTTGGAGTGTCCGCGGCCAAACAGGTTGATGAAGACGATCTGGAGCGCCTTGACTACATTGTGCGGATGCACTACGAGACCCATGTCTCTGAACTCGACGACGGTTTTGAGACCGATGCTCCAATCTAGATGATGCAGGATACCTTTTTGGACGAAGCGGCGACGGTACCATTTTTTGGATGCGGCAGCTGCTAGCATAGATTGTTCCCATGGAGCGTTCGGAAGGAGGGCTTGACGAAAGCCCCAGACGATGAGGCCCTGTTGGAGACCACCGGGTAGCAGACGGTGGACAGTGTGTATTTCATGCTTCCCTTGCCGCAGGGCGTAGGAGGATAACAGTATGATCAGGAGCCGTCGAAGCTCGCGCAACCTGCCGGTGATACCGTAACGCTTGATGAGCTCTCGCCACATTTCAGGCATTATGTTTCCTATTTTGGCGTCACTTATCATGAGAAAGACTCGGGTCACAAAGCGTAGGTCGTCGAATTTCCCGTGCGGAGATCTGCCTGGCTTTCGAGTAGGTCGGCGAGGGCGGAGCAAAGATTTCAACGCCACCAAGGTTGAGGTATAAACGACAACGTCTTTTTCACGCATAATCTGCAACGTATGCAAGATCTGGTCTGGTTCGAATTGCGAGACCTGAGCTTGGAGCAGCAAGTTCCACGACTCGGTGCCCATGTCGGCATGGAAAAGGCTCATGATGGCTAGGGTGCGGTGCACTTGCGCCCAATCTTGCTTCTTCAAATAGAAGTCGAGAAGCTCTTTTTGCAGGTCCATGTTGTCGTAGACATCGACGTGTTGATCGCTTTGTAGCATACTGTGCACCAAGTGCCAGCGCCCATCCGAGGCAAACTTTTCGAGAGCAACAGAGAAGGTGCTGCCTTGTAAAGCGATGCCCGAAGCTTTCAATGCCTCAAAAGACTGCAGAATGAGAGTATTGGACTCAGCTGTAGTTGCCATGGCGCGTACAGCCAATGGGCCAATTTCGTTGACACCGACCATGGCGAGGCCACTGATGACATTCTCCACTGAGAACGATCTCGTAGCAAAGAGTTTCGAGCATACTGAATCGTCAAAACGAACAGGCGCTGTTTCGCGACCCTTCAGCCGCTGCAGCAAATCGCTGTTCATTTTGGGGTGGCCAGCGTAGAGGCTGACGAAGTGCGCTTCGGGATCACTGACATCTGAGACGGCAGCGATGAGTGCCTGTATTGCGCGCTGTTCTGCTACGCGCGGAGAGGGAAGATCTCCGCGACGGGTACACAGGGTATGCCACTGCTGAGCCGTTCTAACGCTACCGCGTGCGCAGAGTATAGGAACAACCTCATCATACACGTCCTTTTCATTGCTGGTTCGGTAGATATCCATCAATGCAGCGTAGCTCTCGGATGTGAAGTGCTGCCTGCCATGACGAGCTATGCTCTTCAGAGGAAGCTTGCGAAGTTGTAGGTGGAATAGAAGTTGGTGGTGATAGTCTCTCGCTTGGTCCAGGTAGCGCTTCCATTGTAACCAATAGTTCATGCATAGCTCATAGAGACGAGGATGGAGCTGGCCGGTCTTTCTGCGCACTTCAGCGGCATGAAGAATGGTTGGGAGGACGAGATCAGGGACTCTGAAGAAAGTGGCCCAAAGGTAATCGGCATCGGGAGTGTCGCTGGTAGGGAGATCGAAGACGCCTTCACGGGCAGCCCAGACCTGTCGTATTCCGTCCTTCCCCTCGAGCCTCGCTTTCAGCTGCAAGTGCTCCGCCCATGCTCTAACATTATCTGGTTTCTGATCGTGACTGGAGGAGGAGTCGAGACCGAGAATTCGCGACGGCTTTCGCTTAACGTTTTGCTGGGGCTCGTTTTTACTGAATCTTGTCCAATTCACTAAGGGGGTAGTCTTCCGACGGGGTATCTGATAGGCGCGGCGAGAATGTGTGCGACAGCTGCAGCAGCTGGTGGGAACGGTGCCCAGGTATGCAGTCGGTGGCTCTGAGGCATTGATGGCGGCGCGAAGGAGTCTCAACGCAGACGGGCTGGCGAGAAGCCTGTCCAATGCCGGTGGCATCAACAATCAATCAAGGAGAAAAAGTGCAACTCGCGGAATGAGCCATCCATTCCCGACGCAAACAACAAGGCGAGATGTTGTCATCTGTAAACACCAGGCGGAAAAAAGTCGGTAGGGATGGATCTATGGAAGAGGACATGCCGGAGGATGACTAAGAGCGCATGCCAAGACGGGCGCTCTCGCATCGTTCGATGCAGCTTGCAGCACTTCACTCCTCCGACCAACATATCACGACACCACCAATTGCCTCCACAGCACCCCCTCTACATCTCTTCACTCTTCAAAATGGCCGGGTACGTGTGCGCTGCAGCTTCGCGAGCTGTCTGGCACGCCGCCGGGCGCCGCCAGCAGCCCCCGTAACCCTCCATCGCTCCGAATTCGAACTGACAATTGGGCAGCTGGGTCTACCGCGAGAACAGGGTTCCCTACTACCAGAGGGAATTCCAGAAGCACGACGGCCTGCGACTTTGGGAAAAGGTGCGTGTGGCGGGGAATGGACCGCGGTCGGGGTGGTGGTGGTGGTGGTGGTGGTGGTGGCATGATGCGAGAATATATCCTTTCATCTACTCACTCAACCACCCTCCATGAACGTTGGAGTGTGCGACAAGGTCGGATCGCTAACTTTTTTTCCGTGTGGTATAGGGCCGTGGCAAGTGGATGGTTCCTGCTTACAAGGCCGTTCTCTTCACCAGCTTTGGCTGCAGCATGTACATGATGGGCCGCCTCGTCCTTGTACGTCACCCACCCTTCAAACAAGCCGGGTCACGTGCGCAGCGCTAATCTTACGGTGTATCTAGGGGCACAAGACGTGGTTTGGAAAGAATTAGATTCGGGGGGTCGTACTTCAGTCATACACGTATATGAGCCCGCCGGGGCAGTATGAAAGAGCAAGCATTGGGTGGACCTCATATTGTACAAAGAGTCAACAGAGAGAGCCTGCATACCACAGAATGATTCCATTTGTTCCCATTTTTACCCTGGATTGATGCCGTGCTGTTGCGCCCTGTTCCAGCAGTGACACGATTCGCCAGTACTCTACCTTACGTTCAATTCAAAGACTGCTTTATACGTTCTCGTTTTATTTTTTACTGGCCTTGCCCGCCGTGTTTGATGTTCGGGGCTGCGATGTGTATGCAGATATCCCGAGGTGTTCGTTGCCGTCTCGAAAGGGATTAGCATGCTATCTCTATCCCAAAAACGTCAGTGGGCCGAGCGAACATCGCATCCGTGCCGCCCAACCTCGTTCTCTCTGCACCTCCTGCGCAAACACACGTCGCATCAATTGAGCCATCTCACGCCATGGCTGACTTTGTCAAGGGTTTATTTGGTGGGCAGCAAGTTGCGAAACCTTCATCAGGCGGCGACGATGGTACGTTCGCTCATTGCATCCCACCCCCTCTTCCCTGTTCGGCCTCGATGGACCTGTTGCATGGAACGTGGCCCAGCAACCAGGGTTATGGGTGGCTTCACTTTTGCATATAATATCAGTATCTTTTGCATACAACTGACGCGACTTCGCAGACTTCGCCGACTATGCGGGCGCGCCCGAACCGACTCCCGCTGCATTCACCTCCGTCACCACGGGAGCCCCAGCAGCGGCACCTACATCGACCGTCGGTCAAGTCCCATTCACCAAGTGGTATCGTGTTTGGGAGCGCACCTCCCTTGACGATTTCAAGCTCGAGCTCTACATTCTCCCCGTTATCCTGGTCATCATCGTCTTCCACCTTTGGGGTGCGCGCCGAAACCGCAGCAAGGCCAAACATTGGATGAAGGCCCACGCACCCCTGATACAACAGGAGTATGCCCAGGTCGGCTACAGACGCCCCCAGGGCTCAGAGACTACGGTGGTTGAGGACCCTACCACTCTACTCCGCGAGACCAAGGTTGATGAGTTCACCACGTACGCGACGGGTCGCCAGAATGTGGCTTTTGTCGATTTCAAGCTCACCCTTGCCAAACGTCACAACCCCATCATGCAGTTCGGCGAAATGCTGCTTTCCTTGTTCTTCGAGAGCGTTCCGACTCCGTCTGAGCGCTTCGAGGCCACGTCGTACGCCTTTGACGGTCGCGAGTCCGCCATCTCTCCGTTTTATGGCAAGGGCGAAGAGAAGAAGAGTGTTCCCAACAGCACTTTTGACGGCTTCGTATTCGCTGTTGTGCACAAGGACCTCATGAAGCGCCTCCGTCAAGAACGCTACGATCTTTCTTTGACCGCGACCAAGGACCATGCCAAGCTGCCCATCTGGACCACAACCATGAGCGAGAACGCTGCTGTTACGGACGCAATGTTGACACCGGAACTGATCAAGGCCATTCATGATGCGGGCGACAAGTTTGAGGCTCTTGTAATCTCTGACCAACCGATCGATCAGCCGAAGAAGTAAGTGTTGGACTAATTATTGTATCCAAGGTTCAATGCTAATTCCCGCTCAGACTTGATGACACTGTCCCCCGAAAGCGCATCAACCTTTCCTTGAAGCTCGAGTCGACCTCCACACCTTACCAGGCCACTCTCCCCATTTTCCAGCAATTTTTGCGACTTCCCGACTTCCTTGTAACCAGCGCCCACTTCCGACCCGAAGCCATGCGCCGCATCAAGGCCACGCGCGAAGAACAAATCGCCAAGATCCGCAAGCTCGACGAGGAGGAGAAGGCCGAGGAGCGTAAGCTCGCAGGTGACAAGCTCAAGAGAGAGAAGCGCGACGCCATGTTGGGTCGCATGACCGCCGAGGAGCAGAGGAAGTACCTAGAGAAGGAGCGGGAGCGCGGCAGCAAGAAGAAGCAGAAGAAGCAGACCGTCAAGGGCTGAACGAGGTGTGATAGCCTCTCTTCGGCCTAGTTGGTCTCTTTCCATTTCCGTGTGGTATATTCATCTGTTTTGATATCTTTGGTCGGAAAATCTGCATATACCTTGTCCTTGTTTGGATGTTCGCGAATGCATATGGTGTGGATTGGAACTGAGTGCGGCGATTGATTAATAGTTTTTGCATGGTGTGATTTAGTTCAGAAACATGCATGCATGGTGAGGAAGGAAAAGCAATGGAGAGTCGGTGTTGAGGTCGAGAAGAAGAAGAAACCCCCAAAAAGTAGAACGGAAGCGAAAATCGTAATAGAAACCCAATTCCTTTCATTCTTCTTTTGTGGCTTTTGTCCGTCATATTGCGGCATTACCAGGCCACTGTAAATGGGAAAGCAAAAAGTAAGATGCAGACAACGGTTGTACCCACTCTTATGGTCTGCAATCAACACGCGCTTCCACCGTCCTACTCAACATGGATGTCATCGATGTAGTCCCGGACCACGATCAACACGAAGCTCTTGTTATTCCACGACTGCTCTTTCTCTACTGCTTTAGTATAGCATTTTGATAAAATTATTAAAAAGCTTTACCTGCTGTATCTAAAAGCTTATAAATACTTTTTTTTTCTTAACAGCTTTATAGCGCTATTATTTTTTTATATAAAGCTAAAAATTACTTACTTTTTTATTTTATACTAGTTTAAAAGTTTTATAAGTAGTTAGTATAAAAACTATAAGTAAATAAATATTAGCTTACTTACTTTTTTAGCATTTGCATAGCTATATTGTAAGGCGTAGTTATAGGCAATAGTACTTGCTTCACACTACTAGTAATAGTAAAAGATGGCTCTTTTTAGAAGGTATTCCCTTCTAATAATTTAGGATAACACTTGTCCCCTTTTAGTGCCTTAGGTGCGCCTTTTGTGCGCTCTCGCTAAGCTGCCTACGCTAACTAGTAGCGCCTTGGCAATATTAATCCCCTTTAACACCAACTCTTATGCGGCGATGTTACATATATGCTATAAATAAAGCTTTTATTAAAACTAATGTAAAATTTGACTTTTTTTTTTTTATACTTTATAAAGGCTTTGTAAATAATATATTCAAGCTTATTTTTAAGTTATTATCAAAGTTTAAAAATTTAATAATTAGCCTTTTAATATTAATTTTTATAAACTTATAGTAGTATATAAATATTAAAGTAAGTGCTAAAATAAGTAGCATTATAAAGTAAGTAAAATAAAGTTAATAAAATAAAAAATAAAAGTAAAAACTTTATATAAACTTTACTTTTTTATAGTAAAAAGTAATAAGTATACTATAGTTTTATTCTTTAACACTTTAATACTATAAATTTGTATATCTTTACTAGATTGTTAGGATGTTATATACGTCACTACGTCAAATGCGCTCAATTGTTATTCTACAACATCTCGAAGGAGTGACATGCCATCTGTAAAATCCCGTCGGGAAATAGTGTTTCTCCTGCCCCGCTCCATAAGCGCAGCAGCCTAATACGGACATCCATCCATCGAACATCAGCACATCTAGTCCTCTATAACAATTGAACAAAACCCCCAAAAGTATATAGACCCCAAGTTATACTGTGATACAACAACTCTAGAAAAAAAAAGGCTACAAAAATCAATCCTTCTACCCGAGACATTCCTACGATATCAGCTCTTCAAGCCTCCATTCAACCAACCCTCCACCACCACCACCACACATAACACCATGGGCGCCCTAGAATTCCTCTGCTCAACGCGCTTCCACAAATCCCTCACCCTGCCCCCTAACCCTTCCACGAACCGCCTCACCCCTCTTCGCGTAACGTACTCGGACTTCGGCGCCGCCGAGAGCAGTAACGTGGTGTTGTTCTGCGGCGGGCTGTTTGGGACTCGCTTGACCTATGCGGTGCTGGATCGGCTTGCGAAGGAGAAGGGTGTTAGGATTGTTTGTCCGGATCGACCTGGAATTGGGGGGACGGGGGATGATGGAGGAGGTGTAAGGGCGAGGGTTGCATTGTGGCTTGGTATGTTTTGAGCTTTTGTAGTTTTTTTCCTGCTTCTTGTTCTGGCGGGGATGGGTAAGATGAATGGAGGAAGAAGAAACGCGGATTCTTATTTTTGGGGGGTTTCTGTGTCTTTGGGAGTCTTCACGAGAAAGAGACTGGACAGGCCCGTGGCTGTGACGACGACGCCAACGAACGACATCTGCTTACCCACCCCACGGTCAATTCCAACCATCCATCGATCCAAATAACCCAAACTGACTGGAACTTTAACAACAAAATAGAAATAGTCCCCTCCCTCCTAACACACCTCTCAATCCCCTACGTCTCTCTGGGCTCTCACAGCGCAGGCACAATCTACGCCTTCAACATCCTCCTCTCCTATCCCCACCTCCTGCACCCTACAACGCCATCCATCACCTTCTTCGCCCCCTGGGTCCACCAATCGCACACCAAAGTCGCAAAACTCCAGGCCGCAGCCCTCCTACCCGCGAGCCTAATCGGCGGACTATCCCCGCTCGCCAAATTCGTGAATGGCAACGTCATGCCCGTCGTAGCGAGCAGCGGGGGGCTATTAAAAGGTATGCGAACATCATTATCCAACCCATCCACACCCACATCCTCGGAACTATCCTCGACGAGCGCAGACAGAGGTAGCGACGACGCCAGCGCGGGGCTCGAAACTCTCGATCTGAACCTCGATGACGCGAAAGTCGTTGCAGAGCTTCGCAATCACATCGCCACGTTCGTGTTCGCCGAGGAGCTGGCTGGTGTGTCGGAGGACGCGCAGCTTCTTCTCCGAAAACCGGCGTCCGAAATCACGGCGTGGTGTCCTGCGTCTTCTGCGCGGCAGTGGACCGATATCGATGATATCCCCGCTTTGCTATCCCAGCTCGTCGACGAGGAAAAGGCGCTGGGACGGGAGCGGAAGTGGTGTGTTGATGTGTTTCATGCCGAGAGCGATCATATGACGGGGGATCGGGGACGGTCGTGGTTCGATGAGTGTTGGAAGAAGGAAGAGACGAAGGGGAGGTTTGCGTATAGGAGTAAGGTTGTGGTGGGTGGGGATCACGATTTTTTGGTCGATCCGGGGGTTGGGGCTAGTCGGGTTTGGTTGGAGAGGTTGGGTGAGATTGATGGTGGCGAACGCGGTACGTAGAGAGACGAAACATGTAGCTACATGCTGATTTGTCTTGCGTGTTGTACGGATTATCGCTAGTTGCAGCAATGCAATGATATGATTGAGACTTCAATCGGGGCTCAAGGATGAGTATTCGCAACGAGTACATGCCGAGACTTGTGCTGAAAGGTTTCTTTGCAATTAGCAGCTATATTGTATGTACCATACTTGATCGTCAAAGCATGATTCAAGAGGAAGAACTTCTTATAAGCAATGGAAAAGAGCGAATAGCCTGCATATTCAAACCTCGAATCAATCAGACTAACATAGACGAAGAAGTCACTATCCTTTCCGAAATACAGAACGAAATCGACGAATGAATAGTTATCGCAGAAGATGTGTATATATGTAGAGCGTCGCAAAACTTGCAAAATTCCACATATCCCTTTCTTCAGTGCCCTAAAAAACATCATCACATTCAGCTGACAATCTCCATCGCATTTGCAACATCTGGCTTCGTGAACGGTGACGAATATCCAAAAAGCTTGAACCCCGCTTCGTACGACTCCCCCTCAACTCGTTCTACACATCACGCATTCTTGTCAGCCTCGAATACCTTTTCTGCTTTCTTTGCGCGTGGTTGGAAAACTCACCGTGATCGGGAGGAAAGTTCAAACGTCGATGAGCCCAATATTCGGCACTCATCTCCGGACGCTGCTCCTCGAAGTGATATGTGCCAAAGATAGCAGCACGACGTTCAGCGGTAAGGTTCGGGCCGCTCCGATGCGCAATGCGAGAGCCAAAAACAACCATGTCCCCTACATTCTCGCGACCCCACAAGTCAGAAAACATTATCCATCATCTGCCCATCCCGCTTCCCCGAACCCTTCTATTCGCCATCCACCGGGATAAATACCGCGGGGAATTTTTGTATACGTACCCGGCTGGAGATCCAATTTTACAAAATCGTGGCTTTTTTCCCATTCGTCGGAAATGCGCCCTCCGTTGACGAGTGTGGGTGTGGCTTTGTGCGATCCAGGAACGAACTCTAGACACCCGTTGGCGGGGGTCTGCGCGTCGACTACAAGCATAACTTCCATGAAGGGCATTTCGCCCATATGGTAGTATGCAGGAGCATCGATGTGCGCGACGAAGCCATTTGCGTTGGGTAGTTTGTAGTTGATCTTGTCTTTGAAGAGGAACGCTTCCTTTTGCCCACTATTAAGCATCAAGTAACAACTCTATATATCAGCGATGATGGATACTCACTTTCCCGTGGAGTTGTTTCAAAATCGATAGCACGCCCTCGCCGACGAGTATGTCAGCGATAGGCGGGAAATGAGCAACGATGTTCTCGGTACGCATCAACTGTTTCTCGCCGCGTTGATTGACTTCGTCGTATGGCATCCACTTCCCCTTCTCGCGCGGCCACGATACGATCTCGCTCGCCCAGTCAGAGAGCTTGCTCGGATCGGCTACGAGACCGTGCTCTTCACGGAGGAGATGGAGAAAGCCATCTCGGCGGAATCGGGAGAGATGGTCTTCGGTGAGAATGGAGTGGACTGGCATTGTGTAGTGGGGTTTGCTTTTTCTCGGTGTTCAAGAGGTATATGGGTAGAACGATACGGGGAAGAAGGTTTGCTGTTCCGCAAACGCGACTTGGATCAGTGATATCTACATCTGGCATACATTCCTACCCTGATCCTTTCCACCCCCCTATACAGAAGGGGGCGCCCAGAACGAAAGCGGGGTTTATGGATACGACGGAGTTGAGCGCAAAGTGTGTCTCGAAGGTTATGCGGAATGGCGTAGCTATACACGCAACAGCTCCTCAACACTCTGCAAGATATACATCACAAGGGTTTCCAAACGGTCAAGATATATTCATACCCCTCTTTGAATGCATGATCGAGGGCGTTGTATACAGGAAACATGGATTATCGAGCATTCCCGCTTCCACGAACCTTACCAAGTATGCATGCTCTATTGAGAGAATGCTGTTATCGTATACATCGTGGAGGCGGTGCGTCCGTATACTGACTAGCCTTTGAGATTGATTGCACGATCACTGCTTCACTCTATATCTGCCGTGATCGTGTATTCTGAATCAAGTCAGTGAACACAAAGAGGGGGTGTCATGCATTATTTGAGGGGGTGTAATACCAGAAAAACCACTATTTAAAGGCTAGAACGAAACAAAATCCATGAAACATTGCAACAATACAAGCTACATTACTTTTTCCAAAGAAGAAACAACACTTTGTCTTTCGTAATTTCCATCATGTCTACAAACGTTTTCGTCAATGACGAGTATGAGCATGACGACCGCTGGACAGCAGTCGATGCCTACGGAGTCTCCAATCTCCACCCCAAAGACGACGCCAACACCATCCTCAACGGGGCACTCGAGCATATTCAGAACAGCGATATGCCAGATGACTCCACATATCCAGCGTTCGGGAAGTTCCTAGCTCTCCACGCCCGGTCGGTCAAAGCCAAACACATCCTCGAGGTTGGGCTTCTGGGAGGTTACACCGCCATCTGGTACCTGTTGCAGATTCCCGAAGCCAAAGTGACGGCTCTAGAAATCAACCCCCATCACTCAAAAGTGGCCGGGGAAAATGCGCAGAGGGCCGGCGTCGCGGATCGGCTCGAGATCATCACCGGCCCGGGGAAAGAATCTCTTGCTAAAATCAAGACCGAAGTTGCCGAGGGGAAGCGCCCGAAATTCGACTTCACCTTCATCGATGCCGACAAGGAGAATAATTGGGCGTACTTTGATTATGCGGCTGATCTGAGCAACTCGGGCGCCCCGATCGTTGTCGACAACGTGATTCGCAAAGGGTGGATTGTCCTCCCCGAACACATGGACAAGTCCCCTGTCGCGGGCGCAAGAGAGGTGATTGAGAATGCAGGGAAGGATTCTCGTGTCGAGTCTTGCCTCATGCAGACTGTGTCGGAGAAAAACTACGACGGATATCTCTATGCGGTTGTCAAATAAGTGTAACGGGATGATGCAAGCGCTGTTGATGAGCTTTGATTGCTGCTTGCTCTGTTCCAGACAAATCAATTGATAATATGTATGTCGCCTGCGAGTGCACGCCATAGATTGAATCTAGGTCTTCTATGACGATCTATGCCGTCTTGATTAGGTATATATGCTATTGTAGAATTCATGCTATTTGTTGGACAGCAAAACTACTGTGCTGCGTTGATTGATTTGCACACTAACAAATATTGAGTTTCACGGAATTAGGCTCCTGCAAATCACATCCCCTGTTCTTTCATGCACCTCTAAGCGACTTTTAGAGACGTGCTCGTGGTGATCACTGAGTTATTTCTCATGTTGTGTCTCTAATCAATGACACATAAGTGGGAATACGACGGGAAAAAGTCTTGGGAGTGTTGAGGCAAGGATTGTATTGGGTTCGCAGTACCCCGATCTTTATACAAATCGGTAGGCTGGTACACCCGCTCTGCATGGACGATGAACGGTGTTATGCAGTTACGTGTTCGTACGTTCTTCGCTAAACACAGCCAAGTATCCTGGAAACACGCCTTCGATGAAGCATGCTGCGAAAGAGAAGAACTATAACTGTGCTCACAGTGGGGATGTAGATGTAACACAGTAACAGGCGGTGTATCACGATTGAAATAGTGGTATTCCGCATCCCAAAATCCCCAAAGTTCAACACAATACCTTGTATTCCAGATTCATATCTCTATCTGCAATAGCACACGACCAAAATGGCAACTTCAGCTTCCACCGAACACTCCCCCACGCTCCCCCACACCAACGGAACAACGACCCCTTACACGAACGGTCACACACCCAAAAGTAATAAACCGAAACTACTGGTAGCGAACCGCGGCGAAATTGCCGTTCGCGTCCTACGTGCCGGCCGCGATGCGGGATTCAAGACCGCGGCCATTTTCGCCGAAGACGATCGCTTCGGTGGCCATGTAGACTGTCAGATGATGAGCCCCATGCCCCTTCTTTCCCGGTGCCGCGCAGATTGCTAATACGAGGCGTTCGGTTCGATGCAGATGCGGACGAGACCTACATGATTGGTTCGCCTGGACAATACGGTCCAAGGTGCGGCGTCCGTTTGACCTTGTCAAGGATGCGATGCTGATTGGGAACAAGTGAGGCCTATCTTCAGATTGAGGAGATTGTGCGGATTGCAAGAGGAGCAAGCGTCGACTTGATGTGCGAAATTCTTGCCTCTACGAAAAGATCAGGATGCTGAGTTGCCTTTTCTAGACACCCTGGCTATGGCTACCTCTCTGAAAATGCTGCCTTTGCTGAAAGAGTCCGATCCGCCGGGATGACATGTATGTGGCTGTCGAAAGTGTTGACCGCAAGTAAGGAAAGCTAAGCAACAACGTGTAGTTGTGGGGCCCCCAACAAAAGTCATCGCGCAGATGGGAGACAAGATCCAGGCGCGTGCGCTGGCAAAAGCTTACGGCATCCCTACGATTCCTGGAACAGAGAAAGCCATTCACGAATTGCAGGATGCACTTTCTTTTGCCGAGAAGTCTGGTTGCTCCTATGATGGAATCCATGTAGAATAACGGCTAATGGGCTCCAGCAGATTTTCATATCCGATTTTGATTAAAGCTAGCGCTGGCGGTAAAATAAGACTCTGATGAGTGAAAAAATGTCTTTTCGGATTTTAATCATGTGACAGGTGGAGGACGGGGAATGCGTGTCGTGCGCACACCGGAAGCATTGGAAGAAAACATCTTGAGCGCCCGTGAGGAAGCAACTGCTGCATTTGGAGATGGAAGGGTCTTTCTCGAAAGGCATGAGCCATGAATACAGATGATGATTGCTGTATTGACTTCAACACAGATTTCTCACTCGACCAAAACATATCGAAGTGCAGATGCTTGGAGATGGGGAAGGGAATATAGTCCACCTCTTCGAAAGAGACTGCACGATCCAGAGAAAACACCAGAAAATCATCGAGATAGCACCTGCACCATCTTTGCAGCCGGAACTGAAACAGCGAATTACCGAATCGGCTTTGAAGCTAGCAGGACGTGCAAACTATGGCATGTGGATTCAGCTTCCCGCACGTCATCGGCTAATCTAACATCCCCAGAAAACGCGGGCACGGTAGAGTTCTTGGTTGAAGGAGACGAATTCTTCTTCATAGAGATGAATCCGCGGATGTAAGTAGCTCGGCCACGTCCCAACGTATCGACTCGAGATCAATCGTCGGGAAAGGTCGGACAAGTTAACTGGATTGTTAACACGAAGTAGTCAAGTAGAACACACGGTCACGGAAGAGATAACTGGAATCGACCTCATCCAAGCTCAACTACAAATTGCTTGTGGCAGATCTCTTGCAGACTTGAATCTGCTGCAACACCAGATTGCCCAACGAGGTGTTTCAATCCAATGCCGCATCACGACTGAAGTGCCCTCTCAAAGTACTTCTCCCACATGTCAGCTCTCCTATACTGTGCGCTAACACTACGAAAGACTTCCGACCGGACACTGGAACTATAACATCCTTCAAGATACCCTCCGGTCATGGAATACGTATCGACAGCGCCGCGCTCGGTCCCGGCTCAATTGTCAAGCAGCATTACGACCCTATGGTTCTGAAGTGCATCAGCCACGCGTCCGACTTCGACCAAGCAAAGAGCATCATGATCCGTGCTTTAAGGGAGTTGGAAATTCAAGGGGTCGAAACAAACATGGACTTCCTGATCAAAATCTTGCTTACACCTGAACTTCAACATGCAAAACACTGGACGACATTTCTCGAAGACACACCGAGCTTGATGCAACTGGAACCCGCTCCGGATTCGATTGAAAAGTTGCTTGCTTTCTTGGGGGACGCAGTGATTAACGGGACAAGAGTGATTGGTCAAACGGTACGTATATCTGCTTCTAAAAAAGTGCATGTGGTGCCATCGAACTGACTCGATGGCGATGTCCCAGAAACCCCCAGCCAGAATGACTCCCCTGGAACCAGCCCGTCTTTCTACCTCTTCTGGCAAGCACCCCGCGCTGCTAGACACACCATGTCAGTCCGGCTGGAGAAACGTTCTCCTGGAAAGAGGCCCCAAGGCTTTTGCGCAAGCGGTTAGGGACCACAAGCACACACTCATTACGGATACAACCTGGCGTGATGGACAGCAATCGCTGCTAGCTACTAGGGTACGAACCAAGGATTTGTTAGGAGTCGCAACAGCTACAAGTCATGCATACAGTAAGGCGTACAGTTTGGAATGCTGGGGAGGAGCGACATTCGATGTGGCGTATCGGTTCTTGTTCGAGGATCCTTGGGAGAGGCTGGTATGTCTTTACGATATCGACTGGAAAGCAACGTGATTGAAACTAACCGCAAATTTGTACTAGAGATCACTCCGGAAGACAGTGCCGTGAGTCTAAAAGACCCAGATTTTGTCGTGATACAAGAAGACTGACCACAGCTTTAGAAACATTCCTTTCCAGATGCTGCTCAGAAGCACCAACGCAGTGGCGTACTCAGCGTAAGCTGCCAGAGAAGAGCCACAGCGGGATCACACACTGAAATCATTCTTAGGCTACCAGACAACGCCTTGACGCACTTTGTCCATCTCGCCAAACAAAACGGTATCGACATCTTCCGTATCTTTGACAGCCTCAACGACACTGCCAACCTCGAAGTTGGGATCCGAGCCGCTCTATCCGCCGGCGGCGTAGTCGAGGGTGCGATCATGTATACGGGCGACATGCTGGGCGTATGCAAGTATAGCCTCGCATACTACATGGACCTCGTCGACAAGCTCGTCACTTTCGGGGTGCACATCATCGCCATCAAGTCGATGTCGGGAGTAATGAAACCCAGTGCGGGGAGGATCTTAGTCCGCACAATCAGAGAGAAGTACCCAGACGTCCCCATCCACATGCATACGCACGATACGAATGGCACAGGTGTGGCGACGATGCTAGCGTGCACTGAAGCCGGAGCAGATATCGTGGATACAGCGATTGACAGTCTATCTGGAACAACGTCACAGCCAGCAGCAAGCGCAATGATTGCATCACTTGAATACAGCCTCAATTCTGCCGAGTTGAGCCTGAATGCCATATCGCAGATCGACGCGTACTGGGCCCAGCTGCGCCTCATGTATGCCGGGTTCGACGCAGACCTCCGCTCGCCAGACTGCACCGTGTATACCCACGAAATTCCTGGTGGACAGTACTCAAACCTGCAGTTCCAAGCGCGCCAGCTCGGACTCGGCGCACAATGGGAAGAAACCAAAGCCGCATACACAGCTGCAAATGCCTTACTAGGCGATATCATCAAAGCGACCCCAACATCCAAAGCGGTCGGCGATCTGGCGCAGTTCATGGTCGAAAACAAGCTCTCTCCTTCTACCGTCCAGACCGACGCTGCAAAACTAGACTTCCCAGCTTCAGTCCTCGATTTCTTCGCGGGGAATATGGGATGTCCGTTTGATGGATTTCCGGAGCCCCTCCGCACACATGCGCTGCGGTACTCACCAAAGAGCGACAAAAAGCTTCGGCCAGGTTTGGCTCTCCCACAAGTTGACTTTGAAGCCTTGCGCGCAGAGATACAGGCTATGTTTCCTCACCCACGACCCACCGACTGTGACGTATCAAGCTACATTCTGTTCCCAGAGGTGTACATGGAATACAGGCGCTTCAAACAACAATTCGGAGACGTCACTCAAGTCCCGACCGAGGTTTTTGTGACGACGATGACGCCAGGGCAAGAGATCAGCGTGCAGACGGCGGATAGAAAGACCTGGAGAGTCAAACTGGGTGCCGTCGGGACAGCAGATGAAGACGGAATGCGTGATATCTGGTGGCTTGTCAATGGGGTTTGGAAGCTAGGACGGAGCTTGGATAACGCAGGTGAATAGGCGACATTCCACGTCGATGTTGCATCTGCTGATTTGAATAGCGCAACCTCCCCCCAAACGTATCAAGGCAAATCCCCTCGATCGAGAAGATATCGGATCGCCTATGGCTGGGCGTATTGCGCGGGTATTTTTGGAAGAAGGCGATTCGGTGCAGGAGGGCGACAGCGTGATATTGATCTCGGCCATGAAAATGGTAAGGCATGCGAAACTTTTAGAATCAATTGATCCACTAACTTGGAGCAGGAGATTAAAGTCAGCGCAAAATGCAGGGGTCACATTGCGCAATTAGCAGTGCAACAAGGTGATATGGTAGAGAAGAATGATCTTTTGTTCCGTATGGAGTCTCGTGTATAAGATTTTCACGAAAAAGCTATGTAACTATCAATGATATGATACTGCTGCAATGCATACAAGATAAAATAAGGAAACATGATTGTTCGATTGTACCGTCTACCCGCTAAACAAAAGGCTGTGAAAAGGAAAACAGAGCTCTGTAAAAGAGAGAAGATGAGAAAGCGTGGATGAAACACAAAGAAATGTATGGGTAAAAGAGAGAAGGATCTGATCGTTCCATTCCTCGTTCGAGCACAAGGAATGATCAGTCATTATGGATGCTGCTAATGTAGCGAGCATGATAAAGCGAGCAGGATGCGTCTTTTGAATTTTCATCGGAGCTCACGGCGCATTGGCTGCCTTTCACTTCCGGCGGAGTGTAGAAGGTAGCTCATGCTCGCGCATCAAGAAGCACGTTCCCAATGCAAGAACAGAGATGACCACGACAGCACCCCAAACGCCGGTCACAGCGCTCATGTAGCTATCGAGAACTGCTTCGGCCCACCTGTCAGGAAGGTCTTGAATGTTCTCCATCTTACTGCGGACTGATTCAATGATGGTTTTAGCATCAGTGTTGCCAGCAAACCGTCGCCAAAGTTCGCGGTTCAGCACGTTCTGGAATACTGCACTGGAGACGCTGACACCGAGCGCGCTCCCCATGTAGCGAAATGTGTAAGACGCAGATGTCACTAGCGCCTGATCCTTATGATCTACCGCAGAAACGAGGCCCACCAGGCATGTTGTTAGCATGCCAGCGAAACAATATCCAGCAACAAAATAGCAGATGTATACAGGCCAAAGTGGACCTGTTCTTGAAGCCAGTAACATCAGCATGACTGCAGACGCTAATTTTGTTGTCTCGAGTAATATATTGAGCCACCAGTAGCGACCTGTTCGCTTCATGGTGTATCCTGTAATGATAGATCCCATCGCAACCCCCACGGCCTGTGGAATCAGAATGGTGCCAGCACGAGTTGCACTAAAGCCCAGAGTCTGGAAGAAAATCGGTCCATAAAAGTGCAGAACGTATTCGATCATTGTGTCAAACAGGTTCGTCAGACAAGCGCCGGCGACGGTTCGATTCAATAGAAGCGGAATGGAGATTATGGGTTCGGAGGCGAAATGTGTCTCCACGTAGACGAAGAGGGGCAGGAGAGCAAGAGCACACGAGAGACTTGCTAGAACGAATGGGTGCGACCAGGGTAACAGGTTGCCACCGCAGGCGAGACCGAGAAGAAGTAGAACGAGAAGGGTAACAAGTATGAACGAGCCGAGAAAGTCAATGCGTTTAAGCTTAGGCTTGTCGTCAGGATCACTAGGAGTAGCTGGCACGGTCAACATCACAAGTACCATAGATATGAAAATCAACGGTACTTGAATGAGAAATGCCCAGCGCCAGCCGATACTATCATGTATCCAGCCCCCATAAAACCCTCCCAGGCCTGCACCAACACCCCATAAGAGGTTGCTCACGCCTTGCCAGAGTCCACGTTGACGTAATGGAATGAGGTCTGTGGTGATGAAGGCAGAAATGGAATTTAGACCACTGTTGACGTCAATAACTGTGACCAATAGTTTTCGCGGGGGACTTACCCTCCCCCAATGCCTGCTATGGCACGCCCCAGAATGATGACCCAGACGTCAGTGGCCAAACCACACATCAGAGTGCCTAGTCCAAACGCTATGTTGGAAAGAACCAGACCAGACCTGCGGCCAAATATGTCTGTCAATCGGCCACTGAGAGGCGCGAGAGCCGTTTGGCCGATCATGAACGCGGTAGCAAGCCATGACAGGAGCTCAAAAGATCCGAAATCGTTTGAAATCGGAACCGCCAAACTTGCTATGATAGTCGTATCTGTTTTTATTAGTTCCAGACTCCGTATGCATACAGGTAACTTCAGTGAACTGACCGATGGCATTTAGGAAGCAGCCCACCCATATACTCCCGAGAATGATGATCCGGCGCGAGGTTGGAGGTCCTTCCCGCTCAATCGTCTCGGTGGACGATTCCTCAGTCACAGAATCGTAGTTTTCATGCCTGTTTTCTCTCGCGTTTCCCAATAAAGGTGACCTTTCGGTCGGGTTGCTTTGGTCGTACGATTTGGAATGGGTATGTGCCATATTCTCGCTTGTTGACCACGATGCTGGGAGGTAGTGTCGGATGCAAGCAGTATACCAGGGAGACAAAGTTTTGTGGTAGGACATCTGGCTCAAGACGTGTATTGATGATGTTCGATCAAGAATGGAAGGAGCACTCCAGTAATGCCAAGGCAGACCACGTGCTGCACTCACGTGACAGAAAGGAAGCGAAGCTGCATGCGTGTAGATGATTGGGGATAATTATCATGGTCTGATGGATGCATGTATACTTATAGGTCTGACTGTGAAAAGGTAATATGATTGAAGAGGTTATGATGGTGATGCGGCTGGCTGATTGCGAGAGTTTGCTTCATGTCCAATAGGATCTGGCACACCGTGCTGACAAGATGGGAAGTGCGGCTTATCAGGTTTGTCAATTCGAGAATCGTTGCACCCTTTCGATTAGACTTCGTGGCAGCGTAGTATCAATAGCCAATTAATCAGAACGTAGACGCTGGCACCCACAACTTGCTCACTGGCTTAAGCCAGCCAGGGTGCTATCATGGACGGATTGCGACTTCGACCAATATTCTCCTGCGCATTGAACTCTTCATGGATCGTTCCACCCGCTTCAATTCTTTTTGCTATCATCTCACATCTCAATTGAAAGGTCAACACAAGGATGTAAACATCCACCGATACACAACTAGGATCTTATTCGGCGACCTGGCGCAAAGTCGTGGAATCTACCTGAGACGCACATGTGCACTTGTTTGTTTTGAGCTGCTGCTTTATAAGCCACCGTAACTCTTGAAGAGTTTACGTTAGGCGATCGGTCTTTCCTTGTTCAAGATCTGAAATTGAATCGCGAGCGTTTGGAAGTGCATGCCGATGATGAGAAAAGAATACATGAAGTTTGGTTGGGATCATGCGCAACAAGTAGTGTCCCTGATGGAGTATATGCTTTTCTAACAGTGTTGACCACAGATGTGAAGATAGCGAATGATGTTCAGGGATCACTCGATGAGTATGCACAAGGAATAGCAGATTTCTGGCCAACGCGCGGATCAAGAAGCGACTTCCCGGACTCCACCTAAAAAAGAATCGACAATGATCGAGATTGCTGAAGGAGAACGAGTGTTGTGGATGAAAGTGGCCACTGGTGCGAGGTGTCCCCGAGACTTCTGGGATGAAGGGTGCCTCAAGGGCTGACGCATGTTCTGAGTTTCAGCTGAGTAAAGTGAGTGGGACACGTAGCATGTGCATAGACTGCGCAGTCCGAACAGATTTTCACGGTGACCTGAGGCAAGACGGGAGATCGATCGAATGGAACACGACCACGATAAAGTTTATCACTATCCCACAAAAGAAAGAATGCACCATTCATGTAGCGCTTGTGTCGATCTGCCGTGGACGCGAACGTATAGACAAAGCAGCACAAGTTTGGCAGGGATTAGCGGACGGGGTTGATCCCGATCAGCCACACGCAGATATCTTCTTCCGATTCCATCAAGCGCAAGCAGGAAAATGGCAAGAAAGCAAAAACTGGTCTCCACTGCTCAGCATGCCACAAGAGATTGACTGTAGACACAGTCAGTTGTTTGTGACGTTACATTGTGATACGAGTTTTACCATGGCCTCAAAATCCTGGACTCGTGCGACTTCTGACAGGCGAGTAAACCGAAAAAAAAGGAAGGAGAACTGCATAGGTTGACGGAAGAGAATACTAGTAGTAATTCGGGAAGATAAATTCGGTGGGTCTATGGAATACCGTTCTCGTCATCGGCCATTCTCGTAGGAAGAACCAAGAGCTTCGGAGACTTACCGCTACTTTGCGCCGGCCGATAAGTACCAGCGATTCCGTCAATACTCACAAATTTGTGACTTCCCCAAGCCAAACCGGCATTTTCTGTCAAAATGGCCCCCACAGCTATTAAGCCTTCTGATGCCGGCGATTTTTGGTCACCCAAGGTACGCTCGACTGATGTGGTTCCATCGCAGCTCTAAGAAATCTTAATTTAGGCCTATTCTACATCTGCACCCTTTGTGGCGACTTCCTCCCCGACCCTAGTCAAGCTATTGCAAGCCCACAAATCTGACAAGATCCTGGATGTCGGATGCGGAGATGGCGAATTTACTTCGAATTTCATTGATTCGGCAGGTTTCGTCCTAGGTGTCGACGCATCCCCTCAGATGATCTCCGCCGCACAGGACCGGTTTGGGAGCAAGAAAGCAGAGTTTAGTGTTGTGGACTGCCGGTATCTCGATAAGGAAAGCTCTATTGTGAATGGCTCTTGGGACAAGGTGTAAGTAGACATGCCAAGTACGTTTCAGCATACTCTGATCTCCAAACCTTCTCGGTAGCATTACCAATTCTGCGTTGCACTGGATTATGCGGGATGAAGATACCAGGGAGTCAACCTTCCCGGCCATACACTCGGCGCTGAAGCCGCATGGCCGATTCTACTTCGAGTTCGGTGGGCATGGACATGTGTCCGAAGCTTTCACCGCTCTGATGTATATGCTTGTTCAGCACGGTTATTCGATGGAGGAAGCTAGAAAGATCAACCGATGGTTTTTTCCTTCCAAAGAGTGGACACAGAAGGCATTGGAACGAGCAGGATTTGAGGTTGAGCTCATCGAGGTTGAGTATCGACCAACCAAATTGACAGCGGCGGAAGACGGAGGTTTAGCGGGGTGGATCAAACTTTTGGGGGCTCCGATGATCAATGCCGTGCCTGCTGAAAAGAGGGAAAATGCTGTGAAGCAAGTGTGCGAGGTTCTAGAGCCTGTGGTAACGAAAGGCGAAGATGGTAGCCAATGGCTTGGTTATGTTCGGCTTAGGGGTATTGCAAAGAAAATATAGTGTCACTGTGGAGATCCAAACTCGTAACCCAATGATTTTGCAAACCCCTCTCTCTGTCTCTTGCTCCATCGTGGTGGTCATTCGTTCATTATGCTGCCGCCTTTGCTTTTTTTCGCTTGTGAGTTTCAATTTGTGAACCTTTTCAATGGGGTGTTCTACTTTCAATATCTGATCAGCTCTTCTGGGTCCGCGCTACAGCCGGATAACAGTCGGAATATCTGACTCATAAATTTCTAGAAGCTCTAAATATAGAAGCAATCATGTTATGACTTGTGTTACTAGTTTCCCCTATGATGGATTGTGAAAAAAAAGACCGGTGTGGCACAGGGTTCTGCCTCATGCAGTACTTCCTCGAAATTATTGTGGACACGGTCTCGTACCGTTACATTTCTATCTCCAGTATAGATTAAAAACGCTGCATGATATTCGTCGCACTTGACTTAGTAGTAGGCTAGTCTGATCTAGTTTGGCAAGTACTATAAAACAATACAAGGTCGCTTTCATTTGATGACAGTCCTGGAATGAGCTGCACCTAGTTTGCGCTTCCACATCCGCGCACCAGTCGATCAGGTATATGATATTGAGATGGACCCGGTATCATTGAATTCCACTGCTATTGGTTTGAAGTGTATACTAGAATGCGAGATGGAATGAATGAGATCGAGGCTACGAAAATGGGTTGCAGGTTGAAGAGAATGCGTTACCGAGGTAGGAGCATACCCCTGCTTTTGATACTACAGGCTCTTTTCCGTCGTTCATTCAACATCACTTCGCGCGAATGCTCTCATAGTTGTTTACACTACGAAAATGATGACTGCATTCACTTCGACTACCGTGCCGGAAGCACCTGAAGATCCACTCTTCAGTGTGATGGTTGCATTTCGAAATGATTCATCCGAGAAAAAGATTGACTTGAGCATTGGAGCGTATCGGGATAATCAAGAGAAAGTATGGATTCTGCCAGTGGTGAAGAAGGTGAGGCATGTCTTTTGTGCGAATTGAGATTATGAGTGCATCTGCTAATAGAGAATACAGGCTACTGCGACGACTGCAATGAGCCCAGACTACAATCACGAGTACCTCCCAATTATCGGATTGGCGAGGTTCATCAAAGCTGCACAGAGAGTTTGCCTGGGAAATAGTAGCGATGTAATAAAGGACAATCGTGTGAGTGGATTCTGCAATCAATGGACCGGCAATTGCACAGTCACTGTAGCAAGCAAGGTGCAACTTCAGTCGCATTGAACTCAATGCTCAATCCTATCATTTTCTTCCCCCTCAGTTACCGATACCGGTTTGATTGCCAGCTTCTATTTAACCATTTTTAATAGATAACATCCTTACAAACTATCTCTGGCACCGGCGCTCTTCATCTGGGTGCTTTATTCCTTTCCAAATTCTACCGTCCAGATGGTTCCAACAACACGCCAACCGTCTACATGTCCTCGCCTACTTGGTCGAATCATCCCCAAATTTTCAAGCTGGCCGGGCTTCCTACAGCCACATACCGCTATTTCAATGCCTCGACAAGATCCCTAGATTTTGACGGAATGTTGACGGATCTTGCAGCCGCTCCGCCTAAAAGCATCATCCTTCTTCACGCTTGCGCCCATAACCCAACCGGCATAGACCCGAATCCACGGCAATGGGAGCAGATTGCCACAATCATGGCTGAGAGACATCATTTCGCCTTTTTCGACAGCGCCTATCAAGGCTTCGCTTCAGGCAGTCTTGATCGCGATGCGATTGCGCTTCGACTATTTGCCTCCTACGGTCTCGAAATGTGTATCGCACAGTCTTTCGCTAAAAACTGCGGGATATATGGTCAGCGCGTGGGGTGTTTTCACTTCATAACGTCGCCTGCAACGGAAGCAGACACACTCGAGACTGTCACGCGCATAGGCAGCCAGCTGACCGCTCTGCAGCGTGCCTGTATCTCTAATCCACCTGCCTACGGTGCCCACGTTGTATCACTTATACTCAATACACCCGATTTGTTTGAAGAATGGGAGGAGGACTTGCGCGTCATGTCAGGTCGTATCATGCATATGCGCCAACAATTGAGAATCAAGTTGGAGGCACTTGGCACACCAGGCTCATGGCACCATATTACTGAGCAGATTGGGATGTTTAGTTATACCGGATTAACCACTGACCAGTGCCTTCAGATGCGGGAGATGCACATATATATGCCCCTCAATGGTCGAATTTCGATGGCGGGATTGAACTTGAAGAATTTGGATTACTTCGTCAAGTCAATGGACAGGGTCGTGAGGGAAACAGAAGGTTTTTCTAAGGTGGTAAATGGAAAATGATAAGATCATGGCTCGGTGGATGTAGAAAGAGAGTAAATCTTTGGTGGCTAATTCAAGCTTGAAGTCACTCAGAGTCAAACGTGAAATGACTAGAGAACTTGTGACGGGATCTGCCCCCAAATCCAAATACGATGATCGGACCCTGTAATTCAAGATTGAAGTCCGTTGAAGCTATAATTAGCGAGAGGCGATCCACACACTACATGCTTCTAGTAAAACTACTCCATTGTCCCCACTTTATCTATAATGTAAACACGTGTAACTAAACATCGCGACGGTGTACTGTCCCTATTCTGAATTCTGCTAACCGTAAGTCATGTGAATAGATGACTCACTCTGATGGATATATCAACGCATCTATATATTGTATCTAACCTATCTAACCCCTCAGAATAGCCCAAGTAACAGAACTGCTCGTTAACATTCTCAACAATCAAACCTCACTTCCAAGTTTCCATGATGACGTCCACGAAGCCCCTCATTTTCTACGATATCTCTTCCCCTCTCGCCCCGCGTTCTTATGCACCCAACCCGAGCAAAGCCCGCATGGCGCTCGGCTTCAAACGCGCAGCTTTCACAACCACTTGGGTCGATATCATTAACATCAACTCCGTCCGCCAGGGGCTTAATTGCCCCGCCACTAGAAAGCTAGATGATGGCTCCGATTACTATACGCTTCCCATGCTGCAGGATCCAGCTTCCGGAAAGGTTGTCGGCGACTCATTCGACATCGCTAATTACCTAGAAGACAAGTTCCCGCCTTCTGACGGGAACAGCGAAAGCTTGTTCCCATCCACCACCACTGGCACGGGCCTCGATTATGAGAGCCCAGCCAAGGACACCGCTTTCTACGCGCCCATCACGACGAACGAAGGGTCTAAGAACGCCGCATATGCAAGATTCAATCTACACGTCGATGCTACCTTCAGCGCCCACATCATGCCGTGGGCCGTTTCACTTCCCTTCAACCCTGATACCGCAGAAGCCACTAAAGCGCTCATGGCCAAGCGCGCACACCTGAACTCCTGGGACGATCTGCACGTGGAGGGCGAGGCTAGAAAATCGCTCATAGCAAAATTCAAGGATGCGACTGGATCGCTTGCGCAGTACTTCGGAGTGCATACGGAGGGGCCGTTCCTAGAGGGGAAGCAAGCAAACTACGCAGATCTGATCGTTGGCGGATGGGTGAATATGCTTTCTGTGGTTATGCCCGAGGACGAATGGAAAGATTTCAAGACATGGCATGGTGGAGTGTTTGGGGCACTGCATGAAGCTCTGCAGAAGCAGTATTTTCCGTTTGATTGATTGGTTCGGAAGACGTGTTTGGAGGGTGCAGCTGAGACATCGTGCAGCTCTACTTCCGATTCGCGAAGCTTTGATTGCTTCACGCCCCTCCATGCACGACAAGTACTGGAGGAAAATCAGTTATACAAAAAAGAAAAGAATGTTTTCCTGAATCGGCACTGAATAGATGTCTTTATCCAATTCCATTGACACGCGATTCGGAGCATGGCACCTATATGCTCCATTCTGATCGAATCCCTCCGCAAAACGGATACACAGGCCATCCAGAACATCGTGAAAGATGATTTACTTCACCCAAATCTCCCGGCGATCATGAGATATTTGAATGCATCATTCAATCCTTATCTTGCACCACGCACAATTTCTCTCCTTTATTCACCCCAAGCCAAAGCAACTCCGGCTTGCTATAGTGCCCCAAAGGATCCATAAACCCCTTCACCCCAACTTTCTTCACCATCTCCAACTCACCAAACACCAGCCCTTCCTTCTCCCCTCCCTCATCCAGATCCTCTGTCAATCTTCTTCCATCTGGCCCTAAGATCGCGCTATTCCCACCACCAGATGCACTAAACATGCCACCCTTCTTAGCACGGCAAACATCAACGCCCTGCGGTCCGCACACAGCGGTAGTGTGCAGCACAAATGTGCCACCTTCAATGGCATACGCTTGCGAGAGGTTCAGACATCCCGGTGCTGACATACTGTAGAGAACTGGATCGTCTACGCCACCGTGTGGATAGATCGGAGGCCACATGGCGACGTGGATGGCTTCATGTTGGGAAAAAGTGTGGTATTTTAGTAGTGGTTGCATATGTTCCCAGCATGCTAGTACACCGACCTTGATGGGACCAATCGATGGACCGAAATCGACGTCCGCGACGTTGGAGAGATCGGGGCCGGCGCCATCACCGAAGATGGTGCGTTCCTGGATCAATTCGATTTGTATCAGATTCGATACTGTATATGTAGTGGAATTTAGGGGAAGCTGGAGGAAGTACCATGTGTGTAGGCTTGAGTTTTCTTCTCTTCATCGCAATATGTCCGTCTGGCGCGATAATGGCTTGGCCAATGTACAAACTATCCGACTCCGACCTCTCCGCAAACCCTAGGACTACACAGATACTGTGTTCCTTAGCAGCATCCTTGATCCTCTCCATCTCCGGTGAATCCACTTTAAGAGAATTGAGGATATATCGAGTGTGCAGCTCTGGATCCATGGAGCGGGACCTATTGCGCATTCAGCATGTGTAAATAAGTAGGGAGTGTTGACAATTACCAAATCCAGAGAGGGTACCCAGGAATCCAAATCTCAGGAAATGCAATGAGCTTTGCCCCTCCCTCCGCAGCTTCTCCGATAAGTTTAATGGTTTTTTCTACTGTGCCTTGGAGATCGAACCATGCTGGCTCGGCTTGCGTTACTGCGACGCGGATTGTGGCTGGTGTGGACATTGTTATTTGTCCGGTGATTGGTCTAGTTCAATGACGCTGAAATACTGTAGTGAAGATAGGATTTGAGAGGGAGCAAGGACAAAACGGGCGTCGACACCGAGTAGTTATGTCTATAAGACGGAGGATCGTACACGCAATGAGATTAAACGAATAGCTCGTACATCCCCCACTCTTGCCCCACATCAATCAGTTCCCCACTATGCTTGTCGCGCTACATACCGTACGACGTGACTTCATACTTCGTACGATATACTCCTTATGTCTTTGAATAGGGTCAGCATTATGCGTGCGTGTCTTGGTGTTGCTATTTCGCGTCCAAAACGGGCACGCGAAGAGCGATTAGCGAATAAGAAAAGGGATAGAGAAAATGTGACCCATGTCAGCCCTGCAGCTTACCTGCGTATGTCACTATTTTCAAGGATAAGATTAGCAGTTTAACAGCGGACTATAACGCTCGATTTGTATAGTGTGAGATTACCTGTAGATGTAGTGAGACGCTGTTTAGGTTGTTAATTAGGTGACTTGGCGCGCTGGCAATGAAGTAAAGTATCTGCCGTCATCCCGTCTTCGTCTTATCATGAATCCAATTGATGATATCTATTGAATGACTAAGAATTGCAGGTTACAGCGACATGAGTCGGCCTTTCACTCTCTTGATGCGTAGTCATGTAACAAAGTCTATTAAACCGAATTCTAACATTACGTTCCTCGCCATCCGCCAGATCTTCATCGACCACCATGTCTACAAAATCACAACAAGTTCTTCGCCATTCCCACAACATGGAGTCGAGCAGAATTTCTAATTCTACGTACAAAACCCTGTAACGACAGTGTAAAAGGAAAAAAGAACCCCCCAAAAGAAACAATCTAAAGCGAGTGCAAAGCAGAAACTGCCATATCCACCGTCATCACCCACTTCTGGTTCCAACCCAACACCCACAACCCGCAACCACAGAACCAAATCCCCCATTCCAAAGTAAAATACCAAAACTCTCATTTCAACCCATCTCGATAACCCCCCATCCTCCACCTTAGCCTAGGCCCCCAAAAACCCCCTCCAATGATGTGCATACTCACAACTGACAATCAATCCCCCCCCACTGATTCTTAGTAGCCTCGTACCAAGCGGAATGCACCATCCCGCGGTTACAGCCACTCCCGTTCCAAAACTTCCAGTACAAATCGCCGTTGCTGCGGCGCTCGCACGTCTCTTCGCTGACGCCGACGCAGTCGGAAAAGCGGCGGAGGTTGCTCCAGAGGTCGCCGCAAACTTTGGGGATATCGTTGACGCCTGAGGCGGTGACTTGGTACTCGGTGATGAAGAGGTTGTGGGGGATGTATTTGCAGGTTGCGGCGCTGAGGACGGTTGTTGGGAGGGCGGTGGCGAGGACCGCGGTGGCGAGAAGGGTGGGACGCATTGTTGATTGTTGGTTGGTGGTGGTGGAGGGTTGAGATTGAGTTTGTTTTGAAGGTTTTGGAAGAAGAAGATGTTGTTGATGTTGATCTTGTTGTTGTTGAGAGCGGTGGTGGACAGATTTCGTCCATCGATCCGGTACTTATACTTTTTTCCTCACCATTTTGATGCTCCTTACGCTATCGTCACTCCTTCACTTCGACGCCCTTTTTTTCTCCCTCAAACAGTGCTTCCCCATCCAAACATGGCGGTGAAATCTCTTGGTCTTCGTATTTCAGATGACGACAAGACCATCATCTTCATGAGTAATTAAGACGCATAACCATTCGCTCGTCAACGAGGTCCTGCAAAAACTCAGTCCAGAACCTCACGATATCTCGGCTTCAGCACGAGCAAAGTTCCCACCTAGCTGAAATGCACGGCTTGGCAAGGCTTGTCAATCTAGATACACAACGTTGCTGACGATCGCTACCGTCCGTGAGAACATTATTTTTCTAGATTTGATCGATAGATTGCTTACTCACACCCCACGAGGTAGCTGAACCCGTTGCACGGATAGTAGTTGAGGTTCTAGAGTTGTAGGGCGCGGATGTTTGTGATTTTCTCGGCTAGCTTGGCAGCTGAGATTATTCATCGAGAGGAAATCGTTTCATGGCGTCATCTTTATGAAGTGTGCGATTGCGGTTGAGGTGAGGCTGGCTGGGCTGGGACTTTATCCGGATTATGGCCGAGAAGAGTTCTGGGAGTCTTGTGGGTGTGACTGTCGTTTGTGGTTACTGATTGTTGTTTTTGGTGCTCCTATAGTTATGTTTTTCGCCTTGTGTAAGATCGAAACTTTCAACTCCCAAAAGAAAGAAAAAAGAGCAAAATGACTGATTTACAGACTGGTTGTGGTGTCGCATACTGAACCAAATTGTTCCTCCATAGATTCCATGGAAGAAGAGGGACTGGGTAATTTTTTGTTGTACAGGCCCTTATGAGATGACTACGGAATTCTGGTGCTTCGTAGCTGCGGCCCCAATGGTCGCAGAAGAAAAAGTATAGGTTCAAAGGCACTACACGACGATGAAATGGGGGAAAAAAGAGTACCAAGTCCCAGATAAGCCATAAACAACATTGTATGTTCAATGATAGGGTATCTACAATATTCATCCAACAGCAATCCAACATGAGTCGCCAACAGAGATCGACAAAACACCTACATGTATACGGTAAATGCGCAACTGAAATAATCATACACCACTCTTTCTATCCCGGTACACCTAGCCCAATCCATCAACTCCATCGTCGACTCCCCTCAACTTGGCAAAACCCTCACTCGTATAGAATGATTCCAACTCCTTCCATCCTTTCAGCCACTCCTTGGTCATCCAGCTCGTCTCCGCCTGCGACCATAATTTCTCGTGCACGACCTTTAGTTTGCCTTCCTCGTCTTCTTTGGGGAAGAAACCGCCCCATTCTCTTTTCAGTAAGGTGGGAGGGAACGCGCCAAGCGGATCGAATTGCCAGTTCAAGAAAGCTTGTTCGGCCATGAGACAATCGTAGCGATCGGTTTTGACGTAATTTTGCAGCAAACGGGCGTGCATATGTTTGGAAGGTGTGAAGACCATGCTTCCAACGTTGACATTGGGAGAGGAAGAATTGAACGGTTGTTGCGGTACACCCGCAAAAACATAGGGTTCGCAGACAGGCGTGCCATCTTCTGCCAGTCTATCATCTGGTGTGAGTTTCGCGGGAACGCATTCCTGCAGCGGCGCGGCGTCGAACATGGCGTCGATGTTGGAGAGGGGGAAGGCGTCGGCGTCAAGGAAAAGAATGCGCGAGAAAGAAGTTTCGTTCCACATGTTAAGTTTCGCGAAGAGGTCTTTCCAGCGGGCTTGGACGCCAGGGACGTTTGGATTCCAGGGTAAGGGGGCGAGCTCGCGAACGACTGCCCCTGCGCCGGCGAGAAGGGCGCGTTGTTGTGGGGTGACGAAATCCGCGACGAAGACTATGAAGGGGTGTTTTGCGGAGCTTGTTCGGTCGGACCAGAGAACGCGGTGGATTAGGGAGTGAATGGCGAGGTAGTAAGGGTCTTTGAGCGAGGGATTGCGGGTTGCCATGAAGGTGGCGTAGGCATAGGACGGCGGACCTGAAGGATTGTAGTTATGGGGGGCATGTTTGCTGAGTCCTTGGAGGTTGGTGACGGGGAGTTCGATGGTGAGGTCGTTTTGGAAAGGGAACTCTGCTTGGAAGGCAGTCCCTGGCGCAGACGGTTGGGCATTGTCTGCTGCCGGAAACGAGGGAATTTTAGGCACGTCATCATCCCCTAGACCCTTTGAATCTTGTATTTGCGGTGCAATTGGCGGGGAAGGGATGGTAGGAGCATCGCCATCCTTGAAGTCTGGGGCCGGTAGCAAGGGCGAGACGAGCGGCGGCGGGCTTGGTTGGCTCGGGGGTGGTGGAGGTGGAGGCGGAGGTGGAGAAGGGGGAGAGGGTATCGCAGGTATCGCAGGCTGCGGAGGCTTTGGAGGTTCCGGGGGGTTTGGAGGTGTAGGTGGACTTGGTGGAGTGGGCGGACTTGGTGGAGCATTCGATTGAGGTTTCGGCGGCGAAGGCAACGAGACGTCCTCGGCAACTTCGCTGCCTCCCACGCCGACCCTCCACCCCTTGGCAGAAAAGACCTCAAAGTCTGTCTGCCGATTCGCAAAGAAGATGATCGAGACAAGCACAAGCGCGCCAGCTGCAATGAAGTTGCGCACCAGTCGCTTCATCGTCGGGGAGTAAAGTGATGTTGTTGTTTGGTGTTTGGGTTTGTGAGGTAGCTCTAGTTTAGTCCCCCACATGTGACGAACATGGTCCAAGCGCAAAGGAATCTGGGGTAGATCTGATTGGCGTTACCCAAGGAGTCGATATAGGGTGAGTTAAATACCTACCTACATATGTAGGTAGATACAAACATCGATTACGATGGCCTTTCGCTCATTTGTCATGCAGCTCATCTACGCTGCTCGTTAGCAATCGTGGCAACGCGAAATCCATACTTGGGTTCGTACATGCACATGCACGTGTGTATGGGAAGTGCACGTGGCAGATCTAGGGGTGATGTACCTAGGTAGGTACATAAGTATGTACATATGCTGACCTTCGAGTAATCTTATTTAATATTCAGTCAATCAATTACAAGGATAGCCACGTAAGCAGTAGCATCTGCAGACAATAGTGCACTGACATGAAGTCCATCGTTGCAAAGGGGAGGGTTTTTCCGATAAAAGGCTGAATAAAACCATGTAACCTGTAATTACTACATGTTTATCGTAAGGGTAGTATTATCATGTGATAGAGTAACCATACAACATTCAATTGTTCTTACCTAAGTACGTACCTACCTAGGTACCTGGGTAGGTATCTACATATTAGCTGTTGCACCTTGGCCCGGTGCCGAAAGCAGCACTCCTTGTGTAAGTCTTTCTGTCCTCGTCTACTTATTGTAACTACTTTCTATTAGCCTTTTAAGTACAGGAAACACTCTAACTCTTAATTGGAAAAAGAAAACTAAAAACTTAAAAACGTACCTACATATATAGGTTAGTATGATTAGAGGTCATCGTGATCAATGACATCTCATATACTGAAGATCGGAGAGATAGATGTAGTCTATTCAATTGATAAGCATTGAAATTGTGCCTTACTGATGATGACTCAAGATAACTTCTACCGATCGATGCTAGAGTGTGTTTTACTACGCTATACGGCTTGCAGTTCCACAATCCAACGAGTTGTCACAAATGAGCACGTGTAGTTCACAAATAAGTTGAGGAAGGAGAAACAAGCAGTCCCACTTCACGGGAAGGATTGGCTTGCTTAGTGCAGTAGGAAGACACGAGGCGTTCTTTTCAGCTCGAATCACATTGATTGCTCTGATTAGCCAGAATTTGCAAGGGGGACTGCCTCACTTTCTTGAGCAACCACTTACAATTGTGATGATCAGATCTGATGAATCAGTGATGATCTTCCTTAGAAGATCTGATCCAGTGCCCTATATCACTCAGCGGGCATGAAATTTGACTTGATAGGATTCTTTACCTTTCTATCCTTCCGCAATTCCGACCTGAATCTGAATTATCAAAGATTATGACTAACACCAGCATATCATTGGAGCACTGGTGCTTCTTCACTATTGCCAGGCTAAAGACGAGCTCCAAATGGCAGACTTCAGTAGCCTTCCGCTCAGCTGTGCAGATCCGACCTCAAAGCTCGTATTCTGTCTAGGTTTATCTACGGTAAAAGTGCTTATACCACCGTAATCACTGCTAGGATCATAGTTGGCGTTTTCTGGTAATGGCTTACATTGTTCCCTCGTATTTGTTTGACTCGTTACCTCAGCTATCAGACATAATCTTATCTATCTGCTGTTATCTGTTGCACTTGCCGCGAAATAGTATCACAAGCTGTCAAAATAAGAGATGGCTACCAAACCAAGGAATAAAAATGCGCTGTGACGTACATGGGGTGGAACAGGCTGGAAGCTGGTATCAAGTACCTTTCTCCCGAGCCTATCAGAAACGCCCGAGAGAGTCCTGCGCCCACCAGTCAGCCTGCCAGTCTGAAAACCATCTCGTAAGGCTGAAACCAAAAATCTGCAGCCGAACCGAACAGGTGAAATAGCATACTTTCTGCTGACCGTTATATTGTAGTCGGCTACTTAGCCCAATGTAAAGCTTGCTACTGATGAAGATCGACTTTGGGGCAGTGTTGAACTTTGCACTGCGGGCTGTGCACACTCCCTGCAACTTCGACTACTGAATTGCAGCAAACTCTTTTGCGTCAAGTATGTAGTCGTAAGTAGCGATGGTTTGTTGGCAAAGTGTCGATCGATGGGAGGAAATCTGGTGAACGATCTCGTTTCACCGGTAGGCTTGGCTTACCTCGTAAGTGGGGTGGCCGGTCGCGTCTTCCTCCTGCGAACGGATAACACTGATCTCTACAACCGACTGACACCGGAAAAAGTCGGTTAATCATGCTTCGCTACTCTATCGTCTTGCACAGCCCCTTGAAGTCGTGAGAATTACAATAAAGACTGCTCATAGCTCAAATTTCTCTTTTTGAGACTGTAATGGATAATCTGACTGGGATCGTACCAAGCCTGTCTTTCCCAAATTTGTTTCTACTCTGAGCTTCCGCGTTGAAATTGAAGTCTAAAAATCCGGCGATGAGACTACTTAATTATGATCAGGGCGAAGGTAGTCTTCAAATGAGTAACTTCAGCGGTCAAACCGTTCCACCATACGCCATTCTCTCACATGTGTGGGGTAAATCTGAAGTTCAATATTCGGATATCGCAGACGGGACCTATAAAGAGAAGGACGGCTACCGAAAACTCAAATTTTGCGCTGAGCAGGCGGCCAAGGACAATCTGCAATACTTCTGGGTGGATACATGCTGTATTGACAAATGGAATCTCGATGAGCTCTCAAGATCTATCAACTCGATGTTTTTTTGGTATCAGAATTCAGCAAAATGCTACGTATTTCTGCCAGACGTCTGGCTAGGTACGCCAGACACTGCGTTAAATACCACAGGTGTTCCATTGCACACGAGAGACAATCCGCTACCTACGACAGATACTTCGTCATATCTTATACCAGGAAGAGCCAGAGACGGTTGGAAGAAAGCTTTTCGAAAAAGCAAATGGTTCACTCGCGGGTGGACACTTCAAGAACTCATCGCCCCATCGGTAGTCGAATTCTTTTCCTCTGAGGGGGAACGGATAGGAGAACGGAAGTCTCTTGGTCATTTAATACATGAAATCACGAATATTCCGGTTGATGTATTCCGGAATCATCCGCTAAATACATTTACAATATCTGACAGGCTGCAATGGGCTGAACACCGCGAAACAACTCTGGCCGAAGACAAAGTGTATTGCCTTCTTGGCCTTCTCAACATCGTCATGCCTACCTCCTATGGTGAGGGAGAGGAGGTAGCGAGACGGAGATTGCAGGTACATATAGAGACATCTACCAATTCTCCATCTATGATTCCATTTGGCCGAAATGATCGATTTACCGGTTGGGAGAAAGAGCTCGTCGAACTAGAGACATGGCTCTCTATGGGAGAAACGAAAAATTCCGAGGACATGCGACCCACCTCAATTGCCATACTAGGCCCTCCTGGGACGGGGAAATCGCAGCTGGCACTCGAATTTGCATACAGAGCCAAGAACAAAAGTTTCAATTCGGTCTTCTGGGTCGATGCAAGCAGCAAAGATGGTCTCTATCGATCTTATTCAGATGTTGCTCGAACGCTGAAGGTACCTCACTGGGACAACGTCAACACCGACGTTGTAAAGCTAGTCAACCGAACCCTGACTAGTGAAAGCGCGAGTCGATCTCTATTGATATTCGATAACGCAGACAACGATGATCTGGGTTTTGGAGCAGCTAGTTTAAGCAGCCACATCCCACTGTCAACGAATTGTTCAATACTCATCACAACTACCAACGAAGATGTCTCCAAGATCTTGGCACCGGAGGGTGTGATGAATTTGGGGAGAATGACGCCGGGCACAGTTCAAAAGATGTTTGAGAACTATCTCTCCTCTTCGCTATCAAGCATGGAACAAGTGGAATCAAAGTACCTAATACAAGAGCTATCCTACCTTCCACTGGCGCTTGTTCAGGCAGCTGCGTATATAAGACTGAACGGAATTACACCGCAAGACTACCGGAAACGATTAGCTGAGCTTCACTTAAGTGGGTCGTCGAAAGATAATCAATATGCAAGCGATCCGATTACAAGAACTCTCCTCCTCTCCATTCATCAAATTGGCCACCAAAACCCTTTGGCACTCGATATACTAGCTCTTGTTGCCTGCTTGGGCCAGAGGGACATTCCGATTGAAATTTTGGAGCTACCAAACCAATCTCTTGGGATAGAAGAGACGATTGAAGTGCTTGATGAGTACGCTCTCATCACTCGACGACAGTTCGAATCTGCAATAGATGTCCATCAACTCGTGCACTCTGCATTGCAACAACGACTCCGAGACCTAGCGGCGCTAGCACTGGAAGATTGGAGACAATCAGCACTGGGACAGTTGAGGGCCGCTTTTCCTCACGGGGACCAGGGTGGTAGACATAAGTGGAGGCGGCTACTCCCGCACGCTAAACACGCTATATCGCTCGGTACAAGTACCCTAATCAATGAGATGATCGAAAAGGATTTGATGTGGGACTGTGTTAGGGCATTTGTCAGCGATGGAAGATATGGCGAGGCAGAGGAATACATCGTGAGAATAAAGAAGACGCTCGAGGCTAACTTTGGGACTGAATATCTACAAAGGCTGGTCTGCGCGACAGAACTGGCAGCCATTCTGAGGGGTCAAGGACGCTTCCAAGAGGCCGAAGAGCTCGATGTGCAATCACTGGAGACATCCAAGAATATGTTCGGCCCAGACAGTGAGCCGACAGTAGACATCTTCCAGAACCTTGCTATAACATACAGGGAACAAGGCCAATGGGAGAAGGCTGGGAAACTAGCCGTGCAGGTGTTGGAGTCAAGAATAAGAGCTTTCGGATCCGAACACCTGTTAACATTGCAAGCCATGAGCAGTTTAGCAATGACGTACAGAGCGCAAGGTCGATACACAGAAGCTGAAATGATATCGGCTTCCATATTGGAAACACGTAGAAGAGTGCTTGGTGGAGAGCATATCAAGACATTGCACAGCATACTTGACGTCGCGGAAATATACGTTAAGCAAGGACGTAGAGAAGACGCCGAGAGATTACTTTTGGAGCTACAAGAGACAAGCCAAAGGATACTTGGTGATGGACATCCACTCATGTTAACTACCATGTCCTTTCTAGCATACATAATCAAGACAAGAGGACATTGGGAGAAGGCAGAGAGACTGGAGTTGCAGGTAGTCGAAGGAAACACCAGATTGTATGGAGGCGACAGTCTACATACCGCTCGCAGTTTGGGTAGCCTTGCGGTCACATACAAATGGCAGGAAAAATTACACAAAGCTAAAGAGGTGGAAGTTGGGATAGTAGAAAGATTCAAGAAGATGCTTGGGCTTGAGCATCCAGATACATTGAGTGGCATTCTCCGCTTAGCAGAAACTCTTAGGTTGCTAGGCGAATTGAAGGAAGCGAAAGAATTGGGCGTTCACGTATTAGAAACAAGCAAGAGGGTTCGTGGCTATGAGCACCCAGAGACTTTGTTCATCATGTATGAGCTAGCGCTTACATTCAAAGCTCAAGGCTGCGCAGGCAAAGCGTATCGCTTGATGGGGAATTGCTATAACCGACGCGTATTGATCCTGGGCCACAAGCATCCGAGTGCTTTGTTTTCTCTTGAAAAGCTAATAGAGTGGAAGCTAGAAGATTTGAACTTTGCAGATATGATAGCAGATGTAGACTGAATGAGGCTGTAACTAGAGCCAGTTCAAGATCGCGATAGACAATGTACTACTACTTTATAACCTTGATGAATTGTCCTACAATGAGACGAAGACAACTATCATTCGAACACGCCACAAACTTTTAGGTAGACTTTTCCGCTAACCACCCAGCAATTCACCTGTGGATCTGTAACTATCGCGATAACTTCATCTGGCACAGTAGAAAGTACCCCAATGCACAGATCTACCGCCTAAGTCACATGGAGATGAGATCAGTGTGATCTATGCGGGGGAAAGACGCAACCAAACGTTGCAATGGATATATGCTCCACAGTCTGAACTGAGAACGCGAAGGCTGGAATTCAGCAGCTTTGCAAGTTGGCTCAAAAGTAACGAACCTCTGTACTGGATCACTAGAAAACCTGGTTCTGGTAATTTGACTTTGATCGAATTCAATATCACGACCTCTAAATATCACACTGCCTTTAGTCCTAGGCTTGAGGCTTACCCCTTATTATCGCAAGTTTGTTTTTTCCAGAATGTAGGTAATAAATCCTACATGTCAGAAGCTAGAATGTTTTTCAGTCTACTATACGAAGTACTTTCTCCATAGCTTAAGCAGATATTAGTGTCTTTCTCTGATTGCTGGACTCTTTTGGTTGTTAAGTGTGGGCTGTCTGAACTGCTTTACTAGGGGCTCGCACCTACAGACCAATAAATGGCTGTTCCTTGAACAAGGTATGCATGTACGCGCATGCGTCACATGAAGACTCCGATACTGAAAATGCATGTTTGAGCAGGGGGGTTCAGGACGCGGCTATTTAAAGGCGCTGCTGGCGCTGCTCATTAAGAAGCGCAAACCGCTACAAACGCAATCCCCACTACTGAACCAAAGTGCCACCGAGAGACAACCCACGATCCGCGCTTCTCTAACCGTCACGGGCTTGCCGTTTTCTCGCTGGTGTTCTATAGCCCGTGGCTAGTCTATGATTGGAAAGTGGCGAGAAGAACAAGAATGTATTTAACATTCCGTCGCTAACAAAGCCCACGACTCCTCTGATAATGGAATAGATGTGCTCTAATGTCGTTGCGCGTTTTCGGTGTGCGGATACACACCGACAAAGAGATGATGGATGGGGCCAGGATTCCGATATGAAACTCAAGTATATCGCGAAGTGCACACAAGCCCGCCAGAACCGCCTACCAACGTGTGCGCAGCGGGACACGATTCACATAGCCGGCGAAGACGAGGACGACATGGATTGTCCGGAATGTATAAGTGAGACACCGCCGGAGACACCTTGACGCTCGATTGGCAATGCGATAGTTAATTCATAAAGTCACCTCTAATACAGGTCCCTCTTCTGGGCATCTGCGGTTTCGCATTTCGCGCAACTCCTCTTGCTCCTGTCTCCCGCCCCATGTGTACATTTTCGCCCTTTCCCTAGCCTTATCGATCCAGATATCCCGCGAGACAAACTCCCTACAGTTTGACGTTAGTAAGCAAGCTACAGATTCAAAAGTAAACCTACAGCTCGCCGGTGCGTTGTCGGCTTGCAAGATAGACGTAGTGCGGAATATCATTCAGTTGTTGCTTGGTAAGCTCGCATGTGACGTTGAAGTCGTAGACGAACCAAACCGACACGGGTTTGGGTGAGTCAAATGAGGGAGGAATGTGATCATGATCGTAGCCCGAAAGTTCTGGCATCGATTGGAAAGGTCGGTTGAGTACCTTGCTGCAGAACTCTTGACCTAGTGTTGCTGTGCGGTCGAGAGGATTGCCTGGCACGTCGGTAACGCAGACGCGGATGCAGACGCGTGCTGGACTGGCAGAGGTAATGGCCATTAAAACTAATCGAAGACAGTGCGATTTAGTACTAATGGACGGAAAAGGAATTGGGATTCGTTGAAAGCGTGTTAGAGATACAGGCGGGGAGTGCGGAGTAACGTACGAAGGGAAACCTCCATAGTTTCGGCGAATCCACGGAGTCAAGTGGCAGGCGGCCAAATCGAACCCAGCCTCATGCTAGGCTCCGACGATGATTTAGAGAGGCAAGGAGAGATGTTGACACGGGAGCTAAAGAATATGATTATAACCTTCCCATACATAGTCTTAGACAACAACGCGGCAATTCACAACGCTGTAGCTGCGGTAGCTAGAGCTGGAGGGGGATCAAGTTCACGCCAATCCTTTTCCCCGCCGAACCACACACAGCTTTTCGACTCCTCTTCTTCTCAACACCTTGTATTAAGACTTGTGGCGAGATACATTAGCGCTTCGCATTGCTCTTTTCTACATATTATAGTGGTAGTAGTAGTAAATATCCTGCATATCCATCCATTTATGCCTTGATCCATTCATATATCCATAGCCATATCCGTATCCATGCCCAGTCATATCGATCTTGTCCAGATAAGAACGGGGGTATCAAAAGATCAAAAGAAAAACGTGAGCGATTCCAGACAATCCCATGTTCCCAAGGGAGCCCATATTCCCGACCTTCACTCCCACAGTCATATATACACAAGGAAAAGAAAAACACTGCTTTGCGAAAGAGGAAAATAAGAGCGGCGATTGTTCAAGCCGACGGCACACCGACAGCCATCTCCCCAGCACCACCACCAACCTGGACAACCCGAGTCTTGATGACAGGTAATCCGTTCTCTTTCTTCTCCGCCTTATTCGCGCCCGTGTTGAGCATCGGCAACGCCAGCCTGCTTCTCTTCGCCGCAGACTGTTGCTGCGTCGATGGATGCTGCGTGGCAGGGCTCAACACGCGACCACCGACAGCGGCACCATTAATAACCGTGGAAGGTCCGGGTGCTGCATCTGTGATCCCGAGACCGTCGACTGCAGCCTCGAGCTCGTCGACGCCGCTGTCTTCTTTCTCGCAGCTGGTGACGGCGGCTTTTTTGGCGATTTTGGCGAGGTGTTTGGATTCTTCGGGGGAGCCGGGGAGGTAAATGCGTTTAGCGCCGAGTGTGCGCTTGATGTCCTCGAGGAGGACTTCCATGGGGCAGATATACGCCTGTTTGTATAGTCAGTATCAAGTATCCAAGCATACGCTAACGATCCATCCATGTGTTGAGAAGGCGCAACACAAACCGTTTGGGTCTGTGAGAATGTAGTAATTGGGGGTAGAAATGGGGGTAAACGAACAATCTTGTTGCGCTCGCACCATGCGAGCACATGACCGACTACCTGGTGAGTGCCGTTCTGCACTACCCAGGCGCCAGAGTCGCCACCGACTCCGAAACCACCGGCAACGTGCCAGCTTCTCGAGAATGATTTGCGACGGTAGATTCGCACCGAGCTCATAGCAGGTCCAACCATGCCACCCTGCAGGCCAGTGGTTCGACCAAAGCAGTGCACGTTGAGGCCACCTAGGCTACTAGCGCGAACCACACCATTTGGATACTCGTCCTCATCGGGTTTATAATGGCGCCGATTCACAGGTTGTTCAAGCTTCGTCGAGATCTCGCGCTGGTCGTGCTCAATTTTCCGATTGATACAGAATCGGCGGCCCCCTTGAACGAGATTGTAAGGTTGTAAGCGTTCGTCGCCGATTTTGAGCAATGCCCAGTCGATCTCATGGACAATGCCGTCTTTCTTCCATCGACGGATCCCCGACGAAGCGTGCACATGACCTAGTTCGTGAGAAGAAAGGTGATCGTCGTCTCGATCTTCCTCGCTAGGAAAGAAGTCGTCGTCGACATCGTCAATAGCGGGTTGCGTGATGCGAATCTCTTCCCCGTCGCCCACATCGATACCGTCAATGTCTCCCGCTGTAACTCGAGAGGCATATGAATCAGCCAGATCATCGTTACTGTCTGACTCCTCATCCGAATCAAATTCGGAATCGGAAGAAAAGTTGTACGAGTCGTAGCCATCATCGCTCTTGTATGCTTCATCGTCGGAAATTTCGAGGTCCCAAAGGGGCATGGGAGAGTTTGATGCAATTTGAACACCGGGCTGGGCACCCATTTCCATAAGCCAAGGGTTGTTGCTGTACGCGCTGGAAAGCACAGGAGCCGGGCTCTCGTCGCCGGCGTCACTCTCATCGTCAGATGGCGCGTCTAGAAGATGGTGCACGCTCATGCCCAAAGGTTCGTCGTCAACGAGAATCACGCCTCCATACGACACTGGGGGAAGGTGCTCGCCGCGAAACGCCCCGATGGAAGCTCCGCAGACAGGACGTTGCTGGTGATAAGGGTTCATCACATGCATGTCACCGAAACTGTCGGTGTTCATCATTGAGCGGTGTGGCATCCTCCTTCTTCGAGTAGAGCGATTGAGCTTTGAACGGCGAATTTTCCCCAGGCGAACTCGAAGATCAAACGCCTCGGGGTTGTATTTGAATCTCCGATGCAGAACAGCCTTAACCTTCTGCACACTGCTACAAGTCACAAATATAGTAGGACGAGCTTTGTCTTGTGTGACACCCATGGCAACAAGATCGATGCTGACAGTCTCATCCGACTCTTTGAGGGCACGCTCTATCAGACGTTCCAATCGTGGAAGCATTTGCGTATGCCACTCATCTAGGATGGCTGGGGAGAACTGGATTGGGTGAAGACGGAGCTTAGGGCGTGTTGCAGGCTCAACGTTCGTATTGATCTCTAGCGATGAGCGTTTCGGACTGCTACTCTCATCCATGTGTCTTTGAATCTGGACAGAATGGGTGTCGTATTGCTTAGGCTTCTCCGATTCCTGTGTTGGGTATCCGATGGCTGCTTGTGGCCAATGACGTATGCCGTCGGTGATGAGCGCTTCAATGGTGTTGGTGCGGTTCTGCTTTCTTTGTCTCCACACTTTCTGGAGGAGAATGATTTTGTCTTTGTAATCCTTAAGCGACATTGACTTTGGTGGATCGATATGGAACTCGACTTTCGATGGACGGTCAGCAACGCTCCGTGTAACAGGATACGCTTCTTGCGAATCCGGAGGTGTGTCAATCAGAGTGCCCGATTCCTCCAATGGATTTTTCACCTGCCAGTCCATTTCTTGTGGCCCTTCTTTTGGACTGATGAGCTGCGATAAAGATTTACGGATAGCGTCCCGCGAGCCACGCGAGGGATGACGAGACAAATTCGGAGAGCCCTTCGGTGACTGTTTGGAAAGTGATCGTGTGCGCTCAAGGGCAATGGAACCCTTCTCCAGCGCCCACCTCTTCGCGTTTCGGTATGTTGGGTTCAAAGCAGCCTCTGCTGTCTGCTGGCCAGGAGCCGTCTTGCGCTTCAGTGGTGGAGAGCTAGCGGTATACGTCGGCGCGTTACTAAGCTCTCCCCATTCGAACCCAGGATCCACCTCATCAAGCAGACAGCACCGCTGCAGTCTGATGATGATCCGGTTGTACAATTGCGGAAAGTTCTGCAGACTTTCCGCACCCGAGGCAATCCGATCTACGGCCCAAAAACAATCGCGCACGACTTGCATATAGGCAGTGCCACACTTGGAGGCCAAGCGTCGGATGTAGACATCTTCGACGCGCTGCTTGAAGTCGGCAAGCGTGTATTTGGGTTTCCACAGATCGGAAAGCGGCTGCCACAGTCCAACCTCGAGGAGCACCAAGCCAAGACTGTAGAGGTCAAATTGGGGACCGTATTGCTTGCTCTTGTCCCCTGTAAACTTTGGATCCTCAGGATGTCGGTAAATATTCAGTGGAGGCATCGTGTTTGTGGGTTCGATGTCGTATTCGGAGAAGAGATCGAAAGAGCAAATAACGGGTGACCGCAGGGCAAACTGCAGTGCCCTGGAGTTGGCCGACTGGCGCTTGTTCTTCCTGAACATGAGTATGTTGCTACTATTCACGTCTTTATGCACGAAGTTATCGCCATGGATTTTGCTGAAGGTTGTGCCGAGCGTGAAGGCAAGCCGGAATCGGTCTTCGAGGGGTGGGGTTATGCTGTTAGGGTTGTGAAGCGTTTTGGAGCCGGTCTGAAGGGCACTCAGGAGCGTTACGGGGCGTAGCTCCTCTTCTGATTTCTGAGCATCAGAGATACCAGAGTAGACAAAGGACGGGAGCTCGAAGACAAATCCGAATCGAGGTTGGGCAGGATCTTCAAAGTATCCTCGGCAGGTGAGTGTGCCGTGAAAGGTTTGGTCGTTTGCTAGTTTTGCCAAGATTGACAAGAGAGTCTCGAGGCGATCAGTAGGAGGTGGGACTTGCGTGAGACGATATCCTGCGTCGTATGTCGCATACTCGACGAGCACAGGAGTTTCGGTAGTCTTTCCACCGTCTGTCTTCCAGGGGTTGGTAGAACTATGTCTGGTGCGTAGTTTGCCAATAACGCGGATGGAAGACTTGCCAACACTCTCGTAAGGCGGGGGTTCCTCTTCGGGTATGATCAAATCCGAGGGATCAAGACGAGGAGGAAGATCGGGGCCAGCAAGGCTATGTGAAAGGTCGAGGCTGGCGGGTATGGTGGCGGGATTGATGAGGGTGATGTCGGAGGCACTGTACTGGGAAGACATGAATACGGGGGCAGTGGGTACTTTTGATTCAGAAGCCGTCTTCCTTCCTGGTAAGGGACTTGGACCACGAGTGCCGGTGTGAGCAGCGGTGCCCTCACGCTGTGTGCGGCGTGCCCTAGACAAGTCGTAGAGGATGTCGATGGATGTGGTGAGATCCTTGGCCAGGTCCTCGTACCGTGACCGATCAGCCAAGGCCCACGAGAACGCGGAGGGCAGGGCGACTTTGGGACCTGTTCCTGTGGGCACGGCGGGCGGGTGCATTCGCTCGGCTTCGTCCAAGATGTCTTTGATGGTGCCTAGCACCGAAGTCACCGTCTCGGTCAGCCCCGCGCGCTCGACGCCCTCGTCAATGTCCTCGTGATTGCCTTTTGTACTGTCGCTCCACTCCAGCCCCCAAGCGATTAAGCGATCCTTTTGTATGCGGTACTTGCGGTGTAGAGTGTTGATTTCAGGTTGCGAGCCGGGCGTGTCTTGCTCCACCACGGCATCGCACGAGGCTTTTGTGTCTGAGTAGAGCTGGGTAAGGCGCCGCGGCAGCCTACTTATTGTCTCCATATTCCGAGAATTATTTGGTGTGCGTGGGGGGAGGATCGGGCGGGTTGTTGGTCTCGTTGAATCCGCCGATGCGGAGATGCGGAGGTCGTTCGCAAGCTGCTGTGAGGGATGAAGAGGTTGTGGTAGAGATGAGAATAATTAAAAGCAGCGATGAAAAAAAGTTATAACGTAGATGCGTGCTGGGAAGGGGAAGACATGAGGAGAGGATAGTAATACGACTGCCTGAAGCGCCGTGCTGCCTATCGAGGATATGTAATAACTAAGCGTTGGGGATGCAATTGCTGATGCCTAGAGTCAGTCAGTCAGTTGCACTCGTGCCAGTCTGCCCTGGCGAACCAGCCACAGAGCACAGCCCCGCCACATCCCGCTTTGGGGCTAGTGCCGCCCAAGCTCTCTATATGGAAACAGATAATCATACGAAATCCTTCTGTACAACGGTTTTCCAACTTCAACATCATTATCTCCTCATGCACTGCCACAGCAACACATACAACTAAAATACGCGACACACAGTTCCACGTCCATTCCAAGCGAGTACAACATGGTTCACACGAGAGGGGCGGTGTGACGCCTAGGACACGGTAACCCATAACGACATCTGAAGGTACAACATAATGAAATTCGTAGACTTATATTGCTCATCATGACTATTTTCACCTTTACAGTACGCCCTCATTTTTACGTCCATAACAGAAATCTACGCAGCACGAAATCAGACCTTCACCTGCTCCAACTGCAAAGCTTCTGCCTTCTCTTCCATTTCAGCCTTTTCAAGAGCTTCAACGTCGACGAAGCTCGGCCCGGCTCCACCAAACAAGACATCAATCTCTTCGAGAGACAAACCCTTTGTCTCCGGGACAAAAAAGTAAACGAACGGGATCGAAAGCGTCAGACAGGTCGCGAACACGAAGTAAGTCCCGTAGCCAATATTCGACACCATGTAAGGTACCGATCGAGCCAGCACGAAGTTGAACAACCAGTGCGTTGCGGTGCACAGGGCCATGCCGAGCCCACGGATCCGGATAGGGAAGATCTCTGCGCAGTATATCCACGGTACACCCGCGTAGGAGAAACAGAATCCGACGGCGAAGATGTAGATAAAGGTAACAGCTGCGTAGCCTCCTGCTGTCAGTTTCCCAGACCCGCCAGGGTTGGCGATTTTGATGTATGCGCCGATGAACCACATGGAAATCAGCATAATCACCGCACCGCCCATGAGCATTTTCCTGCGACCGAACCGGTCCACAACGTAGTACATGGCGATGATGACACAGACGAGCCGGACAACACCGTAGATGCCGGTAGCATAGAGACCAGTTGATTGTCCCGTGAGACCGATGGACTTGAAGATGCGCGGAGAAAAGTAGTTGATGGCGTTGGAACCGGCACCCTGCATGAAAATGAAGATGAAAACACCGACCAAGATACGTCTGCGGTTGCTGGGAACAGCCAATTCTTTCCATTGGGCTATGAGGCCGCCGTTTGGTGTGTGCTCGAACACATCGTTGATGGTATCCATGATATGGGTCAATTCTTCCTGGACATAGGGATGATCTTCCTCGAGGCCACGAAGTTTGCTCAGCACAGCACTACCTGCAGATCGGGACTTGTGTTGGGCGAGCCACCTTCAATTGTCAGCATGAGAGCAAGAGATATTTCCATGGCAGAACAAACCTTGGAGACTCAGGCACAAAGAGCATGCCGATGATGAGGAGGGTACCGGGAATCAGCTGTACGGCGAAAGGAGTGATCCATTGGGTAGAGTTGGCGGCCATGTTCCTCTGGACACCGTAGCAAATCCAGAAGCCGACGCATGTTCCGGTTTGCACACTGATCTCGTAGATGCCAACAAGACGACCTCGGATAGAAGGAGGGGAGAGTTCGGCGATGTATAGAGGAACCACTCCACTAGCAAGACCAACACCCTACGTTTTCTGTCAGCTTATTGAAAAGAAACAAAACTGATGCGCCAACTTACGAGACCGCCAATGGCACGACCCAAGAACATGGCCCAGACATGACCGAAACTAACAGTCTGCATGAGCGAGCCAATCACGAACAAGACTCCGGCAATCAATAGAGATGGTTTTCGCCCAAACTTGTCCCCTAGAGGCGCGACGGCCAGGGAACCAAAGAAACACCCAGCCTGGAGCAAAGAAACGATGTTTGCTGAGAAGGCATCTTTTTCGGATTGCGAGGCGTGCGTCAAACCAAAGTCCTTGTCGAATGGTGCCAGAGTAATCGTCGTTCCGATGAATGCAAGATCGTAGCCGAAGATGAAAGCACCCATCGACGCCACCATGGCCGTCAGATACACATATACATTGTATATCTCCTTGGGAGCAGGCGTGCTCATGGCAATCGCTGGCGCATGTCGTGCTGGCATCTTGGTCAAACTTGGCGAATGCTTAAAAAGTCATGAAACTCGAACGGGTGCGCTGGGCACCTAGAGACAGACACATCTTGGCTTTTAAACAGAATCTTTGGTCAAGGCTTGTGTGGGGTATTTAGCTTGGGGTTACGATTCTGGATGCGGAGTTACCCCGGAGCTGGCCGGCTCAACTGAAAAACTGGGGAAGCTTGCACAGGTGGTGTTCTAGTGAGGATTCCCGCGGCTTCGAATACGTACCCGCGGGATGTGCTGACGCAGCCGCGGATACGCTGTCCGCGGCATCTTAGAATCCGTCGCATTCGCAACTCCAACACCATATCCCTATTTCACATATTCACAATCTCTTCATGCACCGCCACAGTCGCACATACTTCCAAGGTACATCGTATATCGGTCCATGTCTATCGTAAGCGAGGGCAACAGTCAAACGAGAGGGGTGGTGTGACGCCTATATATAAGACACATCAGCCACCACCAACCTCATGACCTCTCTCCCTCCCCAACTAACCCCCGTCACATTAACGATCAAATGAATCAAATATCGAAATATGCACACTGCACCGGGCCGCCTCCGCATGCCTGTCTGCCTACCCGTCTGCCCTGCTTTTCACACACCGTCCATCTCCCGTGGCTCCCCCTTGATGGATACATGAGATGAAAGGAATACGAGATCGCGATCGCTGGTCGCGGGGGCGTGGTCATATGTTTGTATGCATTGTCTATTCCCTTCCTGCTTTTTTCCATTCTCGTAATGTTCTCAAGTGCTATGTTCATGTGCGGGCGAGATGGGATTCTGCAGTTTGTGATACCAGGAAGATGCAAATATGCATGGGCTTGTTTGTTGAAATTCCGCATGCAGTCAGTCTGCATGAGCAGGCGCGCATGATCCGTCTATCGGGCAGACCCCCTTCGAAGGAGGGCTTCATAATCCCGATATCCACCCCAGTACCTAATTCCACTCCCATGCTCTCCATCGATGAGGAAGAAAAGCGCCGTTGTGCCAGATCTACCGATGGCGAATACCCAAACATCCAAATGCCAACCAAGGGAAAAAAAAACCGTAATCACATGTCCATCTACCACGCCAAACATCCATAAATCATCCATCTACTCCCAAACCATAATCATCCATCTACTCCCAAACCATCCTCCCTACCACTCCAACTTCAACCCTTCCCACCCCTTACCCCTCTCAACCCTCTCCACACCCACACAATTCCCCTTCCCCAACGCACCCCCAAAAAGATGCGGAAACCACACGCTCTCCCCCTCCCCCTCTCCAAGCTTCACTTCCTCCCACTTCACCACCCCTTCGCTGTCCGCTCCATCGACGTTCTTCACTTTGCCCTCGGCGCCAGAAGCAGTATACGCGAGTTTAAAGAGATACAGTTCTTCCGCGTCGGCAAAGAACCGCGCCGCGGTGCCAGGGACTTGTGTGGCGGTGGAAAGATGGATGAAGCCGTCGTTTGCGTCCAAGGGGGATAGCGGGAGGGTTGCTGGGAGGGGGGTTGGGGGTGCGGTGGGGAGGATTTTGTAGAGGGTTGTTGGTGGGGGGGATGGTTGTGACATTTTCTTTCCCCTTGTGATCTTTTGGATGTGGTGTGTTGATTTTTTTTTAGGAAGAAACAAGTTTCTATGGGGGAGATGTTCTGTATATTTTGGTGAAGAGAGAGAGAGGGATAGTTGGGTGGTTCGGATAGTATGATAGAGGGGTTGAGCAGAGCTGTTTTGCGGAGGAGAAGCGGAAGTCGGTGACGTCTGATTGGTGCGACGTTTGTTTTTGGATTCGAGCTAGTTGGGGAGGGGGGTAGGCATGGCATTGATTTACCCCCTGCATAATGTTACCTCCCCAAGCACCCTTCATACCAACCTTCATAGACGAAAAAATCAATCCTTATCCCCTACAGCTCTAATTGATATTCTTACTTTCTTTCCTTGCTCATCACTCGGGTGAGCAGAACGATCCAAAGGCCCTGGTGGGAACGGATAAACAAACGAAAGAATGCCACGCCTCGACGACAACACGCCGCAATACCTGCGCGACGCAGAACAAGGCGTACGAGCACACACCCGCCGCGCCTGGGAAAGCTTCACAGACTTTGCCCTGCGCGACAACGTCCTCGAAGTCGCTGTTGGACTCATGTACAATCCCCCCTGCCCCTCTATCCACCTTTCCTTCCGGTCCCCCTCATCAATCACCACCCCCCAAAAAAGGCCTACAACTCACATATTACATTTGATATGTACTCACCCGCCTACAAGATCTACAAGAAAAAAGGGAACACAGACTCAAGATAAAAAAAAAGAAAACTAACAAGAACAAAAAACAAACAGTCTAGCCCAATCCTTCACAACCCTAACAACATCGCTGGTAACCGACATCCTCCTCCCAACAATCTCGCTCCTACCCTTCCTCTCCCGCAACCTCCCCGAACGCTTCACCACGCTGCGCGCGGGCCCGCAATACAACACCACGTTGACATCGGGCTACAACACCCCCTCGCAAGCTCTAGCCGACGGCGCCGTGATTTTCGCCTGGGGCAACTTCGTCGATAAACTGGTCAGGTTCTTGGTCGTGGCCGTCGTGCTGTGGGTTATTGCCACGGGGTATAGTAGGGGTAGTGGGGAGGATATTGTCAAGAGGCAGGTCAGGTGTGGGTATTGTAGGAAGTGGGTTGGGGAGAAGGCGAGGCGGTGCTTTTTTTGTACGAGTTGGTTGGATGGGAGGGAGGAGAAGGGGGGTGAGAGGGTGGAGGGGGAAGGGGAGGTTGAGCTGTGATGGGGGGTTGGGGTGGATGGTGTTGTGGGACTTGATTTGTCTGGGATGGGGTGTAGGGGGAGGAGATGGAGCAAGAATGGTTCAATTGACGTGAGATGGGATTATTTGCTTGCTTCCTGTTACCGTCGTGCTGTGTAAGTGATGCGTTTGCAACTTTGATTCCGGATCATCGATCTCAGCGTCCATGTGCGATCTAAACATCAAAAACACAGCAGCCATGTGACTTGTACGTTTCAGCAAACACAACCCAGTTTCTTTTTCAAATCCTCATCTGCAATGCCCAGCCTGGACACGTGTCTGCGGCTTCTACTTGCGTCATTAGAAGAAGATGTCATCGTAGTTGCCAGCATGGCATGTCAGGAGAAACGGAGCAGAAGCAAGCGATGTCCAAGAGACATTATTTGAGGAATAAGGGATAGCATCACGTGTACAGGAAGAAAAGACGCGTAAGGCAGCCAAGTTATAGACCCACAGGATCTATATGGATCTATATAGAACTATATGATCGATATGGAGCAGGGATTGGCTATTCAAGCTTAGCAAATGAAAAGGTATTGCAGAGTAGGAGAATGCATGACTCTGCGCCCTTGGTAAGGGATTGGGCTCGGTTTCGTAAACTAATTGGTGTGCAAGTGTACTGTGCAAGTGCACGGTAGAAAGCACGGTGCTGCCCCCAATGTTATTGTGGAGAACGAACAGCTGGTAAAAGAATTTTGACAGTTATCCGCCCGCGCAAAGACGTCATCGAGTGGAGCATTGTGGTTCCTCCCCGTGAGCGGTGAAAGCCTCGTGTCCTCGCAGAAAAACGCAGGCCATTGCTGGCATCTAATTAGATCCGAACGGTTCGGCGTCGTGGTAGCCGGTGGGTCGGAGTTTCGTTCGGCGATGTCAAGTACCAACGACTGCGTTGTTATATGTCAAGCTCTGTTCACGTGCCCTCTTCATGTAGGGGTGAGCTGGTGAGAGGTAATATTAGTATACCATTCAGAGTCATCTCGCACAAACCTTAGCGTAGGTTCTTAGCGTACAAATTCTTCGGTTATGAGTGGCGGTGTGTAACATGGGGGAGCCTCAACACCCAAATCAAGGCAGTTGTATAGACGTTTTTTGAACCACCGACATCCATCATCCCTGCATTTTTGGCGAGCGTACAAAATTGTAGTCGGCGTAGCAAGCGCGATCGCGATCTCCAGAACGCCGGTGGTGGGTCGGTCAGATGCGAAAACAGATCGTGAGAATCGCGTAACCTATCAGACTTTACCGTGTATCTAGCTGTATTTCTGCATCGTTGTACTAGTAGAAAATTCGTTGCAAGTCTCCATGAGCGGTAAGAGACAGGAAGTGACGGTGATGGTTTACGGTGATTGCATAGCCTCAGCAACTGATAAGTGAATCAAGCCACAATTGGCGTCGGCTTCTTGGGCCAGAGAATTTTCAACATCGGTGTCGGATGCCCGATCAGGTGCTCGAGTGGCAGCCCAAAGGATTGCGAATGAGGTGAGCTCGATGAACCCAAAAGGGAAGAGTATTTTAGGCCTCTAGCTTCTCTTCTCAGCCCTGGGGCTATGTGGGTAACAGGCCATGTCTGAACTTGCATGGTACTGTCTTTCACAGAGAGAAACAGAGAAAGAAAGTAGAAATGTGCAAATGGTTGCAGACATAAAATCAACTCAGGCCCCGAGCATTGTGCAGGCGGGATTGATGTCGCCTTGCTGCAAGTGATGATAATAAAGTTCTGACATCAAGACCCTGCATTGGGGTGCTAGGACGCGATAAACGACGGAAAATCATTGTACAAGTGCGCACACGGCATGCGTATATCGCTACGATAGTGGGGGGCAGCTTCGTAAGCTGAACCCAGCAGACGGGCTGGAGTACCGTGCAGTGTAAGCTACACCGGTGACAGAGGCCGGTGTGACTCGTACGGACGCGTTCGCCGCGTTATCACGTCCTCGCGAACACTAGGAGAAGAGTTAATGGCGGTTGTGTGGTTGGATAGCAATGATTCCAAGGCCTGAGTCGCCAGAAACCGGAATTCGAGGTAGTCATGATGGGCTTGACTAGACTAGCGGGAGGGCTTGAAGGGCAACATGTCGACGTTAGATTACGACTCATGATGGTGGATGCCCGATTTGGGCTTCATATGATCAATACAATCAAGATGTATACGTTTGGCGGCGCTGGTTGATTGCGCGGTGTATTGGCTGGCGGGGGTCAAGTGAGACAAGCGTAGACATCCGGAGCGGATGGATAATTGCATCAAGACCTTGGATGTTCCTAACCGTCAATGTACATGGCCATGTATGTATGCAGGAGGCGAATGACGTGACCCGTGACAGGCACAAAGCGAATGCATGGCTGCGAACAAATGTTCACGCAAGGCGGTCGCGAAGAATTGCACTAGCGAATGATGAAGGGCGATTATTGAATGAAGAAGATGAATGGGTCAGAGCGGTGAATGATTTCCAGTCGCCCCTCTAGTTGACCATGAGCGCGCGCCCGAGCTGCAGCCGGACGGCTTGGTTAGGTAGTAGTTGAACGGTGGGCAATCTCGCCCAGAATGAGGCTGGGAGGGGGGGAAAGAGGGCGAGAGAACGAGAGAGGGTGAGTGTGACGGGAAAGCAGCGCGCGCGGTGTGGTATCAGGACGCAGGCACATGTGGGATACGAGTGGTGGGTGGTGTGGTGTGGTGTGGTGTAGTGTAGTGTAGTGCAGTGCAGTGTGTGGTGGGCGGAGAGGGTGTGGTGGGTGGACTTGACCGCACCCACCAACCAACCAACCAACCACGGTCATTCTTGGCGGCTAAGTCAGCACCTATCGATTGTTACCCGACTTGCGTAACTTACCGTACTGACTGGACAGACTCCCACGACACTCAACACCACCACCACGACTGCAAATCGCCATTGTACCCACCGTACAATACGCCTGACGCGCCCCGAGATCGCCATGACCTGCAGCAACGGCCGCCCGTAAAACACCCCCTACTGCACTGTACTGTCACGGCCGTGCATAGTGCTCGCAGATGCTAACAGGATGCAGGGGATGGATGACCCCGGCCGCAGATGACCAGTTTGGCTCCTTAGCCCTCCTCCACCACCAGCCCATCAGCCATCATGTGTCGCCGAATCTGAACCCACGCGGCCTGTCATCTATCCCAATACTTCCCTGGAAGCACACTTGCAATTCCAAACTAAGCTTTTTCTCCACTAATGTCGCTATGCCTGCAGATGCGGCATGCTTCAGCCCATGCAAGAGCCGCCCCGTCAATCTTTCCTCCACCGTCCTTGTATCGACCCGAGTACTCATGTATATAAGCCCTGCATCAATCCTTCCCCATATCCTGTTCGGTGTCCTCAACCGGAAACTCGACTCTGACATCCATCGCATTTAAACATTGTGCCTTCCCGCACTCTTTGTCGCCACCTCGTTGTGCCCTCCTCTCACCTCACCCACACACCCTCGGCAAACATCATCAGGCACCACTCCCTCCTGTCTCACTTTATGAATCACACACCCCACGCCTACTGTCCCTCTGCACAGCCTCGGTGACAACGACACGCGGCTCCTTCGACACATCCAACAGCCGACTATATATATAACCCTTGGCTCCCCGCCCTACCATCTACCTCTTCCTTCCGCTGGCGAAACCACAGCGTAAGCCCGTCACTACTACGGTACCTCCACTCAAAAGGAAAAAGTCACTGTCGCTTGAATCAACAACCGGCCACAGGCCGGAAAAAATCAGAACCCGACGCTCCTCTATTTCCAAGTCCCAGGCCAAGACAAAGGTCAAGGCCAAAGTCAAGGTCAAAGTAGAACCAAGCTCCAAGCCTTCACTTCCTGTCCGGCGCTCCTCGCGCCTCCGGTACATCAAAGATCTTATTACAGCCATGCCATCCTATATCCGCGAAACAAGAGCCTCAAGGGCCTACTCTTTCCCTCCATGCGTCGACAGCATCGACGTGGTCTCACCACAGGACACTGAACTGCCAGACATAGACGAAGAGCCCTTTGCACACTTCCTCACTCCCGTCTCAGAGTATGACAATCCACAAGACCCATTATCTCTCAGCGCTGGGATCATGATCCCAGACGGGAAGCGGACCTCCAAAGCCTCCAAGTTCAAGTCTAATGTCGCCGACAAGTGGACCCGTTATGTCAAGACAAATCACACGCAGCTTCATGCCCGCTACCACGCCCCTATCCCAGAAGAAGACGAAGAGTCGTTCATGTCACTAGAGGATGACCGTCTGTACGCAGCACCCCAACCAGTCAGCCAGCTCAGCTCGCCCCCTCGCATCACTGTCACAGAACCCACCCGTGGTCGCGCCCAAGAACTCGTGACGCGCAAGGCTCGCACCCGACGTCGCTACTCGAGAACCCTTTCCGGTCATCGTCACTCATGGAGAGAGCCAAGCCCAGATCTATGGACTGTCGATGAGTCGGAAGAGGAAGACCTCCCCGTGCTTAGGCGTGCGAAAAAGAAGAGCAGCAAAGACAGTGCTGAGCGCCGTAGATCTTCTAAATCACGAGTCCGCGGCGAAGTGGCCGAGAAGTCGAGGCTGTGAGCAGCTAGGCTTGTACGGAGAAGAGGCGTACGTCTCCTGTTTTCTACTCGCATTGGGTGGCGTTGGCGGTGTTCACCTTTTGTCAGATTGCAACTCGCATTCCGCATTTCCAGGCGTTGGCGGCTCTTTGATATCCCTTTCCGCGTTGCATTGCATTTTCCTGCGCTGTTGATTTTCTCTCATCTGCATACATCTGGTGTTTTATCGTATCATTCGTTTTTTCGGGTTTTTTGGTTATTGTTTCTTGACATTTATCGCATCTGCATTGGGAAGAGACGGATGGGCAGGTCGACGGTGTTGCACAGTGGAATCATTTGCATCTGGGCGGCGTTTGGGCATGGGACTGAGCATTTACACATCATTCGCATCTCCATCTCGGGTCTATCATCTGTTGTCTGAGTACATATATCGCAATCAAAGTTTTTGTTGCGCGCGCACATATATACAACCACCATACTCTCGTTGCAAAGTGAATCCATGCTCACCCCTCTCGCATCCTGCAACTCAGCATCAATACCCCCTAACATAACCTTCTCCATCGGCCGAACATCCGCATACCCATCCACTCCCTCTCTCCCGCTGCTTCACCCCAAACTATAACCCCCTCCTTTTTCCCTTGGATGGCCCAGCAAATGACCTCACCACGCACCCCCCCTCACCCCTGCCCTCTCGCTTGGCTTTTCCCTAGCCTTGCCCAACTAGTCAAGAAAGGTGTGGTGGACCCTCCCCCCACCACCACCACCACCCCCTGTTGCAACTTCGGCTAATTCATGCTCCCTTTCGTTTGTGTGTGTGTGTAGATACGAGGTCCAAAAAAAAGTGTGGAGGGGTAAGTATGTATGTTAAAACTGTCATGTTATGTTGTGTATGGATTGATGGATAGCGCGCTTGCCGCTGGCTGAGGTAAGGTAGGCTGTTACTTTTTGTTTTTCTTATTGTTTTGTCTGCATATGTTTACTTGTACTTTTACACCTTTCTCTTATTTTGTTAACAGATTTGTGATGGTTGTGTGAGATGTTCTTGGTGTGTTATTTGTCCTCTGTTGTTTGTTTTTTTAGGGGGAGGGGATATCAAGTATAATATACCTAAGTAAGGGTGTTCGAGTTGAGCAGACTGCTTAGTATCTATCCTACCACCAACAACAAACAAACATACGCAACACACACAGATTTACTCACTCGCACGTACAACTCAGACGAAATAGTAAACTTATTCGCTTATATAAATAATATACACGGTTACATAGCTATTGCTATAGCATGGTAGAAAAGACTTTCTCTTTCTCTCTCTCTCTCTCTCTCTCCCAGGGTCCATCCCGCCGTCGTCCCGCCTTTCCTGACTCGGTCCTGTCCTGTACATCTCGGGCAAAACAGGCAGATGAGATAGATAGGGCAAAAGGAACCAGCCAGCGCGAAGATATGGGGAAGGAGGTTACGGGAAATAGATAGCGATGATCTTTTCTAATTACTCCTTTTCTTCTTTTTAATTTTTTCTAGGGGAGGTTAGGAAAGTTTGCTCGTGTTGTTGTTGTTATTGCTTCGGTGGGGGGTTTTTTTTTGGGAGAGGGGGGGGGGGGGGGGTTATTTCCCGGAGCTAAAGAAATCCTTCGGACCCTGCATTTTTGATTTCGTTTTGGGCGAGGAGAGTGAACAAGAGGTGATGGTGAGAATGCGGGTGCTGATCGTCGTTGCGCCGAGATAGACAGAGGGATGTAGACAAACGGTGAGATAATGGGGGGTTGAAGATCCCTTCTTTCTGTGCCCAAGCACGGTATTCAATTCATGAACGAATTAACTAGTAGGTAGAGACGGGATACTGCTCCATCATCGGGGGTTGACGAGATACGCACTCTAGCACGTCCTCCGCTTGCTCGGTGCTATGTAGACTCGGTGGGGCCTTTGTCTTTTGCTCTAGCATATCAGTCTAGTCGCTTCACCGGAAAAATAGGGTCGATTTTTTCTGACTGGTGCGGCTAGTAGTAGTTTTCCCTTGGATGGCTTTGTCTAGCGCTGGAGGGGGGAAAGGGCAGAAAGAGGTGTGGGTTAGGTTACAAGCTGGAGGGGTACATAGATTGAGCTATAGTGGGGGAAGAGAGGGGGGCAAGTAAACAACAAAGTAAAAGCAAGGCGGACTGGCGTCGGCATGGAAATCTACTTGCAGACTCGTGTCGAGGATCTGTCTTTTCTTTGGCCGAGGGATTGTTACGATGGGGTGGAATAGGTTTTCTGAGGTTGAGCGAGGTAGGTCAAGCGAATGGGGTTCACGATTCATAAGAGTTGAGTCGCGGATTGTTGGTTCGGATCTTGCTTGGCTTTGGGTTCGACGTTTGGCGTTCTCTGGGGGAAACGCATCGCTTGCTTCTAATGGAGTGAGAGACCCACGTTCTCACGAACTTGTAGTCAAGATGAAATTGAGGGATGGAAAGACGTTTCGCGCACGCCCCGAGCGAGTTTGAACTCTCTTTTTTTGACTTTGCGACTATGCATGCGCGGGGACCCCTTTCATTTTCCCTTCCCTTGCCTCCCCTCCGTCCCGCGCTTGACAGCAGCGCGGTCCGTAGTGTCTGGTCAGTGTAGCGCCATGTCTGTTGGCGTTTGGCGTCGTCTCTTCCGCCGCGTGTGTGCGTTTAGACTACGCTGAAGTTTATCGTGTGCGGTACTACATATGCTTCTGGGACATTCTAGTCTGGACGCCACGAGCCCGTTGTTCCGGTGTCTTATGCACGTCTTCGACCTTGACAATCTTACTCTCCCGCGCGCGAAGTTATGGCGTTGTGTAGTGTTGCCGCCATGACCTCGAGTGTTGCGCCGCGTACATCATGTCAAACTGTACAAGCAGGCTCGTTTGCTTGGGAGAGATTGAGTTTGACATGTGTAGATACATCTCAAGATCTAGACACCCTTCCTTGAATACTGTTCACGCCATTGCCGCGCGGTGCGGATGTACTTAGGTCGCTGAAATCTGTAGTCTCCTGTCTACAATCCACATCACTACCTCTCAAGATTCATGTTTTATATTCATCAGCAAGTACTATTTCGTTATCACACGGAACAAATAATTCATAACATGCATCGACATGCCTTGGCTGCCTAATAGGGGATCCCGTATCCCACCCCTCCCCCGCACTTCTCACCCATCTCAGCATCTACCTATACGATAGCAAGCAAAACCGAACAACTCTCTCCCTCGCCACACAAGAAAATCGTTACCATCTACAAACGATCCTCTGGATAACCGGCACAGAATTCCCATCCTCTCCCCATCCTTCCACATGCCGCAATATGCAGGGTGAATCCAACCCATCCCTCCCATGCAACGTGCGCCCTGCCACTCCAACAAGGGGGGGTAATACACCAACCCCTTCCACTATCAGACTCCAACATATCGAAACCCACGCCCCTCGCTGCGCAACGACATCACTCCTGTCTGGGCAGCGCACACCTCTCGCAGGTCGCGCAGTGGGGACCATGTACAATGATGTACGCGATAGCCATCAAGGTGGTGTTGTAGGTGGGGTTCGTTAGACACATGCATGCATGCATGTATGCTCGGCTCTCGGGATATGCGGCCGCGGAGAAATTCCTGGGCGCGGTGTGTGCATGCTTGCTTATCCTCACGATGACAGATGAATGGATTGTGCACAAAGCGTTTATTAGGGGTGGGAATGGGTAAGCGCGGGAAATGGTGGTGTTGTGGAGTGGCTGGAGGGGGGGGGGGGGGGGTTGTGCTGGGGCCGGGGTTAGGCATGTGTTATGACATCGTTGCGCATGGTGCGGATGACGATCTTGAAAAAAGCCGAGGAGGGATGGTGGTGTATCATGGTGCTAACAGCGTATGGTGTGTGTTTGTTTGTATGAGATTGGAATATTATCCCGGGCGAGATGGAATGGTCAGAGATGCGTTGGTTACGGTAGTTCAATGATGTGTCGCGCGGTTGGTGGTGCGATTGAAGGTCAAGATCGTTAGCGGGGCGGAGATCTATACGCGATGCTTCAGTACAAGTAGTGATTGTTGTGATTGTCCATTTTTATGGAGTTGCTTATACGTAAGATAGTTATGGCGCGCGACAGAAGCGATTCAGACGGATCACCATGTACATCTTCGGAAAGATCTTAAGAAGGTTAAGTGAATGACAACTCAGAGAAGGGCCGAACGGTCTCGTCGATCTAGTGTTGTCGAAACCAGGACACGAGTGGATCATCATTGCTTTTCTATCTGTCCATCTTATTTGATAGAATTAAGCGGTGACGGTAAAATATTATACGGTTTGCAGCAGGGTTATTGCTGATCTTGTTACGAGCGAGGTTCAATCGGACCTTGAGTGGATCGAGAAGACTAAATACTATTTTTCAACTGTACATGATGAGTTCTTTACACAACTAGAACCTTATATGTAGATTTACCAGTTCTGTGCTAGAACTTATGTATGGAATTTTGGTATGAATCCCTCGAGTATCTTACAAAATACTTAAAGCCGTGGAAGACTAGATAAGTTAATGACATGCCACATCTTGGGCTTGGCCATAGGCCCATACCTGCCCTGAACATGTCCAAGACTTCATTATGAGGTAATAAATATAACATTCGGCGTATCTTTGACAGTATCTTGTGCTAGACTTTCAAAGAATTGTATAAGTGATCCACTCACTGCTAGATCCCACCACTGAGCAGTCCACACTTCCTTTACTTTGTAATACTTCTCGCGGCAAGGAAGCAGCTGAAATAACAGATCAAATCCACCAAGTTGACTTATGACGCAGAAGATTCAGTTTCCCGATGTGTGCTATCACTCCAAGGGTGTGCACTCCCTCCAATGCCTTGATTTGTAAGTTTGAGTTTGGGTGATCCTACACACAACGATAGATTTGTAACAATAAAAGAACCTAAAACAACAGGCAACTACTAAATTCATCTCTACTGCCATATATTAGTATAAATGCGATGATTCAATATTGTGCTTAGTATATTCCATCAAGTGTGCTACTTGTACGCTTCTATCTGCAGCTGGATGGTACGAATATTTCATTGTTAAATCCCACACACTGATATAAAGATTCAGCATCTTCTTAAATTTTCATGGGCTCACTTTGCCAAATAATTATTCGACGGCTGTCTTCGACGAGGAACCTCTGACGAGTGTTTTTGCTTGCATAGCTCACGTGACTTTGTGAGATACTTACATGTAGTGATTCTGATCTCTTAATACAAATCTTATTGCAAACAGAATGCGCATTCGACACAAATGTATACACCTCGACTAGTGCCGCTTCGATTTGCCGGGCTTAAGATAGTGATTTACGTAGAAATTCTCAAGGACAAGACTTTGGCTCATCTTTCAGCCCCTCTATCGCTTGCCAGTCACCCATGTCGTGCTTAATTCATCGCAATTGTGCAAACCCGTTTTTTCTTCTATTTCGATCTCTACCCCATATTTACAAATCTCCCAGCATCCTTCAGATCTCACCTATCTCAGATGCAGCATGATCGTTTTCCTACATCGCATATTAATGTTGCCCATTTTGCCAAAGTCCCAGCCATCTGGCGAAGATCTGTATAGGCAATAGATTTGATCAAGATTAATTCATGATACCGGTTTTCTTACCGGGAAGTGGTAGATTGCCGACATTGTCTTCCGGGGAATTAATTTGATTGGGGCTTTGCGGGGGGAACGTGTGGATATACTTTGTTTAACAACGTTGGCGCATCTCGCTAAATAGATTAAGACCTCATCTATATGAAGGGGACAAGTTAATAGCGTATGTAGCTTTAACGACTAGGAAAGAAGCGTATATAAGGAGAGAATGAGATCGCTATTTCTACGGCTTGCAGAGTAGTGGAGAATCTTGATCTGTTGTAAGGACGTGAAACTTTTGGACTTTGTGTTTTCGGACATCAGGGACCTGCTCCATTCAATCGACTCCACTGTTCACCCTTGTCCAGATAACATCAACGCAAAAGCACGGGAAACTCAAACAGAAAGAAAAGTATCTCTAATCCAAGATGCCGTCTTCCTACCTTCCCCTCCTCCTCCTCCCCTTGACAACCCTCGCCGCCCCCGCTCCCCAAGCAACCTTCCAACCTTCTCCCGGAAACTTCCCCGCAAAAGGCGACGGCGACTATGCTGGTGGCATCTTCTCAATCCCGCTCTCACAACTCCCGCAATACGCTGGGCCAGGCGGAACAGGTCCGGAAGCCCCTACAACACCCGGCCAAAAAACCTCCGGAAGCGGTCCCTACCCAGCGCAAATGCTCACGGATACCTCACTCCCTGGGCACACCATCTTCGCACCAAAAACACCACCAACGGGCAATATAAGCCTCCCATTCATCGCCTGGGGCAACGGTGCTTGCACGCTCAACTCGGCAACCTACCAAAACCTCCTGGTGGAAGTCGCATCCTGGGGCTACGTCATCGCGGCCGATGGAACGCCCAACTCGAACTCCCCCACGCAATCCAAAGTCCAGGACATGCGTGACTCGATTGAGTGGGCTATCGCTGGTAAAGCTGCCAAGTACGGGAACGTGGATGTGGATAAGATTACGACTGCGGGACATTCGTGCGGTGGACAAGAGGCATTGAGTACGAGTTATAAGGATGAGAGGGTGAAGAGGGTAGTTATGTTCAATATTGCGATCTTCCAGGATGACAGGAGGTACTTGCTGGAGGCTATCAAGACGCCGATTGTTTGGTTGATTGGGGGAAGTAAGGATATGGGATACACGCCCGTGAGTTTTTACCTTTCTGCCCTTTTTATCCTCCAATTCTTCTGGGACTGCTTTTAGCGCAAATGCTTGGATTGTTGAAAGCTCGATACTGACTGATATGTTTGATAGTCCGCAAAAGACTACGCACTTCTCAAACAACCCAAGATCCGCGCCAACCTCGACACTGGTCACGGTGGCACTTTCTCTGCTACTAATGGTGGAAAGCAAGGCAAAGCGTTCGTCAACTACCTCGAGTGGCAGTGGCGTGGAAACCAGACAGCGAAGGCGGTGTTGCTGGACCCGAATAGCGCGGGGAGCTTGGTGAAGGACAAGTGGGTCGTTGAGGCTAGTGGGTGGGAGTAAATCTGATATGCAGCTCCTGATTGAGATGGAGTGAATTTCAAGGGAATGTCGGAGTTTCGAAAGTGTGAAAAAACGGGGAAGCTTTTGATTAACGATGGAAAGGAGGAGGGTGTGGTGAGCGATTGTAGTATTCTCTACACTCTTTTCACACGTACATATTTAGCTACAAATCAATCACTTGAACTCACCTGGAAAGAAATCGAGATCTCAACCGTGTTTGGAATTCATGTGTAACTTGGGAAGTATTGGAATAGTCACCTGATCCACACAATCACAATGTATTATAAGACTGTAGCGGTAGCAAGCTCTCAAGCAAACTTTGTAGAAATAATAAACAAGGAGCAGATTCCCTTATACCTCAGATAAAGCGATGGACTGAGATCATTCTAGACTTCGTGGTAGCTGCGAGCCTGAGTAATTAACATGTACTCCCAATCACACTGCATGCCATTCAAAATCTGTGTTCTTCTTCTTTCATCTTGATTGCCGTTATACGGATCAATGTCAGGTTCTCATAATTCATTCAAGTATTCAGAAATACGTGGCGCGGTGGAAATGCACATAGTGTGTATATATTTCGCCAGTTATTCTCTTTAAACTTTTATCTGAATTCTTTTTGATAGAATTATAGTTACACCTTGGCCAGGGTGGCTTACCCAGCGACGGAATCCGGCTAAGCAGTTTTTGGTGGGGAATGAGTGAACAAGAGTCCGGTTTATTGTATTCGGTGTTATTCCACTGCCACACTTTTTTGGCTGCTATCCTACTGCGTTTATAACATTCAGTTTGAAAGAGGGATAGTGGGAGGTGTACAAAGGGGTAAGATGGAGACCAAACACTCATTCGTTGAGAATAAGTGAAAGAGAGCCCAGTGAGTGGGTTAGTGGCACCTAGCGTGAGGCTTCGTAGCTACAATTGCTTGCTGCCTATTCGCGGCACCAATAGCCTCCCGTTTGAAGGATCATTGTTTTTCCGTAGCTGGCGGCCAGGACTCGAGCGTGCGGTATAAGTTGGTGTTCGCACTCAGGTAGGCAGACAAAACCTCGACCTCGACTGCACCAATCTACCAACGAGCCTTTTTCCTTTCTGATACACAAGATATGTTTTGCTTCAGAAGTTTCATACTGGGGGAGGATCACGAATCGCGTCAGCAGGCGTGGATAAAGGACATGTCTAAAGGAATCAATATCCATCCACAGTTTCTTTGTAAGTATACATCTTGACACTCGAGATATGTAGTGATTTAACATGTGAAGATATAATTCCGACCCACTTTGAGGTGACCGAGAAGACCAAGCGGCTTGCATGGACCGCTGAGTTCATACCCTGGTGCAAGGAGTCATGTCTCTACACAATCTACGCTTTATCGTCACCTACGAGCGAGTATCCGCTCTCGCACGTCAATATCAAGCTAGGTTTGGCACATTTCGGCCTCCGCAATAAAGGTGCCCACTGGCGTGCGAGTCGCAGGATACTCCGTGAAGATTGCTCGCACCAGTTCGATGACCCTCTTTGGAACATGAATAACTTCATATGGTCCCTTCAGATCGAGATCCAAGAGTGGAACGAGGCTGTGGAGTATGTCAAACTAGGAGTGAAAGTTGACCCCATCACAAAACTGTTCCGAACAGCACCAGCCAATGTTCACGACGCTCTGAAAGACTATGGCACCATCCGAGATTTAATCGGGTCAGACTCTCAGACCGCGATAGATTATTACATCGATAAGTGTGTTCTGAAAAATCTGGAAAATCTTTCTGGACTCGAGTGGATTTGGAATTGGAAGAGGTTTTTATTCCGTCGAATGGTGTTAGAGACGTATGAAAATCTTGTCATTGAGCATGTACTGGAATTCAAAGTAAGTAATTTCCAGATGCTAACATCGCTCGCCAGTTCTAATTAAATTCACAGCTCCAGCAGTTTCACGCAAAGCGCAGGGGGAAAGTTGGAGCATAGACTCGAGGGCGACGATTGAAAACCTTGTATTGATCAGTTGGCCCCAATGTATGAGGTACTGCGATTGATAAGATCCCTCCCAACACAAGTACAATTACAGGGCTGCTTGCCCATGAGAACCTGAGTCGATGTTAAGTACTGCCGGGCAAATATAGAGGCTTGAGGCACACCAAACGCCTTCTACTATACCGGTGATATCTTGAAGATGTGGGAACGACACGGCCTGTAGATCTGGACAGTTATAGCTTTATTACCAAAACAATCTACATCAGGCCTATATTTTGTTTCTGCATGTGACTTCAACCGAAATTCAGGCTTAGAGGCAAGCGAGCGCTCCTGCCAACTTAGTCTATCGGGTGCTACAGAACGGAAGAACGTTGTCCCATGACCGAACGGTTGCACAAGTTACATAACATAGGGCGGACTACCCTCGCTCACCTAGACCAACACCAATCTCACAACTGCGGTGAACCAGATCACCAGCTAACAATAGACAGATACACCTTACTGGCACTTCGTGAAACGACCAACAATGGAGTCCCTGCCACCAAAAGAATACGATCCGGAACACCTGCGTGAGTGAACGGCTGGTCGGTTTACCACTGTATGCTACTGCTAATTGATTGTCTCAGACATATTCCCGAGCTCTTTCGAGGTTACTAATGAAATAAAATTGATGGCCGAAAAGCCGGACGAGAACAAAGAAGCTAAATTCGCTCGTTATGTTGTCAGCCTTTCTAATATGAAATTCGCATCAGATTACGAGCAAAACCGATTCTTCAATAATCTCCCTTACGCCAATTACATCATGGATTACTTCGGCTTCATGTACTCCGGAACCCGATCGGATTGGCAGGAAACGATCAAGAAGGCCATTCGCACACAAAAGCCTATTGACACAATCTACCTCGTTGTCACAAACTTCGAGAAGGCTGCTAAGTACATCAAAGTCAGCGCTAAAGTGGATACCAAGACCCTGTTTTTCAGTGCCCCAAGTAGCCCCCACGAATGCTTGAAGGACTTGGAGCTCATCAATCGTGCTTGCCACCCCGAGTTGCGTGATGAGGACATAGAAAAGTTAGATTGTCCGTCCTGGGCTAGAGGCAGACAAAGCTTCATGAAGCAAGTTCACGGCCGCTACGAGGATCTACTTACAGAACTCGTGATTGAGGAACGCGTAAGTCATTTCCCCCTCTTTTGACCATATACACGATACTGAATCTACAAAAGGTCCAGAAGCTGCATGAGAGAAACCGGAAAAAGCTGGTAAACACGCTCTAAGGTTCGCATTATATGATATCCCTGAAAGGCATTAAGACCCAGGGCTTGAGGGAGAAGACTGAATAGCAAGCACAGTCAACTGGAGCACTAACTTCACATGAAATACGTGTTGCATTGTATCCACGAATTACATAAGTGTCCTTTTTCGATTTCCTTCACTCACAATCGAAGAAACTCAGAGGTAATAGTCAGATAGTCCTCGAATGCCCAATCTCATCTCATTGGTCGTGACATTTTCCGCCTTCACCGCGATTTCCTTCTGCTTTCCAGCCAATCTTAGTAAGCACCTGTGTCACCGTAAACACGTCTTCTTTGCCTTGCTCGAAGCTTCAATATTGCGTGACCCAATTACCTTATTGTGGCCCGGGATTAATATTGATCCGTGGCCGTTTGTTTGTGTACAGCTTTACTTATCTTAGACCCAACAACAACCTTCCTCACTAGCAACGACAGCCGACTCGACAATTCTGCGTCCGGAGATCTCGACCGAGAGTGTTTCTGGATCATTTTCGGAAACTTAATTCCTGCAGAAGGTCATCCACGCTGTGCAGTACACCTAAGCAGCGTCATGGCTTCCGTGCCTGGTTCTGGCGGTGGACCTGGCACTGTCGATGAGGCTCGATCTGCCGCAGCTAACACCCATGAGGTCGATCCACAATATCTCTGTACGTTGAAAGAGAATGTTTAGGCGTCCTGGTTTTCACACTAATGATGTCTCTCAGATATTTTGCCAACCTTCTTCACGGTCACCGAAGAGTTGATGCGTATAGCTGAGCTCAAGACATATAAACCCGAAAGAATATACGCTTGTATCCTCCGATCTCTGGCAAATCCCGCAAAATATCCAGAGCATCTCCGGACTCGGATCAGTGATGCCCAAGGTGTATTGGGCACACCAGGCGTAAGCAAAGATGTTAATAACGCGCTGGCATGGTTCGGACTGAGTTTCCATCAAGACTCATTTAATGAGATTTCACGCGTGTACAACCAAGCTTGCCATCTGAAAATTCCCATTCTGGCCACACACTTTCTGGTCGAGGACGAAGCAAAAGCGCGGAAATACGTCGATCTGGGAGTGAAAGTCGACCCGAGCACGATGATGTTCAGTACACCTTCGTCTCTGGCGGCTGCTGCTCAAGACCACGAGAAGGTTCTTCAACTCGTCCAACCATATGGATGGGATCGTACAATTACAAGATGCTCTCACAAGGTCACAACCAAGATCGGGGGTGGTCTCACATTTGATCGTGTCTGTACTTGGATCGAAGATCGAGTCGCATTTCGGGAACAAGTACTTGAAAAGTACCGGAAGCTTGTGTGGACTCTTGCCCTCGGTGATGAGGTAGGTGAACGCTTTACTGAGAGTTCAACCAGGTGCTAACCAAAGCAAGGATGAACCTGTGCGAGGAAGCAAGAAACGGAAATTGAGTGGCGTCTGATGGTTCGTCTCGACGATCAGGCGATACGAGGCACGGAGTTCCATTTTCTATTGGGACCGAGATTATGATGGGCCATGTTTTATTTTCGTGGAAGACATGAGTGATGCGGGTGCAATGGGATTGGGATATCCTCGTGGACTAGCTTCTAGATTCTCTATTCCGGAGAGCTTGACAGTTCAGAAAACTGAGGACTTTCTTCAGAGGCAGGTTCTTTAATTGAACACCATGCTTCTGAAAATCGATAATACGACCAATTGTGTCCACCACTGATCATCTATTTCCATCGTATGAAGTGATAAGGGCCGGCTTCTAAATATACCGCCCTATAGTAGTCCCCGTTTCTATTAACCTCCCCATTTTCTATTCTTCACAGGCTTGGATCATATCCCAGGCCCAAAATCAGGTGTCCCCCCAAGAGTACCCAAGATATCACCGACATAATTACTCGCCTTAACCCCCTCCTCAAACCTACTATCCCACTCCCCCAAAATCCCCTCCACAACCGCCCACCCAACAATCCCCACATTCGCAATCGCAATCGGATACCCCCCCTGCATCTCCATGCCAAACAAATTCTCCAACGCCGGCTGCCCAGGATACGGACGATCCATATCGCTCCCAGTCCTCAGCACAACGACCCTCTCGAAATCCACCAACCCAGCAACATGCCCCCTCACCAACCCCTCCAACAACGCATTATCCTCCTGCGCCGTACTACAATAAACCCCGGTCCCATTCGTCATCAGCGCCGTGAAATCCGCGAATCCCTCGGCTAACAACTTCCCGGAGAAGAAAGTATCGGAGGTAGCAACATCGCACTCGACGACACTCGGCGGCTGCGTCCCAGCGAAATACCGGTTATCGTCAGTGATGTAGTGGGAGCGATAAGTGTGAGCGAGCGCGCTATCGCTCAACTCGACCCCCCGCGCAAACCCAGCCACGACATGGCGTAACTCGTCATTAAGCTCAAACACCTCCGTGCCGTAGATATCTCGCGGGTACTCTCCAACCGCTCGCGCGCCCTGCGCGATATACCCCGTCACGCCCTCCGCGGCGTCGCCGAGCTCGCGCGGATCAAGCTCGTACTGCAGCCCGACTTGCACGGCATACCGCGCGAACATTGCGCTTCCCAGCGTTGCGTGTTCGGGGTTCACGCCGGCGATGCCCGCGACGAGGAAGTAAGTTTTTGAGAGGTTGAAGAGGGGGGAGAGGAGGAGGGCGGTGAGGGAGGTTGCGGCGTTTATTTCGGCTTCGCCGGTGACGAGTTGGCAGATTTCGTGGGTTGGGGTGCAGTGGATTGAGGGGAAGAGGGGGGAGAGGAGCGGGAGGGTGATGTTGTTGGATAGGAGGTTTGTAGAGGATATGGAGGAGTTGGAGGGCGCGTGCGTGTACCATGTTGTTGCTTCTGGGGTGAAGAGGGAGATGATGAAGATTTTGGGGGTGTGTTTTGTGGTGGTTTGGCTTGCTCGTGGTGCGATTGGCGTGCTGGTCGCGAGGGATGGGAGGAGGAGGAAGAAGAAGAGGAGGAGGAGATTTGTGAGGGTGCGGGAGATGGGCGTGTACATGTTGGCTCTGGTGTCGTTGTTTCTCGTCAATTGCGACTCCTGGGTATGAGAATGGGTAGACAAGAATACCGCTCTATCGTTGGAAGGCTCCCGACGGCGCCAATGCGAGAGAAGAGAGTGTGGATGACATGCATAGCATCCATATATACCTACATGCGGACCACCTTTTGTATCTATGTCTTGCAGAAGGACTAACTACTTGCACCATCCAACGGTCATTCCCGCGGCGTATTCTTCACCTTCTCCCACTACTACTCGGGGACTATATGGATCAAGACTGCACAAAGATTGGGCATACATTCAATGGCTTCCAATCACAAGTCTCCTAGCACCATGGTTCCCATGGAATCTTGCACGTCGATGAGGGGCATCCAAAAAATTTCTGCAGGGTGCTTGTGGGTACGTGATAACGTGCAAGCTTGATTGCTGGGTTGGGAAGCTTGGTTGTCGATTCCCTGCCTCAAGAATACGGTGATCGGCGGTTCCCTGCAGCTAGATAGATAACGGGCGACTACTGCTGTACGCGTTAGTCGTAGAATGTGCGTAACTATCTCGGCCGAGATACGGAAAAATTCCGAGGAAGCCAACACTGTTTGATCAAGATTTGTTTTCATGCTGAGAGTCTTGATGGTGGTGGATTGAAGTGATGCAACAAGTTGGCGGGGTAGAACCTTTTGCGGGGAAATGAGAACGCTGTTTGTTGAGGACATGTTCCCAGAGCGATACGAACAGTTCGCCATTGTTCGTGTAAGTTTTTTTAATATCCCCGAAACTTCCAAAATAGCTATGCGACGACAATGCAATAACGCTGTAGTGAGTGCTGCAGGAAACATGTTTTCAAGGCGTGAAAGTGATTTCCCTTGGCCCCTCACCGACAATCTCTCAGCCCTTCCGCGCCATCACCACATCAAAAGGCGGCCAGTGCAACTCAACAGTACCATTCTTCTCCACCAACACAAACTTAGTCAACGGCCACCCATTCTGATCCTTGTATCTGCACTCCTCGTTAGCCTCGCATTCACCAAATAGAAGAAGAAGAAAAAAGGAATAGATGCACTCACCCATCCCAATCGAAATAATCGCAAGTCTCCAACCCAGGAATCAAAAACCTCCAAACCTGCGCTCCATCCCCAAACTCAGCAGTTTCGCTCGCGCCTTCAGCAGGCACCAACACTGTCCCTGCAGGAGAAGAATACCACCGTGGCTGTGTTTCTCCCGTCCAGCCTACCCGATCCAGCGCTTCGAGCGCATTGGTCCCATTGACCACGAACTCTTTGATGTAGAGCATTTGCTCCTCAACTACAAGACGCGCGAAACTAGTTGTGTTTGTGGAGTTACTCGGCACTTCATCAGATATATCCCCACCATCGCGCGCGAAAGCGTAAGTACCCGCGAACCTCGCCTCGGTCCGCGCAGCTAAGGCTTCCGCAAACGCGGGAAGCAAGAGGTTGTGCGCTGCTGCTTTCACGGTTGATGGATAGATGCGCTCATATGCTGCTTCCCCGCTTTCTTGCGTGATGATGGCGAGGCCGTATCCGAGATTTGGCACCGTGTCGATCCATGCGTGGGAGCCGAAAGCATCGCCGGATTTTCCGTAGGGCGCGTAGGTTTTGTTGGAAGCGGTGGAAGTGTTGGATGTTGGGATGGAGATGAGTTCGATTTCCCAGCCGGGGCCGACGAGCTGCTTCCCATCGAGGAGATCAAAGGCTGGAGTCTGCGAGGATCGGCGCTGGGAGGGTGTGATGAGTGAGGAAGGGGGATTGGGTTGCAGCCAGATAGTGTAGAGGTATTTCGCGAGGTCATTTGCCGATGTCTGTGTGTTTGCATGTGTGAGATTCATGTGCGGAAAAGACTATGGGCGGGCTGATACGCACCCAGAGACCGCCACCTGGATTGTAGCCCTCAGCGACGTGGGTATTCACCATGTTGGGGGCACCTGGTAACCCGACATATGGTAGGAGATGCTCCGGGATTGGATCAAAGAAACTGTGCGACATGTTTAAGGAAGCGAAAACTTCTTTGACCATGAATTCACTCCAGCTCAGCTGCGACCCCGAAAGTGTGTTGTAGTAGTTCACAACAGCGCCTACGAGAATTGTCAATTTTCGAATACATTCATTTTTGGAAGAGGATGACTGCCACATACTTGCAAGGATCGAAGGTCCGATGTTCGAATAAGCCGCCCGTTGACCAGGCGCGAACATTAGGCTCGTCTTCGCGACATAATCCAAAACGCCCTCAGCAGTTGCAGAAGCCCAACCCGATCCTATCGTCTCGGAATCAGCTTTGCCCTTCCCGAGAATCAGATTGAAGTCGGTGCTGTAAGCCTCGCGCGTGATGCCGCTTGTGTGACTAGCGAGCATGCGCAAGGTGATGTCTTTCCCTCCATTCTCCCAGTCCTCCTGCGGAAGTTTGAATTGAGGCAGTAAAAGGCGAGCTGGGGTATCGAGAGAGACTTCAGGGAGAGATTCGGAAGATTGATAGCTTGTTTGTCCCAGATTTTGAGCGTATATGGTGGAGTAGGCTGCAAAGTTCTTGGAGACCGAGGCGACGCGAAAAATGGAGTCGCTGGTGATTGTGTTGTTAGCCGCACTCGAATTGCTCTCGTTCCATTTCAAGATCCCTTTATTGAATGTAAACACCGTCTCTGGGTTGGATGCATGGACCTGTGTTTGCGCGGTCAGACATCTGTGCTGCAATTCGAATTCGACTGGATGAGATTAATGTCTTACAACCGCGAAGCTCAATCCATCACGTGTAGTATTCTGGAACAGTCCCTCCAATGTCCCCTCCAAAGACTCAAGTGCCGAAACTACAGAAGGATGCCGAAGTACTTCGGGATCCCACAGTAGCTTGTTGGGGGGATCCGGTATGCAAGCCGAAGTCACCGCCCAACCGAACAAGCCAAAAACCAGCGCAACTGAAACGACGAAACCCTCCATGAGTGAGGATACTGCGAAGCGACACCAGCCCTGCAGATATGTACACATGTATGGGAAAAAACGTGGGAGCTTTCTGGCGGGGTACAAATGGTAATGCATATATGGGTGCTAACCGGCTTGAGTGCTGCCGCGTGCCGCGCCCAAGAGGTCACCGATACCGTAGTGCATTCGGCCAATCAAAGTCCGCGGATGGTAAAGATAAGACCTGCCTTTCGGAGGAGCGTCTGCATATCGCTAGGATTCACGCCGAGCTGGTCTTGGTTCTTCTTGTCGCATCTCCGCGATCGCAAGATGCTGGAATGGAGTGTGTGCGCTCAAAGGTATGCCGTGGTTTCATTGTACCGCGGATTGAAAGGATCATATCGTCAAACACGACTGGCTCCAGCTCAAGCGCCGCACCGTCCACCTTACTATATCACGAACTCTCAAGTATCGTTCAAACTTTGTACAGAGTTTTGGGAAAACTTTAGAGCAAGTGTCTAAATTCCGTTTCTGGTAGTACCTTCAAATCACACTCCCCACCAGCTCGGCTCCGCATGTAATAGTCGACAGCATCTACAACATGGGAAGCATCGACGAAAGGGTGAGAGGAATGATGTACCCGGATGCGGATCCTGAACGCGTTTGCGAGTTGTGCCAGAGCTTTTTTCCTGACAGAACGCCTAACTTTCCACCAAGGTACTAGGGGGCGGACCTGGAATATATCAATACCCTGCAGTTCAGAGGGCATCGGCTGCACGCCGTCTGCAATGAGCTCAGCGAGGTTTGGGAGCGATTCGACAAAATTGAAATCGTAGTCACCGACGATGTTGAGATGGCGAAGATTTGGAAAGAGGGGCGAAGCAGGCAGTATTGCAGACAACAAATAGCCTGATTCGAGAACTCGGGGGTTCACAGTCAGCGTCTTGAGGTTTATGAAGGACTCCGTGATGTTGGGTCGTTCAGTGGTTCTTGTCACTTCCGCGGCATTAGACATGTCCGGCCATCGAAGTGGTAGTTCCAGATGTGTCAATCTGGGCGCCACGAGTAACATTGCATTGAGAAGGTAGCCTGAGTACCATGCTGCGACTTTAGGGGATGGCCAATCGATATCAGTCCGCCTGTCCCAAATCAAGTCTTGGAGCACGGGAACGTTGACAATGTGAAGCGTGCCCAGGTAAAGTTCTTGGAGATTCGGTAGCATAACGAGAAGAAGGCCAAAAAATGTGTCCTGAGCTTTGAAATCCGGTATTATGAAGTCCTTATCTGGGACAAGTTTGGATTTATCAGGCCGTAAACTTGCGATCCAGTCATTCCGGTTGGCTTCGCTGATGTCCAGTTTACGGATGACTTCAATGCAGGATCTTTCAAAGCCATCATCAACTTTAGGCCAGCCAAAAGGATCGTTGACGACATTCAATGATTTATTGTAGCCGGTCACGACTTCGAGGGACCGAGGCCGTGTGGCGAAATGCGGGTAGCGGAGGTACGTGTGAACAAGGCGGTCGAGCTTCGCAAATGGCACGAAGATTGGGCCCGATAGCAGTACATCTCTTGCGACGATGGAAATCTTTTTGCAGGACAATGCAACATTATATATATCGTGATAATATTCCGTGGGTCCGTCACCAGGCAATTCGTTCTTAGCCGCGTCTTGAAGTGGGTTTGTGAGATAGGAAACGATAGCAAGAAGAATCTCTTGCGGCATTGAGGGCAGTCGGGACTCCATGCTGGTTTCTCGATTCGCGACTCGTCTGAAACAGAGTAATTGTCTCTGAGAGATGACAAAGCTAGTGTGAATTGAGTTGCAGGTATATACATGTATCAGTGCGTGGCTGTGTTGCAGGCAGCAGTTCACCACCGGCAGAGATTCGAGCTCTATCCGACCGGCCGTGCACGGACCATCCCAAATCGGGAATGCATGATAAACTGAAGCATGAGAAGCTGATCTTGATGGCGAATCTTGATGGCGAATCTCGATGATTATTCATTATTTATACTATGGTGAAAGAACAAAACTAGCCTGGATGGCCGACAAAGTACCCTCGTTATATCTACGCATTAGGAACACAAAAGTAGCTGCTGATCTTGTTCTCGAAATCCCTGGTGCTCCCCTCAGGGCCATTAACCGGCGTCACCGAGAGATCCGCAACACCTGGATATCCAACATGGAAGAAATCGCCGTCGGTAGAGCAGTCGCGGTCGCTGTATTTCCATCAGTCTAGAGTACAACAAAGCCGGAGTTTTCAACTTACACAAAAAAGTAGCAGAAGCTGTTCTCATCAGGTCTGACAGAGCTGATCTGATCGTCGAAATCGCCAACCAACCATTTATCGCACTCGCTGGCCGGGGATGAGATGGTTTGGCAATATCCGCTGAAGTTGCGGTCGTTGCAGGCGAGGATCGAAGGTTCTGCGCGCTTTTCGACGTTGGAGGCGGAAATGGGGGCGGGTGCGGCAAGGGCAACACCGGCGGCGAGAAGAGATGCGATGATTGAGGCCTTCATCTTGATACTTGTTTTGTAAAAATGTAAAAATGGTTTACGTTTGTTGAAGTCGAAGTAGTGATGAACGGATAATGATGCTTGATGATGATAAAAGTCTCTTTCGCAATGGTATACTCTGGTATTTATACTCGACCTCAACGGCTGGAATCGACGATGTCTATATTAAGATGCAGTGAGGTACTACAAAAATGGATTGAGCTAAGTGACGTTTTGCCGTCGTAACCTTTGGATCGATACTATCGCTGGTTTGCATTTGGGTTAGTCCATATACTACAAGGCGATATTATCGACCTGCACCGGCTGCAATGAAGAGAACACCAGCAAGCGTCGCATGGAAATGTAGCATCGACCCACATGGAATGATCCTTTTAGTCGCAGATTTCCTTTCGTAAAAAGTTACAAACATCAAAATCACAGAGTCGATTGAGGGCCTCGCGATCGTGATTCTCCTCCCCATTCCAACAGCGCCTTCGTAAGACTCTTGACGTCATAGCTCATAAACCATCCAAGCAAACATTTCTTTTGATCTAAGTGGGCGTTGTACTTTTCGCTGAAAGCCTCGATGCTTCTCTCTAGGTGGGTGCAAGCTGAACTGATGGTACCGAGCTCGCTGACGCATGCATGCACTGCCACATCAGCATTGCCCACGCGCGCAAAAGGAACCCCCTGGCACTATTGGATTGTATACAGATCATCAGTCAGCTATTGCCAATATTCCAACTGCACGTATACACTGCGTTATATCATGCGATAACTCGAGAGATTTTGCCTTTCGTATATTGCAATTTCGAGAAAAATTCACGCAAGCTGTAGTTGTTCAATCCACCGAGCAGCGGAGATGTTTTGCTGCGTAATTGATGCTGATTATCTGTCTACTTCAAGGGTTAATTCTCATGGAGGATTTTCGACGATCAATCCAAATTCTTTACGATCAGGTGCATCTTAGGTGCCATGTGAAGCATGCTTTTTCTAGCGAAGTTCCCTGTTATATCGTAATATCAAGGCGCATGCCCCCGCGCAAAGAGCACTCCCATCTCAAGTCAAAACTATAAAGCAGTGGCCCAAACTACGAAAAAAATGCGATCGGATCGTCCGGCTGATTTCAGTTCAGCAGACATTGAAAGGTGCAGTCAGAAACAGGTGCACACATTTGAACTGGCTGAAAACATTCATCCAATGTTGTGCTTGTACAGCACGCAAGATGCTTGATTCCGTAAGTACAATTTGAGCATTTGTCCATCGACCATCCCCCAGGATTTCCAGCGTGAGAATTAAGAAATGCACGTGCTCCAAGTATTTCAAGCTGGTTGTCCGGCCTTGATCAACGCGCTCAAAGTCGCATTAGGCTTCGTAACCGATTCGAAAATACCGCCATATTTCTCCACCAGCAAATCACTCACGATCCTCGCAAACACTACTCCACCCCACTCATTCAGATGCGTCCAATCGCCGGAGGCCAAATTATATTTACTCGCAGCGTCTCTCTTGATCGTGTTGACATAGTTCATCGACGCGATATTCAGGTCAATCCACTTGATGTTGTTGGCAGTAGCCACGTCGATGGTGGCCGCGCGTTGCTCGACGAGGTTTTCCGTGACGTTGGATGTGCTGGACGCGAAGTTGCGGCGCGTCAACGGCGTGAGCAAGATTGGCGTTGCGCCTGCATTCGATGTTTCCTGTGCGAACCGTAGGAGATTGGCTTTGTATTGCGCAACGGTGACTCCGGAGGTTTCTTTCTGGTCGTTGTGACCAAACTGTTCCACTATGAGCCCTATCGTCTTTGTTTGAGAAAGATAAAGATAATCGCGTATTCTTACCTGGATGGTGACGTAAACATCGTACGCGGATTTATGACTGTTGATGTCGCTCACGACACTGTCCCAAATACCGCCGGCGCGGAACGAAGCTGTCGTTGCGCCGCTTTTTCCGTAGTTGTGTCCGCTTGAGCCAGATGCTACGGTCGTGCTGAGAAACGCATCGCCCCAACCTCCACCGGGAGCTGTTGTAGAATCGCCGGCGAGGAGCCAGTACACTGCGCTTGCTTTGATGCTCTCGCAATTGACAGACGTGATGACAGCCGCCAAGGCGGAGAGGAGTGTGGGCAGAGACTTGAGCATCTTGAACTACAAGCAGAGGATGATCACAAACTATCTTTTACTGTAATTTCGACACTACGCTCCCATACATATATTATGCTCTATCCCGCTTGAAAACGAATAATTAATTTCACACACTATTCAATCAATCAACCACCAGCATCATGGGGGAAGAATTCGGCCCCCAATGATCCGAGTTCGCGCTGTCACGTTCTTGCGATCTGTTGATCTTTTCAAATCTTCCGCTATAACCATGCCCTGTTTGCCTATAGCCGATGAGAATGCTGTATTGATGCGTGCTTCAATTTAATCTAACATGATATTTGTCCGATCCAAAGCGGGGTTCTTCGCTAAGCATTATGCCGATCTGATGCCTGTCAGTTGTAGGCGAAACGAGGGGAACAGGTTTGGCCAGCGCAAAAGCTTGAGTCATTGGACTTTGATTTTTGGAGTAGATTATATTGCTCAGACCTAACTACGCGATTCCTTGAAAACATTACATATTGAAAATATGCTAGGAGCAATGGGATTTAAGACGTTTGCTTGTAGGGTCTGAGGGTGCGAGTGCTGATGGTCGGCCAGCTAGCAGTCGTATAGAACCGTCTCTCGTATTTCACGTAGAGTATTGGAATGGATTAATACCCATATTTTCAATCCAGAAACATTCTAAGGACGATATTGAATCATCGCATTTCTATGCGGCACAAACACTTGGTATTGAAAAACACGATAATTCTACCTTCGTGCTCCAGCAGGACCCAGATACATTCAAGTTGATCGAACACTATCCTGATACCAAACAGTCTGACGTGGGCATGCACTTACGTGTCTAAACACAGATACAATCATTTATAATAGAATAATTTTAGCCAACATAACACCACTACTTGACTCCTGTGATCTTAGCTCGCAGACTCGTGGCTTCTTTGTTATGTTGATTTCCAAGGCCGTGCCTGGATAGTCGGATCGGATCGGAATGTACCTCACAAGCCGATCCGTCCAAGTTCCAGGCTGCAACCGAATCTAAATGAAAGTGTAAACCACTACTTCAATGGGCGCAAATATTAACCCAGAATTAAAAAATCAATTGCACTGCACCAAGTTTGAAGAAAATCATTTGGTACTCATCATGCCAATTCCCTCCCACATATCGCTCAGCGCAGTACTGGCCCCTGCCCACCTTCTCGCGTACTCGACTCTCCTGGGCACGCAACTCTACCAAAGCATCATCATTGTAAAAGTGGCTTTCCAAGCTCTGCCATACGAAGCTTTCACGACCCTACAGAAAAAGCTGTTCCCGACATATTTTCGCTGCCAGTCGACTCTCCTCTTGCTTACAGCTACGACCATCCCTCCTTACGGACCACTATCGCGCGGTGCTAGAGATTGGAGGGTCTTCGCTCCATTAATCATCACTGGTATCACAGCGGTTCTCAATCTAGTTTATTTCGGGCCGAAGAGTAGTCGATTGATGATGGTTAGAAGGTTTCAATGTAAGTTTTCGTCATCACAACCTTGAGGGGAATTAGAGCACTGATGCCTGGCTCAGCGGAGATGGAAGCTCGCAATGGCCCCGAAGGAAACAGTTCGAAGAGTGCGGAGATGGAGAAACTGGATCGTTCGTTCAAACGAGCTCATGCGATGAGCATTCACTTGAATGCCATTGCGATTGGCGCTACGCTTTGGTATGGTTGGAGTTTGGCTTCTCATTTGCGATTTGAGTAGGGGGAAGCTTGGATTCGGAGATACGGCCAGAAAACTGAAAATATAAGAATTGTTTTTTATGGTTTCTATTACTGAGCCTAGGCCCGTTTGGAGGGTGCCTTCAGGTCACTATAAACAATGATTCTTGAACAATAAGGACGTCGGTCGGTCGGAAGTGATTTGGGTAGTGTAGCAGTAAGAACACGAAACCTTCAAGACAGTCAATCGTCCCATTTTTATTATCAATAACGAGCGCTTTTTGAAGTTAAAAAAAAAGATTGGTAGAGTCTCGCACAGATTGAGCATGAATGTACGATCCGGATCCCCCTTCCCGTAAGCTTAGTCATTAGCGTGACGGGTCGGATGATAACACCTCGCCGTTCCGATCATCCTTCACTCTTTCACACTTTTTCGGCAATTTCTCAACAGATGGAAGACCCAGAGCAGCCAGCTACCGAGAGAGCCGTTCAGGGCCGTGTTCTCCAGGCATGTCAAAGGTGCCGAAGCTTGAAGACCCGGTGCCTGCTGAGTGATCATGCCGGAATATGTCAGAGGTATGAATTGGCCCCATAACAAACTTCCTTTGATGCCTACAATTTATTTCTATCTCCCCGACGATTTTGATCCATCTAATTGCAAATAAAGATGTCTCCATGCTAAGAAGGATTGTGTCTGGGCCGAAGTCCCGCGGCGAGCCCGGAAGGCTCGTGGACCATCGTAAGCTCCACACAATTGCTCGGCTAGACAATTTCTAAGTTACGGAAGGCGGATTGCACAAGTAGAGCAAAAGATCGATGGTCTTGTTGCGAGCATTGCAAGACCACCAACAAACCACAGTAGTTTCGCGTCAACCTCTGAGCAACGCACACCTCCAGGCGATACGGCAAGACGAATCCCAGGGAAAAGCAATGAAAGGACAGTCCATCCCGGAAGCTGGCTACCTTTCCCAGACTCATTTGATCAAGAAGCATCGAATCCGCAACAGTCCAGGGAAAACGGCGCAGAAGAATCACAACCAGGTGATGAGTTGAATGAACGATTTCTTAATCGCCTGCGCGACATACACACTTTCAGCACAGAAACAGACATGGAAAGAGCTCCAGATGCAGTGTTTCAAGGTGCTCACAGGTTTGAGCCTGAGATTAATAATGAATATGTCAAGCGACTTCTATCTACTGGTGAAGCCGAAATACTTCTAAATGAGTATCGGGCAATGTGGTCTTCGTTTCCTTTCGTACCACTGGCAAACCACACTTCTGCTAGAGATCTTTCCGAAACTAAACCTATGCTTTTCTTGGCTATTCTCACAGTGGCGTCCTGGAAAAATCGACTACGTCAAAAGATTCTCGACAAAACTTACCGGACAGAGCTGAGTGAGCGCACCATTGTCAATCCTCACAGAACGCTTTCCATCGTACAGAGCATTCTCGTATATCTCTCCAGGTATTCATGATCAACTTATTCAACGCAAATAGTTCTGATGTCCGTAGATATCACTTCCTGTTCAGCCATAAAACTCAACAAATCTTCTCGCTTCAGCAAGTTGCCGTTGGATTGGCGCTTGACATCGGCCTCCACACAAAGACTAGAAGAACATTCATGAACGGTATGTCTGGAAGAACGCCTCCCAAGGCTTATTCAGAGCAAGAGCAGCGTGAGCGGCAAAGAACCTTTCTAGGCTGTTACTACATGTCATCCATGTACGGTACCGTAACTCATCTTGACTACGGGCTTCAATTGACGAGTATAGGATCGCCGGAGGCCTTCAAAAGCCCAACCTATTGCGATACACTGATTACATGGGAGAGTGTTGTAAAGATCTAAGACAGGCTCGCGAAATCCCGTCAGATGTCATAATCGGGCGTCTCGTCACTCTCCGCCGATTAGACGACCAAATTCATGATGCCTTCTACTCCGAGGATGCCGTCGATCTCTCGCTCTCAGACCCTCGCATAAACATGAATTACAAATTCCTTCAGGCACAGTTGGAGGATTTCGGCAGCGAGGATTGCCTTGACGAGCTTCAAAGGAGTATGTGCTTCGTGCCAATGATTTTTCAATCTAAGCTAAATGTTTTTGCAGTGATCGATCTGACTTCAACGTTCACAAGCGTGCAGCTGCACAGTATCTCTCTTCGACAGGCTTCAACTCCTACAAACATGATCGCAGGCAACACTCTGCAACTCAATGCCCTACTTGCAACCCTTGAAGCTTGCAAGCGCCACACAGATATACTTCTCAGCATATCAGCCTCCGAGTATCATCTGTTGTCTTTTTCCGAATGGATGAGACTCCCGGTTGTCATGATTACAGGCGCGCGCCTATGTATCCCCAGCGATCATCTATCAGCAATTAATTGGGATATCAAAGCAGCCCATGAACGACTTCGCCTCGACTCTTTTCTTGAGTTCTTATGTGCGCGAATGCAAGCAATCAGTGTCAGTGTATATGACTTCTGGAGTATCCTGAACATGATCATGCGCGAACTGAAAACTTGGTACCTCAAACGGATCAACCCCGGAAGTCAACCAATTGATCCAATCAATGTGTTCGGCATTCCCACGCCAAATGCGACGATGAGTTCTCTCGGGAGTTCTGGTGCCACACCAGCTAGCCACGCTATGGGTCATGGTTGTCCTGTCGATCATGCAGGGCAGTTGTCCGCCGAAACTGGTATGAATCTGGATATGACTGAAGCTGCGTTCGCGTTCATGAGATCGGAGGAGTTTGATATGGATAAATTCTTCGACATGGGCCTCTGGGGTGATGAAACGTATCTCGACATGGGGTTCGGGTCGTAACATCAGGTTGACAGCGATCTTCTACGACACTTATCTTGCGCCACAGATGCGCCCTATGATATCGGAAAATGATTTATTGACGCGGCTGTCGAATCTCTCCTCTCCTGTATTGTTAGATCGTACCATGTAAGATTATTCAGGCAACGATAAAGAAATCTCCGGAATTGCTCACTCGATGTTTGGCCCTTCCCACCGAAGGATTTTGCATACCGGAAGCAGCCTTGGATGACGTCGACTCAAGCATACCAAGCATCAGACAAATAGTGCTTGTGTGCATGTAATTTGAGCTTAGCATTTGCAGCGTTCCAAAGCGCCGCAGCCATGTGCTCGAAACCAGACGCGCGGTAAGTTACTAATGTTGATGGATGTTGCAGCAACAAGGCAAATTGAGATACTCGCTCCAATGCCGCAGCTAATGCTGGGCTGATCCATATCAGTGACCTGAGTTTTGAGTTGAATATCCCGAATAGCTCAATGCTCGCTGCGCGGGCGCTCACAAAATAAGCACTAGCCGGGGGGTTCAACAATAAACGTCATGACTCATCTAATCAGTAAACTGTCAGGGAATGAGTCACAAGCCCTCTAACTATGTACATGTAACTTCAAACAAGGAGAAGAGGACATCGCACCCAGAGTTTCTATACAAACATTCCCCTTGGCAGCCAGTCATTCAAACAACTACAACCATGGCAGATCACAGTTTCTACATCGAGACGCCTCGTCTCGTTCTTTCGCACATGGTCCCATCCATAGACTCGCACGCCGACTTCATCGTCGCAATGCACAACACCCCCGAAGTCCGCGCTGGAAACGGCGGATTAGCCTTGAATCTGCAAAATCGCGAAGACGGACGTCAAAACATCGAGGAAGATAATGCGCGTCAGCGTCTACATTTGAAATATGGGCGCTACTTGATCTCTCTGAAACCTGCTTCCTCCGAAAAAACAGAAGAAACACCGATCCCGGAAAGACTGGAGTCATTCCAGAAAGTCGGTATCGTTGGCTTGAAACACAGACTTGGGCCTGGCGCTCCGACGTTGCCGGACATTGGGTTCTCTCTTTACACCGGCTTTGCGGGGAAGGGGTATGCGACTGAGGCTGCGAGTGCGCTTGTCAAGTACCATCAGGACAATGAGATACAGACGCAATTCCTTGGATATTGCGATCCTTTGAATGAGCGGAGCATGGGTATGTTCAAGAGATTGGGGTGGCAGGAGAGAGGGATGTGGGATATCAAGGGATTAGCGAAAAACGGGCGGGTCGTACGTGGCATTGTGTGGAGCTTAGGGGTGGAAGAAGATTTGGAAAAAATTGGGCTGGAAAAGGTGGAGGAGGAGAATGCGGTGGGGGTGAGACCGTAGATGTGCATCCCTATGTAATTTCGACGGTGGCAAGCCGACTGCTACGGGTTTCAAATTCAAATCGGTTATCGCTCGTCACCGTCATTCATGGAACAAAGTTCAGATGTTATCCAAACTATCATTTCTATAAATGCTCAAGACAAGCGTTATCTTATACGAAGCTAGGCCTATTATATCATCGTCGCATTTCATGTTACGCAAAGTATCCGTGACACAAGTCGGCTAGAATAGTGAATATTGTATGACAAGCCGATGCGTGATTGGCTACCAAGAGATGCATGGAAACGTATCAGCCACGTGATAACAAACATTTGAATGTTGTTAAGCGACTGATGTGTTAGTGTCCTTTTACTTCAATCAGCCCATCCCCCACCACCACACACTTCATATTTTTTTGGTTTAGCCGTCTGAATTCTTCAATAATCCTGAATCCGACAGCGGCTATATCTCATTATATACCGGGTTCTTGGGCTCCGTGTGATACGCGCTGATTCCGCCGCCGAGATCATGGGAGGACTACCGAGTCTTCCTGACGAGCTTCTACTTGAGGTGTTAGCTTACTTAAAGGAGGATGTCAGTGAGGTGCTTGCAGCCCATAACAGTTTCTATCAGCGTCTCGTGCACGACACGGCCGATGATATTACCATGTTCAAATCAAATATGCGGTACGTATCTTTCTGAATATCATCTATGCGGGGTGCTACAGATTTGAGGTCTTATCGTCGCGTTTTAACAATACTTTCAGATCGCTTTCACTTACATGTCGTAAGCTTCGAACAGCCAGTGGTACCTTTTTGAGGACATTCTGATTCTGAAGAACAAAGACATTTACACGGAAAGGTTACCACCTTTCGCACACCTGATTCGTACGCTTATCCATCGACCCGACCTGCTCTCAGCTATCAAGCGAGTAGAGATAGACCTGGTCGAAGCGTTGCGTGATTCTTCCTGGCGTTTTAAATCTCATGAACGGCAGGCATTCCAGGAAGACGTGCAAGGATTTCTCAACCGAAACAAAACGACCTTTGCTCCCTTTGGACAACACTGGATTTCCGATCCACGTACCGCCAAGCTAGCCGGACTTCTACTAGCGATACTTCCTGAAGGCAAGTTCGTCAACATGTACCGAAGCTTCCATTACAAGGATCCCACTTGCTGGTTGAGCCAGACTAGCTGGAACGAAATTTTCGGAAACCTGTTTTCTACACGCCCTCATTGCCTCGTGGACATTTACGGTGAAACGAAACTAGGATTGCTGGGGTTTCACGAGCAGCTTATACCTTACTTGTTTCCGAAGTTGTCCTCGCGAGATACAAAAGAAAGAAGTATCTATAACTGGGTCCCCTACATTCGTGCCTTGTGGATACAAAAGAGCACGCTCGCGCTTACAAAATTCAAGAGTCAAGACACCTCCCTAATTCGCTATCTTCGACGGTTTACTGGGGGGATAAGATGTATCTACTACATGACTACGCCAAACATCGGCTACTGGGAAGATGTTCAGAATTCGAATCGAGATCTACCTGCTCATTTCGACGGTCTATTTGAAGACAAGTATGAATCTAGTGCAGAGCTCATCATTGACACTTCCGATATTTTCGGTCCCGTTTGCACCCCAACAAGTGCATCAATGGCGATTTGGAATGGTATACGAAATAGGTCTAGTCTACATGATCACAACCTGCTGAGACTTACCGCACCCCAGCAATTTCTCGTGTCGATCAAGAAGTCTTCCGGCAATTGGAAATTAAGCACTTGTCGCCTTCCGTCTTGTCTGACGTTGCTGGAAATATACGATACTACAGAGCTATGTACGGATTATTTGCTCGATATTTCGAGAAATCGGAAGAGCTCCTACCAATCTCTCGAAAAGATTCATCTCAGCCTCGTAAACAATAAGGAACACTTCATTCCGCATAACACTCGAGACGAGAGGAAGAATCTGGAAATGAAAAAGGTTTACCGCGCCTTTCATTCTCCTGTGAATAAGAAGATTCGAAAGACATTGGAACGCTTAGGAATTAAATTGACTTGGCAACGCGGTAGTCTCACGAAGGAGATAGACTGTATCTCATGGGATGTTGAGAGTAAATTTCAAGAGCTCCCCGTTCCGGGATACTACCTATAGTGGAAGCGCAAAGTGGAGCTGCGGAGACTGGCCTGCAGGCAATTCGGCCACCACGAAATATCTTTTTGGGCCAAAACTGGAGGACGAGACATGATTTCTACAATTGAAAAGAGCGGAACGGGTCATACGTAGTGCCCTAACCAGAATCTACATAGTTCAACATGTAGCACAAACTTTTAAGTCAGGCACAGAGTGAAGATGGTCCTGGCGCAGGAATTGCCCTATAAACAATCGTAGTAAATTGATCACCGGCAGATGCCACCTAAATCAAAGTTTTCTTATTCTTAAAATTTGAAGGCTGCTAGCGGTATATATTGGTATGAACAGGCGATCCTTCAGCGAAGCCCTGTCTGTGGCGTTCTTTCAAGAACAGGAGACAGTGAAGCATCAGACATAAGGTCCAACATGGTATTGTAGAAGAGGTATTTCGGTGTTCGCCTTTTTGTTGGTTCCGGCATTTATTGTCATGAACCTAACGCTCCGTGTAGGGTCACCCTAACTCCAATTCACAACTCATTGAAGAAAATAAGTGGATGATTGCTCGACAGTCATATCGGGAGAACGCGCGATCCCTAAACGGGTTGGTATATGCTTGAAAACTCACAGCAATCAACCACCACGTGGTCACGTGTTACTATTGCTTGGTAGCAAACGGCGGCATCTTGATCTGAAAGCATCGGTTTCATCTCTTCCTGATGAATTGATTCGAAGAATTTTATAGAAATCGTCTATCTGTGCTGTTGTTCTGGCGATACCATTGGGTGGGATTTATGTTCAAATCTTGGATAGATCGGACTAAGATGAAAGCCGCCTTGCAGAATGGTATAAAGCCCCAACCCTGTAACTACAATGTGTCCCTAGTGCTTGGCGCCAATGATTCGTTTCCTTTGTAGTCTACGTATTTGTGGTTTGTCTACTGTACGACGAAATCTCATAATTCTGCTTCACTACTTCACCTTGTCCGATTGGTTCCATTTTCACATAACGGAGATGTTTATACGATTATCCAAATCAATCTAAGATACGAACCGCCATCCGCTTCGCCTCTTGAAAACGTATGGTTGTAGAGCTGTGGGAATGGCATTGAGGACTAGGGCGGTGACATTGAGTGGGGGCTGTGTCTACTAACCTCAGAGGATACGACCGAAAGATAGACCGCGAAATGAGCAAATGATGTCATTAAAACCGTTTTTCAGCCGCACTTACATTCTCGTCTCATTTGATTGGGCGCGCACAGGCTTGGTACAAGTTGCAATGCGAATCCATCGCCGGCGCTCATTGTCAGACTAGTCTTGTATTGACGGCTGTTTGCAAGCTGCTACACAGCAGTCTCTATAAAAAAGGTGCGGTACATAATTTCTTCCAGCCTGTATGCATGTTAAATCTACAATCATCTTCCTTCCAATCTCTGCTGCTCAACCTCATTGATCAACATGCCTTTGCATCTCCCAAATTTCTCTGTCAACGTTAATGTGCAGCATGGTGGGCAACCGCAGCAATTCGCACAACCTCCATACCAACAACAGGGCTACGCACAAGCTCCTCCACAACACCAAGCCGGCCCTTTTGACGAAAGAACATGGTACCGCCTCAAAAACCTACAGCATCCCCACAAGTCCCTCGATGTGATCAACGACAACGAGATAAATTCCACCGGTCTTCTACAACTCGCGCAAGATGCCGATGTATCTGGTCAGCACTGGCAGATCAAGGCCATGACCGATGGAACATACATTCTGCGCACCATGTTTCTTGGGCCGTCCCGACACCTTGATGTCTATGGCGACAAAACCAAGACTCCCGTGCTGCAGCCTGCGGGCAACTACTCGGGTCAAAAATGGATCATAGCGCCCTGGGGTGACGGCACATGGCATCTATCCAACACATACTCGGGATCTGACGTGTATCTGGACTCGAAGAAGCATGACACTAAGGTGAAATTAAAGGGCGCGGAGGGGGGAAGGGCGACGCAGAGGTGGTCGATTATACCAATCTGTGGTGTCACTGAAGATGAGTTTTAGATGAAAGATGATGAGTCGGACTCGAGTCGCCAGGGCCATGGAGAGCTCTGATCGAGATGGCGGAATCACGACGGCGCAGTATTTTTGTTGACTCTATATATGAGTTCCTTGTGGAATAATCCAGCAAGCAAGTTTCATCTATGACAGCTGTCGCATAGTGTCTGCTTCATCAATCAAGTGTGACTGTGAGCTGTGACACGATCGGGTATGTGACTGTCGATTATCGAGGTAGCGCACTTTTGGTTCAAACAACAAACTGCTCGGGGCCAATCATAACTTGCTTGATTAAAGACACACTTGGGGTCCCGACACCGTGGAACAGACAATGGAGCTTCGATTAGCTCTGGATGTTTGTTGTCAAGCCACCGCGTACACGACTCTGCGGTGGAGCTGCATCTCATTGGCTGTATCTTTATAAATTAGTGTATGCCCTCTGGCTTGACTAGGAGTAGGAATTTTTTAGTTAAGCAATCATTCTGGGCGCACGCTTTGAATCCTGGGGCATGGGCAAAGCAGAGACTAGAGCGATCTAGAGCAGTTAGTGATGGGAACGATTGATAATGTTGGGATCGGCCTGGTGTTGGGACCAACCCCATATCGGCTCCACCGTTCGCTGAGAATAATGGCGCATATATAACGAGGACCAGATCATGGCTATGGGTGCATGAATTAATCTAGATGCCGTTTGATCAAAGTGCCGACGGTAGTGGTTCGAGAATCTCAATAATTGGGCGTATACCTCCACACTTCGATCAGTCGTCACGCACAAGCTGTTGATAGCCTCCGCGTGACTCGAATTCTAGGATAAAATCGAGGGCAAACATCTCGATATGAGATCACGGGTGTTTTGATGTGACAAAGTGAATCGTGAGTCAGGCCGCCCATCACGCCAGTGTCAAACAGTGACTGGCAACAGGGCGTCAACATAAAGGCGACCGCACCGCCCTCTATTTTCCGAAACAGACACGCCTGATCTTCTAATTCACGAATTTTTAATAGATTATATCTCACGAATACTCCACTGCGCGCTGTCGAGTCTACCACACAGTGAATCAAACGCTCACGTGGCTTCCTACTCGGCAGCGGAAACACGCTATCAGGTTCCAACGAATTCCCCGGAAAGTGAAAACGCTATGAATTGAATTCCCGGAAGTATTCTGCGTTAGAGTTGTGTTTTCACTGACCGATATCGGGGCTCGGCCACATGTGCAGTGAATGCAAACCGATCACGTGTTGTCACGCTCGCTAACGTCTTTATTTCCTCGTGGGGACCCATCTGTGTAATTTTATGAATCATATATACATCTTTACAAAAGCAACCTCCCTCCCCGTTTTCTCAAACCTCGAAACCGAATTCAGATCTCAGTATATACACACACCCTCCATTCTTTAAATCCGGACTTGATAAGAGGTAGGCGTTTGAATCACGATCTTCACTGTTTCATTGAAAGAGGGTATGCTAAAAAATGAATTGTTTAGTAGTTAAGATGTCGGACTGCTTTGTTGGATCGCTGTTGGAAGTATGCTTCCTAATCGCAGCGATCGGACTATACACTGTGATTGTACGCGCCAAACCCGCAAGGCAGAAGAATCTCGACAATCTTCCGATTGAGATTCAACTGAAAATTGCGGAATGCTTGAGATACGGCAACGCCTCTACCCCTCGGGCAATGGCGGACCTGGCCGCTTTAGCATTGGTTTGTCGATCACTTGCCCGGCCCACACAAAGAGTCTTATATAAAGCGCCATATATACCATCGCATGATACAGCGGAGGGATCGCCGAATCTGCCTTTCTTGAGGACTGTTGCGAATAATCCATTTTTACTCTCCCATATTCGACACTTGGATATCACTATGGTTATCATGTCGCGAGACGAATCGCATTTCGCCGGCGCCCCCTTGAATGTTCTGGAAAAATACGACAAACGGAGACAAGATCTTGGCGAGGAGACTTTCGCGCGTCTCTCGTCTCTTGGGTTCGGCGAGCCATCGCAGCTGTACCACGTTCTCACGCAACGCGGACCAGATGTTACCTGGGTTGGAATGATCTTGGAAATGGCGACTTCGTTGTGCAATATGACGCTGCGTATCGTTCATGAAGACGGAAGCCTTATTTCCTTCCAGTCCCTAGAGATTCTGTATGGGCTTCTAATCCGAGAGAAGCTCAGACACAATCGAGGCGGGCCCAGACATCTCCCTCTCGCGAAGCCGCAGAGCTTCTGTATATCCGGTGAAGACATCTGTGGGGCTGATGTAGGGGACCCTTTCTTACAAAAATGGAGTCCCTCTCTATGGCCTGCGGCACTCGAAAACAGCGTCCTAAATCACGCCACCGTGTGGGAGGTTGACTGCAAGAAGCGCAACGTGATCGCCCATTATCGAACAGTCGCAAACATGGAAATGCATCATCTGGGCGAGATGACGAGGATGGAGCTCCTGATTCAGGATGGTTCGGAGTTGTGTGATCCTTGGGGGAATCCGCGGACGCGTAAAAGCTCAAGAAGTTTCAAGAACGTGGTGTTAAAGCTTCAACCTTTTGCATGGCGACTTCGCCAGCTCAGAATCCGCGCCCAAACAGATGATGCGGATAGCGGAACTCCAGCGTGGCTAGCAAAAATCTCGCGCGCCAGAACTATGCGGCAATTTACCTTTTTGGAATCGCTTTCGGTCCCGCAAGACTTTCTATTCAAGCGACATTCGAAACCCGGAGTCCTGAAGTTCAGGCCGATTCACAGGTTCTTGCCTTTCGAGCACCTGCGGGAAATTGTGATCGAGCACGCGACGGAGGATCTACGGATGTGGCTGGAGGCTTTGGTATTGTTTCTTTCCCAAATCAACAAGTCGGATTTTGTGCTGGGAAGCATTCAGATTGGGGTGAATGAAGAGGTGGAAAACTCTTTCCCTTCAGGATGGTATCGGGGCAGCCCTTTCTGGGATGATTTCAGGGAACTGAACATCGAGATTAGTTTTTTTCAGATGAACTGTTGATAGTCCTGGAGTCTAACTTTAGAGTGAACCATTTTTGTTATACAATATAAAGTTCTTTCGTGTTTAATGTCACTGGCGTTGATCGTTCTTTTCGTTGCAATTTGCAAATACATATGTATTTCGACCTGAGCCCGCAGGAACCATTTCGCTTTCATTTTGCTACATATGAGAGCTGCTTTTGGCATAAGATACGGGGGTTAGGCTCCACAGTAGATTTTCTCCTTTGGATGAAAGGCAAGAGCTGATGTTTTTGTTGTACCGACCGTTTGCATTGGTTCTCATCAATTACTATGGCCAACCAATCATAAATCCGAAATTGTAATTTGACGCCGCTACTTCCCTCTCGCTCCATCGACCGATGACATGTATCTAAAGGTTATCCAGTAATGTTAGATGCTTTGTAAATAAGTCTGGCTCATGTTCTCGTCGATGGTCTGACTGTCAATTTGTGCATAATATTCCTTTGTTCTATAACTGCTGGCAAATCATCGTTCAGTGAAACTAACTTAATAATGTATGATAGAGCTGGCAATGAATTTGTGAAAAGGCAAGAAAAATGATTATGTGGAAAAATCACACTCGGGATCATAATGGGAGGTAACCACTCATCGGCATCGCTTAACAAACCCTTATCCCGCAACAATCACAGCCCAGCCCGGGGTCAATATATAACTGCTGGTGATTCTCATCGACTCTCAACTCTCAACTCTCAACTCTCAACCCTGTTCCAACTTGTGGTATAGTTCCCTCCCAGCCGAACTCAGCAACACGCTATTACAGGACGCGATGGAGTTTCCGTGCCACGAACACTCTGAGGACGGTCGAGCGTATCTCCCAGTCGAGCTTCATTCCATGATCGCCAATCATCTCCGGTTCTCGAGCGAAATTGATGCTGACGCGATGGCCAATCTGGCTTCTTTCGCACTTGTTTCGCGCAACAGTGCGGCGGCCGCGCGTGATCCACTATACCAACGGCCATGCATCAATATCACTTCTGCGGATATTTTTGCCGGTAAATCTTCTTCTCATAGAAATCGCTCCCGTATCTTTCTTTTTGCGCGAACGATGCTTGAGCATCCGTTCCTACTCTGCAAAATGAAGCACCTCGATATCCAGTTGCCTACCACAGTTACAACGAACTTGAAGGACTTCCATGAAGACGCCTCAGACATGATGCAGAAATGCATTGTTCGTCTCCAGTCGACAAGCACAGAATGGCCCGATCCTGAATGGATCGAGGACTTTGTGGCAGAATGTACCGTACACCACTGGGCAGCTGTCATTTTCGCGTTAGCACCTCCGCTCACAAGCCTTCGACTGCGAATTATGAGCCGTCATAGCCATACAGATCATCACTCGTGCAACATATATATTCCCAGGATGTTTTATCGTCTCGGCTTTACTTTAAACCCCAGGTTGTGGAATGGCTTTCGTTGGCGCGCAGAACACATTCCAGCCTTCAAGAGTATCCAGCATATCTCTGTTCCTCACGTTTACTTCACCGGAATTTTTAACAGGATTCAGAGTCTCACTACGGTCGAGATTGATGATCGTCTTATTAGCTCCTTCGATCGGAAATGGTGGAACAACCATTGGTCCACCCAGGCAAAGATCCATGTCACACAACTCACCGTGCACTGCACCACGAAGGTTCTTATTGAACGAACCCATCCCTACTTTTTCCTCGTGCTTCTACATCGATTCCAGCACTTGAACACCCTCCGACTGATCATTAACGATGACCATGACGTTCTTGAACACTCCGCCAGGTATTTTGGCAGTGATGAATCTACCAGCTTTTTGAACATCCTGACTCAAATCTGGTTCCACGCGCCTTACCTGAAAGTCCTGGACATTCAACTCAGAATGCGACGGTCTTGGGAATGCTCTTTCTCTCAAACCGACTATTCCGAGAACGATATCGATTTCCCTTCACGGAGGCCATCAGCTGAGCCATTAGCTAACATGTTGAGATCGTTCTCCAAACTAGAATCCCTGACGGTACCCCAAGTTTTCTTAATCGGATCCTCCATCTCGGAACTTCACCCGTCACCTGAGTCTCTACCTGAATCTCTAAGCAAGATCACCATCACTCACACCAGAAACGGTTTGAATCCATGGTTGAACATATTCAACTTCAATCTTAAGCGAACTCACAAGTGTGGACTGAAAGAGATAGTGTTGTGTGATTACAGCGATCAGGGTGGAGACTCGGCAAATATCATCCGTTCTCAACTGCTGGAACACGGCATAATGGTCAAATACCAAGATTAGAGCTGATTTTAGTCAAATTTCGAAGCCTGAGTAGGATCCGAGCTGAGATACATGGAAGACGGGAAGAATCAGATCGGGGTCACGGGACCGCTACCGAAGTTTGTCGTTCCTGCGCATCTTTTCCTGTTTGGCGAAGTTAGATTGCTAGTATGTCGTCATTGTGTCTGATGTCAACTTTTCGAAGCTGAGTCTGTGATTCGCCGGGCGAACTTCCCAGCCAGCCAGTGTAAATGGTTATATTTGGAATTTGACCTTTTGTTTTATATGATTCGCGCTAGACACAAGAATAAAATATTTGAGTTGATTTGAACAGACCCCGGTACTTTTGGAGAGTACAGCAATGGCATTTTGCACCGAGTCAAATTAGTGATTGTAACTGCGGCGAAGCAGCTTCCGACAATCGATGCAAAGTTCAGGGTAAGCATCCGCTGATTGGGTGACAATCATTGAAAAGGGTATTGAATTCGCGATGTCTTCCTTTCATTAGCTTACTCCCGGCGGTCCGGTCCGTTTAGAGTTTGGCAGGTACGTGGCACTGGATAATCGGATGTACATATACGGGAGGCTTAGTGTACATCAGATTTGTCACCAATCAACCGTTGTTATGTACTTTCCGTCGAAGACTCGCGCTGTTTGTGCGCAAACTCATCTCCGATATGCAAGAGCCTGACATCTAGGTACAGATATCCACTTCACACGGACATTGATGGCCCAGACTGGCGATCGAACCCTCCATAACGAAGTTGCTTGCTGCTTTGTCCTGCATCATCACCAGAAATCTGCAGGAGTAGGTTGAGCACGGGAGGATATACAACCATACAGACTCTAACATTGCAGGACATGTGTATCAACTTGTCGGTGCCTCGCAGGTCTAGCGCAAGTCCGCTTATACGCGCCGCAGGAACGTCTGAATTCAAAATTTAAAGAATGGAGACATTCGGCGGTGAGACCCTCAAAAGTCGCCCACGTGTTGGAGATCGGTGGAAATTTGCATTGTCGTAGACCCGCTATCCTGTTCCCTTGTGTCTACGCCGCCTGTTGACTGACACATTCGCGTAGCTCTTAATAAATAAAACTCGTCGCAATTCCTCGACGCGAAGTCGAGAAATGGTATTATTGAAGTATTCTTGGCAGAATAGTGTAGCGACACTTTCGAGATGTCAAAATAAACAAAAGTCCGCTACCAAACTACGACCGCCTTTGCCCGGAGGAAGCGGCCCAACCCTGTTTTTCCCTGGAAGTTAATACCACTACAATATATCTCCTGTAAGACTTGACCGACTGTTCAAACTATGCAATCACTTGAAACTCTATCACCTTACTCTGAACCTCATTCCACGGGCATCAAGAAAATCGCATTCTGGTGGTGATATTCATCTGCTTTGAGTTTTTCTCATCCTGATTCAAAATGTTGTGGCAGTATGGTTACGTGACACCCGAGGATCGCCCACTGGGTCTTATTTGCACATGTGCAGCTACCACTGAGACATGTGGATGGCCTAGAGCTCTGTGTGCATATGTGTGTGATTCATGTGATGTTTTCGTATCTGGGATGAGCTAGCTACCTACCTACACATTAGGTAGGTACTTAAGTAGGTACGGATATGACCCACCGTGTGTTCTTCGGATGTCACGTGACCGTACTGTCACACTGCTGCTTTTAGCTATAGCTACCTAGCTAAGGTTTGGACAGATTGCGATGTCAAGAACCAGATAATGTACTATAAAAAGCTTTTCTCGACGAATTTCTTCACTGAAGGGTATCTTGTTTTCATCCTCCCACGATGGCTACTTCCTCATTCATTCGCAATTCCCTCCCTCTTCCACCCGAGGTCTACGAAGGAGAAGAATACTTTTGTCGCTTCACACCACGTATCCACCGAGATGTACGCCTTGCCGACGCAGGATCTTGGCAGTGTCAAGTGGACTTTCTGGAATCCAGTTCACTCGCACGCGTCAATGCTACACGCAACAAAGCTGTATCTAGCTATGCTGTGGGATGCATTAACCCGGTCGTTGGAAACTTCACTGCTCTGTGCGCATGCGAAGCGTTGAGCGACCGTCTTGCGCTTACAACATACATGGTGGAGTATGCCTACATCCACGATGATGGTACAGTTTTCCGCCAACCGAAGTCAATCATCACGATGCTAACAACTGGGAAGTCATTGAGTATTCCGAGATCCAGGATGAGTCTCAAGTTGGTCACCCCCATTGCGCACCCACTTTATGCCTTTTCTGATGGACAAACAAAGCTAGTTGAAACAAATCAGCAACTCATGAAAGGCCTCAGCCTGCACACAGGTGCAAGCTCGAGCTCCAAAGATGAAGTCAAGAGACGACAACTGCATGCTAAGATGATCATGGAGCTCATGGAAGTCGACAAAGATCAAGCGGCAGAATGTCTTCGTTTATGGAAAGAAATGTCGGATGTTTTCGTACAAATCAGAGACATGAAATTCACAGTGCTCGATACTTACCTCAAGTACCGAGTCGTGGATGCCGGATGCCCGTAAGTCTCTACCTAACCCCGGTACAAGTATGCCTAACTAATTGCCAATGGTATTTCCTAGCTGGACCATGAGTCTTCTCTGCTTCTCCATGGACTTCAAACTCAACAAAGAAGAAGAAAAGAAGACTGCGGCTATCACTCAAGCGGCCTACGACGCCTGGGTCTTGGTGAACGATTATTTTTCATGGGAGAAAGAATGGAGCAACCATGTTTCCAATGGTGGTGACGGTGTCATAGCTAATGCAGTTTTCCTCTTCATGAGGTGGTACTCTATCGATGCTGAAGCTAGCAAGGTCATGCTTCGGAAGGAGATCGTGGCACGCGAAGAGATGTACTGCAGGGAAAAAGAAGCATTCTTAGCCAGCGGCGAGGTCACCGAAAAGACGAGCCAGTGGCTAGAACTCCTCGACTTGGTTACCGCCGGCAACTTCGTCTGGAGCATGACCACCGCCCGCTATCGACTTGGCGCTGAGGATGTATATCCCCGGCTTCGTGCTGAGTGCTCGGAATCCCCAGACACGGGGCCCGCTGGCAGTCTTGGCTGTCCCATCTCAGTCAGCGCAGCCATCATGGCAGACAGGATCGACGACGTCCTCAAGGACCGCAGATATCTGGACTTCACCATAAGAGAGCGCAGACATATTCCTGATATTCACGAGGGCCGAAAGCTTGAGAGTCATTCGGATTCACGCCCCAATAAGCCTCAGATTGAGTCATCGCACGTCACTCCTACGTTTTCTCAGTATCATTATGAAGTGAGTGGCCCGCTGGAAAACTGCATCTGTATGGTCTTTGCTAATGATTGATAAGATGATTCTCCAACCTCAAGACTACATTGATATGATGCCCTCGAAGGGTATCCGAAATTCTGTGATTGATGGTTTGGAAGTCTGGTATCGCGTCCCAGAAAGGTCTCTCGGCATCATTCGCGATGTGGTGAATCTACTGCACAGCTGTTCCCTCATGTGAGTCGCTTCCCAGATCGGCCTACAAGGGGATTTCTAACATAATTGCCAGGCTTGACGATATTGAAGACAACTCACCGATGAGACGCGGATATCCAGCTACTCACGCCGTATTTGGTGTGAGCCAGACTATCAACACCGCCAACTATCTAATGCTGAAGGCTCTCAGAGCCACGGACTCACTCTCAGCACGCACCTCGCGTATCGTGCTGGATAAGCTTATGGATGGTCACATTGGCCAGGGTTTAGATCTCTTGTGGACATATCATACCACCGTACCCACCGAGGAAGAGTATTTCCTAATGGTCGACGGGAGTAAGTATTACCTTCATTCGCGTGAGGCAACGCTGACATGATATGTGCAGAAACGGGTAGTCTATTCATGCTGATCGCGGAGATGATGCGCTCCGAGGCTACTCAGAACAAGAACCTCGATGCCGGTCTCCTTATGAAGATCCTCGGCCGTTTCTTCCAAGCACGTGATGACTGCCAGAACCTCCGATGCGAGCAGGTCAGTTTTCTCCCCAACCATCACATGGCACTCATACAAGAAGAATGCTAACCCTGCTATTTTCTGTTGTAGTACACGAAAAACAAAGGGTTCGCAGAGGATATCGGCGAGGGCAAAATGTCGCTACCGCTCATCCACGCACTCCGTCAGTCATCGCATCGTCACCGCATTCTCAGCGTCTTACAGCAGAGGAAAGCGAGCATGAGTCTTAGTCCTGAGTTACGAAAGCTCGTTCTGGAAGATATAAAGGCCGCTGGAGGACTTGAATACGCAATCAAGAAGACTAGAGAGCTGCAGGAATCGATCAGCGAGACGCTTGCCATGTACGAGGAGAAAGTTGGTGAAAAGAACTGGCTGTTGAGATTGGCACAGAAGCGGCTGGAGGTAGATGGTTAGACAGTTTTAGTCATTTGAGTTTCATCGACTTTCGAAGTTTGGATGAGCATGTAATTTAGGATTATGTGTGGGGGCGTTGGGTTTTGGGATATATGGAAATGCGATCACCTTACCGATGGACTTGATTAGAAGCGAATTGTTTGATGATTTGCGAAGGTCTCAGTGGGCGAACATATCCGCTGAGGTTGAATTGGCACGGCATGATGAAGTTGCGATCAAGTGTATTTTGGTACGTATCACCAGTCACCAGCAGGCCCTTGCCCGCAGGCCGCATAGAGATACTCATAGTCTACATGATGTGCTACGTGAATGGATTCGAAGGTATGGAACACAAAGTCATAAGATTGGATGAATGATAACGATGTTATTCTTGGAAGTAAACGCATTCGGGTATCAACGCGCGATAAAGTACTGAATAAACGCATAGTAAAAGTGCAGCAGGTTCCTCACCGACCACAAGACTCCCACTCAGCTCCACCCAGAGATCTAGTAAACGTCGCCAGCTTCACTCAGGCAAACCATCGGTACCCTGTGTCGATCTTTCGCGATCGACTCAAGGTAGTCCCTCTTTCTTGGGACCCGATCTACCCGCGAGCTTCCTTTCCCGCCGAGCAGGGCCGATAGTAATCCTGCCGAATTGCTCAAAAAAGGCCTGCTTATCGCTGGGGAACTCGACCTTGACCTGAGCCACGAGACTGCCTCGATCCCGATCAGACCCATCGCTCTCCGTCTCGTCCTCTCCGCGATGCATATCGCGAAAGTAAACCTCAACACCCAGACCCCTCAGCTCCTCAACGACCGGATCCCGAATCGACTCGAGCAGCTCCGCAGTCTGACCCAGACGCTTACCCCCAGCGAGACAGAGATACCTCAGCTCCCCGCGCCTAGTCCTCAGCGCCTTGACGAGCCCCTCGAGCCACCGGAAGATCTTCGCCGACGGGTAAAGAATCTCAAGGTGCACCAAGTTCCGCGGGATCCCCTTGTACCTTACGATCCCGTGGTCGCCCATGCGCGGGAGAAACACGTCCTGCGGCGCGGAAAGGCACTTTAGGCTCTTGAGCTTGCACATGTTCTCGTGCACCCTTTGTCGCTTGCAGCTGAGCCATCTGAAGAACCCCGGCGGTGCGCGGGATTCGGGTGGCGGGATGAAGTTGAGCTCTTCGAGCGAGGGGGTCTGCGTGGTTATGTACGTGAGCCATGTTGTTAGTAGCTCTTTGCCTGTGACTTTTACGTCTAGGGTTCGTACTTGGGGGAGGAGAGACGGGTTTATGTTCATTGTCTCTACGAGGAGGTAGGCCTCTGGGAGTACTTCCAAGGGTGGTGATACCGGATCTACCACTCCTTGGGGAGATTCGGTGGGTGAATCCATTTGTAGGATTCAGGAGCCTTTTTTAAAGAGAAAATGTTTTTTGTTGATTTTTTTGATTTTTTTTTCGTTGGTGTCTTGCTCCTGTGCATAAGAAGCGAAGAATTTTTTTGATGTTTTTATATATCATGTATCTGAACATCGAGAAGGATTTTATATACTCGATCTGGATCTGGTTGAGTGAATTGTACACACGTTGTGCAGCGACCAACAACGTGTATTGAGTTGCATTGTTAATCGTACGGCAGCATAGTGCTGAAAATTGGGTGGCTTGACTCACGCCGTCTGGAGTGTTTCCATTGTTACATTATCAACATCGTTAAGTTGTGGTGCTAAGGTCCTCGTTGACCCAATCCGCACTTAGCCATTTCAAATAACAACCCATCAGTTTCGTGATAACCACGGAACATGTGTTCTGCCTAGAACTTAAAGGCAGATTTATAATGTTTTTTAATACTAAGTGTTTGTGCCGCATAGAACTGCGATAGTTTGTTTTCTCGGTGAAGGCTAGAAAAAGATGGAGCATGAGTTCTCCACCACAAGATGCGGCTTGCGTGCCAAGTTTACTCCACGACCTCTGGCCAACCCGAAGAAAAGTCGATCCAGTTAAACCCAAATCGGAAATCGCTGTAGGTGCCATCGGCTTTGTTAACTATTTCGGTCAGCCAAAAAAATCATGTAAGTGGCGTAACACTGCACTTACCATAGTGAAAGTACAGCGCAACACGATCCACATCAGGATCATGCACCAAACCCTGACCACCAGGCGCAAACGTATCCCCATGGCTCCCAAGAACCAAAGAACCCCCATTCTGCGACAAACAGTTCTTTCCCGTCTTATCGAAGAACGGCCCAGAGACTTTGTCGCTCCTGCACACCATGATTTTGTACTCGTCGCCCTGCGGCGCCAAGCCCCCATTGACACCAGGCTTGCTGCAACACGCGCCGGAAGAAAAGAACAAATAGTAGTACTTTTGCCCATTCACATTGGGGATCCACCATTGAAACGCACCCTCCATAATCGAAGGATGGTTCGTCGAACCCGCCGGAAACGTCGTGTTCCTCGCAACATGCACAGGCGCGTCGCCACTCCACTTCAACAGATTCTGCGTCAGCGTAGTCTGGAAAAGATGGTCCCAATGCGAGCCAAAGTTCAAATACGGCGTGCAAGCCGCGCATTCCTGGAACACATTCGCATCGATGCGGTTCCAGCGTGGATCGGCGGGGATCCCGATGCTGCCGTGGTCCGTCCAGTTCCCCGGCTCGCCCGTGACGCTGGTGGCGACGCCAATGGCCGAGTTCTGGGATCCGATGGTGGAGACGCTGTAATGCGCGTGGAAGAGGTCGTTTTTGTAGAAGACGTTGGGGGCCCAGAGGCGCTGGTCGTCGTCGACGTGGATGATTGAGCCTCCTGGGAGCATGGCGCCGGCTTCGCCTTTGTTGCTAGTCCAGGGGCCGCTGATGGAGGGTGCGGTTGCGATGCGGAGGTTGCCTTCGGTGGTGAAGCGGAGCCATGTTCCGTCTTTGCGGCGGAGGACAGCGGGATCCCGGATTGTGCCGTTGCAGAGGCCTGAGCAGATTGGGTTGGGGATTGCGGATGCTGCTGTGGCTAGAGCCAGGATGGTGAGGGCGGTGGTAGAGAGTTGGTGCATGGTGGAGAAGCAGAGAATGTGAGATTGATTTTGCGTTCAATGGTCATGGTGGGAATATGGCTTGTCACTGTCATATATATATATATATATGAATGATTGTCGGATCGGAGATGTGGACGGGTTCTGAGAGTTTCCTAGATGCGGAGCGGCTGAGCCAATCTGACTGTGATCTTGACATTGACCTCCCCCTGCGCTGTGGCCATCTCAAAGAAGTAATCGGATGAATAAGAAGTGCCAGACTATTTCCCCTTTCAGTAGGAAAACTGCAAGTGTGCTCCGGTGATTAACCTCCACGAAACTAAATTGATGATGTCGTCAGCATACCGCAGATGAGAAAATGCCTTCTTCACAATACTATTTTCAGCAGTTTCAACATATATTATGGTCGAGAAGGATCAATCAGCCAGTTATAGCGACTGGGAGAGTGCTGCAGCGACGGATAAACTGAAGGGTCAAGTAGGGTTTTATAATCAAAATACCCGGGCTACAAAACAAGCTTCGGGAGAGTTGAAGATGTTCTGCCGCGAAGTGATGATCTATCATTGCGGATCTCACGTTGTCAGACCGATTGCTTGTCTGGATCTGTGTCTTGGTGGGTTGTCTTACACTTTGAACACAGCGTCCTGAGGCAGACTTTTCAACTTGTGTTGTTACATTATTTGTGTTGAACCTGTAGACCGCTGACTCACCCAGAGTAATAGCTAGGGAAATTCGAGGTGTGTTTCGTTGTCCAGAAGGCATGTGGGTTCAAATGTCACGTGAAGTAATAAATCACGTGTTGACCACGTGATTATACCCACACACCCACGTGCAGACATGAACCCACATGCATTGAACTGAAACCATCGATCCCAAACATCAAAGTGACGACATTCCATCCGAAACCACGGTCAAAAAGACCAATCAAGCCCATGACACAATTCATCAAAAAGGGTGCCGGGAGACCCCAGGTTTGACGGGAGCAAGAAAAACCAGGGACGGACAGATGGGAACAAGATGGGCGACAGGGATGTGGAGCTTGTTTCTCCAACGAGGGGGGGCAGTGATGTGGATGTTGTGGAATCGGGGCCAGAGCGATGACGATAGGGGCGTTTTGTTAGGGTGCGCGGTGGAGCAATGGATCGAAATGTCGGTCGGAGATTGAATGGTTCGCTTGATGCGCCCAAGACGAGGCTGGCTGGCTGCCGGCATGATGCATTGCCGTTGCTGTCATCAGGTTTCTGCAGGACAAGACATGGTGGTTCATCTTTGGAGGCTGTTGTTTGTACTACACGGTGAGCAAGTGAGGATGATTCACAGCTTGTTTGTGAAGAGATACAATTCTTTTTTTTTTCGACGTACTGCACGACACAGATTGGGATCGACGCAGGACTGTCTGATCCCCCACAAAGAGTGTGGCTGTGCTGCTCTTGACGCAGGGGAAATGGTTTCGGCGAGGAGAAGAGGAAGAGAAAAAGATAAAAAAAAAAGGTTTTGCGCACATGAGGTTCCCAGTGGATGATGCATGGTGCTGTTGTTTTGACGGGGTTTGATGTGGTTCCATTTGATGTGCATGAATGAACGAGCGAACGGCGCCTCTTCCGGCGAATGTGGACGGGCTCGTTTAGCTTACGAGCATGACATCACTGCCATCAACACCACATGGGCGCTCCATTTCCCACGAGGGCCAAGGGGGGAAAAGCAATGAAGGATGTGGTGGGAGCGGAGGTAGATGCTAAGGGAAGAATACGATGAGGTCGCAAAAGGATGGAAGAATAAAAAAAATACAAAGGAAATGGAAAAACGAGACCAATCAGCCAAAGGAGAATTAATTGCTTGGCCCCATTGTTAGCTAGACATTCTCTCCTTCTTTCTCTCTCTCCACAAAGATGCGTCTGACGTGTGTCTCCACCCCGAGAGCTCCGACCAATTCATCCCATTCACTCTCTCGTCCACCATTCTCCGCCGTCCCTTCTGCCACCGTCATCAACACCATCGTCACCCTTCCGTCCACCCTCACTCCTTCTTCTCCCATCCCCTCTTTTCCTTCTTCTCCCATCCCCTCTTTTCCTTCTTTTCCTCTCACACCACTCCACCCACATACACACACTCCAACAGCATGCACGTGCAGTCGTTGCGCTTGCGCTAGAAGGGCAGCAGAGTTGTTGATCGCCGTCGCTGTAGTGGCACACTCACGCCATCCTCCATAACATAATTCCCTCCGTCCGCTCGTCGCTACCGTTGCCGTCGCCTCCGCCGTCATCATGCCCATGTTTGGCAGCAGTCGCAAAAGGGCTGCCTCCAACCCTGTACGCACCTCCCCGTCCTCCCATTCTCTCTTCTCTCCCCCAGTTCCTTTGATTACAATGCTCACACCACGTCTATGCAGGCCCTTCGCCAACCCAGCGCGCCCCCGAACGCCTCCGCTTCCCTCGCTGCTACCAGAGCCTTTACTCGCGATTCCAGCGCCCATGGCGAATTGTCCTCGGCCGCTGCCGCTGCTGCCCTGCGCTCCCACAGTCCCGCCCCGACTCCCGTAGGCGACACCGTGACAAAGCGCATGGCTAGGAAAAACTCCTTGTCGTCACAGGGCAGCGGTAGCATGCGCCCCACCCAAAACCTGCGCAGACACTCCAGCTCTGGCTCCATGACGGAGCGCTCTTTCCGCGACAAATCCCCCGCCAGATCCAGCCCCGTCGATCGCGATGCCCCGCCCGTACCCCAGATGCCCAAAGACCTACCCACTACATCCGTTGCTCACCGCCGCGCATCCAGTTTGGAGCCTAGTCACCGCGGTGGATCCGTTGCGAAAAGAGGCGGTGGAGGACGGGGCGTGAGTCTGGATCGCGGAGCACCGTCCGGTCCTGGTCGTGGTCAACAACGGGGTGCTTCTACGCTATCTCAAGTCTCTGAAAATGGATCCGATGGCTATGGCGGTCCGAGATCATCTGTCAACTTTTCGCGTCCCATGTCCCCCCAGCAGACACCTTCTCCGACTGTAGGAAGAGGAGGTGGAGGCCAAAGTGGGTGGTTTGCTGCCCCAGTCGTCAATGCCGATGCCACGTTCCGAGGGGAGAAACCGCGTCCCAAGACTTCGCAAGGCTTGTCTGCATTTGAAGCTCACCAGGCTCAGCAGGCTGTCCAGAATGCCGCCGATCGGCCTGTTTCTACAAGGCAGTCGCAAATGGCGCGTGGAGTCGAGGGTGCAAGACTATCCTCGGGAAGTATGCGCGCGAAACCCAGTGGATCTGCCATCCAGTCTCGCCCGGCTACTTCTGCAGGCCCTCGAGTTGTAGATCCCAAGTCTCCATTCGCCGTTTATGACCCTTCTACGAGAACCTTTATTCACAAAGGGGATGCCATTGCTCTACATAAAGCGATGAGCGAAGAAGAGCTCATCCCTGAACCACAATATCAGGCGCGGCGTGTAGACACTTCAAGACAATATGCGGCCCCGCAGCCTAAGAGAATCGAAAAGCCAGCTGCCCAGCCTCAACCTGTCGATGAGTGGGTTGCCTCACCACCTCGGAGGCAGGAAGCCCGTCCCCAACCAATGTCCGAAGATGGAGCTTCTGTGACGAGCTCTCACTATTCCGAGAACGCGAGTCTCGACCCACCTCGCGCTTCTGATTTACCCAGGGAGCCTCCCATCCTCGAAAGGCAACGGTCGGAAGATCTCGCCGCCGAGTCAGATGTGAGACCTGCAGAAGAGGCCAACACAAGTCGAAAACTGGGTATCACAATCCCTCACAGCGCCAAGTCCCCCCCAGAAAATTATCAATCGCCAAAATTCGCGTCGAATAGTGACAGCCCGTATCCACGGCTTCAGGCATCTGACAAGAAGGAAGCTGGGCCTTCATCTGGCCTTCATCCTAGACTAAGTACGCGTTCGGAGAGAAATCATTCACTCAGCCCGCCCCGCAATGCTCATTTTGCCCCTGTTGCTACTGAACTCAATGGTGTTAAGCACCATCCGCTGCCTCGCTCTGTCTCCCCTGCAAAGTCTGCGCTCAAGCTTTCACCGTCCACTTCTAGACGTAGCTACTCACCAGTTGCAGTAGACAACCGCTTGGGACATCATGCTGCACCGCCAAGCGAGACATCAGATGCCATGTCTGACGGCGAATTCAGGAGGAAGAAGAAGAATGTTCGCGTCAGCTTCGAAGAAGCCCCCGTGATAGCAGGTATTTCTTCTTATGCGGATATGCCTTCTCCTTCTTCGCCAAGCGGCCCTGTGGTGTCAAGGTGGAGTACCACGGATGAAGATGACGATGACGATTACTCCAAGCCTCGTCCTGAACTTCCCTCCTTTGGTAGTATTCGTGACCAGAACCGACGGCCGCGAGACGATGAACGCCCTGAAAAGGTCACCGAGACGGTCAGTTCATCACTTTCGGCATCGGCAATTTCCACTTCTTCGCCCCTTGAAAGTTCTAACGATCACTTGGTTGGGGGTATATTGGCGCAAGATCATGCTGCGAAACAAGTCCTTAGCAATGACCCTCTTCCGCCAGAGGTGACCACTGTCGAGGGCACTGGCTACGGATCCGATTCAGACAAGTCGGATTCGTCGTTCAATGAGCCTACTACCTCCCATTCAGTCTCTGGAACACACACCTCTCCTCCGCGGTCGCCAACGATAACCGAACCGGAGCCAAAGATGTTGACCAATCCTACGGAGAGCAAACCTCAACCCCCTGTGGTCCCCAATATCTCTGTTCAGCCTGCGTCTCCCCTTCCCGTGGAAATACAGGAATATATAACCCCAGGGGTGGAGCCCTACACCACGAAGGTCGAGCCAGACACTCCGCAAGTCGAACCCGAAACCCCAGTGGTTGAACTCAAAACAAAGCGATCATTCGTCCCTGGCGGTTGGGATGATGATGAGGAGTCGGAAAAAGAACAGGAAGAGCCGAAGAAAGTCACTCCTCCGCCTTCACTTTCAGCATCTCCACCATCTACAGGCCCGAGTATCAGATTCGACGTTCCTCCATCGCCACCACGCGATGTAGATACAGACTCCACGGATAATGATAGCATTTACAGCGATGCCTACGAAGATCTTTCAGACGCCGACGAGACCTTTGGATCCATCAACGCTATCGTCGAAAGCCCAGTCTCTAAACAATCTAGCATGATGGCATCCAAATATGCACCTACGCCTGCTGAGCGTGGGTCTTCTGGACTCCGGCACGAGAGCGTGGAATCTGAAGAGGATGACATCACAAATGGTCTTGTCAATTGGGATGCGACGAGGAACCATTGGAATCAGCTTAATGAGTCCAGAAAAGCGCAGCCTCCATTGGAAAAGACGGCTACTTCGACAAAGAAGCAGGAAAATGCACCCTCCAACCGTGAACGACAGCAGCAGCAGCAGCAGCAGCAGCAGCAGCAGCAGCAAAAACAAGGATCACGGCAGGAAAGACATATACGCGTGGGATCTGCTGAAGAAGCACCCAAACCAAAACAACGGCCCCAGTCGACTGCACAACCTCGCAAGTCTGCTTTGAAGAAACCCACCGACGCGCCGCAAACGAGAACTGCGCCGGAAACACAGATGAGGAAGTCGATGCGGGATGGGCCACCGGCGAACAATGCGCCTGCTTCAGAACCCCGCTTCAGGAAGAGCATGCGAGATGACTCTGTGATAAGCAGTTCACCATCAAATGATACCCATATGCGGAAGTCGATGCGTGGCCCCGCGAACGCCAGCAGAAGCACAGCTGCGGTGGCAGCCTCTCGTCATAGTATGCCCGCCGCAGAATCAAAGCCACCCAAAGGAACTCTGCAAAAGAAGCATATCCCTGCAGCGACAGCAGCAGCAGCTAGCTCGGTACCCCGCCAGCGTCCGCAAAGTGCATCGGCTTCGGTCCCAGCAGTCAAAAAGGCTCCTGCGAAAGCTTATGACAGTGACTCGGATGCTTCTGCTAGTAGTTTTCAACGGCAGCGACCACGTCCCCGTCAAGGGGGCATGCGTACGATGCGTGCGTCAATGCGGTCTGGGAGTGCTACTGAAGACTTCCCATCTTCACGGCCTGCGCCGGCGATGCGGTCCATATCACCACCAGCGACGATGTCACAACCTCCGCCCATGAAGAGATCGATGCGACCAACATCACCTGTCGCTGAATCGCCCAACAATGCCAAGGTGAAATCCTCCAGGTTCAGTATCAGATCATTGTCACCAGCCGGGAGGTTCCGGTCGAAGAATAGTTTTGAAAAACCCCCGCCTTCTCCAACTCAAGCCGCACCGCCCAAGATGAAATCGTTTGGCAACAAGACCAAGAACAAAGCACCAGCTGCCGAGGCGCCGAAATCGCGGTTCAAGAGTCGATTCGCAGATTCCAGCGATGAAGAGGACGACACAGCCCGTCGTTTCCAGAGTCGTTTTGCTGATTCCGACGACTCGGATGAATTTGAGATGCCTCAGGGTCTGACGCCTGTGAGAGGCATACCACGAAGGGCCGGTGACGAAGATGGTGATTCGACCGATCTAGAAGATGAGGCAAGCGATTCCGAGCAGACGCCAAAACCGGTATCCACAACGACAAACGGCGTCTCCAACGGGCAAAGCTCGAATATACTTGCAGGCACAATGCGCGATAGCAAATATGCGCCCAACAGTATGCCCACCATGGAAGCCGGCAAAAAAGCAAAAACGAAGCGGGGGTTCTTCGGCCTAGGGAAAAAGAAAACTGCTCCGTCTTACATCGACGATGCGCAACAACACAACGGTGCCGCGGCTGATATACCAATGCCTCCCGAACACCGCAATCGCGATCTCGGTCGACCCCTCTCCGCCATTGGCGAGGACAAAGAAGTGGGTGTTGGTGCTGGCGGTGATCGGCCTTCCTCCCCACGATCCCCTAAACTCCAACGTCGTAGCACGCCACAATGGGGACGCTCGACATCGGATTCTTGGCCACTCCCCACGCCGCCGCCAATCGGCGATGCGAGACCGCAGAGCTCTGATGGCGTCATGGGCAGGAAACCCACATTGGTGAAGCGTCAGTCCACGGCGAAGAGTCAGGGTGGCTCTGTCGTAGGAGGGAGTGTGGATGGTGGTGGTGGGCAGGTTGTGCTTGGACGAAGTGGCAAGAAGAAGAAGTTTTCTGGGTTGAGAAAGGTTTTTGGATTACACGATTGATTGGGAGATTTCTGTTCTTGCAAGTTCTTTTCTCAGAATGGTGGTTTTAATGATGGTATGCGCGAGGCCTGTTTGGAGTTGCTCGAAGTTATCTTCTTCTACGATACAAGCACCCTTTTTCTCTTTCCTATGTTTGTTCTTTTCCTCTTTCTTTTTTTCTGATTAGGTTTGGTTTTTTTCTTGGAAATGGGCTACGAAATAGGATGGGAGAGATACCACTACACTTGGCAACACACACAGAAATATTTATAGATGTAATAACTTGTCTCATCTGACTTGTAATCTTTTGCTCTTTGTTTGGGGAGAGGAGGGGGGAGCGGTTTTTTGCTTTTTGTGGTTTCAACTTGATAACCTACATGTAGTAAGTGCAGTATATCCTGCTGCTGCTGTGGGCGGTGAAGAACCAACAAAACACCTATCGTTCCTGTTCAAAAGAAGACAGGACCCCCTGTTTCCATAATAGAAAACTGTTTGTACTAAAGGCCTTGTAATTCCAACATCAAATATCTAACAAAAAACAACCTTGAAGTCTAGCCTCCCTTACGCGATAGTGCACGCAACAGCTTTGATTCGAATCAATTGGCGTGAAAGAAGAGAATTCGACTCCACGCACCGCATCACAAGAAGAATCGCGTTCGTTCGACCTTGTTTGCCCTGGTTTTAATCTCCTACTACTGCTGCTACGAGTTTAGTAGGTTTTTGCTTACACAGCAATTCCTGTTTCGCAATGGATTACTCAAATATCCCCGGATACATGCTTCAACACCTCCCACCACCACCAACATACGCCATCGCGGACTCGTCGACGTATCCGATTTCTATGCCACAATATCCAGCGTCTATGCCGCAATACCCAGCCTCTATGCCCCAATATCCAGCCTCTATGCCCCAATATCCAGCCTCTATGCCCCAATATCCAGCCTCTATGCCCCAATATCCAACCCACCCAACCCCACCACCGCAACCGCGAAAATACTACGCAGTAGTAACCGGACGCGTCCCGGGGATCTACCGCGACTACCACCTCGCGAATGCGCAGGTCGACGCGTTCACGCGGGGGGGTATGAAGGGTTTCCCTAATGAAGAGGCTGCGGTGCAGTATATGAGGGTTGGAGGTGCGAATGGAAGTACGGGAGGGAGTGGGACTCCGGGGAGTGAGGATGATGAGGTGACGCCTTTGGGGACCGCTGTGCCGCCGACCATGTATGGGACTCCGCATCCGGTTGAGGTTAATAGGGGGGTGCCGCGAGGTCCTTCTGGGGATCGGTCGCGTGATGGAGATTTTTACAGGCCAGTGCCGCGAGGTCCTTCGGGGTGGAGAGAATCTCACGACAGGCCTGGGCCCCAGGGTGCTTCTGGACCTCACGGCTTCCACAACAGGCCGGCCCCTCAACAAGCCTACGTACCGAACACCACCATTGATTTCGACGAAGATTTTCGCGAATTTGCATCCACTCAAGGCCTTAGCAAACGAGATTTCAAAGAAAAGAGGACGATGGCCATAAGCGATACAATCATCGACTACTGTTTACGTGGGGGCGTCGGCGTTAGCCAGCTCAGACGAGATGGCAAAGCCCAGCTAACACACGCTCAAGTCTGCTCAATCTTAAAAGGGATATGTAATCATTTGGGCAAAAAAGTCGGAGCGACGATAAAGGATTGCGTCGAGGAGATCAAAACAAAGGCCTCATTCGTCAACATTATCGATCTAATCAACGCATGCCGGAAGGGGAACTCGCCGAGAACATTCAGTAATTGGAACGAATTCAGAAATCACACCCGGAAACCGGGTAACACGTTTTCGCTTGAACACGCGCGAGATCACCCACTTCTCGCACTTCTGCTGCAGGATCTGAGTGGGGATCGGCCGAGCCACCAAGATCCCAACATTGGACGTATAATAGCCTCTCTCCAGGATGTAGAGGTCAAAGGTGAAGTGCGTACGGTCACGTCCCCTGGACCACAGCCTACAAGACAGGAAGTTCCTTTGTCTACCCCTCCCTTGACTCCTTCCACGGACTGCTCCACCAGCTCCAGTCCTATAACGCAACAGCCATTCCACGACTCCGCTGTCAATCTCGAGTCGTCGTCGAGTGCGCCATCCAACGCAGTTCGACGACAACTGCCATCGCCGCCATCACCACATCCTCACCTCCCCTCACAACGCCCTCCGCCAGCTACACAACAACCCACTTCCTTCTCCCACCGCCCTACTCTATCCTCACAACGTCCTCCACCAGCTACACAACGTCCCCCCCGCTCCTCCACCCTCCAAATCACCCACACCTCAAGAGCCCCCCCCATCATCATCATCATCCCAACCCATCTTCCCCTTCTCCAGCCAACCAGACATAATCTCCCACTCCACAATCACCTCCCGCGCAAAAGAACTGTGTCTTGACATCATCCGCAGGGCTTCCTTACAGCCCGCGTCGTCGGGTAGTGCGAAACGGGGGTTTGCGGAGTATGTCTCTGATGATGATGTTGATTTTGATGACGAGGAGGTGGTGGAGGAGCGTTTGCGTAAGAGGGGTAGAGGGGTTTAATGGTTTGTTTGTCAAGATACTTATCTTGCTACTTTCTTTTCTTACCTTTTTTTTCTTTTTACTACTGTCCTTTCTTTCTTTTTTCTTTTTCTTTTGTTTTAGTTTTATTGTTCTTTAGTAGATGTTGTTAGAAAGTAGCTAGCTAGCTAGCTACTTAGAGAGAAAAAAATATTAAATCTATACTTTAAATGCTGCAAAAGCGCTAATGCTTAAAAGATTTGTTTTTTACTTACTTTCTATCTTAATAAAAAAAAGTGCTTTAAAAACTAATTCTTTTTCTTTTTTCTTTTTTTTTGTGTGTGTTTAGAAGTTTAGTAAAGAAAGTTAAACATTAATAAAGTAAAGTTTCAAGACTTTTTTTATTTAGTTTACTTTGTTTATATCTATTGATTTATTGATTTATTGATTTATTGATTTATTGATTTATTGATTTATTGATTTCTTGATTTATTGTGTTTTTTTATACCCAGTACTTGTGCCCCATAGAATATGTGATGATCAAATAATAGACTTAGAGCTTCTTCATTTACGTGAATAGAATGTTATAATAACTTCTTCATCGCAGTCCGAACTACTCACGGTGTGAATATGCAGACTGAATAATTGTATCTAGAGCAAGTACATACTACTTATAGCCTCAGTGTCTATTGTTACACGAAACGCTACATACACACACTTATAACACTACACCAAGTATTTCTTTTTACGAAACAGGGACATACACTCCATTAAGCCTATCCAACCGTATTTTACGACATAGTTATTCCAGCTGTTATGCTGTAGAGATTCTGCTAGACCCCACGCTCGGATCTCCGCCCCGTACTTTATACCCTGCTACTATAAGATCACTAAGGACTTTAAAGTATGGCAAAGTACGTCGTAGACTTACCACGACCGAAGCTGTATGGGGGGCATGACATTGATCGCCAGGGGCGGAGTACAGCAGTTGGGGGACGTTGTAGCGGAGATGTTGTGTTGTTATGGGTAGGCAGCAAGGCATGGAGTTTTTGTTAGAGCCAGTCGGGTAGCAGTAAGAGACAGTAATGCGGTTTCTCGGTAGAGGGCGAAGAGACTTACTATGGGCTCGGGAGCGGGTGGTCGACGTCGATGGATCTTGTATAATACCCATGCTGTTGGGGGACATGCTACTAGTAGTGCCGCAATTGCGATGATGCTTTCTGAGTTTAGTGGCATGGGGAAAGACTATGATGAGATGGAATCGCGTATGAATCGTGATATGTTGAGAAAGGCATTTGTGTGTGACTGAGGGGAGAGCATTGGGCTTTTATCTTTGGGGATGTCTGAGATGATCGAGTATAACGTCCACTCGGCCTGTGCTGAGCATGGCCACACTCGCATATCATCAGTCTGCACTTTTTTGACCGGTAGACGACAGCAGAAACCAAATGGAATCGCAGGTTCTGGCTCCAGCCAACTACATGCCATCATTGCTCAGAAGGTATGGCTCGGCAGCTGCCTCGGTCGATTTCTTGCCAGTTCTTGATTCCGCATTCTCACGCCCGATGCATGCAACCTGAACGACCTGTTGGCGTTTTACCGTACTCGCGGACGTAGGTTCTGGCTACAGCCAATCCTATGCCATGATTACTCGGATGTAGTGGTTCGGGCGCTACTGGGGCTGATAACTTGCCAGCCTGAGATGCTCGCGTAGTGCCACTCTCGCTGGCGTATCCCGCAATAATCGCCCCCAACCGATATAGTTTCACCATATTCTGCCGATACAGGTTCCGGCTAAGACCAATCAGAGATTATCTCAATGATCCGGGCTATGTATGTCTTGCTGCATTTTCAGGCTTTGGCTGCTGCCAATGAGATGTCATTCTAGGCTCTGGCCCCAGCCAATCTGGCTGCATTCACCCCTGGAGATATAGATTAAATCGATTGATCGTCGCGTCGCGTGCTGCCTTGTGGCTGCATTGAACGGAACACAGGTTCTGGCTTCTACCAATCAAACAGTGGAGTCGTTACCGATGCTTACCTACCACCAAAGAACTCAGGCTTTGGCCACAGCCAATCAGACTACCACACTAAAGTCCTTCAGCCTTCTGCCTCTCTACTTATATCTATATCCCCTCCGTAGCCCTCCAGTCTCAGCCTGATCCTCATTCTCAGTTTCTTCAACAACATCGATTTTCAGAACACCACATTATTGAATTTTAGACTACGTCAACATGCCCAAACGGTCAGCTGATGATGCTGGTCTCGATGGTCTATGGGACCTTCACATGGACGAAATCGTCTCTCTTTATCGCAAAGCCTCCATCGAAGAGGTTATGAAGCTCATGGAGGAGAGACACGCCTTTCGCAAAAAGTAAATTGACCTATATCGAGTTATTGTGGGCTATATTCTAAACGATATGCAGAAAACACGAATATGCAGCTCACCTGCGAGAGTGGGGGGTGACTAAGAACGTGCGCAAGCATGAGTGGGATTATATTATCCCTCGATACAACGAGCGTATGAAAGAGAACAAGAATACGGTGGTTCGCGTTCATGGTGTCGAGATTTCGCAGAAAAGAATCAAGAAGGAGGAGAAGCGTTCACAACGCCAGCTTACAACCTTCGAACGCCTTCGTATGCGTAAGTTTTGATAAAGCCAACGATGGAATATTTGAAGGTTCTGACCATGGGTTCCAGAACGTGAGGGGGTTCCACGTGCAAAGACACCTCCTGGGGTCGTAGTTCGCTCTCCCACACCGACGTCTCCCCAGATATATGTTCGTTCAAGCCCTCTCTCAAACACAGCGCCATCTTTTTCGTTAGGCTCTTTCCCTACCTTCGACTTTGAGCTGCGCGATACGATAAAACTACCATGGTTGAGCCTCATCAAATCGCCTACTTTTCTCACATCGATTGAAAAGAAAAGTTACCAGTCACTTACTGGGAGCGAAGACTTGGGAAGACTGGTTTTCCGGCCACTTGGTTTTTGGGACCCCGTTCAATCTTCATATTGCTCGCGTCAAGTTTTTCAGCCTTACGCTTCCAACACCCCATTTCTACCAACTTCTCTGCACAATCCTACCACCAACCCTCATCCAACAAACTCAAACGCCGTCTCCACTGAGTTTTCCTATTTCGACATCCTCAAAACCGTATTTGGTGTCATTTCGAACAACCAACACAAAGAGCCGATGGTGTGGGATTTAGTCGAACTGGCGATCAAACAGAAACAAGTTTTTACGATTCTAGCCTCGTTTCTACGACTCCAACAACCGAGCACCATAGCGTTTGCGGAAAAGCTTCTTCCACCAGCAATTGACTGTGGATCAATTCCATTGGTCTCGCTTATTCTTTCTTCCGGGGTTGATGCAAGTGCGAGGTTTTTGCATCCAGGAACCTATTATTATACAACCGCACTCCAATTCGCCATCAAAGCTGGACATGAAGAAATCTTCGAGCTTCTGTACGCGAAAATAGGGAGACAAAGATGTACCAAGTGCCCTTGCGAGAATGATAGCTGTGACTGTAAAGACTGCATGTCGCATATTCATTATGCTATTGAGGGAATGTGGGGGAGTGTGACGGTTTTGAACACCGTGATACGTCTGTATAAAGCAGACAATATTTTCAATCGCAACTCGATCTTATATAGCCTTCGTGTCGCGGTAGCTCGTGAAGAGCTTGACCGTGTCCACTGCTTATTCGATGCCTTCCCCGAGACTCTGCAATACGCAAGGGAAAACCCACTGTTCCTTCTGGAGGCCGCAGCTTATTATGTCCAAGACTGCTTTATGTTCGATAACCTCACAGAGATGGGATTGCAGCTGCATGGTGGTTTTGGTCACGCTGGTGGTAGCGTTTTGACCATGGCCATTCTGGGCCGCAATAAGCCTTTAGTTGTAAGACTTTTGATCACTCTATCAAACGACGAGTTGTCGAATTACTCCAAACTATCAGAGCGGCTGGATCAGCGCTTTTGTTTCCGTATTACCGAAAGAGACAAAGAGCTCGTCGGTTCCCGGTGCATGAGCGCTCTAATGGCTGCCGTTGGCACATCCGACGCAGAAACCGTAGAGCTGTTGCTTGCACGAGGGTTTACGTTCCAAGCAAGCGACAATATCCACCCCCTCCAGTTGGCGGCATGGCAAGATAGCCCTCGTATTGTTCAGATGGTTATTGATCACGGCTTCGGTCATTTCTCACACTCATTATCACCCTCTGGAGGGCAAAATGGACAAAATATGACTTGTTTTACTAAGAAATACTGTTCAGAGTACTTGGATAAACGCTTGAGTCCGCTGGAAATCGCCGTGAAACATCGCAAATGGGACATCGCAAACATACTTGGAGATCACAGTCCCAACACACTGGCATCTTCTTTCACTCTGGACGTTCTCTATAATCGGTCTTCCCCGAGCGTTTTGGAGAGAGCGATGAAGAGAGACCTTGGTTTGAAGAGGTCAAATGACAATGGTCACTTTTGTCATCCTTGGTGTGAAGTCTTCCGCAGTTCTGATAAAGCAGGAATCCTATGGCTGCAGAAACAAGGGTCTTCCTTCTATGACCTGATCAAATACCATCTCCCTCTATACATCATGGGTAATGGCATCACAGCAGCAATTTCATTTTTGGGGGCTTACTTTACCCCAGACGAAACAATGGACCCGGAGATTCTGGCCGCAGCCGTTTATTATGGAGACTATGGATTTGTCCAGAAAACTTTTGAACTCTCATATGGCGATGAGCATCGAAAGAAACTACATCAACGATATGGCTCAAGTGCACTGATAATCGCAGTGGCCAGGGGAGATCTTGAAATGATTCAGCTACTACTCGAATTGGGGTGTGACCCTTACCAGAAACATCATATGAATGGAGAATGGAAACGCAAACGACGCGGACCCCTGCACTTCAACATTTTCGTCAACACCGCCTTTGAAGCAGCTGTATACTCTTATTTGAAGTTTTCTTATCGACGTCAGGTCATTGATATCATTAGCTTATTTTTGACATGGAACAACTCATTGACCGACAGCGACCGGGCAAACCGGACAGCCCTGCAGATGGAAGGCTTTCTGTGGATAAAATTCGACGGGTACAGTAGTCTACCTGCTCCTTTTGCTCGCCGGGGTATTGATGATCAGGCATTCGAGGTTTGGTCGAGACAATCAACTGCAAATCATTCATTAATGCTTGAACGCGCACTCCAGTACGCAACATCCAAATTGTATGTTGAGTATCTCTCGGACAAGTCCCGGCAAACCTGCGAACAAAACATCGACTGGTTGCTTAAGATTGGAGCGGAGGTGAACGCTCCCGCTTTTGGCCACGCCGGACATCGTTCCATGCACACTCCCCTACAGCACGCGGTTTCGGGCAACAATTTCTCTCTTGTCCACAAGTTGTTGCCGTTGGGAGTGGATGTGAATGCTGCGCCTGGGAAAATGCGCGGTGCTACTGCGCTTCAATTTGCAGCACTCCGCGGAAATTTCCCGATTCTGGATTTGTTACTCAATGCCGGTGCAGATATAAATGCGCCTCGATCCCCATATCGTGGACGCACTGCAATTGAAGGCGCTGCCGAAAGCGGGGCACTAGACATGACTGCCTACCTCCTTCAAAAGGGAGCCAGCGTTGGTGGTAAAGAGAATGGTGCCTACAGAAGAGCTATTTTCCGGGCTTACCAAAACGGACATGTTGCTGTACTCAAGTTGATCCAAGAGTGGAAAAGGAAGCATTCCGGGGATGACGATTGTGAGGAAACTGATGCAATATGCGCCACGATGACTCACTACGAACTTGAGCACGAACTGGGCTGTAATGAAGTATGCACAGAGGGTTCATGTTACGAAGACTGGTGTCGTAACAAGGAGAGCTATCGGAAGTGGTCAAATGATGAATATCATGACGTTTGGTCTATGTTGTTGGATGTGTAGACCTCCAAAGTGTATGTCAATCGCTATCGCCCAACAACGGAAAAGTAGGTAAAAAGACTGAGATTCCTGTCAAAAAATTATCCAGTTAGCTTGATGAATTGAATCTTTGAATTTTTAGGCCTCGACTTGCATTGATGCTCTGAGTTTATCATGCGGGGAGGAATCTGTGACTAAACAGCTGGATGGCTTCACCCAGGGCTTGATTGCTATCTTAAATTAAATCAACATTCAGTAGTCCTCAGAGTTCAGGCAAGTAGCAGTAATCTTGAGTAGCATTGCAAGGATAGACAAGACAGCGGTGTTTGTTGCTAGGGGTGCGCAGGACAGCAGTCCACGGGCAAGAAATTAGCTATATTGATTACAGGAAAATTGTACGTAGAGTCGCATTTTTGATTAGAACTATTCAGACCAAAGAATCGCGCCTAGTTCTCCCACCTGAATATCAATTCCGCACTGTTGAGCTTGAGATTCCTGGTGTGCATCACAGATTCCATTCCCGAGACTAGCAGAGCGCCATGCCCCCGCCGATAACAGCCAAGTTAGTGTCTAGTACATCACGATTTAGTAAATTAGAAGTGAGATTAGATTATCTGACACTCAAATGGACTGTAGGCGAAGTGTGCGAAGGGACCTTTAGCATCTGCGGAATCATCCTTTCCAATAGTCAGGCGGTCGTGGCGATGTTAGGACATCAATGGTGGTTTCCGTTTGTGAGTGACAACTGACTCACTCCAAGAGCAAATAAGAGTATAAACACACGTGTGAACTTCAACATTCCCTATGATTCTTAGCATCATAGCTGCATTAGCTTTAGGTGTACACCAATAGTCATGGCGACATTGCAACAACTTCCGGTGGAACTCTTACTTCTCATCAGCAAGTTCCTACGTTTCTCATCCACTAGCACAGGACAGCAAGCTATGCAAGACCTCGCCAACTTTTCAATTACCTCTAGGCTAATTCACACAATCGCACAAGAAACACTGCTTGTCTATCCATTCATCCCACGGCGCCGCCACTCCGCAGATCTTTCACGGGCCCTTCTTTTTCAACGCTGCGCCTTCGCTGCACCGTTGCTTTTTGACAAAATGAGAGAGCTCGATATCGCCATTGCAAATGCATATCCATTCATGCCGCCAGCAGAAGAAGAACATAGAGTGGCTCTCACGGCGGATTTGTACCGCGAAGCCTCATTTGTCGGAGCAATTCTCGCACTGGCACCATCCCTCAGGAGCCAACTGTTCGCATAGAACGTCACTCGACAGTGAACGGTGTATCTATGATGGATCACTTTCTGTGGGGTAATATTCAACACGGCGGCCATGTTCGCGGAGTGTCCCGCCTGAAAACGCTTTCGATGTACGGCGTGCGCAACCCTGACCTGTTACTTGATATTCCTAATCTTCAAAAGGCCATAATCAACCGTGACTGCGATGTCTCGGTCCGATCATTTTTCCAGCGTGCTCATCACGGGCTCAAGGAGCTAATATGGCATATGAGTACGTGCGCATTGTTTGGAGACAACACTCTTCCTGGAAGATATCACCCGGTGAGTCATTGCAGATTGAATTATTGCAGTCCTACCAGAGTCCAATGGTGCGCGTAGTTGTCTATCAATCTGACTAGCCACCCAGGCCCCTTACTCTGAGAGTCAAAGCCTTTTCGTTAATTTGGACGACCTCTGCGCGCTTACAATCAAGCTCTTCAACACTCATCCGACAATCAATGTAGGTCCCGTCATAGGACCACATTGGTCATCCCCACCGAAATTTAACATCCTTATCTCCAGACTGGGATCAATTCAAAGCGATTTGCGGAGTCTGACTATTCTTGTTGACCAAGATGGCCAGAACGACATTCATTGGAGGCATTGGCTTCCTCGCATCCGCCGCGCTCGCTCGCTCAGAAACCTCACGTTCCTGAACCACTTGATTGTGCCCCAGGATTTCTTAATAGATCGTCACCCACACACTTTCAATGGCTCTCCGTTGGGATCGCGACTTCTTCCGATAAGTTTAAAATCGCTAGGCATCGTTTATCCCTCCGAGGCTCTACACGCATGGCTCGTGAAGCTTGCTTTAGTGCATACGAGAACGCCTTACTTGAGATGCATTGACCTCTGGACCGATGAGGAGTATGGTGATGACTTTCAATGGCTTTATGAGAATGATCATTATGCTGTTTGGCGTGATCTGGAAAGCGCGGGAATAGAGATACGCATAAGATACTTGGAGGATTGAAGATGGGCGAGTTTGTTTTGGAAATGGTTCAACCGCTTCTTTGGCCCAAGAATACATGTAAATCATTCAGATCGGGCGGAGTTTAAATACTATATTATTGAAGCGACCAAGCGTAGCGGTGTTTCATTGCATTTCCATGCGACACAAACGCTTAGTATTGAAAAAGACAATAAATATGCCTTCGAGCTCCAGACAGGACACATCATTGAAGAGTACAGGCCGAGGCAGCGCAGAAGCACAATCCTTTTTTGATTCAATGAAGTAATTTCACAGTTCAGCATCACAGAAGGCAATACATGAGGCGTAAGAGAGCAAGTTGTATGAGACATTATATTACTAGAAAGAAGTGCTAAGAAAATTTGTGGTGTGTGGGTATTTCAGCTAAGATACATTCTTATGAGAAAATGTGCTTCCCATTGAAACTTGATATCGCCTTTTCGTGTCAGAAAGATGTGACCGCAGTGTCGCTAAAGCTCAGTGTTTTCTGTTGGACTCCGAGGACCCAAAGCTTACACGTCAGTGCCGACGGTGTCAAGAACACCACCAACAGGGGCGGCAACAGTGGGAAGGCCGAGGGTGGAGAGGAGAGCAACAACATCAGGAGAGAGGTCATTGACAACTTGGCGCTTCTTGAGATCAGAGCCGAGCGAGTTCACAACACCTCCAACAGGTGCTCCGACGGTAGGGAGACCAAGGGAAGAAACAAGGGCCACGACGTCAGGGGAGAGATCGTTCAAGACTTGACGCTTCTTGAGGTCAGAGCCGAGCGTGTTGACGACACCTCCGACAGGGGCACCAACGGCCGGGAGACCGAGGGCCGAAACAAGGGCAACGACATCGGGGGAGAGATCGTTGAGCACCTGACGCTTCTTGAGATCAGAGCCGAGGGAGTTGACGACACCTCCGACAGGGGCTCCAACGACCGGGAGACCAAGGGTAGAAACAAGGGTCGCGACCTCAGGGGAGAGGTTGTTGAGCACCTGGCGTTTCTTCAAGTCGCTTCCGAGGGTGTTGGTGACACCGCCGACGGGGGCGCCAACAGCAGGAAGACCAAGGGAAGAAAGAAGGGCTACGACGTCGGGGGAGAGGTCGTTGAGCACCTGACGCTTCTTCAAGTCAGATCCGAGGGTATCGACAACGCCGCCTACTGGCCCGGCAGCTCCAGTGAGTCCAAGGGAAGCGAGGAGAGTGACGACGTCAGGGGAAAGGTCATTGAGGACCTGGCGTTTCTTCAAGTCGGATCCGAGGGTATCAACAACGCCACCCACTGGCACAGCGGCGCCAGTAAGGCCGAGCGAGGCGAGGAGAGCGACAGCATCGGGCGAAAGGTCGTTAAGAACCTGGCGCTTCTTCAAGTCGCTTCCGAGGGTGTTGACAACACCACCAACGGGGACAGCAGCGCCGGTCAAGCCAAGGGAGGCGAGAAGGGCGACGGCATCGGGAGAAAGGTCGTTCAAGACCTGACGCTTCTCCTCTGTTGCGACGGGGGCGGCAATGGCGCTCGTGGCCAATCCAAAGATAAAGAGAGACTGAGTGAAATGCATTTTGGATTGTAGAAAGGAATTACACGAGTGGAATTAGGTGTATATTAAAAGAGTGAAGCAGATGTCTGTTGAGATGCTGGTGGTTCTTTTCCAATGGAATCAGCAAGAGTTTTATATCTTTTCACGTACCTGTGGCAATGCTCCGGGAGCATAGTCCTCCGCTCTGAGCCCTGTAATTGCAATCTCCCCTTAGTAAGAACAGCTAATAAGTGGAGCTGAGGCTTTCCCCTGGAGCTACCCATTACTACGTTGCGTGTTACTCCACTTGCCTCATTTGACGATTATCTCTTGAGCTCAGAGTCTGGCCGCACTTCGTAATCTATTTCTCTTGGAAAGAAGCCAATGTGGATTAAATTTGATAGAGGACTGACTGTTCAAGCACTGTAGTGTCTGTCCACGTTCCTCCTTTGGTATCCATCATTACTCCTCTTCCTACTAAGCACAAAGCGCAGCTGTAATGATCTGCCTGTCTGATATTATGTCCTATCGTTTCAGTGATACTTCATCGTGAACAATCAGATTGGTTGCCTGGAACAGCTGTTTGGCTATCCAGTTCTTCAGCCAATGCATTGTTCCCCATCTCAATCTCCTATCGATGATTGGTCTATAGTGCATAGGGTAGCCCTTATACAATCTCGAAAACATAGTCTTGCTTGACTCGATTGGATAAGATTGTCTCATTGCTAAGCTCGAGGATGCGGGCAATTTGCACCTGCCCCGTACGCTATCATCACTTAGCTTTGCTTAGATAGCTCTGACTTGAGCATCGCGGGGGGTAGTGTAATTACATCTTACAACTTCAGTAGAGATCTGCACGCAGGTTTAGCCCACAGCCGTCATGTGCTGGATAGATCCAAGTCATTTCCACAGCAAGTGGCCACGCTTTTTCGCGTCGTTTGATTGATGGTGCGATTCGTTCAGCACTACGTAGCTGTATGAGACATGACCGGCGACCTCGGACAGACGCACTAGACTTCTAAGTGAGAGTCATTCCCGCCTGGTTGCCAGATTAAGACGTGATCAGGATCATAGAATAGGCTAAGCGCGGTGGGTGCTTCCTAATTGATAAGGCATGGCTGAGGGAGGGTGGTAAGCATCTAGGTACATCCAGGAGTCCTATACAAACTGAACTGTTCATATTCCCAGCTCAAAGCAATTGTACTGATCATTGGACACGTTGGGTTTGATAATATAGAGACTCATGTTTTGTAAAGGCAGAGAGACATCCACCCCGAAAACGTGAGTGGGAAGAATAGAATTCATGAAATCATCCTTTCTCTACTCGAGAGGGACACCTTTTTCGCCAATTGGAGTGATCTACAGCATCTTCGGCTCGACAACTGGCTATTTCTTGTCTCGTTCGACGTGGGGTTCTTCCATATGCGGAAGTGAGAAAACGCCACAAACTCTCGTAGTTAGTATTAGTTGATGTTTCAATCACTTAGACATGCGTAGAAATAATTAGCGTGAGCATAATTGCCATCAAGGAGCTTTTAGATGGGGCTGCACATTGATCGGTTGCTGGCAGCCGGCTTAGTTCGGTTGACTGAATAAGACCCTTTTGCCCGATCGACCCGCTAGTTCCTTTTGCGTTATTCGTGAAGGATAGAGCGGGATATATGTGCATCGCGTTCGTCGGAAGAAGACGATTCGTGGGGTTGTGGAGCAGGCTACAGTGTCAGTTGGCATACAAATTCCTTCAACCCCTTACTATATACAAACCTAGTGTAAAGCCGAACTCATAGCAAGATACAATATGGAAAATTCACATTTTCCAAAATTCGAGTGCATTCACCTGGATCATCATCTTACTGGAGATGGAATATTCACCTCGGGACTTGTCGTTTCGTTCCTCTGTTACGGTACCTTGCATGGACAGGATCTCATATGTTGATAAGATCCCTTTGTAGATCAATCGAACAATCAGTTCGTATCCTGCCTAGACTGAGGATTAAAGGCCCGATAACGTTGATCAGTGGATCACTTTAGGGTGCTTAGCATCGCTAGCGCAAACCTTCTGATTCGAACATCGCTCGGGCAGAACCTCAAACACCAACGCATCGGCGAAATCTGATATACTACCCCATAAAAGGAAGAGACCTCAATAATCAGGTTTGTTTTCGCCCTATTCTGCCGTAATTGTGTTGCCTGTTGTTCCGATGCAGATTCGGTAAAGGCAGGTTGTCACCGTGCCTGACAATACTTGCTTTCATTCGTATCAATTCATGGCTATTCATCATGCACAAAAAATCAGATCCACGATGTTCCGAGTCACCATTAGATAGCTATCCCGGTCTAAGATAAGTGGTGGCATGAGGTGATTTGACATATTGACTAGTATTGCCGCATTCGATCGGGATGGAGCACGGCAAATTCCGACGGTCACTGATCATTTGCCGTCACTATCAATGGCATCCAATAACATAGTGAGAAGTGACACAGAGGGACTGCTGTGAAGTTTCATTTGACATGAGCTTATGGGATAGTTAATTGTACGGTCCCAGATTCTCATCGTCTTGGACTGCCGGACGGTCCGGCCTGACTCTCTCGTACGCGTTATTGTTCACCCCCGCACCTGATCTCCCTCCCTGGCAATTTTGATAGGATACAATCTCAGCGGTGTCAGCGACATGTCTTCGTCACCCGAAGGAATCAGCTTACGAGGATTCCTGAAGGATGTTCCGAAGTGATTCCATTGGTACGCCAACATGAATACGAGATTTGGCCGAAATAGAGCAAGTGGTGGTTACACACACACACTGTCCAATTTCGTCCTCAATTCCAAAAAGTAGCTACAACCTCCAACACGCACGAAAATTCAAATCAGGGGCTTCTTTCTGCTCTCAAAATCGATCGCATACTATCATTTTCCGGATCCCTCAAGAGTGGGTCGGTGATCTATATTCCGACCTTGAATCTCTTTGACTAGATGGCAACGCTGAGAAGGCTTCCGCCTGAATACAATCGCATCAATTGCACCATACTTGATTCCATTATCCAAGTATCAGGTCGATAAGCCAAGTACGGTGTGAGGGCTACATCTCTAACCGCAATAAAGGCCACTGCTATCGCGCAAGAGAGCATGCAGACCTTTACAAGCAGCAGTAATTTCGATGGAAATACTCTGGTCCACTATCGAGTTACTGCGAACTCTCATGCCATGGGCGAGCCGGAAATCTTCGCCTGTTCAGTGATACTGGACTCCGAGCATGAACTGCGCACGGGAATCGACTACATAGGAGTTGTTCCGCTACCTAGGCACATACCAATACTCAAGCCCTCTCTTCTTTCGAGGAGTTGGGGAGAGCTGCCATACGCGGAGGCGGACCTGTGGAACTCATTTCAACAGTTCTGAAGCTTTTGGTACCTCATCTCCGACGCTTCGAAGGCTTGTCTTGGAGCGGATTGGTCAGCTTGATGATCTACTCCATGGAGCTCAGAGATGACGGGAATCCCTCAGTTCGATTGCTCGGGAACGATATTAGATTTTGAAACTATCATGGGATTCTATATCCCGCTCCGGTAAGCTGTTGGTCCGCGACGTGTGAGTGTATCACTGATCTCTACAGAAGTGGATAGTGGAATGTGTATGTATCTAAAATATCTACATATTGAAAGATCGACCGGAGAGTAATCGATTATGTTGAACTCGGTGTTTTCAAGTACATAAATTATGGCCGTCCAGGTCGTGCAGTACATGTGCGGGGAGAGAAGGTTGGTACGATCTGATTGGTGGAGTTGCTTTTCCGGGGTCTTGGTACGTCAGCCGGAAAAGCATGGCAGGATCCTCCTTCGATTCGAAGTACGTTACAAATTACAACCACTACGCAGGCAGAAGGGACGCCATACTTGAAGCCACTTTCGAGTCACTATATCAGCTTACTCTACCACGTCAATATTTGTAGTAAGACTGTTTTCTCGAATAGGTGTATTCCGCTTTCAATAATCGGCTCAGCAACTAGTCCCCGTATCGAGATCACCACAGCGCTTATATCTTCCACCCCGCGGGCGCCATGTCTCAAATAAAAGCATCGTCAAATCTTCCTCCCCTTCCGCTACCGGACGGAGTTACATCGCAATACGTCTATTGCCCGTCCAGCGGCCTCAAGGTGCACTACCTGGAATCCGGATACGACCCCTCTAACCAAAAGCCACTCCTCCTTCTGATACATGGCTTTCCCGAACTCGCCTTCTCATGGCGCGAAGTCATGGCTCCACTGGCATCGGCTGGGTATCACGTGGTAGCTTTTGATCAGCGCGGTTACGGGCGCACAACAGGCTGGGATGACTCAACCTACACCAAGACCGATTTCTCGCAGTTCAATTACTCAAACCTCGTTCGAGATGTCGTTGTCTTTGTCGCAGCTTTGGGACACACGAGCGTGCGGTGTGTCATTGGGCATGATTTCGGTGCCGTGACGGCTGGATACTGTGCGCTCATGAGACCGGACCTCTTCACCAGTGTAATCACAATGTCGCATCCGTTCAAACCAGTTCCAACTCTCCCATTTGGCCTGGCGCACTCTTCGACTTCAATCGATTCATCAAGTGAATCCCAACCCGCCGACATCCACAAGGAACTAGCACAACTCCCAGAACCACGCAAACACTACAAATGGTACAATGCCACCGCCGTAGCAGCGCTCCAATGGTCTGTTCCATCTCAAGGCCTCAAAGAGCTTCTAAGAGGGTATTTCCACGTCAAATCTGCCGACTACGCTCCCAACAAACCGCACAAGCTCGAATCCTGGACAGCTCCCGAACTCGCCAAAATGCCGCACTACTACATCCTCCCATTGTACTCTTCCATGCCCGAAGCGATCGCAAACCTCATGCGCACTGAAGACGCGTCCAAAACCCTATCTTGGCTTTCCGACGACGATCTCAACGTCTATGTGCAGGAGTGGTCGCGCACGGGATTTCAAGGTGGCCTGAACTGGTACCGCGTTTCGACGGACCCCGAGAAGACGAGAGATATGGCTTTGTTTGCGGGAAAGAAGATTGAGTGCCCGAGCTTTTTCCTGTCGGGAAAGAGTGATTGGGGGAATTATCAGGAACCCGGGGTATTGGAGGGATTGGGAGATGCGTGCCGGGATTTTAGAGGCGTGAAGTTTATTGAGGGCGCGGGACACTGGGTCATGCATGAAAAGCCAAAAGAGGTTGTGGATGGGGTTTTGGAGTTTTTGAGTGGATTGTAAGGGTGGGTTTAGGTGCGGTAGGAATCAAGACGGCGCATGTTCTGCAGTCAAAAAAGGCGAAGGGACTCTCATCATGTCTTGTGGGATGCTCCGACCAAATTTAAAAGTGATTCACTCTCACATCTTCAATTATTTCAAGCATGTGTTAACAATCTACAGGGACGCTGAATGGTATTATGTGCTCGTTCAGTCTTACGGCAACACTGACCGATGGCTACAGTGGCGCTTTCCCTCCTAGTCTCGTGCCTCTTTTCCCCAACCAATCCTTTTCCGGTCACCTTCATCGCCACATTATTCAATGTTCCTTTAGGTGCAACATGATTGCAAACGATCGAATCCGTATGACGGCGTTCTCAGCCTAGGAGGGGCTGAAGCTTGATCTCGATACGGCCCCCAATCTTCCCCAAAATAGGACCCCAATACGATCAACGATTTCAGCAGCTTCGCACGCTTCAGCCTTGCTTACATACTATTCGGCCGTAAAAGTGTTGAGGCTCAACAAGACTTATGCCGCCGTCAAGACACCTGCGTAATAACAAACACACATGAGACTTTGCACCATCTTGCTCGACTAACCATTTTCGCAAACCATGACCACTCCCGCCATGCTCCCCGTAGCTCGCGCGCGATCAAGTTCCGTTTCCAGCGAAGCGGGGGAACTCGGTTTGATTGCACTGCAGGAACCTCTCAGCTCGTCAAGCGTAAAAGCAACGTGCGCATCCTTACACATTACCCTCAAAACATCGTCTTGAAGTGCTGTTGAGGCTAACGCGACATCCTAGGATCGTCGCCGTGCACGGCTTCGATGGCCATTATACCAGAACATGGACTAATCTTGAAGCCGACCCGCCATTCTTCTGGATTAGAGATGGCCTGGGGAAGGACCTGCCGCAATGTCGCCTTTTGACGTATGCGTATGATGCTTCAATCATGCCGACGCCGGAGAATCCTCGTCATCCGCTGTTCGAACATGCTACGAATTTGCATAGAGCGTTGAAGACTGTAAGAGCTTAATCCATTGGTTCATGTCCGGGAGTGCTGATTTGAGAGAAAGCATCTTGAAAAAGAGGAGAACGCCCGCCCCATCATATTCATCTCTCACAACATGGGTGGTATCTTAGTGAAACAGGTATACTGCATCACGTTTGATGTTCGCGATATGTTCTCATAATGTTTAGGTGCTTGTTGAAAGCGCAATGTCGGTGCATGCCATCGTCAACAAACATACAGCTGCAATCTTATTTTTTGGTAGGCAGGCTAGCACGCTGTATCTTCGATTGGTAACAATTGTATCTAGGTACACCGCACCACGGTCGTCTAGAAATCGCGTTACTCGAAAGACACATCTTTCGCATGAGGAGCGGCTATTCTCTCGTTGAACCGCTTGCCCGGGAGTCATCGACACTGCAAGCGATCAACGAGTCCTGGCTTCACTTGCAGCACCCTTACAAGATCTACAGTTTTTACGAAACCCGTCTATCACCCCTCGGAGTCAAACATGGTCTGGTGTGTAGTACAATCTCGTACAAACACATCAAAACCCCCCAATTAACCTTCCACAGGTCGTCAACAAAGCTTCAGCTACACTCAACATACCTCACGAGCGTGTCATCTCGCTCGATGATTCCCACGTAAATATGGTGAAGCCTGCAAGTTCGCAGAGTGTCACGTATTGCCAAGTTCTTCATTGTCTGCAAAGCATACTCGACTCGCCTCCCAACGCTCGACGCGCTACTACTGGAAGAGTTGCTTCCGTACTCCCACCTCGAGGAAGTTCTCCCATTCCCCCAATCCCAAATCGCATCGACTTCACTGGCTATGTGCATTTATTCCGGCAGAACCTACTGTACCAGACCGAAGAGCGTTCCATTTCGGATCTGTTGATGAATTCTCCAACGGCCTTACTCAATAGTAGTAACGAACGGTCCATTGAAGGGGATCTTGAACCGCTTATTTGGGTGCATGTTCCACTCAACAACACATCGTGGGTCAATGTACGTTCCCCAGGTCTCATAATATGCGCACGGCTAACTGTAACTTGCAGCCTTGTCTGCAAAACATCATGGTCGACCAGCAGGCATACGGCGATCTTTCCATCACAGAGCAAAAGTACTGGCTTTCGCACGAGCGCAAGCGCGAAAACATCCCCCATTCCCGATATTTCGAGCCTTCCGGCTTTCTCAGCAAACAAGACAAAACTACACAGTTCGTCATCTACGTTCGTGACCCCGTTTTCACACTTTCCGCACCCAAACTAATGCAACTCCACTAACACCACTACAAAAGCTACCCTACCTGCACTGGGACTCATCCCAGTGCTTTCTCCGCCGTGCAGCCTTCTCACATGCCACAAGCAAAGGCAAAGCGATCGATATTCCTCCCGACCTCTCCGACGACGCAAAAGCCACATACAAAATCATCCGCGATGAAAGCGGGAAAACTTCCGCGTTACATCCCCGCCGCAGTCTCGATCAATTCTTTTATTCCAGTCTCCCCGAAACATCATCGCGGGATAAAGATCAGGTCATTTCGAAAAACACACCGGAAGATGCGCGCGGCGGCAAGAAGATGATCATGGTGGATCAACTTTGGCTGTGGATGCTCGAGACGCGCGAGGATGCCGTTGTGAAAAGCGATGGGTCCGTGGTTCCAGGCAGAATCAAGACGTCTATTTTCACGTCGTTTCCGAGAAAAGAGAGGGAAGCTGGGGAGGAGGAGCGCGATCTTGAGGACATTGCAGATTTGAGGCAGGCTGTTATTGATGAGGCGAATAGTCGGGATGAGGAGTGGGCTAGGAACCGCAGCCACTATGTCGGGCTGGTCATTGAGCAGGCTGTTAACGTGATGTTGAGGGTTAGAACAGAGTCTTCTTTGGATTTTTTGGGTGTGTTTAGGGCTGCTATTGGTGCTGCTGTATGTCTTTCCCCTTTCCTTTTCTCATCTCCCTTCTACTCTTCTTCGGATGGGGGAATCCGCTGACAAGAGAAACTCGTATGACAGACTGAAACCCAGACAAAATTCTTCCGCGAATTCCAAGAAAAACTACACTCCACTTCTTCCGCTTCCTCATCCCCCTCTTCATCATCCTCTACCCTTTCTTCCCCCGAACGCATCATCCTCGACGCGCAAACCAAACGCGACGAAGTCGAGCTCGCACTCGAACTCTCGGACATCATTGACGAACTCAACAGTCTTACGCGTCTCTTTGAGGCGCAAAAGGACGCCCTCGACACCGCTATCAAGATCTTGTCTAGCCAGGAGTTGACGGTCGAAGAGAGGAAGAGGTACACAGGGTTAAGAGAGAAACTGGGGGTCGTTGTCGAGCAGGATCTGGAGGGGTATGTTCGGCAGGTTCGACGGATGGTTGGGGATGCGGGGAGGGCCAGGGCGAGTGTGAGTGCTGCCCTTTTCCCTTTTCCTTTTCACCTAACCCACTTTCTTGCTTCCCTCTCATTCCACACCCCTGTTTTTTTTTTTTTTTTTTTTTTTTTCCGATTTTTACGTTGAAGGGCGTCGCTGACATGGGAGGTGCGGGGAACAACAGCTCATGAACCTCCTCGACCTCCAGCAAAAAGAAGAAACCCTCGAAGAAGCGCACCACTCGAACCAACAGGCCGCAGCCGCCCGCAAACAAGCCGATGCCGTGCAAGCGCAGTCGCAGATCCTGTTACTTTTTACTGTTGTTACGATTGTTTTTGTACGTCCTCTCACTTCTCCAACCTCCTTCTTCCCCAAACACCCCCCTCCACCCTTTTTGCCTACATTAATCATACCAATGGAAGTTTTCTAATCACAGTACCCGAGAGAGGGGGGATGATATATAGGCCCCGCTATCGTTTTTTACGTCGTATTACGGGATGAATGTCAGAGAGTTTACGGGGGAGCCAGGGAATACGAATCAGAAGGAGGTTTGGAAGGTCATGGGACCGGTTTCTGCGGCGATTATTGTGGGGTTGGGGATGGGTGCTTGGGGGGTTTATGGTGGTGGGTGGGGTGTTGTTCGTGGAGGTGGTGGGATTAGAGAAGGGAGGGCAAGTAGACGGGCAGGAGGAGGGAATTAAATGAGTGAGTCAAGGTTAGGGGTGGAAGTAGAGGTGAATTTAGGGTTGTATAGCTGATAAGACCTGTCTAAGCCCCGGTTGTGCTTGAAGAGATGGTCGAAGATGATGGAAAGTACAGTTTAAAGATGAGAGGTACGTACAGAAAGAAGAGGAAAATAAAGAGAGAAAATACTGTCAAATTAAGAAAAGAGAGAGACTAGGACAGAATAAGGGAAGAGACACATCCTAGAAAAAAGAAAAGAGAAGAATAACTCTCTATCTAACCCAACACACCTTAAAACAAGAAATCCAATAAACAAGAAACCCTCCCCCCTTTCCTCTCTTCCCTCCCCTCAAGAAATCTCATCCCTAAATCGCTGCCCCTATCCCACCACCATACCCTCCCACTCCCCTTCCTCCTCCTCCTCCCTCCTCCCTCTTTTTCCCCCGTCTCTCAGCAGCACCAACATACACCTCAACCATCCACCTAACACAAAACGCAATCTGGATCAGCACACTAAGAAATACACAGCTCACTAGAACCCAGAAGAGTACCGGGTTGATAGAGAAGGTGTACGGATTCGGGGTTAGTGGTTGGCTTGAGGAGGGAAAGGAGGTTGAGGTAGGGAGGACGGTGGTTGCGGTTGCGAGAGTTGGGGCTGGGGTTGGCGAAGAAAATGCAGATGATGAAGAAGAAGAAGAAGAAGAGGCGTGGAGTGGAAGGATCGGCATTTTTGATCGTTTGCTTGGTTGTAGTTGATTGAGGTGGTTTGGGGAAACGGAAAGGAGTAGTTGATGGGGATAAGGTAGCTCGGCTCTAGTTCGAGCTTTAGCTCTTTTTCTTGTGGGAGGATTTGAGAGGAAGGAAGGATAGTTAAGACTGGTTTGTTGTTGGTGTATGCTAGAACCTTGGCTTTCTTCTTTGTAGCTGGGGAAGGAAATGTTTGTACAGGGTATGCGTAAGCGTATAGGTAGGTATGTGTATAATCAAGTAGAAAAGAAAGTCAGGTATCTTCTATCTTTTGTAGATTAGCTCAGTCTTTATGTATGCCGTTTGCACTCTTCGCTCTTGTCTTGTTGTTACCTTTTTTTTTAACCTCCTTCTCTCTTTTCTTCTTGATCTGCTGTTTGCTGTAGTTTGTTGGTTGCTATGAGAGTGTAAAGGAGCGAAGAAGGACGAAGAGGGCGAAAGTATAACTCAGAGAAGGAGCACAAGGAAAAACGCAGAGGAGAATGAGGTTTGACCTAGAGGAAGAGCAGCACTCGAAAAGAAATAAGACAAAGGGGAGAAAGTAGACTCAGCGACCCATTAGTCACGTTGGACTTGACTCACTGATAGCTATGTTTGGGTTGACTCACTTGTTTCATACAGACACACTTAAGGGATCCATCAATCCTTGGACTGTGACATATTTCTCCTCTTGCGACAAAATCCAATATTTGATCTGTTCAATATAGAATTTGTCTTCTCAACGAGAGGTGCTAAGATCGTCAGTAAAGTAGCGTTTTCGGGATCCGATTGAAGTATGCAGTGCCGACATACACGCCGTTCCAACCAAATCGATTCAAGATACAAGGATTCAGGTAAATGGATATAGTAGAAGGCACACACACTTATAGTGAATCGTCAATCATTAAATAGTATATAGTTGGTAGAGAAGACCCAACAGAACTAAGACGTGGAGAGGTAATACAGCAAAGCAATCATAATTCTAGTACAGAAAAATAAAAAAGAGGAAATACAAATTAGAATACACAATATGAACACTGTCCGCTGTCTCCCTCTACAAAGCCCTCTAAGAAAAATAAGGAGAAATAGAACAGCTTAAGGAAATAGACTGCACGCAAAGCCCTCCCAAAACAAACAGATTAACAGGATTCTGAAGGATACAAAGTAGAAGAAAAGAAAACAAAAGAAAAGAAAAACAAGAACAAGAACAATATACAGAACAGAAAAACACACCAACAGACCCAGCACAATCCCTCTCATCGTCTCTCCTCAGCCGGCACAAAATTCTGACCCTCCAAATCACTATCCTCTTCATTATGCTGCATCGCCTGCCTATGTCCATGCCTCTGTCCATGCCTCTGTCCCCCCTGATACTCACGCCCACTACTCTGACCACCCCCTCCTCCTCCCCCTTCCCCCTCCCGTCTTATCCCCTTATTTGCATGCCACTTCCTAACCTTCAAAACCCCACCAACAAGCTCCACCACAGCCAGAATCAGAACCGCAACAACCAGCACCCACGCAAGCGGCATTACAGTATTAAGCGGGATCATGATGTCCCCACCACCACTACTGATAGAGGAGAAGTCCTTGCAGACGTTTGTGAGGTCGATGGAGTTTGTTGCGCAGATGGGGGTTGGGAAGGTCGTCGTTGTGGATTCTGTGGATGTTGATGAGGGTGGGGGTGGGAGGGAGATGTTTATGGTGTCTTCGTCATCGGAGGAGGATGGGGAAGAGGAGGGTTTAGGTGGGGTGGCGGGCATGGTTGGGAGGTTGGTGGGTAGCTGGGTGAGTGAGTGAGTTAGTGTATATAGAAGAGAGAGAGAAGGGGAGAAGGAGAAGGAGGGTGGGTATGTACAGGATAAGCAGAGTATTAGTATCTGTGTTATGTAGAAGGAAAGAAAATAGATCTAGCTTGAGATGTTTGAGGCAAGTTATGCTTGTTCTTTAGGGAGGAGAATATAATAGATTGGGTAGTTGTTTGTATGTAAAGGTATCAAAAGTTATCAACAGTTATTATCATACAGAAACTCCTCCAAAAAATCAGAATTAGAACTATTTATACTTACATTTGCTGTATTGATTCAACACTCATCGTCTAACGAACTGACTCTTTTCATACATCTTCGCCATCGTCATCGCTATTGACTATGTAACCAGACCTCCAAGAACGCATGAGTACATCTGACTCTGAATCTGAATCTTGGATACTCCTACTCTAATTCTCTAGGGAGTGGCGTTAAGACTCAGAGACTTGGAAAGAAAGCTTGATGACAGGAATACAGTATAGGTAGAGTGCATGGATATAGGTACATGCACACTCATATATATACACACTTAAACACACATTCTGACTACCTCAACCCTTTTATACAAACAGCCCAAAACAAAAACTAAAAAAAGAAAAAGAAAAAAGAGTCATCCAAGAAGCAGAAGAAAAAATAGAAACAAAGAAGAGTCAAACTTATTTGGTACTGACTGCAATACATATATACATACATACATACATGACTAGGTAGTGGGTAGGTACATGTTACTCACTCAGCACGACATGTTTTGACTCAGGGTTACTCAGCGCACTCAGGATACACGGTTTCCTTGAAAGCATCATTTCTTCCTCTCCAAATACTCAGGAAAAAGAATGATGAAAAAGAAGAAGAAAAAAAAAAGGGGGGAGGGGAGAAGGGGTTCTCCAACCTTGTGCTCCCTGATCCAAAGGGGGAATTTGAGTTTGGACATATGTGCATATAATACGTGGAACCACGGTACGGGTATATCATGGTTTTTGTGGATTCAGGGACGCGGCCACATGTGTCAAACCTACCAAGATAAGACATGTATGGATGGCAGATTGCGCACGCGACGGCGGCGTGTGTACAGGAGAAAATTAGAGATGAGCACGAGAGACGCGGAATAAAATGAGGTGATGGGAGAAGAAATTGTGTTTGTGTTGAAGAGTGGGACGAGAGGCTATATGTGCAGGTTCTATGGAAGGTACAAGTCATGATAATGGGAATATTGGCGGGCGGGCCCAAGTCTCGCGTCGCAAGGCGTAACGCGGTACGCAGGGACATTGATTGCAAACAGGCGGGTGGGCGCATACAACAGGTGAGTATTGGACTGTAGGCACAAGTGGTGAGGCGGTGCGAGTTGATGGACAAGGTTGCAGAGGATTGGAAAAGGGGGAAGAGGCAGAATGAAGGAAGGAAGCGATAGATGGCGATGGGAGATTGATGTGCAAGGCTATGACGGAAGGTTGGATGGGATTGGAAGTGTACGGGGGTTCGTGGGAGGCGGAGAGGTCGTGGGGTGGTCAGTGGGTAGGATGGTCATGATTTGATTAGACGGACGCGTTGGAGGGTTGGATTAGTGCAGGCGCGAGGGAGCGGCGACGGAGGTTCGTGTTTCGCATACATGCGATAGGGAAGCTGGGTGAGGTGAGTGTTGAGGATGATGGATGGGAACTGTAGGATGTGCGGCGGCTGAAGAGAAGGGTGGTGGCTGATGGCTGATGGTTGGCTGGCTGGCTGGATTATGCGCAGGTAGGTAGCTGAGTGAGGGCGAGGATGGACACGTGACGAGATGGACGGGACGAGATTGATGGAGTGGAGAAACAGCAACAACAACAACAGCAACAACAGCAACGGTGATATCATGAGGTGAATGAATGGGACAAGGGTGGAGAGTATATAACAAGAGAGAGAGAGTAGAGAGTGGAGGAGAGAGTGGAGAGGAGAGAGGAAGGACGGCAGGTTATCGCCGGGTTTGATTATAAGCGGGCGGGGGCTAACGGCTTAGCGCCTTGGCGGGGCAGCCGAGTTGCGGTTTCCCGTTGTAGTAGCGACGCCCGTTTCCCTGTTTGGCCCTCGTCAGCTTATCATCAATACTTTCACCTCTACCTATACCATACATACATACACCATACATACATACACAATGTATTGGATCACCGAGGCTGTACAGTGTACACAGTCATCTGCGAATATTGAAGGACACGCGTTGGCATCACAAGAAACGAAACAAAGGCGCGGAGAGGACGAAGAAGGAAAATAAGAAAAAAAAAAAGTGGATGACGCAGGCAGCGCCGGGGCGGAGGCGGTTCAACAATCAGGTTGGAAGCGTTTTGGCCACTCCCGCCAGCATCATGGCGGTTTAGCGCATCAAGAGGTGTTGATATTTTCTTGGAACAAGACAAGTGGAGAGAAGGAAACAAGAGGTTGTCAGGCTGGGGTGGCGCGTTGCGGCATACAGCTCGTTGCCCCGGTGTCAGTCAGTCAGTCCATCATCCACCACCACCAACAACACTGCCACCCCAAGCATGTATCAGCAGCAGCATCAGCAGCAGTAGCAGTGAATGGTTTGCATTAAGCAGAACGAAAGGCTTGTGTGCCCTCTTCATGATTGATAGATAGAACCGTGACTTGGCAATTTGATAACGTCTTTTGTCTTTTTTCTTTTCTCATAGTATCCCCGCGTGTCGTCGTCGTCGCGTTCAATAGATAAGTGACAGGGTAGCGGCCGGGCTAGCGAATTGCATGCAGCCAAACAAGGCGACGCCCATTCGATCCTACGCCCGCTCATCCTCTCTCATCCCCTCACTCTCTCACTCTCTCACTCCACTCTCTACCCTCCTCCCTTACACATCAATCAAACTCTCCCCAAACCAAAAAACGCGTCCCGAACCGGACTTGCCCACGACAAGGTTTCGCTGGCAGCCAACGTGCTCCCTTTGTGTGGTACGGTACAGAGCCTCGCATCGCATCGCATCGCCTCGCCTCGCCCGCCCGGAGCCAACCAAACACCGGACCTGCGCTTGACCAAACACTACCACAAAGTCCGCTCTGATAATTGTTACAACCATCCAGTAACCCTTGTACTATCTTGTACTGTACTATACTATACTACTCTTCATCCACCCTTCCATCGAGACACCACCACCTCTTCCACCTCAATCCGTCGTTTCTTCTGCCTGGCCTGCCTGCCCTGCCTGCCCACTCTCGCTCTCCCCGCCGCCCGCCAGTGTGTGGCCACCACCCTCACTCACTCTCTCCCACCAACCTAATCCTCGACGCTCGCTGTCGCATTAATCCGCCATGTCGCATCTAGATTACAACGCCTTTACTCATCCGTCATTACGCCAACAGCAACCCCAAAATGACCTTCCCTCGCCGTCGTCCCCCAATGCTCCTGCTCCCTACACAGACAACCCGACCTCCCCCATAGAAGGTCCCTCCGCCGACGACCACCTCTTCTCCTCCGCTCCTCCGCCTCCACCTCCCCATCGCGATCCTCTGGCCGGCCCAGCACATGGCGACTCCCTCAATCCCGGCCGCCCCTATGCTCACGACCCGAACAACTACTCCGACTACTCGCCCCCCGCCTCCATCGGCATGGACAACACGAGCGATGGCGCTTCAGCCACCACGAGGGGCTCCTTCCTCCAGCAACACTCAGCCGCCCCATTAGGAATCCCCCAGGCCCACGAGCGCACTCCCTTCTCCGACCAATACGCATACGACTCTCCCACCCCGCCCCGCGCCATCCACTCCCAGCACTCGGCCGTCTCCTCCCCGTCCCTCGCTCCCCAAGGCACCTGGTCCAGCAACAGCTCACAGCGCAGCATGCCTCTCAACGCAGGCGCCTACTCGGACAGCCCTTACAACCGCTACTCGTCCTCCAACCTGAACCTCGCCCCGCAAATGGGCATGATCAACCCCAACGAGCTGGCCGACGATGACGACTGGGGCATATCTCCCGCCCCCAACCAGCAAGCAAAGCGTCGCTCTTTTGTACCCTTTGGCTCCGGTAGCCGTGACGGAACCCCAAACAGCTCCAGTGCCGGCGTAGCAGGCGCTGCGGGAGCTGCTGCAGCTGCAGGAGGCGCACTCGCCGCTGGCGCCGGTGCGTCGGGCCCTGGAAGCGGAGCCTACGATGCCGTGCCCACGAGGGATTTCCGGGAAAAGGACGACTGGCGCGAGGGGGACAACACCAGCGGCAGGAAGAAGAACATGTGGATCATAATCGGCGTCATCGCCGTCGTCGTCATAGGTGCCATTGTCGGCAGTGTCCTCGGTACCCAATTGACCAGAGGCGGTATTGGCAAAGCCAACGACAGCACTGACAACACAAAGGAGGCTGCCTCGGCCGTCCAAAAGGATAATCAGGAGGACCTGGGCCTCGACTCGGACGAGATCAAGCAATTGATGAACAACAAGAACCTCCACAAGGTCTTCCCCGGCATGGACTACACCCCGCTCAACACCCAGTACCCGGACTGCTCCAAAGTGCCCCCGTCTCAGAACAACATCACCCGCGACATGGCCGTCATGTCTCAGCTGACCAACGCCGTCCGCCTGTACGGCACCGACTGCAACCAGACCGCCATGGTCCTCCATGCCATGGATCGTTTGGAGCTCACCGACATGCAGTTGTGGGTGGGTGTCTGGCTCGACCAAGACGCGCCCACCAACAAGAGGCAGATGGAGCAGTTTTACGATACCGTCGACGAGGAAATCAAGCACAAGAACAACCTGGATCGCTTCAAGGGCGTCATTGTCGGCAACGAGGTCCTCTTCCGCGAAGACCTCTCCAAGAGCGACCTGCTCGAACACATCTCGTGGGTCAAAGGCAACCTGACCAAGCGCGGACACTCTCTGCCCGTCGCCACCTCGGACCTCGGTGACAACTGGACCGCCGAAATGGCCACCGAGGTCGACATCGTCATGTCCAACGTCCACCCCTTCTTCGCCGGTGTCGATGTCGGCAACGCTGCTGGCTGGACCTACGAGTTCTGGACAACCCACGACGTCGCGCTGACGGCCAGCGACAAGAAGATCAAGCAGATTGTCGCCGAGGTCGGATGGCCCACGGGCGGCGGCAACGGCTGCGGCGATCGCAACTGCACGACCGACACCGAGGGATCCGTGGCCGGCATCGACGAACTAAACCAGTTCATGGAGGACTGGGTGTGCCCAAGCATGAAGAACCAGACAGAGTACTTTTGGTAGGTTTCATCCCTGGAAACGGTTTCAGTCCCATTTGCTAACTCCGCTAGGTTCTCCGCCTTTGACGAGCCCTGGAAGATCCGGTACAACGAAGAAGGCAAAGAGTGGGAAGACAAATGGGGTCTCATGGACGTCAACCGCAATCTTAAGAAGGGCGTCAAGATTCCGGACTGCGGAGGCGACACTGTATGATAACCGCCCGTCGCCCTGTTTTGTACAGCGTTCTGTTTTTGTAACCTTTTTCCTTTTGTACTGTGCGGGTCCGGTCACTCCCTTTGCACACACATGGCCGATCATGACGATGACATTGCTGGCGGGTTTTGTGGCTCGCTCTTTCGCTCTCTCTATTACATTGGGTCTTTGCGGCGTTCGTTTTGAAAGTCGGCACATGGATCGACTCGCTGGCATCTTGGGCGTAACGGATTGATTTGTTTGGAGCACATGGCTTGCGTGCATAAATGGAGAGACGCGTAGTCGGGGAGAGTGCCACCGCCGGCACAAGTTCAGCATCCGGCCAACGGTGAATATTGGATGGAAAAGTTGTGCAACAAGGAAGAGGAGGAATTGTACTTTGGAACAGCTGTTGCGGGAATCCGTGTGCATGTCGGAACTGCATATCCACGACGACTCGACGGATGCTGCCCTTCCCACACCCTCATAGAAAAGACGACGAGTACATGTTGTACAGTTGGAAATGTTGGGTTTTGCCGATAGAGAAGAAAGAACGTGTCGCAGTCCCAAGGGTTCGACGGGATCCCTTTGGGCGTGTATGTATCCACGTGTACACTTCTTTCCGGCACGAGGAGGATATTGGGCTGTAATCTGCGCGTCTGGTTCTCTCTCGCATCAGAGCATAGCATGCGTGAGTAGCGGGTATCATATACACACATTTTTGTTTTTTCCGGTATCACCCAACGACAAAGTTGGTTTACACAAGTACATAGATATATAATGAATCGAACAACGTCTGTACCTCTCTCTCTCTCCCAACAACCCCCAACAATTCAAAGACTCATCGTCCACCAAGAATCAGTGCAATGACTCTCTCTCTCTCTTTTTCTCTTCCCATCAACGTCAACGCACGGGCAAGAATGGTGACGCTGAAAAGATACATGTAGAGAGGAAAGAGTCAGTTTACTAGGTGTGTCAAGAAGCAGCCGTGCGCAAAGAAAGACTCATCCATTCATTCATTAATCCATTCATTCAGCTAGAGATGTGGGGTTCTGACTCTAAGAGACCACGGAGTTAAGAGTCAGGTTCTCGTGTTCTCTTTTTACTTACTCACTCACTCTCTGTATTTGTGAGTGGGTGAGTGGCAAGAAGAAGAAGAAGCGGCAGAGAAAAAGACTCATCTACTCATCTATCCATTCATTTAGTTACTCAAGTGGAAATATTTATACGGACAGTAGGAGTCAGCAGTATGTATAAATTCGCGTTTTGATAACGAGATTCTGCTTCTTTCTTTCTTTTTTTTTGTGGAAATATACATATACACTTACACATCTACAAACATACATATATACAATTATCTTTTAAATAAATACCTTTCTTCTTACCCTACACCGTCTCCCTAAAGAAAAATTAAGATAAGGGGGGTTTCTTCTTGTTAGTTATAACAAAAAACACGCGAGAAGAAAAAAATAAAGAACGGCAACTGAACTTTTCTTCTTGCAGTCACTTGCTTTAAGGACTTGTTCTAGTATGTACGTCTCTCCCTTATCCCTCTTCTTCCTTTTTCCTATCTATTTTTCTCTATCCTTCTATTACATCCTTCCCCTATCTCTACAACCTAACTTAACAAAAATAGTCGAGAAACCATACCCACCCATCCACCTATCCAACTACTCAACAAAAGCCACTCTAAAATCTTCTCCCCTACCAACACAACAACAATGCAGTCCCTCCCAACCCCCACAGGCCTAGTTCCCAACAGCACACCCCCATGTCCAGGTCCATGTCCCGGCGCCCCGTCGCCGCCTCAACCTGCTACGCCGCCGCCTTCGCCGAATCCGACGCCCTGAGTGAGCCTGAGTGAGTGAGTGAGGCTTAGAGCTGTTTTGGGGATGTTGCTTTGGGACGGTAGAGTGTAATGGGAGGATATGATACCTATCTATTTGGTGTTTTAGGGAAGGAAGCGTGGATGGATAGGTTTAGATAGAGTTTTAGCGATGGGGTAAAGATAGAATGTTGTTTCTTGTGTATGTCTGTGTGTATGTATGTGTGTGTGTGTAACACATATATCACCTACCTCCCCCCTTTATCATTTCCAAAGACTCTTATTGTTTCTTATAATCAGTACAGTGACCCTCTCTATTTTTTATAGTTGATGTATATGCACGGGCTAGTAGTGTACGACTCTAAATAACACACAAAACAGTAAGTAGAAGAGTTACTCTTAACTACACTTCTGTGTCTCCTCACTGTGTGCGTGTCAAGAAGCAGCGGCAGATATTAAGACTCATTTGTTTATATAGTCAGAGTGCGATGACTCTTTCCCCTTGTAGTCTACGCACAAGTTAGTGTACGACTATTAAGAACACTGGGTGAGTAAAGAGTTAGGTTGTACGCTTACACTTCTTGTTTACTCACTAATTATGTATGTATGTGTAAGTGTGAGTGTGTCATAGAAGAAGTAGCTGGCAGCGGTAGCGGCACAGGCAGAGATAAGACTCAATTATTCATTGGTGTAGTTTAGGTGGGTGTAATGACTCTCCTTGTATTCCACACACACAGAAAACACTTTGTTTCTTTGATTTGTGTGACACGGAAGAAGCGGCAGCGGCAGAAATAAGACTCATTCATTTATTTATGTAGTCAGAGTGCAATGACTGCTTTTTAGTTTATGTACATGCAAGTTGTACGACGCTGAGAAACATAGACTGGAAGAGTCAAACTACGCTCTCCCGTCTTTTTTACTAGACGTGTGCGTGCGTGTGTGTGGCAAGAAGCAGCGGCACAACAAGACTAATCCACTCATCCACTCAGTTAGTCACCTAAGTAGAAAACTGTATACAGTAACGTAAGAGTCAGCGAGCAAAGCATGTATAAATTCCGCAGTTTCTAACGCACTTTTCTTTCTTCTTTACACACACAATATACATACACATACACAGCTTTAATACAATATCTATCTATTAGTTAGCTATCACGGTACGTACAGTGTACATGTACAAGGAGAAATTTCTTTCTTCCTTATTCTAACCCCCTTTCTATTTCTCTATCTTTTCCTTTAAATCCTTCTCGCCACGCTAACCCGTCGCATACAAACACATATCTAATCACAAAAAAAAAATTCATACAGATACCAACACCTCCACACAACACTGTCAACAAACCCTCCTCCTCCTCTTCCCTCCTCGATTTTGCGTTCTAGGTGAACACACTATACACTTCTACTCTACCACAACACCCCCAACAAAAAGCTCCAACATCTACCCCCTAAAAACAAAGCTCCAACAATGCAATTCTCCGCCCCCTCGCCTCGCGCACAGAGCTGTCCAAATCCTCCTATCAAACCCGCGCCGTCGCCTCCTCAACCTTCTGCGCCGCCACCTTCGCCTGATAGCAGCTCTTGAGCTTCTTCGACATTGCTGCATCCCCCAACGACGACGACAATGTCAATGACGACGACAACGACAACGACGACGAGGATGGGGTTTGAGCAATAGGGCTGTTTGTAATGGGCGATGTTTATAGTGTTTTTTTACTCTTCTTTTTCCTTAGCTGTTGTTTTTCTGTAGGGAGATATAGGGGGAAGTTAGGTGTTGTGTTCTCTATTTTTCTTGTTTTCTCCTTTTTTCTTTGTTATTGTTTCCTAAGTATATGACCTCTTTCTCTATCTTATTTAGTCTATCTTATTTTCTGTTGTTAAGCTATAATAGGAGAGTTGTGTAAAGTTATTAAAGAGTTTATTCTTTTCCTTTTAGAAGTGTTACAGATAAGTTGTTTCCTTTTATAATATTTTTGTATTCTTTTATTTATCTTTATACTTATTTGTGTTATTATATCTTTATATTGTTATAGAGTAATTATATTAGTAGTAGGAATTCTAGTTATCTATTTTAAAGTTTATATTTATTATCTTAGTAATTAGTCTTATATTCCTACTGCAGGACGATTATCTTAGAATTACATGTTACAAAAAAATAAAAAGAACAAAGATTGTATGGTTTACGTGCTCTTCTTTCTTTTATTTCTCTTTTAAATCGTAAGGGTATAAGGCGTAGCCTTGAGCATGAATAGCTAGGCAGCTACATACGCACGCACGTACAAGGGCTACTCTGATCACCTATCAACCACCCTACAAACATCACATAAAGCAAAAACAGCAATATCCAGTACATCTTTGCCATTCTCATCCTAATTCACACACGCCTCCCCAACTGTCCTACGAAACACAACATCTACTTCATTGCCCTCGCGTACCCAACCATTCACGCGCATCGCCTACACTTCATAGCACCGAGACAATTCCATGAATTCCCACCGTAGTATGTCTTCACCACTGCTGGAGCGTTGACTTAGTCACAATCAACGCGGGAGGGACGTGAAGCCACAGCCTGTGCCTCGAACGAGACGGCAAACGCTGGGATCTTGGGATGTAGATATAAGGGAAGATGTTCTACGTTGCTTTTGTGCTTCATAGACGGGCATCTTCTACCTACCATTATTTGCGCTAGAATATCGAGATTGGTTTCCTGATTTGATATCGGGCTGGTTGATTGATTGGTTGATTGGTTCATTTCTTGGGGATAAGAGTACCTGGTGTATTCATCTCTTTATCCTCACTCTTTTTTTCTAGGCTGTTGCCTGCTCTCCAGTCCACACAACAACCCAGATACCCATACCCATCATCACCACTCCCCCTTCTCCTTCGTCACCAACCCACTCTCCCTTCGCAAAAATGCCAGCGCTCCCCCTTGACGTCCGCGATACCATCCAGTAAGTTCCCCGCCCATCTCCTATTCCCCATTTCTTCCCTCCCTTTCCCGTCTTGTATCTCTGTCCATTAACAGATATGCAACAAAAAAAGAATATCCCCACGCTTCGCAATGTCATCGATGCTCCCAACAAGCGACCCGGTCACAACCGCGGTAATGGTCTCGATCATCACCACAATCATGATGTTTATCCTGATCTTCATCGTGAAGTGGCTGAAGCGGAGATTTATGTAAAACCAGAAACTAGCGCTGACGCCGCTGTTGTGTAGGGGAAGCGGGAGGTCAAAGATTGTCCCGCGCCGGGTCGATCCTCTGGTAATGGTTCTTCTCAAGGTTATCGGCTTTACATTAGGTGGATTTTTCGTTGCAATACTCTTGGGCATTTGTCTTAGGGGAATTGTAAAAAGGGTTAAGTCGAAGAGGTCTAAGTTGGGGACGAAGACGAAGGCGAAAAAGAGTGTGGGAGTTGGTGCTCGTACTGGGTTGGGAGTTGGTGCTCGTACTGGGTTGGGAGCTGGTGCTCGTACTGGGTTGGGAGCGGGCGCTGGGACTTGCGTTGGAGCTGGTGTCGGAGCTGGTGCTCGGCCGGCTGGACTGGGGAAACCAGTTGGATTGGGGAAAATACCTGCTCCTCGCATTGGTGCTGGTATGGGCAGGGCACCTACAAAGAAAGCTGAACCTAAGACGTGGCTGGGCATGCCACCTGGGTTGGCCAAGGGGCCTGCTAGGCCATCACCTGCTAGGGTAGCTAGGTGATATGTTTTGGGCTTGTTTTTCTGTTTTCCCTTCTGCATTCCTTCTTCTCTGCTTCGGTTCTGGGTCCCCTTTCATGCTTTTGATACATGGAGTTTATGTGGGATTTGCTGGGAGCTGGGCTCGTCACATGGATTTGCCTATGGAGAATAGTAATCACTTCATTGTATTCCTGTTTCTGGCTTATGATAATACATTTTTCTTTGATAAATTATTGATTCAGTTGTTCGCTCAATGGGAAAGGTCTCAGTGATGTGATTCGCTTAGAGTATGCAGTCTTCTACAATGTGCTTCAAATCACTTTCCCCATGACCTCAGCGCTCATGACTAATTGCAGATGGGATACTCGAGTCTTTTATACACTGGTGAATCAGCATGAGCTCGGACAGCTCAGGGTTCCATGTTTAATTGGACTGAGTAGACCACATTGATCCTCAGCAAGCCGAGTAGACATCGCGACGTGACTTGGCGAAGTGATTCACCATGCGACCATTGGAAGGGCATGATTCACCTGCGATGGACTTTCACTTAGCCAGGTGTGTCTATTTTGTGAAGGCCATCATTGACTGACTACATTCATCGCGCAAACGCATCTATACGTCACCTTCTTCTCGTCATCGCCCGTCTATTCATTTAATTTCAACCGATCTTCCATCCTTATATTAGATTTGAAGACTCCCCTGATATTCCCAAAGTCTAGTTTGGGAATGAAATCTTCAAAGTAAGATCGAAATCCATATCATCATCTGTTCCGTCGTGACAATGGCGACCACTCTCCAGTGCGTCTATAATCACCCGACAGCTTTCACAAAGACCTCCACTAACACTCCGCAAGCCTCAGCTCCTTTTTCCTACTCAGAATCATTATAACCTTCTATTTCTCTACCCCATCTACTGCGTACCCTTTCCCATCCTCCCGACAGAGCACCACCGACACTCCACGATCTTCACTCCGCATGGCCCTAGTCCGCCGATGGGACCCGGAGACGGCCGCACTCGCCTGCGGTGCCGTTACCCTTGCTCTTATCGTGATCTGGACTATTTGCGTGTTTGTATGGCTTGGATTGAAGCTGAAGAAGTTCTGCACGGAGAGAAAGAGCGAGACTGGCGTAAGTGAGACGAGGGAAGAGTTGAGAGCCGGTCCAGCTCGGTACCAGGAGAACTATGGAGGGGAGAGTCCGTACGATGTCGAGCATGGGAGGAATGTCTTCTTGTGATAGAGGTATATTGTTTGAGAGTGGGGGAATTGTCTGGTGGTGGAGGATGGTGCTTGTGTATGCGAAGTTCGTCTGCAGCCTCACCCCACGTCAGTCCGAGGCCCCGCAGTTTTCTTATCCAGCGCATCGTTATAGCAAGGTACATAGGATCGATTTTTATTGAATTTCCATACTCGCTTCCTCCATCCTTCGTATATTGCTCGTTCTACTATCGATGCGCTTCTCTGGTTCGAGCTAGTGGGGATGATCGGTGTGAGTGAGTGTCAACCCCTCCTCCACAACTTGGAGCGCAGACCAGTAACGCTGGACTGCGACTGGTGACACTGCAATTCTACGTACAAATATAGAGTCAAGAAAAGTATACAGAATACCGAGACACAGCTGAGGAACCGGATACGAAACTATCTCCCCAACATTCAAAGCCTCGCGTATACATCAATTATTGAACACCAAACTTCTGCTGCATGCGCTAACCAACGTGTATGCCAGCTCAGCTGACAGGACTCCCAAGCAGCTGACAGTTTATCGCGAATCGCTGTTCCCAGAAACGATGATCTTGTACCCTCGCCTGTGTAACTAGGCACCCTGTGTGTGTGGGCCGATCTGCTACAGCGAAGATGCAACGCCCAATCGGTTTACCCGGTTCGTATATTTTGGCGAATGAGGCTCATCTGCCTAGGTGCACAATATATTGGCTCATTGGAACTAAAGAAAATCTGGATAGCTTCCCTGATTTACCTCTTGTGGGCCGTGGAAACGATGTCATAGACGAGCTGGATGGGGCGAGGTGAAATATATATATAAAGAAGTGCGGCGGAAGTAGTAGAAGGGACTTTCTCGCAAGCTACGCTTCGTAATTAGAACAAACAGGTCGCACCGGATAATTCTCATCCCTTTCTTCACACTCGTTACCGTTACATCGCACCTCAGGTTTAACCATGTACGCACTCGTTCTTCTCGCTTTGGCCGCCAGCGCAAATGCTGTCGGGCGCGCAATCGTCACAAATCAATGCGACGACCCCCTCTACCTATGGTCCGTCGGCGGTGACGTAGGACCTCAAGTGACGCTTCAAAAAGACCAATCCTACAGCGAGGTTTACCACTACGACCCCGTCTCCCAAGGGATCTGGATCAAGATCACATCGGTGGAGAACGGCCTTTTCAAAGCGAACGTCAGCCAGACTCATTTCTCGTACACTCTCGATGAACCCGCTGTATGGTACGATCTAGCCAATGTCTTTGGCGATGGGTTTGCGGGGAAAACGCTAGTCGTCAAACCGACTGACGGGGCGTGCGAGAGCATTGCTTGGGGAGCGGGAAAGCCGTCGGGTGGGAGCGAGATCAGGACGTGTCAGGCAGATACTGATCTCGAGCTGTCGTTCTGTACTGGGCATTGCTTGCCGTCGTGGTGTAAGTCTCATTCCCTTCCAACAGCGTGTTTGAAGCTGATGGCAGTAAGATCCATGCGGGAATAATGCCCCGGGCGATTCGAGAGCTTGCTGCACCCATTGTATTGGGAGTCACCACTGCGTTGCGGCGCCATGATCAGTTCTTGGTACAACGTATCGCCATTTCCATCTCAGGTGATCGACGAAGCAGCAATGATTGGTGATGGAAAGGGTTTGGGGGCGTATGATTGCCGGATAAGGCTATGACAGTAAACTCTAATGATCAAAGTTTTCTAAGGTTTGATACCACTTCCACTTCAGGTATCGACACTGCCACTCCCAATTCTCTACAGTGCCGAACTTAGCAGGGACAGTCCTATTTAACTTGTCTATTGATCGCGATGCGCAAACATCAAGAGGAATTCACTATGTGAAGCGCATATGAGCGTAACACATAGCGCAGTCAACAGGCCAGACGATAAGCAGTGTTCCGATTAACACGTGAGGCATCGCTGCTGTTCGGTTGTCTCAGGTATACACCCATACAAGTGGTTTAGGAGATCCTCCTGCAGATCCTTGCACGCAAGCCTGACATATGATGGCACAAAGTCTATCAGTAAGTGTTTCCGAAAACCATTACCGGATCAAAGCAGATGCAATCGATTCTTACGTGCTGAGTGAGCACTGAAGTAAAAAACTTGTGTTTCAAGAATTAAAGCAGATGCGACAGAAGATTAAATCAAAGTAACCCTCCGCACTACGCCATACCAGGAGAAAGTGCTCGTATCCGAGTTGAAACCTCCCTATGCGCATTGTGTTATCCCTATAGCAGATAAAGAAACGTGGAATGACTGGACACGAGCTCGGCGGGAAGGATTCAAGCCGTGCCCAGCACATGGCAAATTATTCCGAGCCGCCACCCAATCGTCTGCACACATGGCTATCATTGACCGACCAGAGCCTCAGCCTCACATTGGATGACATGCGTAAAGCTGCAACGAGAAATCCTTTACAAAAATGCCATGCTCGCTGAACATAGCCAAATCAGAGCTCAGCTGTGCTTCTACCTTACTTATGTTGCTTAGTGGTGCTGGGCAATAAGCTGGGCAGCTGTCTTATCGAGAGGTCCGAGGGTTGCTGTCCAATAGCTGGCGACATGATCCTCGACAAGAATTTCCTGATAAACTCTATCAAGCGTTCTGTCGGACTCCGTGGTATAAGATCATCCCCCCCATTCACTCACTGTGTAAGAGTGGGTCTGCCTCTAAAACAGCGCGCGGGACGGCCCTCCTGCCATCGCCTTGCTTTTATCATTTTTTCTCCACACGTTCGTTTTGTTTAGCGCATACGTCAAGATGGTCAACTTCGATATTCCAGATATCAAGAAAGACCTGCCCATGTCTATGACCATGGCGGCTTTCTCGGGTATAGCGTGGTATACCGCGATTGAGCTGAACTTGCGCTTCTTCCATCTTTTCAAGCGCCGCAAAGGTATGACGACTGAGGAAGCGCCACCAGCCCAAATGCGCGGTTTAGCTTACGGTCCGTCGTAATACAGGTATCTACTTTTGGAGCTGCGTGGTGTGTTCGTGGGGAATCCTGCTGCATCCGCTTGCGATTCTCCTTGCGGATTTCCAGGTCATTGCGGATACGCGGATAGGCATACCCCTGATATACATCACTTGGTGGATCATGACTCTATCGTTTTCTGTCGTCATGGTACGTTGGACGCATTGCTGCATTGATTGAAAGTGTGCCTCTAACCGCGATCACAGTGGTCGCGACTCCATCTCATAATGCCCAACAGCAAATATCTACGTTGGGTTCTTTACATGATGATCTTCACGACCGTATTCATCTCCATCCCTAGTATGGTGATAGGCCCCATGTCGGTAAGTCACCTCTCCTACTCCCAAACGACCTCATCACCCTCCAACACACCATCGCAGCAACAACCAACCCCAAGCGGCAAACGCCTGGTCCCCTTCTACAACATCTGGGGCAAAATCGAAAACGCGACCTGGCCCCTGCAAGAATCCATCATCTCCTGCCTATACATCTGGTACACGCACAAAAACATGCGCGTCTCCTCGCGCGCCCACGAATCCCTCACAAGCAACAGCAACAGCAACGCCTCGTCTTCCCTCCCGTCAGCTCCGTCCGAGTACTCGGCCAGCACGTACTCGAAGCGCTTCACGCAGCTCATGCACCACCTCATCGCCACAAACGTCATGATCATCGTGCTGGACGCCGTGCTTCTCGGAATCGTGTACGCCGAGATGTGGTACCTCCAGGGTAATATGAAACCTGCCGTGTACGGGATCAAACTGCGCATCGAGTTCTCGATTCTTAATCGCTTGGTTACGTTGACGCAGGCTGGGCGGAACCCGGTTGGGTCCGCTCCTGCGCCGCAGCCTAGTTTTATTACAAAATCGCCGGTGGCTACGCATTCCAGGTCCGAGAGGGTATAAATGGGCCGAGAAATGGAATATGGAGGAGTTTGGCGTTTTTTTGAGGGGTTCTTGTATGGACATTATGTTATGTTATGGATTAATTGGAAAGGACCAAGATGACAAGATAATTGCATAGAACGGAGTTCTGATGGATGAAGTCAGCGGTCGATGCCGGTGAGTATTTAAAAAATACTCAATTGCCCAATCGCAACCTCGTAACTATGTCGCATCCAACATGCCGCGAATTACAAGTATTCAAGCTCAATCGCACTGCTGCCACTGAATCCGTCTGATTATCTTTCTTCTAAGATTGATTCATTCGTCGTAGATGAAGGCATTTACCAGCCATACTCGATGAATATAACTTCCATCTTTATCATCCCTGCATAATTAGGTGAATAAGCAATAGTAAGAACAGACTAACTACATTCGACATGTTAAATTACTTGCATGAGTACCCGCAGTGTTCCAACATCACGTCTCACGCCTTGACGAAATTCAAGGCACATGAGCATGACGACAAATTATCTGATGACAGGTATTTGCTATCACGATTTTTTGGTCAGGGATCACTAGGAAAAGAAAAAATAAGAAAAATAGAAGGATGGTAGTATTGAGAATAGTGTAATGCGTGGCTCACGGCAAGTAAAGTGCAGAGCAGCGTATTCAAACCACCATGCCAAAGGCTGACGACATCGGAGTCCTGAACATTCCTCTGATCATATTTGCTTGCCATCGGCGCTTGCAGAGGAGGCTGATAAATGCGGGGTTATGACTCCACAGTTTCCAGAAACTGCACATTTGGGACTCTAGAATGATGGAAACAGCGTCAATCAACAATGGTAAACTACAAGAGCCTGTCAAATAGCTGCCACGGCAATAGATGGGTAAAAGAGCGTTGATTCTACGGAGTGAGCCAGACGGATGTACTGCTACATCGCCATTGAAAAAAAAAAGCTATAAGCAATTTCCAAAACTATCCCCTCACAAAAACCCATCCTCGACCCACATTCAAAAGGGTTACTCCCAAAAACATGCTGTCTTCTCTTCCGTCCGAAGCCACTACACCACCCCCCCTCTCCTTCTCCGCTCCGTCATCCAATATTAACTAACTAACTACATACCGTCAGTGCAGTTCAATACGCGCAGAGATCCAGAAACAAACTCACCACGAACCCTCCGTGTTCGAAGGATCATTCCCACAGATAACCGTGCAGTTCCCACCACAGCCGTTGCTGCACACAGTGCAGCATCGAGAGCCCGAGCCACAGTAGCAAGCGCAGTCGCGCTTCGCCAAGTGGCGGCGCTCGAGCGTCGTGGTGACGAGCACGACGGGCCAGTTTGGCGAGGTTCCGGGGGGAAGGTCTGGGGGTGTTAGTGTGGAAGGTAGAGGCTTGGGATGTAGAGGGTCGACGTACTATCGACTGTGATGCCCTCGGGGAGATTGGGGAAGTCTGCGGGGTTGAGGGAGGAATCGGGGGAGGCTGTTGGAGCAGCAGCAGCGGCGGCGGCGAGGAAGAAGAGAGTGGTGAGGCGCATGGTGAGGTGCATGGTGAATGTTTGTTTGTTAGTTTGAGTGGGTAATGATGAGAGTAAGCGGTGTTGAGTGATGGGTAGAATCAGGGGGACATTGACGGTTCTTAAATACCTTTTTGTCGTCCACTTACAGCAAGTTAGTTTCCCTCCTGAACGCACTTGTTGAGCTACGGATGGGAGGTACGAGCAGCCGGGAATAACGGATAGCAGGTGCAGATGACGCTCTCGTGAATCCTTTTTTTGATCCTTCTGCTATGACTAGGTGCGGCGGCGTGTTGTTGACATCATAAATTGATCCTCTGGCAATGTCCTAGTGCGGCGGTGTTGTTGATATTTCATCGACCAATCCTTCTGCTATGACTAGGTGCGGCGGTGTTTTGCTGACATTCCATCGATTGGTTTGTTCTTGGTTGATCAACATCGTTCAGAGTCATTCGTTCTATCGAGCATGTTGAGTCCCTGTCCAATAAAAATGGAGTGTGCGCAAAGTATACAAGAAAAGGTACTTGCTTGTTGTCGTGTTCATCTTCCATGCAAGATCTGGATATCTCCCTACCCGGAAATCTAAGAGACATCGCGGCATTAATTTAAAATGCTAGATGACTGAATACCAATCTTGCATCGTATATTCGAGCTTGAAAACAGTGCACAGCGGTTCATTCGAGTAGTCAATCGGTAGTTCCCGGCATTCCTCAACTAAATTCTTCTCCACATCGCGACAAGCCGTCCATCGTTTTTGGTGGCGCAAGCCATAAGCTTGTCATTCAACTACGCCGCTCCAGATCCTATACTATCCAAATCCACCCTTTGGAAGAATCACAAGACCCTGGACAAGCTCCTTGGATTGGCTAGATAGCAACAAGCATCGGCAGGCCAGTTCCGTGCTGGAAACTTTCTTTTCTGGGATTCGATCGGATCAGGCCTCCACGACTGACCATTGCTAAGAAATGTTCATGCAGTTTGAACCCCCATTATAGTTTAGAATGTGTGGTATGGAAGCGGTGGTATGGGTGGATTGACGATGTAAAATAGGAAAAAAACAACGAAGCAGACCTTCATCGCCCCGCCCAATTCTCCATTCAAATCAACGGAACAGGAAGATCAGCTTTCCAAGCGTGAGTTTGAACAAACATTGTGGATACATGTGCGATACGATTGAGATGCATCCTTCGCCAATTCATGCCACCAATCACTAGCAGCCAGCGACATCTGTACGAGCCAACTTCAAGGCTAATTGATGTTACCCAGCGCTGGGAATCATCCACAATACTGCGCAAGTAACATGGAAATGCTCTTTGTCGCTGACTGCTACTACCTGTGATTGGTGATGCGCGAATCGTGTTTTTATTTTTTATTTTTTTTATTAGCTGCTACATATATCTGCCGCATCTATCTACTGTAGATAAAAGTTCGCCGCATACAAGAGCAACTATACATGTACAGATGTAGTAGTTTGCCGCAACGACCCAAGGATTTATTGCTGCTATATTGGTCTACTGCGTAAGTCTGCCGCCTACCAACAATCTACCTATATGTAGCTGCTGCCGCCACATATATTAGCTGCTAACAGTCTGCTGCAACCGTATACAGATGTAAAAATCTGCTGCTTCTACATTCAAACAGTCTGCCGCCTGCTGATGTTCTGCCGCTACCAAACAAGATCTAGCTGTAGTAGTTAGCTGCTGCAATCACGCAAGATGCTGCCGCCCACTAATATTCTTGTAGGTACTTAGATATGTAGATAAACCAGTTCGCCGCAACCATATAACATTTAGCAGAGAGGTACAAAGCAAAAGCAGAGAAAACCTTGAAAGAAATAAAGCAAGGTGACAGGCGCGTAGGGAAAAATTGAAGCAAAACAGTTAGAAAAAACAGTCAACTAGTGCTTTCCCCTACTTATATGGCGCCGGACGTCGTCCAAGATGAATGGTTTTACATCAAGTTTCCCGTACGTATAAAGTAGGAAAACCCACTCTCGCCCTTAAGCCTGGCTGCATTTGGGTTCGAGAGACCCACCATGCTCGGCTGGGAGCTTGCATTGCGTGCGGCTTGCTCGGGATCGTGTAGATTCCGCATGGCAAGATGGGGGGGAACGTTCGACGGGGGTATGGAGCGACGTGCTTGTGCCGAGGCTTTTGTCTCTTTGATTGCCAGGTACAAGGACACGTCGGAACCGGGGGTCTTTTCGTCAAGGTCGTTCAACGTCTCCAAGGGAAACACGGGCAGGCCATTGCAAAACCACGCCTGGCGGGGCATGGGGATGCCCCTTTGGGAGCTGGCCCACACTCCAAAGTGCCCCATTGTCATGGTACGTGGGCAGTGCCACGGCCCCAAACGCTCCCCCCTGCTCGTTTCGACGAGCACTCGCACGCTCTTTGGGTCCGACGCCAGCACTTCGAGGTGCAGCGACACCTCGCGCCCGCTGCTCAACTCACCCAGGGTCTGCTCGTTGTACAGCAATGTCCCGTTGTGCGTCCACCGCTGCTGGGCTCCACGGATGTTTTTGCTCACGGAGAACTTATATTTGAGCTGCGAAATGGTCTCCGTCCGGGGACGGTAGAGCAGCTCTTCAATGGGGCCTTCGATCGTGCTTACCAACAGGCGGATGTTGTTTGGGTCCATGTGGGGTCGTGTCCAGAGATTTCCATTGCCGTCAAGATACTGGTGGGATGGAAGACTGGCGCGTTCCGTTCCACCGTCTCCCTTGAAGATCTTGTTCAAGATCTTTCGTGACCTTGTTGGAGCCTCTTGAATTAGTACTGAAGATACGGCAGGTCAGAGGGAAAAAATCTCTTGGGTCGGCATGGGCACGGGATTGACAAGTTGAGCTTGTCCGACAGTGGACTGCGGCGAGCGTACAGGAGGATTTTGGCTAGGGTGGGTGCTTGGTGGTGAAACCAACGGTGGTGATTGCTGAGAAGAAGCAAGGTGCGGGCTTGTGTGACTTGACGGGGTAGAAGCTACTTGCGTCTGGAAAAGGTTCGACGCGGGTACTGAGCCTGAGGGGTTTCGAAGGGCATTAGACGTCCGACTTTGACGAACAGGCTGGGTTCGTGCTGGATCAGGGCGGAAGGAAGGCTCAGTGCTCCAGGTGTTGGTAGCCTGCATTGCCCCGCTGGAAGACGGCGGCTCAGTGCTCCAAGCATTCGTGGCCAGCGGCACAACCTGCGAACCGCCGGGCTTCCGCCACGGATTCATCGAATTTAGATGGACACCAAGTTCGGCCACATCTTCTTCAGACGACTCGTAATCGCTCCAGTCCGCTTCGTCGCCGTGATTCTGCTCGAACCACGGATTAATCATTGCTGCCGCAGCCGTTGGGCGATCCATAGGTGACCGAGCCAGCAAGGCTGTCACTAAGTCTCTGGCCTCCTTGGTAACCTCCGCGCCGTGATAGTTGGTGGCAATTCGGCGATGAGGCTGTGTACCATATTGCTGAAGTTCCGGCCAGTTGCGGATGGGCAACTCGTTGGTCAGCATGAAATAGATCATGGAACCGAGAGCGAACATGTCAATCAGAGGTGGCGGACCCTTGAGCGAAGAATTGAAAATCTCGGGTGCCATGTAACCCGGCGTTCCTGTAACCGTGTGGTTCACCGTAGCATTGTCGACAAACTTCTTTGTGATTCCGAAGTCGGTGATCCGGACCACCCACTGTGGCCCCCGGGAGGCAACAAGCACATTCTGCCCCTTGTAAACACATTTTACCTGGATAACGTAGTCACTTACCCACCTTAGGCTTGAGATCCCGATGAACAAAGCCATTGTCATGCATGTGCGAAAGTCCTTCAAGCAACTGCTCCGCAATAAGCCTCGCCTCGACCTCAGGCAGAGGCTGTTGGAGAAAGCCGTCCAGATCGCCGAGTTCGTGATACATTGATGTGATGAAGATAGAGTCGCTCGTGGCGAACCAACCGAACGATTTGACGAAAAAGGGCTCAAAACGAGGCTGGGAAAATTTGGCAAATGCCTCAAGCTCCTTGGAAGGATCGACAGGCTGCCGGGCATCCACGCGGATCTGCTTGACCGCTCGCAATGACGGTATGTCCTCACGCACCTTGTCGCACTTCTCCAACCAGACGGTTCCGCAGCCGCCGCGACCGAGCTCGCGTATGCGAATCCACGTCTCTTTGCGGCCGCTGAAGGAGTGCTCGGTGTGCGTGGGAGTGACGACGGCGTGAAGCATTGTATCTCTGACGAGAGAGTTGTGGATGGAGTTCATGTTGACTCGGCAGCGGCAGCACTTTTACGAACAGTGTAATCAAATGAAGGAAGAGCGAGGCAGGTGGTGCGTGTTATGGATGAGGGAGTAACAAGGCTGTGGAGGGGTTGACAATCATACAGGCGCCTTCAGCTCTAAGATCAAGTTGCTCCCACGCTGATAGGTTCCAACCCCCGAGAATACGAAGAAATAGCACAGACGGAGGGACGATCACCCGACCATACCTTCGTATCTGAAGTGAGGAACTTTCTTGCCACATTCATAACTTACGGAGGCGCGTATTATAAATGTAGACAGACGCTTGCTAGCATGTTTAATAACGAGCTCAAATAGGTGGGGCGTCCAGCTGAAGCATACCACGTATGGTGTATAGTCCAGGACGTTCAACGGATTGATATATCATCCACTTGCAGCTGGCATCTGGAACGAAACAAAATGGACCCAATCGCGGCTATTACCGCAGTCGACGCTTGTGTCAAGTACGGCGCCATCATCCTCGAAAAATGCAGTAGCTGGAAGCACGCAAACGAGGAAGTCGCCGAGCGCATCGTTATCGTTGAGCACTCCTGGATGCAGACCCGCCACCAGATCTGCTTCATCGGCCGCATTCACAATGATCTCGACGCCGAGCACTGCCGCATCCTCGACAACACCATAGCCATCCTGGCCACCAAGCTCTCCCTCGCCGCCGCGAAGATCGACCGCCTTCTCGCCCGCGACACCGCTGCCGCCTCCGCGTCGCGGGCCGGAGCCTTCTTGACAGGCAAGGTGCGCCGGGTGCGCTACGCATTGCACAAGGACACGCTTGATGAAATCATCGCCGACCTTGAAGCATGGCAGCGCCGCTTCGACCCCTCCTGGTTCCTCATCATGCGACTCGCCAGCCCCGCCGTCGACGAGCAGCTCCGCGCCTACGGCGAGGAACAAAAAGAGTCGGATCTTGCACACACCCGCACGTTGGGGACAGCAGTAGTCTCGCCCATCTCGCGCGCGGCTGAGGTCCGTCTTGCAATCACGGCCACCCAGCAGCAGCAGCAGCAGCAGAAGCGTGTATTCCTGCCAACGAACAGTCACATGATGACGACACCCATTGGCTTCTCCAGGGCCGCGCTGGCAACGCTGCTCCAACCCGGTACCTCAAAAACAGAGCTGGCGGCGCCCAGACGCTTCATAGTCGACCCGCTGCCACTCCACCCAGGGATCGACTCGGTGGCGTTCGAGGCAGATGTGCGGAAGTTGGTGCAGAGGCTATCGCGGGCTGACCCAAGCGCGTTTGGACTCTTGCGGAGTAAGGGAGCTGTGCGCGTACTCAGTCGCAACGACAGTCCGACCCTCGTCCGCTACGATCTCGTGCTCTATGCGCCAGCGTTCCTCGGCAATCCGCCATTGAGCCTGCGCGGCGAGCTCCTGAGGGGGTCAGGGAGCGGCGGAGGTCTCACTCTCTCGCGCCGCATCCGCCTCGCGCAGCAACTTGCAAGAAGCGTGGCCGACGTGCACACCTTTGGCTTTGTGCACAAGAACATCTGCCCGGAATCAGTGCTAGTGGCGCCCGAGGGGGCCTTTCTGGTCGGGTTTGGTGCCTTCCGTATGGCAGTCGGGGCGACGGTGCAAGCGGGCGATGTGGTCCAGGAGCGGGAGATGTACCGCCACCCGAGCCGACAGGGAGAGCGACCCAGGGACGTCTATTCGATGCAACATGACATGTACAGCCTGGGTGTGGTGCTGCTGGAGATGGGGCTTGGTGAATCGTTCCTAGTGTACCCGCGGTCGACAGAGGCATATGTCGGAGTGGGCGTGTGTGGAAAGTCGGCCATGCAAGGGCTGACGGGGTGGAAGCTCAAGGATTATTTCGTCGGACAGGCAGGCTCGACTCTTGCTCATGTGGTTGGGGAGCGGTATGCTGCCGTGGTCATCAACTGCCTGACATGTCTGGATGTTGCAAACAACGACTTTGGCGACGCTGATGAGTTCAAGGACGATGCCGACGAGATACGTATAGGTGTTTGGTTTATTGAGAAGATACTCGAGAGACTGAATGACATTGTTGTCTGACCTGTGCAAGCAGGTAGATGGTAAATGAAGGAGTTGCTGATTCACTACATCTATGGAGGTGAGGATAGGGTTCTGCCGCGCTGCCGCCGTTATGTAGATACTCCCGCCGGACAACCCCCGCCGCCAACAATATCCCGCCGGATTACATAATCCCCCGCCGCATACTGACAGTTCCCGCCGGGTCTAACTAAATGAGGAGCTTTGCCGCACCTATACATTCCCGCCGCAATTCCCGCCGTGATTCCATAATCTTTCGCCGTACCTACACAATTCCTGCCACCGTCTACACAGCATCTCGCCGCCGGCTGGGAGTCTGCCGCCACTTCAAAGTAGTCTGCCGTACCTACATAATTCCTGCCGCATACAAATGCTCTGCCGCAACTACATATTCTGCCGCCATCTGCTGCCATTACATCTCTGCCGCCTACACACTCTGCCAGAAAACAGATAACATCAATGTCAATGCATTACATCTACAAAGCCTTTTATTTTGCCACAAAGAGAGTAAAGAGCTCCAAACGTTTTTCCATTATTACAAGAAAAAAAAACAAGAAAAAAAAGATGGATATCTAGTGAAACATACACATCAAACGAAGAACAAAAATAGACAAGAGTTTCTTTGCTTTCTTTGCTTGCTTATTCTTCCATCCTCACCATCACCGCGTTCCCCCCAACTTAAAAAAAATTCACCAATGTTGTCGCTGTTGCTAATGCCCTTGCCGCCCCTCCATCTCGCTCATCGGACCCACGCTCTCCCCCGCCAACTCAACAGGCGCAGCAGCACCACCATGATTCCCTCCTCCTCCTCCTCCTCCTCCTCCTCCTCCTCCTCCTTCAGAAGCAGACCCGCGATACGCGTACTTCCCCGCCATCGTCATCCCCGTGCCATCCATCTCAGGATGATGCTGAGACACAGCTTCATACCCTTGTCCATACTGGTACTGCTGCTGCTGCTGCTGGATATGCGGGGAGCTAGCGTACGGATTGTATCGTGAGGACGAGCCGTCCATTTCCGAGGTCGCGGGGGGATCATTCGGATTCGCGGTAGCTGCTGCGGCGGGAGCAGGAGAAGAAGAAGGTGGAAGAGGAGAAGAAGAGCGGCGGGAGCGGCGACGCAGCAAGAAGAACACTAAGAAGCCTAGCAGAGCGAGACCGGCGATTGCGCCGACGACTATGCCGGCGATTGCGCCGCCTGAGATTCCCTTTTTTTTCTCGCCTTGTTCGTTGTAGATGTTTGGGAGGTTTGCGGGGGTGGATAGGGTTGGTAATGAGGGGGAGGTAGTGGTGCTGCTGCTGCTGGAGGACCGTGCTGGATCCGTCGAGGAAGGCGAAGAGGTCGAGGATGCGGCGGCTAGGAGTTTTTTGACATCGACGGTGAGGGTTTTTGCGTTTGGGGAGGCGGAGAGGAGGGAGGAGAAGGTTTTGTCGCGGAGGTTCGTGGAGAGGTTTGCGATGGGGTTGGAGGGGGTGGCCCAGCAGATGTTTTTTTGGCCTGGTGGTTAGGTGAGACAAGAGACGGGATAGCAGGAAGAAAGGAAGGAAGAAGGTGCGTAACTTACCACTGCGTAACGTGCATTGTTCCCTACACTGAATCAGCAAATCACGACACCAAACTCCAAAACAACTCGAGTCGAGAAAGAGAAAGAGAAAAGGAGAGAGAGGAAACACTACATACCGTTCACTCCGACAACAATACCCATTCGGGCTCTGGTTCGTCGCGCAGCCCAACTGTCCCGCCGCCGGCTTCTTATCCTCGCCCCGGCAATCCTGAGAGTTTGTCCAGCACACTGCGTCCTGCGAGCCCGTTCTATCTTGTCGTCAGCACCCCAAAATCCCCAAAACAGTAGCAAAAGAAAGAGCAAAGGAGGAGGGTTCGTTACCCGCAGCAGTAATGCACATCCGTCAACGCCTCGTGCGCGCAGATACTCTCCGTCCCACACGCATTCCCCGCGCCCTCGCAGCGCGTCGAGCCGTTGGACGGGAAGTAGAAGAGGTCGTATTCGGCGTTTGCGACGGGTGCGGAGAGGAGGAGGAGGAGCAGCGTCGCTGCCATAACGACAAGGGGAGTCGATGGGTGCAGCATTGTTTATTCTTCCCTTTTCTTTTTTCTGTTTCTTGTGGGGGAAGGGAGAGAGGGGAGATGCGGGTGCTCTGGATCTCCCGTCGAGGAAATTGTCGGGCTCAGGCCGCACGAACGATCAAACGAATCGAATCAGTTGATCCCGATATTCCCCGCGGCGAAAGCAAGAGAAATGGTGACGAGGGATAGTCCTTGTCGCTGTAGAACAGCGGGAAGCGGGAAAAAGTGTAGGCGGGCGTAGGCGTGGGCGTGTGTGTGTGGTAGTAAAGTAAGTGTAGAAGGCAAGGCAAGTATCGATAGATCCGCCCAACCATCACCCACACACCCCCGTTCCCTTTTTTCCCATCATCCCATATCCCATGCAGAGATTAAACCGCCCCCAAATCAAACGAGTCACTCCAAGGAAATAAGGGATCAAGTAGTCGAATGAATCATAGTCCCCGACCCACAACTATCCAGTCCGTCCAGCCTACGATTCAAAACTCGACCAAAGCAACTACTAAAGCAATAGTCTTCCTATTCCAGCCTAACCCCATCTCATAGAACAAGGATACAACCTTACTAGCTAGGCATTGCGCCACCCTTTAGTAACAATGTGCAATAGATGGATGCTGCATGTAGCCGAATGTTTTATTTTTATAACTACTTTTCTTTTGGATGGACGTACGTCTATTGGTTTATGGTACCTTCAAGCATGTCGGCGATCCACGATAGCGCAAAGTGCGAATAACTAACTCCTCTACTGCTATCGCTATTACTGTAATTTGTCTTATTATCTATGCCGTTGAATGCAAACAGTCCCTTTCTTTCTAACTACATACATACATACAACTTACAACGCCTTACTAGGCTCTCTTAGAGATAATTCGTTGTAAGCCCAGATCAAGTATATAAAATAATCAAGTCCGAGTTTCCTTCTTTTTTCTTTAAAGTAATACGCAGCAATGAAAGTTTTATATAAGAATTTTTAATTTAATAAGTATATGTGTGTGTGTATATATGTAGAAAGTAAGTTACCTATATAAAAAAAATCCGGCTTTCCACGATTTTTATTTATTAGATTTAGATGAGAGTTGAGGTTTTGCGTAAATAGCGTAGCAGAATTGTGGATTTGCGAGCGAAGTTGAGAACTGTTCTATAACTGCCTTTTTTTTTTCTTGAGCAAAAAGGAAACAAACAACTAAATATCTAACCCATATTTTGGTTTCTCTGCTCTCCTGCCCTACATATACATGCAATATGCTCATCTGCCAATATGTACGAAGCATAACAACAACAACAACTACATGGAGAGATGAAAAATAAAAAAGACTAGGCGTGTGCCCAAAGCATTTGTTGCCATCTAGAATATAAAAAAAAAACACCAGCAATTTTGTTTGGTTTAGAATTATCTCATTCCAACAACAAAAACAACCCAAAGGATTGACAATAACCCACCCAAAAAGACGGACAAAAGAATTCAGACCAAACACCCACAAGGAACAACAGACTCCAGAATCCTGACCGGCGATAGAGGCTTCGGTAATGACAACAAGAACCATGATTGACGGTAACGATAACAAATACGATATGACGGAGGGTATTGCGCGCGATGTCGAATATATGTTGAGAAGGGGGCCGTGGAACAGGCAATCCCGTAGGACGCTCATTCCAGTATATGTACAGGTAGGTGTCGGCCCACGATCGCGGAATTTTTGTACAGGTGTGCATGGCGGCGAGACTGGTACATCTACCAAGTTTCTGCAATGTACTGGCCATCCTGCTTCTTGGTGGCCCAGAATTCTTTGGCTTCTTCCTTGTCGATGCCGCCCTTCTGCATGGCAACATCAATCAGAGCCTCCTCAACACCCTCGCCCATGCCCTTGCTGCTGCCGCACACGAAGATGCGGCCATCGAGCGCGTTGCTCACGAACCAGACGATATCGGCTTGAAGACGGACCTCGTCCTGGACGTACTTGGCCTCCGTCTGGCCGGCAATGCGGCCTTTGCGGCTCTGCACCACTTTCTTGATCTCACGCTCGTGGTCGCCAAGTTCGCCCGAGTAGAGCTCGTCAACCATGGAGTCGCGCACGCCCTGGATGAGCCAGATCTTGTTGGCGCAGTTGGCGTTCTTCAATCGATTGAGGATGAAGCCACGGAACGGGGCCATGCCCACGCCGGCACCAATTAGCACCATTGGACCGTCTCCACCAAACTGGCGGGAAAGCGGGTTGGCCATGAGACCGCGGAACATGGGCACGCGGAGGTCGAGCACGGCCGCCGGATCAATGCCTTGCTTCTCGGCGTCAATGAACTGGTATGCCAAGCGTTCCATGAATCCGCTGCCAACTCCTCTGCGAGTGTTTCCCTCCGTGTGCCAGTCGGGAGTCTCGTGCACAGTGACGGCCAACTCGATGAGGCGACGATCACCAGGAAGGCCGGGGCGCGCCGAAGAAATGTGAGGGTCGTTGGAGAGCGAGTAGAAGCGGGGCATGAGTTGCTGCAGAACGGAGAGCAGGGCCGGGAGGGGAGGCCTCGCGGATGGGAACGCGCTGAGCAGCTGGGCTACAGTCAAGTGGGAGGAAGTGCGGAGGTCGCAGAACGCGGCCTGTCCTTGGGCGGAGCAGAGATAGGTGAGAATCTTCTTCTCGTTGGGCGCGTCGGCGTGCTCAGCCATGACCCGGAGGAGGTTCTTGGTGGGCGGGAACGACTGCACGTCCACACACCAGGTAAGCAGCTCTCGACGCGTCGTGATCAGCTCGCGGGGCTTGTCGTCTCCCCAGATGGTGGGCCAGCGGCCGGTGCTTGTCTTGAGAGTAACGGGCTTATCGCGAACAAATTTGGGCACGCCCAGAATGTCAAAGAGCTCGTTGACAATCTCCTGCGAGTTGGGAGGGCAGATGCCAATGGCGCCGCCCACTTTGAAATCGACGCCGCCTTCATCGGGATAGTCGGTGACATCGAGATCGAAGTGAAAAGTCCGCTTCTCGGCGCCGGGTTTGGTCAGTTCACGAGCGTGGTAGAGAGGTGCCGAGTACACGTCGTAGGGCGGGTGCGGCTGAACAAATTTTGGGGGATCTTTCTGGACGGTGGAAACGTGCTTCGGCTCGGAGACAGGAACAGGGTCGAAGGAGAGATTGACGGGGGGCAATGGGGTGGTGTCGGTGAGCTCGCTGTCGAGGCTCAAGGGACCTAGACGCAGGTTCAAGCTCGCAAAAGCGCGATTATCAGGAATGACGACGGGCACGAAGCTGGGCGATGAAGTGTCCGGGGCCAATGTCTTGAGCAGACAGCATCCGCCACCGCAGCATTGGCTGATGAGCTGTGTAGCCGACTCGCCATCGCCCAGGATGCGGCGGATATCGTTGGGGTTGTCCGAGATGAGGGTGGTGGAAGCGCGGCGTCGGCGAGGCTGCTGCGGCTCTGCAAAGTTGACCGAGGCGGTGGGGAGTTCCTGCAGCTTGTCCACAATCTCGTCCATCTGGCGCTCTGGCTCGGTGTTTGGGGTCAATGGGGCTTCCGAGTCATCGCTGGTACTCGTGCTGGTGCTGTTGCTGTGGGTGGTGGGCCATGCGGTGGATTCGGCTGTGGACTGTGGAGATGGATGTTCAGGCTGCGATGATGACGACGTGGTGGTGGCATCGAAGGGCGGTGGCTGGAGGTTGAGCTGGGGGATGGCGGCAGGCTCTTTTGGGATTGGATCATTCGGGTGGGAGGTGGCGGTGGTGGGGATTCTAGGAGACATGGCGGGCGAGGAAGCCATGAAGCGCGAGCGGCGATGGAGGAGAGGTGGTGGTGGTGGGGATTGAAGGAAGAGGCGGTGGGCGACAAAGGCGACTAAATGTAGCGAAAGCCATGGTGATTAGCAGCTAAGCCGGCATAACGCTCGTGTATTGCGCATGGTTCTCGTTAAAGGGGGGGAAATGTTCAGACGGCGCGGAAGGGGGGAGATGTTATTTTTTTTTTCCGTTGGGGGTCGCACCACGGACGCGTGATTGTGTAATGCGGAGGGAAGAGAGGGGGGAGGTTTTTGTTTATCAGATGGATTGTGGTGAGGTTTATCTGATGGTGGGGTGACGATTTCGCGATGGACGGGCGGGAGAACAAACAAGTGATTGGCTGCCACTCACCTTTGTCGGTCGCAGGGGGCAAACAACGAGCACGGGGGATCAAGCGCCGCCCGACAGGGAGCAGGCTAGAGATGGGCAAGGGAGACAGGGTGGACGGTGTTCAATTGAGGTGATGAGGAGGTGCAGAGGGGTGGTTGGGTTAAGAATTGGTTGGCAGGTGGGGTGCGAAGGGAGTCGGGAATATCTAAGTAACTAGCGATGGAGCGGAGGGAAAGAAAAAAAGAAGAAGAAGGAAGAAAAAAAAAGAGGGCAGAAAAGACGGGACCGTATTCGAGATGGCGGCGGGAGGGGAGGACGGGATTAGCAAGCCAGAAGCATCGATTATGCTGTGCTTTGCCGATGATGATGATGATGACGATGACAAAAGGTTCGGAATAAAGTAGGTAAGTAGATGGAGGAGAGAAGCAGACAGGAGAAACAACGATGGATCAATGACGGATTGATTCCACGTAGACACGATGATTGAATCTATCGAGATGTGTGCAATGCAATGTAATGCAGAAGACGTGTGGATTGTTTGAATGCAACAAAGATTCATCCTCCTCATCATCTGATAACAATCAATCAATCAAAAGTGGCTTATGTCAGCCCACTCAATTCTCCTCGGGACGGCATATCCAGAAAACGGCAATTCGGTCCTTTTCTGGGTCCCTTTTCCCTTTTCCCATTCCCACATCTGATAACCCTTCCCAATCACATGAACAACTCTTGATTCATACTTTGTATATCTGATCGATAAGATCAATCCCATCACTACTGTGACGATCCATCAACGCTCCTGCAGGCAGCAGTTCACGCCCAGTTATTTGTTCATCCCCCAGGCCAAAGAGGATACATACGTACATAGCTTGTCCGAGTCGCCGACGCGCTTATCAGATCTCGCATTCGTTGATCTTCTGTTTGTTGGTTGGGGCGGACGCGCGCGAACGGGTTCCGATCTCGGCATTCTCCTGTCTGTCTGTCTGTCTGTCGATGCTTGGCTGGTGGTTCCATCGGCCGGAGCCGGTGGAGTAGGGCGGCATTCAGGGCCATGGCGATGGGATGGATATACTTTTATGCGCTGCTGCATCTGATAAGCCTTGTGGCTCGGTGTGCAAGGTCGGTATATACATACATGTATGTATGTATGTATGTATGTATGTATGTATACATGTGTTTGATCAGCTCTCATGCTCAGACCTGGGTAGCCATGCCGCTGGTGCCATGTGCATGTGCATCACCCGCCGAGTCGCGGATAGAAACATCGGAGTAAACCATTCCCTTTCTTTTCTTTTCTTTTTCTTGAATCCACTCCTCGTTGCTTTTTGAGTCTGCGCGATTTCAGCTGCCCAACTACAAACTCCGTGTCCGCCACATATCCAACTCTCCACCTCTACACCGCAAGCCTCGCCAACCCCTCAGCAACGCCATCGACTTCCTCCCCCCACCCTCCCCTATACCCAACCCCCACACACCCTCCTCCCCCCTCGAACCTAACCCCAAGCATCCTCTCAGCAACCCACTCCGCAGTCCTCGCGTGCAGACTCGCCTCGCGATCCCCCCCGCCATCAACAACGCTCCTTCCTTGCGCCAACGCTTGAAAAACTACTATTTGATCCCTCATCCACTCGTCTACACACGCTCCGCTTCTCACTTCCCTGACCAGCCCTTGGATGGTCTTCTCTGCTGTGGATTCGATGACGTCGCGCTGGATGTTGGTGTCTGGTCGGAGACGGGAGGAGAAGAGGTGGTCGTGCCCGAGTTTTATGCCCGTGCTGGTTGTTGCTACTAGTAGAAGGTAGAAGCGTTTTTCGTGGTGGGATGGCGAGGATGTTATTGTTATTGGGATTGGAGGAGGAGGGAGGGGCGATGTGCTGTTGGGATCAGGTAAAGTAGAAGAAAACGAAGATGAAGAGGATTCAGGGTGGAGGGAAGCTTGGAAAGATGAGGAAGTGAGCACGGTGTGGAGGTGAGATTCAAAGGCTTGCTGATGGGCGGACGGCGCGAGGATGGTGGCGTGGATCGATGTGATTGTGCCGCGGGTGGTGAGGGTGAAGGCTGGGAGTTTGCCCGCACGAGCTGGGCTGGAGCGTTGTTTTGAGGGTTCGTCGTCGTTGTGCTGGGGTTCTGGTGGAGGAGAGGGGGGTGAGGGTAATGGAGTCACGGTGTATGTCACGCTGCCGAGCGTAGTACCTCCTTGCGACCAGCCGCGTGAATGGAGTTTCGTAGTGATGGGCGGGATCCCAATGAGCGCGAGCATAGGGAACAGCACTTGTTCGATATAATCGCACGACGGGCTGTTGGAGACGTTGGTTCCACCCGTGATGCGGATGCGGACTGGATCTGTCGAGGTCGAGGCGAAGAGGATATAAGGGAGTATAGCCTGGAGAATGAGGTTGACGCTCCCAGGCGTGGTTTGTTTGATGGTGATGTCGCCGCCGGTTGCATCCCACAGGCTCATGTTGACGCCGGATTTGTGAGGCGATGGCTCAAAGGTGATTTCTTTGCTCTTGAGACCCATGCCGCGGACGCGTGCGTGGCTTGCTTTGGCGAGCCATTGGATCGAGGTCAGATGTTGGGATTTGAGACCCCCGCCGCCGGAGCGGTTCCCGCGGATTGAAGTGATGTGGATTGGAGTTGATGTCAGAGATGCTAGGCAAGTTGCGAGCCGGAGAAGCTGCCCGCCGCCTTCAAGGGTAGTGCCTGGAAGGTGAATAATGTCTCGCATGATGTGGCATGCAGTAAGAGAATCACAGACGATGAGGGATTGTTCAAGATGGAAGCAGTCTGAAAGGTTCACTGTTCAAGTATGTATAGCGTCTGGAAAAGATGACGAAGAGTGAGTACATGTGAAGAGTCATAGTTGTGGCTATGTTCAGGCCATTGTCGATTGCCTGATTAAATTGCATGGGTACCGTTTGTCTTTGAAATGTTTACTCGGTTGATGCAGCAGAACAGACGTAGATTCCATCTAACGAGAGGACTGCAGGCAGTGATGGCCATTTGTGGTGTGTCTGTTGGGGCGGGCCCTATGGCGTTGAGATCAGTCACGTGGTTAACCGGTTACCCACCGTTGATAAATGCGCAAGACCGTTCATCTCCATTACAAGAAAAGTCAATCTTTTTTGATGTTCAGTATACAGAAAAATATTAAACAGCAATTGCTTCATTGTCGAGATACACATTCAACTGAGAAGCGTGGCCGGCACGTGGGCCATTCCGAACCGCGGATGGCTGGAGCCAGGGCGCAATCGATTCCGTCATTCTTTTTGCCGACGACTCACTTTTTGTCCGCGTTTGTCCCGTCCCTGTCCTCTCGTCCATCTCATCCACCCTTCTCGCCAATTTATCGCGTCTTCCACACTTCCCGTGGTTTCTGGTCGCGCCATTCGAGCTCCAAGATAGATTGTCCTTGTTACATACTCGCATCACCATGTCCGCTACGACAGCACATTCACGATAGAACTCCTCCCTATACCTAATACATCTCCTCTTCTCCACTACCAAGCTCTCCGCACCCGGAGCTATGCCCTCCACCACAGCATCGCTGGCGAGAGCCTGTAGAAATACCGCCAATGCATCTCTCTTCGCCCATACACAACCACGCGTCTCCCCAAACACGCGGATAGCCATCGCGCCGCCGGCCGCCGCCATAATATTACCCCGGCGAAGCTTCACCTCCCTACCCACCCCATCCCCAGCCGCCGCCTTCCTTTCCGCCACGCGTCGCAATGCCTGGCAAACCCACCAGCAATCCTTAATACGGCCGTTCTCTACTACGCGAGCCTTCTATGAAGCACAAAAGAATGAGGCCCCGCGGCCTGCCAAAGTGCGCAAGTCGTACAAGCAGGAAATGCAAGAGAAGGGCGCGATAGATTTGGAAGAAAACGATGGGCCACCCGAGGAAATGGGTTTTGCAAAATCGGAAAAGGCAAACGCAGCTGCGCAGGTCAATTTGAGCGCCAAACTCAGCAGGGACGGGGTAACGGGCGGCTCGGCGGGCGGCATGTCAGAGATGTGGCGCTTGATCAAGATCGCCCGCCCCGAGGCGAAGACGCTGTCGTGGGCCTTTGTGTTTCTGCTAATGTCTTCAGCCGTGAGCATGTCGATACCCTTTTCCATTGGCAAAATCTTGGATATCGCAACCCAGCCCGAAGGCTCCAAAGAGCTGCTGTTTGGCCTCGACATTACCACCTTCTACATTGGACTGGCCGGGGTGTTGGCTACTGGCGCCGCCTGCAATTTTGGTCGCATCATCATCCTGCGCATTGTCGGCGAGCGTATCGTCGCCCGCCTCCGATCCCAGCTATACCGCAAAACCTTCATCCAGAATGCCGAATTCTTCGACGCCAACCGCGTTGGTGACCTCATCTCGCGTCTCGGTTCCGACACCATCATTGTGGGCAAGAGCATCACCCAGAATCTGTCCGACGGTCTACGTTCCATGGTAAGCGGTGCTGCTGGCTTCGCCATGATGGGATGGGTCAGTATCAAGCTCACAGGAATTCTTGCCATTATCGGACCTCCCGTCGCCATTGTCGCTTTTCTCGCCGGTCGTCAACTTCGCAATCTCAGTCGCAAGATCCAGAAGAACTTGGGCACCTTGACCAAGGTTGCCGAGGAACGTCTGGGGAATGTCCGGACCGCTCAGGCTTTTGCAGGCGAGGTCACGGAAGCCGGTCGCTACAATCGCCAGATCAAAAGAATCTTTGCTCTTGGAAAGAAGGAGGCCGTTGTGGCAGCCACTTTCTACGGAAGTACGGGCTTAATGGGGAATTTGACTGTGATTGCGGTGCTCTATGTAGGAGGTGGCATGGTCAAGAACGGAACCATCACTATCGGCGAATTGTCCTCGTTCCTCATGTACACGGCATATGCGGGATCTAGCATGGTCGGCCTCTCCGGATTCTGGGGTGAGATGATGAAAGGAGTTGGAGCTGCGAGCCGTCTTTTCGAACTACAGGATCGCCATCCCACGCTTTCACCTACCAAGGGCGAACGTGTCCAGTCCGCGCGCGGTCCCATTGAGTTCAAGAAGGTCACCTTCAGCTACCCAACCCGCCCTGCCGTTAAGATCTTCCAAAACCTCAACTTCACCATTGAGCAAGGCACCAACGTGGCCATCGTGGCCCCAAGTGGAGCGGGCAAATCAACTGTGGCCAGCTTGCTTCTCCGATTCTATGTCCCCACGGAGGGAACTATCCTTATCAATGGACGTGACATCACCAAACTGAACGCAAAGCAGTTGCGGAGGAAGATTGGGTTTGTAGGACAAGAGCCTGTCTTGTTCTCTGGCACTATCGCGGAGAATATCGCATACGGTGTTCCTAATGCGACACGCGCCGAGATTATCGCCGCTGCTCGTAAAGCCAATTGTGAATTTATCGGCGACTTTGTATGGATATCTTCCTTTTTCTTCTTTCTGGTTCATACTGACTTTGCCTAGCCCGATGGTCTCGAAACACACGTAGGGGCTCGTGGAACCCAGCTCTCCGGAGGCCAGAAACAGCGCATAGCCATTGCACGAGCGTAAGTACTTCTCGCATACACTTCGCCCGACTATTCACTAACCGTGCAAATAGTCTCATCAAGAAACCCGATATTCTCATCCTCGACGAAGCCACCTCAGCCCTAGATGCCGAGTCTGAAACCCTGGTCAACCAAGCCCTAGGCAAACTTCTGCAGGAGAAGAACACCACCATCAGCATCGCCCACAGACTCTCCACCATCAAACGCTCTGACCGCATCATCTGCATCAGCGCCGATGGCGAGGTCGCCGAGGAAGGGAGCTACGAAGAGCTGAGCGGGAACCCGCACGGCGCGTTCAGCAAGCTCATGGAGTGGCAAATGAGCGGCGGCGAGGGTCCTCCACAGATTACCCAGCGCCCGACCGAGGAAGAAGAGATTGAGCGCGAGTTGGAGATGGAGAGCGATTTGGATCGAGAAGACGCGTTGGAGAAGGAGCAAGAGGAGGAGAAAATTCGACGGAGATGACGCCGTGTGTGAATCGTCCTCCGCGTATTTCCATAGTTCCAGCGACGACGCACTTACTTGAGTCTTGTTCCTGTAGCAAAGGAACACGGGAGATCCATCATGTCTCTACGTCCAGTCCTCAACTCCTTGGCGTTGGAAGACCCCTCCCCCCTTTAAAAAAAAAAGCAATAGATCCGCGTTCCTTTTCTTTTCCTCTGGGGTAAAAGGAATCTCTACAAGTTTCACCTGCCCTTTAGACCCCCTCTTCATTATCAGTGTATTCCTTTTTTTCCACATCATGTTCAAATTTTTTTCTTTTGCATGCATGTGGCGGCCAATACCAGTGGCGTAAATATTTCTCTCCCCATCCATCCCTCCCTCTTTCTGTTCTTAGGCAGGGGCCTTTGTAGAATTAATCATGTCTATCCATCTACTTCTCCCATGTGGAACTGTCGTGATTATATGGACCAGACAGCGTTTAGGGAGCGGGTTTTAAGTCCCCGCTGAGATCGAAGATATCACTACAACCCTCATATCACACATCAATGAACCATATACACAGAATTCCGACTAGCCCCTCGTCCATGCCGTTACGTTGTATTAGCTGATGCAGTTTTTTTCAGCTTTAGTCATTGTCCACACTCGGCTAATCTACAAATTTCTGCTATAGAACAACTGCAAGAGGTCTTCCAACCCCCCCAATTCACAGCTAATAAACATCATATTGATCTATACCATTTCTACGACAGCCTCTTTTGCTCCTCCTATTAGCCTAGCATTAGCATTGAATGCGAAGATCCTGACAAGTATTTTATGAATGCCTGGCATGTCATAACACCTTCCGCGATGAAAATCCATCTAAATTAGCAAAATCGAAATCTAAAGCAATTAATATCTTTCAACAACAACTTAGAAGACACGATACGCGAGCAGAAAAGGAGACGCAACTAGCTATTCGTTTATGGTGTTGGTTATCGTACACCAGGATCAGTCTGTATAGCGCATGTGCGGCTTTTACGGAACACAAACGTCCGGGCTTTCTCGCGTGCAGAAATGCTTAGAATGGTGGGAATTGGAGGTAATTAAGTGCAGCTGGAAATCATGAGAGACTCTTCCCCGGACGAGTGGTTCGTGTGGGGAGTCGTTCCTGATGAGTTTGTGCAGAACAGACATTTACTCTGAAAGCATTGCGATGGCGGTTTATTCTGATTCTGGCTGGGAGTCATTTACCTGAGATGTCTTATTTGCTAAATTGTCTCATCACATCGTGCTTTCTTTTGACCTAGGGATTGACTTTACACGGATTGACTTTACACATTTCAGTATGATTTTTTTTGAGTATTTCACCAAGCATCTTCTTTGTTGCGGGCAATTCGTATAGTAATATTTTTTTAGTTATTTTCCATTTCTATGATCAGTATTGGTGTCGGAACGATGTATCGCTGGAGCTAGTTCCTGATTGATGAACTACAATGTCGGTTGAACATTGTACGGGGAATTCCGAGACAACAAAGGAGTACATGCAGCTTTTCCAGGCAGCCAGGAACATGAAGGCATTGAGAGCCGTGAGAAAAACAATGAAGCATTGGCCCTGCCATACTTTTATTGCGTGGTGAGGACTACGCTTTCGCAGCTCAGTTGCTGCTGGGGCCGAATATCTGCAGCATGCCCGTGAAAGCCTGGTACAGAGCTTCATCAACTTTTTCGTTATAGATATCCCGGCCAGATCCTACCACAAAAACATGGTGCATCTCCTGAATGAGCCGTGAAGTTGCTTCGATGTCTCGCTCCACTTTTTCCAACATCTTATCAATGCGCTCCGACAAAATATCATATCGCTCATCCAGTTCATCACGCTCAATATAACCCACCAACCCTGAAAAAAGACTCATGACATCTTTGTTCATGGATTGAAGCTTCCTTAAGACCATGTATAGGTATGCCATGTCTAGCAAGCAAGGGTAATGCCTGTGTTTGGTGAGATATGAGAAGATCGCACTCCACGCAACACTATCCATGAATGAATCAACAGCGCGTCGTGCTTCGTCAATACGGATCTGGCAAATCGAGATTCGATCATGGGTTGCGTATGCTTTGAGGACTATCTGTTGTTGCCGTAGAGCAGACTGCTCGTCGACGGATTGAGCCGACTTGTCTGGGTCTGACCATTTGAGGCGCTTTGAAGGGTTTAAGTCATTCAATGTCTCGTCTAGGATTCCATCGTATTTTCGCTTTTTTAATGCAGATATGTCATTCATGTCTGCACGCTCGAAGTTTGTGTGTTGGTAGGTGCTACTGCTGTCATTGGACATTGTCATTTTAGATGCTTTCTTGGTGAAACGGCGAATGATGGCGATGGGTGGAAACACAAGGGTTCTTGTTCAGATGAGTAAAGTCAAAGTAGTTTTCTGTTAAGCAGCTTCTTGATGAAAGTCCATAGTTTTATACTAATAAAGCTTTTTCAAAATGCATTACATTGTATAGGTGAAGTTTGTCACAATGACTTTGTTCATTCATCTGATTGTTGTGTATTCTCAAGTGCTGTGATGTGGTCTCAGCATCATGCAGACGCGAGCGTCAACGCTGTAGCTCTCTAAACTGACGCGTCAGTATTAAAGACATAGCAGTGATTAGCTTTAAAAATTCCTGACTACTAATTGCAGTTCAGCGATAAATCTATGAACATCTAGCTTCTCGTCATATCACGTGACTTGTCTTTGAAGGGGTTCGCATCTGATTGCGGCAAAATCCGCTGGCACCATGACGCGTTGTTGACTCTCCGCATCAACTGTCACAATCTAACAATCTATCAATTATCTGCTCCCCGTTGCAGGTACTTAGTACCTTCGCTTGAAGCTTTTCTTTTTCTTATTTCCCGAGATTCGATGTATAATTGAATCGTGACGCGACTAAACTACCGGCTACTTGGATACGCGTACATTTGATGGCTCCTAGCGAGACTCAACCAAGTCGTAATGACGACTGGAATCTTCTGGTACAAGCTATAGATACAGCGACCATCCAGCGACTCCAGAAAACGCTAAAAGAGATATGCGACCAAAGCCCGGAGGCTTACAACATTGCTCGCTCGAAGCTTCTTATTGGTACCGCAGTTGACGCGAATCCCAGCGAGGGCCAAAAGCGCAAACATGAACTCGGCGTCCAGCGATATGAGATATGCGAGCAGTGCGAAAAGGAATATGACGTGGAAGAAAATGGAGAGGATGCGTGTGCTTGGCATGCCGGTCAGTTGCTCCCTAACATACATTGATCTTTGAAGTGAGAGCGCTTGCAGGCTGGTATTGAGTCTAACGCTTCAGTAGGAGACCTCGAGCCTGACTATGAGGCAGAATTTTGGGCTGATCACGATGAAGACTGTCACGGTGTGATCGACTCGGACGAATTACGCAAGGAGTACCCGGAGGGCTACACATGGTCCTGCTACGAGCAGAGGGGAGACGTCGGTGAATTTTGCGAACATGGGCCACATGAGCCTACAATCGCAAAGAGAGCTCGGGTGGTGTAGCTATTCTGACCGCGTCCTTGAAGGGTATAGAACAATCGTGACATTCTTTCGCTTTGCGTTGTTCATATCTATACCCAGCGCCTCAATAATCTCAAGTATCGAAATCACCGTCGTATCCGTGTCCGTCATCAACGATGCTGATATCAGCCCTATCCGCTGCTACTGCAGAGCACGCACAGCTGCAGAAAGCGCTTCAAATGATATGCAAATAGTTCTTTGCCGCATTCGATACTGCCGTGATTGGTTTGCTCTTCAACCGCCTCGCAGATGAATTTGCAACAGGGTCTGCGGTTCTAAGCGGACTTAAAAAAGCGCAAGCGACTCGAAAAGTGTGAGTGGTGCGAGGAAGTACCTGGCACTGTAATGAGCCGCATAAGAACAACAATAGAAAATACATAAGAACAACAATAGAAAATACAGAGAAAGCGTATGTGACCACTGTACTTATTGAGCATGCATCTTCCATGAGCGCTTGTGGGATAAACTTCAATGAATCCGCATATTCAACCAATACTGACTAACAAGCCATGATAGGGGAGTCGCAAGTCGATTAGGACCACGAAATTTGAAAAGACTGAAATATGGCATCATGTCCTGGTTTGGTCAATACCCACGATCATCGTCGAAACCATCAACATGGCATCTTTTGGCTGCTGTGGAGAGAAGGCACAAGGCCCGGGCTGTGATCAAGGCTGGCACGAACCCAGAAAGAAGAGTCAGGTAGGGCAGTCTCTGGTCAGTGTGAATCCATCCATAAGCAGAGAAGGGAGTTATTCGTTTGAGATAGGTCGTACATTTTGTTGCTATAAAAGTAACAACGCCGGTCACTGCATCGGGATTTGACACGAATATCATTACATTAACAAATAATCGCGTACTGAATCCTCTCCGGATGTAAAGCAGACTAGAAGCTGAGATTTCCTACTACCTCTCTTTTCAAAACGATGGGTTCATGCAGAATTCAATCGATGGCACCGTTACCTGCCATCATCCACGGATGCTGCAGACATTGTTTGATCGTGAACCTCTCCTGTGCGTCCACAGTAAGCATCCAATCGATGAGATCCAACGCTGGATCGCCCACAGGGTCCCAGTACGGAGATGGATAGTCGAACTTTCCCATCTTTATCTGATCCGCCATTGTGTATGGGTTTTCTTCTGAATAAAGCTCATCCGAAAATGGTGGGAAGCCACATAAGCAGATGTACATGACCACGCCTGCAGACCACACGTCTACAGCGTAACTATACTTGCGGGATTCACTGTTCTGAATAACTTCAGGCGCCACATCTATAACTCGTCAAACATGCTTCAACAATACTGACTTAGTGATTTCTCTCGGCATACTTACAGCCTGGAGTTCCGCACAATGTAGTACACAGCCCCTCCGTGAGTGGGGTGTCTCGTACTTTTGTAGCCAAGTTGAAATCGGCTAGTTTTATGGATAATTCTTTGTCCGCTAGCATTACGTTCTCAGGCTTGATGTCGCGATGCACCCATCCACTTTCATGCTATAGAACATTAGCCTTTACTGGCTACATTGTAAAAATCAGACGCTGCTCACCATGAAATCTAAAGCAGAAAACAACTGCAAGAATAACTTCCGTGTCTCTGCCTCTGTAAGCTTCTGCTTCATCACAATCCAGTTGATTAAGTCGCCCTCTCGAGCTAGCTCAATGACGAGGTAAATCTTGTCCATCGCATCTTGGACCACGATATCGACAAGTCTTATGATATTTTCATGGCGTAATTCATTTAGAGAGTCAATCTCCTTGCGGATACCATGAACAAAGGTCCTGCCAGATGAGCGCGTGGTGAAAGTAAAACACTTGGCTGCGTAGTATACGCCTGTCACTTTGCTTTTGCAAAGCAGGACTTCCGCCGCGTGCCCCTTGCCTAATCTCTCCATGACGAGGTATCTTCTCAAGAAACCTCTGTTGTAGTCCAGACCATCCACAGCCTCACTGAGATCTTCAATGCCGTTGCTCTCAGTGAGCTCGTCTCTGTCTGCTTCGTTATCCAGCAACGGGGATGAGGGCATGGCGTCTTCGGGAACGCTGTTCAAATCGACATGAGCATATGTACGCTGGCGTTCTAGTCCTCTCATAGCTACAGCAGTATAATCGGCCGTCAGACGCCTGACAAGTGTCCGCAAACCTTTCCTAGCTGCAACAACGGAAGCGCGTCTTCCAGCTACACTATCAGGTAGGATTGCTCCGCGATCTGCAAGGTATGTGGCAATGTTTTCTTGACCATTCCGAGCAGCAATGCTAAGGGCCGAGTCTCCCCAAGCAGTTTTGGCCAATAGATCAGCTCCGGCATCGACTAACATCCGAACTACTTCGATATTACCACTCGAAACAGCTGACATGAGCACCGTCCAGTCTGCTGAGGCTTTGAAATGAAGATCTGCACCACCATCCAGCAAGGCTCTCACTGTAGTTGCATTCCCAGATACTGCCGCTCGCTCTAGCGCAGTCTCTTCCGCAATGCTAGATGCATTTACCGCTGCCCCTAGTTCGAGAAGTACAGCAACGTTGGAGGTATTTCCGAGACTCGCTGCCCGAATGATTGGGGTTTCGTGGTCGCTGCCTTTGCTCTCCAGAGCGTACCCTTGAGCCACCAAGCGTCGCAGAACATTAGGCAGGTCAAATGAGGCAGCGAGGACCAAGGCCGGCACATCGCGCGGGAATTCCTGGCTCCATTCGCTGTGTCGGTGCTGTGGTAAGCTCCATATCTGATTAGCAACATCTACAGCCTTTTGATTTGAAACAAAGGATATCAGATCATCCCATAGTAGCCCATAATCGACGCTAGAACCCTCGGAGCCCCAGTGATGTGCTGCGTAGTCTAGAAAGGGGTATCTTCCTAAACGGGTACACATGGTTCCGTCTGAATGACATATGCCGCTCGAGAAATTAGGCAATGTCAGGTAGGCCAGGCTGAGTTGTGTCATTTCGAGCTTGGTGCTGGGAAGGCGATCTTCATGGACTCGCTGAAAGTACTGCTGAGCAGTATAATGCACAAGGCGGATCAACTTGGACTTTGCATCTACAACAACGAGTCCTCTACAAACGCTTGTGAGGCTCTCGCCGTCTGGCAGATCGTCATCTTCTAGAGCCAATCCTTCGCCAGCCAGAGACTTCATGGCGTACATGTGCTGAAGCTCGAGTACTGTGAGAGTCCGCTGTGCACATAGTATCCAGAGAACTACCGTCTCAGCTAATTCGACATCTTCTTCCCCTTGTCCACGGATTCTGACTAGTGCTTGCTCGTATGTGTCGTTCAGAGTCTTTGGTAGGGTTTGCAGAGAAGACCGCACTTCTCTGCGGTTGAGTTTCCGCGAAAGCGACTCGAAGTGCAGTGTTGCGAGAAGGAACCTGTCATCAGCATTAGCTTATAATAATTAGATGAAAAGCCCATGCAAAGCATACATCCCCCGTGACTGTTCAATAATGGTTTTGATGATTTCCTCCTTTAGGGTAGGATCTGCTTGAATGTGTCTATAGAGCCTGGACTGCTGGGGAATCTGGGCTTCGAGAAACATCCGAATGTCTTCGCCTTGAGCTGATATCTCTAGCCTTGTGGCCTGCCCAAAGAAAGTATCGAAAGTTGTAGAGTACCGAGATGTACACAATAACCTTATGTTCGGACCCAGTGCTTGGACGGCTGAGATGAATTCCAAGGCTGTCTCTTCCGATTGAGTACATTCATCCAAAGCATCGACCACGACGTGGACTACTTGATGGGATGAAAGGATGTCACGGACAACATCCGTGATCTGAGAAAGCGTGGGACGGGTATCGTGCTTCTTGTGCAGATCATATAGGGACGACACTTGGGGAGGTAGAATATCAGAAGGTGCGCGTCGGAGCACTTGCTCTAGCAAACTAGATAGGAGAGCTATCGGAGTTTGGGCTGTTCTTTGGCCATACTCGCAATAAAAGTATGTTAGCATCCTGTCTTGCTTGGTGTGAAGATGATCCACGACCAGAGAACTACCTGGTTATATTAGTAGCGTATCAAATAATCGCTGAGAGGAGTTTCGTACACAAGACTCGTCTTTCCGGACCCAGCTGCGCAAGTAAATTAGTATTTGCGGTGCAAGTGTAGGTAGGATATCTTACGTATGCCCGGACACCAGAGAATGTCGACATCGCCATTGACCCAGTCAAGGAAAACTTTGTCCTCCAAGAGCCACTTGCCGGTACCAGGCTGCACTGCCTCTAATACATCAGCGTGCTTAGATCTGAAGTTCATTTGACTGATCCAAGCCAATATCTTTTCCGTTTCTTCATGCTGTCTCTTCGTCTCAATGCTGTCGACCTGCTTGCCCACTTCACCAAGCATTGCATAAGACATTTTTGCCAGTGCACTGAGCTCGCAGAATAAATCAGTATCTCCCCAATTCATTAACTGCATGATATTAATTTCAACATACACAAGATCGTTCTGCATGATCAGGCCGAAGTGCATCTTCAGCCTCTCCAGCGTTCCAAGCATCTCGGCAATAGTTTTCTTGTCAAACGGCCAGGAAAAAGGTTGCGCCACTTTTCGGATCCCTTTTTGCGGGGCAAGCTTGCGTACTATGTCCTCTAATATCGTTTTGAACAGTTCGAGAGGTCCATCAGGCGCGACGAGTGTGGAAAGCGACGCCGGTTTCAGGGATTCCTCATCCGAGTACTCTGAGTCTTCAACACGGTCTTTCAGCATCTCGAGGAGGCACGTAGTATTTCGCAGCTCATCGCGTAAACGCATGCGATCAGCTGACCCATGCTTGACATCTTTGAGGTACTGCGTAGCAGTCGCTGCCAGCTGCAGCATTGTCGCCAAGCTGGCGGCAGTACTGAGAGGATCGCTCATAATCCATGTAGCCTGCCTCTAGGCGGTACAGCGACGTTTGGTTAAGGGATCTAAGCTTCGTCGTATGCGTCGAAGCTTGGGTGAGACGACCAAGTACCCGATGATGTGAGGAGTCCGTTCTCGATCCAATTGATGTCTACTTGTTGGCAATGTTTCTCAGCTACAACAATATTTCCGCAGTATGCGGGGCAGATCAATCACGAGCCAATGGTTACTTATGGCGTTGCAGGGGTGAGATCTGCAGGAGTCGTGTTGTCGATGTAGTACTATGCGCAATCACGACGTGAAAGACGTGTAGATAACGAAATATGCTATTTTATATCACGTGTCCGTGCCGTCTCAATGCATGAGATGATCACGTCGGACATTAAACAGTACCAAGTAGTTGAGAGTGGCATAGAGATCAAAATCTTGCGCCGGATCTCATCAATTGATATGGCTCCAAACTCCTCACAGTATGTGAAGAACTGAATGCAAATTTCCACAATAAAAAAAATTCGGGAGTGCCTTGCTAAAAGCCCGTCCTGCAAGGTCACATCAGGATCATGGGAAGTCCAATAGGCAGAGCCATGATAGCAGGCGAGGGGACCGAGGGGACAGTTTTGAGTGCTGGAGACCATGCCAGATTCTTAAGTGACTTATCAGACTTTTCATGGTTTTCAGACAGTAATGTTGAATGCGCATACCCAGGTGTACATGAGCACTTGATGGAAAGGACTGGCACGTGCCCACAGAGACATGCACTTAGTCAGCAGCTCGGAAGATTGATACGCCGGCGCTAGCTCTACCTCACCGCATTCCGAGGTGTTTGATCATCTCATGTCAGTTACAGGCTTCACTCCTTCTTTCCTTCACCATCAACTTAACGAAGTTTACGACCCATAACGACTCTCCTGCTTGATTCTTTTCCCGTGTTCGACTCTGCGTCTCTCTCTGTATTCACATAGATTGCCTCCCACTGCTCCTTTGGCCCATATACCGCCCAACCACCCATCTTGGCTCTACCACCGAACAATCTCCGGTCCCTTAGCAAATCTCCCGCTTCCTGCCCCTCCCTCTTCGACCCCCGATCGACCCTTTTTTTGTATACCCAACAGCTTCTTTCTTTGTTACCCCGTGTAGAACTCGCTTTCAAAGTTTCGCCATGCCCGAAACTACAAAAGTGGTCCCTCTTACCTGCCATGGCCACTCGCGCCCCGTCCCCCACATACATTTTTCGGCCCTCAATGCCGAAGACCAGTACTACATTATCTCGGCCTGCAAGGATGGAAACCCCATGTTGAGAGATGGCATCACCGGAGACTGGATAGGAACCTTCCTCGGACACAAGGGTGCTGTGTGGCAGGCGAGATTGTCTTCAGACGCCACGCTGGCCGCGACGGGATCGGCCGACTTCTCTGCGTATGCCTTTCTAATGCCCTACTTTCCTATACATGTGCATCGCTAATAGGAGTTTCTGTGTAGCAAAGTCTGGGACACCCACACTGGCGAAGCGCTCCACACCCTCTCTCACAATCACATCGTTCGCGCTGTCGCTTTCCCGAACCAAGCAGCTCCCCAGATCCTGGCCACAGGAGGCATGGAGAAGAAGCTGCGTATCTTTGATCTTTCGCGAAACGATAACTCCACTTCTGCGCAAGCCACCCCCTTTAGCTACGAAATCGGCGCCGGCGTGCACACTGGCACCATCAAGTCCATCGTATGGGCATCTGATCCCAATATTCTCATCACGGCGGCTGAGGACAAGAAGATCCGTTGGTGGGATCTCCGCCAACAATCGACTATTGGCGAGTTCACTGTGGATGGCATGGTTGGATCCTGCGAACTGGACAACACATCTGCGGACGGCATACTGAGCGTAGCCGCTGGAAAAAGCGTCTACTTCTTCAACAGCCTCTCCCCCGCATCCTTGATCAAAAGCATCAAGACCGACTACGAGATCGCCAGTGTTGCAGTGCACTCTGGGCAGCGCAAGTTCGTCACTGGCGGTAGCAGCCAGAACGACACATGGGTTAGGGTTTGGGACTTTGACGAGGAGAAGGAGTTGGAAACGAACAAGGGTCACCACGGTCCGATTTGGTCCTCGAGCTTCTCACCGGATGGGAAGCTCTATGCGACGGGTAGTGAGGACGGCACCATCAAGCTCTGGAAATTCACGAGCGGCGCCTATGGCTTGTGGAAGTAGACCAAGCGGGTGGATGGGGAGGACATTACGATTGAGCGCACATGATTATGCTTGATAGATAGGTGGAGAAGATTCCAGACGATACAATGCAGATACAATGCAATCCGCACTTAGCGATGCCAGTGAATTAAAGACAACCATTGCATCAATTATAAATTCCATCGCCTGCGTTCGGTCGGTTGTGATCCAGATGATAAGCGGCTTGCGTTCCCTCGGATCATGCGGCGTCTCTCGTACATCTCTGTTCGATCTTCGGATACACTATCCTGCTCCACTACTATGCATGATGAGGGGTAAGTATTCCCACAGATCAGAAGCTATCATCCTCCTGCTTACTGCAATTTAATTGATACTGGTTATTCACACACGTGGGCCACCTCTAAGCACTTTTGAGTACAATTTATACCAGTTCGTGCTGAAGCCCCGCTTGTACAGTCGTATGCAGGTAGCTCCGATTACGCATCGAATTGCCCAATCCGGCTGTTCCCGAAGGATCACCTCTGCATTCAAGTCACCGCTAGCTGGCATGGGTGGTGATAGCCATCATTAACTGACTAACGATAAGGATCCAACCTCTGGAGATACCGCCACCGAGTTTATATACCGAGGGCATGTAAGTGATCATGCCAAGAGTGGGAGAGTTTCTGGTTTCGTGTTCATAAGCTCGACTTCCCTCGTTGACGTTGGAGGTTCCTTTCCCAATTGATCGTGGAGGGGTAAACCGATAGGGTCACACAGTGAGCTGTATCTCGGTCATCGTCCCCGCGTGGCTTTCTCTATACCACTTTGTGTGCCGTTTCGCCTGTTTTGTGTCGAGGACAATTCAGATCGAGTGGAGTACTACCTTCCTTCATCATGAGCAAAGAAGAGAAACCAGACACCGTCACCGCGGCACCGCCGAGTGTGCGCGAAGAGAATCTGGAGGCCGAGAAGCAGATACGTGATATTGGCGCAGATCTGTACCTTGAAGTTCAGCAATATTCGCGCGAGGAATTGGAAGCAGAGAGCAAAATTGTGTTGAGGAAGATCGATCGGGTTATAATGCCTATAGTGAGTGTGCTGCACAGTGGGATGTTACTTTGATGAGGAAGTGAAAGCTGACTAGAACCAGATATGCATGACATATTGCATCCAATTCCTCGACAAACTATCTCTCAACTATGCGTCCGCATACTCCCTCATCCCCGATCTCGGCCTCGAGGGTCAGCGATATAGTTGGACTGCAGCTATATTCAATTTCGGATACTTGACATGGGCCCTTCCAGCCAACTACTTGATCCAGAGATTGCCGGTTTCGAAGTATACAGGCGGAATGATCCTGACTTGGAGTATCCTCCTCTGCTGTCACGTCGCCGCTAAGAACTATGCCGGGATATTGGTCCTACGATTCCTGCTCGGCTGCTTCGAAGCCTCAATTTCCCCCGCCATCATGATGATCGTCAGCATGTTCTACACCCGCGAAGAACAGCCCCTCCGAATGTGCATCTTCCTCGCCTTCAACGGCGCCGCCACAATGCTCGGAGCCCTGCTCGGATACGGCCTCGGCCACGCCCACAACCCGCACATCAAAACCTGGCAACTCATCTTCCTAGTCATCGGCCTCATCAACTTCGTCTGGGCCTGGATCTTCCTCTACATCATGCCCGACTCTCCCTCCAACGCCCGGTTTCTAACCCACAAACAACGCCTCGTAGCAATCTCCCGCATCTCCGCCAACAACATCGGCGTCAAAACCACAGTCTTCCGCCCCGCCCAAGCCCTCGAGGCCCTCATCGACCCAAAAGTCCACATGCTCGCCCTCATCGGACTAGGCTGCGGCGTCGTCAACGGCGGTGTATCAAACTTCGCATCCTCGCTCATCAAAGGCTTCGGCTTCTCCGGAATCACAGCAACACTCCTCCAACTCCCCACCGGCGCCTTCGAGCTCGTCCTTGTCCCGCTCGCCGGCCTCGCAGCCGGATACTTCCGCAACTCGCGTTGTGCGGTCCTAGCCATCATCTGTCTCCCTCCGCTCGCGGGGCTCATAGGAATCCGGCTCACGCCCCTCACGCACCGCTGGAGTCTCGTAGGCTGCACTTGGCTGCAATATCTCATCGGCGGTCCCGTGATTCTCTGCTGGAACCTCCTCACTACCAATATCGCGGGCCACACGAAACGCAGCACCGCCAACGGTCTGTGGTTTCTCTTCTACGCAGCGGGGAATATCGCGGGTGCGAATATCTTCTTTGCAAGGGAGGCGCCGAGGTACTTTTCGGCGTTGACGGGGCTGATCGTTTGTTATGTGGGGATGGTTGTCCTTGCGGCGGGGCTGGCGGCGTATATGGGGTGGGAGAATAGAAGGAGAGATGGGAAGTTTGGAGCGGGGGAGGTGGGGGAGGCGGAGAGGGATGGGTTTGGGGATAAAACGGATTGGGAGGGGAGGTTCTTTAGGTATGCGCTTTGAGGTCTGGTGCAGGGCTGGAGAGAGGGTGTGGGTGGGACTTGGGCGGATGGGGTGAAGATGGTCTGTATGCAGTCCTTGGATGTGGTGATGATCACTTGGTATAGTGGCTTCGAAAATTCTATAGACAGCTTATTGGAATATATGTGAATAAGTTTCATTGTGTGTTGCTGCAGTACATTGAAATTCGCGGGCAAGAGATATTGGTAGAGCACTAGAGAAAGGAACATGATAATTTTGGAGACCTCTACTTGCATTGTACTTGTGTATGACACATTTATTAATCGCGATATTCATATACCAGAAAAGAAAATTTCATTCTAATATTTATCAATTCTCATACTGTATGCCAGAACCCTCAAACTGGCATGCGCGATCGTACATGTTGGAAATGCGACGATCAATCATAGAGATATAGTTCTTCCCGGAACATTCCCCTTCCATCAATATTCCCAAAATTTCAGAGAACTAAGTCCGCCAGCTCGATGAACAAGTCCTGACTAAAGACCGGAAGTTCCAAGACAGCTCTCTTAACCACGTCACGCAGATTCTGGAGCTGATCGTGTTGATTGTGCTTATCGATCCAGTTACGAGGGCGTTTGATTCTGGTTTTAAGACGCTCAAGCAAGATCTGGAGTATCAGCGGTTGCGGCTTCGTTGCCGAATCACGATTTGCGTACAACTCACGTACTAGAGTCATAAACTGTTCTGCCTCTACACCTCCAATGATCCAGCTATCAATGCTAGATTCGATAAATCCGTCAGCGTAAAACTGTAGCTGCTGCAGCTTCTCGAACTTGTACTTTTCTGCGACCACGTCTACGCGGAGATGGAGGAGCACCGACTTATAATCGTCGTGTTCTTCATACGTGTCATCGAAGTATGCATCCTTTGAGTACTTCTCCTTTGAGTACATGTGTCTCAACATGATCTCAAGAGCCTCGGGGTCGTCGTCTTTAAGGACAAGTTCATCTTGCTTTTTTTTCTTGGAGTCCACGCAGAACGCTTCATGGAACCAGGGAGATTGTGCGGCTAGGACCACCTGGTGGCCGTAGAAAACTCGCTCGCCTTCTGCTCCGTAACGTATCACTACGTCAGAGAGAACTTGTGAGTTTTCGAAGGCTTCCATGCCTTTTTTAGAGGAGGCTTCCATGCCGTCTTCAGAGGGGCCGCGAGCACCACTGGCGGCAGAGCCGGGAGTTTCGGATGTCATAACTTTTGCGGTTGAGTGATGAGATATTCAAGTGAAAAGATGTTTTGGTTGGGGTACAATTGAGTACGGCGGATGATCTGGTGAGAAGTTATCGATTGGGGAGGATTTTCAATGCGAAGATAGTGGTTGAAGAATTCGGTGATTGACTTTTGTGGTGGTTCAAGTAAGAGACGAGCAAAGAACAGTTCCACGGGGGTATTTATACATAACTGTGACCGCGCTAAGTACTGCGTGTTGTGTTTGAACAGCAATCTCTGAGACATTGTTTACCAGTCTCTACGTGCAAACGTATAGTCTGTACCTGAATTCGGAACAGATGTGTTTGCACAATGGTTTTGCATTGTTGAGACATGTAACGGAAGGCAATCCAAAATCTCATAGCCGGAGATGTAGCCTCCTAAATGCCATGACAACCAGTGTCACCATGGAAACTGACCGATACTATTCTGACTCCATGTCTCATAATTCCCGTCACACATTTGACTCGCCATCTCGGCTATTTCCCGCCCGCATTCTAGTAGTCTTCATCTCCACCTTAAGCTCTTCTCCCTCTCCACCTAAAGCTCTTCTCCCTCTCAAATCTAGCTAGAGACATGTCTTGTCCAAAGCAAGGCAATTGTTCAGCTGTATATATAATCGTCTCCCGCATCTGTAAATTTTGATAGGCACGTCCAGGTGTCTTAAAGTAACACTCAGTAAGATAGCAAGCTAACCACTTTGTTATTAGGGGCCTTGATAGTGTTCCTGACTCGCATCAATCGTAGACATGCTCCACCATTTCAATGAAGTCTTGTGAAGTATTATCGCGATCAGTACTGACGATTTGGTCCCGAATTGCTTTGATGACCTGTATTCGTTAATCAGAAAATTAGCGAAATATATGTATCGTTGAGTGATGAGCGACATAGCTTGCAAAGTTCGCGCTGCTTGGTGTACTCTGTATTGTAGATTGAACGTACCTGTCCTTCGGCTTCCGCCTTCAGCTCCACAAACTGATATTTTTCCGCAATTTGATATATGTCCGCGGAAACATAAACTGGCATGTAGTCGTGTCTATCAAATAAATCGCACCATGAAAACCCGTTGGTGTGGTATTTCTGATAAGCGTACTGTAAGACAAGCTCAAGAGCTTCCGGATCGTCGTCTTTTAAAGTAATCTCATTCTGATTGCGCTCCTAGCACACTGTATCTTAGCTAATAAGTAACTAAAAAGATTTCCTTTAATTACTTACTCTGAAATTGCCGCAAAAGGCTGCTTGGAACCAGGACGAACTAGAGGCGAGTATAACCCTATGGCCGTAGAAGATGCGCTCTCCTGATTCACCGTATTTGATTGTAACGTCGGATAGGTCTGGACAGTTTAAAAACCTGTCATATAATCAGAACGCCTGTCCCGTGCGGAAGGGAAGAGCTTTTAGTACATACGCCAAAAGTCCCAGATTTTCTTGCTTGTGTGCACCTAGTGCAGAAACTGAAGTCAGCGAGCTGCGCGCAGCTACCAACGGGGGGATGAGGGAAGACTGTAAAGTACCACTGATATGCTGGCTGTTGTTCTGATCGGGGGACGCGTCGGAATCATTCGAATCCATAATGTGCTGGCCAGATGGAGGTGAAAGTTGAAGGGAGGCGATGATATGCGCCGACAGAGATGAGTAGGAGGGTTGTCGCCATGATCAGTAGTCACTGCGTCTTTGAAATACAGCAGTCGCGCTAAGGCCCCATCTGATTGGTCCAAGTAAGTCATGCCAAACTCGAGGATCGATCGGCGGTGAGGGTGAACAATTGAACGCAATTGACAGTAGATCACGTGACAAAGGTGAGTACGTCTCCCTCACCGACTCATCTCTCAATCGTGAAATTTATTGAATTTTACCAAATAGCAATGTTGCAACGAGCTTATGTTGTGGATCTGAGGTTCACGATGAGGGTCCCTACACAGCATCGCAAACATTTGCGGTTGATTCCGAGAGTACTTCATAAGAGCAATCCAGCGGCAAGTCCTGCTCGTGTAATATAGAACACATTCTTACCCAGTTATAACTGTCCCGCTACTTGCCATGCGATTGGTCTGGCTTCTCCCAAGCAGAAGTGGATTTTGAGAATGTCATACTAATGAAGAGTGTCAGAACCTCACGTTGATCCATTTACCAATCCAAATCTCAATTGAGCTACCGGCTCCACCAGATATTCATATGTCCTAATGTTTGCGCCCGAGCTCGTCCACCAGAAACATATCGTTTACTCTCCTGCATTTTCATTTTCATCCAGCATGTTTTCCTCTGTGTTCAAGAAGAGCCCTTGCCCGAATCTTGGGATACGTTTTGCTACATCCAGAACTACTCGGCGCAATCTATTCTCTCCCGAAGTAGGGAGATTCCCGTGTAGCGCATTGCAAACATGAACCAAGAAGTCCTGGAAAATGGCTTGTATTGGGTGAGACACGGATGAGCATTCGTGACATAGCTCCGCGACAACCATGAGCATGACTTGCTCTGGCTCGCCGTACTCATCTTTTGCAATGTCATCGAGAAGATCTGACAGATCTTTCGCCAACTTCCCCTCTAGTACACGTTGTGTCTTGGTGCATTGATATTTCTCAGCAATTTGAAGCATTTTCAAGCGCTTGACAATCGATTCTGATGCTGAGTCCCCTTCATCAGCTTCATTCAGAGAGCCCGTGTGATATAGACCACGTAGCACAAGCTCTAAAGCTCGTTCATTGTCACCAATCAATCTCATATCCCTTCTGTATGAAATCTACTCGACTGTCAAACACGAAGTAAATTGAATCTTAATTTCCGGTACTTACACCTTCATCGTCCCCAAAAGCCGCTTTGAACCACGGAGAACGGGCGGCAAGTACTACCTTGTGGCTGCGGAATAGCAACTCGCCTGATTCCCCGTATCGAATTGTAATGTCCGAGAAGATCTTCGATCCCGCAAACCTATGTATCTACTTAGTCTTTGATTTTTGATGACGTATCACAGCAATGCCTACATTCCCAAGCCCAGCGTGTCAGTATAGTGTGTCCTACTGACGCGCGAGTCGGTATCTTCTATCGCGAAAACCATGATAGCTTTGGTGCTGTCGCGCGATTCACAGTGCAAGTCTAAGAATTTCAGTCCGGGAACTACTCTGTGTTTTGGAGGGGCATCGACTGAGATAAATATGCGATCAATAAACTCGTTGGGCTGGAGTTTGGACGTAGTCACGCAGAAACTGTTTGTGGACAACTCTCCGCCGCTTGTTCACTTGAGTGCAAGCCGCAAAGGATCGATCCGCTCGCACTCTTAGCTTTCTATTCAATGCTACAAGTCGTGCAGCGTAAATAGATACACATCTTGATGCGAAATTGTTTTACCGGACAAACCCTAGCATAAGACCTCCGCTGAATTTTCCCCGTTATTGTTCTATCAGTTCCGGTAATAAGCAGCTGGTTTGTTCTAGATTGTTCTAGATTGATGGGGATTTGCCTGGGCTTGGTGGCAAATCTCCCGTATCCCACTCGACCTTTCCATCTCCCAAAACAAATTCAATGGATGCTCCATCTTCGCGTATCAGGTCTTCATGCTCAACCCAACTCTTATTCCACTGTTCACCGTTAACCTTGACGCTCTGCACAAAATCCCCTTTTCCACCCTGTCTATCTGCCGTAATTCTCAGCGTACCGTTGCCCACAGTCATTGTAATATCGTCAAATCGTGGGCTCAACAACAGATAGACCGGCTGCGTAACAACCGGGTACAGTCCAAGCCAATTCCAGACCAACCAGCTACTCAAAGCTCCCGCATCGTCGTTACCCGGTAGACCGCTCGCATCGTTGCCGTAAAATTCGTCGGCGATTTGTCGTGCCATGGATACGCTCTTCCACTGCCGCCCGGGGAGATAGTTGTACAGGAACGGTGTCATGAAACTGGGCTCATTTCCTGGGTTAAAGATCATTGATCCAGCGCTGTTGCCACCTGCGTCTGAACCGGATAGCCCCGGAATAAACATGGCATCAAGGCGCCGCTCGGCAGCCGCTGTGCCACCCATTGTCTCTATGAGAGTCGCCATATCAAATGGAATAGTCCAAGAGTATTCCCACGGCACTCCTTCATAAGCGACAGAGAGCCAGTCGCAAGCGCCACAAGAAAGGGGATCATGGGCCGCATGAGATCCGTTGGCGTACGTAGGAGCCAGGAAACCGGTAAAATTTAGCGAGGTGAGGTTGGAGTCCCAGAGATTTTTCCACCCGCGAGATCGATTGAGATACATGTCGACCTCCTGAGGCGCTTCGCCACGCGCTACCTGCGAAAGCGCAAAGTCGTTGAGCGAGTACTCGACAGTTTTGCTCAAACTCCGTCCGAAAGAGGGGGTCACAAATCCGTACCTTTTCCAATCTTCTAGCGCACCGCGGCCTTCTTTCGTGCTGCCTGATGGGTCCTCGAAATCGAAGTTATTGTACGGGACTACCTCTGCATTAGTCTTCATAGCTTTGTAGCCATCTTTCCAGTTGATTCCTGGAAGACCCTTGACGTATGCGTCAGCAAGCACATTGTCAGAATTACTTCCACCTTGCACGCGCCCATTGTGGTTGTGCGCTCGACCTTCTGGCATGAACCGTTCATGTCTCCAGATGTCGATCATTGACCTTATGATATCCGTCATTCTTTGCGGTACAATCAATGTGTGTAAGCCATGCAAACACCTGAACGTGTCCCAAAGCGTGTAGTAGTCATCGTAATAGGGCTCATCGGATTCCCAGTACGGGTTCTCGCCTGTGCGGTCCGAAGGTAGGAGATGGCCATGATAAAGCGCCGTATAAAACATGGTGTTCTCGGTATCATTGTTGGAATTGATTTGAATCTTCGACAGAACTTCCGTGTTCCACGCTGTCTTCGCTTCGGTCACGGTTGTATTGAGATCCCAGTGCGGAATCTCATCTTCGAGGAATGCGCACGCTTTCTCTGTTGATATCCACGATATTCCGACCTTGGACATCACAGTTGTAGCGTTCGATGGGAACTCGAAAAGCGCACCCACGCGATCCGCGTATTGGTACCCCACAATACCTCCAGTAAGGTAGTTTGAGTCGCTAAAAGTCGTTGATGTGAATGTCGCATTCGGCCAGTAAGGATCAGTAGCAGGTCCGGAGAAGAATTTCGCTTTGGTCGGCGTCGTGTCGAATTTTCCGCAAAAGTAGACTCGGAAGTCCCCTCCGCCGACCCAGCCTTCTCTCCAGACGCCGTAGCCCATATATTGATCTCCATGTTCGTTCCGCTCCAACACGCCGTTGCTATACCATTGTTCACGCTTTCCTTTTGACGGGATGAAATGGCTGAGATCGATCAGAACATTCTTTGCGTCGTTCGCAGGGTAGGTATATTTCATGATCCCAGCATGCTGACTCGCGCTCATCTCGGCTACGATGCCATTTTGCAGACTCGTCTTGTAGTAGCCCACGCTTGCTTCATCCGGCTTCGTACGTGGCTGCATATATGTCATATTGTCCATGAGATTCACTCCGTCCAGATTTGTAAGTGGCATCTGAGGTACTATGCCGTAGGTCGGCGCGCCACCTGTCCCACTGACATGAAGCATAGTGATCGCCGTCACGTTGCCATCGGGCGTATATCCTGCATTGGCCGCAAACGAAGTGTTCCACCTGAAAGACAGCAAATTTGAATTAGTTCAAGACGTTGCAACCAGAGCCAACATAGCTGGCTTACCTTGTAGTGTCGATTCCGACCTTCACTGCGCCAAACGGCAATGCGGCGCCCGGAAACACATTCCCGCTGCTGTATGCACTTCCTGGAACTGGGCCCTCTGTTCCGATGAAGAGGTTCACATGTTTTGTATAATCCTGCTCGATTGCGCGTGCTAAGGTGGGTATTGTACACCACCAGAGGTTATTTGACCGCATCTCTTCTTGTTACACAGAGGAGAGCAATGTGAAAAGAACGATGTACACATGATGGCCCAAAATTCCGGCGGTCAAGAAAGTTTTGTGGTACCGCGAGAATGAGCTCATCGCGGGTGATTAATCGGCATTGCGCCTAAGCTGGGTTACTCGGTCGGTAGAATCTTGCGGGGAAAACGGACTTGTTGCCGGAATTGTCCTGGTGTTTTCTGGTGTCTTGGGGAATTTGTACACTAGTGGATAAACATTCGAGGAAGTATGTCATCAACGCGACAGACTTAGAATTCTTCCATTGGATCTCAAGCGGAAGTTTGGGGACATGCACGAGGTATTCTTATCTAACATGGGCCACAACTTCCTACGGGCAAGCCGTGCAAAATGAAATGCCTTCTCATACTGAAAGCATGATGGCCATACAACGATATAGAATGAACGGCAACTCGTGGCCCCCATTTTCTTTGGATTTGCCCTGCATTGAACAAGCTGCACATGATTCTAGATGATCTCCTTCTGACCGCCCCATTGTCGGCGCGCAGTGCAGTCGATAAGTGCTATCAGCACAGGTTTAGGATGTTGATCTTCGGCAATAATCACCATTCCCTGTTGATGAATAGACATGAATTGTTGCCGAGCTCCATATGTACTTCGAGAAATTGTGGGCACACTGGTATAGAATTTTTGCGGAATGAGTAGCGGTGCGGTTCCTAGTTATACTCCTGACCTATTTTAAGCATTTCTACGCTTAACACATATTATACGTTGCCATCCTCGTCATGTAAGTTTGAAATGGTTCTGCTGTAGCCCTCCTACGGACATGAATGTGACAATAATTGTGCGAAATGAAGTCCCGCCGTCGAGTGGCTCGAAGAACAACGAATGGTAGCTCATGTTGCGTACTCTGTATTAGTATATAAAATCACAATGATAACATGATTTTCAACTTTCAATAATATATCTAGAGAGAGCTGCTGTATTCATGATATCTCTACTGGTGAAACGCTAGTACCAATCGTGAATCCACGGCCCACTAGCAAGAAAGCGATCATGAGCAGTTCATACAGTGGGGCCTGGGCACAGGAGGCATATATAGCTTCGGATGCCTATGTCTGACCTATCACCCGATCTCATTCGATCAACTGAAACCATTCCCGTGAGCGTAAACGGCAGAGGAAGGAACTGCACACAATAACTAGTTCAGCCACCACGCATGTCGACATCGCGACAACCCTCATCGATGTGAAAACTGAGATCACAGGCCCATATCATGGACTGAATGAAGCCTAGTAGCTCAAGTCGCTGCTGTAAGGTGAGGTATCACGGTTTCCGACAGTCAGCATTATCTTCGGGAGCATATCTTGAGCGAACGCCGCAATCTGCTTGGAAGTGTCTACAACGGCTTTGTGCACATTGGGACTCCTGATGCTGAATACCCCCGGGCTTTGATCACAGAGCACGTCAATTATGTCTTCGGCAATCGCAGGGAGGGGTTCCTCGCCGTCGTAGATCTCGAGCATGACTTTCATGAAATCATCTAGCATTTCATCCCCCTTTTGGTCAATCTTCCTAAGGAGCCTTCGGAAAGTTGCTAGAATGAATCTCATAGCTTTTTTCTTCGTGCTTTCAAGTTGGTATTTGGCGGAAACTCGGTAGACTCGTAGCAAGAAGGGAATACCCCCTGTCTCCGGTGTCCAGGTGTCCTCATACGCGGTTTGGAGAACAAATCTGAGGGCATCTGGGTCATCGCCATGGAGAGTAATTTCGGACTGACCACTCTCCTAGCGGATGGTCAACGCCGCACCTATTATCATGATGAGGATCAGTGGTTTTACTCACAATGAAGTTGCCGCAGAACGCAGCTCTGAACCAGTCTGATTTCATAGCGAGAACTACCTTATGAGCGTGGAAGGTATGTTCGCCAAACTTGATGGTGACGTCAGACAAGGTCGGGGAATCTGCGAATCTGTAGCATGGAGTTAGCATGGCGATCGCAAGGCGTACACTGTACATCGTCGCGCGGGCGCCCTGGTGATGACTCACGATCTGGAGCTCGCAACATTCGTCGCGGGCGCACCCTGGACGATGTTGTTTTGTTGCGCCATGGCAGCAATCACGTCGTCGTCTTACGACGTAGCCACTGGTTGTTGAGTATGATGGTGATGCGATGGAGGAGAAGAGGCTGAAGTGAGAGAAACGCTCTTGACTAGACTGGCAGTTACACTGTTTGTTAGAGCACGGGCCACAATAAGTGTGTTTGCTTTCAAATGTTGATTGGACCGAGTATTCTCGACGGTTTTTACTATGACGTCCTTGCATGGATCTTATTGAGGGTCACGGAGAGAACAAGAGTAAGAGCTTGCAGGGTGTGAGAATGCATTTATAAGTGATATTCTTCGACCATAGTAGTGGTAGGCTTATGATGAATTGACCTAGACATCTTTGCCCTTGACGATACTATACTTCGCTCTCAAGGTCTGTTATTAGGAGACTGAGTGGTCTCGTGTGGCACCCTAAGCTGAACGCCCTGACGCGCCGCTCATCTCACCATCCCCATCCACAAAGCCCATGGCATTCACAACCGTCTTTCCGCATGCATTGCCTATCGCGAGATTGCAAATCTCGATTGAGTTTCCCGCAATGCCAACAGTGGCCTTCGGTGCTGATGGAAGCGTTGTAATCCAGCATCCAGCTATTCCCACAATGACCGCAGACGACCGGGCACGCCCATGATAGTTCTTGCTTGAAACAACCTGCCGTATCGTGATTCTTCATTAGGTGAACAACCAGATGTTGGCTAAATACTGGAACCTCTTTGGCGCTGGCTGTCACCAATTCATGGATCTTTCCCAGGTGATTTTTGAAGATACCGTTCTGCCAAAAGCATATTTTGCCCAAAAGACACTTACTCAGCTCGTGTTGCGTATTGCTCGCGTCAATGGTCTGATCGTAGAGCTCCTCCAGTACGTTGATGAATATCTTTGATTGGGTATTGAAGTCATCTTGAACAACAGTCGAGACTAAATTCTCAATGCTGTACGCGAATCGAGATTTGAAAAATGCCCGCACGTCGTTCATTATATATTTGTCGGCAACCTTGTAGGCACACAGTGCGCTAATGGCATTTTCCGACATATCTCCTCCCGAATTAATCTCACGGAGAGTTCTTGGCGAATACATAGTCGCTAGTACTAGCTCTAGTGCGTCGGTATTGCCGTCTTTCAAGGTAATCTCCGACATGTTGCTTTCAGCAAAATTGCCTATGGGAGAAGTCAGTATGATTCAACTGGAAATCTTTCAGTACATGAAGAAAGCCGTGAATCCTTTTCGCAAGCATGTACTCAAATGCATAATGTTGTGTTTCATTGTGTTTCGGGCTTCAAAGTGAGGTACGTACCACAGGTTGCGGCTCTGAACCATTCAGACTGAGTGGCGAATAGAATGCGGTGGCCATGGAAAACTCGCTCGCCCGCATCACCATATCTAATCCTGACATCAGAAAGCATTGGATCGTTGGCAAAGCTATGAATGAATCAGTGAATCTACGGTAGCGGTAAGTATTTGAGTAGTTGAACTTACCCTGCATATGTGCTGTAGTCTTTCTGACGGGAGGAGAGCGCTCCGTCGTCTTCGCTCGCCATATTGAATTCGATTTGGGTGAACCGTTTAGAATTGTTCCGTAGCTCCCACAGTCAGGTAGAAGTGACGATCGTTGTCTTGGTGCGAGGTTGTGGTGGTTTGGTGTTTGTTTGTTGTAGCACGGACCACAATACCACGTGATTGACTAGGCACTGCAGGCAATCACGGGATAAGATAACTAATAGCGGGTGTGAAAGAAGTTCGCGATGATGTTTCGCGTTGTATTGCTATGTACAGGCTTGTGAACCAAAGCTTAAGCGACTGAGAAATATATATATCAAGAAGTGAAAAGAATCAATGAGTGCGCTGCTCATACTCCATACCAGTGATCTACAACTTGCCGAAACCAGCAGAGTTCTTAATGTTGGCAGAAGGCTTATCAGCCTTAGCAACAGTGCCCGCGTTCTTGATCTGCTGCTCAACCGCAGAGTTGGATCCTTCAAACTTGCCGGAGTTGACCATGGTGTTGTCGCGAGCGAGGATGGCACCATCAGCCTCTTTGATAGGTGTAGGAACACCATCAAAGTAATTGCCCTCAGCAAGGACGTAAGAGCCGGAAGCGACCTCAAACTCGTGGTCGGACGAAGGACCGAAGTAGTTGTTAACAGCGTGAAGGACGGTCTTGCCAGCGACCTTGGGGCCGCGACCGGAGACGTGGTGGACGTAGTTGCCCTTGAAAGTGATCTGGTCGTTGGAACCGGTGAAGTAGATGCCCCAGTACTGGTTGCCGTCGCAGGTGGCGCTCCACTTGGACTGGCCGTTGATCTCGGAGTTGGAGATGGTGACTTTGCCTGAAGCGGCTTCACCGAGGACGATGTGCTGGCGGCCGATTTCAGAGGTGGTGACATGGTCGATCCAGATCTTGTCACCTCCAGCGATAGTGATACCGTCGCCACCCCAGACGTATTGGGGGTTGATTTGGGTGACCATGATGTTTTGAATGATGATGTTCTTGACACCAGCCATGCGGAGACCCTTGCCCTTGATGACACCCTTGGAACCCTCACCGATGAGGGTCTTGTCGGAAGCGACCTTGATTCCCTGCACACCGGCCTTGTCATAGGTGATCTTGGCGATTGTTGGGGCATTGGGCTGGTAGTTCTTGCACCAGTTATCCTTGTTGATGGCTGTCTGGCACCCACTGCCAGTTCCCCACGGAGCGCAGCCGGAATCTGTGGCCGAACCCTCGGTGCCAGTGAAGTCAAACTCCTTGTTGAGGATGATGACCTGAGGGGAGGGGTCACCAAGATATTTGATCAGCTCAGCGGTGGTTGTAGGGGTGACAGCCTTCGCGTTGCCGCCACCAGTGACACCAGAAGCGTAACCTTCAGCTGATCCAGAGACGGCAGCACGCTTGACCAAAGACTGAGAGGGAAGAGCCGAAACGGCTCCCGCCAGGGTAGCCAAAGTAAGAAACTTCATAATGAATGTTGGTAAAGAGAAGTATAATAAATGAATGAATGAATGACCAGCAAAGAGCGGAATCGAAGTCTAAGGCAATGTTGAACGTTGACTGAAGGATGACTACCGAAATAGCAGGTCTGCTTTCCTTTAAAGTAATTATCGCCCGGCAATTAATTGCAAGGAACGGGACGCGGGCTGCTCCGGAGAAATGTTTGACAGAATACCGTTTCAGGAAGATAGGTATTGTGGAGATGGCTTAAGCACTAACTTGAAACATCTCCACCAAACGATAGTAAGCGATAGGCACGAACCACCTGCAACGCAATCCTGGGACTGCAATCGAGAACAGGGAAACAATTCTCATCAAATGCGATGACGCCAGGAAATAAATGCGATCATCGCGTCGTTGGTTTCTAGGCTCGATTTCCTTAGTTCTCGGCTGGTAGCGTCCATATCGATGTTTTCGCATTATCATGGTACGATCATGCCCCGATTGAGATGACCCATGTAAAAAGTAAACACGGGATCTATTATGGGGCTTATTTCCCCCTATTCTCATGAGATCAATCAATATCTGTACAACGTTTAGCTCGGCATCCATGACTAGTTGCAACTTATAACATACCAATTCTCGCTGCGCGCATTAACACTCCATAATCGTGAAACCGCCTCGTCCGAATGGCCCCCATCAAACGTTTAGCAAACAGTGTTGATTGCCGCAATACCCCAGTGATCAAAGCGCCGGATTGTATGACGTGACACAAGACCCTGTCTTGGATCTCGCGAGGCTCACGAAGTTTTTTAAAGATGCTATACAACATTTGAAGGCTAACGCTTTCACATGACCGTTCCAATCATCTGGTCCCAAATATGAAAGCAAGAATATTTGCCAAGCCAAAAGAAGTCTATACGTGGATTATTGGCTTGCCAACTACTGGTGGATCTTGAATACATGCTTACACTCACGATTACCACAGTGCGAAGCACAACTCATTCTCGCGGTTGCACGAGATGTATTGTCTAAACGCTTCATGGCCCCTTAGACGAGAGATCCCGATGGTTGAGTAGGTAGCAAAGCTGTACACGCGCAACAATATGCTGTACTCGGTACAACAGCGAGCCAATTGATGTGAGAGCATTCGGAACAAGTAAGCGAGTACACAATCGCAATCCCGTGTGGGAGATCTTTCCTTGCACTGCTGTCATCGCGGTCCATAAATTGCTGCAACAAATCTAGACCGAGACATGGTATTAACGACGCGAATGTAAAAAAAAAATTTATGATAATTCCCCATGGGCATATCTATGATTCCCGTAAACGAGTCGAGAATGGCGGAAACGAAGTTGTTCTGAACTTTCTGGACTGCTTGCAAGTCCTCGAATGCCCCCCTTGCGTAGATGGCGTTTATCGCCCTGGTATATTTGTTAAAACAGGCGTGAGGAGGTTCGACCACTATTTCAGTTTCCAACTTTTTCAGAAGATCACGACTATGTTGCGCGAGAGCCGCTATGATTTCCGATGTGTCGAATAGATACTTGTCCGCAACCACTAGTACGTGCATCATCGTAATCATCTTTTCTACGCAGTCTTCGGGCAGGCTCGTCAATTGCAGGATTCCATTTCGGTTATAAGCATTCCTCAACAAAATCTCAAGGGCATCCGGATCGTCATCATGAAGGGTGATCTCCTTTTGGTTGCTCTCGGTGAATTGGCCTTCGAAAGCAGCTTTGAACCAATCAGATGCAGTGGCAAGGAATATCTTATGACCGTAGAATACTCGCTCGCCCTCATTGCCGTAGCGGATAGTGATGTCGGAAAAGGTGGGACTATTGGCATAACTGTGAGACTAACTAGTGGCACTGCGAACAACTGAAGCAAACGTTTCCTACAGTTCGATCCCGCGAGGTTTTTTAAGATGTGCCCCACTCGGGCGCACGTCTGAGTCCTCGGACACGGGCGTGCCTGCTCCGTTTGCTTCAGCCATGATAGTGACGAGATGGACTGAGATATTAGAACAGTCTGGAGAGTTTTATTTGGGCGAAATCGGTGTGGTGATGTTGTGGATGGGTGGACAGTCGTATTAGGGGTCAACTGGTGTTTCAAACCAGGGGATGTTGCTCGGACGTGTTAATTGGGCGCTAAGTGAATTTTACGCGACGCGCCTAACACGTGATCTACACATGTCGAGTTGCCACACCAACCACATCCAGGTGGATATACCATCATAGAGGATTCTGTGGTTGTTGAGCATCGTCTGCCCTGAATGATTGAAGTTCATGATTGGATCAACAAGTCCAACCATCAGAAAGCTGAAATATCATCACTCAATGATCATCATAACCTCTGACTAAAGCCACACATCGACCACAGTGTAACCCGATATGTCCCCGCGGCGGCTTACAGTGCTAAACTCATCTGGTAAGCACAGCAGCCCGCATTGAGGTCGTGGAGTAGAAGAATTGGAGGGAAACGTAGTCTGATAGAACGGAACGATTTTGGACAGGTAAGTTACCCTGGTAGAGCATCTGTTGATGATACATGTAGTAGCTAGGCAATGCTCCATCCTCCCCCAGCGCGACATTAGTCAGGTATTGAACATGAAGCCCTTTGTTCTCCGCAATAGACAAAACTCCTTCCGAACGCACTTACAACTTCTCAACCGCAAGAACAGCACCTTCCGCGCCGAACTCAACTTTCTTGATCGCCAAAGACTCCTTCACGGGGTTCCTCGCTTCAAACACAACGTCCAGCTCTTCCAAGGTTCTCTTCTTCGTCTCAGGCAGCATGAAGTAGAACACCACCCATTGAATTGCATCCCAAACCGTGAAGACGATATAAGTGTGCCAGCCAATGCGTTCAAGCGAGATCGGCCAGGCGAACTGGTTCAGAAGATTTCCAGCATTGACGGCCAAAGCGGAGAAGGCCATTCCCTTGGCACGCATCTCGAAAGACAGCACCTCGACGGGGTAGAGAGCTTGCAGAGGAGTGATACCGACGGAGAACACAGCACCGAACAGGAAGATCATGGCAACCATACCTCTGGCTGCTGAATCGTTCGTCTCATTGCTCTAGTGGGTTGTTAGCTTGAGCCAGGCATATGAGATTTAAGTTACTTACGGCTGCGAACTGAGAGGATGCGACCGTCATACCAACCCACATAATTGTGCAGGCTCCCATTGAAAACAGCATCATTGGGCGTCGACCGACCTACGCATCTGTCAGTCAAAAAGCACAAACGAGGGCGTCGTGTAAGAACTTACCCTCTCGACAAAGGGAGCACCAATCAAAGCAAACGCAAATTGGAAGCAAGCGTACGCCAGGTTGATATTGGCTTGCTCGACATCCTTTTTATATCCCGCGGTTGTCAGAACAGCAGGCAAGAAGTACGTCAAAACTCCGTTGCCTGCCCATTGCGCGAAAATGGAAAAGACAATGTTGCATGCGATCCGGTACCTGCTTGCGCGTGTCTTAAAGAGCGCGCTGTAATCCCACCAGCGCTTGTCGGCGCCGTTCATCTCCAGAAACTCCTCGTACTCGGTGAGCTGGAGCTTGACCCAAATCGACTCGGGATTGTCATATCCGTGCCATTTAGTCAAGACGGCTTTGGCTTGTTCCGTCTTACCGTGCACGTATAGCCATCGTGGAGACTCAGGCGCAAACCAGATAAAGAGGATAATGAGCGATGGGAAGACCAGCTGTAGCCAGACGGGCAAAGTCCAGGAGATGTTGCCAACCAAATTGATGCCACCTCTGACGGCGCCACTAGCGAGGATAGATCCAACGAACCAAAACGTGTTGCCTTTAGTCAGAAAAGTCAGCCGTGAAACCTCCCAGCATTTTGGCACCACTCACAGTATGCTGTTACAACGGATCTGAATGCAGGATGCGCAGTCTCAACAACATAAATCGGGCCTGCTGCTGACACAATAGTCACACCGAAACCCAGAACGAAGCGTCCTCCCCTCAATTGACCGTTGCTACCGTTCAGTGTAGTGAGTCCGTTGATGATGGTACCGATAACGATGAGGAAAGCTCCACTCGCCATGCCCAAGCGGCGTCCGATGCCGTCAATGATAGGTCCAGCGAAAGGTAGAGCGACAACAGCACCAATTTGGTACATGGCGGAAGTCAGCGCTGCCCATACTCCGGCCGACGATCCACCGAAAAAGTCGAGGAAAGTGGTATTTGCTAGATCAGATGTTAGCCACTCTTCACATGAAGATGAGCCCGATGCAAAACGTACCCGTAAGACCTCCAAACAAACTACCATCAAAACCATTGACGGTCTGGCAGAAGAAACCCAGAAGCAAGCAACCGCACAAGCCTATGGTCCTTGGGTGGAATTTTGGCACAGGTTCCATGGTCATAGCCTCGTGGAAGGCCGCGCTACCCTTCAGCTGCTTCACCTCGACAACTTCCATCTACAATTTCATCTCTGTTAGCTTCGTCTTATCAATCAAGTACATAGTGGTACACACGTTGTTATCCACCACCTCATCTCTAGGTTTTTCTACCGACATTGTTGCTGAGCGAAGTGAGCCAATGTTTCTATCTCAGTCTTTCTGCGAAAGAAGGTACAAAGAACAAACCCAAATATTTCGTTCGACAGCGACTATATACAATCTTGTTGGACGGGCGTAGTCTTAATCCCGCAGGTACATACGGAAACCCGTGCCTGGCGGACCGTCTAAGCGACGATCTGCTTCCAGAAAGACCCTGGTTATTGCCACTTTGGAGGCGGGCCTGGGGTTCCGGGATGAAAGCGACATCGCAACTTCACTAGGTTAGCGCGACTGATACCGGTCTGCGGGTTAAACCGTGTCTTCGTGCGTGATACTCATGCCACTACTATTGACCCGATTCCAGGCTGGTCCTGGAGCGTAGTGAAAATGCAGACTGTTCAACGGTTTGACGCTCCGGGTGGCGCAATGTCCACCTCTCTCCATCTAGTCACTGTTGGATTTCATATTAACTTTCGAAGCGAGCAATTCAGCATATCCAATGTCGCAATATTGTGGTGTCTACTTGCGACCAGAGGCTGGATAAGTTGATCCGCTCAAGCCCTTGCACAAGCTTTCGCCACATCATGCCTCCCACGGAAAAAAGCTTGTGACACGAACTGACAGAAAACCGCAAAGTCGCATTACTGATCCCCCCCCCGCATGCAATCGAGTCCAACCATCACGTTGGTCAAGATCGCCCCCCGCACGAGCATCTCGCGTTATTAAAATCCCAGCCCAACCCGCACATCCACAATCTTCCAAAATTGCATTTCCCGGAATTGCAATGCGCTGTTTGTAACTGAAACGCGCATGTCCAACACGATCTATTGGTTTACCGCTTGTTCTGGAAACTTCCTCGACAGATCCGATCTCAGAGTACGTGCGCTCCCCTGGTTTGCCAGCTGCAATGCTATGTATGCATGCAGAGTAATCCATGCGTCTGGAAGACTCTGAGCCCAATCTTCTACCGTCGTTGCTGTTCATCCTTGAGAGATCATTTATCGGGACTTTTTCCCATTGGTGTGCTGGATTTCTAATGAATTGTGTTGCCCGGAAAGAATCGCGCAATCACGCTGGTACCGGGTACGACGAACGGGTTGAATGGAGCATCCTTGCTACCCAATCACCCAGTCTCATACCCAGGTTGGAGCTCTTCTACCACAACAGATCAACAAAAAGGGGTCTTATTTTCCTACACTTTGATGAGATGGTGAGGGATTACTAATGAGGATTAGTTCAAGAACCGCAATGCTTGGTTGAAGGCCTCTGGCGCAGTATTGAAGTTTCAACATGGTACTATAGAACAGATTCGCAGATGTCTTCAAACCAAGTAAGCTGTCATTGGAATTCGATTGAATTGTTTTCGCGGCAAAAAGAGAGAGATCCTGATCGCTAGAAACAGCAACCTGTATTAGATTGGTGATTGCGCATTACCGAGATTCGGGTATGGTCCAAGTGTGATGGCAAGTAAATTTCTCTACGTACGTACGTGCTCGCTTCCCCTTAATTTCGATGTAGCAATACTGCCAATCTCATCTATGTTGAGTTGTTCTGTTGACAAGATGTTTGCGCCAGACGAATTTGGGTTTTTTGCTGGAAAACGATGCTCTTTGTTGACCATCGCCTGATACCACCCTTTTTTCACTCGTAGTGAGTCAATAGTGAACTATCAGTTATGTTTTCCGTCATAAAAATTCTACTCGGCCTTGAATTCTTGGCCAAAAAAACTAGGTTGCGGTGACTGCGTCGTGTTATATCGCATCCATCGCATCTATCGCAACACTCACACAGCATCAAGCTGGATGGCAGAACAGCTGACACTTAGATTTCTAATTTCACACCTCAGAACCAGCACAGGCATGCAACCAAGTGCTGATAAGATTATCAGCGACTTGAAAAAATGCCCAAGACTACCTAGGTACATAGGTACTAAGTCTATTATTTGTTCATCGCATACTCCATGAGGCACAGATACTGGGTATTGAAAAACACGATAAATCTGCCTTTGAGCTCCAGGCAGGACACATGTTTTGTGGTTATGAAGAAACTGATGAGTCATCATTATGATAGCTGAGCGCAGATTGGGTCAACGAGGACCTCAACACCAAGGTACATACATGTAAGTACATGCATGCGGTTTGGTGGTGATGGCACGTGACTACTCAGCCCCCGGCTCAGTCCGACAAGCCAAGATACGGACTTGAGGCTTACACAACAACCGCGGTCATTGCTCGCTCTTCAAAAGTTTCTTGATACCCGTGAAGCAGGACCCAATCGCTCGATGTCGCTGGACGTTAGTAACAAGAATTTATCACAGGCCCTTGACCTCTACGAGAACGGCGAGGATGAGGCAGCGGAAGTGGTGCTGAGAGCTGTCACAGCAGATCTACTCCACGCGCTTGGCCCAATGCATGAGCGGGTGTATGAAAGCACATGCTTGTTGGCGCGCACGCTCTGCAGACAGAGGAAATACGATGACGCCCGAAAAGAGCTCATGCATTTACCCGCCAGCTATGCGCCCTTACTCCATAGCGAGGGTCTAAGTCTGGTATCCTTGAAGCACTGGTCAGAGTGCGATCTTCACCGACAGAGCCCGATTCCGAATTTTCGGAAGAGTACTCGCGCATCGGTCCTGGAGTACGTTCTTTCGGCACCAACATGTCTGTATTGCCGGCTACTTCTCAATGCTATCGACTTACTATACCCCGGCTGGACCTCTACGCGCCGTGACATGAAGTTCATCCAGATTTGGGACATTAGACAATCGTGGAAAGGCCAACCGTTCATTCAACTGCGAAGGGCTGGGGAGGGTTTGACAGAGGGGCGATTTGACATTATTGAGATAAGAATCGAATGCGGTATGTCCTGTGTTTCAGTCCAGCGGTGGATCTGTAGTTTTTGTACTGAGATATTTGCAGATGAAGACTCAGTCTGGCCAGAAGACCCTCGTGGCTCATTCTCGACGGAAGAATGGGAAAGCATTAATTCCTGGGTAAATGAATGCGTCGGATCCCATTCAATCTGTCGAGTCCCAGATCATTCTTACGTACCTAGAAGACTTCTGCAGGTTGGAAATGAGTTGAGTGGTCCTCGATTGGTTTTGAGGGAAGCGGTTGGGGAAGAAGACCGGCGGTACTGCGCCTTGAGCTACTGCTGGGGGCCGCAAAATAGATCTCTTACAACGACTAGGGAGAACTTGAGTCAGCACTTGAAAGGCATGGCCTTTGATTCAATTCCGCAAGTGAGTGACTTCTACAAATTTAAGTTTCAGTCTGACACTGCGCTTGCATAGACGATGCAGGATGCAATGATTATTTGCCGATTTCTCAGCGTTCCCTACTTGTGGGTAGACGCCCTTTGTATTGTACAAAACGACATCGGCGAGAAAGATTGGATCGAGAACTCCAACGAGATGTACAGAATCTACTCAAATGCCCATCTCGTCATCTCAGCCGATGCGAGTCCCCGGAATACGTTTGGCTTTTTGCCAGGCCGAGATCACATCGAGAAACAGTGGAGACATATCAGCGTCCGCGATGAGACTCAAAATCGGTACATCGACGCTTCTGTCCGTTCGTACGACAATTACGCGAACATCAACTACGATGGTCGAGCGTGGGGCGGGACGTCTGTGCATCCTTTGCGACAGCGGGGGTGGGCCCTACAGGAAAGCATGCTAGCCAACCGCCGTCTTCGCTTCACAACTACTGGCATCCAATGGGATTGCAATCACTATTATCAAGATGAAATGGGTCTTATGAGTCGCACGATACGTTTGGCCAAACTCATGGTGATGTATCCAAATCTGATGTCAAAGCTGAGGGACGAGAGATCGTGGCATTACGATGACGATGAAGAAGCTTCTTCACGCCATCGATACATAACCTCTTTCATGGATCAGGAGACTTCAGCACCCATATATCTTGCATGGCAAGGAATCGTATCGTACTATTCCAGTCGAGATCTCACCCAGATCTCCGATAAATTAAGCGCTCTATCTGGTCTTGCGCGCCTCATCTCTGAAGCTCTGTCTGTGAAGCCTGGATCATATCTTGCAGGACATTGGAGGGATGACCTCGCCAGTAGCCTTCTATGGTACGTCAGCCAGCCCGAGAGACCCAATCGCTCTTCGCCTTATCGCGCACCCAGCTGGTCATGGGCATCTGTGAACGGCCAAATACAATACTTCAGGGAAGGATACCAATTCCATTTCATGGGAGCTCTTTCAGTGCAAGAAGCGCATTCCAGCGCTTCTTCCCTCGATGAATTTGGCCGCGTCGACTCTGGTAGGCTCATAGTTACCGGACTCATTGCTCCCGTTTCATTACACATAGAGCCGACACAACGCCACCGCATCCAATACACCGGCGGAGGTGGTTGCGCCGGGCATCCATATAAAGACCAATTTTCATGGGTAACCTCGCCTCGTGAGAATGGCGCAGCTGCTTCCAACGAGGATGTTCCGTACTACGAGGTTCTGTTGGACGACAAAATATTGTCGGAGTCACTGCTGCCGACCTCTTACTTCTGTCTTCTAGTTGGTCGGCATTACGATACTGTGACTGGAGGTTCAAGGGCGTGGTGGCTTGTTCTGCGTCAAACATTAACGGATGACAAATGTTATCAACGAATTGGTATCGGGTACTTCCAGGAGTATTCAAAAGAATTGCATATCTTCATTACTGAAGATGCCAAGCAAAGTACAGTTATGCTGATATAGGGCATGTGACTGATGGGCTAGATCGTATAGATGTTACTTATATCATTCTAGACCAGCTCCATTTCAGAACCGTTAGACACAAGTTTGAATAGATGAAGGCGCCCTGCTGCTACGAAATTTTTCCACCAACCAGATTATCTTCGTCGTTTCGGCGAACGAATAGGGAATTGGGTAAAAGGGAACTCTACACCTATGGTCAGTTTCGGACAGTTGCATACTGGAACCATAATGTGGGGAACCTTGCGCCGAATGTGGGGTAGTTCCTTTGCCGACTGCAATCTGGATAATTGGTGAAAGCAAAAGGAAACCACCGAATTCAGAGCTTGGCCAACGGAGTCACAGTCTTTACAAAACCTCGGATGAGGCCATTGAGTTTCACTTGTTAAAGAATCAGCGAGATCTCAATTGTCGTCTTCCGCAAAGCAACGCAGCGAGCCACCACCATGATGTCCCTCGTCTCTCTCTCTCTCATTTGCTTCTTCCTTGTGCCGATACAAGCCCAGTCGACCATCACAGTCGATCTGGCAAAGAAATATCAGACAATGGACGGATTTGGAACGTCGGAAACCTTCCAGCGCGCGAACCAAATGAGAGCTCTGTCGCCCGAACTCCAACGTTATTCCCTTGATCTGCTTTTCAACCGTACTTCGGGCGCAGGATTATCCATCCTGCGCAATGGCATCGGATCCTCTCCAGATTCATCCGCAGACCATATGGTCACGATCCAGCCGCAAAACCCTGGCGGGCCAAACGCAGCGCCGAAATATGTATGGGACGGGAACGATAACTCACAGGTTTGGGTGAGCACGGAGGCGGCGAACACGTACGGTGTTCAGACTTTCTACGCGAACGCTTGGTCCGCGCCGGGATATATGAAGACGAATAACAATGACGCGAATGGTGGTTCCTTGTGCGGGGTCCCTGGCTCGTCATGCTCGTCTGGTGATTGGAGACAGGCTTATGCGAACTATCTTGTGCAATATATCACTTATTACAAAGAGCTCGGTGTTGACATTTCACACCTTGGGTTTTTGAATGAGCCGGGTTTGACAACGAGCTACGCGAGTATGCGAAGTAGTGGACGTCAGGCTGCTGATTTCATAGCTATCTTGAGACCGACTCTCGATAGAGCGAATTACTCTAACGTCAAGATTACTTGCTGCGACTCCGAAGGTTGGAACCAACAGGCAGGGATGATGGGCGATTTGAAAGGGGTAGAGGCCAATGGAGCGCTAGGAACGGTTACCGCGCAGTATGTGAAACCCTGATCCTTCCTGCATTCACACACGGATCGCTAAAATTCATTGTTGTAGTTCCTACACATCTCAGCCAGGTTCTCCAATCAACTCGAAACTTCCTGTTTGGCAAACAGAGAACGCCGATCTACAAGGACCTTGGACCGCTGCCTGGTACAGCAACAACGGAGCAGGAGAAGGTCTTCTTTGGGCAACCAAAATCTACGATACCATTGTCCGTGCAAACGCGACAGCCTATCTGTACTGGATCGGTGTTCAAGGGGGTGCGACAAACTCGAAGATGATCCGCATATCCGATGACAAGAAAAGTGTCATTCCTAGCAAGAGGCTTTGGGCGATGGCGAATTGGAGTCGATTTGTCAGACCTGGTGCTCAGAGAGTTGCAACAAGTGGAGGACCAAGCGAAGCGAGGGTGAGCGCGTTTGAAAACGTGGACGGCACGGTTAGTGTTCAGGTTATACAGACGGGTACAGCTAGTGGTGCGGTGACGGTGAAGATGGGAGGTAACACATTCACGATCAAAGAGGCTAGCGCGTGGATCACGGATAACACGAGGGACGTAGGTGAATTAGAGGTTGAGGCAACTAATGATGGAGGAGTGAAGACAACTGTTCCAGGGAGAAGTATGGTTACATTTGTGCTAAAGCCGGAGGCTCAAAACTAATTATTTGCGGGTGAACATTAACGTTTCGTCGGGGTATTCCTTATCGCGGAGGGTCATAGAGCCCGTTTGGTAGGTGATTCTGGAAGAAGCCCTACATAGGCAGCCGTGTTCTCCCGTACAAGCTTTATGCTCGGTCCAGTCACTGACACGTGTTCCACAATTCCAACAGTGTCCTCCTTTTCCCGCCTGGTAATCCAGTCTCCATCCAGACTTGCAGTTGTGGCACCTGACCGAATATACGAGTGACAGAGCGATATTGCTCTTCTCCTTTTCGGACCCTTTAGTGAACAATGCCATCATGTAGAGGAAAATACCCTGCCCAAAGACGGGCACACGCTTGGCAGTTTCGGTAACAATGTCACGAATACGTTCTTTGCCGTGTGCAAACAGGACACTTCCCTTGCAAACCCCACGCAACACATGTTGAATGAGTGCGTGTTCCGAATCATTCTCAGTAAGATCGTAGAGCGTATTCATCATTTCCTCGAAAGAATCAACGAACGGATCCAACGGTTTTAGTAGCACACGATAGTTCGTAACATCTCCCACGAAGTCGTTAAGATGGTGCAGGAACTCCCGCTCGGCGCCTTTTTTCGTTCGTCGGAACTGATACTTGTCCGCCACATGATAGAGCCCGGCCGCGAAACATATGTTCAGTTTCCGATCTTCGCAGTCCCCCGGGAAACAGAAACTGGTATCGATGTCGTATGCGGTGGATAAGAGAGCCTTCAGAGTATCCGGGTCATCGTCTCTCAAAGTGATCTCTGTTTGAGTTGTTTCCTGGCCGCCCGTTAGAAATTTGCTTGCATTCTTCCCCAGGAGTTTGTCCATAAGATCAGGATTGTCCAATCATGGATAGCTGGCATGGATGAAGAGCAGACAGGATCGGGGGCATCAAGATAAACAACATCCGGTGTAGCAGAGTGAAAATTGAGACATCGAGGTGCCCAACGAGGCAACGACCGGTACGCAAAGTACATGATATATGTAGGAGATTATTACTGACTGAGAAATTGCCGCCCAGCGCATTCTTGAACCAATCCGAGGCGACGGAGAGGATGACTTTGTGGCCATGGAAAACGTTTTCGCCCTGTAAGCCGTAGCGGATCTTGATATCGGAGTGTTGCTCAGAGTTGCAGTACCTGCCGATTATCAGTGAGTTTGCTTTGACACACGCTAGAACAAGCCACGCACCGGTGAAGCCCTCGGCCCTTATAATGGAAATTTCGAGGCGGCATCCCTTCGGTAGCCGTGGTGGTTGTGCTGGAATGGATAACAATGAGGTCGTGGGCGTGGTGACGGGTCAAATTTGAGGTTGTGGGATATGGTTGCACGTGGCCCGTGGTAGGTTGTGTAACATGCTACATTCACGTGCACGGGTCAGTGAATAGTCTGCCCCACCTATGCTTTCTCTAGATCATGATGTCACTTCTTTGTTCTTTGGCGAACGGCCAGTCACAGCATGGAGTGTGGTTTCTGACAGAATACTTGGTATCACAAGACAGCGGGAAAGTCGATCAAATGGTGGGTTGAACACCGGAATGTTGACCGGAGGTTCTTGATCATGACTGTTAGTCACATACTACTATATCTAACAATCGCCCAGTTGCTCTTGCTCCTTCTCAGGGTGTAGTTTCTCCCAACCGTGAGCAAGCAAAGGATTTATGAACCTGCGCGGCTGTTCGATAGCTTGAATCCCGCGGGCGACTTTGTTTGGAATATCCCCGTAGGATCATACTTTGCAGATGCGGCCTTCATCTTAGCAGAACTCTCTTCTCCATAAGACGCGAGTGGATCCTGGTAACCACCACCCGCATAGTTCAAATATCTCCAGTCTACCAGCCCGTCAACACTAGCTGCGAAAGCCTCAATCTGTGCCCCGTACGCCTTGATCTTCTCCGTCGCTTTCACTTCCAGATCTCTAGTCCTAACGGCTATAACAAATAAGTTCATAACCACGTTCTCGTTCACCTGATCAAGTCCTAGGATGTTGCCGCCATTGGCGAGACTATGCTCAGTAAAGCTTCTAGGTATCGCTTGGAAGTTTGTTTCAGCCATGAAATCAGGATCGCCTTCAGACTTCCATTCTTCAGTTAGCTGGTTGTGGAGATCAACAATTTTGTTGTAGATCCGGGGGTCATTGCGAACGGCTGTGGTGAACCAGACGTTACTATTTACATTGTCAGCAACCAAATCTCACGATTATTGGGAATGTATTGACTGCTCATTTGACGTAGTGACGTATACAACGTCCCAAAGATCCAGTGGAGATGTACGGATTTGAAATGTGTGGTGTTGGGAGTGTGTGATTATGTTACATACCGGTATCCATAGGGCAGCTCAAGCTCATCAGCCATTTCCGTATGGCTAGCGATCCTAAACGTGTTCGAAACTTGCGGAATAGCAAGGAAGTCATCGAACGCAGGTGCAGCCACATGACCTTCGGTATCGTGGTGAAAGTTGAGGATGACGCTCCCGCCTAAGACCGGCTGGTAGGTGAAAGCCATGACAGTGCTTCCCGGTGGATATTTCTCTACGTTATCGACCCACTTGATGTGCGCATTGATATGCTGCTCGCGGTAAGACGTGTCCCAGATTCCCACTCCACCCCAGAGTTTTGTTATGGCGACTGCGTACATATCAAAACGTGTGACAATTCCGTAGTTGGAACCGCCCCCTCCTTTCAGAACTTGGAATAGATCGCTATTCTCGTTTAGGTTCGCATTGACGACTTCACTAAACCATTTGTTAGTCTGCCAAGCCATCGATGTGGCATCTGAAACGTACCCGTTGGCAAGAACCACCTCGAAATTCTTCACGGTATCCGCCGCAAACCCGAACCGCGCACTGAAGAATGAGTTGCCTCCACCGGTAAGAAAGCCCGCAACGCCAACAGCGTGCTCTCGGCCACCAACGACCGTATAGTTGAAAGGATCCAATGCTTCATATACCGCGCCCCAGCGAGCTCCAGGCTGGACAGCTGCAATGCCATTGGACTCCAATGTCGTGGAGTTCATCAGCCCCAGATCGACGGTTACACCATCGTCAATGTTGTTTGAGCCGGCCCATTGCATGTGACCTCCACTTCGAACCGCGAATTTGGTGTCCAAACATGCAGGGTGTTTGACGAGGATGTTGACTGTCTTCACTACATCTGCAGTGCCAGTAGGCTGCACGAAGCAGATAGGGTCCAATTGCGCACTGACTGAAAAGTAGGAAATATTACGCTCTTGATAGGCCGGAGTGTCTCGAAAGTATACATACTCCAACCCACTACCGCGAAGAGCTTCGCACTATCAACTCTATTAGCTTTGGCGCTTGACTTTCTCCAATTCATCAAGTTCAACATACACAGGTGCTATTTTGAGCCTGAGCGACAGCGGCAACCGAAGCCAGGAGGAATAGAACGACACGCCCAGACATAGTTGCACGCGATTGATGTACAATAACCAATGTGGTATGCCAGATGCACAAGTTGATCCATTCATGCGGATTTGACGAACGATTTCAACCTTCTGATTCGAAGATGAAGAATGTCTTGGTCAGCTGCGGAGTACTACTACTCCGATATCTGATGTACAGCGTATGTTATGACATAGAGGTCAGCAGCCACATGGACGCCGTTTTGGCTGTGAGGCAAGGTTGTTATCTGGAAATGTTGGTTCACGCAACTGAAAACCGTCAACGATCTGACAAAGCTTACGCGGGATAGCTGCACATGCTTTCTCATATGCATATCGACAGGCCAATTGGTTCATATAGCGCAAATCAATGTAGGATTGCGGCGAATGGTGGCGGATTCACTAGTTGTAGAGCTGTATACACAGTAGGCAGTGCCAAGGAGACACCTTGCTAGGGGCCTAGGGCTTATCTTCACTTACATGTATTCTCATCTAGGAAATGATATGCCCAAAAGGAATGTGACGGGTCGGGCGTCCAACGGTCCGCATTAAAGAGTCTCACGATTCTACGCCCGTACGCCTTGAACACTCCGCTCCCGTGCCGCCACTCCCGCTACGGTAGACTAACCCAGCAGTAAAACTGGTAGTGGTGTGCAACGACTTCGTGCTTGGGACGGGTCGGAACCAAGGTTGACCCATCATGCACCTCGTGTGTGTTGCGCTGGTAAACTGCATACATGTGCGCTTGCATAAAAAATGTTGGCGTTTCATGCGTATGGGGTGTTTGTTTGGCCGAGAAACAACAGCACCCTTGTCTGCGCGTAGGCTCTTGTGTTGTGTTGGATCTTGCTAATTGATATACTTCAAGTCCGCGTATGTCATTAGTGACGTGATTGATATCCAGAGATTTCTGTTGCATTCCCCATGTGGTCGCCGTCTGCACATGCAGTTTCATGTTATGCGTGGGTCCTGTTTTTGCTTAGCAATCTAAGGCCTGCCTGTACATCTAGAATGATTACATGTCGCTTCTCTACAGCGGACCCTAGTCGTTGTGTTAGAAATGGAATCTGACTATCGCGCATCAGAATTTCTCTACTTACGAGAGAGGATGGCCCAGCGCCAAGGCGTATTTCGCTTTCTGACGTCTTTGAAAATAATTGATGATGCGAGAGCATCACGATCAATACGTAGTTTTCTGGAAGGGTTTTACCCTATCAATGCATGCAGAATGACGGAATACGACACGTGGGCGCCAGACACGAGCTGCCCTTGCATAATACCACGTTTGGACACGCACGTGAGTTTCCCTCACGTGGGCATCTTCCACCGGCTACGAGCTGCATGTCGGAGCCGCACTTGATGTTTAAATGCGAGGATGACCGGGAGTTCGGGTCTTTACGTTTCAGAGGGTGGTATCGCACGCGGATGGTTATCGTCCTGACATAATTCCACCTGTGACCGTAGAAAGGTGTTGAAGTCCTCACCAAACCCGCACTCAGCCATTTCGTCATGCTGACTCATCAGTCTCGTGGTAACTACTGAACATGTGTTCTGCCTGGAGCTCGAAGGCAGATTTATCGTGTGATATCTCAATACCAAATGTTTATGCCGCATGGAATATGCGATGATCAAATAATAGACTTAGTGGCCATAGAAATTCAGCATAGAGAACGTGAGTTCAGAGTCATGTTGTGTGTATTAGAGGGCAGATATCCTGCCGAGCCTGGGTGATAGGCTTCGTGATGCTATGTAAAGTGACCTTAGGGCAAGTATTGAAACACAAAAACCTTTCAGTAACGGCCAAGACTCAACAAGAGTGTCAACGCAACGTGTAGAGTCTATCTGCCGCTGTTTTGAGTAGGAAGCTCATAAGAGAGATTCCAAGAGGGCAGCATCCGCCATCCATCACAGACGATGACGGCGGCAACTCGCGCAAATGTTCGTATGGCAATGGAGACAACGAACAATGAACCACGAGTATTTAACATCGCACAACTCACAGCGAAATCCTCCCTCCGGACGACCAGTTTCAACTCGATCCAGCCATCCGTCATGCTCCACTCGTGATTCTGGATAAGTCTATCTCGCACCGCTCGCACCTCACGCTGCAATTCAAGTTGTCCTAATCCACGGGGAGGGTTGCGAGCCACAATCTCCTCAGCTCGTGCCTCAATGCGAGCAATGTTGGCGTGTGCGCATTTGCAATTCTTCCACTGAACACCACACTCATAGCAGAACTCGGCCTTGCAACGGCATCTAGGTAAATAGTTAACAATTAATAGATCAGCTGAAGGCTAAGAACACTCACTTCATATGATTGCAGCCAGAGCGAATAGAGACTAAGGTCTTGCAGCTATAGCAGGTTTTCCAACCTAGCCCTGCAGCCATCTCCTGCACTTGCTTAATAGCCACATCCTCCTCACAATTAGATTCGTGAAACTTGTTCTTGCATGAGATGCAAGTTTGAGCTCCACACTTGTCGCATGTTGCCTTGCGAGATTCAGCGTCTAACTGGCTTGGAAGAATAAATCGTCCACACTCGCGATTGCTGCAATATACCCGGTCGATTGTCTTAAACTCAACACTTGCACGAGTGAAAGCTTCGAGCTTATCCTTAGACAAGTATTCGCTGACTATGTCCAGTGGAATCAGTTCTTTGTGGCACTGGACCGGGAACAGGGTTTCGTCTTTTGTCGCCAGCACAAACAACTCCTTGAGACAGCCAGTACAGTAAGTATCTCCGCAGGATAGTGTGACGATGCTGCCAAGGGAATGCTTATCTAAGCACGAGACGCATTAGTGTGGCTTAAAGGCATCTAAAGCATGTGTTTGGCTCTTAACATATGAAGATGGTTCATGTGCCGCGTGATCACCGTGAGACCGTTCGGCGAGAATTCCGAGATTTTGACTGTGGCCCGCAGTGTCCACCCAATCTTGAATCTTGGCCTCAGCACGCTGGTCGAGGCTCGGCGCGTTCTCGAAACCCGCATTTGTTTGGACAAAGTCGACGGCCAAATGTCTATCAGCCCGAGATAGAACTTCTTGAGATGCGAGATTGAGCACAGAATCACCGTCGGAGTGGACAGCAACACCTATGCTACAAGCAAGTCGCTTGTCTGTAAGGTTGGCGTGCTGTCTCTGCAGCTCGGCCAAGTAGACGGTGTGTGCAACGTAATAGTCGGGATGATCTTCGGTAGAGAGACTGTTCATGGTTGACTGCGCGAAGAGTTTGGCTTCTTCCAACTGCAACGCAAGCGCGTTGAGCTCTTCATCCATCATCGGCGAAGGGACAGCTGGTACAGCGTCGTGGATAGCCATCGTAGAGCGACAAGAAGAGCAATAATGGAGTAATACGTAGAGCTGTCGTAGGATGCCGGAAGTAGGTGTCTAAGGCAGCAACGGGTGGAGCTCAAGCTCAAGTAGCTCGCGTTGCTAGTGCAACCTATCACGTGATCTTCTCTCACCTTCCATGGATGTAGCCTCACATGCTGCCGAATCTAGTGCGATAAAATAAGCGAAAGGACTTGAGACTTCTGAGACGTAGCAGAAAGTGGGAGATTGTAGACGGGATTCTTTTGTTCTTATAAGTGAGAGGTTCCTTGGAAAGATCGCGGGAGACACTCCCTGCGAAGCCAGACTGCAACATTGTTTCTGCATCTGCAAAGGGGACAATCTTGCATGAACAACCAAGCTAATCAGATTACTCTGGTTCTCTTCGTATTACTACTGTCGGATATATAAACATCCCGTTCGGAAACACCTTCGCGAAGTAGTACTCACCATTGGTTGTTTCGGCAACTAAGCATCCTGATTGGCCCAGGTCCGCATGACAGGTGCGGCATCTTACAGAGCGGTCAACAGGCACATTCACGTCGCAGGGCTTTATATCACAAAATGTCTTAGTAACACGGACATACATATGTACATGGAGTTCGCGGCTCGTGTTTCAGCCGTCGTTCGTCCATACAAATTTATAAAAGGTGAACATACGTTCATTTCTAGCTATCCAGCTTTTCACCAGCTCCCGTCACCCTCATTTGTTGCAACAAAGAAACTAGTTGCAGTCATCAGACCGTACAAATATATTGAGATTCATAGCTTGCATAGCTTCCCAGATAGGCCACTATTAACATCCGAAATGTGACAACTCGCCAGCAACTTCACTCAGTCATTCCCACCGAAACCCACGTTTCTGGAAGATGACGTACCTGATCTACGAGGCAAGGTAACGCAATTCAAGCATATCTGATAAATTCCAAGAACTAAAGTCCGCAGGTTTGTATGGTGACTGGCGCCAACACCGGGACAGGCAGGGAGCTCGCTCGCATGCTCTATTCCAAAAACGCAAAAGTCTACATCGCATCACGATCACAAGAGAAGGCCTTGAGCGCAATCCAGGACATTCAAGACTCCTGCCCCAAATCGGAGGGAGATGTGATATTCATACCCTTAGACCTGAACGACCTCTCCACTATCAAAGCGTCAGCTGAGAAGTTTCTCGCAGCCGAGACGGAGCTCCACGTCCTCTTCAACAACGCAGGCGTTCAAACCAACGACCTAACAAAGACGGTCCAAGGCTACGAGAAACACCTAGGAGTCAACACAATTGGACCCTTCCTCCTCACGAAATTGCTCACCCCGGCCATAGTCAGAGCCGCCTCAAAAGCTCCACAAGACACCGTACGCGTCGTATGGGTCTCATCGTCAGGCACCGAGATCGCGGGTATCAAAGACACAGCCGTCGACATGCAAAACCTTGATGATCACGCACCTAAGCCCTGGCTTACTGCATACGGCCTGAGTAAGGCGGGAAACTGGCTGCATGCCGTGGAATATGCTAGGCGTCACCGCGTCGATGGCATCGTCAGCGTCGCTCTCAACCCGGGAAATCTGGCGTCAGACTTGTATCGCGATGCGACAGGCTTGTTCAAGTACTTCGTCAAAGCGGTCACGTACCCAGCTATAAACGGCGCGTATACAGAGCTCTTCGCAGGGTTTTCGCCTGAGATCTCGCTGGAGAACACTGGATGTTGGGGTGAGTACTCTACCTCTTGCAGCCTTGCTTGCAGAGATCATTCCGTGCGCACCGCTAGAAGGTGGACAGGCGTGGAAGAACTGCACACTAACACGATATTGTTTTTAGTAATCCCCTTTGGTCGTATCCGCGAGATCCGCAAGGATTTGCACAACGCAAGAAAGAGTGAGGCTGAAGGTGGCAATGGAACTGCTCGGAACTTCTACGATTGGACTGAGGAGCAAGTCAAGCTTTTCGTGTAGAGTCAGATAATAAGATCGGATGGCACAGTTTGATCGATTTCGATTATCGTGCAGATCTATCACTACGGTTATGTACCCCAAGTCGTCACTGCGACGGCATGATCATGTACATAATATCTGATCAATGTTGAGGGAGTTTTCCACCGCAAACGCTGATGATTAAGCAGGTCTTGAGCTTACCCGTGATGCTACGAGTATAACTCAAGGGTAAACAGATACATACATTTGCGAATCATTGATTTCTCCTGGGTAATGTAACCTTTTGAAAACCACCCCGCAAAGAACAAAGTGTGCCCCATTATGTGTCCTCCTTCGCAATCTTCAGATCTGACAAGATGATCGGCCATGGTATAGACCCTCACAATTTCCGCAAGTCAACGTCTGGCATCTATCACAGACGGCCTGGGGTATTCCGGCAACGCTCACAAACCGGTACGGTGGGACCCAGAAGCGACATTTGGGGTTGCTGCATAGCGTTCCGCCTTCTTTCGTGGTATAAAAGTCGTTGACAGCCGCATCGTATTTGGAGATCAGTTCATCTGAAAGATATACTTCTACGAGTTCCAAGGGTATCCAGTGGTTATGGCAACGTGGAGGAAATAAAGCGGGGCGAAGAAGCGACTCGATAAAAAGTGCTACCAGACATCCCACACAGTAGTTGTCTCCGCAAATCAGAGTTACGATATCGTGTGAGCCATTTCCTTTACAGCGCGAAACGCATATTTTCTCATCCGGCTGAGGTTCTGTTGAATGACGTTGGGTGCCTGCAGAGACTTCTTGTAGAAGTACCGCCTCAGAACCATCAGCAGAAGTAAGGAAGTCATTCTTAGTATCACTTCCTTCAAAGCTATATCCATTATATGAGCCATATCCGATATCAGGGTCATACCCGTTGTGAGGATCATATGCGTTGTCAGAGCCATAGCCATTGTCTGAGGAGCAGCCGTTATCAGGGTCGTTTCCGTAATCAGGGTCAGAGCCATTTTCATAGGGACATCCGTTGTCAGATTCATAGTCATTATCAGAACCATGGTCGTTGTCAGGGTCGTGGCGATAATCAGAGTAATAGCCATCAACATCGGAGTCGTATGAAGGATTATAATAATCAGAGACAGAGGTATCATCATCTCCCTCCAAGTAGTGTCTCATACTCGCATCAGAGTGCTGTGACATGTGGTGTGTGCTTGCAGATGCTTCAGCAACGGCGTGGGTGTGATTTAGTGTCGCTTCGCTGCCTCTGGAGTAGTACCAAGCGTTCAGACTTCTCATGTTCTGTTCGGCAACAGCCTTTTTCGACATTGCGCTTCGAGGGTAACGGTTTTTCATGAGAGACGAAGCAAGTTTTGGTCCTTTGTCTGCATCTTCCAGTCTGTTATGGGTATGGTTGGGGAATTTGGTATCCGTTGGTCGGCGATCGAAAACAGATCTCTCGGGATGCATGGCGGCGGTGGGCTGGGCAAACGCTATTTGTGAACTCTCTTGTGTCTCAAGCCGATACTCAGCAGTATGACTAGAGGGGAGAATCGGTGGTGTTGCTGTTCGTCTCCGCGCGAAAGCATGGTCGATTGTGTGCGTGCGCACGTGGACAGTCATGTGACGATTAGTCATGCAAAGTCGTAGAAGGAAAGAGCGGCCGCGGCTAGCTCGCAGGTGTAGACAACTTTAATCACACTTCAAGTTTTGGAATTGCGTCGGTCCATGGACTGGACTTACCAAACCCGCATGATATTGACGTGAATCGAGCTCAGTTGGATCTACGAGATGTATACATGCGAATGAACTGCATCGCGTAGTCACCTATCAAAGGGATATTCAAATTACGTATAGAGCGCCGCATGTACGTAATCAAGCCCATCATTCATGTTTTACACAAATGCGGTTGATTAACAATTATCAACCTCAGCAGTGGTGTAGAACCTTCTAGGGGGCATGGGACATGTTGGAATTCTAAGGGATGCGTTGAATTTGGAGATAATCTGCTCCACTCTAGCTGCATATGCGGCGAAAGCACCTATGACACATAGCTTGATTTCTATCTTGGTAATTAGCAATCTGTTTTGAGCAAGGTTGGATGTTTTTTTTTTTTTTGCTTACCCCGGGTTTCATACGAAAATACTGTATATACGTAAAACAATTCAATAGAAATGATCTTATCATTCGAAAGATATGTTAAGATCGGATCGAGTGGGATACCCATGTCGCAACAAGTCAGAGGTATTGTAGATTCATCAGTAGTGGTGCGTATGAGCCATTGCTTTAGGCAATCTACACAGATTTTGTGTCCACACGAGACTTCTCTGCGATCGTCTTCCTCGAAATCTCCTTTGCAGATGCAGCATGATAGTTCTTTTCCAGAGACAGTCGGGTCTACTTTCTGCACTGGTGAGTGTTCGGTTGTTAGCTGGGCATAATCACTGGCCAGACCAGGAAGTTGATGGGTGTTATGGCTGACTTCCTCTGCGGTGGAGGCGCTCTGGTCTGGCTGATCATCTTTTCTAACACAATCAGAGAAAAAAATTTGGACGTCTGTCATAATAGGCTTTAGGTCTTTAACAGAATGTGCTTAGATCGTCGGAAAAACCTATGCATTGATCTAAGCAGACCGGGAGCATGGGTTGACATAGATTGAATGGCTGCAGTGGAAAGCATATGGATACCCTGGTGGATAACAGGTGCCAGGTGCATATTTGTGCAAAACTGATTATTTGTTGATGTTCTTAGGATCTATTGGTCGTGATGCTCACACATTATGAATTGCACTTTCTCTTCGGGATCAGTAAACGACGTCTTCAAACACAGCACACTGCGGTTCGTATAACAGGAAGCAGGACCTTCATGTTTTCCAAGATAACGAACTCTATGGGTGCAATGTGAGGGTGATTTTATGGTAAAATATCTCATTGTGGCTCCTTCTGACTCGACTACACCATCGGTCAACAATGCTAGCCATAGAATAACCTTACCAAGAAACGCCATCCCGCATACCAAATAGCGCCTGCAGCAACCAGAACAAGAACAATTCGAGGTCCCAATTTATCGATCGCGTCATGAAGCGTCTTTTCTAATCTCTCCGAATACATCTTCTCCCGAGCAACATCCTTCTCCAACTTATTCGTTTTCTTGCTCAGTCGCTCGATAATCTCCTCGTCAGAAACGGGAACCTCCATGCTCCTATGCAGCCACCGTCGGCCTTCATTAGTCATCCCGATATCAGGGCCACCAGCGGATGACTGAGAATCTGGGTCTCCTGTACCCTCCCTCCCAGCTACAACCTCACTAGCCGTCAAACACAAATCTCTCCACGCGGATCGCCAAACAGATCGCTCGATTCGAATTAATACCGCCGTATCTGCCACAGGGCGTTCAATGCTAGTATACTTCACGATCTCATGGCAGATCAGATCTGGGAAATCCAGTAGACCGACTTGTTCTAGACTACTATTCAGCTCCTCGATTTCCGAAATGTCGACGCGCAGGATCTGGAGAATGAGGACGAGCATGGTCATGCAGTATCTGCGTGGGTCGTCTTGGCGCGTAAGGTTGATCCAGGCGCGCATTATGGCGTATTGTAGTGAAGGAGCAATGTTCGCGTCCTGGGTTCGGGGGGAACCGTCCATCGTTGATGATGGGTGTGCGGACTGCATCGGGTGGTTTTGCGGACGTGTAGAGCTATTATCTGGGTGGAGTTGGATTGCGAGCGGATGGTAGGCGAGTATTCTTGCAATGGCAAGATACGGTGGTGTTGTGGAGCGAGTGGGCTTGAGCAGCTTGGGCATGCTGCGGGGGTAGGTTTTTATCTTCTTGTTTAAGCGTACCTGTGAATGCGCAAACAACGTGACAATGACAATCGTCGGCAGCGGGCACGAGGCGATGTGGAAATCTGCCAGCAATCAGCATGCCGGCTTTTGTTTATACTACCACGTGTCTCAAGTCTCTAGACTGTACTCTAAGAATGTCTCAGATGTGGTTCAGTTTCCCATCCCCCATAGTCTTCCACAACAAGCAAGCTGATTCTTTGGATGCAGTATTGTATGTTGTATTTTATAGGGGTTAATTGCTACACATCGACTTCCGTGAAGGATACCCAGACTCTTTTTGTTGACTTGGTTTACCCAAATACACAAGCAAAATCTCGGGATTGACCCATCATGCTCCGGGCGTTGCCTGCTTTCTTGTCAATAACTTGTCGCCCTTGAAGCCACCCGCAGCTCAATAATGTAATTCACTTACATGCCACATCTCGATCCTCACCGCGCTTGTACCATTCCTTTTCAATACACCCACACCAACAACATCGTTCATCCACGCATACGTCCCATTTGATCCTGTTTCGAACTTGCCCCTCAACATAGTGCGGCCATCCGGTAATGGGAATCCTTCGGTCTGAACATAAATGTTTGTACCATCGTTGGTGCGGATATTGTAGCGCGCATCGGGGCGAACGATGCCTTGAGCATCTGTGAGACGCCAGTCGGCGCCGAGGTTGAGGACGGTGCCTGTGGTACTTATCAGTGAGTGGAATGACGTCATATGTGTAGACTAGAGGTATATGCAAGTGACTCTGGCTAGACATACCATTCAACTTTGGGCCAGTGAATGATCCGCCCACGATGGGAATCACAATGCGCTCTTCTCCCGTAGGAATTGGACCAAGTGAGAACCGCTCCCCCAAGTGCGCGTCCATGCTGTAGAGCAAGGTCAACTGAGGCTGTATAGGCGCATCTTGTGCTGCGACGGATGCTGCGAAGCCTGCAACGACAGCTAGTAATGGGGTGATGAGATGCATTGTCCGATTTGAAGATTGTTTCTAGTACCCATGTATCAAAAGGCCGTGTTCTGAACTCGCAGCAAGTCGAGCGCATTTAAATGCGCTGCAATCAAGCGTGGCTGGTGCCGAATATTACTGCCGCTAGGGATTTCCCCGCGGGGAAACGGTTCTCTGCTTTTCCTCATTGATTCAAAGATGGTGGGCCGGCTTCTCGGCGTGGGCCATCTGGGGCGCTGGGTTTAGGAGCGGGTAAAGAGCACCGGGTGCTTGCAGATCTCGCCCTGCGCGGCTTTGACGCAGGAACACTAGATGTGGGGTGTACAGATCGCCCATCTGATCACCATCCGAGATGTACCTTGAATCAGAAGAACATTCCATTGGTTTCGGCTTGAATGAAATATTACTGCTCGATTTCATTTTGGCACCCGGGGCGACCAAGGCCATGACAATTGGTAGAAGGTCGCTGATTCGCGTGGAGTCGAATTTCGCAAGAACAAATGTTTGAATAAGGGAGCGAGGATAATCTCACGAACTGGAAGGCTTTGTTCAGCTTCAGTTGAAGGCGTCATAGTTGTACCATGTCGACGCCTTGAAGATCGTAGGGCTGGGCGGCTATGCAATGCGCAAGGATTGTAGATGTATTAAACTAAAGCAAAATAGATTATTCTGCCTGCACTCTTAGTAATCAGACTTGAATAAGAATGCACATAGCAGTTACTTTAAGATACGTGAGGTAAAGACAGCAGAGGGACACTAAGGAAGAACCATAGGCACCGATTGTATATTTACCTGATAACCGCATCTGGAACAAACATTTCTTGCTTCTTAGGTCGTACGAAATACCCGAAATTTAAAATTCGCATCCCTAACCCCACGGATCTATTTTAGACCTTTCCTCTGCGCGCTTCGTGGCTTCGTCAAGACTCTCCTTAGGTAGACTGAGCGCAGCGTTGACAGTACCTCTACTAGTCTCTATATCACCCGCCCCATCCTTGAAGAAAACTCGGGTGTACATCATCTTCGCGAAGCCCATTCGATCACCTGATTTCATCTGTTCGACACCATCTTTGTAGCGCTTCTCACTCAGCTCGCTTTCGATAGTCCAATCCGACTGTTGCGTACCAGTGACCCTCAGCACAGAGTCAAACATTTCCTTCTGGGAAACCGTGAATGAGTTCGTATACACGACCTGATTCGCGTAGTTTTTCAGACTCGCTTTGCCAGAACCTTCAGACTCGACTGGGAGACTGAGCAAGCCGGCGACGCATCTTCCCACCTGAGCCCAGGTGCTGATCGAGATTCTGGTGTTGCCATCATCGAAGAATGTGACTTGACGTTTTTGGAAATCGATTCCGAAAGCAGCGCCTATGGCGAGACTCCATTCGTACCAGAAGCCGGTTGATACACTGATGAAGCTGCTCTTCCCCAGTTCAGTGATGAGTTTGCGAGTGGCAACTACGCGAGAGACTTAGTATTGGGCTGACTACAATGACAGATGCAGAGGTTGATACCTTTGGATTGGAATACGAAAACATCTTTCACAAGCGCTTCATTGGCGCTGTCTGGTGACCACTCATTCGGAAGAATCCACGAGACCTCTGCCTCAGCCGCAGCTCGGATGAGCTTCTCCTCGGCGCGGTGAGGTGCAAAAGCGCTCAGCGTAATAACAAGAGCGTCCTGGCCGCGGAGCGCATCGACGATAGTCTTCGGGTGGTCGTAGTCAATGTGTTTGGCCGTCACGCCCTCAGGAAGCTGCGTTTTGCTTTCGGGGCGAGTGAGTGCTGTGACGGTGTGTTTGCCTGTCTTTAGCAATTCTTCTGTCATGAATTGGCCGCTGTTTCCGCCAGCCTGTAACAAATGTTAGATGAAAAGTTATCTTTAGGCGAGGAGAGGAGTGTGGACGTACACCGACGATTGCGACATTTCGGATATGATTAATGCTGCCCGCCATTGAATACTCGGTCGAATGCCAGAAATTTTACCGCAAAAAGCATCAAGCTTTATAAATACTGCTGTATTGAGTACGTTGGGTCTTGTCAACGGAGTTTTGGGTCTATGATGCGTTCTCGGGGTTTCGGGTTGATATGACGGCGTTAAACAAGCTTACCTCCGTGATTCCGTCTACTACCTGAGTCCTTACGTACGAGTTCCACTTCAGCGTACACGAGGCAACTTTGGGAATGGATGATTGCGTAGAATACGGTCTTCATTGAGTCTCAGCATAACTTTTATAGTCTTGAGCTGGATTTCAGAGCGAGCACGATATGGACAAGCACGATATGGACACGACGACATCACTACTCATTTCCTAACAGAACCAAACGGAAAAAATAAGACCTCAACGTCGAAAGAACAAGCAAACCCATAATAAAGGACAAAAACAAAATAGCATCCTCGAGTGCCACTTGAAACTCAAATTCACCAATGACTGGGCCGGGCGTCCCCATCCCAATCATCACAATTCCATCCCAATCCATCTTCAACCAAGAACAGCATTTGCTTTACCAATGAGGAACTCCCCAGCCTCACCAGCATCCCTCCCATAGCTAAGATGAGGAGCAAGAACAGCCGCGCCAAGATTTCCATCGCAAACAGTATCGCGCACAAGGCCACCACAAAAGATCTTGATCTTGTCCTTTGGGAAATTGGGGATCTGATCGTTATCCGCGCGGCGCTGGGTATCACCAAAGGTCACAACGCCAGCAATTTGCGTCTTGACGGCGTTGTCCAGGTCTTCGACGGAACGGTGGACAACTGCTGCTCCCTGACTAATCGTTGTGTCAGCTTGATGGTTCTGGGATTGGGGGATGGAGGGGAACTTACGAGTAACCGCCAACGAGCATCACGGCGTCGGGGCAGCGGCTGTGAACGTCATTCAACGTGTTCCTCATCATCACTTCGGATACAAGGTCTGTCCCGCCGGGGAGGAAGTTGGTGGATGTCAGAGCAGCGTAGTCGATGCCTTCGATCTGGAGGTCTCGACCGTACTCCTTGCGAAGCTCATCGCCAAGTGGCTGTCCGATTATAGTTCCCTGGCAATGTCAGCAGGATGCAAGTATTCACAGGCAGTGAGTGGGCCGTACCATGTTTCCGATCTCAGTGGACCCACGAGCCCATACGAAAATGACTTGACCGCAGGTGAGGCTTCGAGAGAATTCATTTTCGGTGATGCCGGTGCGGTCGAGTTGGCGTTGCTCGAGCTCGAGAGGTAAGGCAGCAGCGATGCTGGCCAGAGCAAGTACGTTGAAGAATTGCATTTTATATCTCCACAGCGGACGATATAGTGTTGTGTGATGTGTAAAGAGGTGCACTGAGCAGCTAATGAATGGAATATAGTGAATGAAAGAATGAGTTGCTGGCTTGGGTCGCTGGAGGTGCCTGCTGATGTTGATTCTGGTGGGCAATGTAGCACTCTTTTATATCTCATCTTGACATCCCAGATCTTACTTCCAAAGTCTTGGTCGTGGTGAGAAGACCCATTTGTTTGAGATGCCTCGGCACAATCTTTTTGTCTATCGTTACCATCCCCTCCTGGGCTAGCATCTAGATGTGTCTGACCTGATGCGTGTGACTTGAGACGTTAGATAGTGCTTTGAACGGTGACTAAATCTCACAAACGGCATCATCCTTGTTCCCGCAGATTTACTTCTTCTACATTGCATGACAGATGTATCCGGCATATCCATTTGTCCCACACTCGGTAGAGTTGGTGTTGGGGCTTTATTCCCGTCAACCATCGGAGTGATCTCGTTGTATCGGACACAGCCAAATTCGGCATGGTGCTACGCCTGTATACACAGCAATCGCAGAACGCACGCCATGGCTGTATAAACGTCAAGCCGAGGTAACACACATCTTACACATCCATTCGACCCCAGCTTACTTACAGGCACCCCCACACCTTCTCGTCCCTCTTCACCGCAAGATCGCGTGATTGCAATCGGTCCAACATCTTACCATCAATGAAAATCCGATCCCTCCCCCATCACGATCAAAATGTAGACTAAAACCATGCACATACCCCAGATTTTCGGCAGCGCTAAATATCCTAGCGCATCCCTGATGATCCTCGCCGTAGATTAATAGCGGGGCAGTACGGGATGAACTGGATAATCACCCACCAAGAAAAGCGACCAATCGTTGCTCAAGTTTGAGTATCAGTTCCGAGGCACTGCTGTTCTGGGACAGCTTGGATGTTCGGGCGGTAATGCGAATGCGAAATTTGGGGGATACCAAGATAATGTATTACAGAGTTTAGGATGGTGAAACCGATCTATTCGCAATTACTAGATGATGCCGAGAGGGAGGCGCGGGTTGGCGTTTGAGGGAAATGGTATTGGCAGAGACATTTTATGGAGCAAATAGCCTTGGTATGGTACATTCTTTCTGCTTTTTGTTTTTACTAGAGATTCACCCATGCCCCGGTCTTGAGGTCGGTACTTGCTGTACGAGGAGGATACGATGACTCGAGCCAAGCAAGAGACGTTTCATCCCCGATCGTCTGCAAGAAGCTGCACCACTAAACCTCTCTTCATGGATGTATAGGATTGGGTTTCTCTCGAAAGTAGCGGTACTTGAGGCAGTGTGTAGCTATTAGACCAAGAAGCCCACCTTTTCCTATACTCTACATCTCTTCATTGGGCAAGCTGACATACATAACAAGGGCATAGCAGTGCTACAGCGGACACAGTATCTTCACTAGATAGATGTTCGATCGGTATTGCCAATCTGATCTTAGGTCCTCCCACTCCCATGCCAGCATTTGGACGGCGACGTGAGGCCTTTTGGGAACTACTTCCAATATACGTCCACACCACTGACAACACATTATGCTCAAATAGTCAAACAACACCTCCAAATGGTACGAGTTCCAGTTCAAAGCTGTTTTTAGACAATGTGTGCCGAGGCATCTCGGTGGATTTTCTTGCCCACTTCATCATCATGCGGGCATTTTGATCTTTCATGTACAAGGGATGGTGTGCTGACAGTCATTCCCCGCATCTGCGTTGTATTGAGTATGGTTACAGCTTTGAGAGGGGAACTCTCGTTGGCGAAGTCGCTGTACGAGATGTCGCTATCCAATGCACCCTTGTAGTGGTGGAGATGATCCAAAAATCGGCTATGATCGTCGAGGGCGTGAAATGCCATGAGATGTACACGCTAACTAATGGTGGTATGTTCGCTTCGCCTAATGCTCGTACCGCAATCGCGTAGGAGAGCAGGTATCATCGTGACGGTACCGTTTTTTTTCGCCGATACCTCGCGTTGAGGATGCAACACTGCGCTTTGAGGTTTCATCCGGTTCATACATAGCCAACCGCTGGTCTGCGCGACTGCTCGCTAGAGCGACGGATTCAAATTCGGGTACCTCTCGTATCCTGCGCGGACACCCTCTGCATTGACTTCTTCGGATCTGCGTACGTTCAGTAGGGTTGCGCGAAGCACGACGGCAATTTCAGATCGCAAACTTACCCTGTGAGTGGAGGACTCCGCCATTCGTTAGGCCAGTCGCCCGTTGAATGGGGCCAGGCAGCTTTCCAAGCAGCCGCAAAAACTGCATCCCCGCCATGCGACGGAGTCAGATGCCGGTAGAGATTTTTCTTGAAGAGATAATCGAGGTTATCATATCGAGCGTCCCGAGTCAACACCAGCCTGTGTGGATGCGTGTCTCTCTGATCACGTGTGCAATACCAGGTTTGTCGCATGGCCGCTGCGATGTTGAAGACTTGCTCGTTCGGGAATGTTATATAGTCTCGTCGCCAAATACAATGTGGTTGAATCATCAAGCCCTCAAATCTCGGTCTCGATGAGGGTTGCGCTTTGGCCTGAGTGGTGGATATGGTTTCGAAGATTGCGCGCGCTAAGGGTTCATCGATGGGGGAGTTCAAGAACCCGAGCTTCATGAAGTAAAGTACTTCTTCCTCAGAATACAAATGACGAGTTGCGCGAGTGTTTTCTGGGTTTGGCGGTGGCTTTGGATCGTAGATCCAGAGGTCCAAAGTCAGCGAGGCTCGTTTTAATCGTGGCATGCTACCCAGCGCTTTGTATATCTCGACTTCTTCTTTATTGCCACAAGTCCGCAGCATGTTGAACTCGATGTCTTCTAAGTGAGGACAGCTGTTCGCGATTTGGCGTATATTGTTACTATTGAACATGACTTCAATCTTCTCGAAATAAAGCACGCGCAGGTTCGCTCCATGCCGACTTATGATGGCGTCAAAGATATCGGTGTTAATAGGACAATGTGTCCTGAGGGATTCCAATGGCTCCAGAACAGAGAGCATAAGTTCCGCCGCCTCGAACGTAGATGATGAAGATGTATAACGATCCCGGTCGTAAGAGAGCTCTAATGCCCGAAGACTTTTGAATGCGCCTTGGGATTTGAGATGTACCATCTTATGCATTGAGTCTCCGCTGAGACCAATTTGTAGATGTTCTAGGAGTTCAAAATCTGTGCGCTCGCTCCATCTCTGCACACAGCTGGCGCAAATCTCGTTCCACGCCTCCACGGTCGTGAATAGAGTTCTAAGGCGCCCTTTGGGTGCTTGGCTGCTCGACCGTTGGAACCCGAAGGAATTTTTCCCTGCCCTTGTGCCGAGAATTAGGTGCTTGAACTTTTCTGTAGGCGATTTGGTAACTTTTTGTCGAGGATCCTCAAATCGAAATGATTTGGGGGAAAGTTGTTGGAGACAGCAAGTTCCCGTGCCCCGATCAGCGATAATCCACGCTTCCTCCAGATTCAGTGCCGCTCCTTCGATGAGATGGAATACAACAACCCCACTCAGATCGTAATGGGGCGGGTTGCGCGCACTTCTAATTGTATTCAGAGAGACAATATGGGTCAGACGAGGAGAGGTGACAACCGAATACTCGTAAGGATCAATCTCGGTGGATGGGTTATTGTACTTTCCCAAGCTGCGAATCTCGAAGCGATGCAGTCGAAAACGCGCTTGCGTCCTGTGGAGTGCATCAAATACAGAGCTTGGTATCTGATCGCTGCTTGCCCATGCGAGATCCCGAAAGCCAGACAGCTTGGGAATGAAGTCAGCCAGAGGCTTCCACGATTCGCTTTTCCGTGCATAGTGTTCTGGGTCGAATTCTGCATCTATATTGACATGAGTTGGATGGTCATCCGACGTCGCGTTAAGGAACTGGTCTCCGTCGTTGAGCAAGTGTCGAAAATGCGCCTTGGCACCATCCGGTTTCTTTGCTAGGAAGATGTCCTTATCATCATATTTCAGGGGAATTCCTCCACAGACCTTCATTTGCTGTACAAGTCCGAACCCATACTTATCGAGAAGTTTCTCCCATTTATTGATCTCGTCGACAAGAGTCTCAGGCCCGTCGACGAAAAGGAGTATGCGCTTGAATCGCTGTCTGATTGTCGCTTCGCAGCAGGTTTTGTTGACAAGCGAGAATGAGAATAAGCTTTTGCGGCGAGCGTCGGTATAAGACAAGTATTCACTAATCAGTTCCAGAGCGAGGAGTGGGAGGCTGTCCAGTTTTGGAGCTGACATTTTTCGAGACGTTTGAGAGGGGTTACAAGACGTTGCTTGAGAATACGAAGCAGAATGTGGGAAGTGGCCTGGGTAGTGGCGGCCCGGCGTAAATAGCCCCCAACCCCCTTTGGTGCCCAGCTCCATCTGCACCCTGTATGGGTACATATGTAGGGTGTATACATTTCTTCTTTTGTGATAACGACACTGATCGATAACCACAACAGACCATTTTGAGACCAAATTTTCGTATGGTGACCTGGCAAACCGGAGGTCGATTTGAAGATCCGGGCCAAACCATCACGTGATTCTGCTGCTGAGCCATCGAATATCGACTGGTGTTGGCGAATAGCACGACTGCTTAGTAAAACAACAATTCTAATTATATCTGTAGTTCATGTTTCTGTGCGAAATTCAGTGCAAAAAGAACTGGAAGATATACAAGAACGGGCTGCCCCAAGTACCTAGAGTATACTTCCCCAGGTGTACGCCAGCCCCAGGTACGTAGCGGCGTGACTACGATCGACGCACGTCCTATCATTGCATCACAATGGCGCTGTATCATATAATCGTGGGCTTCAGTATGTTGTGTTAATCCCGAACTTCTGCATGGTTGCCATTCGTGGAATTACTTGTCAATGGGCTAGTTGGGGCATGGGTGTTGATAGCTGCCTCTTTGGAACCCCCGCGCTGCGGAGTAAGTACCTCAGATGCTAGGTCAATGGGTATCTACTGATACCAGATGATCATCAATCAACGCCGGCTAAACTATAAATGATGATATAGGAGTACAAAAGCATTCAGCATCCATCATGATTTGGGGCGTGCCTCGGAATCGGTACATACTGCCGCCATGATTCCCCTACTGCAGGCCATCTCATTGCTATCTGCCTGCGCAACACTAACAACGGCACAAGACAACCTCGGCTTGGGCAACGGAAGCATCGGATTCCGATTCGGAAACATACAAGGTGAAATCGTCAAAGCCTCACAGACACTTGCGTCGCTCAACTCCACCACGTCTGACTTCGACTTCTTGCCATTTGATCTTCTTCCCAGGTTAGCCGCGAATGGCGTTCATCATATTGGGGATGTCACTTTCCGATATCGCGAGTCCAGCGCTGCACAATGGATAAGCGTAGACTCTGCGACATCGAGAAAGCCAGTTATTCCAGTCAACATCTCAGCCTTGGACGTACTCAGCGCAGCGGATTTAAAAGCCTCGCTTCCGGCCGACCTACCCCTCAAAGTGACCAGAGAATGGCTGCAGATCAAGGGAAGCATCAGTAGTCTCGGATTGCGCTTCAACATCACCAACACTGCGGGCTCGGAAATCGAACTCGGTAGCTTAGGCCTTCCCATCAGTATCAACAACATTTTCACCGGACGTACTGCAGAGAAGACGCAAGAGCTCTGCTCCCTAGCAGATCCTTACATTGGACTGGATGCGGGTTACGTCCGCGTGTCGCATCTACTAGGAGCCGGCAATGCCCTCGTGATTACCCCGCTTGGCGCGACCAGATTCGAGGCATGGAGGTTTCTGAAAGAGGCGCAAGGGAATTTTGGATACCAGTCGCAAACATTCGAGGGGAACTATGAATGGCAGATCCATAGTTCGGCCTATGCGGAGAAGGAGTGGCGTGGGAGCGAACCATGGAACACACCAACGTCCAAGGTCTTGAGTGTCGGGGAGACATACTCCATCGGTCTGCAATTCTCGGTTGCAGAGAATTTACAGGGCATCGAGGAGACTGTCTCGCAGACAGGGACACCGCTGGCCGTTGGTGTTCCGGGGTACGTGGTGCCCGCTGATTCATCTGCGAGGCTCTACCTCAATCACTCGTCGGCCGTTCAGAGTTTGGATACGGGCGGCGCATTCACTGTCACAGTCCCTTCAGCATCTCGGGACTTCTACCAGCTGTCTCCCGTTGCGTCTACTTGGGGTCGAGCTCGTGTGACGATCACATACGAAGATGGAAAGACGCAGACCGTACATTACTACATTACAAAGTCCGCACCAGCTGCTCTCAGCGATCTGGGAAACTTCTTCACGACCTCCGCATACTATACAGAGACTTCCGATCCCTTTGCGCGCGCACCTTCTGTCATGGGATACGACCGCGAAACTAATAAAATCGTCGATCAAGACCCCCGCGTGTGGATCGCTGGTTTGAGCGATGAAGGTGGGACAGGTGCTTATCTTGCGACTGCTATGAAGCAGTTCGCCCAGCCAAACTCTGATGAACTTTCCAAAATCGACGATTTCGTACACGACACTCTAGTAGGTACGCTCCAACGCGATGAATCTTTCGGTGTCTCCGCCAGCGCTTTCTTCTACGAGCCCACAGCCGTGGACTACCCTTACAACCCCGCCTTCGATTGGAGTACATGGGCAAGTTGGAACCGTGAGCGCGCATATACAACGCGTCGAGCATATAATTACATCCATCCCGTCGCCACATACTGGTCGCTCTACCGCGTAGCGAGGGACTATCCCGAGCAGGAGCTTCGTTCCTCTTGGGAATGGTACCTCAACCGCGCATTCAACACAACGCAGTACTGTCTCTCTGACCACGCAGAAAATTGCGACTACGGGCTCGTGGGACTCATGGGCGAATGGGTCCTTGGCGAACTCCTTCTCGATCTCCAACGCGAGAACATGACTGCGCAAGCCTCCACGTTAGAAGAGAGCATGCGATACCGCGCAGAACTATGGGACACCCAAGCCGTGCCGTTTGGAAGCGAAATGGCATGGGATAGTACGGGTCAAGAAGGCGTTTACTTCTGGACGCGCTACTTCAACCTCCCAGAAACATTCACAAAAGCCCTCAACAGCGTGCTAGCATACACGCCTACAGTAGCGCATTGGGGGTGGAACGGCAATGCGCGACGGTACTGGGATTTTGTATACGGTGCGAAGATCCAGCAGATTGAGCGGCAGATTCATCATTATGGATCCGGGTTGAACTCGTTACCTCTTTTACACGCCTATGAGCATGGTCCGACGGGTAATCTGTATACCCTGCGCGTCGGGTACGGCGCTAATACTGCGCCGTTGACGAATATCGATCAAGATGGGTTTGCATCTGCCGCTTTTCATAGTTATCCCGAGATGCTGAAATGGGATCCGTACTCTGGGGACTACGGGCCTGGGTTCTTGGGTCTGGCACTCGGGCAGACGACCTATATCGTCAGTGATGAGCGATATGGGGATTTGGTCTTCGGCGGGGATGTCGTGGCATCGAATGGGTCTGCGATAACGGTGACGCCACGTGATGCAGTGAGAAGACGGGTGTTCATCGCTGCAGTCGAGCTGAAGATTGAGATCAGCGCTGGTGCACTTCAGACCGTTGTCTATGACAAGCAGGAGCAGAGTGTTTTGCTCGATATTGCGGATGCGGTGGTGGATGATGCTCTGAAAGCAAAAAGTACCGTCGTCTGGCTTTCCCGACCTGGACAAGATGCGATTGGGTATCAGGTCAAGGACGGTAAACTTCAGCGAGGAGGATGGACGGTGGATCTCCCGGATGGGAATGCGGTTGTCAGTATCGCGAGAACATGATCCGAATGCGACAGAATCCCATCATTACCGCTGCGTTCTTTTCTCTGATTCTTCCCATACAATTCGTCATCGTTCCATGGTTTCGTTATTCCACCGCTTCCAATTGCATCGATGCACAGTCTAAGCACGGCCAATCGTGTATAAAAACGGCACCGGGGGCACGCAGCGCGCCTGTTCAGTCCTTGTGAGAATCCAGAATGGTTACAACCGGACCGAGATAACACATCTTGACATATTGCTCGACCTTTTATCATGTGTATACAGAAAGATTGTGTATGTATAGTCGCGATTGGGTACCGCAATTGACCAATCGCGACGGCGTAATCTCTAGCGTGGCCGGATTGGGAAGTTCTGTACGACAGCAGCCAATGGCACCTCGCGAAATGACCTCCGATATGCGTGACCCGATACGACTGCAGTGGCCGAGAAAGAGCTGACGGTCTGGAATATGGTCGCGTGCGCGGGGGACTGAGTCAAGAAGGCCATGGTGAGAGGAGCAACGGGCTCGTATTTCCCCATGGGTTCAAAAAGTCCATCTCGAAGAGCGTGGGAGATATCGACCTGCCAACGTAACGCTGAGGGAATCCGCTGACGGTTGGATCTATATAGTATCTCTAGTATAGTCTTGCAGGATAGTCAACAGAATATTCGATTGTGCTCCAGCTGCAATTCTACTGAGAATCGATAGTGAAGTAACTGATCACGAGCTTGTGGACGACAATGCTCCACTATTTCAACTTCAGCAAGGCGACGCCGCCAGCGAACGAATCGCCCGACGCTACCCAAGCTCCAGTGCGAGCTTTGCCCGCATCATGGTATACCTCGACCGACATGTACAACTTTGAGCGACGAGCCATATTCTCCAAACGTTGGATCTTTCTCACACATTCTTCCCGCCTCGCCGAGACAGGAGATTGGCTGCGCTACACAATTGCCGGTTACGACATCATCCTCACCAAAGACCGCGAAGGTACCATCAATGCTTTCCACAATGTGTGTCGGCACCGCGCATACCCCGTCGTCGAAGGCGAGGAGAAGGGCAAAGCAAAAATTCTGGCCTGCAGGTATCACGGGTGGAGCTACGGACTCAACGGCAAACTGGCAAAAGCGCCAGGATACCAACAATTCAACGACTTCAAGAAGGAAGAAAACGGGCTATTACGCATCCACGTCAAAATCGACGTCAACGGTTTTGTCTGGATCAACATGGACGCAAACGTACGTAAATCTCATTCCACCTCTCCAAAAGCTAGAATCTTTGCTAAGAAAAAACTATCCTCGCTCTCCAGAACCCGCCCACAGTATCCTGGGAATCCCACTTCAAATCTGTAGACATCCAATCGCGCTACAAAGGCTACGACTTCTCCGAATACACCCTCTCTCACACATACTCCCTGCCGGGGCCGTACAACTGGAAGATCCTAGCCGACAACTTCAACGAGTGCTACCACTGCCCGACGACGCACCCGGACATCCCGTCGTTCCTGAACCTCGAGTCGTTCGACAGCGCGCTCAAGGACGGGCATATCCAGCACCACTGCGCGCCGACCAAGGAGCAAGAAGAAAAAGGCCTGCAAGTGCATTCGACGTATTACTTCCCCGCGAGCAGCATGGTGCTGAGCAGGCACTTCATCATGATCCAGAAGTTCCTGCCCGTCAGCGCGACCGAGTCGGCCATGAGCTACGAGGTCTTTCGGAACAAGCACAGCTCCGACGAGGATTTTCATCTGATTGCCGATATGTATGAGAGGGTGATGCGCGAGGATAAAGTGCTGTGCGCCGCGGCGCAGAAGAATCTCGAGCGTGGCGTGTTTGTGAATGGCCAGCTGCATCCGAGGTATGAGAAGGCGCCGTTGTTTTTCCAGAGCACCGTCAGGGACGTGTTGAGAGAGCATCGTGAGCAGGAGAAGAAGGCGGGCAGGGAAATTTGGCCGGCGAAGATGGTTGTAGGGCAGGGGAAGGAGGGGAGTGAAGAGGACGAGGAGTTCTGCAGGGGGTTGAGCTGTGGGGATGATGGGAAGGGGTTGGAGTGGTGAGTGGTGGGGGTTCTCATGTTGTTTGAGGAGAGACGGCGTACGTTGTCCAGCTGTGACGGCAATTACCTAGCTATCATTCGCATTTCTTTTCGGGGTGGTTTTCTGGAATCATGTCACACGTTTGTTTTACGGAGCGGGAGTATATCGCTAGAATGTCTGCAAATCATCTCTCTACTTCAACAGCTATAATGATTAAGAAAATTTCAAACCGGATCAGAAAGTCCACACAAACTGTTAGATTAGCAGTTGGAAACATGCTTGATGAGAAAGAACGGATGACTTGAATCATGGGATGGGCGGATTGCATAGCAAAATGCAAAAGTTGCTCGAGGGAGTTTAGAAGAAAGCCCAGTTTGCCTCCCTGGTTGCTCCGCAAATAATCCAGATCTAACCAAGGCTCAGTGTTAGGTTCCTAGATACAAACAAAAAGCATATTTGCATATGTAGTGAAGAGTATAGTAAACTACTTGCTTGCAATTCGTTGTGTGGCGCTCATCATTTTGCGCTAGGAGTATGCTACCCATGTAATCTTCTATAAGGATTTGGTCCTTCGCGAACCCTACTTATCTAAAACCCTTAGTTTGTTATTGCCATATGTACGCTGCATCTCACAAGATTGCAACGGGTTCCTCTTTAGTGACATCTTCCAAGTTATTCGATTGCTAGGAAATCTTTCGTGGAGACATTTTGTGTGTCCTGCCACATTTGATAATTCGGATTCTTCCCCATCAGAAAGGATCATCTGTCCGAAATCGTGAGAGGCGATGAATCGCTTGCATCTTGGATCTTTTGAAACACGATAACAATAATAATAAAAATATACAAGAAAGGGATAACTCGGCTGAAAAAGAGCGAATGGCCACCCGATTCACATCCAAACCCCACAACATCCATTGATTCCCCCAACTACCAACAAGACGACGGCCCCAATAACCACCACCCCCCACCAACTCTGCTGATCCCCCCAAGCGTCCCAAAACAACAGCTTCCACAATCTCGTCACCTTCCCCCACAAAGAATTCTATTTCTTCGCATTCTGCTTGAAGAAGTCCATGAAGACTTTGGTCCCATCGACGCCGCTCTTAGCCTCTGCCCAGCTATGTCCATGCCCGTCGATGCGATAATGCTGCACAGCGCCCTTTGTGCTGTCAGCACCGCACGTCCAGGATATATGCTGCACGTTCTCGGCCGGCGAGCTGACGTCCTTGTTCTCGCGGTCGCAGGCGTTGCGTACGGCCCAGCGGTCCATGAGGTCAGGGATCTTGGGCAACGGGCCGCCGCGGCCATCTTTGGTAGGCTCGTAAGGAATCACGTCGTCCTTGGTGCCGTGGATCTCGAGGAACGGCGTCAGTTTGCTGGCGGGGCTGCACCGTTTATCGCCGTCGACGTCCGTGTAGAAGGCGCCGCTGTTTGCGGCGAATGCGGCGAATTGCCCGCCGTGGCCGGGGGAACATGCGAGCGTGCCGACGAAACCCCCGCCGTTGGAGTGCCCTGCTGCGAAGATGGACGAGGGCTCGATGCAGTAGTTGGATGTTAGCGATGCGATGAGGTCGGTTGTGAAGTTTTTGTCCGAGACGCCTTTTGTGGCGTACGTTGGGCCTTGCCAGTTTTTCTACATTCTGTGTTAGTCGCGACATGCTTGTAGCCTTTTTTTTTGCTGGCGGAAGAAGGACATACATTGACACCAGCGGGATACGCGACAACCATATCCGCATTAACCCCCGCCTCGGAAAACCTCATCTGCTGTTCCACGTCCTCCGGCGTACCGCCCGATCCGTGATACGCGATAATCAGCGGCGCGCGCTGCCCGTTCTTGTAGTTCTTGGGCAAATGCAGACGATAATTGCGCTCGCGGCCATCGCTGGTGAGTTTGAACTCCTTGGTTTGACCGGCCCAGTCGTGTGTTTTGCTGCAGCCGTCGGATTGGGATTCTGCTCGGAGGGCGTGGATTGCGGCGGCGGAGGTTGTGGCGGGGAGGGCGAGAGCGAGGGTTAGGAGGGTGGGGAGGAGGTCTTTCATGGCGGTGGTTGTGTGTCGCTTGTGGTATGTGTGTATGTCTGGGGATTCAGTGTCGAATACGAAGGAGGGGATTTGGTGTTGTGGATGTTGACGGATGCTGTTGTTGAATTCCAGACAGACATGGGAGCAGCGAGGTGTGAGGTTCTATATACGTCAAGACCGATGGGCCACCACCGGTCAAGGATTGTCATTTCCTTTTCCCATGTCTAGTAGTAAGTCGACATGACTGTGTAGGGTAGAATAACATGGAGTAGTGTAGTGTGTAGTAGGTAGCTGTGCACATGTCCGATGGCTAATTTCGGAACTCGCCATGAATGTCAACATAGTACTCCACTATTCCACGACACCGCCACAGCCCGCCTAATATCCCTTGCCATTAAATCTTCCGCTAGCTACCGTCTATCCGTTCTTGTCTGTCCACTATAGCGATCATTGATGTCTGCCTAATTCTCACTCATCGCGCATTGCCTTCTTCCATCTCTTCATCAAAGGAGACGACTCTCCGACTTGATCAAAAGATAGTGCGCAAACCCACACACAGACTCCCTAAGCAAAACACAACACTGCACCAACACGCCACTAGTATCCACTACCCTCCAACATACTTTCCGAAGCCCCAAAAGCTCATCTCAAACTCTCAAACAATCGCCTGTTCACGTATCCATTGTTTGTTTCCCCAAACGCTTACCTCCGCATGCATTTCCAACCAAACATCTACCAACCCCATCTCAACACCGCATGTAACCCTCCCTTTCAATCATCATCCTGTTGCCAGAAGAACCAAGAAAAGAAAAGAAAAGAAAAGAAAAGAAAACAACAGCATGACTAGCCGTACACGGAGAAAAAGACCACCCAGCATGTCACTCAGCTGTCGCATCACCACGGTGCGTCAAGATGACCTAGCGCAAGGCGTGCCGGCCCGCCTCAAGTCTACTACTTACATACTTACTCTCCCTCCTCACGTCGTTTGATTTTGTAGCCCCTCGATCCGACCTAATCATCCCCACAATGCGCATGCGCATGCATGTGCGGATGTAAGCCTTACTGTGCAGAGAAAGCCCAGCTCAGCTCCAGCCGGCTTTTCGGCGTGGGTTATCGCTAGGTAGTGATGATTTTGTGACTGCGCCACACTGCACTTGTATTAATGCTGTGCATGTAATGCTGCCTGCTGAGCGTACGATCTGATCTTAAACTATCCGAGTGGGACTAAATAATTCTTATTGATGGATCCTACTGTTATGCAGAGGTCAGAAAAGTTGGTGTTTCTCTTTTCAAGCAATACAGTTGACGGGAGTTCGTTGGGTTTGGCAGATCTGGCCTGCCGAGTATGTAGAATGTCATTGAAGTCTACTCAAGTAGTCGTTCCATCAAAACCTTCACCCACCGTCCTTTTTAACTCCAAGCTTCAAGACAACAGGTGTTCATACATTAGACTTCCACCACCCCCCTCCAAGTAGAATCCCACGCGCACTTACAATCACTCAATCAATCAAGGCAGCGCCTCCTCCTGTACAGCAATCAAACGATATTCCTCCAACCCAGCAACCCTATACGCCTCCACGCTCTCCTTGTACACCTTAGTATTCACCATATCCACAAACCCCTGCAACGATTCATACTTCACGAGCACGACAGTATCCCACTCAACACCTCCTTCCTCTTTGCTGAGCCCCGCTACGATCCCCTTAACGCTGCTCTGGAAGATGGGCGCAGAGTTGGGTGGCATGAGAGGCCGGATGCCCTCGATGTATCGCGCAAGAGATTCGTGCCCCGTGCAGGGGGTGGTGTTGATGGAGGGGTGGACGTCTGCGGGGAAGACGGCTTGTGGGCGGTGTTTGAAGAGGTTGAGCATGTGGATTGGGGCATTTGGGTCGTGGGATTGGAGGAGGGCGGTTGGGTTGAGGGGTGGGACTGGCATTTTGACGATTTTTTTTTTCAAGGGTGGTGGTTTGAATAGTGCGGGCTCCCTTGGTTGGATTTGAGTTGGTATTGAAACAGAGATGGGTTTGGCTGGTGCCTGACTTTGTTGTTGATGCGGCGTTCCAAGGTGATTGTTGTATTATAGTGTTGACCGGCTGGAGGTATCTGACTTTTGTTTTGGTTTGCGTGTTGGTGTGCTCTCTGGTGTGAAGTCGCGAAACTTTATACTTGCCCACCGGTGGAAGCGGAAACTTGTGATGATGGAGCTCCGCTTGCTGAAGGGCGGCATGGTGGTTCAAGAAAGCGGCACCGTTACCTTTCGCAGTGATTATCGCAGCCTATCATTCTGCCACAACGACTTTGCATCTTGTTTGCGTGAAAGAAGTAGCGGAATTCCGTCCAGAAAAGGGCGGTGACTAACCCAGTTCGGATGAGGTGAGATGGTTTCTCCAGATTGCTTCCCTAATTGGTAAAAAGTTACGATGACATGAGATCATGAGTAAGATGCCTATTATTATTCTCTTATTTGTTTACACGTCCAAGTTTAGGTCATCACCATGGGGCGGTAGGCTCGACTACTTCCGTGTCAAACATCCACGTCATAAAGTCGAAGTTATCGGCCCCCAAGCTACCGTCCAGCATCTGTGACTCATCAGCATTCTGCAATTCGTGCTTGTCCCGAGATTTCAGTCAGCGGCAACACTGACCGTGAAGTCCCAGTCTCCCAACACCACGTTTGCATCATCAAAGGAAAGAGGATCGTTGACTCCCGACCCTCTTTCAATCCTCTCCGCATTCATCGAGGCCAGCATTTCCTGTAAGATCGTCAAGCACTCTGCCCCAACTTTAGTTGCCATTGAGATGAGCTTTTTTGATACTTCTTCTCTCCCCATCCCATCTCGTGTTAGTTCGATGTTAGTGCACATGAGGTGTGCAAACACATAACCTTTGACGTTAGTTTCTCCTGCTTCGATGCATTCGTAGTTGAGACGAATGCCTTCCTTCAAAAGACAGAGAAAGTCTGGTCGTTGTGGCATGATGCCTAGACTATCCTCATCCTTTGTTTGCTGGCTGAATTCCGTCGAGAAGACGATTAGTATTTGCATCATACAAAAGCGGAAGAAACCGGAACCGCTGGTAACCATGCGACGAAGCTTCAAACGGTGCTCCAAAAAGGCTGGTGTCAGATTGGGAGTCGTCGAGTCTGGGAAAAGAGTATACCACATTTTGAGTGAGGAATCCACAACAACCTTTCGAGAGTGCGCATATGTCGGATCGTGCAAAGATGGGGAAAAGAATGGCATGTGTAAGGATACAAGATAGCGGAGCGCTACGACTTCCACAAGATCTAGCTGGCCTGGCTGAGGCTTCCTTCCCGCGGATGAGGACTGGAATGACTGGAATGCACGGCGGAGATCTTTGTAAGCCGAACGGAACTCTGCATCGAGGCGCAGTGTCTCCTGATAGGATCCACTTGCGCCAATGCAATTCAAGAATTTGATCACCGTCAGACGGATTGAAAAGGTATTTCGCAACTCCCTTGCCGCCGATATATCCGTATATTCGCCATCCGGCTTTGGCGTCGCAGCTTCATCGATCAACTGATCGTCATTGTAGTTTCCCGGCGGTCGAGTATCGAAATCGTCCAGCGACAGCAAGGGCGGCGCGCCGGCATTCAAGCTTGTCTGTAGGCACAGCTCCAATATAGTGTTCCAGAGTCTCCGGTGCATCTCATTGGCGAAGATGGTTCGTTGGGGGAAGAGGACGGGGTCACGGTGCAAACCCATATATATTGCAGCCCTGAAGAGTCCACCAGCAGAGACCCAGTTTGTATCCTCGCTACTTCCAGTCACATCGCGAGCAACCAGTAAAAGGATGTAAATCTGAAAGTATTCCAGTCCGAGGCGGTGCTTCAACGTGGGGTTCGAAAGCCATATTTCAGCCTCATATTTCCAACGAGTTGCCACTGTTCGCAGGGTAAACCGATTGTCGTAGGTCCCCGCCCCAATCGCGAGGACCAGCTTGAGCAGAATGAGAAAGGTAGGATCGGGCTTGGTGCCCGTTTCCCAAATTGCTGCGTAGCTGGATCTAAAGGATGGTACATGCAGGACGCGATGGAGGATCTCGCTGGTACTGAGATATTGTTCAACAAGTGCATCGGCCACCTCTCGCGATGGAAGCTCCGAGGCGGTGGAACAAGGCCACTCTGGAATTCGTTGCGCTTTGATAAGCTTGGAAACATGTTTACATTTTTGCATTTCGAAAAACAGAGCGTACGTTTGCTCGTACGAGTAGTCATCCAGGAGGTCAATAACGTCGCGAACCAGGACAATGCAGGTACTGACCCAATGGCTCTGGCCAAACATGCGATTCTTATGCGTGATGCTACGGTTGATATTCGGCATTTGGCCCCGATTGGGATCGCCGTGGTGAATCAAGAAGGTGCCAGCCATATGGGAAGTCGTGGTCTCGGTATGTGATTCTGGGGTGGTAATGCAAGTCACTGGTGTCAGGCCGGAGTGGGTGGATGATGTAGACGATAGTGCCGTGCTCTTCAATTTCGATTCAAGCTCCCGGATCCTCATCTTCATGGCATTGAGTTCCGAAGACGAGGATTCCGGCAGTGATGTGCCGGGGGGATTACAGACATTTCCAGGCAGCTGAGTGGTGTAAACACAATCATCCGTCTTATTAGCGCGTATGCAATTGTTGCAGGGAGATTCACGGTTGCATCGGACTTTACGGCGTCTGCATAGAGTACAAGCCCTGTTCAAAAAAAAAAACGGTCAATGTTAATTGTACAGACGCCTGGCTTGTTTGGATAGGGACTTGAATGGGAGTGACTAATTGATGTGTTCGGGGTATCGGACTTACAAGGCAGGTCTCCTGCGTCGACGTGGAGGGTCCATTGGTAATTTGGTAAATGTTTGATTTTGTGTGAAGAGAGAAAGTGGGATTGGAGACAAAGAGGAGTTGAAGACCAGGCGACAGATGGGAATGGGTTGAGAGGGATCGGGGTTTGGGTGAATTCACCGAGCGGTTCGGCCAATCACAGCGGCGGAAAATGGGTTGAGGGTCACGTGTTAGCCGCCAGAACCCCGATATCCCCGAAACTAAGAATAGTCGTCCTGTAAGCTCATATATGGCGCCTGGACGACTTGGAGACTTACACAAAAGTCGCCGATCATGTGAAACGCCCTGCCAATCTCTCACTGTAAGTAGAATGATGTGTTCGAGGATAAAGGGCTTCAACTTTCATGGACGCAACTAGAGGATTAGCTACTTCGAGTCTGGCTGTATGAAGCACATACCGCAATCGTTCAATTCGCCAAAACAAACTCTGCCATTCCGCAGACGGGATACAAGAATCAAAAGAGTGCCGGATTGGGGTTCAAGATCCACACGGTGGAAGAAAATGGAATACCTTGAAGCGTCTATAACCAATATATCCTACTGTACATTATTTTGTTCGCGCAGGACTGCACCAATCCACCCCACCCCACGTTTGTTCGTTCCTGCCCATCCGTTCTTAAACGCACTGACTGAGATTGATTTATGGCCTGACGATGCGGAGACCGTCTTTGGAAGGGCCTGCAGCTCGCTTGAAAGACTATACAGAGGCATTGTTAGCCGCTGCAAACATGGTGTTCATTCCGGCAGAAAGAAATAGAGCACGGGCACTCACGCTGTCACATTCTTCCCATGCACGACCAGCACCGAAACCAAGACCGACCATGGCGGGCCACGCGCGGCGCTTGAAGAGGAGGACGGAGAATACGATACCGAAGGAGACGCCGAGGCCGGAACGGATGAGCATGGAGGAGAGGCAACGGTCCCACTGCCCATAGTCAGTAACTAAGATACAGTCTATCAACAACTGGTGCGTGGGGAGGTCAATGGTACCTTCTCGTTGAGGAGAGCTTCGCTCATGGGGCGCGAAGTCTTGGGGACGGGCGCAATGGGTTCGGGGGTATCGCCGGCCATGGTGTATGTGGAAGTCCGCGACGGAAAAACAATCGGCGGCGAAGCAATTGGGCGGGATGAAGGCAGGGAGGTTGCCTGGGGATGTTTTCGGGGGGATTATTCGCGATGTTTGGAAGCTTTTGGCGTCTATCAGATGCGCGGCGTGAGCTTCGGGGGAGAAGGGCGCTAGTGGGATGCTGACTCAGCTATTTTTTTCTCCATGGACAATCTTCACCTCTCTCCACGTCTTTCTATACAATCAATTTCGCTTCCAACTTTTTCCTTGCGTTCTTGCCAAAGATGGGGATCAAGATGCCGGGCACCAAGGTATGCATATAATTCATAATCTACGTCCATTCATTCACATTGATTTCCCATACTAATCTATTCCTCTACGGCAGCTGCCCGCACCTTCTTCCGCATCTTCACCGTCGCAAACCCTTCCACCGCCCACGCGTCCTCGATTACAGGCCATCAATCAAGGGTCAGGGGACCTCAGTGAACAGATCGGCCAGGCAGCGCACATAATCGGCCTCCCCACCGACTGGGAAGCGCTTCGCGGATATGCTCGTGCGACGGCAATCCACCGCCTGGTCCCCGCCCGCGCAGATTGGGTTCTCAAATGGATCCTCGAAAAGATGAAAGATGCCGCTGCTCGTGCGAACCCCAGCGCATGGGTTCTTTTGGATTGGATGATCCAAGTCCTGCCCATCTCCCGTTGCGCCCCTCACTTGCTGGACTCTTCCTTCGTTACAATCCTCGAGCAAACTCTGCAAGAAACGTTCGGCACCGATGCGCTCGCACAGCCTTCGGTCACATCGTCGCGCACGTCGTCTCGAGATTCGAGCGAAACCAGCTTCCAGGATTCTTCCTCTACAGGTCGCAAGCGGAAGCGCGGTGCTGTGGGCGTCGACTCACCGTCTAAACGGGCTTCCCTTGAATCAGACCTTCCAATGAAGCTCTTCGATGCCGTCAAAACCGTCATGCATTCCGTTATAAAAAAATCAGAGGATGCCGACTTGGGTGAGAGATCAGTTCAGGGCGAGCTCATGAAGATAGTACTGCAGGCGGACAGCTCGCAGGCCGCTCGTGTTCTGAAGAGTTGGCTGATCGCCGCCAACCGGCTTCTCGTTTCTGACACCGGAGAGTCGACGACGACCGGAGTCGACTTGATTCCTATCCTTGAATTGTGGGATTCTCGGGCCGTGGATACACAGGCACAACCAGGAGCCTCTACCGAAGACTTCGCCGCTGAGTGTCTAATACCAACCCTGGTTCTTTTGCAGGCGCTGCAAACGAAAAGCCACCGTTCAGACGCGAGTACCACCGTTCTCCGATTCTCTCGGGAGGCCATAATTTCTCTAGAAAGGCTACTTGTACGCCATGTAATTGCACCTGCTCGATCGGCTTTCCTAGGCAGTGATAGTCCCAAAAACACCGAGAAGAACCCGCTCTCAAACAATCTGGGATCATTGCGGGCAGCCCTTCTCCAGGCGGCGCAGATGGAGGACAATGGTGATGTGATCCCCACGGCGTTGTCATCTCTGTTCACGTCGGCGCCTCATCTACTTGATTTGACCATCCGCTCTTCACCAGCGCGATCTTTGAAAAGCAAAGTATCGGAACGGCCGTGGGTACAGGCTGCCTTCGTTGCACTAGCGGAATGCATCGGATGCGTGTTCGAGGCGCCCAAATTTGCGACGCCACAGGCCTCCATCGATGCTGTCAAAGACTGCCTCCGAGTTCTCGTATCCCAGGACTTTGGTCTCGATTCGGACATCCTAAAGGATCTTTTCTGGTTTCACTCTGGGTTTGAGTTTCCCAAGGGACAGACCACGTCAGCTCAATGGCAACTCCTAGAATCAATAGTCGCCTTGGACGCTGATATCTTTCTTGCCGACCCTCGGTCAACGTGGGAATCTGCCGACGAAAAACCGGACGATCTCACACTATACCTGTTCGAAAAGATCTCCACAGGCTGTCTCGACCAGACTACTCCGGAGGGTGACGATAAAGCCGACGATAGCGATACTTCCATGACTAGTGATACCGCGAACGGGAAGAAGACGAATATCCAAAGGCAGTCTTCACACACGAGCCGCTCGAATGAGAACAGAGACATCATGCAGAGGGTTGTAATTCCCATCTTGTCTGCATACACGCGAAACAGAGATCTGCCTGGCTTCATCAAAAGATGGGACACACAACTCTCCCAACAATTCAAACCTTCTGATAATGCATTAGAGGTGTCCCACCAATCCATTTGGGAAAGTTCGAGTCTATCTCAAACCTTGGCGACATACTTCGAGCAATCGTTGACCTCCGCGCAAATCTCGAGTCTTTTCCAGGAGCATGTGAAGCGTTTACAAACGAATAAAAAAACCAAGAAAGGCCGCAGTAACAAGATATATGGCAGTATCGTTCTCGTACAGGCCATGCTCCAAGCCGTCACCTCCGATGGACTCATTGAGTCACTGAAACCCCAAATACTGTCCGTATGGAACACTCTTTCAACATGGGTTCAGGATGAACCTCCACCCATCATTCGCCCGGGCGTGATATGGTCGACCCTCTGTCGAGTTTTTGTCATGCTTTGGCCGATGAATCTCCACTCGTCTCAGGTTTTACAGCAGGAGCAGCTGTATCCTCTTATCAAGGAGGCGTCGAAAGTTGCCGGGTCCTCTCGCAGTAATGCAGACTCCAGAACTAATGCAATGGCGTTCATGCTCTCTGCCTGTGACTGTCTGCAAACCCTCCCTGAAACAAAAGACTTAATCACCAAGAGCCTGCGTCGGGCCCTTAAATTTCTGTCTTCCAAGGATATCGAGCAGCAAGATCTGGTTTCAGTTCTCGAGATCTTCTGCGCGGAGTATGTCCTGCTTCTCGAGCATTTCGACCCAGATGCTCGCTTGGATTTGTTCGCAGCACTTTTCGCAACGTTGCCGAAGCTCACCGATGAGTCAGCCCGACCCATCGTAACCTCTCTGTCGGAACCGGTCTTCACGTTAGGAAGCCAATCTTTGCAAACTACGTGTATAACCGCCCTCCTCAGCTCATTCGCCGAGGATAATGATGAGTTGCTTCCTTTCGCACTCGACTCTCTGCAGCACGTCGTTCCTTCGTCTATCCCTCGTGAGCAAAGAGAGTCTATACTCGACGGCCTATTGTCGTTGCTTGTTTCTGAAACCCACTCTCAAAATGCATGCACTATGCTGAGCATCATGGTGAACCTCATGGAGGTTGCCAACGCTACAGCCAAGGTGTCATCCAATGGCTCTACCCTGTTCGACCTAGCACAGAATATACAGCAAAACAACATCGCAAATCCTTTGACGCTAGAACTGCTCCAAAGTCTCACCCGCCTCACACTTGTACACATCCTTCCCAATAAGGATCAGTCGCAGAATAAGCTCTATCTTGAGGCTTACATGGACTGCGCTAATACCGCTTTGAAGAAAGGTCGCAAGACTTCTTCCGCCGCCCTGGCTGTGTTACAGGGCAGCTTTCTAGCGAATATAAAGGGTGCGGAGCTCGTCTCAGTGGATTCCTATGTCAAGCTACTGATTGCTTGTCTCGAAGGGGATTTTGTTCCGACTGCACAGGTTATGGAGGCTTTCAAAAACATTCCCGCGAAATTTTTGATGGACCATCCTCGATCCGTGAAAGCCGCCCAGTCTATCCTCCGGACATGGCAGTCGTCTTCAATTGGTTCGGGGTTAATACCTGAGTCCGCTACGGAGGAACCTATACAGTTCTGGCCAGCGTTCCACGGTGTGCTCGGCCCATATCAGGTTTTTGAGGGCGATGATAGTGACCTGAGTCTGGTTCGTTTCACGTCGAACTTGCTCGCGCATCAGTTCCCGGGACAGCAAGATGGATTCTCTTATCCACAACAAGTGAAGATTTTGGAGTCATTCAAGACCTCACTATCGTCGCTCGACATGGAAAGAAAAGAAAATCTCCTTGGGGTGTGTTTGCGTGTTGCGCGTACTGATGCTACAGGCGTTGCTTTCCGGCTGCTAAACGTCCTCATCTCTACCATGGAGGATAAGTTAGAGACCGACACGACCCGCAAAGAGCAACAACTCGCTCTCTTACCGCAGCTTTGCACATTGTTAGAGTGCTGTTCTAGCGATGCCGCATTCAACGCAATTCTAGACTCAATTATCACCATCGTCCGCGACAAGACGTCCTTGACTACTCAACACACTATAGAATGCGTACTCGCTTCGCTCTCTAAGCTCACATCACGCAACAGCCCACGCCTTTTAGCGTCTCAGGCCCCAGCCATCTTCACGCGCATCTGCGAGACTACCCGACTGATCTTCATTCTCCACCGCAGCCGTCTTGGCGGACGCTTCCACGTACTCCTTCCTCTCCTTCAGAACCTTCTCCTCTGTCTGTTCATCCCCAACACAGGACGTGGTGCCGCTCTACCTCCTTGGCTCGACCCCTTCTCTACCGCATCCTCCGCCACGCGCCTCACCCCCGCAAACGGAGCCACTCTCACTCGACTCCTCACTACGCTCTGCTCGCCCACGCAATCCTCCGTTACACGCCACACCTCGCACAAATCCAAGTCTACCACCAGCAACGAGTCCACCAAAAAAGACCTCAACGATCCCATCAAAGCAGCCCGCGATTATACCGCACAATTCGCTTACCCGCTGCTCAGCGCATACTGCCGCTTCCAGCTCTACGGACGTCTCGACGCCAGTGTGCGCGTAGAGCTTCTACCGGGCATCTGGGAGCTGGTCTCCGTCGCGAGTGTAGAACGTGAGGCACTAGATGCTATGTTTGCGGGGCTGGGACAGAGTGAGCGTGATGTCTGGAGAGGTGTTTGGAGGGATTGGGAGGCTAGTGTTGGTGGAAGAGGGAGAAAGAATGAGGAGTATTAAGTTAATCGACTCCCTAGGTTGGTAATGAGGTGGATTGTACTTCTATCTAGTTTTCTCTATCTGCGCTATGTGTGCGTAGTAATGGAACTCACAAGTCAATATCGTTCTTGAGGCTGTCATCCCTCCGGCTTCTACTGCTCAATCTTCACACTCCAATACGTCTTCTCGGTGATTTCGTCCTTTTTCTTCGTGCACCTTCTGCTCTTCTTTCAGTTAGTTCTTCGTTCGATCCTGCGCAGTGTTTGATCGTGTATCAGGTCGCATGGCATCATGGAACTATTTTGGCGGTGCATGCCAACGCAAGCGATATCATTTGCGCAAACTCGTAATCTCTAGCATGGCGATGGAGGGATGATCATGCGAGACCCGACCACGTAATTTCACGCGACAAAACTTGAACAATCCTTGCATTGATCATAAACTCAAGCCTCGTCCTGAGAAATGATCTTTCTGACCCAAATGTCTACCTTCTCAGCAACTGGTGCGTTGTGTCGGATGCTAAAGTCGTGCGGGATCCCTGTTGCGGCTATCTCGAAATAAGGAGTGCTGCCCGTCTGCACAGCACTTTTAACCGCTCGAGCAGATATCAGCGCGTCTCGCTCGATCTCAGGCACGTAAACATCTTTTTCGCCGAACAGCATGTGGATATCTGTCCCCCAGACCTCATCATCCCACGCATCATCTGTGATACGTATTAATTCTTCGCGCACAAGGTGTCTATTGCCGCAGTGAGAATCAGTTAGCTTGACATGCAATGCTACGACAGTGATTTTGGCGAAAACAAAGACATACAAACTTTGTTGAAGACCCCATCGACTCCGTATCCAATGTACTGTCGTCCTCACAGCGTGATCTGGATATCCGGATAACGCACGTATAACATTCTGCAGTATCTTCGTAGGCAATAACAAACCCAGTGCCCGTGCGAGCCAGATAAGTAGAAATGCGAGGCCGGGAATTGCCAGCCATTGTTGCCCGCGCCGTCCACCTTGACTTCTCGCGAGATGGACTACGCCGGGGAAAAGACCGATTGCTCCAATTACGTGTCCCGTTGTTTTCAGTCGAGACTGCCGTCTCCGCAACATCTCCATGAAAATATATACCCCAAAAGAGTGGCCCATGAGAATTATCCGCGTGTCGGGCTCGGTGTAATCTCTCAACGTTCTTTCGACAAAGTCGATCTGATCATCGATGCTGAGGGGGAATTTCTTCGCCTTGTTCCGTACCTGTTACCAGAATTACTATCAGTCCTCGCTATTTTCCTGGTTTTACTGAATGTGTCTTGCACAGACTTGTGGTAGAATGGAAGGACGGCCAGTTCAACGCACATCTTGATGCTCGGATGCACCGCATTCGAATCCCGCTAACGTGATCCCTAGAACATCAACGCGGGGCTTGAGACCATGCGCGAGCTTCTCGTGCAGATTTTTCAAGAAGACGCTATAATATTGTATTATGCCTGGGTTACCTGGTATGAAGAATATCAAGTATTTTGCTCTGGTGTTGGAGGTGTGAGAGTCAGGCGCATGTCTGGGTCTGGTGAAAAGGAGTTTGTTGGGTGGAGTTTGCGGGATGGTGGTCATGTTCGCTAGATGGAGGACGCAGGATGTTTTATTTTGGTCGACTGGGGAACCAGTGTCGTGATTGAGGAATTTGTTCGAAAAAAAAAGTGTGGAGACGGTTGTTGTAGATGAGAACATGTGCACTTCGTTCGCTAACCCACCTATTGTTTGCGACGCACCTTCGCTGCCTAGAGTCTATACTATGTATAGGTGATTGGTCGTATTACGAAGGATCATATGTAGCGTCAACACTTGAAGCGCCAGGAGGGCCATGCTTATGGTTTGTAGGCGGTCTGTTGTCTTGTTGTACTTGCAACGGTGTGTGCTGCGTCTGTATATTGTACGATAATTCATACTGCATACTAAAACAACAGTCAGAATACTAAACACCCGCCTCTATACATTGCCTGAAGATCACAAATGTTCTCTCTTATCCGCATGAAAACGCCGATTTTGACAAAATGTCGCTCTCGTGCGAGTTACGTCACTCAGAGACCGGACTTCGTCATCTTTTGCATAGGCAGATATGCGAAAATGCCAATGTATAAATATGCGTTACACATTCACAGTTGGCTGACATGCGTGACATCCGTTGCGTGCCGGGCGCGCTAGTCACCGTATTACTGATAGCGGAGTGTGTTGAATGCCGGGCAACAAGATCAACCTCTTATCACCACAACTGGTGGACGCGCAAAGAAATCAAACTAGAGGTATGGATACGATATCCCTGGTGGTTTTGGAATATTGGTCTGTAGTTCACGTTCTATGTAGCACTGATTGAGTGCAGATGCTTGGGCGAAGCAGGACATATCATTGGTCGGGAATCCATGCACATGCTTATCTTCAAGAGCATGGCTAATTTGGCTGATAGTTGCCTTCTCGATTGATCCAAAGACCAGGAGCTTGAGATCCCAAAAGAAGGGCGACTTCATTGCAAGACATAGCGGCATTGCACGGCCATGATTATGATAAATCATTTACGAACACTAGTGTAATTGCCCGTGAAGTGGCAATTCTCGCGATAGGTCGGACTTTGTTTCTCATCAATATGTCTTTCTGTTTCCTTAATATCTTTTGTGGATTTTGTGTAGAGTTTGAGGACATGGTCACGTGAGGCGGCCCGCCCTTTTCTTTCACACCGATTTAGTTACAAATCACTGCTTTGATCTTCCCTTCTCATCTGTTACCAGCCTTCTTCAGGGAGGTATTACAATCGCTATATTTCAATCGAAATGGTGTTTGATGATTTCCTTCGATTCAGATCTATTGGCCATTTACCACTACTGTAGCTGCATCTACTCTCTACTTGAATCGCCGGGATTGCATGCGAAAATCATGTGATTGTATTCTGATCCTAGGTATTTATCTCGCCTGACTTGACCCTTTCTTGTTCAATGTCAGCGTGAGCCTCCAAGAACTCGCCACCGAGATTCTTAGAATTCTTGTGCGTCTACAAATCGCAGCTGGTCATCTTGCTTCGAAAGCGAGTTCAATAAAAAAGACCGTGATGGACCAGTCAAGGGTCGTCGGTTTCGTAATGCTAAGTCTCTACCGGCGATGACGTGCACACCAAGGTGGGCCATCAGAGGGAAGCTTTCTCGCTCCAGCTACCGGTCTGACAGTGAACAAATAATTTGGCTATCATCTTGAGTGCCGGTCTGATGCTAGACGGATACCTCAACATCGAGCTCGAGCTGATCTGAGGACGAAGCACAGTGTCGCGGCAATTTTCTTGGCCACCAAACAATATTTCAAGGACTTCGGAGATGATAGCGATGGACGTTAGCGGGTCGTTGTAGGGATTACGTTGAATGGCACGGCCTAAGACAAATGAAGGGAGAAACGAAGCGACGCAAGGCTGCGCAGGATAACGAAAATCGAGCCCAAATGCCCATTGCAAGTTATAGAGACGATGTCGCGGGATTGGGGGGCGAGGATCTCAAACGGTTTAGTAGAAATACGCTAGAAAGCCGCTGGGCAGCGTAGGATAGTCTTGGACAGTTGGGAACGCCAAAAATGATTCAAGGCAGCCGTGGCGCTACGGATATTTCGCAAGTCTTGCTCAATTGCCTCAGCTCCACATCAGCCACCAGTCAGCCACGAGTCGTGTACTCCTTGAAGATCAGCAACAACATCTCCGACGCTTGAACACCTTTCTCTTCCATCACCCCTACTATAGATCTTAAGCAGCAAGGGTCTTGCTATCGTCGCAATCTATAGTCCAGTCAGCGCTTACCCGACTAAAAGTCGACTTAAATCTCACCCTCAAGTGCGGTCGATGTTTTGGCCCCATGACACTTGCGCGAAGCCTGGTGGTAGTAGATAATCAGGACAATGCCCAGGAATTGGAACATGGCCTGTAGAATGCTCGTGATAAGCGAGATAACTGCCATCGGGGAGGATTCTGGAGATCTTGGTAAGCTTTCGCGACCGCCGTGGAAGGAGTTTGGAGGAATACCCGCTTGAGACGTACCCGCTTGAGACATTTCCAGTCGCAGATGCACGTGATGTCTGTAGTGGTCGGCAAGAATGGGAGAATTGAGGAGCACGGAGAAGGAGGACAATGGTTGAACTTATTTGGAGTATCGCTGCGGTTCATTTATGATAGAACGCGATTGTATCAAAACTATTGTTGCGGTTACTCCTGCTACTTCTCGAGCACAGAATTGTTGCGACAATATTTGCAAGTGTGTTGCCCTGCTTGAGTCATGTGGGTAGTGGTGAACAGTCTATCAAAAGCTGCGTTCACTCTGAATTCTTGCGCCTGGTACCAAATCGCTTATACGGCAACGTCGCCCCATCAATTCTTGCGCGACTTCAACCCACAATGAATACATGTGCGGGTAGCCGAGCCACAGCATACGAGGTCTGTCGAGTCATGCTTTGGAGCTTTGGAAATCTTTTTTTGCGCTTCAAAAAAAATGGATGGCATCATGTTGCAGATGATTTCCTGAATGAAGGTGTACTTAATATGGACGTGCTCGTGATTTATCAGGTACACCGGTGGCCTCAGGGGACGAAAAAGGTTAGTCATGTGCAGATTGGTTCAAATGAATTCTTGCGGTGGGATGCTGACGGCGTACCCCCTGCATGTGTACAGGTACAGCTAGACCAATCATTGCATTGGACGCGATGACTGCTAAATGACTTCCTTGCTTCCAATGCTTGTCCTGCATTGAGGTGGGACCCACAATTTGTGTGGTTGTATTGGATAGGCTAATCTGTAACCAAGCCTCACCATTCAATGTCGAATTGTTGCGCCTGGCACCGGTGAGCCACTTGCTCATGAAGTAGACCATGAATTGCCATGAGGAAAAAGATTTCAAATAGATCGCAGACTACACACTGATCTTGTGGTTGACTATTGCACTATTACACAACCCAACTCTCTCGCCCTTCCGACTTATACTACAAACTTTTACGATAGCGAAACATAAACCGTCATCCATTACGAGCGACCGGCTCTCACAGCTCGTTGAATGGCCCCAAGAAGATATGGTCCGAGCCGATTGAGCGCATTGCGCGCACCCAGCGGCTCGGGGCGAGGTGTGCAGAAGCGGAAGAAGACTATCAAGGAAGATGGCCACCTGGGCCGCGGACGGAAGAACACATGGAGCCAACCTTGGCTGAAGCGACTGGCCGTGCTGCGTCTTTGCGGGTTGCATTTCAGCGAGATTTTCGAGGTCTTAGGCGTGTTGAGCCGCAATTTGACCCCCAAAGTGTACGCCCATCACGTGCTTCCGTCGTTGAATGTCAGGACTAACAACGCTCCCAGTGAACGGACTGCCCAGCATAATATGAAAGAGTTATTCGGCACAGGATGGAAAGACCTATGCGCCACCGACAATGATACATTGAAACGACGCCTACGCTTCCTCCTCGCATCTGAGCATATCAGGACCTCACACAAGCGAAATCACGTGAGCAGCTCGAAATCTGCCTCTCGCTCAGATGAAACAACATCATCTACGTCGGCGAGGAAATCATGTATTTCTTTCCAGGGTTCAAGTTCTGAACTCACCCGTGAACCACTCCCATCTCTAGAAGGAAGCATCGCAGACCTTACCCGGCAATCGACCGTATCTTCGTATCAGTCCTACCCGGAACTTCTCTTTCAGCACTCTGGGACGTCGACTACAACAACTAATTTCACTGACCCATCTCCAGATGGAAGTTCATCTGCGGTCATTGGCTTTGATGACGTTTCCCCCTTCGATTGTTCTTCTCTTCTCGCACATGAGCATGCATCCGAGATCACATACACCCCACTCGAAGAGCAGCGTCCTGTGACCTCTCTCGATAGAACACAGCAGACTCAAATAATTCAGGAAATCATTTTTTCAAGGCGTATGGAGGAAACCCCATCCACGGCACTCTCAAATGAAGACATACAAAATCATCTATCCGATAGCTCATCCCACAGTACCGATATTTCTTTCCCATCGAATAGCGATCGGACTCTGGATGACCCAATTGAGGCAATGGCCGATCAGCAACTCGCCTGGCATAAAGGATCCGAGAAATCTAGTTGGATATCCCGATCCAGTCAAATGTCTAAGATCTCGGGGATTCTCAAAGGATATGGACGTACTTCCGCCGACCGATTCTTGATCAAGAGTGTGTTGAGCCTTCGTTATTCTTTGAGCTCCCTTGGTACATCCATCCGGGAGTCCCTGTCAGATGCATCGTTTGTATCCCGTGAAAATAACAGAACGTCCTTCACACAACCATTGGAAAATGAGGATGTAAATTCACCCAGCCATCCCACTGCCGCATCTCTCACGGAACAACAGGAACGCATTCGTTCGCAAAATCGCTTGCTGTTGGAGATTTGTTGTTCCCAGGATCTAAATTGCGTTCATCGACAAATCACAAATTGCGTTAACATCCCGTCAGCGAGGCTGGACAATCTCCAAAGCCTGTCAACCGAGAAGCTAGATCAATTTGGGCGCAATGCCTTGTTTTTCGCTGCGTCTGTAGGCGCGCCGCTACATGTGCTCCTTACACTCATCAGACACTTCTGCATGGTGATTAATACTCGGGACGTGGATAATCGTTCCTTCATGTTTTACTTAGACCCACGGGGGCTGACAAGAAGAGAATGTGGTTGCGAATTCGATTTGCACGACACCGCATTCCAGTGCCTAATGATGAACTTGTATCATTCTGGATTTGACTTTGGGCATGTCGATTGCGAATCGAAAACTTTCCTGGATTTACTCTGTCTCTCTGAATACTTCCAGATAGCCTGGTTGGTGGGCCTCATGAGCAGCAATGCTGATATGAACGGGATCGTAAAAAGGATGGCCAGCGCCCACGATTGTGATGGTCTATCGTTTACCGATCGTCTGTCCACGGAAGATTTGAAGACTTTTCTCCGCTGCTACACCACTGCAGAGCTTTCACAGCTCGCATCGTCTCTGGAAGATCGTACACAAATGCACGAACTGATGTCCGACCTTACAAACAGGTCTTTCACAGACGAGAATCTCCTTCCATTGGTACGCGATTTGTATAAACAAGGCGCAGATCTAGACCGACACTTGATCTTCGGGACAACACCCCTGATTTTTGCCGCAAAACAATGTTGCCTGGAAACCATAAGATTTCTCTTATCGACAGGTGTCGACATCCACACTAGAGATAGTTCGGGACGCACAGCTGTGGACTACGCAATGGCCAACTTCAACTCGTCGCGAAATGCAAAAACCCCGACTCCCTTTCTAGCGCAAGCTTTAGTAGCGATGCTGCAATTTTCTGGTTCGAAAGCAAAACCTCTTTCCATCAGATCATTCTTACCATCGGCTATGCGTAAAACGGCGTCATAGGTCTTTGCATAGGCTGGAGAAAACACAACACTCAGCATGCTGTAAATCGATCGCTCTGCCGCTTTTGCTGTTTTCGCTATAGTAATAGAGGTCCCGAATTCGAGTGGATGGTCGGCGTTCTCATACTCTTCATTTATGTCATGGCTTAAGCTATTTAGTCATAATGGACGTTTGGCTGGGGTTGTTTTGCTGTAGCCTGGACCCTGATACATCAGAACGGGCAATCGTCCAGGACAATCGATTTGAGAAGAAAATCTGATCCCAGATCGTATGGAGCTTTCCGTTGACAGGTCTGGGGCACATCTCGGCGTGTCTACGGACAATCTATCTCGGCCTTGTCCAATGGGATGTATATTGGGAATCATGTATTCATACTGTGACACTACTGCCAGAGAGAAACTTAGCAATACAAATATGAACGCAATGACACTAAAACGGCATCGACCAATCCTTTATGATGCGCCATGATTCCTGAACAAGCTCTACTGATTAGAATTGGAGCTGCTTGATTAGGACTAGTGTCGATTGCAAAACCCGATGTTGCACAAGGGCTATGTGATCTTACTTGCATGCTGCATGTCTCGGAGTCCGAAAAAGCACGCGCTGATTATATAGACGGTCATCACTATTAAATGCGACGAAAACGATTCTTGGTGGCTATGGCTGAGATTGTCAGGGATGCATGCAGCCGATAAGTGTGCTAATTTGTCATCATTCATGTGACCTCTGGAATACAGTGTGTACTCAGGCTGTGTATATACCTCCATATATGAAACTGTCAATGTATTAACGTTCTACAACGATGTTTGTATTCATGATGCCAGGCATCGAGTGTGGCAGCTTCAACATGCGTGCGCCTTACCAGGGTCGATCACTGACAGATGCATTCATAACCCTGGCACCCTGATGCCTATCGCCAACAGTCTGGGCTGCTGCAGACGGAAATGAACGTTTAGTGTATATATGCCCCGGTCGAAAGCTCCATATACTGTATCCTTGGTTGGCCCCCAAGCAACGGATGACACTTAACGTGTTACTACGCTGAAAGGAGGCGTGCTGAGTCTGCCACACATCTCATTTGTGGTGCATAAGAGCTCGCTTCGTCAGCTGTCATCCATGTTCGCCCGGATTCCAGGTAGACATTATCTTCCGAACCCAGCTGAGAACGTGGGCATCCTCAATCCTCCTTTCTTGCCAGATCCAACGTTGATAAGTTTTTGTCTCACCCCTTCATTGGGCAAAGGAAAAATGATGCGCACAGAGTGTTTCGTGCGATACAACGCTATACAGTAAAGATTGACAGCTGGCGTGGCGTGTTTGAGAGCGGGAATCACTGCGACTCCTCCTCGTATAGCGAACCCAAGTTACAGCGACATCCGCACGCCGTGTCCACTTCTGATATCCCACTAGTAGATGATGTAGTCACTTGAGGCTATGGTACGGTGGCTAGGGTTCGCCTGAAAATCTGCGTTCGGTGGATCGCCTTATTCGGAAAGTTTTTAGCAGGATTCGAATAGCGACCGCGAGCAGTGGCCTGTCACCCGGAAAGCCATGTGGGCCTGCCGTTGACGGCGAGTCCGTGCTGCCCATAGTACGCGGGTCCTTTTTGGCCTATAATCTACAATTCCGGTAGGGCTGGAAGGTATACGACATAATAAGAGTTAGCCGTCACGGCCCCGCGTTGTAAATGTAAGCCAACGACCTCCACAAAACAGCCATCGTTCACGAACGACAGTGCGTCCATTCGGGCCTGCCTGCATCACCGCCGCACGAGACGTCCCACGAACACACGATATCGCTTCATTTGAGACTGCAGCATTATTCATGTCGACATCCGATGCACTCCCACCTGATGAGAACCGGGGCCCCACCCTCAACATCGTATGCTGGCTCGGTGTCGCCATCTCAACTACTTTTGCGCTGCTTCGTCTATACAGCCGAAAGTATGTCACTCACACACTAAATTGGAGCGATGCGATTATTGGCGTTGCAGTGTTGCTCCATATCACCTCTGTTTCACTCAGCAGTGTAGCCATCAGCTACGGTACTGGACGCCACCTGGCCCATATACCCCCAGAAAACATCACTCCAACCTTGTTCTACACCATAATCCTGCAGCCAATTGGTATAACAGCTTTCCTGCTACCAAAATGGTCTGTGGCTATGCTTATCGTGTCCTTGATGGGCGTTGAAAAAAAGGGGGCGTGGTTGTTGTGGACCACGATCATCATTCTCTTTGCCACCAACGTACTGTCCTTTATCATGACTTTTGCGCAATGCAACCCACCAAACGTCGCCTGGCACCCGGAGAGAATAGAAGAGGCCGATTGCTTACCTCCTCATGTAACGGTCTATATTAGTTATGTCGGAGGCAGTGAGTTACCATCTTCTTCTGTTCCGCAGAATCACTCTCAATCCTCCCTGATTTCCCATTCTCTATTGATTCGGAGACTGACGAAGATCTGCTCCAGGCTGGTCTGCGTTTACAGATTTTATCCTAGCCGTGTTCCCCGCTTTCCTACTTCGTAATGTTCAGATCAAAAGATCGAAGAAGATCAAAGCCGTGATTATCATGGGATTTGGAGTTTTGTGAGTTCAGTCCAATGCATCGAGTTCTATCTCTCTTGCTGACCGCATTGGATTCTCAGTGCTACTATCGCGGCTGTAATAAAAACCACACAGCTGAGCCAAGCTGCTTCCCAAGATTTTCCCTACGATATGTTCTGGTTGGTCCTCACTGCGTTGTAAGTCTCTAGTCCCCCCCTCCATTCCTCATTTCTCCCAGCTAACTCGACAATGAAGCATCGAAACCGACTTTGTCATCATCGCGGCCTGCACTCCCATGTTGCCTGGGCTAATCAAGAAGTGGAGGGGCCAGACAGCCACGAGGAAGAGCTATGGGTACAGTGGAGGGACAATCGGGTCTGGTGGTCGCCGTTTCATGATTGACCCGGATAATGCAGATTCGGTCGCTCTCACATCTATGACGACAAGCCATGCCGTTGATAATAATAACCGGGCGCCTTCACCCATGTTGTGAGGCGTATGTCCTGGAAATCTGGACTGTATATAATGTATCTGGAAGAATTCTAAATGTTCTCTGACGAATTCACGCATTCATTCCGATCACTTTCCTAGTGACTTCCCTCATGACCTCCACTTCCTTCGAGTGAATGCGCTAGTTCACTATCTTTCCAATGTTTGATACCCTTTCATAGCTCAAACATGTAGCATGAGGTGAGAGGCAGCAATGGCCCCCAAAAGCTCGTATGAGACTGGGGCTTCCGAGCTTCTGACATCAGAAAATCAGCAATGTACAGATATTGTTTGTCGCGCATGAGGTGAACAATTGATCAAGCGGTTCCTGCTGGCAGGTCGCATAGGTACGCGCACATTCATCGGCCATCTCCAGGGCGAGAAAGTGCGGTAACAGCAATATCTAAACGCGGCACTCGTTCTTATCTAGCATCAATCGACACTAGGTTCTATATTTGTGATAGCTTGAGTGCCTCGCATTTTTCAAGCATGAATTGCCATGATTGAGATTACCGCATTTTGACAAGGCACGAACACCGATTGCGTGATTACTCAAATAAAACCCAGCCATCGAGCCCCAGGCGGGAGAAATGGCCCGTGTTTATCATGACACCGATCCTTGTGAATATGTAAAGTGCTTCATCGCTATATTACTTGGAAAAAGACACAGATAAATTTTCAGACCCATGAGCAGGGAGGATCATTGATGATGACACCAAATGCCGCAGGGTGTGGGCTAGCATCATTCTCTCTACGCGATACGAGTGAGCCCGACCCAATATTTGTAAGAGGGCGAGAAGAAGAGACTAAGTAGCGGGACGGTAAATGGCGGGGCGATAAGGGCGAAGTAGATCGCAGCCGGAACTCGTACTGAATATGTTGGTGGCTTCATGATCGCCTTCTCAGTGGTTTGTCCAGCTCCGAAACTTGTTGGCGGAAATAAGCGAAGTTTGCCATATTGCGTGCTCTATCTATCATTTAATCTACTTATGGGCCTATCAGATTGGGTTGGATTTCAAATAAGACTAGCATGCAACATCAATGCGCAATGGACTTTAAGAAATGCGATGAATCATTGTTACGCTTAGTTACGCTTAGTGCAATGGACTTTAATCTACGGCGATTTCTAAGATCTGGTACGACAGAAGTACGATACCACTGTGGTTTGATCAACAACCTAGGAGTTTGTTCTGGTTGAATGAGCCAAGTAAATCCTCTGGAAAAATATCAATGTTGAGTGTGAGGTTTCTAAAACTCTGGTCGGCGACATTGAACTAGTGCAGCCAGATTCTGGAACTTAATCTTTTGGGGTCAATAGTACACCGGGTACTTCGTTGGTATGGGCGTCTTACAGCAATTTGACATCGCGATGGTCAAGGTGTAGTGTTGATTCCCGCCAGCGATAAACCTCAACTTTGGAGGACGACCTCTCCTGCGTACGCGAGGTACTTCCAATCGTAATGGTCCTCTCGGATGCAAATTGCCGGTATAAGGGCATCGCGGTGAACAGCCCAGCACAATTTCGGAAGCGAGGCGGTTCTTATGCAGACCCCAGACGGTACACGTTGTTGAATGCGACAGGTTTCGCTGACATTATGATGCTGAGTGAAAGTGCGATGGGGCAGCTTGATAGCATGTGACGCGCTCTTCTGTTGCGAAGTCTCTTTGATAGTGGATATGGAGAAAACGAATCCAAGATGGAAATAATAATAGAAAACACTATCCTCCTGTCCAGTAAAAGATCCGCGACGCCGGTACCGATAGAGGGTCTTGACTCCTAAGTGTGTCTCATGTGCCCATCTTCAACAAAATACTGGACATGTGTTGATAAAAACTTGATGATAGTGTTGATGAAATAATGACGGTACAACCCGTCGCGGTACATCTATCTGATCATGACGTCAATCTGTGGAGCGTTTGAGGCCATGGCGATTAATAAAATCTGGCACGACACAGTACATAAAAACACGGTAAATTGCCGAAGAACCCGGGAAAATGCTTGGTATTCGATACTTGGTGCCTGCTTGAACCATCGCATTTCCGTGACTTCAAAGGTTTCAAGGTTCAAATGTTCAGATGTTCAAATGTTCCAACATTTGAAGGTTGTTACCAATCAATCACGTGACGTTAAAAAAACAGATCACATGAGATGCACAATACACGTGTGCATACGTGCGAGTGCTTGTCCACATGCATGTCTCATCGTAGCCCAAAAAACGCTCCGATATTCTCCTCCGGTAAAGCTTACTTTTCAATCTCGAACGTACCTACGTCGGGACCTAAATTTTAGTGCAGTGCGGTTCTCGTGCGATAGAATCTGGATGCATGGTACTAAGCCAAATCACCATAGAGAAGGCGAAATGGTTAAGAAAGCAGAGCCTATGCCTGGCTAATCATGCTCATGGACACTCATGTCATGACACTTTACCGCCGGTTCTGTTGGATCTCCATCATCGATGCGGAGTACATATGTATGCACCTGCTGGATGCCAGGGGCGCCACGCGCCGCTGAGCCACAGGGAACCGCGGATCCGTGGATTCACATTGTGGGGCGCAAGCCTTTCAGCAGATGAAGTTTGATCTATCGTCGTATCAATCTATTTCGGGGGTTATGGAATAGCTACGTACATAGTTGAGCTTGCGAGCGTTCAGAGGGGCTTATACACATTCGCCTGTGCGTTTCGTGCGAGCGAGTCGGGACCCTGAACCGAGTCGGTCGGAGTTGCGATGTGTTGCTGGCCCCCGCCCCCAAACGCACCTTAGCATCCCCTTTTTGTTGAAGCTTGCGAATCCCGCTGAAGGGCGCGGCGCACGATTCATGTTTCAGAATTGCTAGCTGATCTCTAGTCGCAGTGCGCCAGCTTTGATGTTGGTGGGTTTATATATCAAGCTTGAACTCCCTATCTACGTTTATTTTTTTTTTCTTCAGAAAACACCATCCATCCTAGAAGCAAAATACACTCGCTCTCATCAACATCACTATCAGAGGTATACGAGTATCCTAGGGACCACGTATAAATCGCGTGGAAATGAATCGCGGATTCGAACGCCTGTCGGACGATGACCGCACCCGCGACGATAGAAGCTTTTACAGCCATGAATCGTTGAATGCAGCAGACCAAATGTCATACGAAACCTATCGAACAAAGGCAGACACAGCATCAACAGCCTCACTTTTCGAAAGTTCAGAAAGCAAAGCAGAGCACGACGCAAACAACGCGCCACTCCGCCAATCACTCAAGCAGTACTCCAGGCTGGTCTGGTGGTGTCTTGCTATGGCAACAGCAATTCTCTACGGCGGATACGATTCCGCGGTGCTTTCCCAGGTAGTCACGCTATCTTCTTTTGCGCGCGACTATGGAGAGCGTGATATCTTCAACGAGAAAAACCCTTTCCAGGTTCCTGGGAAATGGCTCTCACTATGGGAGGGCATCGGACCATTGGGCGCACTCCTTGGCGTCGCCCTCGGAGGATGGTTACTCGACAAGATCGGACGAAAACTTTGTCTGGTGATTGGAAGCATCATCGGCGCTGTTGGTATCCTCATATTCGTCATTTCGAACAGGCCAGCAAACAAGGATGGAAGGCGAATCATGATACTCGTGGCCAAGGTTCTGCAAGGTTTCGGCCTCGGAATGATCAAGATCGAAACGTTTACCTATCTATCTGAGGTCGTTCCCGTCAGTCTGAAAGGCGCCGTCTTTTCTTTGGTGCCTGTTTTCACTCTCCTGGGACAACTGATCGGAGGCGTTGTCTGCGTTGCTATGGCCAGCAACAAGACACCAGCATCGTATCTGATTGCCATGGGGTCGCAGTGGGCGCTCGCTCTTCCACCATTTATACTCGCTATATTCATTCCAGAGTCTCCCGCCTATCTACTGAACAAGAAGAATCCCCAAGGGGCCTTGCAATCGCTAAAACGTCTCATGGGATCCGAGAAAGAAGCGCATGCAGCACTCATCAAACTTCAGCGCGCAATCGAGGAGGAGTCCAAGACATCGGCGAAAGCGCGCTACATTGAGACGGTGAAAGGCACGAATCTTCGGCGCACATTGATCATCATGTTTGCTGGTGCCGTCGAAACTCTCTGGGGTCTTCCACTGCTGTCGACAGTCAGCCTGTTTCTCAAAGTACTCGGCATGCCGGAAACGACGGCGCTTATCTTCTTCGTGGTCGGTGTCATTGTCGGTCTACTCGCCAATATTGGTTCCGCTTGGACATTGAGCCATATCGGGCGCAGAAAGTTGATGTACTGTTCATTCCTCATCGCAGCTGGCTTGTGGACAGTGATGGGATTCTCAGGTATAAAAGAAGGCAAGGTCACGCCTTGGATCTCGGGTGGGATTTGTACTGCCGTTGTCTCCATCTGCGGTCTTGGAGTCTGGCCCGCATCGTACGCTGTGCAGGGAGAAACAAGTACCTTGCGTCTCCGTGCTAAATCGCAGGCTATTGGTGGCCTTACAAACAGTCTCGTCAATATGGGAGGCAGCGCTATCCTGCCCTTGCTTTTCAATCGAGATCAAGCGGACCTAGGTGCGAAAACCGGGTTCGTGTTCACGGCGACTTGTGTCGTGGGTGCGGCAGCGACTTTCTTGTTCTTGCCCGAGCTGAAGGGCAGGAGCGCGCAAGAAATTGATCATCTGTTTGAGAAAAAGATTCCGGCGATGAAATCAACCAAATGGCGGGACACGGCGCTGGAGCCTTTGAGGGAAGTGTAGTTTCATGGTGCGATATTGATTTAGATTTTATAGATTGGAAGCATATTTCTGAAGTTCATGGCAGCCATTGTGGCGTCCAAATTGTCTTTTACAAATCCCCCCTTCTTTTTGTCTGGAACAACGTGATATGCAGACAAGCTACAATTCATTTGAGCCACCGAGGATGCATCGAATGCCACACTATTCTTCGAACAGCCGTATCTCACGGAAACCAAACCATTGCATTGCGATCAATGGGATTCAGTCCTTACATCTGACGTAATACAGTTTTCGCATGCTTACTGTTATATAAGATTGAGCTCCCCATGGGAATGATTTCTGTGGATTGTTGAGTTGTAATATCGAGGTCTTCGTATACTCGAATAATCATCCATCAGAGTCGATTGTGGTATAGCGTCATTTGCTTTCGGCTCTCAGCCACATTTCTATTAGAAACCCACTAAACAGTTACCACAACTCTTTCGCCCCACCAAAATCTTTTGCTGGGAGCTGTAATAGAGATCCAGACTAGCACTGCGATCATTGTCGCTTGATCACGTCAGATTCATTTCTCTTGCGATGCCAACGCAGGCAACCTCCCCGGATTTCCCACCAATCCTCACCCAATTCGCCTATTTTCCTTACTCGGGACCATTTCTTCCAAAATTTGAGAGTATCTATGCCGCGTGGAATTGGGTCCTGTCGACTTTAGCAAATCTAGCGGAGGCTGAAGACTGGAAAGGGAGCAATAGTTCTGCTGCTGCAGGCGGCTACGACCACGAGTGCCCGATTCTCCACAAGTACCTTCACTGTACCTACCAGCGGTTGGTCGTTGAGCGCAATATTGCCATTAACGAAAATGGGCAATTTTCTGCTTTTAACACCGGACTGCTTGATATCTACGACCAGGAGATATTTGGTTTCTTCATGAAGAACTCGCGGAGTGGGCAGCAACCCTGGATATTCATTCGATGGGCCACGGAGTCAGATGGAGATCTAATGATCAATTTCGAGCATCTGCCAAGCATGGCCGAGTACGTGACCGATGTATCGCATCTGGTGTATGATATGCGCCGGAAGCTCGTGTTGGATTACGCGCACATCCTAGGCGACAATCTTTCGAGATTCCCCATCGAGCTACAAAGCAATCCCATCAAAGCCAAACAAGCGCTGGACGCTGCTGTGGCGCAAACACTCAAACGCTTGCGTCGAAACTACAAGCTTGCTATCCCGCAATGGTACCCCAAACTCAAAGAAGCCGGCGCACAACTCTTGTTGCCCCTGGATTTGACGAGCTCCGGTTCTGCAGATGTTGGGCTTGTAGTAGCAGCGCCAAATGACAGCCAGTATCGCGGATACACGATTTTGTCATTGGAGATGGCGTATACAAATGCGCGCTTGGTGGCGCGCCCCGACAGCCAGTGGCTGAAACCATTGGCGACTGCTATGGAGGAGCAGCCGGTAACCGAAAGTCCTGTCACGGGATCTAAAAGAGAGCGTGATTTGATGGAGCCAAATAACGATGAGGGTCCCCTTTCGCCGCAGGCTCGGCATCTTGCTGTATATGGGAGACGTTGACGTTGATTGAATGGAATCAGGTTGGAAAGTTTGAAATCCGAATTACTGTGTGGGAGTGATGGGCGCCACTTTTTATATTTCCCATGCTTCTTTATTTCCCATGCGTCTTTGATTTCGGTTAGTATACTGTTCTCTGAGATATCAGAAGTGTTTCAGTTGCACGACACCTGGAAGCGAAACGTCTCAATTCTAGCAGTGTAAGATCGCTCTTTGTGCCCATGATCCTTCTTGGACACCTCGCTTCGTCACGAATTGAGGCTGGGATGATAACAAATGCATCGCGCCATCTTCACTGTCATTATGCAATTCTAGAGCAATACTGTAGCAAGATATTCCGCATCAGCACTTTAAGTTCTGAGAGGTTGAGATTTCATGTCTTGCGCGTAGCCGTCGTGTCCAGATACACTCTGTCTTAACTTGCTCATCCTGGTTGGATGATTTCTCCGAGCCGAGCCAGATTATGAACTGGCTAAGATAAATCTATTGAAATTATTGATCCGAGACTAAGAATCCTGGAGCTCGCAGTCGCCAATAGTTGGGTTCAATACGGTATAACCTCTGTTATCGGTGCGAAAATGACAATTCATACTCATGTACTCCAGTGTACTCACCAACCGCGCCATGCTATCTTCCAACGGGCCCTATAATGGTCTCGGATCAAATCAAAATGGTGCCAGGAACGTTGGAAAAGTTACCTTAAAGATGGCGCAAGATACACGATTTGTTGGTTGCGGCGTTTCACATTAGAACATCAAGCAATCAGGTATGGTCTAAGCAACCTGGGTTTTTTATGTACAACATTTTAAGATTATCACTTCTTTTGGTACAGATTCTACCCCGAGTTCAATTGTAATTTTGAGAGATTCTTTGTGACATACTATCAAGCAGCAGCCTTGAACTGTCGTTGGAACCATCTGATCGCCTGCTTCTCAGCTTCTTCTGCTTGCTTCGTCTCCCGTGAATCTGGATGCACTCTACTAGCACGAATTGAGAACCCATGCTTTGCTCCGGGATAAGTAATAACCTCAGTGTCGACGTCACTCTTGCTTGATAAGATGCGCTCGGCCTCTCGAACTTGGCCCGCTCCCATAACACCATCATCATCGCCAATCGCTATTGAAAGATTGAGTTTGACGTCGCTAAGATCCTTGGGGAGACTGAGATTACTGGGATGCGCAGTGAAAATTGCATCCGCCAAAGGCCTCCCGTCGTCAGTCTTGGATTGGGTATTGTCATGGCTGAGTCTGACTGCGTGCAGTCCACCCCAGCAGAAGCCTGCTATACCAATTGGGAGCGATGTCTTCCCGTCGTAGCGGAGATCCTGGAGAAACTTCTTTATTCTTGGCCAGGCAACGCTGAATCTATTTCTATAAAGAAAAGGGAGGAAGTCCGCCATAGCTGCAGCGACATAATATCTACATTGGAGGTCAGTGCGAGCTCTCACAAGATAGAGGGTGGCGACTTACGGCTTCCACACCCAACTTTCAGTCTCGTCCCACATGTGTGCCATGTTAATCATTGTCCTGACTGGGGCAGCATTACCTGAAAGAGCGCATTAGTTGACTTATGACAGAGATATCGAGACTTTGAGACCTTCCTACCGTTCATGAAATCCGGTAGATATACTAGGAACTGTGCAGCGGAGGCATAGTGATCTGCCAAAATCTGATTGTTGACAAAGTCCACTCCGAAGGCGTCGGGAATGATTACAACAATGCCTAGGGCTGGCTTGCCGGCTGGAGGGTCTGCAATGTAAGTCCGCAGGCCATAGATTGTATCCCAGCGACCTGTTGGGCTACCGGGATTTATGTGACCCGTGAAACACTGAGGGCAAGACATCGCAAACGGGTACAATGTCTACAACTCGGTTATAGACTTCACACGTAAATAGTTATTAGAACAAAGTGGTCCACAAAGTGGAAGAAATAGGGCCTTATATATTATATATACTACATAGTCCCCCTAGTTCAGCCGGTAGCAATCCAACTCTTCGTTGTCTGAGTAGAGGTAGTGAATCGTGATCACCGACCAATCGCCTACGCATATTCACCTAAGCGGCTTAGCGTAAGCGCGGTCGTTCTTCCCGGGGGCTGATGGTTCGTATCCTTGCCCGTATCTGTGGCCGATCTCAGCTTGTAACGAAATAGGTTTAGCTTAAGCGCGCTCATGCTCGTGTCTCGAGTAGATGAATGAGCGCCAGTCCGCATTCAAGCTGACATACCTTGAATCTTCTCCCTGGGCACTTGGGTCTCATCTATAGAATTGGTACATTGTCAGAGAACGGCATGGCGGAATATCATGGGCAGAGATTATCAGATGGAACCCGCAGTCGGTCCGGGTGTATTACCTGCAGAATCCGTAAGAAGAAGTGCGATGAGCTGCGCCCGGGGTGTTTTGCTTGCTGGTCTAGAGAGCTCCCATGCTACGGTTTCAACGTACCTGCCCCCACTTGGTTCACGAGTACGACTAGTTGGAAAGAGGCCAGAGGTGCTACTGAAGCTGTCCGCCTACGCACTTCTGCAGAAGCGCGTTATAGGTTGGTACGAAGACTCGGGTCAGGAGTCGGCAGTGTGGCCACCACGATGGCTTCCGAGGTGAACACCGAATTAAACATCCGGGAAAGCCACAAACCTTCCACCATCCCAAGAACGCGGGTCGAATCAACAAGATTTGGTATGGGCAATCATGCACCCGACAGCTTTTCTCTAGCCAACATATGGCAACTCCGCCCAGAAACGGTGTGGTGGGACAGTAAACTCCGGGACTTGGCACTTCACCATAGTTCTTCGTCAAACACCGAGGCACGGCTACTGATGATATTCATGGAGGTCATTCATCCCATCACACACACATTCGACCCTCTTGCCAGCGAAAAAGATAAAAGCTGGATGCTGGAACGTCTGTCGAGTAAACGATCTTTGTATTGCTCGGCTTTGAGTATCAGCGCTTGCTTCGAGAACTCATTGTCGCAACCTCCGAGCACAGACAACATTGGAATCTCATCCACAGTCAGAAACCTACAGTGTAGAGCTGTAAATGAGTTGCAGACACAGATCGACCAACTCGTTCTTGCCAGGAATGTAGCAGTGGAAGAATTTGTCTGGGTCGGAATTCAGATCCTTGACGTGATAGCACACCTTGAAACGCTTGAAATATTCAGCATGTTTCAGGGTCACTGGGAAATGCACCATCACGCCGCAAGGAAAGTAATGGACCATATCGAGATGAATGCCCCGACCGAGCATCGCAACCGCGGGTCAGGAGGTATGTCAGTTGTAGGGGCTGCGATATCCAGCTCACTGATAGATGATACAAGAAGACGCTGTATGACCTTCTCCATATGTAATTACATATGGGTAGATGTTCTTGCGACCTCTACCTTTGGGGCAGCATCCTACGACTCGTGCGCTTTTGACTACATCCCGCTCTTGGAGTCAAGGATCATTGAACCAGAAAAGATGATGGGATGTCAAGGGTGGATTTTGGCGATCATTGCGGAGATCGTGAAACTCGAGCAATGGGGTCTACAAGATGAGCACGTGAATGCGAGGGAAAAGAATGTAAGGTTAATTGATGAGAGCGATCGTCTTCGAGAACGGTTGAGAAAAGGTATCAGAGAACTGGAAGAAGACCACCACCTCGATGGAACATCAGGTGCACATGAAGACATCAGGCTTGTCAGCGTCGTATGGGCCTACGGTGCGCTTGTTCTGCTTCAGATCACTGTTGATGATATGAGATTCAATCAGCTCAATATCAATCAGAAATTCGTTGACCTTTGCCTCCTGAAGCTCGAAGAGTTGCCTACTCGCTTGATTATGCGTACATCCTGGCCTTATACTATCGCAGGAAGCATGGCATTAAGCTCAGGTCAGCATACCAGGTTCCGTCGGATTGTTGGCAAAGTAATGGAAGAAGCCCAGCCACCAGGAATATCATGGAAAGGTCTGATGGTCATGGAAGAATGTTGGAGACTACGTCGCCATCACATAGGAAAGCGAATGGGATGGAGAGAAGCGATGAAAGGTTTGAATGGGCGCGTGCTACTGACGTAGCTCTAGAGGCAGGATAAAGCTTAATGTATTCGAAAATCGTGATACTACTTGAAATGTAGACGGAAGAACGTAAAGTCGTGTCTTCCAGAATTCTTATACCATTCCAGGGCGGATTCTAGATCGAGTAACGTAGAAATCGATCCCGAAACTACTATATAGCTGCGAGGGAAACCATCTTGGAAATTTTGTGAATTCCTAATCATATTTTGAAGGCTTTTGGATAGATCAGGTGTTTTTAGATCATTTGATGGACTAGTGTGGATCGTACTTGGCCTGTAACCCCACTTGATACACGCCTAGACTACAATCACATACCCCAAAGTCCATTCGAATGACTACTTCATAATTTGAAGCACGTAGAACAAACAGAAATAAGGTGTAATCAGCTTGCGCTTCATAGTTATATAAATATATTCCATTGCGTATAGTTGACTTCGTAGGAGCAATGATATATACACACTTAGAAAGACCAATTTAGCTAAGAACCTAGCTAGTACATTGAACTGTAGATGACCGTTATAGCTGAAGTTTCTGTGATACTAATCGCAGCTAGGTGCGGCACAAACACTTGGCTGGTTTAGCATTCGATGTTGCAATCCATATCACGACCCCTTTCTGAGCCCAAAATTCCAGCCCACCCACCGATGTGGCATGATGCTAAAAGACGATAACTTTAGTACATGATTTCAAATTCCTTTGCGATATGCCAAACTTACAGTGAGTAGTGTGGTACAAGCCATTATTGTCAACGTTGATGCCAATGGCCGAATCGGCAGGTGCTAATTGCCCATATCGCGCGCCGTTGGGAGGCCATGTAAACTCGATTGTTCCAACCTTGTTGGTATCCAAGTAAGTCCTGAGTCCATCCTTCTCTTTAGGAATAGACCCCTCCTGGAAGGCTTTTCGTGAGCCGTCTTTGTCGAAGAAGGCGTAGGAATATTTCTCCCAGTTTTTCTGGTGAATGGAGAGGCAGCAGACTCCTGGTTTGCAATCGGGCTTGAGCTCCCGCTTCTCGAAAGTGTCCAGCCCAGTGTTCATAGGAACAGCTGCTGCAGATGTCGCTGGCAGGATGATCGCAATAGCGGCAAGGAAGTAGGATGCGTGCATTTTGAATTTGTTGAGGTTGGGCTGAAAAGATTGAGTAGATGGTTGTAGAAGTAAAGATGATTGAAGTACTGAAGAATGTTGGTAGAGAATAAAAGTTAGAGATGGGAACGATATGGCTTGTATATTGTTTGAATCGTAAAACACAACTCCATATCAGAACTAGTACCAGGTCATCCATCGGTTGAGGCCACCGGCGGAAGAGCCTACACTGTAGGGATTTTCTGATCAGGATGCAGCCCAGCTTCCTTTTGCTTGGTTTCTATTCCTATGACCATGAGACATTTCGGAGATGATACTGTGAAAGCCTTGCGCCGCATAGAAATGCGACAATTCACTACTTTGCTTAGCTGTGAAAAACCGGGGCAACACACCTGACGACGGTTGAGCAGTGCCGTTTCCTAAGTTTCTCATGCTGATCATTGCTTCCCAGTCGGCTAGAGGGATGGTGTTGGATAGATACCGATTATTGCTCTTCTATCCTTCGAGATAGTCAACTTAACGCCAGGTCACCGATACATCTTTACCGACTTCTTTTGCGAATATCATGAAATTCTCGATATAATCAGAAGACCCAAATCCACTGAGGTAGTAGACAGTTCCAGTACCGGAAGTTTAGCTAGCATGGGTGATGTCTCTTCAATCGCGGCGCTAGCAAAAAGACAAGAATAGTCTACAGACTATGCTGCCTTCCTGATTTCCCAACGGACTGTGGCCTCCGCAATAGTATCCAAGAGAAGATAGTCTTCTTGTGAAAAAAAACATATGATTGAAAGGGGTGGCTGAGTTCGTATAGATCCGCATGTGATTGGAGAAGTGTCTAGGACCTAATCAGCATCCTATGTAATCCTGAGTGTCGACTACCTCGACATCCTGGGGATCTTTACAAGTTGTCGGAATCAACCTCATGTTCCTGCGTAATCACCGCCATCGATGACGTAGGTCATGCAGATGCTGCAAAAAACACGCATAGCACCTCTCTGTGCCGGAACAACTAGCCGTTACTGTGCCGCAAAACCCCAACTTGGCTTAATTTGCGCTATTGGAAAGTACCCATCTGTGCCACAAACTAGATATATTCTCCGCCCCCTCTACCGTGCCGCAGCCTTGGCTTGCCATACTTTACGCCGTTTCAAAGCAGCATCAGGCCGTCCGCGATCGCCTAGCCAACCAGCGCTCATGAATTGATTGCGATGTATCTCACAGAGCTATAGAGGAATTAGTGCGTGAAACGCCTAGACTACGAAATCCGCATAACAGTGGGTTCAGAGAATGAACTCCGTACTCAGGCAGAAATCATTTCGAGTAGCTAGTTATCAATCGAAAGACTGCGTCATAACCCTAGTCGATTTGAATACTAATTGATACGTTGGATAAAACCCATGAATAGAACACGCGACAGCTAATACACCTATTATCACAACAAATGTTCCACGTATACGTGAGTACACCCAGGACTTTTGAATAACTCAGTAGCAAATGACGACGGTACAAGACGGCTGGTATTATGTCTGTTGCGCGCGCGCAGTGCCTATACATTCGATCCTGGGATGGTAGCCTCTCGCTAGCTTCCGTCGTCTTCTAGCTAGAAGGTAAAAGACAATGTTCTGCGAAGTAGTTCGTAGGCACATAGATCAATCTTGCCGCACAACTACCGCGCACATCGTACTGCCTGCCTGCCTGCCTGTCGCTTTCCTCTTTGTGGAGACAGAACTAAGTCTTTTATGTGAATATGGCCTATTCTGCGCGCCATAAACACTTTGTATGAATAAATCACACGATCGATATCATAATATGCTCTCAAGCTCCAGGCAGGACATATGTTCCATAGGTATTATGAAACTAGTCAGTCATCATTATGAATAGCTGACGACACTATCTGTGGGCGCCTTACCTCAACTCTTCCCAAAAGCGTTTCTAGGCTACCCATTTCTCATCTTTTCAGCTTCCTTGCATGTAAAACTTGACGGATACTGTTGGTGTGAAGGATTACATAAGTTCCTCACAGTTTCAATTTATGAAATGCGAAGTTCATGATAAAAGCGGGTACTAGGTATATTGTGATCATCGCATATTCTATGCGGCAAGAACACTTGGTATGATCAAAAGCGGGTACATGCTCCACGGCGTGTTTATGTCAGCTTGTCACGAGACGTTCTCATCCGCAGCAACTCTATGCTTTACCGACCCCTAACTGCCGAACTCCCGTGTCGCCTACAAGACAGCACATGATTGTTTAATTCAACTACAAATACTCTATACAGCTTTACACCCTTGAGAGTCTAATTGGTATTGCGCTAATAGCATCTAGGGTGGGCTTTCCCGTAAAGTTTTTATCAGCTCTTGTAGTAAGAAATTATACCAGTTAATTGTGATTACAGACATGTCTGACACATGTCCCGTGTGGAAAATTCAGCGGCGCTAACAGAGTGACTATAAGTGAAACCACGACAAGAAGTAATGACAGAAATGCTCAGTAAGCTATTGAAAGTCTAAGATGATTACAGTTTCTACTATGCAAAAGTATCTCACGACTGCTTAGTAGACTTGCCATTATACACCTTTTCAAGTTCTTGACACACAGCCTCAGTGACCTCTTTGGTTCCAGCTGATCCTCCAAGATCTCGCGTGGCAATTCCCCGTTCTGTCACTGCCTCAACTGCATCCATCAATACTGTAGCTGCTTCCTCCTCACCTACCCAAGTCAACATCTCAGCAGCTGTCCAGAATGTTGCGACTGGATTAGCAACACCCTTTCCAGTGATGTCGAATGCGGAGCCATGAATGGGCTCGAACATACTATAACTGCAGTCAGCGTGAGGAAAGGATCAGAAAGGAACTGGATCTTACCTGGGGTTCTGTCGTGTAGGGTCAAGGTTACTGGTGGGCGCGATGCCTATCGAACCAGCAAGAGCTGCAGCGAGGTCGGAGAGTATGTCGGCATGCTATCAATCGTGAGCACATGTAGGTGGTTTTTCGAATTGAAATTCATTTACAAGATTGGTAGCTACAATGGTATCCAATGACTTCGGATCGAGTACCATGCGGCAAGTCATTGCGTCAACAAGCATCTTGTCCCACTTGACCTATTTCAGGGGCACAAAGTCAATTAGTTCCAAGCAAAATTGGTTCGAACCACGGAGTGTACTGACATCTGGAAAATCCTGCGCGACCTGCACAGCAACTTCGTCCCAGAGCACCATGCCATTCCGTTGCGCATTACTCTTAGTGACGACTGTGAGTAGTTTCCGTGGCCTCTTTTGAGCAGTTTCAAAGGCAAAGCGGATAAGGCGCTCCACACTGTGCCTTGTGAAGATGGCTACTTCAGTTGCTACCTCCCATGGCTGTCCCTGGTGTGAACGCCCGCCCTGACCTGCGTACTCGCCCTCACTGTTTTCACGAACAATAACCCAATCAAGGTCGCCGTGCTCCGCATTGCGCAGTGGCGGCGATGTTCCACGGAAGATCTTTGTGGGTCGCACGTTGGCGTACTGTTGGAAAGGCTGACAGATGGCTAAACGTAGACCCCAAAGAGAAATGTGGTCGGGTACTTCTAATTATGTGTTAGCCAAACAAGAGTTTCGGTGTCTATTGATTTATTGGTGTGGCCCAGTAAGCGGAATCAACTCACCTGGCGCACCGACAGCACCAAAAAGAATCGCATCGTGTTTCTTGAGTTCGTCTAGACCTCCGTCTGGAATGTATTTTCCAGTCTTCTTATAAGTATCGCTACTCCAATCAAAGTTCGTAAACGAAAGATTGAAGGAACCATTTAGTTCAACAAGCTTTTTCAAGACTTGCACACTCGCGTCAACGACTTCAGGGCCGATGCCGTCGGCTCCTATGGTTGCGATGGAGTAGCTGTGCTGGGTAGCGATTGGCGACATGTTGTTGGCAATTTCGGGTGATGGGTCGAGCGATGGAGAAAATGCTCAGAGTGAAGGATCAAGTAAGGGTAGTCTTCTTATGTTTATATCGCAATATCCACTCCCCATGCGCACTTTCATAGCGCAGTTGCATATGGGGATTTCCCACAGCGGCATTGAGGAGCGGGTCGCGGAAAGAAAGTCCGGGCTTCGAGCGGCTAGCTCCATCGGACTTTGAATGTGCGCAGCCACCCGACCTGTACCCCGGAGTGCTTGCGTTAGGTCACGTGATTGCTCGGCTCCAACAGTTGAACATTCGCATAAACACGCCGCCCAATGAACTAAATACTACATTTTCTTTCAGATGCGGCAACCTGAAGATTCAAAATTGCAGAATGTCTTTTTTAGATTCAAGCGTTCGACAGATCTTAGAACTCCTGGTTCCCGAGTTCCAGGTACACAAGCAACAAAACTCCCATCCAATTGTCCTCGGTATCACTGGCCTACAGGGCAGCGGGAAATCAACATGGGCTGCTGGGATTTTCGATATGCTCATCTCACAACATGGGCTTCACGCCATCACGGTCTCTCTAGACGACAATCTTATATTGAGAAGAAATCAGAACCCAGAGAACAAGCTCTACAGAGTTCGCGGCCAGCCAGGGACTCACGATCAGTAGCTTGCCCATGATACGATACAGGTATTACGATTTTGGGACGACACCAACGCACATGGCGTGAAGATTTCTGTATTTGACAAGAGTGGCTGGGTTTCTGCGACGCTTGGACAAACAGCAGAAAAGAAGGCGGTGTCTTTGTCGATCGTCAACGTGGATGCTAATGCGAGTTATATCTACACGGCATACCTCTACCGTAAGCTTGCCGATTCAAAAGAATATGGACCTGACTAACACATAGCAGCTAAAAGCGACGGGCCGAAATATCTCACTGCAATGGCGAGCAACGCTGCTTTTGCACTCATGACGATCGGGTGCGCCTGGGTGTTGAGAGTATGGCTTCACACGACGAACAAGAGGTTAAGGCGCTCAAAGCCGGAGGAGAATGTCTTCTATGCTTACTGATACCGAAAATCCTGGGTCCATATGCCATAGTGTGATAATTGGTGATCAATGCCCACACTCTCTGATTTTGAAACGTCGGCATCATCGAACTTTCGCTGGCAAATGTCATCGCTGGTCGATCTCCAATCGCGCCCAATCTACCACTCATTCATCATGCCCGAATACTGCTCTTGACCGAGCCAAAATGGGATATCAAACCCATCAAAGAATGTCTGGTCGTCGTTGTTCGAAAAGGATTGTTGGAAGGTAAGCTCATTGTGTGAGAAGTGGCCTAGAGGCAGGACGTCGTCATTCAAAGGGTTGATGAAGCTGGTATTGACCGGCATCGACGTGTTCTCTGGATTGAATAGATTCATTGATTCGGGTTCGGGACCAGCACTCCGAGTGTCTGTGCGAACCGAGTCGGCCACATCGGTGCCGATTAAAACGTTGTGTTCTTGGGCAAGTGGTGTAGGTACTACAGTGTGACTCATGGTTCGCCCGACAACGTGAGGCCACGGGATCGAATTAGCACGATCGTGTGGAGATGGTGTTGATGGTGTGTTCTTATTTAAATCTGCGTCATTTGCTGTGTTGTTCTTAGTGCGCGTAAGCTGTGACTGTAGATCCCTGATGGCTGCGCCACACGCGTCCGGCCATACGCTCCCTCTGCGTGCGAGGTGTTCGAATACTTTGAGACTCTTATCTGCCAGTCTGCCCAAACTATGAGCAAAGCTTCTAAATGTGCGCATTCAATTTCTAACCCACCTGGTAACCATAGCTGTCGATACGTGTTTCGCGTACGCAGCATGAAATAAAATGAACGTGCTCATCCATACAGCCCTGAGAATAGATTGAGTCGTTACCGATCGAACACGCAATGAGTGATGGAAGATCTCACCATGTAAATGAGGGCCAAAGCAGGTCGAAACTAGTCTTCTCCTCTCGAGAGGAGTCTGTCACAGCATTATACAATGAGGTGATGATAAAACGCGCTGACCCGATACATTTCTGTAAAGCTGCCTCATATGACAAGCCGCTGCTTTTCGAAGCGACGATAGGGCGATTCAGTGAGATGATTGACTCATGATATAACAACTTCAGAAGCGTATCGTGAAATGTCGATAATGTGGGAGGGTCATTCTCATCGAAGTCGACGAATTCGTTGATATCGTTTTCGAGTTTTGTGAGCTTGGAAGAGATGACTATAAATTGATCGGTTTCACGCTGAGCATGTTGAACACACTTGTGTTTGAATTCCATGATCTCTCCCCTGATATAGGAATGGCGAGACAGAAATTCTAACAACCGCAAGCGACTATCTGGTCATTGTCAGAAATGAAAGCGTATCGAAGCAGTGGATCTAACCTGGAGAAGAGGGTCCACGTGAATGGCGTTCGAGAGTCGGGTAACATACTATGGATCACACTGATTAGTACGAATTTGATTCGGGTCAAGCAGCATATGTACCTACCGTCAATATCGTCATCACGAAGACTAAGGGGAAGACCAGTCGACTGGCAAATGAAACGATCAATACAATACAAAGAGAGAAACACACGATGGCGAAGTTCTCGCTGAGCAGAAGGGAAAGAGGGGTATCGCTGTGGACAACGGTGAAGACCCATTTGAAGAGCCATACGGATGATAAGCCCCCCAAGGCGGGATGCGGCGTTGAAACGAAGCATAGTGACGAGAAACAACTGTACACCGAGTGCCGCCTGGAGTGACTGCATCGAAACAGGTTGCGAGAATGCAAATTGGACGCTATTGATTGCTTCGTCGTATGATTGGAACACGAGCTCCACGGGATATGGGAGGTCAAAGCCTGAGTTGTTTTGCCGCCTGTCAGCGAGAGATATGGACATGACTGCTTTCAGGACGACAAATTCTGAAATGGAAGGAGTTGATTCGCTTGTTTCTCGCCCTTGCGACAGCTTTTCGAAGAATGCCAGGATCGCGGGAGCGTGTAGAAACGGGTAAGCTGGATGCCAATTCGAGAAGTAGCTTCTACTCCACTCAACAAGTTTTTCAAAAGTCATCGTAGAATGACCCGAGGGACATATTTCATGATCTCGCCAAATGCACTTGGGTGCATCTGGGGACGCTGAAGATAGGTGGTCATCTTCCCCAGGAACTTCAGGAGATGGGATGGGGGATCCGACGCTGTGGTGCGACTGGAAGGTGCTATACACTGAACGGATGAAATAGATACCACTTGAACTACCAATGAAGCTGGACATGGTGTCACCCGGGATGCTGCGCATCAATCCCACTTCCCGCGGCAAGGATGCCGTTGTAGCAGATTTTGCTCTCTTGGAAGGCCGCTCATCACCATCTGTAGTCGGCTCTCGACTCCTGGCATCATTATTCATATCTCATATAACACTTTGCTGCGTGCCCACCAATTGATCGTTGCACAGCTAGGCTTGAATGCAGACGGAGAGTGAAGTTTCTGCAACCGAGGCTACCGTACTTCACTAAGACCTTTCGGCAGAATGCCGGCCAACGATTTGAAGACAGTTCAGGGCAGAGCATCCAGTCACAACGCTAATTCAACGGGGGGTATGGGAACGCGATACGTACGTGAGAAGCGGTATAAAATTGCTGTACAGGACACCAGACACTTAATCCATACAGCATTCAACTGCCGGCTGGATCACGTGCTACATGGCACGTGCCCTCCCGCTTGACCATGCTAGAAATAGTTTCTCCACTGAGGCGATCCCTGCAGCTGAAATGAACCCGGCTTTTCTGACGTGATATGGGACGGTGCCGCAGCGTCCGCAGTTATCGGTTCTACACTAGCCTCCTCTACAGGTCTACCAGCAGCTCCAGCAGCTCCGCTGCCTGCAAGATCTGCGTTATACGACATCTCAGAGTGCTTGTGCAGAGGAGATTGTGTAGGTGGCAGTGTCTGCTGTCTGCCAAGATCCAATCGTGACCTCTCCTCGAACCAATTCTGAAGTTGATCCCCAGATCGCAGAGGCAAGCGCTTCCACTCATCCTGTTTCTCTGTTTTGGAGCGGGCCACCAATGATGACTTGGGTATGCTCGCGAGATACTGGCTTATTCCGTTATTGTTCTGGGCCAGAGAGTGGATAGTCGTCAAAGCCGAATACAATGCGGCCTCGGTGTCAGCGAGTCTATCCTCCAAGCTATTCATGTAGGCGGCGGGAATCCCTCTTTTGCCGCCTTCGGTGTAGCGACAAGCTAGGGATAGTGCTTCGCATTGCGAACAACGAGGACTGCCTAAGATCAGCTTGGCATTCTGTACATTCGACGACATGTCGCGAACCGTTCCCGATCACATCTGCACTTCTTTGCGCGACATTGCTCGCATGCTATTGGATTCGGAGACTGAAATGGGATCAGCACAACAAACACGATGCCACCAAGGGTAATCTTCGTACTATTTGCGCAGGGTGCTTGGGCATAGCAGCAGAGTGGAGTTTGCGTAGCAGATGGATGAGTGTTGTTTATCATTACCAATGTACATACGTATGTACTAACTAACGTACTTTCGGCTGGCGTGGTTTTGCCAAGACCACACTAAAGCCACACTCTTTATGTATGTTTGTACCAATTGATGTACCATGTCTTTCTATCCAGAAAGTTTTCGCAGCGGAATGGCAGAACAGTGTCGCATCTGAAACTAGGAGAGCAAAGAAGTCGTTTGTCACCGTTTTGGGGGTTTGGAAACCACCTCAAGAAAGATGAGTGCTCTTTTGCTCGTAGGAACGCTAACACCGGCCCACCACCCTTCGAGTCGATAGAATTCTGGGGGCGAGCAAGGTATTTATGTTACCCTGGTTCTGCAGTTCTGAGATGCTGCCCACTAGAGCTAGTCTCACCCCACAAGAGATACGCATAAGCTGACTTGCAGTCTCTATGGCATCAGTAGCGCCCCGCCGCAACTGCGCCGCTCGAAACTGTCCGATTCGTTTTGCGCGTGCGCTGCGCTTGAATCTTGTATAAATATACATCCACCCAACTTCCGTGGGTTGCACAAAGGATACACACATCATACCCCATCATCTACGACATTATGGATTACTCGGACCCTAACGCATTCACTCTGCCCTATCAACTGACGAAGCAACTCCATCGCGATGTTCACCCATTGTTAGAGCCAACTCAGCCAGAACTATCGGCCAAAGGGAAAACAGTCCTCATCACTGGTGTTTCTGGGGGCATAGGCAAGGTAAACACTATTCAAAGGCCATTGCCAATTTTCTTCTCTCATACCTGATATGTACCAGGTCATCGCCGAATCGTGGGCAACGGCAGGAGCGTCCGGTATTGTGATCACTGGACGCAAAGCCGATGTAATCCAGAGCATCGCCACGGGTCTCAAGGGACTCGCGGCTCCCAGCACCAGGATTCTCGCCAAAGAAGCCGACATTACCGACGAAGCTTCTGTAGCGGCCCTCTTTGCGGCTGTCAAGGACGAAATTGGAAAGATTGATGTGCTCGTCAACAGTGCGGGCAGCTTAGAACCGGGAATGGTGGGCGCCGTCGAGCCCACCAAATTCTTCAATGACTTCCAAGTCAACACGCTTGGCTCGTACCTAATGACACACTACTTTCTAGCCCAAGCAGAAGGGGCTGGTACCGTAGTAAGCTTGATCACGGGCGCCATTGGCAATGTCTTCCCCGGTATGGGTGGCTACACAGCATCCAAGTTGGCTTTCGTCCGCATCGTGGAGAATCTGCATGTTGAACAGCCAGGTGTCCGGTTCTTTATGCTCATACCTGGACTTGTTCAGACTGAGATGACGGTCGACTCTTTGAAGCCTTACGCGAAGGACAGTGCCGGTCTCAGTGGTGGCTGGTCTCTTTTCTTGTCTACACCGCGTGCCGAATGGATGCGTGGCGGGATAGTCAGCGTCAATTGTAAGCCTCAACCCAATTTTGCAACAGTAATTACTATTACTGACATATGGTGGTATGACTAGGGGATATTGAGGAGATGGAGGCCCACAAAGATGAGATCGTGCGTGATAATCTTCTTAGCCGCGCTTTCCTAAACGCCAAACTCGGGAAGGATGGACACCCTTGGTCATGAGTTTGCAAATGAGCCATTCTGCTCCGCGAAATGGAAGCGAGGAGCAGCGAACTTTATCATTAGGCTAGGCAATATCCATAAATATGCTTTATAAAGAGACAGACAGTAATTGAGGTCTGAACGATACCATCTATAACATCGATTGTGGTCTCATCTGCTCCATCGGCATGGAGAACCCCAGCGAACGAATTCAACAATTTCAACCAGGAAGCTACATATCAATTCTTGTTCCATCTGTTGTCTACTCAAGACAGCCTTGGTGCCATTACGCGACTTGGTTACCAATCGTTATTCGGGGTCTCGACTTTCTATGCTAGAGAACTTTTGCTTGAGGCTTGAGCTATAACAAAACCTAGCTCGCCCCGGGAAGTACAAACTGTTGGCCAAGATCCTCGGTCCCCCAATGAAAGGAAGAAAAGAGCAGGATCATCCCGTCGTTCGGGACGGAAAATCTCAGTGTCGAGGCCAAAAATCTCGGTAGCCCCATGTAGGCAATAGACATGATAGTCAACTTGTTGGCCGTTCTGCACCATCATTGGCGATTGACCGTTGGGAGCACCCCCATGAGGAAGTATGCCGTCTTTCGTGGAAGTGCGGGCATTCAACGGGACAGGTCGGTATCGCCACAGGCATATCACGCGCGTCAGCAATAATTCCTAAACAATCAGGAACGGCGGTGACTCACATTCACCCAAGAAGTTGCGTAGCGTTCTCATATTGTGAAGACTTCCGTAGTCTGGAGTCCGACCTGCAAATGTACTCCCCACTTCTGCACTTACCCAAGACCATAAGTCGGAACAATGTGCAAGAATGAAGAAAGTTTTGGTAAGTGGGGCAGCGGTGGTATCTCTTCCGACTTGAACTACCTGCCTGCGATCTGCTATCCCATAAATCCCTTACCCTTCCCGGCCTTCCGTAACAACGCAACCCCATCAAGCAATCCCTCGAATACCTCTGGCTCAACGCCAATAGAATGCGAGTTTAGCTCGCCAAATTCGAAGATGGAATACAAGTAAGGCCACATGGCGCGGTTGAAGTCCGCGTAGTCAACTTTACTGGGCATCCCAAAGGGCTATGACCAGCTGATTGGCCGACCTCGAAGATTCGTAGTGAATACCCAGCCAAGATTCATAGTGCGATGCGTAGTAGATGATTCCGGGTAAAGCTCGAGGCCAACATATATGGTATGTCGGTGGCTGGTTTTCATTTTGGATCTCACAACGTACACTTTCCACCACAATGGCCTATCACCACAACGGCCAGAGACTCGATAACATATCTTCATGGTATCCTCTCCCTCAATGCAATTGAGAGCATACTCCAGCGCATTGTTTGTCAAATCCGTAATATTTTCCTCGCTAAGCCTGGTGGTGATGTATCGCATTTCCAAGTAGGCTCATGGTAGTTGAAGATTTCATCGGGCCATACAACAGGACCAGGTCATTGCTAGGGGCGAGCAAGTGGTGATGATTTGTGCACCCATGTGCTTTGATAGCTGTATCGCGAAAGTGCCCGTTGAACTCGCACCATCATATACCAGAATGTCAAAAAGCTGCTCAGCAGGCTTCGTCGATGATTCCATGGGTAGTTGGATGGAGAGCCATGACTGATGTTGCGATACGCAATGGCATGACGCCGTCAACGGAAGTGTGTTCTGCAAACTCACCCGACTGTGGTCGAAGTGCTTCCATGCCATCGCATGCTCCACAGACTCAATCACCTGGGTAAATGCGGTCTTCAGCGGCCATGTCTTTCCTCGTGGCGACAACGATGCCGGAGCAGTCAATCTAAAGGCATCGGTCTAATCCCTGGCAGCTCATGGAAACACCATCTAAACTTACTCCATAGCTGGCACCAGCCCCCACAAATCGACCGACCATCTTAGTATCCACGGAACTCAAACTCACATATACTGTCTTCTACACGGGCGTGAACCCTCCTGCGTTCCATGGGGCCGCAATATACGTCATTGGCTACGCCTCTTCCATACCACGACACAGTGGCTGATACAAGCTTCCGTGCCTCCTTTGGCATTAGTTGCAAACATTGCATTTCCATGCGGCACAACCGTGTCTCTCATGTTCAACAATAAGCTCTGCTGCGTAACATCATGGCTGACTAGTGACTGGAATGCTTATGCACCACCCTCTCTTGTGTCAGTGAATCATCCTCTGGGAAGTCAAGGAGACATGTTCATTTTCTTCTGTTAGATCTACTCCAGAGGAATCACTTTGAGCTACAATTTGGTTTCTTTGGTCTCCAACATTCAGTCATTCCTGTCCTTTGATTGCCGTGCTCGGTCCTTTTCCAAACCACCCAGTCTCTTGAGTGACGCAATGCACCCAAATTCTATCCTGCTCATAAACTTCGATGCTATTCAACGTCGCATCCCGGGCCAGGTCTGTTCCCCATCTCGCAATTCATATTTCCCATTACGCTGCTTCAAGGTTCCAGGAGGAGTCTTCAGAATTACAAAGCAGCAAGCTGCCATGAATGCCAGCTCGGGAAGCATCGTCATCAGCAAGTATGCTGTCGGATTGCCCACCACAGCGTGCCACATCCTATCTGCAGTTATGACGAAGATAACACTGAACAGAACGCGCACAAAGAGAAAGGACAGGCTAATTCCCACGCATTTAGCTAGCATGTATTGCTCCCATTCGTATCGCTGTCGTTGCATACAGAAATAGACCCACACGCCTAGAGTATAGAGGTAGATCAGGAGGAGCATAGCGATGCCAGCCCGAGACCATACCGTAGGCAGGAGTTTGTTGTGCTCTTTTCTGGTGACAGTAACAAATCCACCGATGGAAATGCCGATATCAATCCAAGTCAGTAGCTGAAGAATCCAGAAGATGCGCCCATGAACGACACGTTCTGTTTTGTCTCTACTCATGCGATCAGCTTCTCGTGCCCTGAAAAATTATTCGGGTCATCTCATTTCCATGAGGCACAGGTCTTTCGCGCTCATGCATGCTAATGCGTCAATGACGAGTAACCCACATTCTGGCGAGCATTTCGAACAATGCAGAGATCAAGAGTAGTACTCCTAGGCTCTCGCAAATAAATACGCCGGTCCATAGTCCAACGGTGTTGCGATTTACAGTGCCGAGCATGCAGCCGGCACCCACGCATCGTATCAGAGAAAAGCCACAGATACTGAACCAGCATATACGACGTGTCCAGCGAAAGTAATATCCGACGAAAAATGGGACTGCAAAGAGTACGAGCTGGGCGAGGGCGATGCCGTCTCGATAGTGAATTTGGCCGTCGCCGATACCCATTATAAGTTGTGTAGCTGTGTGAAAGATGCGACAAATAGATTGGTGTATATAGTGAAGAGTGTATACTGTTCGAGCAGAGTCATCGGTTGGTATGGAAGAGGGGAACTTAAGTTTTTCTTTGGAGCACAACGTGGGTGCGAAGCAAAGACGCCCTGATGCTAGCCAAACGACGTCATGGCTGGAAGGCCGACTTGACTGTGCCGCCCGCGCCCGAGACTTGCAGTTTTTTGACTGCAACATTGTATTGGCTGACTACGTCTATGAGTTGATCGTTGCATATGTCATGCGACACAAACACTTGGGATTAAAAAAACACAACAAATCGGCTTTCGAGCTCCAGGCAGGAAAATACAGGGTATTGGCTGACATTATTACTACTCTGTAAGCCATGGAGGCGATCGTTGTTGAGTCTCGGAGTGAAGCTGTGAGGTCAGTGCTGTGGCCCAGTGCTGACAACGCGCAGAGAGGTGCTTACATTTTGTAGCTGTACTAAATTGTGCTCTGTTCAGCCCCAATGACTCCGTCTCAGAGTGAACCAGCGGTGTTGGTCGCCCGGTTTTTGCAAATGTTACGTGCCGCCCACGAAATTGGAACCGCTTTATAATGGGGGGGACGACAGCACGTACCACATATGCACAATGTACTAATACCCACAAGCATGCAGGTCTCGGTCACACATGCCATTCTGTGAGACTGGGCAGATGAATACATAGGATACTGATTTGTACATATTTCTACTAAATATGATGGTGAACCATCGCATTCCCATGCGGCAAAAACTTAGTCTATGAGTTGGTTATCGCATATCTCATGCGGCACAAACACATGGTATTGAAGAACCACACGACAGATCTGCCTTCAAGCTCCATTGTGCAGATTTCAAACTGTCCGAGTGGGGTCCAAGTCACCTAGCCACTATTCGGAGACAGCTAACACCCACCGTCAGCCAAATGTGTCAGATGCAGGCAGCACTGACATCTGACGTCACAGAAAATCACGTGATGGAATCATGGGAGGTACATACATACATTATAAACTGCAGTCAATTGCATTGCGTTTCATCTCCGAGTAGACTCTTACTTTTACGCCCGAAGCTCGTTAGCGCTCCTATCTTCGTGTGAACCTAGCACCACAGGAACTCCACGGGAACTAAGCGCCCGCCTACAATTTCCAATACAACGAACGCAAGTGACAAGTCATTTGGCGTCTGAGCGATACACCCGTTCGGCTTTACGATCTCTCTACCCAACTCAACATGAAATCAACGAATCAACCTCACCTCCAACCCATCAACTTCGATGAGCATCCAAAAGACGACGCTCACAGTATATTTGCGCTGTTTCCGCTGCTACCGAAAGAGTTACGCGTAAAGATATGGCGGCATGCGATGGAGCGGAATCGCATGTTTCGATTAAACCTCGTACCTAAGCGTGAAATCATGGAGTTACGGTTCCCCATCGATAAACCAGGCCCCCCTAATGCAGACGCACTATCATTGATCGAGCGCTACGAATCAAGATTTGAGGTTTTTGTCTTTGGACGCCAGCTTCTCAGCAAGTTATTGCGGGTGAACCGAGAATCCAGAGACGAGGCCATGCGATTGTATCGAATTCATATCCCTTGCACATTTGTGGACAAGAAAAACACCGAAACGAAATCCCATACGCTTTACTTCAACCCGGACCTCGATTGTCTGGAGATACGCCCTTCATAATTAATCGAAGACACTCTGTTTGACTTTCTTTATCGCCTCAAAACGCGGTGGGATCCACACCATGTCGGACTGCATAACATGGCTATTAACCTTTCTAACTTCGGAACAGACGACATGGACCAAATGGACCCCTCGAATCTCAATGAAAATGTACGAACGACCCTCCAAAATGTATTGAAGGGCCTGCGTGAAGTCCTTTTCTTGTCAACAACCATGTTCGGCCGCCAGATCTTGAGTTGGAGGAGCGCAATTGGATACAACGGTTATCTCTATAACCGATCTTTTCCTATTCCCGCCTATATACCAACCTTCAAGCATTTTCCCGTAGACCCGCGTGCCGTTGGGGATGATTTGAGAAAAACTGTAGTTGGTAACAGCGACTACGACAGGAGGAGCATCGAGAATTGGCAGAAGATACTAGTAAAATTTGGCATCTCCGCTCCCCAGATCAAGTACAAGTTGCTTTTGAGACAGGAACCACTCGACTATGGAATTGTTGTCGATCGAAAAGGAGCTGAGCAGTGGATACAGAAGGAGAAAGAGAGGTGGAGGACTCATTCGGAAGGTCGTGATGGTGATATTGCTATAGAGGAGATGGTAAGGCCAGCGTTTGGTTTTTGGATATTTCCATTGGACGCAATCGATAGTCCTGCCGTAGATCAACCCTCACATGTTCCCATGTTGGATCTTTCAAGCTATAGACCTGAACTCGGGTGCGCCGAGTTCTAGAGATCCTCATCAATAGTCATCTTTCCAAGTTTTAGCGCTGTCACGGGTTGCACGGAGTCACCCTTATTTGTTTCCCAAGTCGATTTGCGTAGTTGAATTGGGTCGTGAATTTCTTGTTCCATCAATCAAATACCCGTTCGCATCACATATGACCATAGACCATAGAGGGATATGTTCAAGATCAGGAAGTATGAACCGGCCAACAATACCGAGATTCACGACAAGAAGTGCTTAATGATTAGTTGTGAGTTACACGCAGTCTGTTTCATCTGTCGTAAACCCTCTAATCATATAATACTATATCAAACTTGTAGTGCCACTTGTACGAGGTGATTCCCTAGTTGCTCTGCGACGTAGGAAAAAGGAACACACCAATATTAATTATCACCGAGAGAATGGAATTGACTACTCGCGCACCCCAGGAACAGAGACAAGCACCCCTTCATTTCGAAGCTCTCAGTGGGTCTGAGATCTGCTGGCGTTATCTACTCAGGCTGCAGTTGTCATTGTTCATGCCAAGACCAGCCCCGCGCTTCCGCCTCAGTCTGCTCTTCTAACCTCCTCTCCGCCGCAACCATGTTCTCCAACACAGTATTGCTAAGAATATTTCCTCCTCGCATCTGCAACAGAAGTATTATACCCTAAAGCAACGTACTAAGCGATAACTGAACGTACAGGTTATACGGGTCGCAGTAGCTCTGAATCGCTTGCCCGCAGACCTGCATTGTCCTCGCCTCACGTAGCCCCAGCGCTACCCGCTCCAAAGTCTTGCGGACGTTATAATCCGTAGAAGCAAAAGCAGTCGTACTAAGTTGCTTACTGAATCATTCAATTTTCATGCAGTCCGCAATCTGCGACGAGCACCCCGTAATGTTGTGTCGTATTGCCGAGCTTGAAGGATTGCGTCCGCATGGTCGGGGTCTGATGAGATGTCCACAGCATACGACTTCCGCGTCAGTGATCAAAGCTTGACCAATGGACCTACCATTCGATTGGACTGCCATGCGCAGTGCAGACAATTGTTATTTTTACCGTACAGCACTCGATCTCGAGCTCACAGTCGGACACAGTTTCAGAAGCAGAGCGACCCCGGTCGCGAGGCCACTACATGCATAGGTTCACTCGGCTCACTGTATACGCGCAGCTTCGCAAGGATACACGTTGGCGTGAACTTCGATGGAGACGTTCTCCAAGATTGTCCTGCAAGGCTCTGGATATGGGCTGGAGATGAGCTTGCTGAAGGAGGCATAAATCCAGTAGCGGTGATTCGTCGGGACAATGAAGTGCGACTGTACGCGTGATAGCTTTGGTTTTATGAAAAATCCTAGAAATCCGGGTACAACAACCTAATAGCGATCAGCAACCCTTTTCTGAATAATTGCATTGGAATACGATGATTGTACCACACCCCTAAAGGAGGATAGTTACAGACGAAAAGGGAAGATAAAAGCAGTGATTTGTAGCGCATATGGAAAAGGATGTAGACATGGTCACGACATGCGACTCAATCTCGGATGCTGGCGGAACAGATAGTTACGCTGGCTTCTTGCCCTGTAGAACAGGTGATTAGCAAGTTTTACAGGTTTAGAAACAGCCTATTTATTTACTGCAACGTTACACTGATTGTGTTCCCAAGCTGTTCGTAACGTCGAGATTGCTTTTTGCCCCTCCGGCTAAAATGGTGGTTCACCACACCCCATCAGCGTCGCCCTGCAGACTTGGCGACCGTTAACATACCCAGCTTCCCGGCAACAGCATTTAAACGCTGTTGGCAGGATTACGAAGATGGAAGGTTGAAGATCTCGCACGAGAAGCAATGGTAATTGATATACATACTTCTGCATGTCAAATCTCAGCCAGGGCTCATGGGGCTAATCATCGCGATTCGCGAAGACACCGCTTCACGTAGGATGGAATATATTAATAAATGCAGTCCGACTTTCGCCGAGCCAATGACTACAGCAGGTTTAGCATCTTACCTGTACCAAGACACACGTTGGATCGACGGAAATAGTTGTGATCCAGGTTCAACAGGCACCTCCTCTACTATAGCATTCCGTCTCTCCGCTTCCTAGTTTGGGCAATAGAATATTGTATACTGCATGCACAGCGGCGATCTCGCACTCGCGCCCTAGACGTACGAGAAGCTATAGTTATAAAATATCGGCATACCGCTGTGATGGTGTCTCGAGCATAGCAGACTAAACATGAAGACTTCAGCACTCATCGCAGTTATTCCAGCCATACTAGGTGTCGCCGACGGCCATTGTATGTCTACACTTGGTATCAGCCCCATTCAGAGTACTGACAAAGCATCCAGGGATATGGGCTCGGGTAGCCCACAATGGAGTCTGGCAAGAGCCTCTACAATACCTCCGGTGAGTCTGTGATAAGCAGAACCTCACGTCGACAACGTACTCATTCAAGATCGCAGAAACCACACAAGTCCCTTCTGTGATGAGCCTTTACAACCCCCAGGATACAGTGGGACTCCCTGTCGCCACGCGTCATGGCCACACTACGCGTTTGACTTGCCCAACTCTGTCCGCTGCGGCCGCGGCACTATCGAGCACGGAGTGACCACGGAGACGCTCAAAGTCAAAGCTGGTGACACGCTCGAGGTCCAGCAAGTGCGCGCCTCCCCGGAGGAGTTCGACCAGACGGCTTATAAGACCATTTTCGAGTGCAGCTCTGGACCTGGTGCTTGTTGCGAGGGTTATGGTGCCTGCTCATTCTGGAACGGAATCGAGGTATGTTTTACCTAACCGTTGTAAATCCGCCCGTCAAGAAGTGTATAGCTAATGTCCACTCTAGCAACCGGTAGACTTCAACCACTGGGGCCCAAGAACCATCCATCTCTCCAAGGTGCCAGAGGGACAAGACGTAAGCACGTACGATGGCTCTGGTGAATGGACAAAGATCGATACGCAAGGCGTGGACGTGGTGGACGGAAGTATGCGCTGGCACATGTACGTCGGCGATAACAATCTGCCGCCTCGGGTACGCCCCATCATCACCCCTTGACTATACTGCCAGCTTATCAATACTTGCTAGGCGCCCTTCAAAATCCCTAAGCAAACGCCCGCTGGCCAGTACCTGATGCGCATCGACCTCATGTGGCCAGGAACCAAAGAAGCTGAACAAAACGACGCGCAGATGTATCCCGGGTGTGCGCAGATCGAGGTCGAGAGTGAATATACTGGATCGCTTCCTGAAGGCGGAGTGAAGATTCCTGAGGATCTGGCTACGGGTAAACCTGGTGAGTCACATCCTGTCCTGAGCGCGAAATGTGAAGGAAGATAAAGCGCGATGCTGACGATGTGGGCAGGAACGCTAATGAGTAGAGATATGCAAAACTTCCAGAAGGTGGATGAAGATTATGAGTATCCTGGGGGGCCGCTTTGGGATGGCGAGAAGTTAGTACAGGATCGTCCGCCTGCGGTTTAGTAGAATCCGCACAGGCACAGACAATATAATAGTAGTAGAGATGTTAGTATTTTTACAAACTAGCGTCTACTAATATAAGATTACTATTATTAAAGCGCTCTGTATTCTACTGTTCTGTGATTCTGTTATTCTATCTTTAATAACCCTATAAACTCTACCTATAATAACTAAGCTCTATAGACTCTATAAGATTTAAATGTGCACCATGCACGCTAAAGAATAGAAGGCTATAAAATATTTACTATAAGTAAGTCTTATAAACTATAAATAATATTAAATCTTTATACAACTTTATAGAGAGGTGCAGCACAATTTAGCAAATAAATTACTATATTTTATATATTTATTAAGTTATATTTTATAGTAAAATGTAAGTAAAAAGAGCAGTATATTAATATTAGCGTAGCAGCTGCTAAGCAAGGCTGCGTACCTAAAGTAATAAGACTATAATTTAAAGTAACAACTACTAGCACTTACTCTATAGTATCTATTTATACTTACTATAAAGTAATTAGACGCAATTTTTATATATTTACTTACACACTATATAGTAATATGTAAAACCTACTAGTAGAGCATGCTATAGTTGCAGCTGCAAACCTATTTAAATAGCAAGTATAGTAGTAGGTAAGAAGTTCTAGGTCTAGGTAGAAAAGCGTAGGACTTAGCAAAAATTAAAACAGCTAACTTTTGCCTTTACACTACTACTACTTATGCTATAATTATTAATAAACTTTAAAAACTTTATAGTACTTTTTCTAAAGTAATACGCATCTTTTATATATATTTTTATTATATGCATTCTTAAAATGCGTGCGCTATTATAGTGTAAAGATAAAAAAAATAATAATAAATCTTAAAGAAACACAAAATTTTAAAAAAATTAAAAAAAAAACTATTTTTATAAAAAGTAGTAATAAGTAGTAACAGGATAGCAGTAACAGGTAGTAATAAAGTAGTAACTAAGAAAGAGTTAAAGGCAACTTTCTAACATATTTTACAGTAGTAGGTAAAAAGTTTTAAGTCTAGGTAGAAAAGCGTAAGACTTAGCAAAAATTAAAACAGCTAACTTTTACTTTTACACTACTACTACTTATGCTATAATTATTAATAGGGTTAGGGTTAGGGTTAGGGTTAGGGTTAGGGTTAGGGTTAGGGTTAGGGTTAGGGTTAGGGTTAGGGTTAGGGTTAGGGTTAGGGTTAGGGTTAGGGTTAGGGTTAGGGTTAGGG